CGTGAAATCAGCATATGCTAATATTCGTATGTTAGTAGAGAGATTAGTAGTACTGACACTATGTTCTTCACCACCTTAAAAGCTTCGTCTCATCATAATAAAAAGCTTTAAAGCCTCATAAAGCAACAATTTTTTTTTTTTAAAAAAAAATCAGAATATAGGGTCAGGGATCTACAAAAATGCACTGGCTTAACTAACTTATTTAGTTAATCATTTAATTTAAAGGTGATAAATATTTTTTGTTGAATTTAATTAAGTTATAAAAAAGACTATTGGAAACCAATGCAAGTATATTAAATCTTTGTTGTTTTTTTTTTTAAAAAAAATGTTCAACTTGTTTAATATTCTCTTTATAAATACATAAACCAGAAAACGAAAAGAGGTTAAATATAGTTTTCAACATTTTTCTCAAAGTGAAACAAAATGGCAATTTATACACACTCGTCTCTGTCAGTTTACCTTTTAGTTATCTTTTATTACATTCATACAGAAACTAAAGGAAATGCATGAACTAAGTGGTCAAAAAATAAATAAAGTAAGGTGAAATCTAAAACTGGCAGTAAATTACAAACTAAACCCATCCAAATAAGGCTATTCATTAGACTGTACACCTCCACCATCCCTAAATTATTTGTCTTGTTTGTTAATATACCAAAGTAACTCATGTAGTTTTTAATTTGGATTGGGAGGAGATTTAAATTGTAGTTTAGTCTTTGATTTGAAAAAGTATTATAGTTTAGTGACCAAAATGAAGACTTTACGATAGTGCAAAGACCAAACTCAAGACTTTACAATAGTTCAATGACTAAACGCAATAAGGACTTACCATACTTCAGTGACCAAAATGAAGACTTTACAATAGTGTAATGACCAAACGCAGCATTTTTGAGTGTTCTTCTAGCTCAATTATAATTATGTGTTGAAAAGCTTTCTTATTTTATTATTGAGGAAAGGGAAAGGTTGAATAAGTTGAATCTTGGATGAGGAATATACTTGGAGAGTTAATTATATAAATAAGTATATATGATGACATTGTATGTCTCAGATCAAACATACCACAACCAGTAAAATAAGGTTCAGATTGCATCACCAGCTATCAATGTTTCAGTACCTGTTTCATTGTTTTGATGCAATTTTTTTTTTTTGTTTGATCTAGTTTCAAGTTTCTACAGTTCATATTTTATGATCTATATACTTTGAAAAAAAAAATCTAAAAGGTGAAGGTTCAGCTATTATTAGAATACCCATGTTTCCATATCATACATTGTGGTTTCACCTACTTCTTATAGATTATAAAAAAAATAATACCTCCCCAGTTATAAAATGATTTAAATTTTAGAGGTTGATAAAATATTTTTTATTTAAAATTTTTCATAATTTGGCTAATATTAATTTTTACAGTACCAAGAAAATTTTATTGTCTTGCATGGTTAATGACTTTTCTTTGTCGAGAAGAATTATCACCCTCTAAGTGAAAATTAATCGTAATGGTGGTTCTAATAAGTGTTTTGTGTAAGGTTACTCATTCTTCTCATAAAAAAATGGGATTGCCATCAACTGTCCCAAGTTGCCTTTGAGGTGTAGGCCTCCAATCTCAATCAAATTTTCCTTGTGAGTTCAATCGTTTGGAATGTTCAAGCGGTTGTTCCCACATATGCGATGGAATTCGTTGAGAATATTCACCATCAGAATGTGATTGTTATTTAGGTTTTAGTCTTTTTTATTATATGAAAAAATGAGAGAGAGACATTGCCTTGCGACTTAATCCAAAAAAACAAAATAATCAACTTGATAATGATGCATAAAATTAGTAATCACCCTCTAGTTAACGCAGCTAGTAATGGTTTAATTCTAAATGCGAAATGCAACAATAATGGAATTATGAGTGTGGATAATGTTGAACTGATTAGTGCACCACCACCATACCTCCAGAAGAAAAGACAAAACCAATTACTACTACTCCTGCTATTTTTCTTTCTTTCTTATTCTTCTTTTTCTCTTTTATTGTTTTCTACAAAAGAACAGATGATTGATTACTCAGCTATAGACAAGTGTCACACCAGGGAAAGGCCGAGCTTGCAAACAGACAAGAAAAATTATCAAGAAAGAAAACCAAAAAAAAAAAAAATCTAATATATTCATTTTCAATTGCATTGCTGAGCTGATTGATATTCATTGAAAGAGAGATGTATCACTAATCTGGGGGTTACAAATACTCCATCCGTCTCAAAATTATTATTCAGTTTGAATTTTTATTTTTAGTTCAAATTGTACTAAAATAAAATTTCAAACTGGACAATAATTTTAGAACAGAAGAGGGAGTACTTAAAATGATTATTATCTTCTTTTTGTTTTTTCCCCCCACTAAACTAAAGAAAACAACATCTTGCACGAGAAGTAGTACATTTGAACCATAAATCTCATGCACTTATGGTGATGTTTTAGGATCTTGAGGAGATGGTGCTCCAAATTTTGTAGTAAATCCTTTCACTAGTAAAATTGTACTTATATCATCAGTTTGAATAAACTCAATTTGCTCAACTCGTGGGTTCCGTCCAAATTTAATGATGTACTCTATCGTCTCAAAATTATTGTCCAATTTGAGATTTCACTTTTACTACAATTTAAACTATAAATAAAAATTTAAATTTGACAATAATTAAAGGACGGGAGGAGTAAATAAAAAAAAAAAGTCATAAAAGAATATACAGTCAGAAGAGAATGGAGCAAAAAGAAGCTAGAGGTAGTACAAACAAAATGCTTGCTTCAAAAGAAGAGCTATCAACCCAAAGAAAAATATAAAATCAATAGAGGATTATTCAAAGAATTGCCACCAACTTTGGCTACTGTCTCAAATTGCAACATTGGTAATTGCTGATGATTAATCTTAATTTAAGGTTTTATAGGTACTTTTGTGAAGAACAAGAAAAGGGGATTCATAGGAATCAGCAAAAAGAAGTAGTAGCTTTTGTGTTTTTTAAACCTTATTTGACCATCGTTAGAAACATTTTTTTTTTAAAAAAAGAGGGACTGGGTGAGAATAAAGCCTTTTTCAGAGGTAAATTTCAAATTTTAACAACTATATGTCATTATAAAGCTACAAAAAGTAACTCAGTGGTAATTTGTCGTTTTTACCTTTCTCTTTTTCAGTCCGTTTCACCTAATTTTTTTAAAACAGATATATATATATATATATATATATATATATTCTTTCACCATTTTGCTCAAGATCTCAGAAATAAATAGTAAAGATCTGATTCCTTCACCAATTCCCATTAATTCAGCAATTAAATGGTAATTAAATCGCATTCGTTTGCTATTTTTTTTTTTTTTTACGGACGCTACCTTTTTCGTCTTCTTCCTCTTTTTTTTTTTTTTAATGGAATCAAAACTTTACATAAGCTCAGTTTATGTGATGCAATTTTTTTTACCATGACTAATTTTACACTAAAAAAAAAGGAATAATAATTGAGTTGTAAGATTATGGGGATTTTGTCGCATCATATGTCTATATGAAGAAAATATCAATTACAAAGTATAACGTGATAAGAAATGATTTTATTCTGTTTTAACTTTATAACATATCATTATTGAGATTTGTTAATGCTAAAATAATAATAATATTATTATTATTTTATAGTTACTGGCACACAATGAAAGGTAATGGTAGGAGAGTGGGAACCAAATGAATATTCCTAACGAACAAGAACCCATAAACGGCGCCGTAATACACTAAGCTAAACCATTATATTAGTTTGCAATTTACATTTGCACATGGAGATGCTGCGGACCAGTTGCCTAAACATTTTCAGTTCTTTAATTATATTTTTTTCAGTCCCACTTCCATTTTTTTTAAAACAATTATTACCCCAAATTCTCCCTACTTTTTATTAACATTTTTATATTATTTTCCCTTATAAGGAAATAATATATATGAAAAAAAAAAGCAAGCTTCCCTTTGGTGACATTCGAGTTGATATAGACCGATATGAGTATAAGAAAACTTTGTGAAAAATTACTCCAAGCCAATCATATGAATTTAGAGAGATATAACCAATCCTTATTTTTACTGTTTTTGTAATTTTTTAGCCGTTTAGGAAGAAACTCACAATAGATTCTGACCAAAACACGTAATTATCAGAAAAAAAGGGGTCAGAAGTAAGTAAATCTCTTAGTTATGCCACTGTTAACAATAATAAATTTTTACATTTATTTTCACAAGTTCACTCTTTCAATAATATATATCCTGTCATCATTTGTTAAAAATTATTATTTTTTTAATTTAAAACAATCTTTAATATGTTGCCAATTTACATCAAGAAATAAGTAAATCATAACAAAAAACAAAAAAAGGAAAAAGGAAAAACAAGAGAAGAAGAAGTTACTTTCAGATTAAGACAATTGGACATGGTAATTGATATTCATGTTGTGGAATTTTTTAGGGGAGAAAAAGTCCTTTAACAAATTAAATAATAATCATTCATCTCAATTACTATTCCTTCCTTAATTAAAAGGGAATAATATTCCGAACTACCCGTTTTAAAAATATTTAATCAATTGTAATAACAACTTATATTTCGTATAAAATTGGATGGAAATTTATTTGTACATTCCTTAAAAATTCAATATAAGAAAGCAAAGGTGCCATATTTATAATGAAAAAAAAAAAAAGCAGTACACCAACAAATCAATTAATTATGATATTCCAAAATTAAAAAAGAATCTGCATTTATTTCATACGATTTGATTAATAAATGGAATATTAAAATCAGTAATCAAAGACTACCCTCCCTCGATAAATTAGAAAGAAAAAAAAAAGAAATTCAAATAAACACACTTTTGTTTGATTTACATTTTTTTTTACCAGGCAGTAAAAAATCATAATAATACTAGTAGTTATTTTTGTTTTTTTAAAAAAAAGGAGATGATAAAATGAAAAACTGACTGGCGTGGGGTTAGTTAAGTTCCCACCAGTGAGCTGTATCCACACCCAATCCGGGGAAGGAAGATGCAGAAGCACAATCCCAATTATTAATTTTTTATTTTTTATTTTCAATCCAAATATCTAATTTCTTTTTTTTAAAAAAAAAAAAATTTGTCTTAATTAATCACATAAATAAATTCCATTTCAAGAACAAGCAACTCTTTTTGTTATTTATTTTAACTTGCTCCATTTTCTACCTTTCCTTGTTTAGCTTTTTTGGCTGCTTCATATACTCTGAGGAGCACCAGTTTGATTATTTTTTTATTATAAATACTGCGAACAATTCTATATCTTTTTCTCTCCTTTCAACCTCTCCCCTTAATCCCACAAAAAAAAAAAAAAAGAGAGAGAGAGAGAGAGAAAACAATCTTAAAAAAGCTCAAAACTTTTTAGAGTTTGTTTTGTGTGTTCGAGTATGTGATTTGGGTTTGTGGTTATTGATTTGATTGAAATCAATAAGTATTGGGAGAGTGGCAGTGGAGTAAACACAACAATAAGGAATACTAATGAATCTGATTAATAGTGGTGGTAAAAACAGCATGGCTGTTGCCAGCTCTAGTGCTTCCTGGAAGTCTTCCGGTGAAGGGGCGGTTTCCGACCAGTTTCCCGCTGGTCTCCGTGTCCTTGTGGTCGATGATGATCCCACCTGCCTTAGGATCTTAGAAAAGATGCTTATTAACTGTCGTTATGAAGGTTTGTTTGTTTGTTTTTTTTTTTTTTTTCTTAGTGGTTGAATAAAATAATACTGTATTTAGTTATCTTCTGGTGTTGAAATTCAATTACTATTGATGGTTCTTCATGTTTCCGAATTTTGGGTTCCAATTTGTCCCCAGAACAAGAATAAGTCGTGTTTTGTTTTAGTTACTTCAATTAGTGAAGAATCAATCATGTTCAAATTTGCTCTGTGAGTTCTATTTGGTTTGCAATTGAATGATAATTAGGGTCTTTTACTTTGGATCTAGTCTTGTCATATAAACAAGATCTTTTCAAGTGTTTGTATTTTTTCATAAGAGGATTATGAGGTTCTTAGTTTTCTTAAGTTGCTGGATTTGTGTCCGTTTTTGGATATACAGTAAGTTACATATTCGATACTTTCTTTGTAAATCATGTTAACACTTCTTAGAAAAAGATTGATTTTTTTATGAATTCAATATGAGTTGTTTGGTTGAATTGAAATATGTGCCGGGGGTCCTTTATTGTTGATGGAGATCTCTTGTTGTTTACTAATTCTTTGAAAGGTTTTTGGAGATTTTCATAAGTTATATGGTCTGATTGATGTTCTTTAGTTTCTGGTCAATTTGGTTGAAAATTACAAGCTTTACTTGGAGATCTCTTGTTGTTTACTATGAGTGGGCTTCAGTTTACATTGGTTTGAAATGATTGAACTTTATCGTTGCAATTTGATTTCTTCTTGGTTTGGAATGAATGCTGGTGGTTCCTTTGCTTTAGATCTCTTGGTGTTACAATGTCAATTATCTGGTATAACTTGAATTGTTGTAATTTTTCCTTACATCTGTAGCTAATAACGGGGTTATATAGTACATGGTACTTTTGCTTTTGGTCTGGAATAATGCTTGGGAAGTGATTCTTTTTTTCCCTTTTGGTTTTGTTTTCGTAGTTACAAAGTGTAATAAGGCGGAGACTGCATTGAATTTGCTCAGAGAGAATACAAAAGGTTATGACATAGTCATTAGTGATGTCCACATGCCTGACATCGACGGCTTCAAACTGCTCGAACAAGTTGGGCTGGAAATGGACTTACCTGTTATCAGTAAGTCACCAGAGAACATCATAATTTTGTTGGAATTACTGTAAAGTTTCTAACTTGGTGAATTATTTTATAAATTTTTCTACTTTTGTGATTGTCAGTGATGTCGGCTGATGATAGCCAGCATGTTGTCATGAAGGGTGTGACTCATGGTGCCTGTGATTATCTGATAAAACCCGTTAGAATTGAGGCTTTGAAAAACATTTGGCAGCATGTGGTTCGAAAGAGGAAGCATGAGTGGAAAGATAAGGATTTTGAGCAATCCGGAAGCGTGGAGGATGGAGGAGGAGAAAGGCAAGTCAAGCCTGTCCAAGAAGATGTTGATTACTCCTCATCAGCAAATGAAGGAAACTGGAAGAACTCAAAGAAGAGAAAAGAGGAGGAAGATGAACTCGATGATACGTGTTCACTGAAGAAACCACGTGTGGTTTGGTCGGTAGAGCTCCATCAGCAATTTGTAGCAGCTGTGAATCAGCTTGGAATTGACAGTATGATATTTACTTTTCTTCTCTTGATCACTTTATGTTATGAATTAGTGATAATAAAACTATAATGGTTCTGATATTGTGCTCTTTACATCTGTTATCCTTTTTATGAAATGGATCTTTTGAATTATTCTTTATGTCCTTTTTTCGTATTGATGCAGAGGCTGTTCCCAAGAAAATACTGGAATTGATGAATGTTCCTGGGCTGACTAGAGAAAATGTTGCCAGCCATCTTCAGGTGAGGAAGATTCTTTTTCAGTTTGATATTTTTTATACCAGCTTATTTGTTTAAAAATGCATTTTGTTTGCTACAGAAACAAAAATTGCTGTAGTTGGTTACCACATGAACATTATGTAAATGAAACTCTTTTGTTTGCTACAGAAATACCGCTTATATTTAAGAAGAATCAGCGGTGCAGCACCTCATCCCAATGGGCACTCTTTTATGGGACCCCAAGATCCAAGTTTTGGGTCTATGCCTTCACTAGGTGGGCTTGATCATCTTCAAGCATATGTTTCAACAGGTCAAATCCCAGCACAGAGTCTCGCTTCAATTCAAGCACTTGGTAGACCAACCACAAGACCTCACCTCTCTATTCCTGTTACTGATCAGAGAAATCTTTTCAGTTTTGACAATACGAAACTAAGATTTGGTGAGACACAACAACAATTGAGTAATACCAATAGGCAAATAAATTTGCTTCATGGGATACCGACAAATATGGAACCCAAGCAACTGGCTAGTTTGAACCAATCTGCTCAATCATTTGGTGGTATGACGATGCAAATGCCTCATGCACTACCTGGAGGGGGACACATGCTAAGTGAAAATAAACCTGGTCTTCAAGCTTCCATTAGGCAGCAAGCTACCCTTGGCAGTGACAACGGTATTTCAGCTGCATCAGTCTTGCAACGAAACAATATTGTGATTGATAACAATGTTCAGAGAGGCATTTACTCCCCAGTTTCACAATCATCTTCAGTACCAGATTTCTCTGTAAAAAATAACATGGAAATGATTGGCGGTAATTTTGCTCACAACGGGAGTAACTCAGGAATCTCATCTGTGACAGAGGTTAACTCAAAAGTAAACGGATCAAAAGGGAGTTATCTTCAAGGCTATGACATGTTTAATGATTTGCAGCAACATAATGCAGGAGGGACACAGGATTGGGGTTTGCCAAATGCCGGTTCAACCTTTGACTCCCAAGGAAGCTTGGATGTTGTTGTTCCCCCTTCTAACTTGGCGCATCAGTCTTTCTCTTCTGAGCGGAAGGACCGAAATGCTATTGCTGGTGGAAATGATGTTGGTCAAAATAGTTTTAGTCATCAGTTTAACTCTTTTATGGTTGACAACAGTTCCCTAAGGGTTAAGACAGAACGGTTTGTTGATGCGAGCTGTCATAATAATAATCATCTGTTTCAAGAGCAGTTTGATCAGGACGAGCTGTTCAGCACTCTTATGAAACAGGTTTGTTTCCTAAATTTGTATCCTTGGCATGGGTCTTGAAACTTTAAACATTTCGATGAACTTATTGATTTATTTACTCGCCATTCATCTTCTATTGCAGCAGCAGCCAGAAAGCTTTGGTTCCATGGAAAATGAGTTTACCCTTGATTCATTTCCCCTGGATGATCTTCCTGTTTGAGGCACCACCATCTTCGGCTTCTTTAAGATCCTTCGTGAATGCTGTACATAATTTTCACATAGTTTATTTTCAGTTCCCTTTTACTTTTGACTTTGAGTCTGCTTCTTGATGTGAATAACTTGTCCGTTTCGCCTTTACCCTGAGGAGAAAGGGATTAGTTGGATGAAAGACTCAGCTGGAAGATGAAGAGAAAGAGGAGAAAATTCGAATATGACAAGTTTGCTGGCGTGTATGACTTGCAAAAATGCAATGGCATCCATGCTAAAAAATTTTGATGGGGTTTAGGATTATTTTAGTTGGTTGTAGCAAGAAGTACAAGTTTAAAGGCAGTTTGGAGTTTTTCAGATTAATTGTAGTTTAGGGGGGGAATGGATTGGATTAATTCTGGCATATTTCCAGAGATTTGCTTTCTCCGGTGGTGTTTCTTTTTCTTAATAAGGATTTACTTTTTAGATTTTGTTTAGTTTTTCAGGAATCAGATATTTTGTACAGATTTTGATCAACGCCTTTCTGTCTTGGGATTTTAGTTTTCTGCATCGTTGTTTTATGTATGCTTTTCTTGGCATTGATTCATGTTGGATATTAGAAATCACTATGTGGTTCACTATTTTAAAGTTGCAACAAAATAACAATTACAAATACACAAAAATCAACCATCCATTCGTCCTTGACAATAAAAATAAACCCAATTGCAACGCTCACTCCAGCTGGTGGCCTTTTGGCACTTCTCTTCCGAGACCAAATCCACAAAGTTTTCAATTCCGGAAACAGGAGGGGAAAAACAAAAAACAAAAAAAATTATCAAATAATAAAAATACTTGCCGATCAGCCAGAAAAGAAACCCTTAAAAATCGCATCCGAAGAGGAGGAGCTTTTGATTATTTTAAAAATCGAGACAAGAACCCATCAAAGGTTTCCCACAGAACAAAGACATAAAACTCACCGAACCAAACAAACAAACAACTGAATTCTAAAATCACTAAAGCACAGAAGAAAATGGGGACACAGATTACAAGTAAACAAAGGAAACAGGGGCTATCTGGGTTGGGAGGGCGAGGAGTTGAAGGGGTAGGGGAAGACGGCGGTGAGGAGTTGTTGTTGGAATCGGCGGTGGCAGACATTTTTGCAAAACGAGAGGCAGAATTTCAGTAACAAAAGTATATTGATAATTACATTTCCAAGTTAATTTGATACTATACCTCCGTTCTCAAAAAATAATCCACTTTGAATTTTGAGTTTTGTGAGGGAGGGGAGTATAAGCCATTGACTGAACTCGTCCGTATAGCTCTGCTTCTTGAACTCTTTTTATGGAAATGCTGATTTGTAATGTGTTTTAACCACTGGTTGGTTACAATGGAAGTCTCTGGTCGTGCCTTGCATCATATTTGGTGCAAACAGAGATCATTTCCAGAATTTTTATGCAACAAAATGTTTTTTACAGTAACTTTCGAGCATAAAAACCTTTTTTTAATGTCCAAAGAAAATTACCCCATGTTTTGCAAACATTTCGGTGTAATTAAATAACTCTACTCTAATGATTTGTTTACTAACTTTACAATTCCTTTTATCATATATTAACGCTATTAACACTGCCATCTTATTACTTTAGATTCAGCTCCCAATGGAAATCTTGTAGATGTATACACTATACACCAAATGTACTACTTACTTTCTTCAATGTTCTGCTTTGCCTCAATAATGCAAAAACTTTGAGACAAGAGGGCGGCGATCAAAACATTCCCAGGTTCGAAATTCAGAATTCTCAGTCAATTAAAAAGAAATCTACCAAAAAAAAAGGTGGGAATATACTACTGTTTCTGCACAAAAAGTTTTAACCTTTTAAACAAAAAAGATTACAACCTAATCCTATTTAACAGCAAAACGGTATTCTTCAAGTATCCCATGAAATCTTCACCCGATCGCTCACTGGTTAGATTTACCCGAATAAAAGAATAAACGAATGATCAGCAGCACAGTAATCACATTTGCACGCACCATTGAGATCAAGGGCTATTGCTGCATCATCAGCATGAAAGCTGCAAAGGCGAGAATGAGAGAGATTAATGCTGAAGACCCTAATTTGTTGGAGTTGTTGCTTGGAAGTATTTTGGGAAGGGCACATTCCTCTCCATTGAAGTAAACTTTGGTAGGGAATCCATCACCACCAGGAATGTCAACTACAGGGATGTTCTTCTTCGTGAATGAAATAACCGACTGTTGCTTCCCAGGAACCCTGTAATCTTTCTGAGGGTTTGCTCCATCTACTTCACCTACCAGATAGTTCAAGCCTTCCAATCCCTGCATAATAATAGTGTTGTTGTTTACACCTCCCAAGGTACTTCCATTGAAAGAGTAGACCTTTTCAAATCCAGCACCAGCTTTGGGCAATTCCACAGCCGCGAACCAGTCAGCAAACGCAAAGTCATCCCAATTGAAGAGAGTAATCCTGGCAGACCATCCTCCTCTGTAATCAGAAACTAAGTGCCAGTTGATGCTAACGCCACAGTTATCCGGGCAGGGCATCGGGTTTGGTAGTGGGAAATGATGCAGACTAGCCCAAGCTGTGGCCAGCTGTGTCCTGTTCTCGAAGGGGATAAGCTGCGCTTGAGATGGCAAAAGGAGTGCAGATCGATTGGCACTGCAAGTACGAGAAGTGCTAGAAGGGCAGCCACACGCACATGTGGGGCATGGAATGATGGACTCATTGTAGTAAGCAGAGAATGAAACACAGCATCTTGGGCTAGCTCCTTTTGGTTGTGTGATGTTACAAACCACTTGCCAACTTGCAACAGCTGTTGTATTCGGGAGCATACCACTTGGGTCAGGAAATTCGCTGGGACTTACACGAACAGGAGGTCCACACTTATAGTCAGGATTAAGAGTACCATTAATCTGCCAATTCACTGGAGGATTGAGCTGGGAGCGATTAAGATCCGGCGGCATCTTGAAAACATTAATCTGAAAAGCTGAAACCGACTTGCTCGGATCCATCGAAGGGGGCAAAATTGTCCCATTTCTGCAGCAATTAGGTATCATTCCAACACTCGTATCGTTTGTTTTGGCCAGAGGCAAATCGACAATGGTTGGCCTTCTCTCACAATTCAATGCATTTGAAAAATCCAAGGCCTGGTAATATTGACCCTGCTTACCAAAGACGCAGTCGGTCGTACCCACAGCTGAAGGATAAGCACCTTTCATGGCATAGATAAATTCATCCCTCATCCAATCCCAGCTAAGTTTCCAGTTATCCAGACGCCCAAGGGGGTTATGATTCGCGATCGTAACCTCTGCCCAGTAATTACTCTCATATGTTCTGATCACATCGTACATGATCGTTAGATCACCATTTTGACGTGGTAAAAACTCTTCATCCAACGTTGTATTAGCCACAAAGTTAGGATCTTGTGTGCAACACACTTCCATCACATTCTTTCCTGAAAAACAGAGGCAAGATATATTTTTCAAGTAAGCAGATTTTCCGAGTGAGTTAGATGAGAACAATAAAACCAAATGCTGAGCCCTAAATCCATTACATCAGATTGGCTATTCCCAGCCACAGCCGCTAAATAAAATTGTAATGTAACATACAGAGGGAAAGAAAAAGCACACTTCTGATTCCCAATTATAACCTAACAACAACACACAAAATGATTTCAAGAGTTTAATGAATTGGCGCTAACAATCATGAGCACACTGAAGAAGAAAGTATAGATGATGTAATCTAGTGCAAACACACACCCTCTGGTGAGCAAAGTTAGACTAATGAAATAATTCGGGGAGCAAATTATAACAATGGTAAATATCAACTAAATTATTCAATTTGGAAAACATGATTGTGTGATTATGAAGAAGAATATGCTTTTTAAGTTGCCCAACATCATAAACAATATAAGGCCTAAGTTCTTCGTTTCTTCAAATCATTCCATCCCATCTTAAAGACACAAAAATCTCTTACCAAACAAAAACAATATATTGAAACAAATAAGTTACAACCAAAAAATTTAGGTATATAGCCAAGGCAGTCAAACTTTTATAAATTTCTATATGAAGGACCTACAACAAAATCGCCCAGAAATAACAGCCAAAAAACACGGGAAAAAATTGCCATCCTTTTTTGAACGCTAAAGGCACTAAAATTCCGCAAACAATCCAAAAGTCTCCACTCATCCCGCTTACAAGCATCATCCCCTACATTTAAGCTAGTGAGACACAGAAATATCTGTAGAAAATAGTACATTTCAAAATCAAATCTCGAAATCATTCAGCTACTGATTTAGACTTGTGTTACGCACGAAGCAACAATAAACATATTCATACAAAACGTAAATCAAATCTACTTCCGGAAAAAAAAAAAGGCATTAAGGAAAAAAGATCAAACCTTGCATAGATGGTTTGGGACAGACCCAGCCATCATTGACCAGAGAGATATTACTCGGCATAGGAACATTCGGAGGCCCGACGCCGAATAGGGTTCCGATCAATTGAACCTGAACACCCATCTGGTTGAGATCAGCGGCTGTCTCAACAGCAGTCTTTAGATCCGAATTCGGAAACCCGGCAAAAACAGTCCCATTTCCAACCGGGACCGGGAACGCGCCCCCATCAGCCAGCACAGCGTTTGAAGCAGACACCAAAAGCTCATCGTGCTGAAAACCAACGAAAACCCGCCAGGACTTGAGCTCTTCCAGCCCGTTGTTCATCACCGAAAGCATTGATTCGAACCGGTACGGTTGTCGGGCCGGGTTGGATTTCAACAGAGGCACGATCTTCTGATTTGATGTGACTGTGTAAGTCAAATACACTCCGTTACAGGCATCGGAAGACGGTGACGGCGCCGCCGGCTGCGGCGGTTGGGCTCCACTTTGAGAGAAAACAAGAGAGAGAACTAGCAGCAGTAGTGCGGAGTTCATGGGTGCTACGATTTCCATAAAACCAAAAAAGATAATACTTTTCTGGTTTGAAGGAGTAAATGAATGAATCAATGAATGCAAGGTTTGAATTCAAAATGTGTTCAATAAAAGAAGGGGGGAAGATGATAAAGAGAAGCAGCAAATGGGCTTAAAAGAAGGAACAAACTATAATAATTCACACACGACAAGTCGGCGCACACATTCTTTGTTTGTTAATGATGGTTCATATAGTTCACTGTGTGTGTGCGTGTTTTTATATTTCCCTTTTTTTAAACAAAAAATTTGGGAAGAGATTTTTGAATTTGAACCAGCCAGGAAGAAGAACCGAAGAAGGAAAAGGAGTGGGGAGACGCGGTTTTATGTGTTAAAATGATGGAAAAACGAAGTACGCCAGCTTAGGAGAAGCTGTATGTAATAAGAATGTTTAGGAGTTCTATTTACTGATTGGTGTCTCAAGTTTTTGTAATTTTCTTAAATGGCCACTGAATTTTTGACATATTGTTGTGAAAATATATGAACTCTATGATTTTGGAACAAGGTAACAGAATGTTTGTTTTATAAATATTGAAGTATGGATGCATATGAAATATTGTAGCATTAACTGTTGTTTGTTCATTTACGTATGCTGTTGTTATTGTATGGTGGTGCATTTGTTAGTGCATCCCTTACGTTTTTTGGTTTCTAAAAATTGAGACCTTTGTAGCTCATGATCTACAAGAGAAATTTTCAAATTTTTAAGTTGTGGGCAATCTTTGAAGACGACGAAACTTGATGGAGATCAATTGATTGATAAAATACCTGAATAGTGTTGTATTGTATAAGTGTATGGTCAAAATAAGGATGAAGGGGTTTTTTTTTATTACATTTATTTGTTTTCCTTCCTTTTTCTATTTTCCTTTTTTTCCCAATATTCAGTGCATTTAAGTAATTTATTATTAAAAAAAAGAATGAAACATGGTGGCGCATGCATTAAACTTATGTTTACTTAAAAAAATTTAATGGTTTTTAATTATTTCTTACTATTGATAAAATTGTTATATAATGAAATTTAAACAATACATATTTAAAAACTAATTTACGTAGAAGATATAGATGATTTGATTCTTGTTATTTCAAGATATCATAATGGGTATCGCAGACTAGTTTGATCTCCAATTTAACAATTGGGATGCAAGCATGCCTTAGAGCACACACATTGGAAAGATCCCCAAGGAAATGGAAAGATGGGATGCGAACATTGATGAAAGTCTATGGGGTAGTTAGAAAATATGTTAAAGTGGAGGGGTAATGCTTGTGAATGGAAGGAGAGCGTGTTTTTTGAGTATACAAAAATGTTTGATTAGTCATTGTTCATAGGAAGCGTGGCGTCTCAAAGCTGGCAACTTTTATAAATTATTATTAATGGATACAATAATGGATAATCTTTTTTTGGCCTCATTGAAGTGACCATAATAATGTAGCAGTACTTACTGCAGTAATAGTAATAACCGAGTAAAGAAAGATCTTTCTTCATTTAATTTCTATATTAATCTTTCCTGAAAACACACCGCATTTTGAGATCACACTAATAAACGGAAAAAAAAAAGAAGAAGAATTCATTTGGACTTTTGGGGAGTTAGTAGTATCCGATTCCGACCGTTGGTTTTGTGGGGCAAAAGAAGCCTTTTTTTGTCTCCGAATGTTATTTTTGTTCAAAAATCAAAACTCAGCCTTTCAAACGGGTTTGGGAGTGGTGGATTTTACGAGGCTGAAAGCCAAAGCTGCTTTTTTTTTTTGGTTGACAAATGTGGAAAATAAACTGGAAATGGGGATGTAAAAGATTTGGTGGCGGAAGTTTTACCATTTGATTAGAGTTCCGTTAACTAATGGATTCAATCGAGTAGTGTTTGCACTAAGATATTCATTTTGGTATTGATAATTGGAGTTTGCAATGATAATGAATTTAAACGTCAAAGGGTATATAAAATTGTGATGGATGATGATGATTGGTAAACTAGTGATGAAATATATATATATATACAAACAATTATTATACATATACTGCATGATAGAAGAAGATTGGGTGGGTGGGGTGACATGCTGCGTGATTGCCTCTCCAACTCTACGTGGGCGCCGACTACTAAACACACAAAAAAAAACCATTCTTTGGTCATCATAAGTAGTGTATTTTGCCACTCAGAATTTAGCTCCTTCCCCAACTCATTGCGCCATCTACTTTTATGCTTTCATTGTCACTTCATTTGGATCAATTTGTATTCGCTCCTCTCTCGTTTTTAACAAATTCACCTCCACTTTTCTTTTCACTATCACATTTGCGTTCCCCCCTCGCTATTATGTACTACTTCCGTCCCAAAAAAATAATCCACGTAGAATTTACAAATTTGTACTAGAAATAGTACAAAACTCAAAACTCAATGTGAACTATATTTTTTTTTTTTTGGAACGGAGGTAGTAGTTATCTCCATGCAAGCATGCCAATGACTTTTATGGGAAAGAATGGATGAGCCTAACCACATAACTGCGAATTATTCAAATTTCTTTAAATAAACAACATACCAGAGTTGTAGTTTTGCTCTTCACCACATTAAAACAAACACAGAAAAGAGTTCAGGTCTTACTTTTCCTAGTCACCTGATAGAATCTCGTTTGAATTTTCCTCACTGAAATGAATACAATTGGGCTTGTTCTTATTGGGCTGTTCTAATTCACCATCTTTTATCTAATATCCATCAGAACTTGCCCAAAATAAAAGCAGATCAACAGCCCGTCCATACTCCACATCAAAGGCACATTCAGCAGTCTCTCTCTCTCTCTCTCTCTCTAATTTTATTGTTTAAAAAAAAAAAATTATTCCATCTATTCCAAAATAAATGTCATGAGATAATTTGCATACAATTGAAAAATAAATACTTAAATAGGATTGGTAAGTTAGTATAATATGTTCAGTTATTAAAGTAAATACTTACCAATAATACAAATTTTTTGTAGGGTAATTTTGAAGTTTTTGGACAAAAAGTATATTAGAATCAGAAAACAACATTTATTGTGGAATAGATAGAGTAGTAGTTAAGAACAGTTAGAGTGTGTTAATTAGTTACATAAATTAAGTTGTTCTGTACCAATATCACTTCCAAAAGCTTTTCAAAGTAATCCGATTTCTTCGTTAGAACAACACATAAATGAGTTTGTAGCTACAAATTTCTTCTGTGATTTGTCCCAAAATAGAGTAATTTTTTGTTTTACTATTTTAATTCAATAAACAAGAATATTATCATCCTCAAAACACAAAGGATATATAGATTTACAACAACGTTAAAAACCGTAGTCATCTTTGAGCAAAGGAACTTGTGTTAAGGTTGTTCGTAAATTTTTTAGTAAATCTCAGTTTTTATATACTCCCTCTGTCCCAAAATTATTGTCCAGTTTGAGATTTCACTTTTAGTTCGATTTCTACTAAAAATAAAAACTCAAATTGAACAATAATTTTGGAACGGAGGGAGTATATTTTTTTATACACATATAAAACGGTGGAACAATAACAAAGTAGAGTGGACCGACCCCCTAATAACCCCCATTCAATTGGGATTTGTGAACGGAATTGGATAAAAAACATTTTTCATAATTTTGATTCCGTCAATTAACGTAGTAGTAGTATCATTAGCTCAATGTAGTAGTATTAATTAGACCGCCGTTCCAGCCTGGAAAGTTTTGTGCAATGCATTCTTCCCATTCGGCTCCTACACTACCAATTATGTTTGATTCATTTTCCGCTCAATCTGAGTAGGTTCGTGGAGCAAATATTTGTAGTTATGATTATTTTTCTAACGATTAATATAACATATATAAATTCTCTCGGTGCCAAAATAATTGTTTTGCGTATTATACTTATGAAAACAAATAAATAAAACTAAAACGAATAAAATACTTGTTTTGGGACAAAAGTGAATGTCGAGGACGCAAAGTATCAATAGATAACATGTTGTCAAATGAAAGGCCATTTTGACATGGAATTATTAGGTTAGGGGGGAAAAAGTGACTTAAGTCTGGATAGCACAAGAGAAAGCAAGGGAGGTGTGTGTGTGTGTGTGTGTGTTTTCAACTTTAAACTTTACGAATTTCTCTAAAGTTAATGATGGTCAAGCTTGACTATGAAACTGTTATAGTTCCCTAAATGGACCAATTTTGCCAACTGGTTTCGTCTAATTGTTCTAATTTTGTCTTTAAGCTAATCTATTTTTGTAATTTAGCGCCGCAGTTATTTTGATGTAGCCCTTGATTTTTAAAATCAATTTGCCCATTGATGATTGCATTTCATCAGTTGAATAACTCGTACGATTAAGCTTACTAGAATGATGATACCCTAATGGATTCTTAATATAGGGACCGTTGTTAATTAAGATCTCATATTTTGCCAACATTAACCCGATTACTCGTATGGAATAATAAGTTAAAAAGTTTCTAGTTAAAAAATCGTGTAATTGATTGATTTATGATGTAAAACATACATTATCTATCACAATATGAACCTACTCAATTTGTACGATCGATCGCCACATAAAACCTTCACCTAATAGTATTTGAGGTCTTCCGAGTCTGGTAGAACCTCTTTACTCTCGAATCTTTGGTGTTTACTAGTAAGAAAGCGAGGTAGTAAAAAGCTTGAATTGATGAATCCAGCCGCTTCCTACTAGATACTGGGGGTGGTGAAAGTGTACATGTCCTCAATCATTTCATCAGTAGTATACTCTTCTAAAATTGCCACTCAAGTTTGACAAAATGGCCAAAACACCTTTGGTGTCAAAAAGGTTCACAAAGTAAGAAACGAAGTGTAAAACGTGTCGGTGTATGTCTTTTCTCTTTTCCTTTTTTTTTTTTTCACTCCCTCCCTCCATTTTTAACTAACTTTTTAACCAATTTATAAGTCCCTTTTTCCTCAGCTCTTTTGATCAATCCACACACACACTCACACAGTGTATTTGTATTATAATTGTTCCGTCCAGTGGTGTTCTGGTAGCACAGTTGAGTTGAGCTCATCATCCAGTACCTACGCTCCACACTCACTGCTCATTCATTCATTTCATCCATTTATAGCTTTTGATTTCATTAAAAAGGTGTCACCCCTCCCCACCATTAATTCATCATCATTCATTCATTCATTCATTTCCTCCCAATTCTACTGTCTCTCACCCCTACACACATTCACACAGTACTCCCTCCCTTCCTTCCACTTTTCTAAAATTACTTCCACTTCTCCAAAAATTTGTCATACCTTTTTTCTTACAATTCTCTGCCCATCCGTCCTCCCCTGACTTCATCAAAAACACTAAAAATTTGGTTGGTTTTGCCAAGTGTCAAGAAATGAGCAGCAGTGTACAAAAAAGAGGAGTCTTGCAAAAACTCACAATTTTCTGCATTTCCTTGGTGATGATGGTGGCATTTGCAACACCAACTAGTAGAACTAGTAGTAACTCTTCTTCAACGAGTTTGTGGGTTGGATCAAAATATGAAATTGAGTGTACAATGTGTGGAGCTTGTGACAATCCTTGTTCCTACCCATCTCCACCGCCTCCTTCTCCTCCGCCACCTTCTCCGCCTCCCCCTTCCTCAAGCTCCTCTAACTGCCCGCCACCACCTAGCTCCGGCAACTATTACTACTCGCCGCCTCCTCCAAGCCAGCAAAGCTACTACGCTCCGCCTAACAACGGTGGCGGAGTCATCGGGAGCTATTATCCACCGCCCTCTAACGCTTACCCGACAGGGCCGGCACCACCGCCTCCCAATCCAATTGTCCCTTATTTCCCCTTCTTTTACCACACTCCACCACCCCATGCTCAGTCATCTTCTTCCGTTTCTCTCCTGAAATTCAGGGATTCCACAAATTTCTTTATCACCATTTTATTATCCATCATTTTTATTTTTTTCAAGTGAGGGGGGAAAAGAAAATGTTGGATAAATTTTTTTTTTTCCCCCACTTCTTTGATCTTCTTTTTGGAGGACACAAAAAAAAAAAATTATTATGGAATAATTTCTTTTTTATGTCAGATTCACAGATCTACAACCACCACCAGCCCACCACCTAGCTGAGCTGAGCTGACAGAAAAAGAGAAGGTTCTGATCTTCCCGAAATTCTTGATGCATGAGAGATGATCACTTAACTGCTTCATTCAGCCTGTGGAATAATCTGTAAATTTTTTTGACAAATTTTCCTCTATTTTTTTTTTTTTTCCATTTTGCCTTTAAGAAGTTGATAGATTAATGTTATATAGATGTAACAAAAGCTACTCAATTTTTCTCATGATGTTAATTTACAATTCTACTTTCAGATTTCCCTCTTTTTTTTCTTTTTTTTTCCCAATAGTTTTACCTTTTGGTCGACTCTAGTTCTTAAGTCTGAACACATACAGTACAATTTCATCAACTTGTTTACCATCAATTATGATGTATGGTATTGGTATCTATTAGATTAGGGTGCAATGTATTATTGTCAGGATAATGGGGATCATAATTGGTATACTACAATTTAAAGGCTCCCAGTGGTGTTGACAGCACTTACACATAACACCATATGTTAGTAGTATGTATAACTTTCTAAAAGTCCTTTACTTTTTGATATTATTGTTGCTATGAAGAATTTAAAAAAAAAATGATAAAAACGACAAGCTTTTACACCTTTTATTCTTCCCAGCTTACATTCTGACAATATATATATATATGATACGGTGTACATCTAATGAATTAACGAGTAATTAAGAACGTTAATTAGTTGTAGAACTCTTGTACTAGCTACATCATAGAATTGTTCAAAAATATATAATAAATTGATTTTTAGGTTTCACACTAAGAAATTTATTTATATTTGAGTATTTGGAAAAGTGAGGAGGCCAAAGGCACATGCTGGGATTGCCCAACCAAGATCATATATATTTCCAGTTGAGAAAGAAGAATCTTGAAAAGGTGGGCATTCTTTGTGGACGTGGAATGCGAATTTCATCTTCACGGCCGGCCGGGTCCCCCGAAATTTTGGTCACGAAATCTCGCTTTCTTGTCGGCCTCCTGAGAATTACGACATCTATTAACTCATTTATGTGTATTACTTACTGCAACATTAGTCCTCAAAAAGAAACAAACAAAAGAAGAGAGTAGCTGGTTGAGAGTTCCAAATTAACTAAATGACACTAACTAATCAGTTATGTTTGAAACTGAACAACATTTGCGAAAGTGAATAGACACACGAATTAACCCTTGTTTGGATTTTAAAGGTTAACTGATCCATTTAAGCGGGTTGAAATGAATTCAGGGTGCGACAAAATGAATCGAACTCATGTATGGGAGTTTGAGTTTAAGATGATGATTTATTTTCACCTTGAGGAACAAATCACATTGGCATTGGGGGTTGTATAACTTTATTTTCACAAAATACATAGCTCTAAATATTACAGACATATACTCGCTCTGTCTCAAAATTATTTTTCCGTATGAGCTTTGATCAATTTTTGTTTAATTTATTTTAAATAAAAATACAAACCGAATAATAATTTCAATATGAGGTGAGCACTAAAAGTGGATGTAATAAAAATGTCAACTCATCCCTATTTTAACAGTTTTTTTACTAGTACTAAAAACAGCTCCTCACTGCAAATGTTGTTCCTTCGTAGAAAAATAATGTTTAATTTTTATTTTTGTTTTCTAATAAGAAGAAAAACAATAGGAAAATACATGGATGGGAGCTGAGGTTTTAAAAGGAGGACGGGGCTTTTGTAGAGATGAGCTGGATTGCATGTAATGCTGTCTCGTGGGCCCAACGTAACGCACAAAAGTCCAGTCCAAAAAGGAAAGCCTAGTTGTGAACCCCCTGCTCTCTTTCATATTTTATTTTGTAGCCGTAATCAAATTTAACTAGTCCTCCTTCAATTCTATCTAATACAGTTCAGAACAAGGATATCAACTAGATTTTAATTTTTTTTAAAGAAAATAATAAAAAAAATTCCTTTGATAGAACTTTTTACATCAAAACAAGGTAATCATTTTGAAACGGAGGAAATGTATTATTTTTAATAACATGTTCACATGTGTATTGAAAAACTAAATTAACATGTTGCAATTAGATATTGTAACAAAATGTAATTTATATAGAAACACGGGGGAAAAGATAAAATAAGATAATGGAGCATGAAACACATGTTACAAATTTGAATGGAATAGTAGTGCAGTGAATGGAATTCATGAAGAAACGAGACATCCGTGTGCGTGACTGCCTAACAGATAAGAAAAAAGATAATGTGTGAAATGGTGATCATCTCTCTCAGAGAGGGGAGGAATTCAGGATGATATGGATGGGATGATGGCATTTACAGAATAAAAGAAGATGGAATGGAGCAGTACGTATGGGGACTATTATACATGTGTTGTCGTCTCCAATATTTCTCCTTCCAATCCTCCCCTTTTTTTTATTCTTCCTGTTCATATCCTCCTCATTCTGCTGTATGAACAAAAGTGCATCCTCAACTTGTACTCTGAAACGTACCAAAAACTATGCCCCAAAGTTGCCTAACTTGGTTTCTCAAAACAAATAAATGGGTCAGTTTTTGCTTCTTCCTTCTTTTCCTTCCACTACAAAAAAAAAAAAAACTTGTGATTATGTATGTGGTAAAAATCGTGGTTAATTAGTTACGAAATACTCACTATTTAACCACAAAACGTTGACCAAAACTCAATTTTCCTGAAATTATGAATTAGCTACGACATTAACCACGGATTAATCACCGCGAATATAGACATGACTATTTTATGGTTAAATTCTTCCCCTCATTGTATTTACCATTTCTTACACAACATTATACATTATGTGATACTACTACACATTATTCATGTCACCACTTGTACCCCTGTTAACTAATGTCGGACTCACATCGTATAAGGTTGGAGACAGATATTCAGTAACGCAAGGTAAAAGAATTGCATCCTATTTATATCACGCTATAAAGATTAGAGCGAGAACTTAAATTTGATTATGGAATAGTATTTTATTTCCTTATTAAAAGCTTTAGTTTACAAACTAGATGTTAAACCCGCACGATGCGCGGGGTTTATTTGTATACATTTTTTAAAAAATCATAAGAAATATAAAAGGTGTAGAATATATTTGAAGTTTATATTAATATATATTATATATAAAGATAAAATATTACGATATGAAATGCAAGTATTGAGTTAATAGAAACATAAACCTTTATTCATCCTTGTAATCATCACCTCCAACTTGCTTGTTTTCTAATTTTTTCACACATCTGCATAATTGCATTAAAAGAAAAATGATCCAAGCATGTTAAGGTATAAATAATTACAAAAAAGAATTATAGCTTTCTTCTTCATAAGAATACACATGCAGTCACGATTTTGAGTGAAATACAAATAACCGATTGAGTCTTGTATAAGTAGTATATGGGATATGAACGCTCAAGTGTATTTGGTTTAGATGAGATTTCTTTTTTAAATTTAAGTGTGATAAGTAATAACATTCCAAATTCAAATTTGATAACGTAATTCATGGAACCAGATAGAGAGGAATCATAATTAAGTTATTTATGGTCGTTATATACAATCATCTTTATTAGTTTTGAGTGTGTAGTTAGGAAAATAGAGTATTTTTAGGGATTGATAAAAATAAAAAAAAATCACTATGGCATATTAATTAATTTTATCATTTCCTTAATTTGTTAGGAATAATTTACGGATGACAATAAACTTTTAAATTTTAAATTAATGCAGAAATTTGGTACCGGCTTAGTTTTTCCTCTTTTTAATTACTTTATAATTTGAGGACTCATTTCTAATTTTATTAAGTTTTTTTAGAAGAGGTTTATAAAATGACAGATAGAATTTGCAATTAAAGAATTACTGATGATTTTGCATTAATTATTTTTGAATTTCAAAAAATCATTAATATTTTTTATGATCAAATCAATATGTAATGGCATTATTTAAGTTAATTAGAGAATCTTTTCAAATCAATCAGATTTAATGTTAAATCAAATAAATGTTTACCTTTTTTATATGACATTTAATGAAAAAAGCCATTAATGTTGATTTTTAAAAAAAGTTTCCGTTTTCTTTTTCATTTCACCAAATATAAAATAGAAAGTTTACCACACAATTAATTGATATACTTGAATTGCGAATTGATAACAATTGTTTAACTGAGAATTTAAAGAACTATTAGTGTAATTGTTGTAAATATTTTTTATGTCAACTTATAGAAAAATGACACATAGGATTTTGTCAACGTGAGAAGAAATTTGATTTCTCTCTCTGGTTTCTCTCTTAGTATAATATATATATATATAGATATATATATATATACACTATAGATTCTCCATTCTCCAAGTAGTATTACTCGCATACGTAAATATGGGATTCACGGGTATGAAACCGGAAAGAAAGTACATAAACAATTTCATAGGGCCATGTGGTGGACAGTGAACACTGGGCCTCACAGTGTTTTGCTGCTTTGTTTTGGATTCCAATTATAGCCGTCTTTAGTCCACCCACCTAACAACGGTTGCACTGGACATAATCTACATCAAAATCAAACTTCTCGGTCTGCTCTCTCAGCCTCCTCCTGATTGTGCTCCTAACTGTCACAGCACTAGCGGTATTCATTGTGTATGCACCACCAGCTTTGAGCTTGCCACCATCCTTGCAGTCCCAACAGCCTTCCCCTTCACAGCATATATACTTTCCACAAAAAGTCGCACAAATATTTGTTGTGCCGGGAAACCTCCATCTTCTTAATTTGCTATCTCAAACTAGCACCATAACGGGTACCATCTTCGTCAGTTTGAGCGGGCGGCTCCGATGATTCCCCGGATGCTATTCTCAGAGAGAACAAGGGGTGGCGTTGGAGACGACGAGAGAGGTTTGTATTTCGATAATTACGTTGATGGGATATCACGATTCAAGCAGATGTGTTGGTCCAAGTAAGATCAAGATAATGGCCACTTATTAACTTCACATGTGTGATTGGATTGAACCCCACCCCGCCCCTGTTTAGCTCTATGTCAAGAGATCTTAATGGCTCAATTTATCCATTCATGATGATAATATTTGCACCCGAGTGGGGGCTTTGTTCCTAATTAAAAACGAGTGACACTTCCTTTGTTTAAAGACTTGATCTCTTCTCTTGTTACAGTGGTTTTAATCTCTCACATAGTAACAGTAATTAACATATTGTACCGTGAGAAGCAAATTTCTCTGTGTTTCGCTGCTCACCTTCTTGCAAGCTCAAAGGTGTAAGTAAACCTTTAACCTGTTGATTTCTTTGTGTATTCAATATTCATCAATGTACCCCAAAATTCCAAACAAACCAAAAAAGTACTTCACTTCTTAATTGTGACCAAGTTTTTTGTTACTCCCCATTCCATCCAAAAAGAAGAAGTGTCTTATTTCTTAAACTATATAAGTAATAATTCAACCAATAAGACTATCATATTTTGGGTCTAAGGTGAGTATGTTTAATCATATGTAAACCTCCTTGTCATTTACTACTATGGACTTGTTCATTTACTAATAAGGAAACACAAATAAAAGCGCCGCAAACCAACCTGTAATAGTGAAATGAAAATGATGTAAGAGAACCACCCACCAACCCGTTAATCATCACCATTTATTTAGTCATCTCACTTCCCGCATATACTAATACCATTACTTGGCATCATTTTCCACTCCTAAAACTCTATTTGGGTAATTGGGTTTGGTGGACATGTTTTCCTAATTGAATCCTTTCTGGTCAAGAAAGATGGACTCAAATTATGGGGGAAAACATCAACACAAAGGATAAAAGAGAAAAAGGATATCAATTTGTACAACCTTTGACACAACCACCAAAGATCCCATGATTAAAAACCCAACAAATCCTTCCAAAACTCTTAGATAAATCCACCAATCCTCGCTACTTTTCTATAACGATAAGTCAATTTCTCAAATTCTAAGTGGTCGCTCTTTTCCTACAACATATATGGGAAATGAAATCACTACAATTACGTAATTAATTTGATCTCTCAAACTTGGATTGAGTTTAGCCTCGCGTTCTAATTTAAATTAGGCGTTTCGGTTTCTCTAAGCAAATTGAAAGTTGAAACCATATCATTTGACTAGTAATGGTCAAAACTTAGTATGAAGTAAACTATTTGATGATTAAAGAAAGCAACTTTAACGTTGTACAATCATCGTATTCATGTAACCACAACCTATGATGGATCAAGAATGGCAAGAAACAAAGAGCAAAGGGAGGAAAAAGAAATAACTCAGTCTTCAATGTTCTGCAGATTACATCTCATAGCATCACAAATTGTGACCGAATTATACACTCTCTCAATCAGCCACGTTTTTTTGCTGATCAGTTTACATCTTAGTACTACCCCAGGCGGCTACTAATCATCATCACTAACAAAAGCTCTACTAAAATAATAATAATCATCACTACTAATAACCGTTACACCCAAAAATTTGTACTACAAAACAAACAAACTAGTTGAGATGATTTCTGATGGAATTGAAAATTATGCATAAACTGAGCCACAAGACAAAGCCATCAATAAAAAAGCAGCTTGTTCAACTTCACCCAACTTCCTCCTCTGGTGAGTGTTTGATCTGGGTCTCTGCAACGCAAAATCCCTCCCAAAAGACATCAACTTCTTCTTCAGTGAATACTCGGCACCAATACCAATCTTGCTGGATGAACTGCTATTTGATGGGCTATTCTCATTGTTGTGGATATTACTACTACTAATGCTATTATTACTGTTATTGTTGATGGTGGTACTACTTTTACTGCTGCTGCTGGTACTACTGGAGCTAATGGGGGATGATTTCTTTGTCTTCTTTTCTTCTTTGTTTAATCCCAAAAGTGCCCTTCTCTTTTTCCTGCTCCTGATCCCACATGCATTACACAATGACTGCAACAACATGACAAAAACACCACCCCAACCAAACGTTAATTATTTTATTTTTGAGTAATTAAATTCAAATTTGAAATTGAAAAATAAAAGATTATTCATTGTTATTTTAATTTATTTTTTGTTACCTTGGGGCCAGCTGGACCACCTCTCCACAGGGGAGTTTTTGAGGTGCCACAATCAACACAGGTCTTGATATGTGTGCCACCACTCCCATTTTCTCTCTCCGGTGTTGGGTTTTGGCTACTCATCTCTTCAGATTCTGATACCTGATTCAAACCAAAATTTATTCCAGAAATCAATCAATCAGACCCAAGAAGGCATACACAAAGATCAAATCATGATCTTGATCATCATAGCAACTGATCATCGTCATTGATGATCAACAAACAAACAAACAAACAAATAAACGACCTGATCACGAACAATCTACTTACTTTTTCACTCAGATCCACCATTTTGACTGACGGATTAACTTCAAAGATCCGACACGAGCCCAAGATGAGAATTTTCCCCCAATCAATCCACACAAAACCACCAAAATAAACTAGATACCGTTGGAAACTCGAGATCACCCTCTAAAACAAACCAAAAACCAAGGTCTAAAACACCTGATCACTCAATCAAACAAGCCTTAACTACAAGAGGGGTACCAAAACTCTCTAAAGAAGCTGGACTTATAAAAGAACCGGAACAGAGGAAGCAAAACAGAACTGGCTCAACAAATGGGAGGAAGAATTAAACAAGTCTATATAAAGGGGAGGGAAAAGGGAGGGAAAATGAAAAATTTTCAGAACCCAAAAAATGGTGGGTTTGGGAGGGAAGATTGAGCAAAAGAAAATTTTTGGGGTGAAATGAAATGAGAGGAGAAGAAGATGAGAGAAAGAGATAGAGAGAGAGAAGAGACCGACAAAGAGAAGAGAAAAAGAGGCGCTCGTGGGCGGTCTAGAAAAATATGGATTTTTGGGGGGGTTTATATGGGGAGTTTTACAAAAAACCCTAGCGCGCGGGAGCTTAAAATGACGGATGTGTCCCTCTGCGTACGAAAAAGTGGTTTTGGAGCCAAACAGGACAACCCGCCAAAATGGGAAAATGTTTTGGCGCGACGGTAGAGTGAGGGGCTGTTTTGGCAAATTTTTTTGGGTGCGGTTTGCGGCCGCTTTGGAATATGTTAGGGTTTTTTTTATCGCTTTGATCCTCGCCGTCAATTCACCTACATGGTTTTTTTTTTCAGATCAAACATTTCAAAAGATCAAAGGAGGCAAAAGAAAAAGTGGAAAAAGCAAAAAAGTGGCTATATTTTTGGGGCGCATCAATAAATAAATTTAAAGTCAGTAACAAAAATTCAACTCTAGTTTCAAGGAATATTGATTTCGGAAATTAATGTTTTGGTTCACCTAGTGTCTTTTTTTTCCCTTTTTCATTATCTTTTGGGTTTAGATCAAATACATTTATTTATGGTCTGTTTTCTTTTTTCATACTGCACAAGGTGTTTTTTAAGTGCATTTAGGTTATTAATGTTAGTATAATAATAAACCAATAAGATGTTGGCATTTAGGTTTGGGATCAATTGGAATTTAGTAAAATGGGAGGGAGTTTTTGAGTTTTTACTTTTTTTTGGTGAAATTTTGAATTTTGGGGTGGTTGGCGGGGAAAAGAGTGAAGTTGGAGTGAATTTGAATGAGACGTTGTATTGTGTGTTTTTTTTGGTAGTGAATTCAAGTGGTGTGTCGTGTGTGGTAGCAGTTGTTGGGTTTGTCTCTGCACTCAATTATTACTACTTTTGAATTACATACAAGTAAAGATTTTCTGAATTCCGACCCTTCTGTTGTTATAAACTGACCCTTCAATAGTCACCTACTGTTAATTTTGGGGGGTTTTTTTTTTTTTAACCCTTATCGGTCCAAAATTATGTGTTTGAATTATCAAAATACAACGAGGCATGTCAAATTAGTAATTTAATTCGTACCATTTTAGGACGCGTGTATAATAAACATTTTAAAAAAATTACAATCAAAATATATCAATGATGACTACGTACATCATCACTTCATTTTTATGCGTAACCTTCTAATCTTGTGAGGTACATGAATTGTTGTACATCTGCTCACCATGTTCATTCTAGGTGTAGTACATTATCTGTGGTTTCTCCCCAAGGACCACGAAATGATAATGCGCAAATTGAAGAGATGCACCCAAAAGGGGGAATGTAAATGCATTGGCAAAATTTCACCTTTTTTTTTTTTGGATTAGAGAACCTTACCAGTGCCCAAAAGAGAAAAGCGAGAGAGAATAATATAAGCACAAGAAAAGGGTAAAAGGTAAGCATAAAATGAAAAAATGGGAAAACAAAACTGAAAAACCAATTACATGGAGAGAAAAGTCAAAATGGATGAAAAATGGGAGCAAAGAGGGATCATAGGGTGGAGATGATTGATGAGTGGCAGTAGGGTGAACCAAGTAGCTCCCTCCCAACCCACAACCTCATCCCCCTTCACAACCTACACACTTTTCAGCTTATCATCTTTCCTTTGCACCAATTCTCCTTACATAAACATATGAAATTAGAATCCAAGGACTATTTTAATCTTTAGTGTTAATATCAAATACACCCCCGAGCTTTCGTCGATTATCAAAAACATCCTTACTATTGGAGAAAATATCAACTACATCCATTGACCGGCAAAATGTAAAAGTCAAACGGTGATAAGGAGAACATGACTAGAATATCCCTAAACCCTACACAATATTACAACGAATGTCCCATTTTCTTTCTAATCCCATCCAAAATTCCAAACTCCGCCAGTTCTCTTTTCTTCGCCACCACAGCCATCTCTTCATTGAAAAAAAAAACAGAATCCACCGCCACGTTCAAATCTTAAACCACTAACATAATCCAAGAAATCCAGGCGTAGATAAATTCATTCATAGGCGGAGGCAGGGGGTGGCGGGCCGGTGCGGCTGCACCCCATCTGTTTTCAATTTTTTTTAATAGTTACATTATAATTATTAAAAAAATATGTAATTTGTTTATTTTCGCACCTCCTCTAAAAATTTTATAATAATAATTACAAATCTTTTCGTCAATTTATATACAAAAACTTGAAACAATGTTTTTTTTAATATATGTAAAATTTAAATAAAAATAAATGAAATAACAAAGTTTTACTAAAAGAATTGTATTAATTTTGTATTTTCTGAATGAAATGTAAATATTCTTTGTTTGGAATTTTACATGAAATCATATTTGCACTGGGATTGTTTTCAATTCTTAAAACTGCTTTTGTCCTAGTGCAATTAGCTAATGCTTGTTGATTGGGTTGAATGTGGATTGGAACTTGATACAGTATCCGAAAGAAACTCAAAAAGTGCGAAGTGAGTATCGTTTTTGGCTTTTCTCTTTCAAAATTTAAGGGCTAAAGGGTATGATTGTTTCGTTTTTTTAATGTGTATTTTTAGGTGGTTTTGGTATTGGAAATGTAAAAAGGTGTATTGGAAATGTAAAAAATTATACTAGAATGGGATAGTTATTATTTAAATATTTTGAAAACACCATAAAAAAACCTAACAAACAAAACCAAAATGTCTTCATGAACCACATTTTTGCTGATGTCATGATCATATATCATTTTACGGAGAGAAGGGATGGATTTGATATTTTTTCAAATGAAGAAGATATTTCAGATAATCAACCAAAGTTGGGGGGTGTATTTGATATTACCCCTAATCTTTATTTTCATGATAATCCTAATTTTAACCCTAATATTAATGCAATTATTTTGCTGGTATAATGAGTCCAACATCCTATTGCAATGTCCAGACAAAATTTGGCTACAAATGATACTGTATGGCAGCAAAATCTTTTAAAATGTCAAATAAAAATACAAAAAAATCTTTTGATTGAATAGGTGGAAGAATGAATATCTTGGGGTTTCTGGATAAATCTTTATTGTTGTAGTTTGTGGAGATAAGTGACTACATCACGCCCCAACACACATAAAATTCAGAAGATCCATTTGACATAAACATTTCGACGTAATTATGGATTCGTGATCTAAAGTCTAAACTGGTGAGGACTGATAGCGAGGTAATATGTGATTATCCTCCTCCATTTCTTATTTTAGTCATTTTTTTTTTTAAATTTAGGAGCCGAGATATGAGAAGGAAACCATCAGAATTTTGGATGATGTATATATATACACTAGACCTAAAATGATCTCAGATGTCCATCACTAATCCACACAATGCGAAACTAATAACCCATTCAAATTTCTGGGGATGGAAATTCATCTGGTAATGGGGGTACGTAGAGGACATTCAATTAAATATCACAGGGACGAAGAACATAAAGGTTTTGATTTGGGAGATGGTCACAACACATGACCTCATAAATGTTTATGTTGGAACCCAAACACATTAGACGTAGACCCGAAATGAAATCATGATTTTTATGTGATTTACCTGGACACATGATAGATTTTTTCAATACATATACTGATATAGTATTAGAAATGGAAAAGAAAAGAAAAAAAGACAAATATTTGGTGTAGGATATTAAAAGATGACAACGAATTAATGAAAAAGATGGGACATAAGCATAAGCCTCTCTCTCTTTGTTTCATAGTGAAAAAGCCGCCTTTCTAAAAAAACTTGAAGACAATTTCCCCCATTGGACCACCCTGTCTTGGTATCACAACTCATACCCCCTGCCCCCCCCGCCCACATTTTCTGTCTTTTTTACCTTTTTCTCTTTTTTTTTCCCCCTTATTTTGTTAATTAATTTCCTGCTTAATTAATACGCCCTCTGTCTCATATTATTGTCCGATTTGAGATTTCATTTTTAGTACAATTTAAACTAGAAATGAAAATTCAAACTTGATAATAATTATGGGACGAAGGGAGTACTAATTTTATATTTGTTGGACTTCACTGACTGTTAAAAAGTGGCGGTCAAATGGTTGGACAATGTATTCAATTCAAACAGATCTGTTCCGATTATTTTTATAACCACAAATTGTCAGTACAAAGTTTGACTGATACCGATATTAAATCATGCAATTTGAGTAAGAAGGATTGATTCGAGTATTGGTATCGTTTGGGTTTTGAGATATCCTAAATTGGTTTAATTCTCGAATACTCATGAGATTCTCGAGCAAACTGACAATAAATGGAGATTTTCTAATTGGGTAATGAACAAAAGGGATCAAATCAATAAACGAGAGTTTGATTCCAGTAAAAATAGAAGAGACACATTATTACACTGTCCAATTGTCACACCAGCTAGCAATCACACACACACACCCTTGATTTGCACAAAAAAAAAAAAAAAAAAAAAAGAGTCCTACCACGTCAGAGATATCATCAACAATCCCATACAACGGATGAAATGAAACCTTACCTTTCGGTTTCACCGTTTGAGTTTGGTTTTGTGATCGAATTTGGAGAAGAAATGTGCAAGGAGATGGAAAAAGGAAGCAATGCAAGACATGATGAGGGACAAGAAATGGATGATCCAATCCAGAAACCTCTTCTTAGGGGAATGGGATCTATCAGCCACCATTAATGACCGGTAAACAGCTTCGGTTAAGGCAAATGCAGTGACCGGATCGGATTCATCTGGCAAAATCCCCTGTTCTGTAAGGCAGGCTATGTCATATGCACCGCTTGTCTCGTTTATGCCAATGTATTCGCATATTTGAAGCCTGCTCTTGATCCTTTCTTCAGTTCCCAGCATGTCACCATGTGTTAGTATCAATATGGGATTTTCATCTGCCGCATACACAATGCAAGTTATGCAACATAGACGAGTTATTTCACTGTAACTTATGATTAATCATAATTGTTGCAATCACAAAATTGAAAGCTCTTAGATAAAAATGGGAAAAAAAAGCCAGACAATGTATGCATGTTCCACAAATAACTAAACAATATGTCCATAGTGAAGATAGTTAGTACTCCCTTCATCTCAAAATTATTATACAGTTTGGATTTTCATTTATACTGTTAGTGAAAATCTAAATTGGACAATAATTATAAGACATAAAGAATATGATATACAACAACAAAGAACAAACTTACTAGATTTTTGAAGACAGGGGAATTGGAAAAGTTCCTTTATCGCATCAACTGAATTCAAATCGCCCGATTCAAAGGCCCTGTGAATCTCGGCTAAGTTTGCCACCACCATTGCCACATTGACTTTCCTTTTAGCGTACCTAGAACTAGTAAGTGTATCGTGACCATGGGTGATGACATTAGTAGGTTTTTGGTGTTTTAGAGGTTGATGATGATCACTAGGTCTCCAGCAAGGTTGGTTTTGGCGGACACCAGGGGTTGGACTCATCCAGCCCCAAACATCTTCCAGGCCTTCTTCCATTTGTTTGGGGCTTAAACCTCTCGAGTCAAACACACAAAACCCGGCCCGAATCGATCTCACTACATTGTGTTCTTCCAGAAACACTGTGGTATACTCTGAAGATCCACCTATATCAACATTAATTACCAAAGCATTTTTTAGTCAAAGCCATCAATTGGGCTATGCAAGGATCATACAACAATGCTTACTTGTTTTTCGAAATTTACTATTCTCTATAAATAAATGATGTAATTAACAGAACAATGATTCAAAAATAATGCTTTAAACGCTACAAATACTGAATCTTCATTTCCTTCAGTAACAATAAAAAACGTAGAGATGGGAGATTGAAATGTTCTTACTTGAGGTTTGAGCAAAAGGGATTAAGCCAGAATGACCAAGAACACTATACATCATATTCACAAGTGCGCTTTTGCCAGCACCCCTTAGGCCAACCAAAAGGACAGTGATCACCGGTGGTATATCCATGTCTTCCTTCTTCATCCCGCCGACCGGCAACCAGAACTCGCCGGACCGGTAAGCCATGAGCTTATGCCGAAGGTCGTCGAGTCCTTCCGGGGCAACAAGAGCCAGCCGTTCCATTTCTCTAAGTAACCTGAGTCTTGGTGTGAGCTTTGTTAGGTCAGTGAAGAGATCATGGTCAGCTTTGAGATGCCCATTTTCTGGATCGAATTCCGGTGCTTTTCTCCACCACCAACTTATTGGTTTTGGTGACTGATCAATTTGATCATCATCAACATCAATTTCATTCTTGTAAGAATGTGCGCTTTTCATTTCTTCCCCTGTTGTGTTCAGTTGGACTAGTGGCCGGGACAACGTTTGTGATGATTGAGGAGTTTGAAAAGTTATCAATTTAGTTGATATCGTTTTTATTCTTCTTCTCTATAACGTTATGGACTGGATCTGAGTTTGGTGTGATCAATTATGACTTCTATCTATCCATTATGATGATCACATATTGTGGGACAAAGTTTTTGCTGGGGAGTTCATAAGTTTTCAATGCATTACATTAGATGCTCAAGCAGAGTTGCAACTTGCAAGTCAACACATTAATTTTTGTTATTTTACCATTCTTTTGTGGCTTTTTTTTTTTGTTATTATTTACAATGATAATTAAGGCAAAGGTTTTTTTTTTAAAAGAAAAAAAAAATCGAATGACTGCGATGATATGATTGATAAATGATAATCCGCAACTATCAAGTTGTCTAGTGTTTTTTTTTTTTTTTTTTTTTTTGATTTGTTGTTTCAAAGTCAGATGGGGGGAGAAATAAGAAAAGGGAGAGAAGAAATCGATTAGCATAATTTAATTGTGATAGACATTGAAGGGAAATGAGGGTAACGTATGTGCGCGGTTCATTATACTTAAATTCAGAGATTAAAATGATATTCCCTCTGTCTCAAAATTATTGTCCAGTTTGAGATTTTACTTTTAGTATAATTTAAACTAAAAAAAAAATTTAAACTGGACAATAATTATGGGATAACTGAATAATAATTATGGGACAGAGGGAGTACTATTTTCATATTAAAATAAAATTTAGAACTTCGTGACGATCACACTATAATCTAGCCCTTATTGGAATTACAATGTTTGTAACCGTAAGATGGTTTGATTTGGTTCATCAACATTTTTGGAGATGTTCTTGTAGTTTAGAAAAAAATATGAACAAATGGCCCAATGTTATTTGGTGAAACCAATCTATGGCTTTGTTTGGGCCGATTTTGGGCTTCGAACTGAAGCCTACTTTACTTAACAACAGGTGACGCCGAATAGGGGAAAAAAAAAAAAAGTGTTCTCAAAGACGCTTTTGGTTGCAAAATTGTGGAGAAAGGGCTGTTGGCCGAAAATGAAGAGACCTGGGTTAGTTTTGGATTAGGAAATTGGCCGTGATTGTTTTTTTTTTGTTTTTTTCTTTGAGAAAATAAAAAATTATATTAAACTTGCTGGAAATCAGCCAGCCCCGAATAATACAAATAACTTGGTGGGGAGGACCAAGTTATATCAGTAGCTACATTAGATTTAACAAAAGCAGCTATTACATGAGCTACTTCATTTTCTTGTCGCGAAATCTAATAGATGAATTTGAAAGAGAGTTCTAATAATAATTGTTTTATCTCTAACAATACTGGTAAGCAAAGAGATTGACAATCCGCCTCATTAGATTTAACAATACTGGTAAGGAAAATGGCCACGATTGTTAATAGTTGAACTATCCTAGAGGTGTATTAGTCATTAGACTAGGCTATGATGTAAAATATGATTCACTTTGTATTTAAGCGTTTTGCTTTCTCAATATATAAAAATTAAAAATTAAAAAAAAAACAACAACAATGATGATGACTGTAAAGCTTTCAATATGCTGATATGATATTACATCTGTCTCAAAGAAATAGTCCACATTGAGTTTTTAAATTTGTACTAAAAATAGTACAAAATTCAAAACTCAATGTGGACTATTTTTGTGAAACGGAGGGAGTATAAAATTATAATTCATCAAGATAAGTCATTGTCTAGTTTACACTATTATAATTATTGGAATGATAAATCCACGTACGTGTGTAGAATGAACGCTAGCTGGTTGCGGGTATTTAAATCAATTGAAATGGAAGTCAGAATTTTTGGGGGTTGAAGGAATCGAAAGAGAGATTAGCTGGACCATGTGGGGTGGCCGGAGATTAACTTAACAATTACTGAGTTGACTTTCTTTTAACATGCATTACCAAAACCAATTAAGAAAGAGAGGCTTGCCATACACATGGTGATGGTGGTGGGGATTTCAATTTTACGAAACTTTCATTTTATCTTTTTTTGAATCTATATTACACACACACACACACACGGAGAGCCACGCACAAGAGAATTGAATTCATTCATTGAGAAATCAGAAACTCAATCATCTCAAGGTTCATCATGCTGCGCTTTCCTCTTCATCTTGTACTTGTATTGGTGGTGGGATTAATATTCGTGTTTGTTGATGATATAGTGGGGGCTACACCAGGATCAAGGCCCGTGGTATTAAGAAACTGTTGTGAAAAATGTTTGGCATCGGATTTGTGCATCCAGTACTTTTATCCGGGGGCGGCAGCACAAGACAATATCATGGCGGCCCGGTGGGCTGGCCAATGTCGCAAGAAGATATCAGAGTCTTGCCATTGCACCAATCAAAATTGTGGATCATCATCATCAGCGTTACAACAACGTTGTGAAGCAATATGTTCCGCCGGAGAGTCATTGTGTTTGAAGACTTGCGGCCACGGCAAAGTTCCTAAATCCAAATGCCCTGATGTTTGCTCTGCCAATGTGCCTCTCTGTTACGTTGACTGCGCCAATTTCCCATGGTAGGGTCACTCCTTCAAGCCACGTGTGCCTTTGTCTTTTTCTTTTTTTTTTTGTGGATGGTTTCATCTTCATGTAATTTAAACACAAGATTCATCATTTTTGTCTTTCAATCCCAGTGAATATACAGGCGTTAAAAAAGAGAACACACACACACACACACACACACAAAAAAAAAACTAGTTACAAATTTGTGTATTTCAGGACAAAGGGCAAATGTGCCTATAACTTTGTTTGTGCCATTTGGTAAAGATGATCCAATCCTTCGATTGTTTACCCGTTAGATGATGGAAAAGTCTCCTTGCTCCTAATCTGCTCCCTTTGTGCTTTTTGAAGAAGATGTCCGAATCAAGATGTGGATTGTGGAGTTGAGTATCCAAGTGCTAAATCTTCCGGTACCAAAAACCCTGATCACAATGTCCTCAATATACAATATAACAGTACTATGATGCATAATCGAAAGCGGATATTCAGATAATTGATGTACGTTTAAAGTCGGTAAGAAAAAGTGCCAAAAAGACATCTATAATCATAAGAATTCTTCGTAAAATATTTTTAAACCTATAATAAAATCAAATGTCCGCTTCTAGATTTAAGGTTTGTTTTTCACAAGCCCCGGAAGAAGCAACTCCTTCCCCCAAATCGCCTGAACGGATTTTATTAGAGTTTTTTCTAAAAAAAATCACAAAATATTTCTTGCGGGTTCAAACATCTTTTTCGATACTTTTGGTGAATGAATTCATATGTGTACATCAATTTTCAATTGCTGAAAGACCCTTTTGATGATTTACTTGCTATAATCGACAGATATTTTTTATATTCTTTTAAATAGGAAAGATATTATACAAATTAAACAAACTTTGAGGGTGTTTTTGATATTATCCCTTTTTAGTATTTTTATTTATCCTAATCTCCACTTAAAAGGAAACCGAAAAACACAATAAAACCCAACCATATAACCAAGAATTTCACAGAGAAAGAGAAAGAAGAAAACAGACGCATATATCGTCGCCGGCGTCATGACCGGAAAAGTACTCGAGTGTCCTGACTGTTTCGGCCGTTGGGAAACGGTGGAAGAAGCGGAAGAGCACGCGAAACACGCCAAACACCTCAACTTCTTCGAGTCAGACGGGCCCGTTCTTCGCCTCGTCTGCACTACTTGCGGCAAGAATTGCCGTTCCACAATCGTGCGTTTCTATTGCTTCTGAATCTTAGATTTTTTTCTTCTTGTTTAATTCTTTGTTTTGTTTTTTCAAGTTTTCGTTTTCCTTTTTTCCTATTAAATATTGGTGATATTAGGATGTTAACCCTGGTGAATTTGTGTTGCCCTTCATCCTAGTTTGAGCTCTTTTACCATGTTGAAGCTAACAAACAGTCTTGCCGAAAGAGTTTAGGATAAGTTAATTCGTTTTCTTGGGAATTCGCATTATGTTTCTGGAGATAATACTGCACTTAGTGCCAAATATACGGCAGATTGCTGCGGGAGATTCTGATAGTATGTGGATTTTTTTGTTCCTTTAACTTTTGTGCTGTTGAATTTGTGAAGTTCCAAGAATTGATGGAAGAATTTTGGAACGAGAAAGTTATTCAACCGTCACCGAGGGCTGACCCCCCTAATTCCGCCCATGATCTAATTAGACTGTAACAATGACTGCCAATATATTTTAAAGAACAGGATTTTTTGATTGGTTGGGGTTGAATCTTATATGCATACTTGGAGTTTTAGTTAGCATTAGTAGATGCCAATATGTTTTAAGTTTGTGTCTACTAAATGCAAATGTAGGAGAATATGAGTATCTCTTTAACATAATTGATGTTAGTAGAAAGTTTTTTTTTTTTTTTGAAGTTTCTTTAACTATCAAGCTTTAAATTTTGCAGCAGCGTGATTTGCACAAATTTTGGACCGGACACGATGAGTATGTGGATATGCCATTACAAGCAGCGGCACCATTAATTTTAGAGGCTCCAACATTAGCTACTAAAACAGAGCAAATGAGACAATGCCTCCAATTTATAAAACAGAGTCATGTGGTAAGATTTGACTTGCAAAAGTTGTAGTAAGTGCTCAGAATTGTAACTTGATCATTCTGGTGGATTGACCTGACTTATTTACTGTTTACTACCAGGCTGATTATGACAAAGTGAAGGTTGCTTTTACCACTCTGCTAACCTTTGCAAGGAATGTGGCACTTTATCCGGATGATGAGAAGTATCGCAAGATTCGAATCACTAATGATAAATTTCAGGTAGGGGCATTTAGTAGTTTTTTCTTGTGGGTGTTGATAAATTTCTGAATGATGAATTATAACATCATCCCTTCGCTACTATCTTGTTTATTACTTTGCTGAAATATGGATTTCGTAGCTTGGAAGTTAAGCTCTAGCTTTCCAATCTTCTTTAGCTAAAGATGACCCTCCTAGATCCTGATTTCCAGTTGCTTCCAAACATTTGTGTTAACTATTAAATCTGCTGCACTTGACAATAAGGCAACTTTTTGGTCTATTATGAGACCATGGTTTTGATCCTAGTACAGGAAAGAAGAAGAAAAGAATATATCAGAGGAAACAGATATTTGTTGTTGTTTAGTTGTCCTTTAGGGAGTACTTTGCAAAACCACTGCACGAGTTGTCCTTTATGGTTGTGTTAAGCCCTGTAGTAGTATCCTGATTCAGTTTAATTTTTACTAGTGTTATTAGTTGTGTTGGTATTAATTCTGTATGTGCTTACTGAAATTGTCGGATGGAACAGGAAAGAGTGGGAAAGTTGAAAGGAGGGATCGAGTTCCTTGAGCTCTGTGGGTTTGAGAAACTCAAAGACTCGCCACACTTGTTTATGCCCAGAGAAAAGGTGGATAAGGCCCTGCTGACTGCAGCTGGAACCGAGCTGAACAATGCTATCAATGATCCTTTTTTTGGATTTCTCTAAAGTAGTATTCCCTTTTAGTTGAGAGCTACTGTTTTCCTCAAAGTTCATTGTCAATGTAATTAGGAAAAACGAATTATCATAGTGGAAAAAAAAAACACTTATTTTTTATTAATAAATATTCTTTATTTTTTTCTTGAAGGTGTCATTAATATCTTGTTTCTTCTTCTGTTATCCTTTTTCATCCTTGAGCTGAATATGAGTCTGATATCTACAATATATAACGGGAGAGTTCGACCGGGGAAGGGCCTGTTTAGGTCCGGAGGCCGGTCGCTTCCCCATAGGTGTCTGTCATCAATTGGAGTTCATGGTTTGGATCCTCTATCTCTCTCTGCACTCAATAGCGCAACTCGAGCCAAATTCATGAAACTCTAAATTTTGGCAAATGGTTCAACATCAAGTTTCTTCCATCTTTATTATTCAAGAGATTTTCGGTTTATTGAATCGGCCTTAATCCAGGGCTGCTGTCCTCATCTGCAAATCCTCCTCCGACATGAACGATCACTGGATGCAATTAATTGGAATCACTAGCGTGGGCATAATAAATCCCCAAATGAAAGTTTTTTTACTATGTTGGTTAATTTCCCAACTCAGATTCAGACGCGAATCCTGCGGACAGTAACCATGGCAACTTCATTTTGATGTTTATCTTTCCGAGGGTATGAGTGGCAACGTTGGTTGCCTGTTGAAGGTGATGTTTCTGCTTTTCTGGATGAGTTCTGAGTTGGATTTTACTAGCTGCTTGAGCTCTAAGTTGGATTTTAGAGTTGCTACGACACTTAAAAATTTTTCTAGTATATTCAAAACCCTCAATTTCTTCCTGTGCTCGTGATTTTATATGACAAATAACACAAAATTGTTAAAATGATTGTGGAATTTGTTTCACCAGTGATGTCTGCTAGTATGGCGGCGACATCTTTGTTAATGTCTGCTAGTATGACAGCGAATTCCTAAGGGATGTTCGCTTGTATGGCGGTGGTTTCACCAGTGATGTTTGTAAGTATGGCGCTGACGGATTCATTAAAGGGGTTCCTCGGTTTGGCAGGTTTGGACCAAGAAAATTCAGTTATAATATGTCTAATTATTAGGTCTATATTTTGTGAGTTTCAACTGATGGTTAGTGTTGTATCCTTGATCAGATCTCAGATCTGGCACGTGGTACAACCATTATTTTATGAAAAACACAAAAATGACATTATGACTGATTGTAAATTATGCATTTCTGGATGTATCTTGTTTTTGTTAATCGTGGCTGGACGATTTCCAGTAAATTAATGAATTTATATTTTATTTCTCAAAAAAAAAAAATAAAAATTGTGAGAGGTTTGAGCCTGGTATATAAGTGTAATTACTTTTTTAGAGACTAAATTATCAACCAAACAACCATTTCTGAACAATGCATATCATTACGAGACGTAAAATAGCTAGGGCTATGTGAGTGTGCGACCTGCAGACCTCGGGCCAAACTCTCGCGGGGTTGATTAATTCACATTTCGCTTTGTTTCATATATATTTCCAATGAAGTAGTATAGAGAGTTTTGCATAAATTAAGGGGCGCCAGATTTTCTGTGCTACTTTAATGTTACACAATTCAATAACTCTGTAAAATTTTGTAATTTAGGCATTCGAAGGTAAGTAATAGAAGTGGTGATTTATTTGTAAACTAGAACTTTTCTCGTCGCGTGTTGCGAGACCAGTTCAGTATTTGAGTATTTGGTTGGTAAAAAAAGAAAAATAACTTTATTAATTGACTATTATAGCCTTGTTTTAAATTGCTGATGTCATGTTAATATATTAACTAATCAAAGGGCTCAATTTAAAATTGATGATGTCATGTGAACTAATGGGCCAATCAGAATGCTCAATTTAATTTCTGACCACTGTCGTTCAAAATTCTAAACTCACTAAGAGGCTTTTAGTTATGTACAGGGTAATACAACTTTTCAAACAAGACTTTAATTAACGCGTAAAAAAAAAAGTTCCGTTTTAAAATTTGTTCAATTTTTTATGTGAACGATTAGTATAATACTAAAAAAAAAAAATTAACTGTATTTGCCTACTGCATCAATTAAATACACAGAACTATAATTAATTAAAGATTTTAAATTTGTAATGACATAAAACAAAAAAGTTTGTAAGGGAGCTCCTATAAATACAATGTTTTGCCTCCATGAAGCATAATTTTGTTGGTAATATTCCTTTATTTCACACCTAAAGAGACTTATATATATAAAAAATATATTTTGAAACGGAAAAAATAATAACCATACTCATACTATATATATATATATATATATATATATATATATATATAACGCCATAAAATAAACTTGATCGACACTACGAGTGATCCACCAATCCATCCATCCCTGATGAAAAGAGAGGGATGGAATAATGAAGAGGGCATTAATTAATAAGAGAGAATCTTGAAGCTAACATGTCGGGGTACTAGAGGTTGGAGTTGTTGGGTAGCTAGAGTTGTAGCAACCTGCTGCTTAGCGACAAAATCGTCGGTTGTGGATAAGCTGTAACTTTGAAATTGCTCATCTCCAACCCTTGCGGCCTGCTTCTCATCAAGAAACAATCTCTCCTCCAGCCTTGTATCCGGTAACCGAACAATGATAGTCTTGAGTGAATCTGCCGCAATCTGTAAAAAGAACCTAATTAGTTCCACTTCACTTGTACCGCCACAATGTCCATATATTTCTACTACTTGAAGATGTTGAAGAGGAGGACAAGGTGGTGGTTGTCGACTTGCAGCAGCTGCTTCTGTCGAAGAGGAGGGCGGCGACAAGGGGGAGTTGAACCACCAGTTCAACGACTTGAGCACAAACTTGCTTAAGATGGGGCAAGATTTGACCAAGGAGGCTGTGACCCCCACAATGCTAATAATAATGCCCTCATCTTCTCCTACTACTTCTTCAAGTGCTCCATCAACGGTGATGACCAACTCTTTGAGTTTGTTGAGTTTTGGGAAACAGACGCCTTGGAGTCCAATAAGTCGTTGAAGGTTGTGTGGGCCGAAGCCTCTTAATCTTAAGACCTCCAATTGAGAGAGATGAGAGGAGAGTTGGGAAAACACAGGTCATTGGTCTTCCGGATACGGCTTCCCCCCCAGATTTCAACTTCAACCAGCCTGGGGGCTCTTGATATAACCACTGCTTCTTTAACCAGTGCCGTTCTAAGCGACACCAGATTACAGTCCGAAATCATTACCCACTGCATCTCATAACAAAACCTTAGCTCCAGGTGTTTTAATGCTAGAGACGGACCCGAAACTACAACATTTTGAATATCCAAGGAAGAGTACACCAAAAGCCGCTCCAGACATGGAAATGTGACCAGGAACAGCTGGAAGACTTCATCTGTTACGCCAACATCATACAGGGCCAGCTCCTTGAGGGGCGAAAACGGAACAACTTGCTGCTGGAGGAACTCCTTGGGAAAGGTGTAATAATCTTCATAGTGACCCTCATCTATTAGCATCCTCAGTTCCAATCTGTTTACTCTCTTTGCAAACCCACTCGCGATCTATTTTGTGATACGTTTTTTGTAACGGTTCGGGAGGCAATACCAGATCCTGAGTTCCTCCAGGGTCAAATTTTCTTCTTCTTTGTCGTGCAATTCCAACACCTTATCCACCCATTTGACGAACTTAGATTCCTCCCGACGACCCAACTTTCTCTTGCGTTTTAGTTTAACCTTGTCTACACTGTCAAGGTCTTGGAAATCAAGCTTTGGAACATGCAACCACAATTTTCTCCAACGAGTTGAAATCACGCTGGTTTTCGCTGACTCCTTGAGCGTTAGAAACGAGAGTATAAGAACAAGAATATCTTTGGGCATCTCACTAATCCGATCTTCTTCCATACACGGATCCTGCTTAGCTGCTTCCCACATATTTGAAGAAACCAAAATTTGATCCATCCGGTTCTGCCTGCAGCTTTTGGGAAGGTAAATCCCTACGTACGTACATATATACAGACAGAAGAAGAAGAAGAAGAAAGAAACACAGATAAAAAAGGAAACTGAGGCAAACCTAAATCCTTGATGGAATAAGGGGAAAAAAAACCCTTGATAAACTAGGAGGAGGATGCTGCTTGGTTTGCATGAAAGTTAATTACCCTTTTCATCTTTGATTCTTATTTATGCCCTTTTCCTCTGTTTCTTTCCGAATGGGCAAGGGCAACAATAGCATGCCCACCCAGTCCGCCGATCGCTCCTTCTTTCTCTTTCGTCCCTTCACATGAGGCTGCTTCTCCCTTTTGACCCTGTACAATCAGTTTACAGTTATTTCCAATTATCTCTATGGAGATCCAAGCAGCGTCAAACAAAAGCAGCGTCAAACAGTGTCATGCATGATAAAGAAAATTAATCATTCAACACTAATCAATGTTCCATTGCTTAATTAGAACAGCTGGAATCCTTGCGTAGCTGATTTATTGCTCTACCAATATCTTGTTTTCTTGCTCGTGTTGTGTTAAAGTTGCTAGGTTCAGTTAACGGAGCTCAAGGATATCATGCTTGAGTTGTCAAGCCGTGGGGTTGGAAGATAGTCCATTACCAATGGTGGTTGTCGTGTGAATGTCAAGGTCCAAAAGTACGTTTTCCCGATTCTCATGCGTGAGTCATTTCGACAAAATTCCGACATACTTGAGGAGAATTTAACTGTATGAAAGGAGTTACACAAGAAGATACTACAAAAGAGCAGCAACCACCTTGCTAATTTAGAAGACATCAAATTCTCCAATAGATTTGATTAAAAGATGCTTTCTTCTTTTTTTTTTTTTTTGGTTAAATAATATTTCATAGGACATTTCAGTAATTTCAGCTTTTCACCAATAGTTACTCGCCGTAAATTGGAAACTAATATATTTTGCGTTGACATTGGGTTCCTATTCTGATTATTAGTCATTTAAGCCTAATCAGAGTTAAAATGCAAATATGATGTGATAATAGGGTTGGTTGAGGTCCATTTAGAAAGCCATATGGAAACATTAACGACCTCAAAATCACGCATCTCAATCAATCTACGAAGGCCAGCAACTAAAAACATATAGACATAACATGTTGTGGTCAACCAAACTAAAATTCTGCAATACATTCCAATGACGAGGGAATAAGTTGGAGGGGGTAGAAATAAGGAAGCATCAAAACCACGCAAGCTGGTTAAATAAACCTGAATACAAGGATATTTCAAACCCCAACAGGCCACAATGAGAATCGGTCATACATCAACATATCCGGTACATTCCCAAGGGGTTTGGGGGTCAGTTGTACCCAACTTTACTATTGTAATTATATAAAGACGTTTTTTCTGCTGCGATCCAAGATACATTGCATATTTTGATATATTTATTTCCAACAACTTCACTATTAGAAGAAACACTGGAATTTATCAGTGCCATTTGATCTAGTCCATTGGTGGCACATAAATAAAAGAATTGTCAATGATGACTCTTCCAACTCCATTTGCAATGAGAATCAGTCATACATTACATTTTTTATATCAAAGCACACATTAGGTCAATGCTTCAAGCATTTATCCGTACTTAAAAAGTATAATACGCCTCAACGTGCAGCTATAATGTGAACAATACAAGGAAATCCATAGATCCATCATGGGTGAGATACCAATGTTCAGCAATACTAATAAGAAAATTGATTAGAAACGGGGTGCAGAAACTTCCAGAAAGGAATTATTACCTTGGATGCATGAAATCAGTTATCTTTTTCCATAATAGGCTTCACAGGGAATCCAAATTATTTACAAGCCAACCAGCCTGCAAATCAGGTGATTCATCCACCCCCCCAAGGGGCAAAACCTTAAAAAACACATTTGAACAACTTTTGGTGCACACGCTATGATAATTGTAAGTATAGGTTAATAAGGGGCAAGCAAATCTAACCAGTCTAACCTTTACGCATATCATCATATATCTAAACGATCTACCGTCCTAGAATTATCATACTCTTCGCCGGATGCAATCCCGTCCTCGATCATGCATATCTGGCATAAATCAAACATATAAATACTGTTATATCAAATCCTATTTAGACTCAAGATGAAAAGTCAAGAATAAGAGCAACCTGATATTGACACCCTTTGAATTTGTTCATCCCTTTTCTGATCATATTTTTCCATTCGGGAGTCCCCATCAAAGCTGGATTTGCATATGTCTCCTGAAAAGAAAAGATAAAAAGATTTATGACGATTGTGTAATAATACAGATAAGTGACCCACTGAGAATCATCAATTTCATTGATATCAGAAGATTAGAAGCAGGATATCATGAAACTTTTTGTATTTGTTGCATAAGTTCACCCTACCGCACATAATAGGGAAAAGACTACTTGTTTATTACGTTGTTCCATTATGGAGAGTCAATCCAAAAACAATAATAAAATTGGCTATTTCTACAGGGAGATTGAACTACCTTCATCATTAGGCAATCATATGAAGCACAATTGAATATCGAATGTACTAATAAAATCAACCAAATCAAATCAAACTACATGTTATTACGTGGTTGTATCAAATCTCTAACAAACCCTCTCCAAGTGAAGTTGGGTAACTTAACTGGAAGTCTAAAAAGAAGAATTAAACACTACAGAACATAGTAAAGCATTGGTGACAAATAGAAATACAGAGAATACGTTGGGGATTGAACCCCAAGACATATTGGTAGCAGAATGGTTGCGAGGAGTCCTAGTCAATAGTCATAACCCCAAGACTGGTGTAGCCCAACATCATAAAATAATCCAAAACAAGGAACAAAAGCCCAACGTAATCAAGAAGGCTCAAACCCATAAGTAACCATTTATCTTAGAGGTGAGAAGCGATAAAAGATCCAATGAGTTGGACCAAAATCAGCAAACATAACCAACAGAGGTCGACTGGGATATGTGTTAATGCCTAACACCCAAGATACATTATGCAATAGCCAAAAAGTAATAAAAAAAAAAAGGAAAGAGAGAAGAAAAACAACTAGCCTCCGACACAGTAAAGCAACAGACAAGACTCGCCCAAGCAATAAAGGCAGACAACAAAAACAAAAGAAAAACTAAAAATGAAGAAGCTGTCAGAATTTCGGAGCATAGCCCAGAGCATGTTAAGACCAATACCATAATAGCAGAAACTGTGTAAGAGAATCACGATAAATTCGGTGTCTATTACATTGTTTGATTGCATATCAACTTAAACTAGAAGTACTAACCAAATCAAATCCTAATCTAATCTAATCAAATCCTGGAATGACGCACAAATTCTAAAGCAAATCTGGTGGCTAGCTCAGAAAAAGAACTGTCTATGGGTAAAGTGGATTCCAAGGATCAGATTGGTTGGCTGGAGTACATGATAACTATACTGTCTCTAACGGTTATAAATCACTTGCCGGAACAGAAGCCAAATTGCATGCTGCTGAATGTGTTTGATCATGACAAAATAAACATGCATTCATGACCTAGTTAATCTGGAAAGGCAGAGGAAGGACCAAGGATTGTTTGATTCATCTGTGCTTTCAATTAATGACCCTACACGTGTGCTGTAGTATACATAATAAAAGTCTGAGGCATTTGTTCTTTAATTGCTTATTAGCAAAGGAGCTGTTAGATAGAGACTCGATGGTTGGATGGGAATCACAGCATTATCAGTTCACTTAAGAAGACGGCAGAAACAAGTGTATCTGTGGAAACACACAAGCTGAAGAAAGAAACTTATTGGTCAATGTTGATGGCATATTATCATATCTGGACAGAGCAAAATTAAACAAACTTTCGAAAAGGCAGCAGAGGACAATGAAACAGACCTTTCAAAATTATTAAAAGTAACGAGTTAGATTGACAGGATTTAATGCAAGTAATCAATCGGGCAAGGCCATGAAGTAAGGCTTTGACTCAGTGGACAGTGCGTTAATGCAACATGTCTTTCCTTGAAAATTATTGTAATAGAATAGTCTTTCATTACAAGAACACGAAGTAAGGAGCATATTACTTGCCTCTCCCGGATCCAAAATATGTAGATTGTATGAACACACCCCTTCATGGTATTGAGCCTCGACTCCAATAATGATCTTGGAATGACCTTCTCCTTGGAAATACAATGGCCTGCATTTTGGATCGCAACATATAATCAAAACATGAATCTTTATAGTTTTTCTCAAAGAAGGTCCCTATACCCATTTCCGTTCCCAATAATTTGTTACTTAAAATTTTACATTTATTGGTGATATATACTCACGCCTTGTCGCCAATAATAACTCGGTGCTGATAGGGGTCTGCCTTAATGGTATTCTTGTATGAGAAATAATCCCAAACCCACTCCATGAAGCAGTCAACCTTGCCTGCAAATGACAAAAGTTTTGCACGAATATCAAAATACCGGAATATTGTAGCACAGTCTCCTGCCCCAATCCAATTTTTCATTTCTCCATTACTGTTCCTTTTAAATTCTATGGATCCGGCATAATCAAAACCTTCATCCCATGCAATCTGAAGCCATTGCAGTAGAGAGTCAACATCAGGCACAAATTTAGCTCCCCCAAACAATAGCTTTCCCTCTGGCTGGGTCATCAAATAAGAACTTAACATTTGTAGGTTCTTCCATCCACAATCCCAATTTTTCTCAGACGGGAAAAAAGTCACACATGGACGCAATATACTTGTACCATCTGTGGACTTCTCCAAACAACTCTTCAGAAAGCATATCTCAAATTTTACTTTATTATAGTCCTCCATTTGTGTGGCTTCCACCTTGTCCACTAAACTTTTGATTTTTACTTTATCGATTTTTAATGCATCAGCACTGCTCTCAAAAGAAGACCAAAGAGCAGAACCAGAAGAAGTAGTGCTAGAATCAGTAGTAGAGTGAGACCAAATGGTAGAGTTAGAAGAATGGGAAGAGCCAGAAGGAGGAGTAGATCCAGAAGGAGGAGTAGCTCCTGGACTAAAGTCAGCAGGAGTAGATCCACTAGAGTTATACATCCACTTTGGATTAAGCGCTGCATATTTCTTTAGAAAAGGTTCAGCATCATCGAGGTTCTGATGAGACCTTGGTATGATGCATGATTTCCTGCATATTTCTACTGCCCTGAATTGAGACCATACCTTGTGATATTAACCAGACATTGTTCAGAAACCATTCAAGAGTTCAATTTTTTAACCAATTAGAACATACCAGTAATCTAGGATCTTGCTTGCTTCCCTTCTCTTTGCTTCTGGAATCTTCCATTTCTCCATTTTTCTATTAAAAAAAAAAGGTAGCGTAAGAAAACATATGTACAGATATTAGCATATTTGCATGTTAGAAATGAATATAGACAAGTATCTCGTGTATTTCTACAAAAAAATTCTGAAACATCATTTCAGTCAACATAATCAAACTAAAGGGAGTAGTGAGGGATGTTTTGAAACAAAAAACTATCTTAATGACGAACTACCAATATCCCAATAGTGATTGATACAAACCAATATCGGGAATCACCAAATATCTCTGGTCCTCACACATGTTGTTGCTATGTTTTATATCTTTTACAGTTTCGATATGACATTTTCTCACTAAGACCTGTCACATTATATCTCTATTAACTCTATTATATACTTTTTCAACATAAAAAAGACCCTATGAAAATTCTGTTTTTTCTCATTAAAATGCTCGCATAATCTTCCATTACATGTATAGCTTCCACGCTTAATCTTCCTGACCTAAAGTCAAATTCATTTTCTATTACATACATTTCTTGCCTTAAACCAAGTTTCTATCGCTGTTTCCCACAACTTCATTGTGGCTCGTTAATTTTATGCTCCTATAGTTCACACAATTTGTATATCTCCTTTTATGTCTGAAAACATTAGCCATGAATAAACAGAACCCACTAGGAACAAAATCTTAGCCTTTAAATAACCATATTGGAATTGGACATAAAAAGAGGCCTCGTGGCTAAGTCCCATAAAAAACTTTAAAATATTGATTAAGTGTACGTTTTTTAAGTTAGAGCCTTAACAAAATATATTTAAGGCACAAGTACTTATGGTTGATTGACCCATTTTATCAGATGAATAATACAAGAACAACAACAAACATTGTTCCCATTACGTGGCATTAGCTATATGTTGTCGTCGTGCTTGGTCAATACTCACATCATCAATCAAATTTAAATACTTTATTTTTTATAGTATCTTTCCAAATTTTTATTAGATATCCCTACCCTGCTTAATTTGAGTTCTTGACTCTATAGTTTCTACCATTCTAACTCGTCTCCTACGCACAAGATGCCTGAACCATCTTAGGCTTGATTCCTTCATTTTCTCATCTATCGACGCTATCCCTACTTTCTTTCTAATGCATACGATTCTAATTTTATCTGACCTAGTATGCCACACATGCATCTCGACATTCTCATCTCTGCTAGTCACATTTTTTTCTTCATATTTTTGTAGGTCATACTGAATGTTGTAATGTAATGTTCTGGGCTAAACTTCTACCCAAGGGAGACAAAAGAAAGAAAAGAGAGATATCCGTAAATGTGGAATATGTCATCTACCTTTATGCTTTGCAAATTTCTCATAGCGAATGTCAATTGAATTTACCTTATATAGTACACCTTGTAAGCCTTGTAAGCTGATGGATTTTTGAAAAGAATTGGCCTGCTACAGTTCATCAAAAATCGTATCTGCACCATGAAAATACAAGAACTAAAGCAGAATGCAGTCACATAGCACAAGCGCCAGGGGATTTTTCCTTTTAAAAGTGAAGGTTTACAAAATGTATCTCTAAGCAATTGAAGTACCAAAAGAAAACTGAAGATTCCCTAAAATTCATTCATGCCTTGGATGGGAAGATCTTGAAAGGTGAAGATAATTAGCTTTCAAGGTACATTTGAAAGTGATCAATTAGAAAGAATAAAGTATTTTGGGACACAACTGCCTAAAAGACAGTTGAAATTCATCATTTTTTTCTGTGAACCAACCAGTCATTCCCAGATTCCTTATTTCTCATTCCACTTTCACTGTTGTTCGAACAATAACAAAGAGTTTGCAGTATATATCAGAAGAGAACCGAAGAAAAGAACTAAAATATGGCATATGCTTTCCCATCAACCTTAAATCTGAATTCGACAAGGAATTCAAGGAAAAAGCAAGTAACTACTTTCCATTCAAGGAAGTCTTAACGTACAAGTATCCTCAATGGACACGTTCACAAAATTGGCTAGCCACTGGTATATAAAAGAGTAAAAAGTGCTGTTACATGTCCAAAACATGAAACTAATGAAGGGTTAATGTTCCACTCTACAGACCCTCAGATAACATCATAAGACATTCCAAGTAACAGTAAAATAAAAATTTCTGTTGTTGACCTTCAACAGAAGGGGGCAAAAATGAAAATTTAAATCCGAGCCAGAACATAGTTGGTTCTATAAAGTTAACTAGTCAACTTCAACATACTATAGTAATTTGCATGCAACAAATATATCAAGTGTGACAAGACCAAACCTACTTGGGATGCAGCACAGAACAACAATTCACAATGAAGTGTCTATATAATATATACGAAATAAATAACGAGTTTACCTGATAAGAAAGAAACATCGTCTTCATCATCAGATTCGTATCAACATCAGCTAATCCTGGGTCAACATCATTGTCAAAACTTTCTATGTGCTGATCACTTTTGGAAATGTCAGCACCTTCTACCTTATCTGACTTAAATAAGTTTGCATCTACAACCAACCCTGCAAAAGACACCACAAATCAGAATTCTGCACCAACAAAGTGGTAAAGCTAATCCACCAGGAAAAAGAGACTGAATTCTTTGAAAAGGATGCAAAATGAAGAAGTGCAGGATTGATAGAGGTACAAATAAACAGTGAATGATTAACAAATTTAACTTGCCAATGTGTTTTGTCCTAGAATAGAGTAGTCAATGGAGAAAAAGAAGTCTTGTCCCATTTATGTATTGATACAAACATATATGGTGGATATAAAAACATCTAACCAGAGTAACATAACTCATTTGCTGAGCACTCTTATATTTAGGGAAGGAACTTAGCCTATGGATCCCAAATTGGCCAGGAATACCAACACGGAAGATACCCAGGCAAGGTTTCTTATAGGAAACCAATTAGACCACGGATTACAGCAGCAGCAGCAGCAGCAACAACAACAACATACCCAGAATATTCCCAACTCAATTGTGTGTGTGTGTGTGTGTGTGTGTGTGTGCATGTTGGAGGGGGGTCAAAATATATGCAGCCTTATCCTTGTACTTCAATACAGGGAGGCTGTTTCCATAAAATGACCCAGGATTGCATTGCAGCAATTGTACGTATTTGTTCTAGCAACTTCACTAACATTAAGAAGCCTCGGAATTCAATTGAGCCATTTCAATCTAGACAATCGTTAACACAAAACGAAAAGAATTGTCAATGATGCCTCTTCCGGATCCATTTGCAACAGACAAAGACCACGAATTACAAAAGTCAGGAAACTAGACCAATTCGTATAATCTCACCTCGATAGAGCGGCCACAATCCTGGTTTGTGCCTGAGACGTGTACATTCAAGCCCCATTTTAGTAAAATAAATCCATAACTTTACTGACAGCAGAAAAGCAGCATGCATATTATATGTATAAAGCCAAAAAATGTATCAGTATAACAGATTAAAAACAACAGACTCGTTGAGTCATATCAAGGAAGTACCTCATTCTTACATCATACTGTCCTAAGTCCAGACCACTCTGTACATTGACGAACACCTTCAGTGGCAGCACAACTTATCTTTTGACGGTTATAATAACATTTCAACCTTGCACACGGCTTTTCCCATAACAACCGAATCATTTCCTATCACAAGTGTACATTCTAACCAAGCATCAGTGTCACATTTAGAAATCTGAATAATGACCACTCTCAGAAGATACTAATATTCAAGCTGAAAAACCACATAAAGAACACTTCGGCAAAGTATTTCTCGAGGAATTCTTTGATCAAAGAGCCCAGTGGAGGTGCATAAGTTAATAAATTATATACATATAAATTTGAAAAGCTTTCATAATTGAACAAAACAGTTATCACGCAAACTAAAGGAAGTAAAACTGAGCAACCTCAGAGCATATATTGTGATGAAATAAAGATCAAACCTGCAATTTTGAGCTTGAAATATCAGCTGGATGTGCTTGCAAAAATTTGGTTATAACAGAAGGGTCGGGATCGCTTGAATGTTGTTCAGACCCTTCAGTCCCAAACCAATCTAGATAGTTGCAAAGACTGCTATCAACATTCTGTAGCACTGCCTTTATTTGCTGCAAGTTACATAGCAGGAAACTAAAAATGTATAGCATCAACAAGAAAATCTTGTCGGCATCCAATTGCACATGTGAGAGAAGTGTACTATTTAATGAGGACTCTTCAGAACTACCGCTTCTCATCAGAAAAACATGCCAGCTGGCATCCAGTACAACATTTACCCCGGCAGAAAACAAAACAGATATTACTACTGTGTTTCAGTACTTTGCAACACAAAGACAACAAAGAACCCTGTAAGCATCACCATCCACAATTCAGAGTGCAACCAATAGAGAAATTCAGGCTTTCTTTTTGCCTTTAAGCTGATCCATCCACAATTCACAGTCCAAACAAAAGAGAAATTCTCAGTCCAATATTCAGACTACGGAATACATATGATGCACCTCTCCACCTAAAATTTGAGAAATAACATTCCATTTTAGCTACATAACTGGACGACTTATTGAAGTTCAAAGAGATTCGGAGAGGAAGCTAGATTCCCTTATTATTGTAACTAACACATATAGTACCATTACCAAATATCAAAACAAAAAGAAATCTTTATCCCACTGAGGGTTCGGCTAGATGGATCATATGTCACCATAGTGCTCAGTTAACAAACATTCCACTTCCCCTTCCCCTTTTAATTTGTGTTAGTGACTCTACGGTTTATACTTGTCTCACTGGGGCATTTATAGGTCTCTCAAGCACATTCCCAAACAGAGGTACTCCTTGTGTTTCATCTCTATATCACTCTTGTTGATACTCAAGAATCTATCAATGCTTTCCATTGTGGGCTTAACACGCCAAAGCTTTTCGACCATCTCATTCCTACTCTGTTGTTGTTGCCAAGGAAGAGAATCGTAATTTTGCTGTTTAGCTTTTACTTTCTCGAGCAAATCTCATTTTCTCACCTCAATTTCAAGGCAACTAACACATTGATAAACAAGGAAAACCTTCACAAAAGCACAACAGATGCAGTAAAATTCAGAGAATTTTTTCATTATTAAAGTTATATGAGACAGCAAAGAATCTAATTTACTACTTGCATAGTTGATAATAAGCTAACAAGGCCTAAAACAAAAAGGTTATAATGTGACCCAGTGATATGAACCAGTGATATGCTTTATGAATTTTTTTTTAGCAAAGCAGTATTTGACTATACCTGATGGATGTGGAGGTTTAGAGGAATCCTGACAAACTTCTTTAATCTGTTTTTTACATTCCGAGCTTACGGTTCGAATCACAAGGCCCTCCAAAACTTCGCCTTGTGCATTTATGTAATTTTTTTGTTCTGCATACAGGGGTGAAAATTTAAAACAGAACAAAACAGAGTAAGGAGATCTATTAACAATAGAAAAAAGTTACAATTTCATATCAGATAAAACCGCAAAGGTTCTAGCGCAATGACGTTGACCAAGCTGACATGAGCAGTGCTATTTACGCGTTTATTGATCACTACCATATATATGTGGTGAGTCTGCAAAACCTAGTGCTTCTAATGGCAACAAGTAGACTACAGGCTACTATCAAAAACAAGTAGACTGCAAATGACCTGGTAATGCGATTCAGAGAATGATCTTCAACACACGCTGGCTTGAGCCATATACAGGTGATTCAACAACTTAAGCGGGATTAAAAGTGGATGAAAAAGAGGCATGATGAAACGAACACTTCGCTACGAGTGAAAGTGCGAAAATCATAAGTAGTGAAACCTAGTTAATGCTGAATCGAGAGAAATTAGAAGACAAAAATTAGGGCAAAAAACTCCAACCGCAAATCAAACAAAAACTCGGTACTCAAAAAAGGCATTGATCCATTGACGTTATCATAGCAAATGATGCCTAACAAGCAGGTGAAGACGAACGGTTGTAAGAGTTAATGTCACCTGGAATGACCGAATTCGCAAGCTCCTCAAGTGCCTGACAAACTGAAGTTGCAGTTCCTTCTTCATATAGTTCATTAAATTTAGCGAATAAAGATCTCACTGATTTCCTGAATATAGGAAAAAATAGGCATCACATCACCAATTTGCTCGGAAGCACCAAAACATTCAGCAAAGGTAACGATCGTGACCAATTAGTAGATGAATCTCTAAACCAACACCAAGTTTGGATACTATATCTCCAGCAGGAAACGGGTGGTGGTGTGTTGGGGGGCGGCAGGATTCAACTAGGCAGGTTATTAATGAACATGACCACGACAAATGTGCTCATCATTTACAACATTGGAAAACTCTGGCATGCAGAAATTTTTTTCATACCATTGAGAGCTACTATCAAGCTCAGTATGCACGCAAACAATAACCAACATATAACTGAAAGGGTACTCCACTAGTTTTTCATATCATTCTTACTTAAGATTCAAAAAGACTATACCTGGTAGAGAACAACCACATACGATTAGCTGGTAAATGCCATTGCCAGCAGAAAGTTATAATTTCAGCCGTTGAGTAAAATTTGGGCTTTCCATTGCCTAGTTTGGTGACCGCAGTAACAACCACTGCAAGGAGATATAACAATAATATGAGGACGACGCATGATCAACAGGTTTCATCAGAGACTACAGAAGGACAACGTTCATGCAAAGGAAAACATTTTAACTATTAAAAGTAGATATCTTAAAGAATTCCAATTTAAGATCCACTTATATAATTCTCTAATATGTGGGGGACAGTAAATCAAAATTTCTAACAGGGATCTGGTACACTACATCATACCATCACCATAACATTATTTCAGCAATTTAGACTTCACAAACAACCCAAGAAAATTCAAAAAACCTCCATTGGCAAGAATAGATGTATTCAGTTAACTCTTTATCAACATCGCGGGAGGGGGTTTGTGAGTGTGAAACTCTGCTGATAGAAGAAGCACTGGAATTTAAGACACAAAGCTCTGAACTCTATGGGAATTCATCCTTGTATATAAACATAAATGATGCATCTCTCATCCCCTTACCATAATCTTCTCGAGGTCGTTGCGCTGTATCTCCAAGAACAGCAGTTATCAAATCCATCGATATACACATACTGTTCAACTGGAAATGGATGATGTGAATTTAATACATAGTTTATTACTAAAATAAAATGTCATAGATGGGGGCGGGGCGGCGGGGCAAATGATACACAAAACTGAACATCAACTTGAACATGAGCCCAGTTTAGAAATTATTAGCAGAAAGTTATTACAATCAACTGGTAAAAAAGACTAAAATAATTATCTAAACCATTGCATATCATTAATCTACTAAAGGTTTGATAACGAAGTGCAGCTTAGTGGTAAGACGCTTCACCCGTTAAGTGATAGTTCACGGGTTCGAGTCACGCCGAGCGTAAGTAGGAAATCACTATTGATCCATTTTGAAAAATAATATTAATCTACTAAAGACTCATAAGCTTTTAAGCAAAACGATGTCGAGTGACATATTGGTAAAAATGAAAATGAAGATGGAATGAGACCCAGTGAAAGAGGACTCTTTCATAATTAGATAATACTACTAAAGCGTTTTTCTTTGGTGCTTTGTTCTTTTTATTTCCTTTTGGTTCAACGGGCCGTCGGAAATTCTAAAATAACAGTCAAAATTTATACATATTTTTAACCTACTAGAGACAAAATCTTTCTAGAGTGAAGTCCAAAAAGATCTTGAAATCCTTATTTGTAATGGAGATAGCAAATTTTGCACTCTCGCGACAAATGTGATTTACAAGGAAACCCTCTTTTCATCTGTTTTACGCAACGCTCGAATTTTTAATACAGAGGTATAATTTTATTAGTAAATAAACAATATGTTTAGTGAAATTTTTTTTTTTCGTAACGCTGGGAACTCCACCAGAGATGGGTAAACCCACACCCACTGCAATAGTCTGCAAACCACAATGGGAGGTAAACCACCCTAGGCAAGTCCGGGTTTACAAGCTCGGGTACGAAATCGGGGGTTTATTAGTGGGTTAGTCATAACAAGCCCCTAGAGATGCCAATAGACCAGGTGAGAGCAAACCCCTCACTTTTTTCTGTTGGAATGGGGGATTAAACTCATGACCCCCTCTTGGAACAATGGTGGTTTACCACTAAACCAACTCCTCATTCGCATAGTTATTGAATATAATTCACACACAAATCCACATTTTTTCGGTATAGTTAACATCGATTGAAATTTTTTGAAGATTAAAATCGAACATCCACCATGCAACGCACGGGCATAACAATAGTATTAATAATCACGGTTCAGGTTAGTTAATTTGATTTCTGTAAACCCTATATGCCATGTTTGTGTTGTTAGTTTGTATTTTTTTTCGTTATTTATTACTCCCTCTGTCCCATAATTATTGTCCAGTTTTACTAAAATGAAAGATTTTATTTTTTGTCAAACTTAACTATATTTACCTTAAACAACCGGATATACCCCTACATAAGTAATTGTTTAACCACTAAGATTTAATGGATAATATTTTTTACCAAGGATAAATGTGTAACTTGATCCATAAAAAGTCAAATTGGACAATAATTTTGAGACAAAATTTTTTGGGTAAAGTGGACAATAATTATGGGGACGAAAGGAGTATTATTATTATTATTATTATTATTATTATTATTATTATTATTATTTTTTGGAAAATTTGCATGTGGAGGTAGACCGATGGATTTTTTTTTTTTGATACACAATTACATACCTAGTCTATTACATGTGGGGTGAAACCAATGGGGAAGGGAGTAGTACTACTAAAGGAAGACTCCACCCGCGCCTCGATTTGGTACTCGGAAAGCCTTTTTTGTGGGTGTAAGATGACTTGCACAACTCAACACACAAAGGTGTTATTTACATATGGGGTGAAACCAATGGGGAAGGGGGTAGAACTACTAAAGGGAGACTCCACTCGCGCCTCGATTTGGTATTCGGAAAGCCTTTTTTGTGGGTGTAAGATGACTTGCACAACTCAACACACAAAGGTGTTATTAGCGGGGTTGAACCTAGAACCTCTTGATATCTCAGGTTTTGATGTCATGCCATTACCCCTTGGACAGCTCCTGGCGACCGAATGAATTGAAGAAACAAGGATAGGGGACATAGAGATATATGTTATAGACATTAGACAGACAAATACGCAATAGTTATACGTATCTTCATGCACATGGTAAACGGTCTAAAAATGCAAATGTCCGATGGCTACCTTTTGGATGTAACTAACATTTTAAGAAATTTTAATAGTCTTTAGTCAGTGTATTTTCTTTGTAAATCTTTTTTAATATTGTTACTGAGAGGTTCGTTAAAGAATAGAAACACACTTAATATTGCGCGCAGACACACTTAGTTTGCAAACAGAGAGTCCCTGCCATTTAGAGATATATCATCAATAACCCAAACAACACGACATTTTCTTTTTTCTGATATATATTACACAGTTACAAACACGCAGAGAGCCACGCACAGGAGAAATATTCTCATCGAGAAATGAGAAACTCATCATCATCCGAAGGGATCATAACTACTCCACGATGTTGTGATGCAATCTGTTCCGCGAAAGAGTCATTATGTCGGACAACTTGTGGCCGTTATTGTCCCGCTGGTGAGTGGTTGCACCCATCTGTAACATTAACTTCGTCAATTTTAAGAGAGATTTGCTTGACCATGAACACATGATCTTACCTCCTTCGTTACTGGCTAGTTAATTGCCCCTCTTCTTTCTGTCGAACAGGCATCATTTATGTCTTGGCATTTGGATTGTGGTAGTAAATGAATTTGAACGGGCATCAGTTTTGTCTTAATATTTGAGTTGAGATAGTAGATGAATTTGTTGTTCTTCTGTTGATAAATTTCGAGAATGTTTCTCAGGAAGGAGGATTCTTCAAGAGGAGAAGCAATGTAAATTTTCAACACCATTTCACACTCGCAACCAAGTTATGAAATGTCCCTTCGATGCAAACATCAATAGAAAACTTGGACAAACAAACAAACAAACAAACACACAGACAAAAATGGTATAACCCCCCGAAAGCCCCTCTTTTCATTTTTATCAGCATATATAAGTCGTGAAAACACTACTACATATACTTTTACCTTTCACCAAAACAACAATTAAAAAATAGTAAAATCATACTATCCGACTCTCAGTCACTAATTGAAGAAAGGCAATAATAATACCACAAATAGAAAACATCAAAACTAAAAACCTCACTTTTGAAAAAAGGGGCCTTTCAAATCCCCCCCTTTCTTTTCACTCTGTTTCTTCCCCGCCGCAATTCCTCAACAGGGGACCCCCAATCATACCCATCCATCATCGCCGCCCTTTCTTATTCACCCCCCACCGTAGTAATATAAGGACCTGCCTTGGCATCTCCTTTAAGGCAACTAGACACAACCACCAGACTCCTTGAGATGCACTCGACCTTTTGACCTGGACCTGACCTGACCCAAAACCGAGACCTTTGACCTGACCCGACCATGACTTCGACGCCAACACACACCTTGTTCCTCAATCTGAGCTTGGCATTCACCAAAAACCAAGTAGGCCCTGCAAATATTCATAAATGAATCACTGGTTCTGAACAGAAGAAAAACACTATGCCAGATGCTGGGGGTTTCGGCAGCAAATGTAGGAACAAATGAAACACAACAAAATACACCCTTACCTTCAACTGAAAGTGTAACCACCCGGTGGAGTCTGCATATTGTTACCGCCAAAGTTGAACCCGGGCTGGACTCCATCCCCAGTAGGTAAATTTTCATCCTCCTCAAGCCAATAAGTCTCCAAAATCTTCACTGCTTTTTCATATATTTCATTGTTATCATGGCTCTGCAAGTTCTCAATCTTCTCCAAGCCTTCAGCTTCATCAATCAATTGCGCAAAGTAATTGACGTCTCCAGAGTTGCCCAGATTCTTTTCTACTTCACCAACCTTCAATATGTTTTCGAGCCCCTCTAGACAGACAGTAACAATCCTAGGATCAGGGCACACAAGAAGATCACACAGGGGCTTGATACATCCCTGAGAAACCAAAAACCTGCCCACCACAACCCAGAGTAAGTAGCAAACCTTAGAATTATGTCAAGAACATTCAAAGTTAATCCAGAAGAGAAAATGATTAAAAAAAGTACTTGATTTGGTCGTGGGTTCCACCAGAAGTAGCATTTGAAACAGCCCATGCGGCTTCTTTCTTTATATCAAACTCTGCAGTTTGTAGCAAATTAACCAAAGGTGAAATCAACTGGGCCTCAATCACTGCCTGTAATTCCAGAATAGCCATCAGAGAACTGCTTAAACAAAAACTTCTCTTTACACAAAGAACTACCAGGAAAAAGAGACAGCACCTGAATCTGCTCCTTATTTCCAGCAGTTATATTGGAGATGGTCCAGCAAGCTTCTTTCTTGATGCTTTTTTTATGATTATGAGTCAACAGGCTTAGCAAGCATGGCAATGCCCCATGGTCAATTATACACTGAAATAGAAAACAGCTTGTCATTATTATAAAAATCATATAAACTTGGACGCCTTTAAATTCTCTCATTGACAGGAATGATCAGGCACAATAAAACGGCAGAATCACAGCCCAATTCTACCAAAACAAACATGATGTAGAAAGATTTTCGCTGGAGGACAGGTTTGCTAGCAATTAAAATTTTGGACATACACCATTAGGCATAGACATAACATAAACCATGCAGAGGAGCTCACACTTCCAGGCAAAATTATGCACGGTGACTATTAAAACAAACCTGAGTCTGAAAATCATCTCCTGTCACAATATTCCCAACAGTGCGAAGTGCAGGAATCAGCACAGAAGGCGATGGATGTCTGAAAGAAGACAATTTGTTAATTTTTTTTTATCAGAAAGCATTCAGAAAACAGAACTCAAAGCAGAAAGATAATCAGGAAGGGAACCGTACACAAGTAGCTCCACAAGCCGTGGACAGACACCGGCCTCAATTACAGCTTGGATTTTATCGTTTGTACCGTCAGAAAGATATGACAGAGCCCAGCATGCATCTGTTAGTACTTCCTCGTCATTAGAATGAACAAGACGCTGAAGAGCCGGAAGGGCGGGGCGCACCTGAATAATTAAATCTCATGAGCATCAGAAAAGAGAGGAAATTTAGATAACAAAGGCAAAATTTTAATTTATCCAGCAAACCTGCTCGAATGGAGGTTGAGGTTTGCCACGGCAGAAGTTTGACAATGTCCAGGTAGCATTTCTCAGCATTGAGAGCTTGGCATGCTCATTCAACTGAGCCAGCAATGGAATCAAAGCCCCATTGCTGAGGACAAGATCACGACACCTAGGAGAGTCACCAGCAACGTTTCCCAAGGCCCATACAGCCTAAACATTAACAAATCTTTAATCAGAATTCCAAACCTTCACAGGATACATGACTTCACCCTATTCAACAGAGCAGATTCAATTCTATAAAGCAAATAAAAACCAAACCCACAGAATGAAAAACATTCAACTCAAGAATTTACAGCCCCGTATCTTCAACACCAAACAAGGCTCGCGGGGAAAACAGAATTCATTAAGATATATTACCTGCTCACGAACATCATCACTTGGAGAACCCAGGAGCTTTACGAAAATTGGGACAGCTCCGTGATCAATCACCACCTTAGTGTTATCAGAGGTCCCAGATGCAATATTGGTGAGAGCCCAGGCAGCTTCAAACTAGTTAAAAACAAGAAATGCACTAAGTTAGAGACAATCTAATCTCAGAACGATTGTATACACCGACAATTCAACAGATGTAACATCAAACCTGGAGCTGTGGAAAATCCTCCCTCATAAGGAACTCAACGAAGCGGGGAACTACTCCAGATTGTATAACTTCCTCGATAGGAGGGCTCCGTTCTGTAAATTTAGGTTTCACGCAAATAATGAGCAATGACAATAACAATGGTAAAAACTTCATTACGTAAAAGCAGTGCAAATAAGAATTATACCTATTGAAAGTAGTTTACGGAACTGTGTAGTGGCTTCCAACTGTAAATTGTTATCGTTGGAGCATACTCCAGCTACCATGTTTGGAAGACTCTCCAACTGCAATTGGACAGACAAGTATTATTACATCAGCCAACTAAAAAATCAAAAAGACAACAAAAAAATTCTGATGCTTAGCAACAAAAGCTAGAACTAAGATTGAATCAACTCTCAAGGTTGTCAAATCTCATAATTAACACCTCCTAAGCTAAAGGAATGTCAACACACCAATCCGAACCATAAAAGCAACTGCCCTATATAACAAATAAAATAACCAATAAAACTAATTCACTACCCAAAAAAATAAGAGAATTCACAATCTCAATCCCCAAAAAACAAAAATAAAAATAAAAAATTAAACGTTTCAAACTCATAAAATTAGAAACTGGAAAGGCTACAGACTCTACAGCAGGAAATCAGATCCAATAATTCCAGATAAATCATCGATCAGAATAAACCGCAAGATAATAGAATAGTCATCCACAGGAAGGCGGACATCACCAGGAAGGGAAAAAAAAAGCAGTATACCTTTTTCTCGATGTTGCTAGCGAGGGCAGGAGCGAAGAAGGGTTGAGCAAGCTGAGCTCCTTCTCGACGCTTCTTGAGCAGATTCTCCTCACGCCTATTCTTTCGGATCTCCACCATTTGATCCTCCCTCCTCCTCCGTCCCTCGTCGGCGTCCACGGCGACCTTGTAGCGGTTCCGACGAGCCTCCGTCCTTTCGCTCGGTCTCAGAGACATGATTTCCGGCTTGATTTCCTTCTAACTCAATCAAAAACCCTAAAACAATAAAGAAAAATCGCACAACTCTGCGATTAAGAATTTGAAAATTGAATCTGCGGAAGCGTAGAGGATGAAACTGAAGAATTAAAGTAACCAGGAGGCATAAGAATACAACTACTTTAACTCAAAAAAAGGTGTTTCAATGCACAGAGTTGGGGTGTGCGCTTCTCAGGCGGAGATGTTACCTGGTAGTGCGTGACTATGTGAGAGAGAAAGAGAGAAGTTGGAGAAAGAAAAGAGAATTGGAAGGGTTTGGTTTATAATGCGGGACAGGGGACTTCCTTTCCAATATTTTCTATTGGGCCTTTCCCCGGTTGTCACAGCTTCTACTTGTGGGCTTACATGGCAATTTTCAGACAATTCGTTCTCTCAGTTTGGGCTCAAACGTTTTTCTTGTTATCTTTAATTGGCAATTGGGGCCCAGACCCCAGAATCATATTGATTTGATGGTCAAAAATTAATTCCATAATTATTTGTTTGGTGATTGAACATTTTTGTTACAACAGTGATACACATACATGTAAAATTACAAGAAATGATTTGTCAATCATCTAATCTATGTCCTAATTTTAAAAATACTTAACCCCAAATGAAAAATATGAATAGATATGATTAATTCATTATCATTTTGTTTCCTATCGTATCATTATTCTTTTATGAATATACACACGAGACTATTACAACTGCTCTTTTTCCAATTCTAATTACAAGTTATAAATTTGAACAAAATGTCTGAGTTAACAAAATTGTTTGTTGACTAAGATAGTAAAGCAAGTACCACCCTTGTTTTGAAACAAATAAAATAAATGCTATTCGCATAGTCGATTTTGAATAGCTGTGGCTGTGGCCTGTTGGGGAAAAAAAAAAGATTGAAATATGAATGGATGTTGAGAGGAAAAGTAGTCAATTATTCTACATACACAAATAGCGAGGTAATCCGCAATCCTTATTAAAAAAAGATTCCCTTTTTGTACTATTTTAATACTATAGTATTACATTTGTAATAAAAAAAAAACTTATGTCCAAAACCGACATTGCCTATTATAAACCCGTCACAGTTAACTTAATGATTTGTACATTACATTACAACTAATTTTTGCTGGGTTATCTTTTCACAATTATTTACAATTTATAAGATGGAGTATTTATATAGCGATGAAGATAACTTACAGTAGTAGACTAGTATTAGCAAGACAGCAAGTAATCATTGCTTTAGTATTCCGGGGATCATAAATAAGAGTACTTCTCAAACTCAGTCAAGTAATCCGATAAGGAACGCTGACTTCGATACTGTGTAGCTACCGTGTTCTGATTGACAACGGCCGGAGGAAGAGGTGGCAATCTCGTCGGAGTTGTGTAGATTGCGGAGGAAGCGGCTTCCAACACCTCTCGCCGGACGTTCTCTTGATCTTGAAGCGCCCTCTGAGCTCGGAGCGCCGTTATGTAGAGACCGGCGGCGAGGAAAACGGTGAGCAGACCAAAAACTCCGGCAGACGTGAACATTCCTGGCCTGAGGATCAAGCAGCTGGATTTCGGGGTAGCCCAGTTCTTCAAATGACCCGATTCGATGCTTAATCCGATCAGCAACAGTATCTCGCCCACCGCAAAACATATCCTGAATCGCGCGCAATTATAAAATCATACCTAAGTTAATATTCTCATTTGATGAAGTTGAATAAAAAAAAAAAAAACGTTGGAATGAATGTTGTACGACTAACTCCCTCCGTACAAAATCATTGTCTAGTTTGCATTTTCAAATTTAGTACAATTTGAATTAGAAATGAAAATACGGAACGTACCAAGTGGAGACGAAGAAGAAAGCAGCTTGGCAAGCAACTGATTTGGCGAAATCGGAATCAGGGTCCCAAATAACCAAAGGGGAAGAAGTTGATCGGGAGATTGAAATCAACATGAAAGTGTGTTCCACAATCATGGCAATTGCAAGTGCCACAAATGCAGCAGCTCCACATAGCAATGGCACTTTCCCACTCCCAGAATACACACATTCTTGTTCATCACTACTCCATGTCACCTTAATTTTTTCAGAGTGAATTTAATTAATATATAGAAGAGGAATCAATAATTCATGCTACGATTGTTATTCATTAGTTTCAGGGTGATATCTATTATGAAACTGATGTAACTTTTTGAAAAAATAAAAATAATTTGCTAATACTCTCGGTAACAAGACTTGAATTACGTGACTTGGCCTCTACTAAAGTGTTAATTTGTCTCCTGAAGATGATATTGGTGTTGCAAAACAGAAATTAATCTCATCAACTCGTAATATCATTTTTGTTTTGGTTTACCAATATGAAACGCGAACGGATTCAATGTAAAAATGATGGACTAGTTGTAAGTTTGTGTACCTGAGAGCGTGTGGCTTCGGCCAGGAGGCAGAGGATGAAGCAAAACAGACCAAAGAAAATGGACAAAACCATGAGGCAAGCTCCTGTTTTGCTGCCCAAGTCGGAGCTTGGTGGACTTGGTTCAAGATCAGCATGTGTCACTGCCATTCAATCAAATCAATATAAAATCTCTCCTTTTTTCTTTTTGGTGGAAACTGAATTGTAAGAGCAAAATATTGGTGCAGAGTTTCTTGCAAGGATGAAGATGGGGAAGTAGATACAAATTGGAATCATGCGTATAGCTTGTTTGTGATTGTAACGAAGGAGAGCTAAAAGATGCATTGGCTGCGGGGGTTTTGGAATTAGAATTGCTTGGAACAAAGGATTGCTTAAAGGCCAGAGATTCGTTTTTTTTTTTTTTTTTTGGGCGGCCATCTTTTTAAGGGCTCCTTTCTGCACAAGTTTTCACACTAAAAAAGGATTTCTTTAAAAAAAATCGGTTCTAATGGTGATTAGCTTTTGTCATGTTCCAACTAATTTTGACCCAAATGAAAAGTTTTTTTTTTCTGATGATGATATAAAGAAGATGATAAGGTTCTTCATTTGATGCTTGGAATAATTTAAAACTTCTGCTAAATGGATCAAGTCCAATAAACACCCAAACCAACACAATAAACTCTAGCTATCAAAGTTCCGGTCGAGAGTAAAATTATGAATCGGTACAGACCAAAACAGGTGTTTATCATATAACAAACTACAAGAACAATAAAAATTGACAAATAGGAAGGGCCAACCAGATTATGAACTCAAAGCTCAAACTCCTCATCCTGCAGAGCCATCTCAGCCGCCTCTTCTTCCTCATCATCAAGACCAAAGTACCCATTCTTCTCAACTGGCCTAAACATGTAGAACATAACTGTGTACAAGGCTTCAGCTGCATACGCAACCCCGTTATACTTGTATGCAGCTATGGTGAATAAAAACTTGATCCCAGATTCCACATTCGATTAGGGTTGACCTCCAACATGATTTCACAGGAAGGAGAAGTTTGGGGAAAGTGTAAATCTTTTGAAAATTAAGCAATCCTGTCTCTAAGTCGCCGCCACTGGGAGGTACTCACGGGTGTTAAACCAACAATTATTAATCTACTCTAAAAACGCAATAAAACGGCAAGCAGGATCGAATCCTACAGGTAGGGTAAACAAATATCAAGTTTAAGAATGAAACCGAACTCAAGAATAAAATATTTAAATGCTGAAAATGAACTTCTAAAACTAAGGTTGCGATGAAAGCTAATAAAGTGATGCAAACATGTTCAATTATTTATTTCCACTTCAATTGCCGAATTAATCTTAAACTAGTATTGGTGAATGAATGTTGGTCGGATCTCTTAAATATATCGTTAAGCTCCTTCCGAAGTCATAAGAGTATCCCTACAACTAATCACAAGCCTATATTCCTATGGTTGCATTTAATTGTAGAGTCATTCAGGTTATTTATCTCATTTGGCCACCTATGTCTTACCATTTAGCCACCTATATCTTGCCGATATATTCCTATCCGGCAAGAAACCATAAACTTTTACATTTATGTCATGATTTATTCTTTCTAAAGCTAAAAGTATACACCCCATTCCTAGTAATGCATAATTCCCAAACACTAATAATTATTAGACCTAAATAATTGCAATTCACGTTTTTTTGGCTTTTATAATAGAGTATTAGGGCTGCCAAAATTGGTGACAAAAATGGGACTTTTACTTCTATGTAGGCCCACAAAAGTTTGGTAAAAAATCTTCCCAACTTGCTTGGTTCTTCACGGCCAGAAAATGGGTTTAACAATAGCCCATTAGTCAATTAATTAATTTAACCAAACAAATGGCCTCATCATCCTTCTCGGCCAAATTTGGATCATCTCCCACAATTTGCACAACTGGCCCTTTGATTATTCAACTTACTGCTTGCTTCCTCAACACTTCTCTCAGTCTTCAATTGAGTCCTTAGCTTCAATTTTCTTCCTCAATTAAGTCATTTTCTCCAATTTAACTCCATTTATCATCAATCTCCTAAATCCTTCAAATAAATATTTATTAAGTAAAATCATCTTTAAAGCACATAAAAACAACACAAAATCTTAAGGGAAATTATATATAAATATACATAAATATTAGACTCATCAGTACTATAACACAAACCTTTTTCAACATTGAACCATGCTTAAGAACGTATCCGATTAGCTTAAAGAGATCACCTTTGTCATTGCCTTCGGCCTCGACGAAATTAATTGAAACTTTTACCAAACTGTTTACCAGGCATTCAGGAACACAAGTGGGATCCCTCCAAGGACGTGTTCTAGGCCAAGATCTATCTTGTATATTGGTGTCGATGGCAAGGACTTGTAACTTCTTAAAATAGTGCAGTAAATCTTCTAGACATCCCTACAGGTGGCCACAAACATCCAAGTACAATTTGATTAGTCTCTCAAAACCAGCTAAAGATCTAGTGATGGCAGCATTTAGAGCTACTATTACTGATTCCGATAATCTTAGCACCCTGGTGAGTTTTAATGCCTGAATTACATGTGTAACAATCCGATTGCATTCATTGACATCATCATAGTCGCATGCATACAATTCAATCTCCGCTCGGCTCAAAGAGTTCAGCCCTGCCAATGAGACTTCTTCAAGCCACACGTTACAATTCAAATAGAGTTCTTCGAGTGCAGGGGTTACTATTTCCAACGGCAGATACTCAACATTAGAAGTAATTTTTAGAATTCTCAGAGGACGGGAATGTATGACACACTGATCCGAACCATCACCATGGCCGTCCTCTTCTATTATGAGCGAATACAAGTGTGGACAACTAGATACAAGCTGACCGAACGACTCACCCGATTTATAAACAATCCCATAGAACTAAGATAACAGTTTAGGAAGATGAATTGTACCGTTAGAAGGCACCTTAAGCAGGATGCTTCCTCTATGGGGTCTTCCTCTATGGCGTCATCCTTGTAAGCAGAGTAATTCTAGTGTCCCACAAGAAAAAAGTGCCCAAGGCAGAGGAATAGAAACTTCATCCCCAGTACTCTGGAGATTAAGAACTTTTATGTTCCGGGCAATCACCTTACTGATCCACGTAGGAAAGTAGAGGACTTTGCAGCTGTTTCCATTTTCCCATTTGAGGCGAAACTTGGCAATAGTTTCAGATTCTTGGGCAAACAGGACCTTGTTCACAAAATGCACAAAACGCATCTTCTCCTCGTCGTTGTTTTCTTCCTTTACCCGATCATTACTGATATCAAAGGAGCTAACTTTAGCCCAAAGGAATTGCCACCTCTTTGATAATATGCTTGTGGCAACAACACTCTTTGTGGGTAGAAATGAGAGAATATTACAAAGGATTGGCTCGGGTAAATCGCTGATCCTATCCATGAAATTTAGATTAGAATCAGAGGAGGATTGGGATGGAGTCTGAAACTCTGAATTAGTAAAATCAATCAGCCGGTGTGGATATTTTCTCGGATAAGTACCTGTGGCAACACAAACAAAATAAAAATATAACAGATGAATAAGTAAACTCAAAGTATTCAAAGGATGATTGACAGCTAATACGTTTAAAAGAGGTGGATCAAATACACAGAGAATCTATATTGATGTTTGCAGCAGCAAAAGTGAATCTGCCTTTCCTGAATCAATTATGATGATTATGCTCAGATTGGGGGCTCAAATATCATTATCATGAAATGCATCAGTTTCAGTTGACCATCAACAGAAACCAAAAAGTAAGTAGCTAATAAGCTCATAACATTGCAGGAAACTGGGAATAAAATGGCGAGAAAACAATCGAAACATTGCAGCAAATTCAGAAATTTTTCGAAGCATCAGTCACTCTTAAGAAACTCTGATACATTTATTCATTTATGGACTAAAAAATGATCAAAACCATCTGGAATCAGTTGTAACAAAATTGCCTCCAAATTCAGTTGCATTTCAAATTTGTGTATACCAAAGCACAATTGTTACACTCCAAATCGGAACACAACATCAAAACTCAACAGCGAGAATTTCCAAAAAAGAACAACAAAATCACAATAATCAGGAACAAAAAAGCAACAAATCACTAGCGTAAATTCGTACCTGACAGCGCAAACAACATTAACAAGCAGGGCGGTTGAAACCACCAGTTCCAGTGAAGTTCAGAGAAAACCTTTCCAAAACAACGAGATGATCCTCCTCTGCATAACACAGAGTTTCGATTTCCGAATTCCGACAACAAAATCTTTTTTTCAGATGATGGGGATTGGGGGTTTAGGGTTTTATGTTACGGCGGTGATGATTGAAGTTTCGTCAGAGGAGTTTCGCCGGAAACTCTTTGGTTTTTGACTATGATGTTTCGTTGTTCAAAGGAGATTTTCGATATTTTCCCAATACTGGAGGCTTTTTTATAGTAATTCTGTTTTATTAATTATTTAAAATTGAAAATACCTTCATTGTTTAAACAAAATATGAATAGTATCCCTTGACCTGTAAGTAAAATATCAAAAGGGTCCTTTGATAACTGAAAGTTGATATTTACATATCAAGTAAGCCATAAAAGTTGGTATAATTCATAATTGTGCACAATGTGTAATTATTCTCTCTACTAATTAAGGTGGCATATTATTAGAAACCTTCATTCGATATTTCTCTTCACTAACACTTCATCTTAATCCTGGTAATTAATTCATTAAGGTGTCGAGTTATACTCCTTCCGGTCCTTATTATAAGGCATTTTGATTTGATCATAGGTTTAATCTGTGATATTTTTTAATCGGAAAAAAAATCTTAAAAATATGTTTTCACATTCGTTGTGTTCTCCTAATTATTATAAAATACTTTTAAGGTTTTTATTTCAATTAAAAATACATTATAAGTGAAATATATGACGAAATCAAAATGATTTATAATATGGACCGAAGGGAGTAGCAATCTGTATGACTTATAACAGCAGCAGTCAGCAGAACATTTCATGCAAAGTTTTACCTATTTGGTTTCATGACTAAAGCATATAATGTACTCCAAATTCTCAATCCAAGGTTAGTGGGACAAAAGGGCAAACATGTGTGGGTGAATTGATCAAAAGTTCATCCAAAAGACATGCACGTACGACTAGATTGGATGACATGATATGGGAAAAGAAATTAAAGCCCCCACACTTGGAATTATTTGTACCTAGCTAGTTCAAAACATCAAAATGAAATGAATCCATCACTACAACCCTTCTAAGGACAGTGGCGTACAGGACGACCCCATTCGCATGTTATAGGAAACAGGAAAATCTCTCCCTTTTTCTTTTGCGAGAGATCCGTATATACTTCAGCTTCCACATCGGTTGTAAAAAAGCAGCACTTATGTATATGATCAAACTAAGAGAGCATTTCCCGAATAACTGTTACTTTCTCTGTCTCAAAATTATTGTTCAATTTGAGATTTCACTTTTAGTACAATTTGAACTAGAAATAAAAATTCAAATTGGACAATAATTATGGGACGGAGAGAGTATATTAAGCATTTGCATGATTTTTTTTTTTAAAAATTTAAAGTCAATTACATTATTAAAAATACAATCGCAAACTTGTACAAGAACTAAACAAGAATTTCTTGTCACACTGATAATCTAGTTAGAGCATTAATTATTAACTAGAACTACCATTACACCGAATATCTAATGACTAGCTAACTTGCTACTATCGTATACGATCAATAATCCCAAGCTATCTTCCATATTCGATGAACTACTCTAGATTGGATTGAGCATTTGCATGATTGCACTATTATATTGAAAAGTAATGTATGCGTACAGTGATCGATGGTGCACAAGTTGTACTTCTTGAACCTTTGCTACTTTGCTTCCTGGACCATGAACCCAAACCTTCAACTATATAAAAACCAAATTGATCATTACTCGCACAACATAGGGTTGTCGATCAAGTACTAATATATATATATATATATATATATATATATATATATATATATATCGAGGAAAACCTACTTAATTCGTTGATAAACTTGATCAGAATGCAATCTTTTCCAACAGTTAATTGACATGTGAAGTATCATCTAACGTGGTATACAACAGTTGGTAACATAAATCAAAGGAGAATCTTGGAGGATATTCATGAAACGAAGTTGTGTCGGCACTTTGAGTGCTTCACATATTAAGCTCTATATATCCTATTGTAGAGATTGGACTACAAAAAAAAAAAAAAGATATGGTCATTCCTCTCCACCGGATATCTCACCAATGTTAGTGCAAATGTTGGCCCCCCATTTTCTAAACTCTCTAACCACTTACCTTAAGACACAACATGAGATATCTCTGCAAATCTGGTCTACTACTTTCTTTTTCTTTGGATACTGATCAGTATTTTTCGCTAGCATAAATAGATGATTTGATGGAATTAATGAGAGCATGAATTAGATCATTCAAAAGTAGATGTATAGATAGCTAGCTAGTGTGTACTCTCTCCTTCATGGCCTTCTCCTTGTGCTTTTTAAAATATGTTGATGCATGTAAGGATGATTACATCATAATTAAGTGTCTATTTTTTTTTTTTTTGCATATTTGCAGAGTGTCCACCATCGGCAACAGTGACTAATTAAGTGTCTACTTTAATGAGACAAATTAACAATATGCATAAACCAGGCATGTTAGTTTTGCATATACCTCACTCTCAGGAAGTAAATTCTGGGAGCTTAATTTGTAGGTCACTCTATAAATGCTGCACTCTTAGAAACCTTAAACATATATAGAACTCGTGCATCAGAGTTCTAGAAACTTTCTCCACACTCAAAAAGAAATGGCTCAAAGCTCCAACCAAAGTAGCTCAGCATCAACAACAACAACAACAGATGATCATCACATTGATGAAGCCTTGGATTTGAGCCTCACCACAACAACAACAACTTCACCATTAGCACCGCCACCAGATGTAGTACTGAAACTATTTGGTTATCCAGTCGGCAGTACACATGAATGGGCCGGCAATATCGACAGCGAAGAGCCTCTTCCTCTCCCTCATTTTCATCATCATCCTCAAGGCAAAGTTAATGTGGAAATTAACAACATTGACAGGAGATTCCAATGCCAATACTGCCACCGGGAATTCGCGAATTCTCAAGCTTTAGGTGGGCATCAAAATGCACACAAGAAAGAGAGGCAAAAGATGAAGAGGGTTCAACTCGTAGCCAACAACAATCATGTTGTTATCAACGGGAACGTTACTAGTTCTAACGTTCCAACTGCGATCAATCCCCGGTTCCGATCAAAGAATCATCATTATTGGTGTGGATATCATTATCATCAACCCAATTTCCAGCAGGTATCAGGGATTCCCCTCAGGCACCAATTACATTCTCCAAATCATCATTCCGTTATGGAATCCTCATCAAGATCTTCTGATCCTGCAGCTCATGTCATGTCTCAGTTCCATGATGAATTGGATGTTGATCTTCATCTATAACTTAATTATTGCTACCTAGCTCCATTTAAAAAAAAAATGTCAAATGGAAAATTCAAGGGGATGCATAAATCACTTATAAAAAATTCCCAGTCAATTACTAATTGCTAGCAGTAATTTTAAGTAACTACTCGGAAATTATCTATAGTTGTTATTTTCTCGACCATTTGAGTTGCTCTCCTTTATGTATATTATCATCACTCACGAGTTTACTCTTCAGTACAGAAATAAATTGATCATTGTACTATCCAGACTGCAGAAAATAAAAGAAAACCAACAATATTCTCTTAAGATAAAAGGTACTATATAATATGTCGCCTCAGAAAGGCGCATCCAACGTAGCCAAAAAAAAAAAAAAAGAGTAGTAAAATCTATGTAACATCAGAGATGTTGACTTGACTCCTTAGATCACATCCTGAATTTTTCCATCTGCCCAAACCCAATTTGCGTATAACATACCAATCTGAAAGCAAAACTACACCCAATAAATAAAATAAGATTGGCCTCTCATCAATGTAGATATTTGTGCTATAAATTTAGTGACTTCCATAATCTAGCGCAAAAAAGCACTAACAACACTGCCAAGTCCGTTGGAAACTAAAACATTTCCCAACACCAAAACTCCTAAAATTCCTCATTGCAATTATCATAACAAAAAAAAAAAAGAGAAGAGAAAAACTCCACCATTTAATTCGGATAAAATCATGAGCTACCATGCATATTATATATCCAAAAAAAAAAAAAAACCGATTATTACTTCAAAACGTAAACCTGGATCAATAATCATCAAAACCATGTAAAAAAAAAAAGAAAAAAACATTCCATCTTCGCTCTCTTTCTCTCTTCCTGGCAAGTCACCGCCATTTAATCAGGAGGAGGAATTGAGTGGAAAAAAAAAAAAAGACAAACAAAACCACAGCAACATTATGCGTCCAACTTCTTCTTCTTCCTCCGCAGCAACCCATTGGACATTAACATTAGACCGCCGGTTCGCACCCGTCGGAGCTGCTGCTGTTTCAAGAAACCCTAATCCTACTCCTCTTTCTTCTTCGTCATCTCCTCCTCCACCGGTGGTGATAAATTGTTTACCACGCGGATTAACAACCGCGGCAATGGGAGGACCCGCATCCTCTAACGCGTTGTCATCCGCGTGGCATTACGGGAATGGGAGGAACAAGAACAATAGTGGTGTGGATGTGAGGAGGAAACAGCGGATCGCGTCCTACAAAGCTTACGCGGTGGAGAGCAAACTCAAGAATTCGGTTCGCTCCGGATTCCGATGGATGAAGAACAAGTATACTTACATCGTCCATGGTTATTGATTTTCTTTTTCTTTTTTTTTAAAAAAATTTAATTAATTCCCTTCTGCGTTACCCAACTACTAGTAGCTTTGTATATATCAGGTTGTTTCATTTTATGATTTCCCCTCCCTTCTTCATTCATTTTGCTTCTTTTTTTTTTTTTTTAATCACTTTTTCCTCAATGTACCTTTTTCTTTCTTTCTTTTTTCTTCTTTTTTAACCACTTTTTTTTCCTTCAATTATAAGTGATGAAAGGTTTAACTAAAGAGATCGATTTGGTTTATTTATATAAATTAGAGTATATGCCATACTAAGTTACGCTAATGAAATGAACATACATATTGTGGTTCATTTAGCATGATCATTTCGACTTCGTATTACATCTCTCTTTTGTAGTTTAGTTTCGTTAAAAGTTGTGTTCCCTTTTGTCTCGTCCTAATAATTTAATTATTTTAATTTAGAGACGCGAAATGGAATGTGCCATTGAGTGGTATTTTTTTTGGAAAAAAAATAATTGCAATATTGATCTTGCACTTTTTTTGTTGGTTAATTTGTTAGTTTGCCAGACAATTCGGATATTATGTTGCTTTGAGTCAGGCTTTTTTTTTTTTTTTGAAAGAGGAAAACTTTGTTACGATTGTTTGCTGGAAATCAGCCAGTTCTGATTGATACAAACCGTTCAAATCAGCATATGATTGCATTTGAAGGGTGACTAGACAAGATAGTGATTTACTACATTCCAATCAATATAAACATGCATTCTCTTAGTTAAATCTGTCCTTGTTTATAAAAGAATAAAGTGAGATAGTGCTTCGTTTCTTTTCTCTTTGATGTTCCAACCAACAATTACAAATTCAGAAATAAATTTTGAAGTTGTCAAACAAGCAAATTCGTTACGACAGTATTATAATTTGTTGCAATCGCTGGAATGTGTTGAATGTCATCGGCTAAACAATGAATAAATCACAACCTAAATAGTTTCCGTGTCCAGAAAAAAAAAGAAGAAGAAGACCAAATTGAATAGGATTCATATACAATTGGGCAATCTTTTAAGGTAACTAAGGACACCTCGTCCAAATGTGAAGGACTATAGAGGTAATAATTTCGTTGACTTACCACAATTCAGATCTCCCTCACGTCACCAATTGTAAAATAACACATCATCAGATGCATAGAAGCCTGGACCCCCTTGATGTGGGCCCTCCAACATCTCACACACACACACACACACACACAGAGTGTAGTTAATTTTTGTAATTTGAAATTTCTCCCTCTCTAAAAAGAGACGTTGCAAGCTTTTTGACCTTTTCTGCAATAAACAATAATTAAAAATTTTCAAACAAAACAACAAAATTGGTTGTAAATTTTCGATTTTTAAAAAAACAGTTTCATTAGTATTCATTTTGCCTTTCCCCATTTAATGCTTTCACTGAACGGCCACTCAACCCAAACTCCTGAAGAATCAAAAATCATTCTCACCAGAAACCCAAAAGAAAAAAAAGAAAAGAAACCCCTTCAAATTTTTGGTCCCTGCAGCAAAATCTCTTTGCTTTGAAGCCCAGCAACTTGATGAACTCTTGTGGGCCATGTGAGTTTTTCTTCGATTCTTGCTTGTTTTTCATCTACTTGACTGAAATTAGGATCAGGGTCTTGTTCCTTTTGTTTTGAATTTCTGTTTATGATTGGCGAGGGTGGTGACAGATGTAAACTTGCGTTCCTTCTACGATTCTTTGGGTTAAGAAAGTTTGCATTTTTTGTTTGATGTCATCGAACTCGATAATGCAAAGCTGTGAATTCCCTCTTGGTGATTTTTCCCTTTCGTTCTTTATAAATTCATAGTTGATTGATGATGAAAAGTAATGTAGCGAAGAATGAGATGGGAAAAGATTGATTTTTTGAAAGTCTTAGACAAAAAAGACTGCTTGAATAAAATCATTCTCTATTCAGTTTTTTCAATTGGGCACAGCCTGGGTTAATTGAATTTCCAGCAACTAAGGCTTACGAGCTTAATTTTTAGAAGGGTGGGTCAAAGATTCTCCAAATTGCCACCAATGAAGCTATTATTTGTGTTCCCTGAGCTGTAACTGAGTGAAGAGTAAGATGATTTAGAGCCTAATAGAAGAAACTTCTGTTCATTTCTGTTAATTTCATGTATTCGACCAACTATTTTTAATGTTCTGTGTCCATTTAGCTGGCCTATTTCTTTGTGAGGATCAGTATCATCAGTTACCTAAATTAGCTTGTGATGAAATCCACTGAAACCCCTTTTTCTTTTGTTCCCTGGAAGCCTTTTCTGGACAATCAATCATCGTGTTTGAAATGGTTAGCCGACTTGCTCTATGTGGTTGTGGCAGATTTGACTTGAGAGGCCTCAAAAGCGGCTCAGCAACACAGGTGTTCTTCTTTAGTTTGTGCATGTTGAACAACACAGCTTGATCTGCCAATGAACATGGGGGCCGAAAAACATAGTTCTAAGAGTGGAGGAGGTTATGTTGGGGGTTTGCTGCAGCTATTTGATTGGAATGCAAAATCTCGAAAGAAACTGTTCTCTAGCAAGTCTACTCTACCAGGTATGGTGTAATCCTCGTGATCTGTTCATTGCTGCATTTGTTTATAAATTAAAGTTTGTTTGATGTTACATTCAAGCTTGTTAATTCCTGCATAATTGCAGAGCAATCTAAACAGAAGAAGAGATGTGATGGAAATCTGCCCACTACTCGGTTTCACCTGGTAAAAGTTTGTGATTTCATGTTGTTCATCATCTTTTACTTGGTTAATTCGTAGCAAATCACATAAATTTGTTAACCTGTACGTGCATTTTCAGTTGGATGAAGATGAATTTAGAGCTGGTTCAAGTATTAGAGGAAGTAATTATAGTTGTGCTTCATCAGTGACTGATGAGGACTTTGGGGAGGCAAAGGCACCCGGGGTTGTTGCGAGGCTTATGGGACTGGATTCTATGCCAACCTCAAATTTTCCAGAGCCCTATGCTTCCCCTTACTTTAGTTCTCAGTCTCTTCAGGGATTTAATTCCCATTCCAAAAATTTGGATGGCAGTCATGAGTTTGACCTACCAGGCAATTTATACGCCATGGATGGATTTGTGAGGAACAATGTCCCAGAATCAAGGCATCCAAAGCCTTTGAACAGGCCCATCGAAAAGTTTCAAACTGAAGTCTTGCCTCCGAAATCTGCTAAGTCAATTCCAATTACCCATCATAAGCTTTTATCTCCAATCAAAAGTGCCAATTATATCCCATCTGAAAATGCTGCTCACATAATGGAAGCAGCTGCAAGGATTATTGGACCTAGTCCTCAGACTAGTGCAGGTAAAGTAAAATTTCCAGCAGTTAGTTCGACTTCAATTCCTTTAAAGGTAAGAGACTTGAAGGAAAAGGTTGAAGCCTCTCAAAAGCCACTCAAGCTTGGCGAGTTGACTTCCCGTCCAGGCGAAACTAATGCTCCTAAACACACAAAGGGACAAAACCCGAATAGGAGCTGGAATTCGTCAGCAGATACATTATCCTCAAGGCTTTCTTCTGATTCGGAAGAGGCAAGTGCAAAAGGAAAAGGTAAATCCATCTCACTTGCATTACAAGCAAAGGCTAATGTTCAGAAAAGAGAAGGTTTAAATGGTCATAGCAGCAGCAGTTTAGTAGGACAGAAGGAATCCAGTGAAGTCTCTTCTAGTGAGCTGTTCAAAAGCCAAGCTAGTGCCCAGAGCAGCAGGGTGAGGAAATCATCTACACATACTGTTTCAAGTGTACTTCGACAGAATAATCAGAAACAAAATGGTTTACCTGATAAAGGGAAGTTATCATCTAAGCCGTGTGCTTCTGGCTCACAAAATAGAAAAATAAACAATGGAGAATCTTCATATTCACGATACAAAAGCTCAGGTAAAAATGCTGCAAACTCTAAAATTGTGTCCAAGAGGTCAAAGTCAGAAGTAGCAGAAAATAGAAGAGAAGAGACTTCTGGCTCCAGAAACATTGCTAGCAAGAAGAGGTCAATAGATGGCAATTTTCAGTTTGAGAAAAACCATACTCCTGATAAGATGATGATTGGGAAGAGTGAAAGGCCAAATGCATTGACTGATAAGCAAAGTAGCTTCCCTGAAACAAGCAAAAGAATAGGAACAGATGTTGTTTCTTTTACTTTCACAGCTCCAATGACGAGGTCATTTGCTCTTAGCCCTGAGACATTTAGAGAAGTGCGGGAGAAAAGTAATGTCTTTTCTGCTGATTTTTGTGGTAAAAGGTCACTGCTTACTTCAAGTGCCCCAAATAGTGCAAAGTTCTCTTTGCCAGGACATAATGTGGTAGGAGCTGATGCGCTTAGCACTCTTTTGGAGCAAAAGCTTAGGGAGCTAACTCAGGGGATGGAGTCGTCCTCATGCCTCAAGGCAGGAACGTCTGGAAATTCTTCCACGAAGTTCCAGGATTCGCTGCCTAATCTAGATCCCTCATCTAATAAAACCTGCATCCCTGACTACCAAACACAGGATTGGATCAATGCAGACTACACTGTTGATAAATGTAGCTCTGGATTTTCATCGTCTGATCTTCAAGGATTCATAATGAAACACAAAGTTCAGGTAATGCTTCTCTTGTTCTTACATTCTTCATAATTTTCCCGTTACACTCTTGTGCTAATTGCATTTGAATTTATGCTGTAACTTTATCCGTTCTCCAATCAGTCTTAAAATTCAATGTAGGAATGGAACAACATTAAGTACAAATCAGTAACTATTAGCACAGAGTAGTGGTTATGTTGTGAACGAATATGAAGTGTGAAAGTTTTTTGATGTGATCTCGATTTATTAACTATTTAGGTCATTATATCATGATCTACTATCAGCTGATTTTTAGAAATATTCTAGCAATCAACAATGAGATATATTCAATCATCAAGCACGCTATTGCAGAAAACTGAATCCTTAGCGGTCAAACTTCTAAGTCACAAAGAAATCCTTTTTCATCTCAGGTTACGGATCAAGGCATGGATAGCTTATGCAGGAGCAATCTCGAAACGAGGAAGATACTTGATCATCGACTTCCAAGTCCTGTATCTGTTCTTGAAAATTCAATATTTGCAGAAAGCTGGAATTCCTCAGATACAACTGATAGCATCAATACTGGAGGTAAAGATGTTTTTAAGTTCCATCACTAATTTTCTTCCTTCCCTTCCAACATTTTGCTTAAACAATGGGAGCTTGAGGGAAACCATTACAATATTCATGCAAAATCAACTTGCAGGCAGCAAACAGGTTTCATCAGTGCAAGCTCAGGAAGTTCTCGGCATTCATTATTTCAAGAAGCCTAATCCAATGGAAATTGAAACAGAGTTATCGGACTCAGCCTCATCCATGTCTACTGCAAAAACTGAATGTCTCTCATGTGGAGCCGAAGATCAAGATGTACTACAAAATCAATGGGAGCTTGAATATGTGAAGGATATATTGTCCGACATAGAGCATATGTTCAAGGATTTTGCGGCGGGCAGAGCTCGTGCGATAATAAACCATAACCTTTTTGATCAGCTGGAAAGTAAAAAATGGATGCTGAATAGGCATGAGCCTAAACTAAGACGAAAGATAATATTCGATTGTGTGGCTGAGTGTTTGGATATAAGATGCAAGGAGTATGCATCCGGGGGATGTGAAATGTGGACAAAAGGTTCGTTTGTGGTGAGAAACACAGAAAGGTTAGCTGCAGAAATATACAAGGAAATTTCGGGGTGGAATGACATGGGGGATTGCATGGTTGATGAACTTGTAGACCAGGATATGAGTAAAAAACATGGAAGATGGCTTGATTTCAAGATAGAAGCATTTGAATTGGGAGTTCAGATTGAAAACCGCCTACTCAATAACTTGTTAGATGAAGTCATAGCTGATATACTGGTACTTTGAACCATATCTTCTGCCTCATGAGTAAGCTCTGTGTCTCTTCTTTTATTTTTTGGATATAGCATAAATTTTGACTGAAATTTATTTCAGTTTCTTTACTTGGGAGTTATGTGAGGCTTTTTGCTTCTTTCTCCACTAAAAAGAAAAGAAATAAAAATTCTGGTTGTTTCCAATTCTTTTGTGCTCCTGGATAGACCTTCTAAACTTGTATATCGTACGCCTGCCACATTGTCTTTCGAATTTGGAAGTAAAAAGGATTCCAGAACTAGGTTAGGCGGTTGCTATGATTCAAAAGTGCAGTCAACCTGATGAAACATTTTAGAAATAGAAATTTTCAAGTTCAGGCTTTGACAGAAGTAAATACTCTAGCCGTAATACAATAAACGGACAAAGTGTAGGAAAAGGTTCATTATCTGTGCATATGATGTTGAAATGGTTGGTGATGTTGTATGGAGATCGATGTTTTTTTGACTTGTCAGGGAATATGAGAATGGACTGGTTCCGTACCATCCATCATTTTCTTACTGTTTCACGTCACCTATCATTCCGAGTTAAAGTTTTTAGGGATGCTGGACTTGAAATCATCTTGGAGTGAGTGATAAACAAACATGCTTTCTTACTACTACCATGTAAGGATAGTGGATACAAAACAACTAGGGAATACAACGGATGTACTCCTGCAGACACAGATTTTATTCTTCTTGAATTTTCTTCTTTTTTCTTTTTTTTTTTTTCTGAACTTTTCATACTCCCTAATGCTACTAGATATTCCTATGGCCAAAGTAGCTCATCATCATCATCCCAGAGCTGGAACTCTTTGGCAACATATTCTTTATCCCATGAAAGTGAGTCGTAATAACTAGTAACTAAGGGCGAGAAACATTCATACAGGGACCCCTCATTAGTGTCTCCTGATGAATTTGCGGTACCATTGTCACTTTCGTTGTTAATATCATTAAGTGTAACTGCTGAAGCACTTCCTAGATGATCTACCATCATGAAACTTTGTCCGGGTACCTCCTCCCCTTCACTTCTACTATTAGGCACTGAAATCTCACTCAAATCCATTACCGAATCACCCTGCAGAAATTGTTCAAGAAGCAATGTTGTTGGATCATCAGCTATTGGTTCAGTCCCCCAATTATCTGGTCCCAATACTTCATTTTCATGTTCCATCATTTCTAGAAAAGACTCACACCATCCCCCTAGTAGGCCACTATCATCAATACTATTAGTAATGCTAACACTGCCTTCCCTTTCAACTTTGTCCTGAAAAATGACCACATTATTACTTAAGTCGCCATCCCTGTTGCCCTTTTCCTCAACTAAAACCTCTTCTATGGTGGCCTCTTGAATCCCACTTACTGTTGTTGATGATGATGATGATCCAGCTATCATCCTCGGCTTTGATGACTGTAATGATGATGATGGAGTGGTAGTAGTAGTAGTAGTAGTAGGCTTCGATGAGATTGCATTCATGTTGTACTTTTTAGCGACTGCCCTGCTTACTCGACCGCCTTTCCTCTTGGTGCTCCTATTATTACTGGTGGCAGCCATCTTAACCATATCAATGGTGGTTACCATGGAACCATTGCAGGATGACCTAAAACTGTAGATCTTCCTACTGAGATGGGAATTCCAGTAGTTTTTTACTTCGTTATCTGTTCTCCCTGGTAAATTGCTTGCTATTAATGACCACCTACAACACAGCCAACAACATTTTAATCTCAACTACTCAAACATCATCAGTTTATTATTAAAATCTTAACCTCAAAACTTATGCAAGTAATTCTTTAAAGGGAAACCATAATTACTAGTAGTAATTTGCATACCAAAATGGCTGGACAGGAGAGAATTGTAGGCCCAGAATTCCCACAATTATGGACTTTCATTTTCAAGCAAAAAGTGCTAATTTTTTTTTTTCATGAAAAAAATCCGCCCTCATTGTAGTTTTCGTCATTCAATCCCCCAAATAATTAGTACTGCTGTTTTGCAGAAAACTTACTAAATATGAACTATCTATATCATGAACAGTTCACAAAGCCTGACTCTGTCTGATTGAACTTGTTTATTATTCTGAGTAAAATAAGCATTCTTGTTGGTGCACTACTTCACTGGAAACCAAAGCTGTGTTTCATGATGCGGGCTCAGAAATTGGAATCAAACTGAAGAAAGTTTTGCGCTGTACGGATCAAAGGTTCAAAGTACCTTTGTTTTGTTTTTGTAGTCATAAAAAGTGGAACAAGTGATCACAAGATTATTTGCAAGAAAAAGTGATCACAAGATTGGCTAGTAAATAAGACATGATTAAATGGGAAGGGGACAAATGTAACAGTGATGAATTTTTACACACCACAAATAATATTAAGACTGAGGAAGAGAATGAAAAAAAAAAAAAAATACAGAAAAAAAGAGAGAGAGAGAGAGAGAGGAAGAACAGACTTATTGCCAAGAGATTTATGGAGCTTGATGATGGTTTCTTCCTCGTCGCGAGTGAAGTTGCCTCTCTTCAAGTCATCCCTTAAGTAATTAATCCACCTCAGTCTGCAACTCTTCCCGCACCTCAACAGCCCTACAAATTTATTTAAAAGCCAAATGACCAAACTTTTTAGTTAATTATGATTAGAATGCAGCCTCTGTAAAGCTGGAATACACATTGTTGGTTGATGAAGATATACTATGGTTTTGGGGGATGTCTGTGTCTTGGTGGTGATGCAAAGGACGTCGGTGGTTCCTTTATTTGGAACTTACAAAGGTTAACCATCAAATCCGATTCGACGAAAAAAAACACTCGCAATGGAGAAAAAAAAGGGCAATGATGAGGAGGGAAAGGACCAAAGAATGGGAAAAGGGGAAGCCACAGTAGCAAAAAATGCAAATTCCAAGTGGCCTTTGTTTTTCTTTTGTTGGTTCATGCAGAACTGTATGGTCACTGAAGGGTTGCACACTTTGAAAAAGAAATATGAAACACAATGTTGAAACAATTTACAAGGCAAGGGGAAAATGAGGCCATATATGGTGGGTGGGGGGCAGAAATTCACCTGCATTTTTAGGCAAAGATCTCCAAGATCCATCACCATTTTGCTTGATGTAGTTGATGAGAATTTCATCCTCTTCCGCTGTCCATCTTCCTCTCTTCAGTCCTACTTTCTCACAGCAGGGTGCTCTTCCCATTGATGATGGATGATTCGATGTGAATGAAAAGTTCAATCTTCTTCAATCTTCCAACTCCCCAATTAAGAAAGTGGTGTGGTAGGACTTTCTTTTTTTTTTTTTCTTTTTTTCCCTTCACAAAGAGGCCTACTACACAAGTCTACAACAACATAGTATTATTACTAAAACTATTCATTCCCACGTATAAGAGTTCATCAACACAAGTGGACAACACATACTACCTCAAAAACAAGTTCATCTCACTTCATGGGACATTTATAACCCACCACTAAACACATATACCTTTGTACTAAGTTTATCAAACTAACCTTAATAATTTAATTAATATAAAATCCGGAAGGAAAAAAAAAAATAAAGAGCAGAAATTTGTAGGGGCACTGGGGACAACAATTGAAAGAGATGTCAACGGATCACAAAAGTGCCACACAAACCTCAACACGGCCAAGCAAAGCCAAAGACCCCCCTTATACACATGCATACGTACGTTCATGAGCAGACTACTTTCTTTCATGTCTCAGAGGGGGAAAAGAAAAATGTAGCATTATTATTTGTTGTGTTATTGTAAATTGTTAAAACGATTCTTATTTTTATGACGTATAAAATCTTACTATTTTCCATTCCCTTATACTGCTTCTACACACATTCCAACCCTCATTAGCAAAATGGTGTTTAGGTAGAGGAGATACTACTGTCCAATTGTCAATATTATTGATTGGTTAATTATGAAAGCGACGAAAAAAACTGTACCAATATCATTGTTATGCTTAAAAAGTCTCTCATCATCACATCTCAATTCAATTGTCGTCCTTTTTCTTTTTTCTTTTCACAAGATGAAAATGCATATGTTATTGATCAAGTACGATTCAAAAGCTTTGTAATTACCCAACCTTTGTTAACACTTCAAATGGCATTTCTTTTTTGTGAGATTCGACAACTATTAATTACTACCGCGGGTTTTTTTTTTTAAATCTATCGTTTTAGGGTGAGCCCAAAGTGTTTTTTTATCTGTCGCACTTCATTTCCAATGCAACATTAAATACTGTTTCTCAATTTTACTTTTATACTTTTAATAACATATATTAATGACAACTACCTCTTTAACTTGAATTCCAAATTTTTTTAGAGTTCTAATACTTTTAATTAGGGGACAAAAAAGATAATACCCCTTATAAATTAAATTATCAATTATTGTTTTCTTAATAGTTGTGCATGCTTTAAAACGACAGATAAAAAAACGGAGGTAATAATTAATAAGCTAATACATACTTAATGCTATTCTCATCATTGATGTATTTTATTTTTATTTTTTCTGAAAATCAGTACAAGTAACCTGATTGTTCTCTCTTTTCCAAAATGAGAATTCTATTGATTACACTTCAAATAGTATAACAAATAAACTTATTATTTTGGGACAGATAAAGTAATATTAGAAAAGATACTAAATTAATTGTGTCACATAAATAAAAAAAAAAATCAATAGTAATATGGTCTTTTCGATCGTACCATATTAATTCATCGTGCCCATAGATCCAACAAACATCATATTTTTGTATCAGAAAACTATAAATGTAAGGCCACTCGGTTTGTTCTCTTTACACCTTAATGGCTATATTGCACAGTGTACTATTTGCGAGCAGAGAAGATAGATCCTCCCCTCTGTGTATTATGCTGCTGTTCTACTTTGGGAAACTAACGGTTTACACTTTTCTCAGTGCTTCCGACTTTTTAATCCTACTTCTGCATCTCCCATTTCATAATTCTTTTTTTTTTAATCATTATTCTTTTTCCAACTTAATCTTGTAAAAATAAAGATGTTACATGCACAAATTCATCCCACTTCCACGTTTCACTGGCATTCATTCATTCGTGAGTTGTTGACGTGATTTATAAAAATTAATTCGTCACATCATTATTAGGACGAGGGATGGATTACCACTTACTTAATATTTGTCCAAAATTAATTGATTAATTGAATGTGCTCTCTTGCGGGTTGATTGATTGAATATGATCACATGACTAATTATGCATGAGATGTGTAATCCATGATTCCATTTATTCTAAATTGTGGGCATGAGAAAGCTGGTTGAAGGACCACAAAATGCAACTTGTTGGATCATTTATTTTTGTTCCGAACAAAAATAGGGTTAGTGTGGAGCACACTCTCAAAGTAGAACGAAAACAAACATATTAATGTCTATATGGTTTAATATGATCGTGTGTGGAGTTTAGAGGTAAATAACTTCTTTTTTTTTTTTTTTTGGTTTTAACCTTTGAATCCACAAACAATATCAATCCAATTTAAGTTCTCACAATTATTATGAGGAAAAAACAATGTCACAATCCAAGTAAAGTCGGTTTGGTCCAGGTCCCTTTCTATTCCTTGAAATTTGTGGTCCAATGTCATTGTCTCCTCATCAAATCTAGGGCTTTTCACACAAGTCAAATGGCAAACTTCTTTTCTTCCCTTTTAATTATATAATTTTAAAATTATAGATTTGTTAGAACTGATGATGAATTTGATCTCAGGCCAAGGAAACTTGGGGGGTTTGAAATTGGACAAGTAATTGCTACTAAACTTCAAAGAATAGCCTGGAACTTCCATTTATAGTATAAGCAAGTCATCACGAGTACATCCCATGTTGTTTGAATACTTTTAATTATAGTCATATAGCATATGACAATCCAAAAAAAAAAAAAAGGAATATTCAAACCGTAACGACATCAATGGGTTATAGAATATTCCAAGTTTTCAACACTTTAGGTTTACTGAAGAGGCGTTCATCATCACCAATGCGTAGAAAGTAACACATGGCGGTCTTATTCATTATTCATTGACGTTGGTTTAGGGTTAACTTCGTTCCAAAGCAGTCTAAACTCTAAAGCTCTCGAAAAAATCTTCAAAGTATTTCGGGAGTTCTAATCTTGTCTTAAAAAAGATATTTCATCCATCCGTCTCAAAATAAAAATTATATGTTTACTTCTACGGATTAATGTACTGTTTTTTGTTGCAAATTAAATGTCACTACACCATGTAATTAAGTAGAGTATCTAGCTAGTACTTTTGATTGTACATTCATTCACATATAAATATTATGACATACTATTAATTAATGATGATTCGTATGTTGTCTCTATTTTTCTGTAGAAGAAACAACACCAAAATTGATTCCTATGTTGTCAATCATCAGCAAGAAAAAGTACGAAGAATTAAATTAATTAAACACGTAGGCAAACACAAAAGAGTGAATGATGCCAAGCCACCAAGGCCCTTAAGGCTCATAAACCCTAATGTCAACGTATGCTTCAAAGATACCACAAGTTTTTACTTAACTTCCTCCGTTAAAATTAAAGGGGAAAAAAAAAAGAAGAAAACATTAATTGTAGAAAAACACACTGCAGGAGAGGAAAGAAGTCTCTTGAAATGAAACACTTGATTGACGGTTTTCCCATTTATTGCTTCACGGATCATCACATTATTGTTGTTTCTCTCTAAATATCTATATTTTAGTTCGGAAAAAAGTTGTAAGGCAATGGTTTTCTTGCGTATTTAGATATATTTTGGTGGTGGCAATGTTATAATTTGTGAAGTGATTGATGAGTGCAAATTTCAACTAATGTAGAATCCTCCAAATGACCACATTGTATTTAACAAATAAGAAAATCATATTGAAGCGAAAAGAGTATTATTAACATATAATATAAATACAAAAGTACAAAACAGGCATATAGCTAAATTAAAACATTCACCATTCCGTCTGAAATTCTCCTCAGATGGTCCGGAAAAATTGACCCAACTGTGTGTGTGTGTGTGTGTGTGTGTGTAATGCCTCTAGAAAATATGTGACAAGGAATTAAGAAACTTGGAAGCAGAGATGGTCAAATGAGCAAAAATAAAAGACGAATCCAAAACGTAATCCATAAGAGAGAGATATAAAGGTTCAACGGAGATGCACTTCAACTGTACGAAAAGTAAGTACTATACAATGTTCTAGTGTTTCTATAAGCAGCTCTGCGGCTTCTATTTTTAGATTGATACGTTGACGATGACTATTGCTTCCATTTCTTCAAGCTCTGAGCCACGAAGAATATGTGCTACAAAATTAAATTAATTAATTTGCATTCATAAGTTGTGTAATTAATTATTGAATGATTTTGCTGTGCGAGAAAAGTGAAAGGTACTGGGTGGATCATCCTCTGCGTTCATGTTTAGTAATTGACGTTTGATTAATGAACTCACTATATATATGCCATCATACACATATTAATATTGCATGTAATAATGTTTAAGAAACTTATTAGTATTGAAAGTCGGTGGAAACTGATACAAATCACTAAGTACGTGATACATATATACATATAATTGATAGGGTCAATTTAAAAGATCTTTCAAAATCTGGTTGATTGAAGATGTCAGAATTCTGCAAGTCTCATCTTCATCATGACCTCGTAGTTGGGTGTAATAATAATTAATAAAAATGAGGTCACTAAACAAAAACAACAAAACAAATACAGTAATCTGTGAGCAAATCACTGGGAGGATGGATGAGTAACACCACAACGTGTTTATGTATAGTTCGTGTAATTGAACTAATATACTCCCTTCGTCCCATAATTATTGTGCAGTTTGAGTTTTCATTTCTAGTTTAAATTATACCAAAAATAAAATCTCAAACTGGACAATAATTTTAGGACAGAGGGAGTAATATATTCTTTCCATTGGGCTCGTGTTACTGCTAAAGCCAATGAACGCTACTACACTAGGTTAACATTCTAAAATGTTGTCCATTTAAAATTTTTATGTTTAATTTAAATTGTACTAAAAACATAAAGTTCTTAATTAATTGATTTCTGGAAAATGTCCGAAAAGATTCGTAATAAATACATTCAACATTTCTTCTTTAGAAACGTACTAGTAGAGTCTATTACTCACAGAAAAGAGCTTTTTCTTTTTTTTTTTGGTTGTAAAAAGAATACCTCATTTTTTGACAATTAGTATTTTAGACATATATTACTAGTAGAAACTGTTATAAAGAAATAAAAAATAATAATAATTTTTCTTTTTGAAACAGAGCGAGTGAAAAAAATAAAATTGACATATATGAAATATGGGCGAATGTCCCATTTGGGGCATTTGGAAGTGTGAGGATGTAGAGAAGTGCGTTTGTTACAAAAAGGGTGTGTTTGTTGCCCTTTTGAATATTGTATACAATGTCTGCAGCTACTGTTGTTATTCTTCGTGTAGATAATTTAGACGTTTATGCAGCCTCAAATAATCCAGGGGACGCTTATATCATTGCCAACTGTCACATGGTTCCTACGGTCTTTTTAATCCCTGAATTACTCTCCGATACGATTTTCGTCTTTAATGGTTTTCACGCGAAAAAATTAGTTATGATAATTTCTTTTGTTTAAAATTTGTTTGATTGACCAGATTCGGGGCGAAATATGATTTTTTTAAATTATTTTTATGAAAGTATAATTACATTTTTTTTTCAAAATTTTATATTTTTATCAACTTTACTCCCAATTTATTTAATTTTTTCAATTGAACCCAATTTTAACTTTAGCACATCACTTTTTCAATTTTACTCTACTCACTTTTATTTATGAAAATTAAATCTTTCTATCAACAAAATATAAAATGTCCGATAATGTTTACCTTATTCTTCTCATATTTACCATAAATAAAGTAATCTTAAATATTTATTAATTTATTTATTTTCTCAAATTATTTTTTCTCTCTACTGGCCCTATGTTAAACCAAAAACCAACACCTCACCATTTACTCCGTTGGCCATACAAAATTATAAAATGATAATTGGAAGAAAATAAATAAGTAAATATTTTATGATATTTTTGAGTTTATTTGTAATAAAAATGAGACAGAATAGGGTAAATAATGTAATAACTTTATATTTTTGGAAGTAAGATTTGAATTGATAGCATATTTTATATTTAGTATTTTTATAGGATTTTTTATTATTATCCTGGCTTAATACTAAATCGATTATCATATTTTTTACCATTTTACTCATAAAATTTAAAAATAAATTAAAAATAATAATAATGTAACTAAAAAAATTCTAGAATAACAAAATAAATTTTAATAAATAATATTAAATTAAATAAATTTTTTAATTAAAATTTACATTCACAAACTTTGTTCAAAACTTTTTTTTTTTTTATGGTTTTCACTCTAATGCTTTATTTTTACCGGACTAACCACCTTTTCATATTAGAAAAGTTTGTATTTATGGATATTCATCTTTTTAATCTATTATTTGACCTTTTTACTTGACAAAATGTTTCCAAACCTTATTTTAGTTTACCTTATCTATAGTTATTATGTCAAAAAAACAAAGCAATGAGGATATTCAAAAAATAAAAGTTTCTTTGATGTTTTATTTTTTTATTGACGTTAAAAAACACAAGGTAAATTAAATAGGTTTATGAGATGAGAATATAAAATAACTAGTAAAAAAATATGACAATGAAAATTTTGGAATTTGAGAAAATGGTGTTCAGAAAGAAAGAATTGGACATAAAAAGGGAAAAGTTCTGATTTTGCACGTTTTTTTTTTGAATTTTTACAATAATTTATCACGGAATATTTTATTAATTAATATTATTTATTAAATTTATCTTATTATTATATATTTTATGTTATACTATTTGTGCTATTTGATAGCATATTTGTGCTATTTGTGCTATTTGACATGATAGCATATTTGTGCTAATATAGTAAAAATTGATAGTTGATTTAGTAATAGACCAGCAGAACAAAAAAACAAATAATGGAGGTAAAGCAAATTTTTAGAATATTTTTTACTTTGTTCATGGTAAATGTAATAGAGAATAGGGTAAATAATGTGATAAATTTTACATTTTAGTGAATTTCGCCAATAGGACCAATTTTGAACTAAAAAAAGAAACTATTAGAACTAATTTTTTTTTGTGAAAAATATTAAGGACAAAAATTAGACCGGAAAATATTTTAGGGTCCAAAAAGATCGGGCGCCCTTAGAATTTACGAGAACATGACGTTGCCGATAATATATTGTATCCATATGAAATGGAATAACGCAGAAATTCAACACACTTAGAAAAGAAAAGAAAAGAAAATGAAAACAAAGAAAGGTAGGCCTCCTGTCTTATTATGTACCATTTCGATCACCAGTCTAACTAGAGAGAGTGGAGCAACAACACCCTTTTTAACCTTTTTATGAGTCCAAATGCTCCAAACCCACAAGTTTTGAATATTGGGTAATTCGGTAAGTATAATATAACAAATCAGTCCTCAAGAGTTTGAATGTTAGATACCATACAACACACGCTCACTAGAAGAAGCTGAGGAACTCTCTCACATTTATATTAACCTTCTAATTTTGATCCCCTCAATTCTACACAAACCTTCAAGATCAATCGGGGCAAAAATTTCATTCCAAGCTCCAAACCCCCAAAAAATTAAAAAAATAAATTAAAAAAAAAATCAAGTCACATTGCAAATCTGCAACCACCAATAATCATCCATTAATTATTTTCGTACTACTATAACTATTATTTCTCCTGGGACAGCCCACAAGCTCACTTCTCTCCTCAACCTACGGTCTAGCCCTTTCGGTACGACATTTGACAAGGTGTTTCATGTGCAAGTATAACTAGTTAAAAACCACCAGTTGTCAAGCCATCCGTACACATTTCATTATCCTTAAAAACGGGGCCTTATATGGCTCGTGCCCGTCCTCCAAAGAGGTCTCTGCAAATATGGCCACTGCAAAGCAGTCATGTCTCTAACCACCTCTCTATGCATTGTTATGTTAACATCACTATCCCTAACCCACCTCATCTAGTTTCTTGCTAAAGGATTTGGATATACATCTTATTAATGAATGAATGAATACACACATAAAAAAACATCTCAGGCAGGTTGCTATTTGTAGATTAATAATCATGCTCACTAAGGGAGACGGGACATAGGTAGTAGTACTAATCAATGTTATTCACAAATCACATGTCACTCAAGTTACATTAGGTCCCGCTTTGTACCGTCAGAGTTGGTTTTAGTATTCAAAATTCTATGTTTTTTTTGGTAACAGGTATTTCTTACAAGCTCACCGAAGATCCACCACTTCGAACTTCAGATTAGAGTTCATGTAAACATGAGAGCAGTGCTCATATATGGGGCTCCCATCTTCAGGCTCTTCGTGTGGATGGAAACCACGTTGCTGACAGTTGCGTATGACAGAGACACCACTGGGATCAGACAAATGAAAGATGCCATGAGGACTGCAAAGATGAGGGAAAAACAAGGGTGGTTAAGAAAAAAAGAAAAGGGAGATTGTTTAAAAAGAAAAGGGTGGTCATGATGGATTCCAGTATGCACCTCTTGACATAGGCTAAACACTAAACTACAAAAGGACCAAACTAGAAGTACAACCTAAGGATGTAATCAGCTGATTTTTACCTTTTTCACTATTTACACGCATCAAAAACAACAATAATTTAGCAAACAAACCCAAAAAAAAAAGAAAAGTTAGACACAGACACTTGTATGATGTTAGAAACAGCTAGCTGCAATGTACTCTTTCCCACAGTTGAACAAACAATTTCTTTGAGAACTGAAAAAATCCCACATACAAAAGAGTAGGGTAGTCTTTCTTTTTTTCTATCTATTTTTCCCCAAGTTTAATTATCAGTTTCACGTTCACGATATTGGAAAATGACAATTAATCATCCAATAAATTCAAGGCAGACCCCATAATTGTAACAATCGCAGTGGAGGACAAGATGTATGTGAAAAATGCAAAGAATTTAAAGGTAATACTCTACCTAGATGTGTCCGTGGGAGCCATAACAATGGCAATGGCTTCTGGTAGCATAACCTGTAAAAAAGGCCAAAGTATTTAGCACAGCTAGGAATCAAGAATGTATGGAAAGAGATAAGCAACCAAAACCAAGACGAACATGCTGAAGAATGAGCTAGGATTTCAATTTTACCTGATAGGAATAATGTGTGTGAAGATCAACCGATGACATAAAGCAAGTTTGGGTAGGATGTGTCTGAAATTCACAGGAAGACATTCAATGAACGATGACAAAACATCAGTGAAACTTGAACAACGATCAAGAAGCTCCACTACTTATTTGGGAAAAAAAAATTATTGACACAAGAAAAAACAACATAGTAAGTAGGGCTTTCCCTTTTGAAAATAAAAATGAAAACCTTAGGTGAGCATAGAAAGTAGGACTTTCCCTTTCGAAAACAAAATGAAAACTTTAGCTGACAGCAATACAATATAAAAAAGGCCCGTTACAATCACAAAACTCTATGGAGTGGCAAATAACAAAAGAAAGTCACAAGAATTATTTTGAAACTTACATGAATCCACCCAAGAGGGAAAAGAGAATTTTTGTCTTGGTATTCAAATATCTCCTCTTCATTCAATGTCTGACACTGGAATTACAGGAATCAATGACTAAACATTAACATCTAGCAATTGATAACAAAAGGTGCTGAAATTAATAGGGGGGCATAAATTACTGAATCTGAAGTCGACTCTTGCTTTGGGACAATAAGTGTTGTTATGTAGAACGCCCTGTTTTTCTGCAATTTGAAAACAAAGAAGCACAGAAGTTACAATAGATCAGTCAAATAGTTCCAAGAAAGACAAGACGTGTTGCGCAGTTGATGGATGGAAATTTACCAGAGAACCTGCAAGAACAGCACATGTTTCCAGATTCCTATCCGTATTTTTTTTAGCCAATTTTAAAAAATCAGCCATCATCTTCACTGGCTGCAACAGAATCACAAAACAACATACAAACTTGTGATAAACATTTTTCAGCGCCATGTGACTTGAAATTCTTACAAATAGGCATATGTAGTGGATAATTCAGTCGAATTCATACAATGAAAAGAAAGAACTCACAATATGCAGATTCTGATAGGAGCTAGGACTAGCTGTTGAATCTGGAAAGGATTTTCCAGGGCCGGGTCTTGGATCTGCAACCTTTGAAGGAGATAATGGAAGATACTCAGGTTGCACTTGAGCAAGAACGGGAGGGGGAGACGGTTGTTTAATAAGAGAGAAATCATCTCTGACATCATCGTCCAATCGACAAGCTAAATCCTGATCAATAGATGGCCATCTTCCATCGTCTAAAGAGAGTACTGATGCCATTGCAGAATTTTCCAACTCTAGGTTGTTATGTTGTGATGTAGACCCCGGGTTGAAGCTATGACAAAATATGTATGGAAAAACAATTACAATCTTTGAAATTTTGGAAGAAAAATAAATTCTTCTAAATCTTAGATGCTCGGAAGCACAATCATAACGTCCCAGAAAAAAAGTACATGTAGCCAAAGAAACAAAGAAAAGCTTCACGACAAAATGGAGAATACAGTATCAAATAGGATACTGACCTAGATATCTCATTTGAAACTGATTCGGGATTAGTGGGATAGTTCACCTGTGCGTAAAAGATATCAGTTACTTCGATGATGTTAAAAATGAAACAATATACTGACATTACCTTCATCTCAGATGTCGGTCCTAGCCACTGACCACGAAGACCATTGGGTCCTAACAAGGAGTGTCTTGACAGCGTTTCTTGTTTTGGAAGAGGTAAATTCAGAGCCCTGCAGAACTTTCAGAGAATCACTAAACAATTGATATACTGAAGATAAATAGTTAACAATTTCACAATGGACGTTACAAAGAAGATTCTTAGGTCTACGACGATATGAAGCTAACGCTATAGTGAATACTCACATCTTTTGGAACTGCATGTCAATGGAGTTTGATGGCGTAACACTATTGTATTCATACGGGTTCCTAGAAGGCTGAATACCAGTAGAAGCTTGTGGCAACTGTGCAATAGAAGAAAGCAACATTGAAGTCCGAGAAAATTTGAAATACAGCAAATATTCACACCCAGGAAAAGATAAGCAAACATTTAAATCGGAGAATATTTGAAATATAACCAATATTCAAAACAAAATAAAGATTTTATTCAAATCAAATAAACCCTGTGCATGGTAAATTTGGAAATGCAGACCGCCCAGTATGAAGAATTATCATACAAACACAGATCACACTAGAGCAAGTAAAGTAACCAAATACAGCTTCTGAAGTAAAGGTAATCAAAATATACCCTCTGACTGGTGTATCCTAATGATAGCCCATGATTTGCAGCTGGATTCTCTACCAATGACGTTGACATATATGGGGTTTTTCTGTCCCCATCATACACACATGCTTCATCGGTTGTTTCACCCCTTCTGATGGCCTCCCATTGCTGCTCAGCTCGAGGTTTTAACGACTCCAGCTCATCTAGCACAGTCAACAATTTCTGAAACGCAATCATCACAATACAATATCACATCGAGACTCAGACGACAAAATCTTGATCAACATCTTGAACTAAACTGCCACAACTTCACACTAACCTTTTTGAAAGACGCTCTTTCTTTTGGATTCACCATAGCCTGATAATCTCGGTGATACGGTATTGTTTCAGAAAACAAACTGCCCAAAGAGTCCGCAAATTAATCTCACTTATTAAGAAGACAACTGTAAAATCGTAGCAGCGAACGTTAATTTCCTTGGTATTTTTACCTTACATATCTGAAAAGTGTTATATACAACTTGACGATATCTTTTTCCTCCCTGTATATGTTTGCCTGAATTTGAGAAAACCTTAACAGCTTTAGTGAAACGCCGTTACAAATGTAAGCAAAAACCACTAAAATATAAATTCAAGAACACCAATTCTGAACGGATAAAACTACGTACAAAAACCGATCAACTGTATCAATGACGTTCAAGAAAATGAAGCAGCTAAAATTCGCAAAATCAAGAATTCACAATTCGGAAAACAATAATAACAACAAAGAACTGATCCTATCAGAAAAGACATTAAAATTTGCGGGAAAGAAACCTGTCTGAGGAGATTATCGGCAATCCGATAGTACTGCCGGAGAGAAAATCGGTTATCAACGACGATTTTCTTCGTCATCGCGCTGAGAGGTTCCTCCGCGGCCCGCCTCATTCTTCCTGCCGACGGAAAGGTTGTTCTGTTGGGTAAGTAATCTCTGCTTCTCTGGCTGGAGATGTTGTTGACTGAAACTATGTCGTTCTGAAAATGCAACGACCAAGAAGAAATGGAAAGCTTTCATTTCCATTTTGAGTTAATTACAAGAAAACGCCCTCTGTTTCACAAAATCTCAAAACTACACCTATGTAAGTAGGGCTGACAATTCCTGACAATATCCGGAATTTCGACACGAACTTGACACAAAATAAATGAGTTCGAGTTGAGATTTTGGACTCGTATAATAAACAGGTCGGGTTAGGATTGACCTGTTTATTATACGGGTCGGGTTCGGGTCAATCGACGGGTTACCCAGGTTACTTATTTATATGTAATATATATGTTTTTGAGGGGTATTTGAGAATTTTGCAACATTAGTAACCCTAAATTAAGAGTATATATAGCTTAGATTTACTGTTATATTCTTTCATTCTCTTCTTCCTCCCGGCGGCGACCCCAAACACTATAATTCAGTCTTCTTCAGATCCAGAAGCATCAGTTGGTAATTATAAGCTGTTCTTCCATTTCTACACTCCCAAAAGGTAGATCCCATGAGGTAAATAGACGGCGGGTGCAAATTCAGCAAGTTCTTTGCGGTCTAATTAGTGATATTCTTCAATCTACTTTCCTATTTTATTTAGGTTTGGCCGCTCATGTGTATTTAGAAAAATAGAATCGCGGATGTTTGTGTGTGCGTCGGTGATAGATATGGGATTAGTTCCTTGCTGGCTCTGATTCTTACTTTTGAAGACAAGTTTATGTCTTTGTTTGTAACTTTTTCTTATTTTTTATTGGATTGTAAATTTGTGAATGCAATTGGCAATTGGCAAATGCTACTTATGTATGTTTATTCACGGATGATGAATGGATTTACTATCATTTCATAAGTTGTTGTTTGAGACCCAAGGATCTCCGATCTTGTTTTTGTTTTGCAATTTTTCTGAATCAAAATTTTTTTACAGGTTAAACTGGTCGACCCGGGTCGACCTGATTTTTTAAAGATCGGGTTAGGATTACGATGCTTGACATATATAATTAAACAGGTCGGGTTCAAATTGACTATCATTTTTTCGGGTTCGGGTTCCACCCGACCGACCAACCCAGACCCGACACGGATTGCCAACCCTATCTTTAAGATACATCATCTTAAAAAATTAAATCATAGTTAAGAAAGACACCTTTGAAATTATGATTGAAAATATTATCAATTTTCAGAATATAGAAGAGAAAACAAAACATCAAAAGTAACTATAAGAAAAAATGCTACTGAATTATAAAATATCATCAATTTTCACTAATTGAGACAAACAAAATATGAAAAAACTCCCAAAATGAATGTATAGTTTGAATTTTTAATTTTAGTACTATTTTTACTGAATGTGAAATCTTAAATAGAATAATCATTTCGAGACCGGAAAAAATATAGAAAAAGATGTCAATGATTTAAAACCGCTTCAAAAGATAAAAATCCTATATGATATCAAACTGTATAAGAGAAGGTTTCATGTCCACTCATGATTCGAATCCTTAAAGCAAAACTGGATGCTTGTCCGGGCAAAAGCCCGGGGCACCTTATTTAACAAATTGACATGTAATTAATAAATAATACTACCTATGACAAAATAAATTAATAAATAAATGACAGTAAATAATATGTACTACTCAGAACACTGGAAGAATAATTCTTAATGCGTCAAAAAAAACCCTGGTCACTACCCTTAATACCATCCTTTTCTTTTGGCTGCTCCCCCTCACTAACACATAATAAATTCCTAAAAATATTTTCCCGTCCGCCTTTTTGAATTATATTAGGCCTCAAACTCAGTTTTCCTTTCTTGGTTTTAGGCCCCAATTTCACTGCAAAAATTAAAACAAAAGATAATCTAATTAAACAAACTGTTTTACAAATCCATTAAACTTAAAAAAATTGAAAATGCTAATATGATGATAATTAATTACCATGCTGGCGAATTCTGCATAACTATTAAATTTCTTCTCAAACTTCTTCTTCTAATTAGTAGGAAAAGCCAGGACCGAATTGTTTGATTGTTTTCAACAATCACAAAGAAAAATAATAAGACTAATGAAAGTGGAGCCCAAAAGGAAAAACTTATTAAAATTAATAATCAAACAAACTAAGACGATTTTGAAACTGATCATAATTCTTCATTTAAATGATATTTAGTTAGATTTAGAGGAAAGATGATGACCATTAATTGGCGCATTGAGATTAAAAAAAAAAAAATTTACTTCAAAACTCTTATAGATCAAAGTGACGCCCAATTCAATCGCCCAATATGAACATGGAATCCATAGACGAACGATGATGCATGAATATTCTCCGTGGACTCGACGGTGGCAGTGGACTTTTGAGTTTTGGACGGTCTTCTTTCTTCTCTTTGTTGTAATGATCATGCTAAACAAAAATCAAGTCTCCGTTAGAAGAAAGCAACACATCAACAAAAGGGGAAAACTTAACCCTAATCTAAAAACAAATACCATGTTGCTTTCTGAAGCTTTCTACCGGCGGCTTCTGCTATCGATCCCAATTAGCGAGGACTGGTCTCCAGGCATCTTCCGACGGGAGCAATGGTGGCGTTGGAATTAGTCAATGGATGTAGAGAATCTGTGAACGAAACTTGATATTCACCAAATTTTTGACGTCGATGGATCTGAAGGGCTTGTTTTTATCCTCTCGTCGTTGGTTTCTACCTCAAACCCATCAATTTTCACTAATTAAGACAAACAAAATATGAAAAAACTTCTAAAATGAGTGTATAGTTTGAATTTTTAATTTTAGTACAATTTCTACTGAATGTGAAATCTTAAATTGAACAATCATTTCGAGACCGGAAAAAAATACAGAAAAAGATGTCAATGATTTAAAACCGCTTCAAAAGATAAAAATCCTATATGGTATCAAACTGTGTAAGAGAAGGTTTTGACGGATTAGAAACATTCATGTCCACTCATGATTCGAATCCTTAAAGCAAGATTAGAAGACTATGAAAAATCACGAAGTTATAAATGTAGTATTTTGCAAAATCGAGAAACTTAAGGACGTTTATCAAAAGATGTCGACATGATCACAAGCCTTATGTCATCGTTCTGGGAAATGGACATTCATTTGAATCTCTGAGAGTTGGATTTTGTGCTGTGCATCATCAAAGCTCAATCAATGATGGTGATTCTTTACATTTATGAATATAAACAAAAATCCCAATCTCAGCTCCCATTACTGGTGCCAGATTTGGGATCAAAATGTCATACAAAATGAATCTCTTTACCAATTAGTACTACTGAACAGGACCCTATAAAAACTACAGGATGGTGGCTAAAAGCCATACAACAATTAGCAAATGAGACCTACATCAGAAGGGAACGAAAAGTTCCCAAAAAAAAAAGAAGAAAAACAAATCATTTCTGGGATGAAACCAAAATGGCATAGAGAAGCTCATTCCAAGAGTCAGGAACGCCAGGAAGACACCAATGGCTGCAATCTTGAACCATTCCAGGCCTCCTAAATTCTTCTGTTTGTCCAAACACAGAAGGATGACCATCTTTTCTGTAGTCTGTCATCCTTGTTATGTTCAGGAAGTGCACTGGAGTCTTCATTGTCTGAATGACACTCTCCAGTGTCCTCATCATCCATGGATATGGTGATAAGTAAGTGTCATTTGCTATTGGTTGTGTTTCTCCATCGCAACTGCCTCCTGAGTTCCATTGTCCTCCCCTGCATTAAGGCAAGAAATCAGTGAACTTTTTTTTTTGACTGATCTTTCAAAGATCAGTTTTTTTTTTTTTTTTTATTAGTGAGTTTTTCAGGTGATTGATTACTTGAAATGGGAAGCAGAGTATCCACGGAAAAACACCATGGTTTGAGTGGTGTTGATGTTGGAATCAACCCATTGTGCCCATGTTCTTAGTGCCTTGCTGAATGCATCTCTCACTTCTAATTTATCATACACATGATTCCCTTCCTGGAAATAACTGTCCCTGTAAGTTGTAACCAAACCCAAAAAAGAGTAAAGATTCAAATTTTGTCCCCCCCAAAAAAAAGAGATGATTATTCAAAACAGAGAGAAATTTTGTTTGTACCCTTTATAAGTTTTCTGGTGAGTCCACCAGTGACCTGTGTTGAAGATGATGATGTCAGCATCTTGGTATTTGACGGAGGAGGATTGAATCATGTCCAGCCTCAGCGTTTCCCGGCGGATTCCGGCCTTGCTCATGAACTTCCACTCCTGAACTAAGAATGGTGATCTGATGAAATCTATCGACACATTATAATCCTACAGAAAACAATCAAAAACCATCATCTATTCATCATTCAAAACCTCAAAATTCAATAAACCTGGATACTAATTTTAGCATTGATCACTAAACCACACCATAACAGACCTGGAATTTGAATGAATAGAATCCCTCAGTCCTGAATTCCCGCCGGCCGGAAACTTCAAACACATTGCTGGAGTTACCTAAAGCAGATTTCAGAGCACAGACTAATGACTCCCACATGTTCCTGTTCAGTGAATCCCCAACAAATGCCACCCTTTTCCCCCTCAACATCTTCAGCATTTTCAACCCATCAAACCTGAAGAATTCGATTTAAAAAAAAAAAAAAAAGAAAATCAGAACCACCATTTGATTTGAATATAAAATCAGTATACCAACAAAACAAAACAAAAAAAGAAGAAAAAGATTGAACCTTGGAAGATCGCAGCCGAGGGGTTTCCATCTGAGCCTGAAATAATCATAATCAGACCGGCCATTCTTGAAACAGTTAAAGGCATCATCAATGAAAGAACAAGAACCCGGTTCATAAAGCGGCATTGATTCATCCATCTCCCAATTCCCATCAAAGAAATCACAAGATTCATTCTTTGAACGGTTCTGATCGGACGTTACGCCAATTTCAGGCTTTTTCCTCACGGTGGCGCTGCCCACCGTCGTAAACGTGACGCCACCGGTGTGAGTGGTTGGATGAGGCGGAGGAGGAGGAGGGGCGCCGGAAACGAAACTGGGTTCGTCGGAAACGACAGAGGAAGACAGAGAGGAGATGTAATTGGAGGCGGAGTGGAGGTGAGAAATGAGGTTGTTGGAGGAGATATCTGCGGTTGGGGATTTGTTGGAAAGTGGGGAGAAGAAGAAGACGGCGAGAAGCAGAGTGAGGAGAAGAGTGAAGAGGCCTTTGGTTCTTGGTTTTGGGAGAGGGTATGAGGTGATGAAGTTTCTTGATAGTTGGATGAATGAATTCTTAGAGGACGCCATTACTGTACAAAAAAAAAGAAAAAAGAAAAGAAAACAGAGTACTTTTGCAGAGTGAAGAAGAAGAAGAAGAAAGAAAGAAGTGAATGGCGGTTATGGTTTTGATCCGGTTGAAAGATGTTAAATTTAGGAGGGAAGATGTTTTTCTCATTATTTGACCCTTTTGACCGGATTTTCCACCCTGGCAGCTATCTCAATTTCAGTTTAGCAAATATTGTAATAATCCCATAAATAAGGGGATAGAACTAATTAATCTGGATTAATCATCAAAATAGGACATTAGGGGAAAAAACAGTAATAATAAAAATAATTATTATTACACAAATTATAGTTATTGTAGTGGCTGATACATTTGGTCTAAGCTTTCTTGGATAGTAGTACAATAAAAATACATATTAAGATGCTGCTCTTCCATTAAAGTAACAAACGAGGAGGCATAATCACCAAACCAAGCCCAAAAAGAAGAATAAGAACAATAATATCGGTCGGATTATTAGTCTTGTATGCGTTGCCGTAATCATTTTGGACATGCTCCGCAACATTGAAGTCACCTGCAAAAGAAAACCATAAAATCATCAGTTGAAAGTTGGTGATTTTTTTAGTCACTGTTTATTGTAGAAGCAATCCTGTAGGCCTTCAAAGATAAAAGAGGTTTTTGGAAAATGAGTAGTACTACTAACCTCGGTGAGGGCCATAACCACATCCGGATTCAATTGTCTCCCTCACATCACCAATGGTAGCCTTGTTGTAGAATTCAAAGTGATAAAATATGCCTTCAATGCAGTTGAGCACCAGGTTTGTCTCTGATAAACATGGTCCACCGCAAAACTGATCCGTGTGTTCTGGTGGCACGTCGAGTTCCCCCTTTACCGACAGCCTATACTCTTCATTACAGCTACTATATATCTGCAGTTAAGAACATGGTTTCGGATTCACATTAATCAACAACTTAACACGGTGTTGATAATTATCTGTATAAACCACTTCGAAAATCTCAGGTTTATGGTTTACTGTAACAAGGCAGAACATGGTAGCTAGTAGGTTGTACTTGTTTTTCATTGAAACACAGGAGGGCCTGTGCTACAATGTGATCTGGATTAGACCGTTCATATCCTGCTGGTTGAGGATAATCTTGATTTGTACCAACTTGTTGTCCTCCTCCTCCTCCTCCTCCTCCTACTCCTGGCAGGTATTCATTTGAGAGTACTCCTGCTGCTGCTGTTGAAGCTGTACTAGGAGGATAATTATTCTCTGCTCTCCCTGCCATAAATTGAGGTTTGAATCATTAAAAACACATTCAAATGATCAGCTTCCAGGACTAGTTTTAATTTGTCATTTTGGACAAAGGATATCCTTAAAAGGTGCGAGATTGAATTTTGTTTTGTGTAACGACGAACATAATCCTTACCATATGGAAGAACAAAGAAGCTGTAAGTGTAAAATACCGCCAAGGCAAAAGGCCAGTAATGCTTCGGTGTAGTTGGGAGGGCCATTTTTTATTTGCAGAAATTGTTTTGTGTTTTGAGGTGTAAGAACTTAGAGACATTTATATATTCTTTTAAAAACAGAAACTTCAAAGATCAAACCTACCAAATTCCCAAAAATATGACAGTTGTTGAAAACTGAGGTTCCAGAGTCCAGAATCATACTGCTAATATGTTTAAGCCTTCTAGTCTGCAGCTTTGCTTGTGGAAATGGACAAAAAGTGAAAAAATGACATTTTTCTGGAAGGAACCAACCATCAGGCAAATCTCAATTAATTTTATCTGGGTAGTTATATTATTTTTGTTTTGCCTGGCAAATTGAATATTAAGCCTAATGTGAAACCGTAGATACTGCCACCAAATTAAGAAGCTTACAATACAAGGGTTAAGAATTTGATTAATGTTACCAAAAGAATCCATCAAAAAGTAAAAGGGCTAGGTGATCTGTTTTCTCCAGTTTTTGGTGAAGGCAAGAAGAGTAAAACCAAGAAATGCATTAGCCCATCTGAAAGCCGATTTACCTAAAAGTAATTCCCTTCCTTCCACTTCAAGTTAACTCTTCTCTTGTTCTAGTTGTCTTTTGTGGTTGTATTAAGGTAGAACAGTGTATCAAACAACTCGCAGTTAATAAACTCCTCCTTTCTTACCAAAATATCATAATAAACACCAAAATCACACACACAGATTTCTTGAACAATTTATGCACTCTTTACTACTCAATGAGGATCCAAAAGGCAAGTATTTTTTTACCAAGCTACGAATACCAACATTACAATGTGTGAAGTAACTTCTCCAGAACACTGTAGTATGCTAATACCTGGAAATGAATTCTAAAAGCAACATGTACCTTCTCACCGCCCTCAAATTCCTTCTCAACAGATAATATCCAGTTGAATATTAAGATACATTCTCACCGCCCCCAAACCATGGCCATATACAAACACAATTAAGCTAAAAACAAGAATTTAAATAACAAAACGAATAACTTTAGTTATGATCACCTTTTTGCCCATCTTCCAGTTAGGAGCCTTCAGAATATGACGACTCATTCAGGAATTTCTCATCACTACAGTTCCTGCTTATAAGATCATTACTCATTCTCAAAGCAGTTTGGGCAACTCTGTCGTGGACACGAAAGCCCTACTAAACCTTGTCTGAAGGCCCCTCCGCGTGCTCCTTTGAGTTTCTTGCATGCAGTTCTGGTGATTTCCTCTCCTTTAACTGTTCAAGTTAATAATCGTCCGCCTCCATCTCCGACTCAGCTAAGTCTTTTGAGCGTAAATTTGTATATCCGGATATTTGCCTTCTGGAAAGCAAGAATCCTGATGCGTAGTAATTTAGACACTGTCAACTTTCTTTTTCTGCTGCTGCTCTTTCCCCTGCTGCACCCAAAAAGCTTTGCCATCTGTTTTGCAGCTTCTTATGGCAGAGGAAACTGCCTTATCAGGTAATTTGTTCATTACAGCGAGCAAATTCGACAAACTTATTGCCATTTACATTGAGCAGTTTTATCTTTTTTCCAGGATATATCCTTACCCACGTAGAAGTTCCCTAATTTTTGTGAGTAATGGAGCTCCTCATCCCTGACCTTCTCAATTCTTTGGGATTTTGTTTCAACACTTCTAATCACCCCAAATATCCTGCTATACAAGTCATTTACAACAGCCCTGGTTTTATCTACACTTAATCCCTCGGCTCCTCTCACATCTTGGTGTCTCAGCTGACTGCATTTCCTCTCATTCATCTTCCTGATGTTGTTGTCTTCGGCTGCACAAAAAGATGTTTCATATTAGCAGAGATAAAAAAAAAAAAGAACTTAGTTGTAATTGATCATTCAACCAGAACAAGCATCCATGAATGAACTTGAACAAGATCTTTCAGCTATCTCAGACTATACATCTGTACAGGTTTGTTTACCTTAATCTCTTCATGGAGTTTCTTCTCTCAAGCATATTTCCTTCCTAGTGTTAGTGATGGCTTCCAGAATACTCTCCTCGTAATCATAAAACAGATCCAAATCATCAAAGAACTTTTTGAACTTGAGGAGGGTACAAGGCTTTTGCACGATGAGGATTGTGACAAAATAGATTGCGAAGGTATAGCTTGAATCTCATCTGCTTGAGTTCCCTGAAATTTTAGACCAGAGATAGAAATGTTTCAGACATTTCTCAATGGGCAAAAGCAATGTGAAAAATGCAAAAGGAAACTAAGATTGGATATTGGATCGAGTGAAACAGACCAACTCCAAACCTGTGCAAAGATTCGAGTCATTTATGTATAGACTAAACAAAAATGGTGGATCGAAAAAGAAAAAAGACCCATGTTGGTATCTTAAAACTGGAAGGCGCAAAATGAGCCCTTTTCGAGTTTTCAAAATGGATTACCACTAAGTTTTCCAGAGTCCACAAACAAAATTCGAAAGCTCTGAATACATAAAGCAAACTTCAAAACAGAAGAAAAGTGCTTTCACTCCCTACTAGAATAGATAGCACGAATAAACACTTTGATCCAACATTTAAAACTGAAGAGAAGGACAAGAAAAGGGTAAAATGTAAACTTTCAGATTCTAACAAAGACAAGACACGAAAACACCCGAAGAATGTACCAAATCTTTATGTTGCACTAGTAACCAAGAAAGTGGAACACATGAATGTTACACCACAAAAGCAGCAGCTCATGAAGAACGTTTCAGTTTATAACTTATAAACAAAGAGACAAGCTTTTGACCTTTCTTTCCTCTAAATTTGATTGCAGCTGAATCCTGCTTATCTCCAACATAACACAAAGTGCTTAGAATGGTGTCCAACATCTGCCAGAGCCGACAAAAGTGCACCTCTCTTTCCTACTTCCTTCCTGCCCACCTCTCAGGTTCACACTTTCATGAACCTCATCGACCAACCCCCTACTTTGATCCTCATCTTCTTCCAATTCTAAACTTCCTTCCAGCCCTCTCACCACCCTCAAAGTCGGCACAAAATAAACAATTCAAGAGAAAGAAAGTAGACTATCCTGAAAGTCAACACAATGGCATGGAAATGTTTATGCATTAAGCAGAGAGTTGAACATTCTTAATGTGGGAGCTCAAATACTAATCAGCATTTCCATCAGGGCTTCAAACCTATGCCTCTGTCTCTATACCTATCAAATATTTCTTGAGCGTCCTCAAATCTTGATTTCTTAACCAAAATCTCCAAAAACAGGTTACATGTATGAGCATCGGGTGCGCATCCATTTGCTTCCATAAATTGAAATAGACCTTTCGCCTCGTCGACTCTTCCAACTTCACATAAGGCCTTTATAAAAGCCGAATAAGTGAAATTATCAGGGCTTAAACCCAATTCCAACATGCTCATCAACATCTTCTCCGCCCTCTCAATCTTATTTGTCCTGCAAAAACTTTGGATTAGAGAATTGAAAGATAAAACATCTGGCCTAACCCCGCCCCTCTGCATTTTCCTCAACAAATTCATGGATTTAGGGATGTTTCCAGCAACACATAACCAGCGTATTAATATATTATATGTCACCCCATTTGGAGTAACGCCCCACTCCACCATTTCTGTAAAACAATCAAAAGCATCCTCAACTCGATACGCTCTACAAAGTCCATCAATTATTGCACAGAAAGTGTAAATGTCGGGTCTCAGACCAGCTTTAAAGACCATTATGAGTAGCTCTCGTGCCTTATCTACATTCCCAGCCTTATAGTACCCATCCATAAGAGTATTCACTGTGACAAGATTTGGGCATATACTTCTCTCGCGCATCTCATCGAAAGCGGCTGAAGCTTTTTGCATCATTTTAGCTTTGCAAAAGCAGTCAATTAGCATATTATAAGTAGCTACATTATTTATAAGACCGTCATGAAGCATCTGTTTCAAGTATTGATCACCTTTTCCTCTGTGCCCAGAACTGAACAAAGCTTCTATCACAGTAAGATACGTTCTTAACTCAACCTGCCCACCTTGTTTAATAAAACAATCTAATATTTCGCAAGTCTCTTCAATACTCAATCCCTTGATCAAAGACGTCAACGTGATGTTAAATATCGAATTATCAGCCACATAACCTCTTTCCGAACATTGTTTTAGAAAAGAAGCCGCCTCCTTCGACAAAGAGTTATCTGAAAGACAGCATAGTATAGAGTCACAAGCAACTTTTGGCAGCACGAGCTGTGTGTCCACCCATCTTGATAACAATTCGAATGCCTCTCGTGGTGATGATACACAGCGAAACACTCCATTAACCAAGGATCTGAAGGTAGCTTCATTCGGAACCACATTCTTCTCCTTCATTATTTCCAAAATGCCAAATGCCTCCTCCACTCGTTTCGCATTACAGTACCCGTCTATCAGAATCGTATACGTAAACACATTCGGAAAAAATCCCAACCCTTCCATTTGCTTGATCAACCTAAGTGCCTCATCAACCACGCCGATTTTACAAACTCCATGGATGAGAATATTAAATGTGAACCTATCCGGACGACAGTGGTCAACATGCATTTGCTGAAACTTAAGATAAGCCAAGTCAAGTGAATTGGCCTTCACCAAAGCATCAATCACAGCGTTATATAGCCTAGTACTAGGACTTAGCCCCAAATATGACACCTGCTCAAAAACTTCAGCAGAATACTTCCCAAGCCCTAGCCTCCCCCAGGTACCAACCAAAACACAGAGCAAATCCTCAGTGATCCTAAAACCAGAATTCCTAATATCTTGAACCAATTCAGCTGACAACAAAACTGGGCCTTTTCTATAGAGTGCGTTACTCAAAACCACCCGAATCGACTGATTCTTAGCAAATAAAGGGTTGATACTCAAAACCCAGATATAAAATCTCAAAGGGTGTAAAGGGTTTTCCTGATTTTGCAAGATGCTAATGATTTTCTGAGGGGTCAAGATTACCCTCTTGGCCTTATATTCCTGCCTCAGCAACAAATACCAATCTTTTCTGGACAGAATCTGAGTGAAGTAGTTATGATCAACATGGTGTTTTGGTAAAACTGAGTCCGAGTTTGGGTCTTTAAATCGAGTAGTTGACAGGGATGGATATTTACCTGCCGAAATGGATGTCTCAGAGGCTAAAGGCTGAGCCTTTTGGCTTGAAGCCGAGGCTGCCCTAGAAGCCAAATGAAAAAGTCCTCTCATACTTCAGTCATTCCATTTGCTCAATTCAATGGAGGAGGACAAAACCGGCTGAACTTCATGACCGGAAAATTTGTGAGCTTCCAGCAGAATGAAAGATCCGCCGGCCAGTTACTAACCGCGGTTGTAAATTGTAATTCTCAGTAACTGCACCCGATTCCCCCACCGGTAAGTGCGTTTATATTTTGTTTTTTCAGTTCTTTTTTTTTCTACATTTTTAATGTACATTTCTCGATTTTTTTATTTTAATTTAATATACATAGCTCTGAACAAAGCTAGATACGAAGATAATCTATGGGATTATGGTTGGGTTGCATTGACTAAGATACAAATGCTGTGAAAAAGTGAAGTACATTGAGAAGAATAACAATTTCGCTTCCTACTGGTAGTAGAAAATTGAGAATTAATATAAATTGGAAAGTAGATTTTTTTGAGGTATTATTAATATAAATAAATTGTCCAAAGAATATGTACAATTTCGAGTAAGTGTTTACTACTTTCATCTAAATATTTTTAGGTCCTTATTATAAACCATTTTGATTTATCATAAACTTCATTTAATATGTTTTTCAATTAAAAATAAAACTTTAAAAATATTTTACAATAATTGAAAGAACACAAAAATATAAAATAAATTTTACTTTCAAATAAGAACATATCAGATTAAATTTAGGTCAAAATGATTTATAACAAAGACCGGAAAGAGTATTTTGTAAAAAAAGGTAGAAAGCTCTATATATAAAAATAAAATAAACATTCGATCTCTCGTAGGTGAAAATGTAATGCAAACTTTTAAGGCATAATTCTCTTTGTTTAAACTAATTAACCGGTTTGAAGTTTTCATTTGATCATTGATAAATACTTCCCTCCTCTTGTAGTCCCTTACATAAACACCTTTACAGTATTAACTTCCATCCATTACAAGATCTTGTTTCTGGGGCGCGAAACTGATTTTTAGTTTCTCAGACTTAACTTCCTTTCACCTCCTTATTCAAGCTTCAAGCAAGTTTAGCAAAATTGTCAATTTATCATCGCGCTTTATCTCGAAATAATTATTTAATTTGAATTTGATTTTTAAAATGAACCAAATTTTACTTTAAAACAATTAGATTTCAATTTCAGAATATTGTTTGGGAGTTTGATCAAATGGCATTTATAGAGTGGGAGAGTATCTTTGAATACTTGAAACTTGAAAGGACAATTAGCGGAGGAGAAATCAGCACCATGGCAGAAAAGAGGAGGAATTCATATGGTGCAAAACTGCAAATTATGGAGCGAATTTTCAATGTAAAATATCGTGTACTAATTATGTAAAATTCATTAATTAAATTTTATTTTCTATGTGTATGAAAATAAGGTCGGGTATTATTGGTAGGACTCCATTGTTAGTTATGATACACAAGTGTTGTAAAAGACTAAAGCACATTTGAGAAGTGATTATAATTTCGCCTCTTTCACGCATTAACAGCAATAACAAGTTGATCTAAATCTGAGCATTTTTTTTTTTTTTGCACCTAATCTTATGAACTTGCTGAGCTATCACTTCCGGAGCCGGAGGTACAAGCTGGTCTCCTTGGAGGCAATTGTTGATGTTGCGTTTTCTGTACAAAGTAGTAATCAAAATAGCCATCCAATAAGAATCATGATCGAAAAGAAAAGAGTAATTAACAGTCTCCTTGAAACAAGATGATTGTTACATTTGAATTTTATTTGTAGTATAAATTAAAATAAAAATAAATATTAGAATTATACAATCATTTTAGAACATAAAAAGCAATAATACACTAAAAATAAATATCGAAACTTGATAATTATTTTGAGAAAAAAGGAGTAAAGATAAAAGTGAAAAAAATTTTATGATTACCTGAAGCTTGGGCCTCAATGTCTCCACAGCTACTGTTGGGTCCTGGCACAGTCCTGCACTCTGCTATTCATTTTAAAAGCCACAATGATTTTCTGTTTATCTTTCTTTGCAAAAATAGATAAATTGCAGCTGAATAATATAATAAGTATAAATATAGCATTCTTAAAAACAGAGCAGGAGAAAAAAAATTAATTATTCTTGGGTTTGACGTAACAAATACTACTACTATTTAGGGTCATTTTTTAAGTAAAGTAGTAAACAATGGTCGTCGATGTGAACTAAATTAAGAGAAGGAGAGATTTGAGCCCACTGCTACCTTATACAAAACCCAATCCGCGGAGTCAAAGAAGGCCCGTTGGTGATCCTGCATATAATAAGAAGGTATACACATGACATGAGCTGACAAGTATTTTATTTAGCCCTTTTTCCGAATATGGAAAATGATTTATTGTAGATCCAGTATTAAATAATTACCTACAAAAATTTCAATTTTTTTATTCTTCAGGAGAAAAAATACAATACAACGTCTGTTGTTTTTTTTTTCTTTTCAGAATTTAGAAAACCATATTGAAAGAAAATAATAATGTAGCGTATAAGACGTAATAAATTATCACTTGCCTTGGAAATTAAGGGCTTCTTCTTTGGAGCAAGTCCTCCATATTTCTTGTCATTAGAAGCAACCTACTCCAAACTCCCCCAATTAAAATAAATGAAACCAAAAAAAAAAGAAAAAAAGAAATGATATTACAAAGGAAGAATTAGGCACCGACACATAATTTGATGCAATTTAAGCTGACCAAACACACACACGTGGAAAATACCCAAAAAATGTGAAACAAATATTAGTAAGTCAAACAGTGAAATTAGGCCAAAATAGAAGAAAAAAAAAGATATTCGTTATGAATCCAACATGTGACCAACTCTCATTGAGAGAGTTTGGTAGTTTTCGGTTATTGACTCATTATAAATTTATAATAATAATAATTGGTAGTCAAAAAGGGAAAATATTCTCACTACACTCAATTGCAAATGATCATTAAATTAAAATCAAATATGTATAGTTGGTAACGGTGTTTGGTGTTTCATCAAATGATCAAATCCCATGCCTAACTCGAGGAATTATAACGTTTTCGTCCTATTTTTAATAACCTAATTTGCATTTCCTTATATCTAATGAAGATACGTTAAATTCATTACTTGTTGGTGAATTAATCACGCAATTTTAAGTAAAATTCTTACATTATGTGATGTATGCTGTTTCCGCTGAACAACTTTACATACGAGGAAATGCAAGAAATTTGGGTAGCTGCCGACACAAAGATCAGTTGTCCCGTCCCATGCATATTTTTTTTAAGATATTTTTTATTGCGTGCGTGGATGTGATGAAGGCAAAAGTTTGTAAGAAAATGACACAATTTGCCAAAAAAAAATTTCTCCAAAAATAAAAAAGAGAAGAGAAACCTCATGATGATGATGATGACGATTATCGGTGGAAGAATGGTGAAGAAGCTCTTGGCCGCCTCCCTTCCAATTATCAGCAGACATTATTGAATAGTTATAAGGCCTATAACAAAATTGAAAAAAAAAACCAAATTAATTTAGTAATTAGTCCTAAAAATCCTAATCAAATATTAATATCAGCTCAAGGAGGAGCAGCTAGCAAACATATCAAACCAAAATCGAAACGAAATTGAGCAACATCATCAAATTTGCAGAAATATTATCCTTCTTGCAAATATTAGCTAGTTGCTCTGTTCTGTGAATTTCGCTTGTTGATGAATAGATACATAAAATCAGTAAAGATCGATATGAACCCATAATTAATTAAGAAGGGAGATTCTATCATATCAATAATCAAATTCATTAACAAAAAAAAATGTATATACTGGTGTACATGTATGTAAGAAATACAATAAAGTTAATTTTTTTTTAAAAAAAGAATGCAATTAAAAAAAACAAAGAATGCATCTTAAATTGAAGAAATGTATCAAATTATCATCAAACTCAGAAAAGAAGACCAAAGAAATGGATACATGTAAGGAATACCTGGAGATTGATTGATATAATGGAGTGGAAAACAGAAGAAAAGAAAGGAGGAGGCAAAAGGACTGGAATATGAGTTCTGTAACTCTAGAGAGAGGTATTAGATGAAGAAAAAATGATGATGCTGCATATATATAGAAGAGAGGGGAGGCCTCTGGAAGCGGTGGGATGGAAAAAAAAAGAAAAGAAAAAAGAAATGAGGTTTGGAAGCTTGAGTAAGTTGGTAACATAAGAATCATCAGTTCAAATCCTTGTAGTGCATAAAGTGTATTCATCAGATAATTGTATCTAACACGTTTACTTCCTATTCATCACTAAAAAAACACCTTCAGTCCAAAAATAATTATTCAGTTTGTTATATTATATTTTAGTATAAATAAATATCGTGTATAATGTATCTGACATAATATCAGGTGATTGGAAAAAAAAAAACCCCGAATTGAGATGTACACCATCAAAAGTACTATTAAGAAAGACATCAATTTGATTAATACTTTGGAAATACTATTGCGTATTTGCCAATTAATCTAGAACAGAACACTACCATATTTGGCTATTCTTTTCTTACCCTTCTTTGTCATGTAAGAAGATCACATCTTCATAGTACTACTACTACTACTAGTAGTAGTAGATGATTTCCTCCAAAAATCGCTTGGAGAGAGTGACATATATATATATGCATAATAAATAAATACTAAATGTTACTAAACTTGAAGTGATATGGAGTGCTCCAAATCTCCGATTTGGAGACTATGCACACCCATCGGAATCCTCCTAATCCCAAATTGATCCACCACACTCAGGTGCTTACAGGCATTAATATGAACCCTCATCCTCTGTTGTGCCTTAGCCAACACATGAACTTTCTCAAATGCCACCAATTGTTTCTTCGGAACACCCCACTTTCCATCACTTGTTGATGCCGGTGGTGTAGAGAACACTAGCATCGTGTGCGCACCATCCATTTCTCCCACATTTTTTACGTCCAATTCCATCCTAAATTTCATCACCTCGCAATTACTATGCGTGACTCTAACTGAATTTCTTATTAATGTTGTGTTGTTGTGAAGAACACTGTTGCTTATTAATTGTAATGAGAGAACACTTGGCGGGGCATTTGCTAACGTTACTCTAAAACTTGTATAACTTAAACCATGTCCGAATGGAAACACGACGGGTCCCTTATAAAATCTGTATGTTCGACCCGGATATCCTCTCGTCGGATCCGCTCTCAAATTCATATCCGTCATTGGCACTTTATGCACATACTCCTCCGGATACCATGTCATTGGAAGCTTTCCTCCTATCAACCAAAGAATATATATAAATACATAACACATATTAAAACAATTTAAGTTTAAAAAAAAATAAAATTGGGGGGACAAAAATAAGACTACATTTTAAGTACCAATAATTCTTTATGATGCTTTTGTACCTGGATTGATGGTGCCAAAAATGACATCAGCAATGGCAGCGCCTCCAGCTTGACCAGGATAACCAGCCCACAAGATGGCTGCTATTTTTGGATCATTCTTCGCAAATGTGACATCAATTGGGCTGCCAGACATCAGAACCAAAATGACTGGGCCCCTTGAAGCTTTTGCCACCCTGGAAACAAGTTCTTGCTGGGATCCTGGCAAAAGCAGGCTCAATCTGTCTCTGGCTTCTGCTTCAATTGATTGGTCCAGGCCCATAACCAAGACAGTAGCATCTGCTTGCCTTGCAGCTGCCTCAGCAAGACCAAATTGGTGGTTATCATGGCAAGCAACACCATTGCACCCTGTTTGATGAATTGTCCTGGCATATCTTGCTATGCCATTTAATGGGCTGGTGTACTTGCATGGATTTCCTAGACCATACCAACAAAATTTAATTAGTCCATCCATTGAATGTTTTGATGAAACTGTGCTAGGTCGATAGTGCCTTATACGTCAATTTTTATAATGTAAAAATTCAAAACGAACTATAATTTTGGGAAGAGAATCTGGCAAATGATAATTTGGCGTACCGGCATAGTTTCCGATCATAGTTTGAGTGGCATCAGAATTGGGCCCAATGACAGCGATGGTGTGATGGCGGGTGGTGGACAATGGTAGTGATCGGGCCCGATTTTGGAGGAGAACCATGCCTTGTCGGGCAGCTTCAAGAGCGAGTTGTTGATGGGCTGGGGTGCACACGTCTCTTGGGCCTAAGTTCCCATATGGTTGTGTAGCTCCATCAAACATGCCCAAACGCATTTGCACTCTCAATGTATTAGTCAAAGCCGCATCAACGTCAGCCTCTGTAAGTTTGCCAGCCCGAATAGCCCGCTCGGTGAAAATGGCAAGAAAAGGTCCACAGTCCAAATCCAATCCTACAAGAGTACAAGTGATACAAATACAACGAGGGTCACATGTGCCTTAATAGTGATACTAATATATTATACATTTCTTTTGCCCCAAAATTATCCGATTTCGGTTTCTATTTTTAGTTTATTTTATACTATAAATAAAAATTTAAATTGGACAATAATTTCGGAACGAAAAAATATACTATTTGGAGTTGAAAACAATCACTTTGATGAGTGACTAACCGGCTTTAAGAGTAGCAGCAACAGCATCTTCTGGTGTGGCAGTGTAATGTTGTTGATTAAAGAAAGTATCGACTGAATCACAATCAGATACAATATACCTATCCAAATTAAAATTCAAATGATTACAACCAGAAACTGTTATAATCAAATCAATAAAGGATGCAAAATTTCAAAAAAAAAAATCTCCAATTAGTCCAGTTAAGTACCCATTAAGTCTCCATTGGCCTCTAATGGTGCCACGAAGGAGATTAGGATCAGCACAAGTAGGTTTGCCATTGACTTGATTGTAAGAACACATCACACTTGCAACTTGCCCTTCCAACACACATGCCTTAAATGGCACGTTGTATGTGTCCTCCAAGTCTTGCTGGCTTACCTGCACGCAACAAACACTAATTATATGCATGGTACATAACATTTGAAGTGGTACTTTATTTGTCCTAGGATTTTGTTTTAATAGTATATTATAATATTTGTAGTAAAACAACATGTAACAAATGATACAATTTTATTAATCATTTTCATTTTACCATACACGAAGAGTGTAATGAGCGATCTTTTGATACGATAAAATTCGGTTCAGAATAAGATTTACCATTTTTCTTTTACCTTGGCATTGAAAGTGAAGCGATTCACATTATTCCAGTGGTCCAAATCATAAGCAGTGTAGTGTTTGCAGCAAGCAGCCACTTTCAACCGGTTGCCAACTGGGCTTTGAAGACCCCTCACATATCTGGCAGCATAATGGGCCACTACAGTGGGGTCTTCCCCTGGAGTTTCCTGGCCCCTCCCCCACCGTGGATCTCTGAATATGTTCACATTTGGGCTCCAAAATGTTAGCCCAGCCACTCCTCCATTATACATGGCTCTTGCTTCGTCCGAAACGACCTGAGGGGAAAAAAAGAATAAAAACACAATGATTTTTTTCTTGAAGTAAAAGTCATTTTCAATCTCAATCATCATTGTTAAGGTAAGCTCAACATCGTTATTATTGTGCACCCCCAGTTTAACAACTTAAACACGCATACCTATAACTAATTTTGTTATGAATGATCTCTATATCTTTTAAGTATCAACTGTTATCATTACCGTCACTTCTTGATAAGTATCTGTACAATGCAAAACATATATGTGATAATGTTCACCAATAAAACTATCTCTGTAACATGTTTAATACACATAAAATTGATTGAAAAATTATTTATTTAATTTAATAGCTCACAAAATTCAAATTAATATATTACTTATTTAGCGCTTACGAATAGGTAGCTGTCAATACTGGATCATTAGAAATTTAATAGGTAACGTGGGGAATCCTAATATCAAGGGCGGTAAGGACCAAAGGAGGTCCAAATCATGACATTGCCAAATAAAGTGACCCCCTCTTCATGGTCCATGGTGGTTGGTATATATGGAGATGATATTATATGCATGAGGGTCGCTACTTTGCAAATGGCCACAAAACCCTAGCTAGCAACTTGCATGATATCCATCCTCATTCCAAAATAAGGCTATCTTTGCTTTTCCCAAGATAATGTTTTTACTGTTTCTATATATCTTTGGTTCTTCTCTGTGGCACACAACTAATCAAGGAGAATGAAATTAATGGGAAAGAAGTTCTTTGTAATCTGGAATCTTTCTTTTACTGCGAAAACAACTTGAGATGACAAGTAGTTGTCCATTTTTTTTTTGTGATTCCTTTTCAACTTTTTTACATTTTAATTTGTTAATGCAGTGTTGCTAAACGCAAAACCTCAACATAACTTGTAATGAGATTCCAACTTTTACACTATTTGTGCGCATAAAAATTGCAAAAGCTGCCTAATGAATGGTCCTTTTTTCCCCCACTTCTTTGCAAGTCATCTATAGTTTGTTTGTGAAGTGTTTCTTTTTGTATTTTAAGTGGGATTGGGAGGCAAATTCTGTCCTTATCTACTACTTATTTAGTATGGCTTTCCAGAAAGGAAAAAAAAAAACCTTTAATATAGAATCAATGTAGAGTTGTCATTTATATTAAAGTAAAAAAAAAAAATTTAATACTATTTCCGTTCCAGAAAAATAGTCCACATTGAATTTTCAAATTTGTATTAAAAACAGTATAAAACTCAAAACTCAATGAACACTATTTTTTCGGGTACGGAACGAGTATATATTTTAGCTAAGAATCCAAAGATGGCTAGCTTCCCCTGCCCTTTTTGTTGCATAAAGCCACAAACCAGTCCACTTGCACTAAATTCAGGCATGGGCAAAAAGAGGAAGCAATATGTATAAAAGGGCCAATTATTTGGAATACTAGTTAAATATTACATTTTTAATTAGTTAATTAATTAATTTGGGATCGATTGCTGTCACCAACTACATTCTACGTACCGACGTATATAGCCAAGAGCTACCTACCATTTCAAATGCAGCCTGAAACCTCTAAAGCTAAATTACATGCAAATTAATTCCTGACATTTTTTTCCCCATGATTTGTATATTCTTTATTACTTAAGTTGAATGGAACGAAAAGTACATACTGTCCATTCTAGTGTATTTTAAGCTGGTTTATTATTCATCGAACCCGCAAAATTAGTAACCACAAAAAAAATAAGAAAAAGAAAAAAAAAGTCTTCGTGTCATGAAATGGAAAAAATTAATCTAAAAAAAACATTGTTTATAGTTGCTTATAACGTTTTGAATTTTTCATATTACTCCTATGTAACATGAAAATGATGTACACGATAGAAACAACAATATTAATTAGTTGTCGTCATACGTTTAATAAAATTGGATGGAGTCACTCATGCATAAATGATTAATTCTGTTACTTTGACATTTGATCATGATATGTTATTGTCTTTTCGAATGATGGTTTGGTGACAAATACAGAAGATGACCCATTGTTATTATTATTGTTATAACTTCTTCTAAAGTTTCCGAGGCAAATAACTTTTTCTTGGAAAAATATAGAAGCAAACTATTTATATTGTATTAAAAAAAAAAAAGATAGTAGGGAATTATCTCAAATAACTACCTATCATCAACTTCCTAACCCCACTAAGTCGATCCCCATCTCATCCACTACTTAATTGCTTTTCCAGATATTCTAAATTATAACCCATGTCGATCAAATTATGCGTACATATATATACATACAAAACAATATTGGCATATATATTTGAAATCAATTTAGGAATATCTTCATCTATACTTGAAATTATACAAGTTGTTAACAAATAGTGCGGCAGAAATGATTTTTCTTTCCTTTTTTTTTTTGTAAAAAAAATAAAAAATAAAAAATCAGCTGTCGAGGAGTACTACATGGCGTATATATTTATACCCATGGAAAAAACTTTCAATCTGTAGTTTAAATTTTAAGTCACAGAAGAGAAGCCTCCAATGAGTCATTCATTTTGTATCACTGTTTGTTCCAAAATTCTGGAATTTTGTTTTGAGGTTTGCAATCATTTTTGTCACACTTGAAGGAAAAACAAAATAAATAAAGGAAAGCGAATCTATATAAATGAATGGTGCAAAATTTTTAAAAAAAGCAAATATATACCCGGCCAATTTCTTCCCACAATGAGGCATTGAAAGAGGAAGCTGTGGTGATGACTTGAGGGAAACTGGTGGCGCCGGGATACTGGCCGCCGAAATGAACTCCCGGCGAATTAGCCACCCCGTGAAGTGCCTCCGACCACCACTCGAAACCCTTCATTCCCAGCCTCTCCACCGGGGCAGCATTGTTCACTAGCAACCTTATCTTTTCTTGCAATGTCAACCTTCCCAATAAATCACTTATCCTATCCCTTATGTGGAGAGAAACCCTACAGAACGGCAAGTTTTTGGTCATTGCATTGGCCGGATCGCAGGCGAACGGTGGCCCGCGGGGGAGAGATGATTCTCCGATATGGAAACATTGGCCAATTATAAGTAGAAAAAGAACTATTTGGATAAAAAGATACAATTTTCTACGTTGGCTTTTGGCCATTTTTTTTTTTCACTTTGTCACCTTTTTGTGTGTATGTGCGAGTGTAAGTGTGAGTGAAGTGGGGAGATACTTAGAAGTGAAGTAGTGTATTTATAGAAAGGAATTGGTGGGAGTGAAAAAAATGGTGGCTAAAATTTCAAAAAAAGAAAAAAAAATGGTGGGTAAAATTAAAAATAATATGATGTGGAAGAACACACAACTTGATGATTGGATCACCACGTCCTTCTTGAAATGATTGATCTCAGGAAGTTTTTTTTAGTGGTCCTCAACATATTCTGTATTGCACGCAAATCTATTGTGTCGTGAAAGATTTTTCAGGAAAAAAAAAAAGAAAAAAAGAAATTGTAGAAGAGACGGAAAAATGAGATATTCATGTGATGGGGTTATGAATTCTTTTACAACTTAAAAATGTATAAATCAATCATCCATCATGTAACAAAACCTAGGTTATTGTTTGGCGATTCTATCCATTGCGACTCTGTTGAATTATTTTGATATTACGAATATGAGTCCCATTTTCGAATGGAGTGAATTTTAGAGAATTATAAATTTAATAGCTATTGTTGATAATTGATTTAGCTATGACTATCCATTAATTTATGGACATGGTTAAAGATGGAAGCCCAGGAGGTTATCAACGATTACCAGATTCACTGGATGGTGTTCACAGTGGTTGGAGCATAATGTTATAAAGATTTTTTACCCGCGTCGCGTAATTAGACTTATACCTCTTTTATTGTACCAAAAGAAAAAAGATGGATTCAATAGAAATAGATCGTAGTTTGCAACTTGTAAATCGTAATGAATGGAGTTTTGTATGAGGTGATGGGATTCTGTATTTATGAATATCATCTCTGGACCGCCGCAAATTACAAAAGTGTAGATTAGATTAATTTTAACAAAATGGTTTCTTAACCATACTAAAAAAAAATTAATTAATGGAACTGAAAAAGAAAGGCAGCAGTTTGGTGTTATACATGAAGAACTTGTGATGCTCGTCATCCGTTAGTGAGAAAGTCGAACACGCATTAGTTTTGGATATTTTGTTCCCCCACAAATTAATCAATTGAGTTGCATGCGTTATCCTTCATTAATACTAACACTTTCATATCGAAAATGGCGATACAAATGTTCAATCAGATAAATAGATGTATGCATGTCTCGTTTTTTCGTGGAAGCTTTGCAACTGTGTCATAAAGCCTTGAAAATAAAGAAACCATTATTCTAATGTTGTCCCACTTTAAATAACTATGTCATTTTATTAAAAATAATACAACAAAATGAATTACTAAAAAAAAAACAAACGGAGTACCATAATAACTATGGGTTTATATTTTGGGATAGGCAGTCCAAAAGTATGATTGTGATGAAGTTGTTACTGAATTAGGATCTATGTATTGGACCACTTTTCAAATTCAGCTAAACAGAGCCATGCATTGGCTTTGAGGCTGGTGGCTAGCTATATATATAGTAAGTTAATCAATAATGTAGTAATTATTGGTTCCTAGATTTTAGCTGCAAATAATTAAAGTGGATACTGTTTGGTTAACTAGTGTTGTTACAGTGCACTAGAGGATAGATAGCTAATTCCTAATTACAAATATTATATTCTCTGTGTCTTAAAATTATTGTTTAGTTTGATATTTCACTTTTAGTATAATTTGAACTAAAAATAAAAACTCAAACTGAACAATAATTATAGGACGAATGGAGTAATAGACTAGCGATATTATTATTTATTGAAAGGAATTAAAATGAAAGATCTCGTGAGAGCTGAGAACTATGACTTGTTTCGGTAGATTATTTTTAATATTCTATTTATGGATTCCTTTAATTTGTCCCAAAAAGATTCAGTTCAACAAAGTAAGTTATTAAGTGCATGGAGGGAGCGAAAATTTGTGCAAATATTCAAAATGAAATTGTCATTAAATCTATTTATGCCTATTGAAAGCAGCTGCCACAAAAACCACGTGGCAGCTCCAAAAAAAATAAAAATTCACGCCTAAACTCTACAAAAGCCACGTGGCAGTTACTTTCAAGAGTTGTAAAAGAATGTTATAATTTTAGGCATCTACTTAAAGTCACCATAGTAGATTAATTTAATTTTACGCATCTATGTTTGGAAGTAAATATTAGAATAAAAGTTGACAATCGGGCTAGTTCCATAATTTTATGCATGTATTTAAAATTACCATAGATTAATTTAATTTTATGGTTAGCTAATTTTTTTATTATAGCAAAATACTTTTTTCTTTCTATTTTACATATGTATTCTTTTTTTAGACATGTTTTGCCTGGCTGATAAACTAGTGAAGAGTTAAGTCATTTTGGGACATAGGATGTATATATATATATCGATCCAGGACCAAACGGAAAGAAAGGAAAATGGGGGGTTTGAATTAATGAAAAATAGAAAAAGAATAAAGAAGGGGGGCGGTGTGATGAAAAGAGATCTTCCCCCCGTGAACGAAGAAAATCCAGCGAATGGCAAAACGTGAAGGGTTTGGTTGTCTTCTTTCTCTGATCATCGGGGAATCATGTGAGAGATTCAGTACGTATTGTCTGTGTGTGTGTGTGTGTTTCTGTGTAGGCACTCACTTTAATTCGTTTAACATCAGGATCAGGTGTTGTTTAGTAAAACCCTAAAATAGAAGGTCGACGGAAACCCAAAAAATAAAATAAAATAAAAAGAAAAAGAAAGATCTATCTATATTCTCATCTATACTGATCTAGTCGATTTGAGACAAATAGAGAATAAGAATATTTGTATATATGTTCGATCTCACAAATGTATACTTTATTATGGTATTCTTACCTCTTAATTATTATATAATATAATGTAAGGGATGTATTCAATTTTAAGAAAATGTAAGAAAATCATCCACAACTATAATATCGTCACCATAACTTTGATATATTTTCCATGAAATGGAGGGTACCTAAAACCTAACAAGAATGGGTGGGCATGCGTAACGACCATGATCATCTTGATTATACAAGAGCTGGAAAGTAAACATTTTTAAGTTAGAATATTTGTATAATTTCTTTAATTGGAGCATGTATTTATGATATTAATTATTACACTATAGAATTTATAAAAAAAGAATGATGAATAATATAGCATTATGATATTTTAGTCAATTGGGAGGGGGAATGGAAGAGTTTCAGATTTCCAGACCCACTTGACCAATGCACCAACAGTACTAAGAATTCATGATGAATTTTGTCAATTTTTTTTTCCCCGCCCCATGAATGAATGTCTTCTTCTAAGTTGTAAGCCAAGTTCATACCTGTACGTTACCCTCATCATGACTTTGGGAGATTGCATTTCCCATGAATGAACTGGATAAAAAGGGGCGGTCCTATTTTATATATATTCACACAATGATAATAATACTGCCTTATACGTTACTCCTCAATCAATGATTATATAACAACCCTCCAAGAAATCTGAAAAAAATGGCGCAAATCAGCAGCGAAAGGAATTAACCAATTATATATCATCTTTCAATTCTTCACTTGTGGTGTTAATTCATCAAACTCATCATCATTATTATCATCATCCCGTCTACAAATAGTACCGGATAAGATAATGCTTGATTGCGGCTGATGATGCAGATTAAACCATCCCCACAATCACCAATCACCAACTCACATCCATCATTTTACATCTTTGTTCATCCATGCATCCTACTAAAAAAACCACGTACTCCCTCCGTCCCATAATTATTATTCAATTTTGATTTTCATTTTAAGTTCAAAATGTACTAAAAGTGAAATATCAAACTGGACAATAATTTTGGGACAAAGGGAGTATACATGTATAATTTTGGGACAATAATAATAGATTCATATACATGTATATTCACTAGCTATGATTCGTTATAATTTTTACTTTGTAATTGAGCCAAATTAACACCTCGACTTATCGTCATTTGACTTTTTTTTGTTAACCGCCAACTGCAAACATTATGTTGATTCCTCATTCTCATCCGCCTTCCATATATATATATATATATACGTATATATTTGGTTGGATCAGGATGGGTCCTTCCTTCATGATTTTGGAGTTCTGGATCAACTTAATTGGGGCCCCATCCCATGTTTGTGTGTCCTAAGAACAAAGAAGAATAAACCCACAACAAACTAACTTTGATTTTGGTTGGTTATTATCAGCAGCCAGCGATTAAAGGCATTCTATGCTCTCTTCCATATTCTAAAACCGTAGAAATTTAAGGGAAAAAATATAATTAAACAAAACACGTAGACACCCTTTTCTACATTCACCTTTTTCCCACAATTTTATCCTCAATTGATAGTGATTTTCATCTATATCTATCTGATCCACACTATTTACAGTGAACCGATTAAAACTTAAGTACATGAAATACAGTTACACCAACACTTATCACACATCACCCATGTTTAGTTTTATACACTTAACACATCACCGATATATTTATGTATAATGGTTACATATGTAGTTTTACATCACTAACTCTATTTACTATTATTACTGCAGTCAACCTTGAAGACTATTATTATCATACTCCAGGTGCCCAAAAAACGAGAGTCATACTTGTTATACTATTTTATTATGGCACAAATGGCGTATTATTTTGATAGTTAGACTCTTGATATATAGACTACATACCTTAGAATTCCCATATATTCATATATTTATTTAATTGTCTTTCACTTGTTGTTTTATGGATTTTTTTTTTAAAAAAATACTCCCTCTGTTCCAAAATTATTTTTCAGTTTGAAATTTCACTTTTAGTACAATTTGAATTAAAAATAAAACTCAAATTTGACAATAATTATGGGACGGAGGGAGTATAAATAACAAGTATGAAAAAAATCGATATTCCACACAAGGGCCGAACAACAAAATTCTTGGACAGAATAGGTTGGGCTATTTTTGTTTAACCTTAGGCCCAAACGATAAAATAGAAGACAGGAATTATCATTAAACCCTGGAAAAACCTTCACTCTGTCCTCCAAACAGGAAAAAAAGAATAGAGCTTTAGCAATGGGGAAACCTCAAAATAGCAGCAACGAAACCAGGAAGAAGAGGAAGAGGGCTGCATCTTCAGCAGTAGAAGCCAAATCCAAAATCTCCAAGAAATTCCAAAAGTCGAATAACTCCAGTGAAGTTTCCCAAAAGGGTTCAAAACAACCAATTAAATTATCCAAGCCGCCTCATGTTGAAGCTAACCCTCACTTCAATGAAGATGATAAAGAAAAAAGAAAAAAGCTTCGGAAAGAATCAAAGGTTCGTTCTTTTCCCTTCTTCTTTTTAAAATTGTGTTTATTCATTTATTTTTATTTCATTTGTGAACTCTGTGGATATTGGTGTGGAGTTCGTTGAGCTTGTCAGCTATTTTCTTCCCCCTAATGTTTGTGACTGTTTTGAGTGTTTTCATTGGGAAATTGAGCAGCTCGTCTTAGGATTCTTCTCATATATTTTATGGTTTTGGTTGAAATTTTGGAAATTCTTCTGTTGTTTTAACTGAACCTGTTGAAAGTCAAACTTAGGGGATTTATACTTAAGGAAAGCTCTGATTGATGCTTTTAGCTTTGCTTGTGGTGATGATATGTTACGTTCAGAAACTCGAGCTTTTTCATTTAGGATGGTGATGGTTTTTTAAGCATTTGCATTTTGAAATCTATGCAGGAATTGGCCGAGTCAAGGAAGAAGTTGAGGAAGAAGCATTATACCTTGGAGCAAGTAAGTCACCGGCGCTCAATTGTATCTTTCTTTTTTTCTTAATTACATTGGACTGATACTAGTTAATTTATATTCGAATCACTTTTTTCTTATAGGAGCTTGCGTTGTTATGGGAAAAGATGCGACGTCGAGATATTACGAAAGAAGATAAATCCCAGTGCGTAACTTTTTCAATGTAAAAATGATATGCTTTTTTTCCTGCAACTTTAAGATCCTGTCAGTTATCTTAAAAGAAAATCAAAGAGAGTTGATCTCTTTTCAATTTTTATCGCGAAATAATTGTATTTCCCCCCTTCTGCATTGTTTCGCATGTATACGTTAAGATTGGTGAGTGAAGCACTAAGTAAGATGAAAGGGAAGATTCCTGAGATTGCCATTTCTCATGTTTCATCTCGCGTTCTTCAGGTACCTTTTTAGCTCTGTTCATTTCTCTTTTCTTTTTCTTTTTTTTGCCTTTATCTTGTTTCCTAGATACCGTGTTGGTAGTTATTTTCTGATGCTTCCTAAACTTTTCTTTTTCTCTAGACTTGTGTCAAGTACTGTTCATTAGATGAAAGGAACGCCATCTTTGAAGAACTAAAGTCACAAGTGATTAGCCTTGCAACGAATAAATATGCTGTCTATTTGTTGAACAAGATGTTAGATAGCGGTAAGGTTCATTTGCATTGTCTACTGAGGTGCTTGTGAAGATCATTAACTACCAATTGTTCCTGTATATACATGTGTTTTGGGTGATCTGTGCCTGATTGTTTGAGCTATCAAATGAATCTAAAGCAGCTTCCCTCTCTATTTGTTGTTCTTTGATTGTAGCATCCAAAGAACAGCTGGCAGCCTTTATTTCCTCTCTTCATGGGCATGTTGCTACTCTGCTTCGACACACAGTTGGTTCACTTGGTGAGATCAATTTTCCTTGGAACTTCAACAGTTACTTTCTTGATGCCTAGCCTAATCCATGACATTTTTGCAAATATGTTTTTGATAGTCGTCGAACATGCATATTGTGTGGGAAACGCAAGACAGAAACAGTCCCTGTTGATGGAGTTGTACTCACCTGAGCTGCGATTATTTAAAGATCTGGCCTCAATTAATGAAACCAGGTATGTTTGCATTTTGAAATAAAAATTCCTTTATTCGGTTTGATAACCAAAGTGCGGATTAGCTGTTATTGTCGGTTCTAGTATTACTTTCATTTTGTTTAATGGAAAGAAACTAAGGTTTGAAGATAGATTCCTTGGAGAAATTTTTTCGAGAAAGTGGACTAATAAGTCTTTTGAATATTGTTCATAATATCTTTGACGTCAATTAAGTTTTCTCCTTGTACTTATAAATTCGAATGCTGAACCTGACAGGTTACTTGATGTAATATCCAAGTTACAGTTGCAAAAATCATCAGTATCGCGTCACCTGTCTGCAGTTCTTCAACCAATTTTGGAGAAGGGAATTTTGGACCATTCGATTATACATAAAGCACTAATGGAATATCTGACTATCGCAGATAAGGTATACTGTTTGTTATCCACTGGTTTCATTGTGAGATATTATCTCTTTTTAGAAGTAGTTCATTTTATGGATGGTTGAGTAGCGGCATCTCCAAGATTCTTAAAAGGATTATAAATCTTGGAGAGTGTTTGATATTTTTTTCATTTTGCCTATATTCATTTTACTTGTACTTAATATCTGTTTATGTTTATGGGTGTATTCTTTGTGATTTATTATTAAGGGGGTGCGTGATGCTAATATTTCTTTTGACTATTAACTTCGTGTTTCACAAAGAATGTAATGGTTTGTAACATTGGTTGTTTGATATAGAAAGATTTTGAGAAGAAACTTTCATCCAAGAAAATGTCATTGCTTTTCATTGTTCAGATTCAAGGGTTTCAAATTAAAGTTTGCTCATTTATTGCTTTTTTGGATTTTAAATTTGCACAAAATAAAATTATGAGAAACAAGGAAAACATGAGTGATATCCTAGTTGGTTTTCTTTTCTTTCTTCTTCAGGTTTTACCTGTCTATAAATTTACTAACCTGAGTTTTGATCAAAGAGGATTTTGGGTATCTGTGCTAAATAAGAAGGAAAAGAGAACTAGAGCTATATGCTTCTATGTTGAAAATAGTATGAAGTTCTGTTTCTACCGTGTTGACATATGACAATGGTTGAATTTCATGTCAAGAGGCTGATAGGACGTCAAAAAAGACAGATGGATTAAGTATAATATATAATCAGATTTGTAAAGTATTTTCTTCTTATTTTGTTTTCTTCTTCCCAACAAATTGATATTTGAAGTTGATGTTTTTAGGTCTAATCAATATCTATGTATAAAATCTACAAACTTGGCGAAATTTTCTACTATTGAACCGAATATTTTCGAAGTTTTCTGCTGCAGATATAATTCAGCAGTTGTCAGGCCCGCTTCTGGTTCGAATGATTCACACGAAGGAGGGATCCCACATTGCTATCCTCTGCATCAAGCATGGTGATGCAAAGGTACAAAATTTTTGTGTTCCATTTATATCCTATTGGAAAACTGAAAAAAAATCTTCTTTTTCATTTCTTTTTACTTTTATTGTCACGTCTTTTTAATTTACTTTCATTTCCTTTCAGGATAGGAAGAAAATCATTAAAGGGATGAAAGGCCTGGTTCAAAAGATTGCTCTTGATAAATATGGGAGCATGGTGAGTATGATTAGTCATCTAAAGCCATTTTTCCTTTTTGCTATATTGAGTTCTTTTTGAAGTCTCTCTGAAAACATTTGATTAATGAGTTACTCTACTATTTGATTAATGAATACCTCCATTGTTTGGATTTAGGTTGACAGATATGCATTTCCTAATCTTTCTTCTTTTTTTGGGTCTCCTAGCATTTATATAGATCTCTTGTTTAATTCAAAATCTACATTACTTTTTTTGGGGGGGATTAATAATGTGTCTTATACGTTTGTCAGGTACTTGTTTCCCTTCTTTCTACTGTGGATGACACCAAGCTCTTGTCTAAGGTTTGTGTTTCTTACTGATGCATCAAAGAGCACTAATGTCTGGATATCATTTTAACATCATATTTATATTGCAGATCATCGTCCGTGAATATGAGGGGATTTTGAAGGAAGTTGTTTTTTCCAAGGTCTGAGTTCTAATGGGATTTTTTCTTAGCGACGTTAATCTTTCCCTGACACCGTTTGAATTTTTTGCAATCCTGCATTTTGCTGATGTCTTGTGGTTCTTTCAGTCTGCAAGGCGTCCAGTTCTGCAATTACTTCATCCTAACTGTTCTCGATATTTCAACCCAGACGATTTAAGTTCCTTTGTACCCTCCTTGAGTAGTAAGGTAAATACTTAAATTTATCTTGTGAAATGAAGGAAATCCATGACTGAATCTTTGGTTCGTAAATGATGAAGTTGCCTCTTTCCTATTTTGTCTGCATCAGGGTGACTCTGAACCAATTCCCGATGTAAATGAAGAAGGCAGTACAGATGTGGCAGGAACTACTGCTGAGGCAAATAATAGTGACAGTGCTGGAATGAGCTTGGATGTAGATAAGGTTGCGAAGAAAGATCCTTTAACTAGGAGGAAAGAATTGCTGATCCAAACAGGACTTGCAGAGGTTTGTATGTTTTTCTTTTTTTGTTTACAGTAGATTGCTTCCATAATTCTATTTCTTTCAGTAAATTGTTCCACTCAAGCAACATTTTGCTGGTATGTAAGGCACTGCTTTTCAGCCTTCTAATAGACCTCTTGTGGAGGGACCCTTCTGGCAGTATCAGACTGGGATTGGTATTTAGCTAATTTGACTATCTGCTCTTTTTGCTTGCAGAAAACCATTGAGGTTTGTTGTGAGATGGCAGGAGATTTATTAAGGTCACAATTTGGCAAGGAAGTAATCTATGAGGTAATTACATGTTGTTCTAGTTTTCATCCTTAATGATAGTTACAAAGTCCTAGTTGAATAGGAGGAACCAACCCAGAATCTGCTTGTTTAGGTGGCGACTGGTGGTGCTGATGGCATACTTCATCCCTTTATGGATGAAAAGTTAGGAGAATTACATGAAAAGATAGCATCTCTGGTGGGAGAGCCTAAATCGGAAGAAAAGGGAGAAACCGACCATCTTCTCGAAGACTTCCATTCCAGCAGGACCATCAGGAAACTGATTCTGGATTGCCCTGCCTTTGCATCCAAGTTGTGGGAGAAAGCCCTCCAAGGAAAATGCATATTATGGGCGCAGGGTCACAGGTGATCTTTATCGCAGTGGTTAAGCCGTCAGATTTTAACGCGACAAGAAAGTGTTGTATACTAACAGTCTTTTTTTTTTTTTGTTGTTGTTGGCAGTTCCAAGGTGATTTGTGCCTATCTCAAAACCTCAGACCTTAACTTGCGGGAAGCAGCAAAGAAAGAGCTGCAGCCCTTGATCGACAGTGGTGTTCTGAAAATTCCTGCAGATAATAATGATGCAGCAAAAGCCGAGTAATTGAGCGATATGTCAGATCCGAATGGCACTTTCAAGATAAATTGTGTTCTTGCCAACCTCTACTGCAGTTAAGTCATTTAAAGGAAGCTTCCCCATTTCTGGTTGTAATAATTCGGGAAGGAGGGGAAGCCTAAGTTTTGTACCTTGCTAATGTAAACTATAGTGGCTAAGAATACTTTTGTTTTTGTTTTGTTTTGTTTTTTTTTTTTTTTGGGCTAGTGTTTTCCTGGTTAGTTCATATGATTATCTCCACAAAACCCCCCATGTTGAGCATAGTCAAGGATGTAGTAGTAAACATATTACTTTGCCACTTGGCTCAAACTTCATATTTATGAAATCTAGAGGAAAGAAATTGCAGAAAAACAATGATACGAAGGAAGTTTTGTTCTTCTATTTAAGCATAATTCACACTCAATGCTTGGCCTGCATGATAACTCTTTGACACAAAATGCCTAAACATTTCCACGTTCTTGTGGTTACTCGCTCTACTGTGGTGAGGATATCCTTGGGAAAGATAGTCATTAGGGTTGAAGGTTGGAAGTTCTTTCCTGGATGGATTGGATTTCAAACAATTTTCTATAACATTTGCTTCTTCTGCAAATCTGGCTCTCAAATCCTTCATCCTTTGCAGCATTCCGGAGGTCCTAAGAACTCTGGTAGTCGTTCCTCCCCTAGGCTTTGAATAGCTGGGGCTCAACCGATCACTCTCCCTTGAATTCGGATGATATCATGGCGAATGCAGCATTCGGTGCAGATGTTTTTCTTCTGTCTTTCCACATTGAAAGATGTTCTTATTGTATTGTCTGATAGACAAGCATAAGCCTGCAATATTGAAAGAATGCAACATTCACATACATCCTCAGAACAAATCCTCATACGCGGGAACACTTGTTTGCAGCATGACCTATTATCTAATCGAAAAAGGATACAAAGGAAAGAGACAGAATATGAACAGAATTCAGAATGCACACCTCTGAAATGAGTTTGAAGGCTATATCAGCTTTTGGATGCTTGTTTTTATCAGGATGAACAAGCAAAGCTACACAGGAAATGAACAAAACCATGTTAGTAATGTGAAAGAGAGGAAAAAAACTGTTAAATGGTTTCTACATAGGGCTTCTCATTAAGTGTAGCAATAAATTAGTACACTGACCAAGTCTAAGATAGCTCTTCCTGATGATATCAAGTCCTGCATTTTCATCCACCTGCAAATGCCAAAACATAGAATATAAGAATGGAATCCACAAGATAGAAAAGGAAATTCTGAAAGAAGATACAGTAAGGAAAAAACATACTCCAAGAACAAGGTACCAATCCAAGAATGGCTTTTTATGTGACAGATGATAAAGGTGAGGTCTCTGATGAACACAACAATGGCCCTTCTCAAGGTTTGAAGAAATGTTGCATATTTCTGTCACCAAATGGGATTTGTAGGCTTCTTCTGAATCTGCAAATGCTCTTCTGCCTCCCATAATGTGGAAAAAAAAGTGATGTGTGGGAATGCAAGTTCAAAATGGGAAGTTGGAAGAATGAGAAAAGGAAGCCCTTTTGTTTCCCTTCCAACAACTATAGCTTTAGCTTAGGACTGTTAGGAGTCCTTCTGAGTTCCCTTTTTTTGGTTGGTTGGTTGAGAAATATTTAATTAGGGAATTAAAGGAGGAAAGTTTAAGGTTAGTTGTATCAAGATGGAGCGGTTTAAGAAAAAAACATGGCTGGATTTATGGTTCCTTTGAAAGTGGTTTACTACTAGTTACTACTACTACTACTTCATTACTGTGTAGGTTTTATGACCTCGTTAATACTAGCTAGTTACTATATTGTTTGTTTCCACTTCTTTAATTGATTTATTATTCTTTTTTTTTTCCCTAATGAAAAAATTGGAGCGAATGGGTGAAATTCAACATTAAGGTCGACGATCCAACTTAATTTTTTTTTTCCCCATGAAAGTTATGTTTGACAAAAACGTAAGTATCATATGCAACGCTTCAAAGAATGTGGAAATACAGAATTAAATAAATTGAAAGCTCTTAATCCAACGCCAAAATGTGTCGTCTGTTTTGATTCTCTCAAAAGTAGAAGTAGTAATACTGCAAAAACCAAATTAATTTATTCCAAAAATTGTGGCAACATGAAACTCCCAAAGCTTAAAATGAATCTTGACTTTTGCTGAACATAAAGAAGATAGATAGCTAACTAATTTGAAAACTCCAAAATCCATCTATGAACTAATAATAATAATCAGATAAAAAGGCCGCAATTTAGGAAATGAATAAAAAAAAAAAACAAAACTGATAATTCATTCATTCAAGAGAGAGTGGGAACAGATTGAAGAATGTGGTTCATTCATTATTAAAGAAGTTTCATCACGACGCAAAAAATGTATAAAATTTGTTCTTAATTTGCCCAGGAATTCCTGAAGCTGGACCAGCAGAAACAAACTTCCTCACCTCTTTTACTCGATCGAAAACACTTTAATTAAATTCACCCGCGAAATATCAATGTATGTCTTACAATTTGAACCTTTCCGAATGATGGAGTTATTTGTCAAAGCTAGCTTAGCTAGCAAGTAGTACTAAATAATGTAGAAGCGTTGAAATGGAAAATGCATGAAAAATGGTGTTGTCGTTTGCCTTTACGATGTTCTGTTTGGATCATTTTTTTAGCGTGTGATTTTTCGAACCTCAGCTTAAATAATGTCTTCTTCGGGTGAGATGTAGTAGGTACTAGCTATTAATTGTTTTCTATCCAAAAACCGTGCAGTGTGTGTCATTACAAATTTTTACAATTCCAAAGTACATCTTCTTTTTCAAACTGTTCTTGGCATCCACCACCCGTTGTTCTGTGTGTATTACAATGTCGGGTTTATCAACTTAGAAGCCGAGTTAATTTTCGAAATGACCCAAGTTGTCATTACCAAAATACATACTGCTATTAATTAATCCTCGGGGTCGGGGTGTCCCAATATTTCCTAAGCAGATTGCGGAAGGCGGGAATATCATTCTTTTTTCATCAGATTATATAGATGTCTACATTCTAAGATGTTCAAGAGATACAACAATATCGCCATATATATAATATGATTGCAAGTGGAGAGGCGCCATGTTAAATGCTATATAGTTGGCCATTTGGTTCCAGTGAACCTTAGGAGGAGTAGAGAACCCTTCAAGCATTAGATTTCAGGCTGTAAATTAAGGAAGCCTTTTAGGTCGGATGGCGAAGGATAATTCAGCTACTGATCTGACCACTTCCTACTCATCTTTTTTCAACATCATCATTACCCAAAAATGCAGTCCCATAACTATATTTTGCTTTGTTATATAAGATGAATCGGGAAAGAGTAGCTTCCAATACTTGTGATCCAGTAATAAATACTACTCCCTCCATTCACAAATAGATGTCGCTGGAGAGATTTCACAAAGTTTAAGGAGGCAATAATTATCTTGTTAAAATACTATAATACCCTCATTTATTCTTAATTCAATTGTAGTCCCAATAAAATTCTCTTCTAATATAATTCTACATTAAACATCACAACAATTTCCAATATAAGGGTGATATTGGAAAAAATTGACAAAATATGCCTCGATTTGTGAGAACGACATCTATTTTGGAATATTTGGGTTTTCCTCCAACGACATCTATTTGTGAATGGAGGGAGTACTACTTACCAAAAAATACTACAAATTCTAATCTAGACTACATACTGTATAATAGTTGAGTTCTACATATTGACGTTGAGTCCCCGAATTTCTCTAAATAAATCCTAGTTATTAATATATATATATATATATATATATATATATATATATATATATATATATATATATATATATAGACACACACACACAAGAAAAGAACCGATTAAGCCTTTTCTTTTTTTCCTTTTTCTTCTTCCCTTACTTCACTTACGCGGGAAACAAAACATCCTTACATAAGGGAGGACCTGCCTTAACCACTATATCCCTGAAAAACTGTTGTTTTAACTATCAAAAAATATTACATCTTGAGTCTATACAAAGTACTGCAAAACTATTTTTCATCATCATCATCATCAGAAAGCCTAGCTAGAGATTGTGAAACTCCTCTGAGTGAAACACACGGCCTCCACAAGAAGGCAGGCAAACTGGCTAGATTACATCATCATCATCATCAACCTGAATACTCCTATTATTTACCTGATTATTACATTCACTCCCTCCACACATGTACATCAGGAAAAACCAAACATATTCCACAGCTAATGTTGTTGCCAGAGCAATCATTTAGACAATATTGCCTTTAAGTGCTCACTTCTAACAAAAGCAAAACAGAAACTTCTAACTGAGCTAGTCCAGTTGTTTGCAATCTAATGGTCAAGTCCTTTTCTATAACAAATACACAGAGTGTGACTGAAAGAACCTGAAATCCGGATGGATAACTTGCAACTGCCGCAACCAATCTTCAGCAGCTTGGTTGAGAGAGTTAGCCTTTTGAGATTCTTGATTTCCGCAAAAATTCCAGAAAGAGATTCTAAACTTGTATGCCGACAGTCCAAAAACAGGTAGAGCCAGCCTCAAGTGCATGCCTACATCCTCTATCTTAACCCTGCTTGTTGAGCCATGAAGATGTGGAAAGTCTTTCTTTTTACCCACTGTGGAATAAAGACAATTAACCTTAGCTCTGGAAACTAAAGTTCAAGAAAAGGAAGATAACAAATGGCAGTCTAAGGAGAAGAAATGTGTAAAAGCGACTAACTTGTCAATGGTGTCGATAGAGAATGGTACGTCAAAAAACACGCATCGAGATTCTGTAGTGTGTGACCCACCGGTATCCTATAGATAGGGTACCTAGAAAAAGTGATCTTTTTGAGGTCAAGAACTGTAAATGAACAATTGTGCCATCTTCTTGACACTAACGATAAGAGCTTACCAAGCCACAGAAATCCAACTAGCAGAAGTCAGGTCACAACTCTTGTATGTTCTCAGATCGGGGAACCGTGATGCAAGTTGAGAAATCTGTTTGATCCAAGGTATCCAGATAAACATCATGACACATGAAAACCACCACACTAAAGAGCTACTTATTTTTACTCTTTTGAGGAAAACATACTTACCTGTCCAGCGAGTGGTTGCCGACCATACGGCGGGTCCTGAGCAAAATACTCGAAAACGAGGAGTCCAGGAGGCTTCTGGATCTCAATATCACCACTCCAGAAATCCCTCAAGGGATAGTTCTTTGAAAACGTACTACTACCGCTATGGTCCTGCAGCCTCAAGGTTTCTATTATATTATCATCAAATCCTTCATCAACTCCAAATTCATCACACCTGTCACTGCTGCTCTCCCCGGATGAATCATCACTTTCCTCAAATGGCCTCCTACCGCAAATTTAAGCCCAGAAGAAGAATAGAGAAGTAAACCATTAATTTCTAGCATAATGCTCAAATAAAGGTTCACAACATGTAGGACCCCAAGTAAAATTTTTAATTATGCACTAAACTAAATCCGAATCAAGTAATATGACATTGGCAAGGAGGGTATACCTTCGCCCTATGGGAGGTTTTGATGGATCTATGTATAGCTGTATGCCTGACAAGTAAGGTACATAATATTGGACAACGGATTCATTCCCAGTCAGAACCAAAGGAACTCCAGCTCCGTATGCGCTCCACTCCTTGAAAGAATCCCAAAGATCGCCAAGAACAAAATATGGATGGAATTCACCATCAAACTTTCTATGATCCCTCATGCATGACTGCAAATCCCAAAGACAGTACAGATAATCAACCCGAACAACTAACAATATGATAAGAAATGTAAACTTCAAAAAATTAAGGACTTAGTTCTGTGCAATGTACATCATCATGCAAAGTCCAAATCAACAATCAAACTGCCACAATGAAAACTAACAATCCAACTTCAAAGACTAAAAACACAAGAAAAGAAACCTAATTTCTAAAAAAAAAAAAAAAAAAAAAAACATACATCACAATTGGATAAGCAAAAACCAGGAAATTCAAACTCTCACAGCTCTGTATGCTATGAAACATAAGCACTCAAACCATTTCAAATCCGCATTCTATCAAAGACAGCATTCAAATTGAATTCAACTCTGCATTCTATCAAAACACGAGCATACAAAACAAGCCATCAGAGCAAATTGATCGCAATCGCGGAAAACTCATCCAATACAAAAAGGAAAATAACAGCATAAAAGCAAATTAAATTTGTCAGCACAGACTAAATTCACAATCCAACACAAAATACAACCCCAGGCAACCAAGACCACGCCTTTCTTATTGAAAGAATAACATAAAGAGCCTACCAGGAAAGCAAAAAATGCGCCACGCAAGTACCCAACAACATAAATTTACTGATAAACATAGTGAAATTAAAATTAGACCTTGGACATAATCTGCGCTGGGACTCTGGGTGTAGTGTGCTCTATGAACCGATCCAAGTTAGTCAAGTTATCCTGTTCGGGAACCAACCCATCGACCATATTGTTCGATGATGATGAAGACGGTGTTGCCGCCCCATCTTCCGACCCGACCCGTTTTTCCATTTGACTTTGTTGTTCCAATCTCAACTGCCCATGATTCTGCTGTGCCGCCTTTTGCTGACGCCTCATCGCCGGCGGTGAATAAAACCGGTCTTCCCCTCCTCGCCCATTCCTCCTGCCGAATTCCCCCATTGAACCGAACAAAAAATCAAAATTCCCTCCAGCCCACCAATTCAAAACAACAAAAATCACGCCCCAAAAAAACGTTTCCCTTGCCAAGATGGAATTTTTTTTATACTATTCCCCCTGTATAAACTACTGCAACAATTGGGAATTTATAATTCAGAAGGGTTTAAGAAAGCAAGTAGTTAGTCGTATTGTGGAAGTGAAGTGAAGTGAAGAAGGTTGTGGGAGAGAGCTAGTGTGTGAGTGTGTGTGATTACTTTATTTGGTGTTTGGTTTTCTTCTGGTTGGGCTGTTTGCTTCCTGGGCTTTACGGGACAGAGACGGTGGAATTGCAAAGTCTGCAAATTTGGAAGCAGAGGAGAAGGTACACCATTCCTGTGATGGACCCTATTCTAGAGAATTCATCCTCATTCAAGAGGCAATGCCACGTGTACCGTTTAAACTCTCCCTATTGGCAACGCAGGTGCCACCTCATTTCTTGCACTCTACACCAACTCTAACGAGAGATACTATTTTTACCAGATACGTTTACTATACTACTACTGAAATGAAATCAATATATGAATTCAGAGATCAGATTTTCAAAAATAATTTTGAATGAGTGCTACTCAATAGAGATGGAGGGCGTAAATTAATGATTACCATTATCTTACAATTCAAAACTTTTCAAAAATAAATCACAACTATAATTATATACACACTTCTGCTCAAAATTATTGTCCAGTTTTAATTTATACTAAAAATAAAGATCCAAACTGGACAATAATATTTAAGAGAGATTTACGATTATTCGTTTTTTAGAGAGATTTTTGTCTTTGTATTAATATTTGTCTTTTATTATTGTAGCTAAAAACTTATGTGACGATGATGACACATCAATAAAGAAACATATACACTAACAAGAGCTACGAAATGTAGAGAATAATTGGCATAGGAAAGGGATATTCCATGAAAAGGTTCGTTATCCCACAATTTCAATAAATTTATTTTACAAAACCTTCTCTTAGTAAGAAGTTTGAAAAAACAACAATCACTTAATTATACTAGCTCCTTTTTTTTCTCTTTTTGTTGGTCGAAACTCGCAAGGTAAGGGGAAAAAAAAAAAAAAACATTAACCGCACTTAGTATATATACTGAAGTGGATGGAAATTAGAATTATTTCATATTAGCGTGATCAAAAAAATATTCGCTTTTTGATAATCTCTTAATTACGTTGACAAACAAAAATTTTTTTGTTCACTCATTTTACATTTTAACTCATTTTACCTCTTAAATACAAAACCCAATGTAAAAAAAAATCATCCAAACAACTTTTTGATTTACTTTAATTAAATTCCAACTTGAAACACTTTTTGTTAGTGTAATGACCATTTTAGAACTAACAATAGTTCATTGACAAATTTGACAGGATTTCATTGTTTAGTGATTGTTTTTGGAAATGTTTTTTTTTAAAGTGACTATAATTGACAGTATTTAATTGTTTAGTGGTGACTCGTACTTGATATTTCAAAATGTAGTTCAAAATATTCTTTTTCAAAACCAACATCCAAACAACTTTTTGCTCAAAATATCATTCAAACAACATTTTCATTTTCCATTTAATTTTTAATTTTGAAACACATTTCACTTTTAAGGGGCAAAGTGAAATATAAGCTGACGTCCAAACAAGCACATGCGTTTTTCCTATCATATGACAGGCACAAATTAAAGAAAATAAATTAATGGAGTGTGTACACAGAATAAATTAAACGAGGAGATAGAGAGGTAGAGTCTTCCATTTTCTTAAACCGTTAAATTAATCGCCCAGAGGGGAAAAAGAAAAAAAAAATCTAAAGAAAATGCTAATTGATGGCGAAGAATTCGTCAACATGTCTAGAAGGAGGTCCCAAGTCAAATAATCTTTTTTTTTTTTTGTCAATTTGTATTTTCCTTTTGAATGGGTCAACCATTTTGGGCTAACTAAAATAATTACTTGAAAAGAATAAATTTGTTAGGAATTAATACTAGCTTTTCCGATGCCTTTTAGTACGTAGTTTTAGTCGACCATTTCCCATGTCGATTGATTAGGGTCGGTGCGACGTTAGTATATCCTATAATTATATGCATTTTCCAACATGAAACATAAGAGCACTAACATCTATTTTTTAATCATTTATAGCTACTTTAATTCCATTTTTTAAGGATTATGTATGTGAAATGTAAGACTTTGACCTAACAGAAATGGCTAGCTAACAATAACATGGTGACTATGACTTGCGATATCTTTTACGTACTATATATACGTACCTAAACTCCTCACTTCAAAGTGCATCAAAACAAATAAAAAAGCTTTCAATCTTAGCTTAATCGGCTACCAGTCTTCTTCTTTATACATATTATCCAATCAAAACTTAAAAACATCATCATGGTTGCAATTACTTACGATCATGAGGTCATTTCCTCAATCCCACCAGCAAGGCTCTTCAATGCCTTCATTGTTAATGGCGATGAACTAATTCCAAAAGTCTTGCCTCAAGCTATTAAGAGCGTCGAGATTCTTGAAGGAGACGGTGGAGCTGGTTCCATTAAGGTTACTACTTTTGGCGAAGGTCAGTATACATATCGCTTTTTGTTTTTAGTAATCTAAATTAAAAAAGATGGTAACAAATCGCACATCGAATTTAGCTCCGTCCCGTAATTATTATCTAATTTGAATTTTCATTTTTAGTACAAATTGAACCAAAAGTGAAAAATCTAAACTGGACAATCAATTGACAATTTAATTTGAAAACAGGAAGCCAATTCAAGAGTGTGAAGCAACAGGTGGAGGCACTCGACAAGGAGAATTATGTGTACAAATACAGTGTGATTGAAGGAGATGCCTTGCAAGATGTGGTTGAGAAAGTTTCATATGAGGTTCAAATCCTACCATCTTCTGGTGATGGAGGATCAATCTGCAAGACCAAGAGCACATATCACACTAAGGGAGATGCACAAATTAGTGAAGATGATATTAAGGCCGGCAAAGAAAAGGCTGGCTTTCTCTTCAAGGCTGTTGAAGCTTACCTCATTGCCCACCCTGATCTCTACTAATAATGATGCCAATTATCAGCCAAAAAATTAAGGAGGGCAAATACCAAATAGAGCACAAGAAAAGACTTAAAATCTTCCCTTTTTATTGCTTCCATGTGTGAAAGTGTGATGGATGTATATCAATTTGAAACCATTGTGTGTGTTTTGTTTCTTTCTTTCCAAGGCACATGCGTGTATTACCTTTGGTCTCATATAATAAGCACCACCAGACTCTAATGGTGATGAGATATAATTTGCTTCTGTTATGATTTGGGTTTTCGGATGAACCAAGAGAAATATTATTTTGTGTGTTCTTTATTTCTTTTTCTTAACGAAATGATGCGGTATTAGTTATTTAGTACTCTCTCCGGCATTTTAAATTTTTTTTAAGTTTCATTTTTTGTATTTTTCTAATTAAAAACAAAATTTTAAAAATGTATTTTCACATTTTTATTGTGTTCTCTCAATTATGATAAAGTACTTTTGAGGTTTAATGTCAATTGGAACACAATAAATAAAACTTAATTAAAACAAATCAAAATATTTTATAATAAGACCGAAGAGACGAAGAGAGTATTACATTGTTGATGTTGTGTCACCCGTACAATGGGATAAAAAGATTTGTTATGTTGAAATGAATTTCAGTCAGTTGGAAAAAAAAATTTATGCTATTACAGAAATTTGCTATGCTTTGCGATATAAAATGAAAAAATGGTTAAACAATTGAAAATTTTCATAGTTATAGGACAAAATAATTGGATTAGGATTAGACAACGTGAACTTGCAATCGAGGATCTATGGGAATAGGATAATCATGATTTCATTTTCATTCGAGAATTGACTATATATGACACATAATGTGATGGAAGTCAATAATTTAATCAAAGCATCAAGAAAATGGGTGATCAAAATTCTCGATCGAGATAGTTTGCATTTATTAGTCGTTAGTTGGAAGTTTAGTATATATTCATTATAATTCCCAAATCGATTGTGATTTGAAAAGTACCCCTAGCTAGTTTTTATTTGTTAAAAATGATTTTCAGCAAAGCAAACTTCAGTTCGTGTAACACATGACTTTTTGTTACAGAACTATTATTATTACGAAACCATGAAATTGAAATTTCATAACTGACATATTATAAATATATGCCTTGATCGCCTGAAATTTTACAATAAGATATAGCGATAACTTTAGATTTGTCATAATCAATATACTACCTCCGTCCAAAAATATAATTCAGTTTGAGTTTTTGAGATTTATAATAATTTTAGTACAAATTTGAAAATTCAATATGGATTATTTTTGTGGCATAGAGAGAGTATAATATTACACCACTTGGAGTTCAAAATCACAAAACCGCATGAATTTATTAAATTAGATTGAATATATAATTGTCAATATGATACTCAGTCTCTCTCGAATCGTGTTACACTATTTCATGAGAATTTATAACAAAAAAAAAAGTTATAGAAATTACATACACATAAAAACTACTACCTCCGTCTCACAAAAATAATCCATATTGAATTTTTAAATTTGTACTAAAAACAGTATAAAATTTAAAACTCAATATGAATTATTTTTATGGGACGGAGGGATTAATAGTTTCGGATGGGAAAAAAAGAAGATGTGAAATCTGTTGGGGATGAACTATGATAAATATTAATGCGATTTTTTTCTAAATCTGGGTCCTACAGTCGGTATCCAACAAATTAAATATAGTGCCTGAATTAAATAATTATGAAACCAGACTTTTCGGCCATTTATAAAATGAACCTCCTTCTAATATTTTGTTCTGTTTTCTTCAATTAGCTATCACCCACTTTCCGCAGCAACATAATATTAATATGGATGAAGTTGGTAGAGTATATTAAATTTTTTGTATATTATTTGGTTGTGATCACTTAAATGTCTAACATCTAGAATATCAAATTACTATAAACTGTGGCCAAATTGAACCACAAAAATGACCAACGACGATGATATACGTAATCAGCAAAAACAGTAGGATTTGCCTACTCGGAGTTTGCTTACATATAGACTACAATTTTTGGTTTTCTTTTCTTTTCTTTTCTTTTTTTTAAATAAGGACTTATTGCATGGTGAAAATTGAAATTTATTAAAAAATAGATGACTACTTGAGGAGGCATCACGTCTTTCTAATAAAGTCCAGCTTAAATTGTTTCCTACACCATTCTTTCCTGTTATTGAAATTTAAACCACACCACACATCATGAAGCTATTAACTTCAAACCATTTGATTCACTTTTCGTTCATCTCGAATAGAAATTTAGCTTACTACTCCTTCCGAACCGAAGTGATTATACGATCACGACCAAAAATATAATGTATCAAATAAAAGAAAACGTTAGTTAAAAGAAAGAACAAGAAAAAGAAGAGAGATCTATATGTAAGTGGTTGTGAACTGTCCCTCATTTAAAGATTGGTGGCTAGATCTTACAACCTAATAAATAATAATCTGTAATTGTTTGGCTTTAAACATTATGCTAGCTACCCAAAGCAATGCATGCATCCTTAATATTGCAACCAACTCCGTCCCCGTTTTCTTTATTATTTTTATCTTTTTTTGAGGTCAATCTCTATCTATAAATAGGATCAGAAACTTCATAGTGATCACCAATTCAAATCATTTCTCCCTTACAGTTAATTTCTACGAGATTTTGAGAGCTTTCCAAAGAGATTCAAAAAGACAAAAAAAGAAGGGGAAGAAAATGGGAGTTGTGACATACACAGATGAATTCACAAGCAGCATTGCAGCTCCAAGATTATTCAAGGCATTGATCCTTGAAGCTGACACTCTTCTCCCTAAGCTTGCTCCTCAAGCCGTTAAGAATGTCGAGATCCTCGAAGGCGATGGCGGCCCTGGAACCATCAAGCAGATGAATTTTGGAGAAGGCAAGTTTACCACTAATTATTTTGATTCCGTTTTTTTTTTCCTTTTCTTTTTTTGGGGTATTGAGTACTCTTTGAAATTGTTAACTACATTTGGATAGTTTTTTTTGGTATCCTTTCCGTCCTAAAAAAAAAAAAGTTTATTTTGTTGAACTGTTTATATGGTCCATACAAATCTGGTACTCCCTCCATCCCGAAATTATTATCAGTTTGAATTATTAAAGTTTAGTTCAAATTGGACAATAAGTTTGGGACACCAAGAGTTTCTTTTTTGCACCCTCATCTCTTTCTTTGTTTGGAAGCAATATCATTCATGTAGATGTTTATTCAAATAATTAATTAAAACTGCAGGAAGCGAAATAAAGTTTGTGAAGCAAAGGGTGGATGCATTGGACAAGGAAAACCTAACCTACAAATACACACTGATTGATGGGGACACATTGATGGACAAGATTGAGAACATTTCTTATGAGATGAAGTTTGAGGCAACCCCAGAAGGAGGTTGCAAAGGCAAAAACACCAGCACTTACAACACAAAACCAGGTGTTGAGATCACTGAGGAAGAGATCAAAGGTGGCAAAGAAAAAGCTGCTGGCGTTTTCAAACTTGTTGAAGGTTACCTCTTGGCCAACCCTGAGGCTTATGCATAAACAAAGAGAGACTTTAGAAAAAAAAGGATGCTCGCTCCATGATCACTTTGCTTTCTTGGTTGATTTTTTTTTTTTTTTTTTTTTTTTGAGTTGAATCGTGACTCTTGATATTTTTGAATTCTGAATGTCAGAGAGATCACAATTCTCCATCCTTAGCACGCTTGTTTGAATTTTGTTGGGATGTAGTTTCCATCATGGTCGATATGCATGGGATGGATGATGAAGAATAATGATCTGTACTATTTTCTTGTAATGCTATTTTGAATGAGAATTTGTGGTGAAAGTTGAAGGTTAATTATCTGCATTAATATTTCCTTCTACGACGTGTCAAATAGGTGATTATTGATATTCTTCCTTTCCTTTTTTTTTTTTTTTGGGATGCTCAAATATAATAAAAGCGCACTTGATTCCCTAGTAATTGAATAATTTCTTCAAGGAGGTCGTGTATATAATATGAAAGTTCCTTGCATGGTAATTAATTGCGTATAGATGAAATGATAATGAAGATAAGTAAATGGTCAGAGAGACTGAAGGAGTAAAAGGATGAAAAAAATGATTTCTTGAGGGAAAAAAAAAAGCGTACCAAAGTGACTTTCGATTAGTGGTTGTTTTGGCCACACTGAAGAAAATCAGTCACTTAGCTATAGCTCATGTAATAGTATATATTCGCATCGGTCCTATAAAAATAGTCCACATTGAATTTTGAGTTTTGTACTATTTTTAGTATAAAAACTTAATGTGAACTATTTTTGTGGAACGAAAATAGTATAAGTGTTTGTCAAATCACCCGGCCCTTGGGGGAAAAATATAAAAATTCAAACAATTAATTGTGTTAAAAAAGACACCAAAACGGATGAAGCCTGCATCTCTTTAATTAATAAGAAGTTGGCTTTTGTGGAACATATCAACACTAAAATTTGAAGAGCTAGCTCTCTGAATGAGTCATAAAAGTAATTGACCGACCGGCCACGAATCCAGTTATAACAAGGAGCACCTAGATATACTTAGCGTGTCTTTCACGCTCCAACATATCTTTAATAATAGCCACTTTTTTTTGGATTTTTTAATTTTCAAATAACCATAATAAAAATATAAATACTCAATTACCCTAATTTTTTTTTCTCATTTTTCTGTTTTTATAACCGCTCAAGAAAGAACGAAATTCTCTCGGCGGTTGCGCTTTTAAAATCAGCTTTGTGCATCAAAAATCTGGATTTTATAATCGAGTAGATATAAATTAAAGTGAGGATTATGGTAATAAATAATCTTATTCATCTGTTTTTTGTGGGTTTCTCTTTGTGGATTTGTTTAAGATCTACTTTGATGAATAAATGAATTTTTATTTGTGGGTTTGTTTCATAAATTCCTTGATGAATCGTCAGAGGTTTATGGATTCAGATTTGGTGAATTGCCAAAAGATTTATGAATTCAGAGGGGCAGAGGTATTTCCTAATAATCTCTTCAACTTTTGTTTTTATTGTTGAGTTTCATAAATCTAAGTAGTGTACATTCAGTAATTATGATTTTTTTCTTTCACTTGTTTTGGATCTTAAAATAGGTTTATTGATCAGTTTTAGTGTGATTATTCATCAATCATACTGTGTGATTCGTAATAATGTTATTCATCAATTTAGTTATTCATCCATTTGTGTATGGTTATTCATCCGTTCTGTATGGTTATTTATCATATTGTTGTTGGTTGGTTGGGTTTTATAATTCTGGGATTTAATGTTGTTGTTGTTCATCAGTTTGGTTATTCATCCATTGTGTATGGTTATTCATGATTTTGTTGGCTGGAAATCTAGGTTTTATAATCCTGAGTTTTAATATTGTTGTTGTTCATTAATTTGTTTCTTCTGTTGTAAAAGGAACCATTATTCATCAATATCAGTTAGCTCATTCATGTATTCATTCGTTGAGTATTAGTGAGCTAATTCATCAATATCATTGATTGTATGGTTATTCATCAGTATCATTGAGCTAATTGATGTATTCATCCATTACTAATTAATTAATATTTTAGTCAAAAAAGAGTTTTGATGGAATGTAAAATCTCACATATTGTAATGTTTTCTTTGTTTGATCAGTGTCAGATAAATGTTCATCAAAATGAACTCGATCGGTTAGGAATCAAATATTTGGCAGAGTTGCTGAAATCAAACAATCAACATAGATGTATCGAGTATCAGCGGTTCCTTCAAAACCTTAAATGTTAAAACCAATGACTAGTTTTTTTGTTCAGTTTTGGTATAGTATAATACATAATTAGAAATTTATTAGTTTAGTTGCTCACATTAACGCATTGTAAAAAATATACTCTTGTTAGTTTTATTGATTAAAATTATTCATTCTATTACGCATTATTCATCTAATAATGTTATCTCATTCATTCATTAAAGTACAATTATTCATCTAGTAAGACCACATATATTCTTCATTTTAGTATTATTATTCATGTAGGATGAGATCATTATTCATCAAGATTTAAATAGAGCGGAATATCTTATTCAGTTGAATTGCACTATACTAAAATGATATCCTAATAAAATAAATCGTCATAAAAAAGATTTCTCATAAAATAAAATAATACTCCCTCTGTCCCATAATTATTGTCCACTTTGCCCAAAAAATTTTGTCCCAAAATTATTGTCCAATTTGACTTTTTATGGATCAAGTTACACATTTGTCCTTAGTAAAAAACATTATCCATAAAATCTTAATGGTTAAACAATTACTTATGTAAGGGTATATCCGATTGTTTAAGGTAAAATATAGTTAAGTTTGACCAAAAATAAAATCTTTCATTTTAGTAAAACTGGACAATAATTATGGGACGGAAAAACTAACATGATAAGATACAAAAAACAGTTTAAAATTAAATGTGTGTGAAAGAAAGATAAAATTTAGAGCATTACATGCGTATGTATCTGAAATTTGGGGGGAAAGAAAATTCACTTCCATACAAGGAGAGTGTATTACACTTACCCACTAGGTACACAGTGCTCCTAATTATTTGCCCCACACATCAGACGAAACTGAAGTTAAAAAATAAAAGATAAAAAAATTAAGAGCATATAGATACTGAATCAACTGCCTTGTTTAATTTATTTTGAAGTTTTAATACCATATATGGTACGTACGAAATACCTAATTAAATTGTTGAAATATTTTCACCCTGCTCTAATTACGTTTGGGTGGCGAATTTTTCACCAATGCGAAAACTGGAGTATTTCAACAGTTCAAAAGATATAAATCTTCTGTTTGGATCCATTTGGATTCCGTCCAGCTTCCTCACAAATGGAGCCCTCTAATTAATTGAGCATACGGAAGAAACTCTAATCAAAACTGACAAGAAAAAAAACGACAATTTTGAGCCCTATAAAATGCTACCCTCCTCTTAATTATGATGTCCCAATGTACTAGAATTAATTTGATTAATTAATGTTACTTCTTATAGCATCAATATTTTTGTATTTTTGGTGGGGATTGATCAAGAAAAAATGGGGATTATCACAGTGAATGATGAATACACTTCAACTATCTCTCACACAAGAATTTTCAAGGCCTTGATCATTGACGGGGACAATTTGGTTCCTAAACTCCTACCTCAGATTATCAAGAGCATCGAAATTGTTGAAGGCGATGGAAAGGCAGGAACTATCAAGCAGATGAACTTCGCTCAAGGTTTATATTCAAAATTTTTAGCTTTTTAATTTATTTTGTTTTCGGTAATGATTTGAGTTTCAAGGTTATATATTTGAGCAAAATTATTAATTAAGTATTCTGTCTGTTCTCAAAATTATTGTCCAGTTTGTATTTTTAATTTTAATATATGATTTAAACTAAAAATAAAAATTCAAACTGGACAATAATTTTGGGACAGAAAGAATAATTATTTTTAGGATCTAACATTATTAATATTACTCTTCAATAGGTGTTCCTTTTAAATCAATAAAACATAGAATCGACGAGATCAACGAAGAGGAGTTCATATTCAAATACACCCTTATTGAGAGTGAGACATTGGAAGGAAAACTTGAGAAAATTCAGTATGAATCCAAGTTTGAGGCATCACCAGAAGGAGGCGCCATTGCTAAGATGACAAGCTATTACCACGTATTGGATGGTGTGGACATCACTGAAGAGGAGATCAAGGCCGGCAAAGAGAAATCCATTGGGATTTACAAAGCTGTTGAGGCCTTTCTCCTTCAAAACCCCGATGCCTATGCTTGAATTATCTCGTCATTTTGTCATTTGAATAAAGTTGTTGTCGTTGTTGTTGTTTTAAATTTTAATTACGATATGCTCGTATCCAAATTCAGAATTAATCTCGAAATTATTATACGATGCAAGAGTGAGACAGATACTTCCATCGAAGGAATGAATTTGTCCAATGAATTCATGAATTCAATCAATGAATTACGATTTTTTTTTTGTTAAATGATTGTTGCTAGTTTATACTCCTTTTGTTCAAAACAAAAGAAACAAAAATTAAAAAAATTCAATATTGTAATTTACTAATTGTACTAAAAACAGTACATTTCACAAAATGCAATGTATTTTATTTTTTCCAAGGCAAAAGAAATACTAATATAATAATTAAACAATCATTTCGAAACAAAAGAAAAAAATACATCTCAAATCAGCGATTCTATCATTTCATACATCAAATAAAATGTAATCATTTGCCGCCACCACCCACACTAGTGGCTAGCATGAGAAAGATATTTCGCATTGAATAATTTCTTAGCATGCGGATCCCAATTTTTTGATAAAAAAAATTTGACGGACGCATTGTAAAAAGGAAGTAGAGAAGAATAGGACGATTTTAATTTTGGAAGAATAACACCAATTCCCTATACTATTGCAGAATGGTCATTTGGGTTTAAAATGTTGAAAGAAAGCTGACAATTTGTTTTCAACTATAAAAGACTTTGAATAAAGCTAGATTTATTTTAATTTTTATAATTCTAACCAATCTTCCCTACTTAATAATTTTTTACTTAAAGAAAGATCAATTATATATATTCAACCTTTCAAATTTAGATTTTGAGTTATTTAAAAATTTAATAAGGTGTTTTTGATATGTAAAAATGCATGTGAAAGATTAAAGTGAGAAAAAATAAATCCAAGTTTATAGATCTAAAATTTTGAGTTTTCTAAAGGACATTTAGTACATTTCTCCAATTTAAGTTGTAAGATTTCATTTTTGTGAACAGTAATAGTAGAACAAGAAATTGTGAAGATGAAAGGATTCAAAATCATAAAAAGTTCTAGTTTAATGACAATTTCAAAAGTTGATTTTTTAACCATTATTTTAAAAAATAATATTGATGTGTAATTTGAAGTTTTTTTTTGGGTATAAATTTTCACTAAATTAATAATTAATTAATTTATCAATATATTAAGAAATATTTATTTCTCGATTAAATAAAAAATTAATAAATCAATAAAATTCGGTTATGCGAGTATTAAGTTATTGATGTTTGACTTGCTAATTAGTTATTGTATTACAAAAATAAGAATAAAAAGAATAGAAAGATTTATTAAATAAGAATACAAGGTAATTTGTTTTTTCGTGAAATTTGTATCTAAGGTAATAAATTAAAAATTAAATTCATATAATCCAAACTCGACTTTGCCTCCTAGTTTTTAGAAATTGAAAGTTCCTTTTTTAACTTTTTTCTAAACTAATAAGTAATTAATGTATCAATATATTAATAATTATTATGTTATCGATTATATAATAAATCTATAAAATAATAAATTTTTGAGTTTTTGAGAGTATTAACTCATAGCTTCTTTTTGTTTTTACTATAGTTGAGTACATGTCCTAAATATGCCCACGCTTTAGGATGTGGACTTTGTTTTCCAAATTTTTCAAACATATCCTGCATATATAATTGAAACATATACCATGTATATATTATAACCGGTCCAAAATTTAACATGTATGAGTTTGAAAAGATTCTCCCTGGTGATCTATAAAGTTACAAGCTTTTTTTCCAAAAAAACTTTCCCACGTTGCCTTTTTGTGAAAGCGTTGGCTAAGACCGCTTATTCCATTGGACGGCATAAAATATCAGGATCGGTCAAAAACCTCAGCAAAAATTTTTAGTGCTAACTACAATTATGTGATTGTGAAGATATTTCTATCATTCGGTCCAGGAGATTTGCCGCTAATGGATAGTATTTCTATCATTGTTGAATTATAATGGATTTTTGGGAAGAATACGAGAACAAAGAAAATAAATACCAAATCCATCATACTACATGTATAGAGATCAGAGAAGTTAAAATATAGATGGATTTAAATTAAGGAAATTTTCTCTTTTTCTAAAAAAAATAATAAATAAAAAATACTTACATGTCAAACTTCATCCGGAGCTTCCTCTTTGTCTTGACTTTCAAACATAAATAATAAACTTTTTGTAAGATTCTTGGTTCTTGTTGACCTCCACTACCAAGCATAACACCCCATTCATAAATATTTTCATTTTTTCTTTTGCTTTCTAATTCGGCTTTTGTTTGTTTATTTCCCTCTTCGATGAAATCATAGCTCTTAAATTAAAAAATATAACTCTTTACTGTGCTCTTGTTTTGTGTAGCAATACTTTTGAAAATATAAACTGTTTATTTTCAAAGTCAAGAACCCTTTCATATGTATTTGATTTCTTATTCATAAACTATAGTGCCTTTGCTCGAGGCTTAAATTGAGTTTATAGTTTTGCCCTAACACCACCAGTTTCCTATTCCAATCGTGTGCCCTTGCATGAGAATTCATCCCATAAGATTTTGAGGGGGCCTTCAACAGAATCATTATTCTTCATGAAATGGAAAACAAAGGATCTGCATGAATCTCGAATGCCAACCCCTTCAGTTTATGATGGAAAGAAAGAACCTCCAGCCAGTGCCCTTCAGTTGGCCAACTTATTCCATTCTCGATAGTGATGAAAACTCACTTCTCATTGCTTTATAGAATAGAATGAAATACATATCGTATTATCGCTTATGCGGAGACTAGTTGACGTATGGCTTGAAGTTTTGATTATTCTCACATTCTTTAGCTCATAAAAGTGTTTTTTTTTTCATGTGAATTTACAGGACTCGCCATTACTATAGGTCAAAAGACTAAGAGAGTGAATGTTATATTGCCTAAAAACTACCATTTTTATAGGTCAAAAGGAGTGAATATTGTATTGTCTTAAAACGAATGCCTTTTTTTAGTTATTAGTCTTCTTTGTTCCAAACACTAATGAGTATCGTTGAATTTAAAATTCATGCTAGTAGTAGTTTATTGGTTTTGGATGTAGAGTAAATTAATTATCTGTATAGTTTATTGCTTTTATATGTACAAGTACAATGTTATTTATTTATAAAGCACATATATTAAAAAAACAATTATTTCGTAAACAGTAGAAACCTTACTCTAGAAGGTGGAGGCAAATCAGGATGAGCAAGAAGGCAAAATTCATGAACAAAATGCGACTAAAATTCAATGTCGGCATGCATAATTTGTTTTTATAAAAAAAAAAATGTCATATTTTCACAGTTCATGACCTTTTCTAGGGAAAAAAAAAATTTCTGTAAGTAGCTAGACACTAGTAGCAATATAATTTATGAGTTTGTAAAAGTTAATTAGTTTCACAATGTCTTAAGATTTATGTTCATTTCAATGTTCTGACAATTGTCAAATGAAAGATGTAAGAATTCAATTAATTTTCTCCTTTTTTTTTTAAAAAAAAAAAAATGACTTCAATTTGAAACAGACGTTAGACATTAGGGCATTCACAGCAATAGTTTAATTGCTGTTGAATGTCAGTACAAAAAGAAGACCTCCGTTGTAGATTGTGTAATTTTGTCAGGTGGTTGAAATATTTCAACCTGTTGAATCTGACCAAAAGTGGGACATGCGGAGTCCATCTCATGGGCAGCCTCTGGCCAGCCCATTTCTTTTCTTTTTTTTCAATTTTTTTATCGATGGAACCCATGAATGGTTAGCCACGGTACGCATACTTTCTTCTTTTTTTTTTTTTGCCTTATTTCGTTTCCTTTGTTGTTTGTAAATTTTTTTTTTTTTTAAAAAAAAAAAGGTTGTTGCGAAGAATTTAACCCATTTCCTATCTTTATTTTTTTTTGTTTTTTTCCTTTAAAAATCTGCCCGTTTTTTTGTCCTCCCCGTTATCAAGGTTCAATGCCTAACATTCAACAATACATTCAAAGGACTGCGGGAATATGCGCGAAGAACATCATCAACTACGTTCAAATTTGGTTGAGCACATTTATGAACGTTTTGAAAATGATTTTGATGAAATGTAATATTGTTAAATTATTTTTAAATTTTCGATAATGTAATTTAATGTTGTACTTTATTAATTTACTTTTTAGTCCATGATAATTAATCTTTTTTATTTAATTATGTATTTAATTATATTTTTATATTTTATAAAAAATAATATAATTATACAACGTACTTTAAAATTCATATATAAATGTTATTATTTTTTGTATATAGAAAATATAATTATGAAAACTAAATGTAATTACTATTAAAAATAAATGTAACTATTTTTAAAAATAATGAAGTATTAATAGTAGGATAGATGTTGGATAATAATAGTGGGATAGTTGTGGGTCCCAAATTATATGAGTAATGAGTGTAAAATTGTTGTAAGTAAAAGTGTGTAAAATGAGAGTGTAGTGGAATGCTGAGGTGGCAGTGTAAAGTTGGGTTAAATTGTAGTTGTTGTTGGGATGCTGTTATAATAACACAAAGAATAAAGATACTACTTCTAGTACATTAATTCAGTAAAAATAATGGGAATTACAATATGTCACCTACTCATTGTCATTGGACAGTATATATCTGTCTTTCCTCCTGATTAAATAAAATAAAATGTAAAAAGATGTGACTACCTAGCTACACTAGTTTGAAAATATCTATCTAAAAACAAACCTCACATGCAGTCATTAGTTTGAAAGGGTCAACACCCAAAAAGGCAGGCAGTATATAAAAGTCTCTTAATTAGTCCAGTTTGATGGACTTTAAAGTTTAAACCCGTGGACCATTCCATGCTAAACATTTTGCCTTTTCCACAAAAATTTAATCACTGAAAAAGGTCTCTCCGCAGACCATTTTTAGAGTTTGTAGTTCTTTGTGTTGTTTGGTTGAATTTTGAAGAAAAGAAAAGAAGGCAATGGGAATCATCAAGGTATCACAATCATTCAAAACCAAAGTGACCCCAGATAGGATGTTCAAGGCCTTGATCTTAGATGGCCATAATCTCTGCCCACAGCTCATGTTTTCATCCATCAAAAGCATTGAGTATCTCCAAGGTGATGGTGATGTTGGAAGCATCAAACAGATGAACTTCACTGAAGGTCAGTCAGTTGATCTCCATCATATATAACTGATCTTGTCTTAATATATATATATATATATATATATATATATTTTCTGTCCCAAGAAAATAGCTAGCTAGTCTGCATTGAATTTTGAGATTTACACTGTATCATCTGGGTTGCAGCTAGTCCATTCAAGTATGTGAAGCATAGGATAGATGGACTTGACAAGGAGAAGTATGTGAGCAAATTCACCATGTTTGAAGGGGATGCATTGATGGGGAAGCTGGATTGGATCGCTTACGATGTGAGATTCGAGGCTTATGGATTTGGAGGATGCGTTTGCAAGATCACGTCAGAGTACAAAACAAAAGAGAATGTGGAGATCAATGAGGAAGAGATTGAGCTTGGTAAAGATAGAGCTATTGGCATGTATGAGGTTGTGGAAGCCTATCTTCTTGCACATCCTCATGCTTACACCAGTAGTAATACTACTGCTACTTGAAAATATCAATTTTCTTTTCATGACTATTTTTTTTTTTTTTGGGGGTGGTGTTTGGGTTTCCATTCTTAATTTTACCATGATGATCTTGTGTTTGTTTGATGTATAATATTGTATTTGATCATGAAATTGTTAGCTCCCCATCTTGGTGACTAGCTTTTTTTCCCCCATTTTTCTTGCTACTTGGCTTGTTGAATTTGACACCATCTAATATATTCCAAAATTTGACTTACAAAACAATTAATATTATACTCTCTCCGTCCTAAAATTATTATCCATTGATATTTGACTTTTAGTACAATTTGAACTAGAAATGAAAATCCAAAGTAGACAATAATTATGGGACGAGGAAGTATCAAATAAAAAATAACTAGCTAAACTCAAAACAAGAACAGCTTTTATTTGATGTTAATATATGTGGACGGAGAGGAATATTATATTGTATTAAGTGCTTGATCTAGAAGCCACTGTTGGGTTAATGAAACATAACGTTTGTACTAGTTGAGAAGTTTGTTACAAAACCAAAGACGAAACAGGCAGTCTACAATGGCATACCAAAATGAAGCACAGATTAGGCATTTTTATTTGACCTCTTCAAGAAAACGTTAAACGTTAGTTAAATTCATAAACTAACAAAGTCAAATTTGTGTGGTTGTTATTATAACATTGTTCACGTCTTGATGTATCTTTGATTAAGACCTTAAACTAAAATGGGTGACTGATTGGAAAAAACAATTTTATATACCTCCCAGAAGTATAGTGTACGTGACAAATTTAAAAAAAAAAAAAAAGTAATCATTTTCTGTCAATATTATTTTTTTTAATTTAATTTAACAAATATAATTCTTGAATTAGTACGTAACGCGTATACTAAAAATGCAATGTGAAAGCTACACACACACACTCACACAGTACCAAAGGCTGAGTGGCAAACCCCCAGAAAATTCCCATCATGGAAGAAAAATTAATATTCCCCCACCATGGGGTAGGCACCCCTTTAGTCAAAATTCTACAAGTCCTTCCTACAAAGCACTAACTCCAAATTAATCTCTCTTTTCCTTTTATACCTTCTTTCTAAAAGAGCATATTTGATGTGTCTTTTGATTGTCCACCCTCCTGGTTGAATTTTTTTTATCTGTATTTTCACAAACAAAAAAAATGTGGGGAAAAAGAAAACTAAAAATTAAACCAACAAGCTAGATGACTTTGTGGGGGTATTTATTTATATGAGTTGTTTATAAGTCAATCATGAAGAACTGTCCTCACTGACCAATCAGGGTTTAGGGTTCTTTAACCCTTGAAGACACTCATCATTTTGAATACCTTCCAATTATAACTTGCCAAGAAATCAAAGAGCGGGAATTGATTCTCTCATGCATAAACCCAATTGAAATAGTATTGAATTACGTGCTCAAACCCCGAATTGCAGAACTCAAACTCTAGAATGAAGAATGAACAGAATCTTGAGTTATTGTTTTCTAATCTATAATTCAGAATCAGTTAGGCAAACAACAAAAGAAAAAAAAAAAGAAGCAAGGTTTTCTATTTGTAATTGCTATCATCATCTAAAGCCACTTTGCTTGTGACAAAAGGATTCTGAGAGAGTGGATATCCTTCTTCACTCTAAAGCTACTTTCCTTTGGTTTTTTCGACCAATTAGGTCCTTGAAAATGACTAATGTATGAATGAGAAATTAACCATGCTTGGAAATTTGAAGAAAAAATAAAATATCTAAATATGTCTCCTCCCAACCCACTTTATAATCCTTTTCCAAGGGTTGGCTAGCTTTGGATGATGATGATGATATCATAAACTGCTTTGCAGAGAAAACCAAGCAATTACAGATAACCATCCATAGTGAGAAAAAAGCCTAAATTCCCTTTGGCTTCAACATTCAAGGGTCCAGACCAAAAAACCACTACTTTTTTAGGAGTTTTTTTTTTCTTCCTCAAGAATTCTTATGCAGAATATATAACCTTGATATTGTGTATATTATAAAGCTAATCAATCAGGGAAGCATGCCAAAAAAAACTATGTCTATCCCTTAAAAAGAGATTCTTTGCCCATTGTCCCACACATTTCATCAACCTTTTCAATATTCTCTTTTCCTCTTCTCATGCACAAGAGCCACAATATATGCTTTGATTCTCCCATATACATTACACTTGTATCGTATACTCTCATCCTCTCCATCATCTCTTCATTTCTTCTCTGGTAATGATTCCAGAAATGGAGGTATGTGCAACCCTTCAACCACCAAATGCAAATACATTCAAAACAAATTTCATCTTTTTTTTTATCAACATCACTCACTGACTGATGGCTCTCTTCTTTTTTCTTTGGTTGAGTAAATGCAGAAACCCAGAGTTACAGAGATACAGGTCCGGATGGATTGCAACGGATGCGTACAGAAGATCAAGAAGGCTCTGCATGGCATCAACGGTAAGTCTGAGTTGTCGTCCTCTTGCTCCTGCCAAAATAACCCTTTTCTTGCTGCTCATAACATTCATCCCCTTTTTCTATAACCAAAAAACAGGTATTTGTGAGCTTTACATTGACTTCCCTCAACAAAAGATAACCATCATCGGGTGGGCTGACCCTGAGAAAATAGTAAAAGCCATTAAGAAGACAAGAAAAACAGCCATCATTTGTTCCCACTCAGAACCACCTGATGATGATCATCGCCAACAAACTCAGCCACCAGATGATGACAATTCTGCCGATGCAGTTCGAGGAGATGAGCCACCACCACCAGCTTCTAACCCTCCTCCCCAACCCTCAGAGGCTTCTGGTATTAATCCAGGTCCAACACAACATGATGGTTCCTCACCAGGACAGGAGGAAGGCCAACAACAACCAGCAGAGCCACCAAAAGATCCACCCCAACATCTAAAACTGGAGGCTAAACCACCTAAATCTAGACCTAAACCACCAGCACCAGCAGCAGAAGAACCTCCACAAGCTTCTCCCGCAGTCAAGATGACTCAATACCACCTTCCTAATAAACCTAAAGATGTTGAACAGGTTCATGTTGTTTATCACCACCCACCGGATTATGGCTTCAGATACAGCTACAATGATAATCATGGGAGCATGAATCAGGGGTACAACAGTCAATGGCATTCTTATCCTCCCGCAGGTCCAGGTTTCCGACCAGAACCACCACCACCACCCCCCCAACAACCTATCTATGTAACTCACAGTTATAACACATACCGCGCATCACCGTATGTCACCGGATACGAGTATATCGCGCCTCCGGCAGCAACACCGTCCCCACCACCACAATATATACATTATAGCAGACCCACACCACCACCACCACCACCTGAGTATACACATTACACTCGGCCGCCGCCATCACCACCAACACGATACACACAATATAGTTATAACAGCAGGCCCGAGGGCTACTACAGTGACGACTATCATTACTATGGAAACAATGGCAATGGAAATGGAAACATCACTTCAGCATTCAGTGATGAAAATCCAAATGCATGTAGAATAGTCTAGAATTAACCATAACAACAAACAGTTGCACGAAAAGTGGAAGCCTTCTCATGATGAGCATATCTTTCAGGATAATACTTTTTAGATAAGCATGCAAACATGTGTGCGACGAATATTGAAAGGAAATCAGATTCCTGGCTTTTAAGAGCAGGAAGAATATGTCCTATATTCCAACTTTTGGTACAGTCCAAAAACCAACCATCCATTCATTTCTTGTAATATAATCCAATTATACTATTTTATATTCTTCAAAATCTTTTATATGAAGATGTGCCTAAACAATTGTAGTTTATTAGTTGCAAGGTTGCATTTAATTGAATACAAAGCAATTAATCAGATTAACCACTTTTTGCTAAGCAAATCAAATAATTAATCAACCATTCGACCAAGGACAATTAATTAAGTTTTCTTTTTCTTTTCAAACAAGGTCAATAAGTAACTGCTTTACTTGTTAATAAATAAAAACAAAAAAGCACACAAACTAATCAATTATTAAATACATGATCAACTTGACTGCAAATCATATATTATCTCCAAAGAAAGTAGAGAAAGAAGCATTCTCAAGTATAACTTTCTGTCTTCAAAACGGTAAAAGCCAAAAGAGGAAAAGTAAGAAATAAAAATCTTCCGTCGTGAACAAGTTGTACAGCCAGGCTTACTGGAGATCTACAGCAAGGTGACTCTTCATCAGGTGCATTCAACCTCCAAAAGCGAGAAGACAAATCAAGCAAAGGATGGCCCTAGAAGTTTTGAGATGTAGACACCACTAATGCTGCCTAACCAACAAAGGCGAGATTCTCCAGTTCCCAGCGCGCAGGCAATTCATGCCACTAGTTTTGGCAATGAAAGAACCGATTGCAAAAGGCTGCATTAATAGTCAAATCTACATGATTTTTCCTGTGGAAGTCTACTAGGAAGAACGTTATGCTAAACAAGTTATGATCACGGAAAACACCTTACCGGATACTTTTCACAAATTTCTACTCATCACTCTCAGAATCAGTCTGATCGTCAATACCATATAGAACTTCGTCCACGTCTTCTTCGTCTTCACTTTCATCGATTTGCTCGTCTTGTGTTGGCTTTGAAACTTTGCCACCTTTACCCTTATCAATCTGATACATGGTAGTGGGTGAAAAATAGAACAACAAACTATGAAGAATAAGAAAAATTTTCAATCCAACAGACTCCAGCAGAACCAACCTGGGCTGTCACAAGCTGCAAACGACCCGACAATTGTAATAAATACTGAACAGATCCCTCTCTTGATTTCGATAGCTGTTAAGTAACAATGACCAATGAAAGCAAACTACTTAGAAAGGGGTTTGTTAACATTATAAAAAAATAAATAAATAAATATTATTACATTCCGACATGTATGAATGTCGCATATGTAAAATACAATACGCACACACCTTATAGATGTCTATGTCAGTTTTATATGTATGCGTTCTTTTCTCATTATTTTTACCATACTCAGACATAATCATGGGAAGGAAAGAAGAAACTAGAAAGGAATTGCAATAAGTATGATAATAAAATGGCACTCCACCTTGAACAAAGAATCAAGAAGTTGGCCCCCCGGTTCCTGATCTAAGATGAACTGACTGTGATTTACTAAGATACAGCATATCCAGGGAAGGACATATCTTCCAGGGAAGGATCTGTTTCAGAAAAATTAACAATAAGAGGCAAAACAATGCAACATATTAATAATAAGAGAGGGTACATAAAGTTTAGCTAACACCGTGCAGCTTTTCCTTTTTCTTTCAAACAGCAAAGAGTGCAGCATGGTTAGGGGCCAAATCGACATATATTGAAAACAGGGATAAAGGATTTAGGAACCAGACCTGGAAAACCATGCCGCCACCAATATTTTCAACAACTTGTACGCTTCACTCGGTTCAAGAGATAATATATTTGCCTTCATCTATGGAATTTAGCCAGTTATTAGTAAACAATATAATTTTGTAAACATCCCCATGCACGATAGGAGGAACAATTCAATTTATCCAGATATGAACAAACCTTCTTTTGCGAAACACTCTCCACAAGATTAATATCCTGTAAGGTCTCGGCTGAATCACTAACGGACCCAGATGTCAGTCCATCAAAATCGTCAAGGATCCCCACGGATCTTAACCTGTCTTCCATTGAGAAAGTGGCATCTGGCAAACTCACTTCCTTCATATCCTCTGGAAATTCCAACAATATAAAAAGATCAGGAAAGACTGATAACATCTGGCTAGATGAAAACATCGCCTACAGAAATCTCAAGAATAGTTAAACATACCTCTACTCACTGTGGGCCTAAGGGAAGTAGTTTTGTCAACTACATTTAAGAATTTTGGCTTAGGAAGTAAGGCATCTTCTGCACTTGCACGATCCAAGGCAGTGACTGTTATCACCAGAAGTAAAGTTTAGATTACCAAACAGTTATTTTTTTCATCAAATAAAAGACACTACATTAGATAATTGACAGTCAAAACTGAGGAGAAACAAATCCTCAAAACTTTCGTATGAACAATGACTTACTTTCACTATGAATGTCTGCTACTTTTTTAGATTTTTGCAGTTGACTGATAGGAAGAAGAATCCCGTCAAGTGAACTGCTTAATTTTAGGTCATGACCAGGTTGCACCAAAATATTCTCAAAAGAAGGCTTCATTAGCAGACCATAAGCAAGGAGCACCTGAACTGAGCTAGGCTTAGAGACATTCTGTAACTTTGCTGCAAATATACCGGGGAGAGTTCCCTTGGTTTTCTTTCGTAAATGTTCATCAAAATTTAGGTAGATCTTTGTGTGCTTCGAGTTATTTATTTCCTGAATATCACTTCCATGCCAATAATAGCAAACACCCACTTCTGAAATGGCCAAAATGCATAGGCTTGCATCATCTCCACTGCTACTAGGGACACACTTGCAGTCCAAAAAGACAGGGGGATGATCCATCGGGAGAGAACAACAGGCTGATTTGTTTTTGCTGCCGTCTATCCTCCAAATCGCAACATAACGTTCACCGACAGCAGAAGAGAGCACGTACCTCCCATCTTCGGAAAAGACCATACAACTTACGGTCCCCTAAATATTAGGTGGAAATAACAATCCAACATCAAATAAAGAAGCAAAGCATAGAGGCAAAAAAGTATTGATGGAGGAAAAAAGAAGAGAGAGAAAAACAAAAGTGAGTGTGTTGTACAAGCCACTCACAGGATGGCCAGAAAACTTCTGCATCTTTTTCTGTTTGAAACAATCAAAGATCTTCAGTTGTGCTGCTGCAGTGGAAAGCATCTTCCCGTCTGACTTCCAAGAGAAGTACAAGGAAACAGAAACAATTGAATTAAAAAATGAATTTAGCTCCACGGGTGAATATCAAAGATAGAATCATAATATGCAGTAAAACCGGAGCTAACTAAGAGTAGGAAATGCCCTTATTTACTTGTTTTACTGGATAAATTTAAAAACTACATGCACCTGCTGAAACAACCAGAGATGATATTGCCTTTGTGGATGCTTTGAACTCATCTAACAAATTCCCAGTCAAGGAATCAAGTCTACAAACCCTTCCATCAACTCCAGCTGTATAGATAAATGACCCGTGGGAACAAAATGAAATGGCATTGACTCCCCTGCACCATGTTGTACACATGAGAAACTTGGTCAGGTAAAAATGCATTTCCAGGTTTGGAGATGTTTCATCGAGCTTTCTGTTTCACATCTTCAATGAGCATGCACTATTCTTGACATTTTAATACACAATGATTATAAGAAGTAATCATTAAGTCTACCAAATGCTCCAAGTTTGACAATCCACGGAAAGAAATTAGACAGAAAATTAAAAGCCCAAAAGAGCAGAATGCAGGTGAGATTCTCCCACCCACTCTCTCTCTCGTGAATCATGAAAATTTTAGAGCAGTCAGGAAAAACCTACCCAGGATGACAGTCATTGACTTTCCATTTCAACTGACCAGCAGCAACATCCAGTGCTAAAACATCACCACTTCCGGTTCCTAAAACCAGCAATGAAGTGCCAAGCTTCCTTTTCTTCTGAGAAGACGTGCGGGAGTACAACAACTCGTTAGTTGCCTGTACAAACATCCCAGAAAAAAAATAAAAATAAAATTTCATCTGTACATGAGAAAATTTACCTTTTTCTCCAGGGACAACCATGTCATACATTTGTAATCCACAGAAAGATGTCCTCTTTCAGATTTACCAAATAACTCATTCGTTGCATCTGAGGAAACAATATCTGAAAACTCAGTCTGCAGCTGACCCTTCACGGTGTCCCATATCTAATAACAAGCATCACATAACCAGAAAACTCATTCAGTTGTTCATATGAAGAAGAAAAACAGTTATACCGAACAAATTCCACTACGTAAACAATTTCTCTCTTTGACTCTAGGAAAGCAATTAGAAGGTATACTGCAGAACATACACAGCTGAGCCAGAAAATTCATAAATAAAACATCATACACTCCTCCCTGAATAAATGTCAAACTGAAACCAGCCCTTTACAAAAATATGAATTCTACACTAACACAAAAAGGAGCTCGGTGAAAAGAAACACACAAAGCAAAGCACGCATAATTCAGTACACAGAAATCAACAACTTATTACTTTGTGAAGCTGATATTCAAACAGAAAGCAAAAAAACACACATACAGACACAAAATTTCAGCGTCCAAAAGCTTAAAAGAAAAACATAGACGCGCAGGATTGCATTGAATAACAAGCTTAAAAAGCATATGTTGTTTCAAACCATAAAGGAAATTAAGATTCCAAAAAGGCCATTTTTTGAAAGAAAAACAAAGAAAGAGGAAAAGGGGTAACCTTAATTCGGCCATCACCAGAGCTAATAGCGAAGAAGTCCAGAGAAGGACTGAATGAAGTCAATAAATCCCTAATATTATTGGTCGTCCCCATTCGCTGCCAACCAAAAAAATCCCCAATGAACAGCTTTTTAGTTGCAGAGGCGCCACCGATTTTAGGGGTTTAAGGACAGAGGTTTTGAGGTTTATGACTATATTCTGCTTCCCTTTGTTTTTCTCTTTTTTTCCAAACAATTGTTATTTATTTAAGAAGAACGAGATTTTACTAAAATTACATTTAACGCTCTAATTTTTTAGATTAATACAAACTAAGTCCTATAATTTGAGAACACTAGATATTATATGGAATTATGATCTAATTTCTTCATTAATCGATCTCATAATTATGAGCACGTTTAAATGTTAATCTAATCAATATCATTAAAAAAAGAAATGTAAGGTGCACTTTTGACATTTTAAAATTTTTGTCATAATACTAGATATGAATCATGTCAATGTGATCATAATTGTGGTCTTAGATGTAATGGTCAACAAATTCTACTCTCTTCGTGTCTCATAATTATTGTCTAGTTTGGGTTTTAATTTTTAATTCAAATTATACTAAAAGTGAGATCTCAAACTGGACAATAATTTTGTGACAGAGGGAGTGCTATAAAAGAAAAAACATGAGAATTGAATGACAACCTAGTCATTAGGTTACTGTCTTTCCTGATGATAGACCAGATAGATCAGGATTCGATTCCCACCGAGAGTTGTAAGGGAAATTTTACCCACATTTAAGTGGGTTTCACTGGAGTGGATTAAAAAAAAAAACAACATAAAAGAATTTGATGGTATATTTTTCTCCAATACTCTTCTTTCCAACAAAAAAAAAAAAACTACTGATCTATTATGTTGAAGTAAAATAATGGCCTTTCGTTTGTTTTTTTTTTTTTTTGTCAAAAGCCTATTACTTTTTAGAGATGGAGAGAATATTACTTTTAGTCCATGGGAAAATAACAAATTTTCCTTAGGATTATTTTTATTCACAATCCTAAAAGCTCATTTGGTTGTAGAAAATTAACTTTATGGAGATTAATTTACATCAAATGATATAAAATATTGGACATGTACACAAGGGGCGGAGAAAAAGTGAATAAAAATGTTTGTAAAATTTCACATTACTAACAACGATATACACGAAGGAATTTTGAGCTATTGGTTTCCTGACCTCAATGACTTCAGAAAGACAGAACATCAGTCATCATCATCATCTCAGAAATGTCTTCATTATTCTTTTTTTCCAGTCACTTTAGTACATTATAACTTTTCGTAATCATCATCAAAACATCAACCTATGACATTAATAATATTTATAAGCGACTCTTCTTAAGAGGTCCCATTTCCTTTGCTTTAGCCCTCAACAAATGCTTCTGTATTTTCCCAGTTGCTGTCTTAGGCAATGGTCCAAACACCACAGATTTTGGTACCCAATAGGCGGGCATCTTCGACTTGCTGAACTTCATTATGTCCTCTGCCAGTTGTCGCTGCTGATCGGGATTGTCAGCAGCATAGCTGGACTTTGGTGTGACGAATGCGCATGGAGATTCCCCCCATTGCTCATCTGGCCTTGCCACCACTGAGACTTCCAAGATTGCTGGATGGTGGTAAAGTATGTTCTCCACCTCAACACTGCTTATGTTTTCACCTCCTGATATGATGATATCCTTTGACCTGTCCTTAATTTCGATGTAACCGTCTGGATGTTTGACTGCGAGATCACCAGAATGGAAGTATCCATTTGCGAACGCTTCTGCATTGGCTTTAGGATTTTTCAAGTAACCCTTCATCACAACATTGCCTCGAAAGACGATTTCTCCAACAGTAGTTCCATCTGCAGGGACAGGTTTATTGTGTTGTGTGTCCACGACATCCAGGCCTTCCAAGCCTACATAAGGGACACCTTGCCGAGCATTCAGGCGAGCTTGGGTTTCAGGCGGCAGTAAATCCCATTCGGGTTTCCACACGCAAATGGTGGAAGGGCCATAGGTTTCAGAGAGGCCATAAGTGTGTGCAACACGAAAGCCACGCTGAGACATTGCAGCAAGAACAGAAGGCGGAGGAGCGGCGCCGGCTGTCATGACATGCACAACACGAGGGAGTGGAAGAATGGTGTCTTCTTTTGGAGCATTCACAATGGTATTTAGAACCACTGGTGCAGCACAGAAGTGGGTAACACCAAGATTGGCTATGGCTGAATAGACAGCCTTTGCAGTAACCTGCCAAGATAAATAAGCAAATAGTCCAGTCAGTCATTTGGGAAAGAAAATGCTACCTGCCAAAGGATGTCATATCTTTTCAGCTACGTTACATATTCACAAAGCCATTGCAGCATCTAAGTTCACAACATAAGTCATCACTTTTATAAAAATTATGCAAATATAGGCCTAAAACTCGTCAGGGAAGTTATAGGAGCATCATCAGTTAAACCATAGTCAGAAACATGGCAAAAATCTTTATATGAGGAACTGTTGCTTTGTTCTGTGCAATACGTGTAAGTAAAGGTGATGGTCACAATAACATTTTAACTTTTTAAGGCTGGTCAACTGATTAACTCTGGAAATTCTACAGAAACTGGTTCACATCACATTAGTATCCACCCATGAAGGGACAAACAGGAAACAAGAGGCAAGATTAGTTAAAGATACCTGTCTAAGGCATATGCTAGTCCCGCAAATAGCAGCTAATGACCAAGTGAAACACCACCCGTTGCAATGGAACATTGGTAGGGTCCACAGGTAAACTGCACCTTCTCCCATTCCCCAAATAATTGGATTACTGAGAGCCATTAGATATGCCCCTCGATGGTGCAGGACAACGCCCTTGGGACTTGCAGTTGTGCCAGAAGTGTAACCGAGAGCAATGCTTTGCCACTCATCTTGGGGCCGTTTCCAGGCAAAGTTTGGATCGCCGGTTTCCAAAAACTTCTCATATTCCATTGCGCCTTTTGAAAGGGCGTATTGGAGAGACTTTGAATCACAGGATTTATCAGCAATGACAATCAAAATAGGAGGTTTGAAGTTGCCTTTGCTATTGTCAGCCCAAATCTTTAATGCTTCCTCAGCTAGGGGAAAAAATTCTTGATCCACCATTACGACATTGGCTGCTGAGTGACCCAAAAGAAATGCGATCGTTTGTGCATTTAGACGAATATTGACAGCATTCAGAACTGCTCCAGCCATTGGAACACCATAATGGGCCTCGAACATAGCAGGTATATTTGGTGCAATCACTGCAACCTGGCATTGTCAAACAGATTCAATTTTCTACCATAGTTCATCAACAGTGGGAAATAAATATTTGGAACATGTGCATCTGATCAAACAAGATGCTATACACTTTGAAGCGACAGAAGATAACAATATTACTCAACTCCTAGAGATATGCTTCAAGGGTGAATTTAAGCAAGCATAATATCAGAACTAAAAAAAAAAAAAAAAAAAAACAAGGCCGTGGCCATCAAGTCTTATTCAAGAAAGTTATGCATCTATTTTGGATGTATGAAAACCAAAACAAAATTATCAAGGAAGTCTTTTTTCTTCTTTCAACGGCCACCGTTATCGCAACCTTATTGATGGTTTAGCATGCGCATTCAATTCAAATGTGCTTGTAATTTTCTCCGTGTAGTAAGATCCCCTGTATTTATTCTAGAAGGAGAACCAGTTCATTCATTTCAAGAGGTAGGCGCTAAGCACAGTGAAACTTTACTACTCAAAACTAATCTCCATTACATCAGGAGCTTTATCATACATTTAAAATTTATTCAAACTAAGCTCTGGTGTTAAGATGTTAAGATGTTCTGGTCAAACAAGCAATTGCTAATGACCAAGCAAATGAGTATATTAATTATTAATCACGCAACCTTCCCAGTAATAAAAAGAGGCAATAACTGACAACACTCTTACTTCCTAATTTTTAATTTAGATGAAGACACAAGCTTAAAATTGAAAATTTATTCACAGCTGGACCCAGCAAATCCTGGTTATTATAATCTGGCAAGCATGAAGCTCATCCAATTTTTCAGGGGAATCATAATTACCGTTCAAAACCACAGTAAGTCATTGAATTTGCAGAAGCTTCGCGTGGATGAAAATCCCAAGAAAGTCAATATGTATTTGGAAGATAAAAATCCAGTCTTCTTGGATAAAGATCAGAAAAGCAAAAACATTAAGATTCAGTATCATCAGTAAAACACAGATTTACACCAACTCAGGGAAAGCATGATTACTCCAAAAGAACACAGCAAAATCATCAAACGAAGGTATGAAAAGACATTAAAAAGTCAAAAGTCGAGGAAATCAGCCCTTTCCTTGGCCACTAATATCAACCAAAAGCCAGCAATGAATGCAACAAAACCACAATTAAAATCTGTTCATTCATTCAATCCAAATAGACCATTAAAGATTTGCACTAAATTAGAGCAAATGATTAATGAAAAAAAAACCCCACAAATCCTCAGCTTTGTTCGCTCTTTCAATCAATCAGACTGTAAAAAGTTGATCAACAAAAAAGTCAACCATTCGGGATTCCCTCCCTCAATCGTTTAAAATACAAAAGCAAAAAAGAGTATATAGAAATTAAATTTACGGTGGAGCCGAAGGTGACGGAGCGGTTGGAGAGGGCGGAGGCGAGGCGGCGGCACCGGTGGTAAGTCTGGAGCCACGTGTAAGAATCGGATGCATGAATGAGGGATGTGCGGTTGGGATGAACCAGAGCAGCTCTCTCCAAGAAACCAAGTGGGGTGAGAGAAGTGTAGTTGGCCTGATTCTTGGGAAGGTCATCGATGTCTTTCTCCTTATTGATTCCTACCATGGCTGCCTTTAGCTAGCTTACTGTGTGTGTGCGTGTTTTTTTTTTTTTTTTTATCAGGTGATGAATGAATAAAATGCGGTGGGGGAAAAACGAAGAAATGATGATGAATGAATCAGGAGATGAGGAAGTGACTGGCAACAAAAATTTGTGGGAGTTTGTCCAAAAATTCTGGGGGTATTTATAGTAACAGCAAAGATATAGCAGAGCACACAGGAAGAAACAAGTGTGTGTTTTGAAATTTTCTTTCTTTTCCATTACGCCTTTTTTGGCCTCCTTTTTTTTAATTTTTTTTTTGTTCTCTAATTAGATGATGAAACAAAATCCAAAATAAATGGTCTTTCCTTCTCAGAAGATTCTGTGATATACGCTGATTTGGCAACACATATCAGGCGCCGGATAAAGTAAATGTAAAAAAAAAAACAAAAGGATAAGAGATAACCCTTGCAAGTAAAAATGAGATTAGGTAAAAATTTAGCAAGTTTCTACATTATGATGTACTTGTAATAATAAATTCTTTTCACTCTCTTTTGTCACTACTTTCAATGCGAGTCAAACTAATCGATGAAGAATTATTAGTTTTCCTTTTTAGATTGTTTATCAAATAACTTTTCAAAGAGTTTTTCCTAAACGGTAACAAAAAATATACTGAATGTCATCAGAATCTTAGTAAACCAAATTTATAAAATAATAATAAACCTTAAATGGTTAAATAAATAATAATTTAAAAAACACGATCAAACTTAAAAGGAAAAAATAAAAATTTCATAATTGTGTTGGTAACTCTTAAAATGGCGGCCGATTAGAAAAGGAAAAGGGAAAAAAGAGGCCAACGGATGAAGGAATGAAGGAATGGATTCAACTTTTTTGATTTTGTTTTAGGAAAATATATAGAAAAAAAATAAAAATAAAGAAGAGTCGGCCTAAATAAATAGAACCTATAGGAATTGAGCTTGCCTTTTACTTGGTACTAGGGGAAGGGGCTGCACATTGTGCAGCGAAAGGGAGTGATAGCCCAGTATTTTTCCCATATTGATAAATAGGAAAGTTTTAATTAGTGAAAATAGTATTTACTAAATTATGTGAAGTCCTTTTTTTTTTAGGGGAACAAATGTTTTATTAATAAATTATGTGAAGTCCTTAATAAAAAGATGTTAATACAAAATACAACTATTTCACATGTGTATAAGTTAATTATTGGATAATAAGATATAATATTGTTTGTAATAAGATACAATACAGTTTGCTATGATTATGATAATAAGATATAACGACATGTGTTCATTCAATACCGGGTATAGATCAGCTTTTCCTTTCTTCCAAGTTTTCCCTCAATGTTCCGTTCATTAGATTTCGCAAACCAACACCAATAAAAGCTGGAGAGTTTGGGTAACATAGACGAACCTTGCGGGTGATCTGCTAGGAACAACAGCCAAGTTAGACTCCACATGTTATTTGAAAAGTAACAAACAGTAGAGTAAACTATTCGATGCAGTCTTCTTCAATCTAAATTTCAATATGAAGTCAACCAAAATAATTATAAAAAGTCAAAAAGAGAGTGCACAAACAACTTCAATTGTGGATGAATGCGTGTACTAATCAAATCAACACTTGAGAAATTACAGAAAATCCAAAAATTATCCATCGGAAAGATGTGCATACACATACTAAACAAATTAAATCAACTCCAACATAACATCTAATTTATTGTAGAAATGCCAATTGTTGATCAGAAATCAAAGGTTGACCCGAAAATCTCATCTTTCGGGCTTACCAAATCAGAAAATACACAGAACTCAATCAAAATTTTCAGAAGCAAAGTAGCAACTGAGAAATTGCTAACCACTTACCACAGAGTATTACAAAGTAGCAATAAGAAATTGCTACTTTCAGAAGCAAAATTTCTAGAAATTGCTAATCAGAAAATGCACATAACTCAATCAAAATTTCAGAAGCTAAGTAACAACTGAGAAATTGCTAATCACTTACCATAGAGAAATTGCTAATCACTTGCCAAATTTTCACCAGACAAAAAACATAAGGGAATCTCAGAAGTGGCTTGTAAAGTCTCAAATTCTTGCAAAAAATGCAATGTTACGAACACTTCTGGAGTGAAGCTCTCAATTGGCAAGCGGAGCCATCTCCCAGATGCAAGCAAAGATCCCTTGCTCTCATTTTCAACAGGGGTTGGGGAGAAATGGGCGTAAAGAAAGAAACTTTTTGTTACTATATATATATATATATTTTATATATATATATATATATATATATGCAAAAGCAGGAATTTATCACTCAATTGGACAGTTGCAGTAGCCACACAAAGCTATACATTAGCTTCCTTAACCTCAAATAATCAACAGAGAAATTGGCAAATTCTTAAATACACAACCACTCTCCCTCTAGTTTTGTTTTTCTTCAACAGCTTTGGGGAAAAATTCATCTGTGCCTAACATCAAACACCTAACATGCAACCAAAATACATGACACTTTCGTAAAATCTAAGCTACAAAAAAGCAAACAAAAAGAGACTTTAAAAACAGCAAAAAAAAAAAAAAACGAATGCACAAGGACATTTTCTTATCTCTTACACTCAAGACAAGTTAAAAAACAATGAATGTTGTAATCCAGGCCCCCCCAATTCATTCAAAATTGGAAAATCAAATCAAAATTGGAAACCCCCAAATTAGTGAAGTCAACTAATCCTTATTGATTTTCAACCCATTGATCGACTTGCTATGCAGCCACTTATGTAGATTTAAAGGGATAATTTGCTACTACATAAGTCTGCAGAAATACAAACCTAAATTTGGGGCAATTTTCTTCTGGGAATAATTCCTGCGCCGCCTTTTTTTCCCGAGGAATTGTTGCCGTGCTGCAAAAAATTCAACGAAGGAAACCGAAGTTGGCCGTGAGAATTTGATGACCAAAACAAGTTTTCTCCGGGTGAAAAATTTGGGGCCACACAAGTTTGGAGGAAATACGAACCTCGATTTGGGGCAATTTTTGTCTCGGAGAAAAATTCTTGCTCCGCCTTTTTGCGAAAAATCGTTGCCTGCTGCAATAAATTGAACAACGGGAAAGCTAGAGTGTTTTGAGGAGGAAGATTCGCTACGCTGCTGCAAAAAAACTGAATGAAAGAGGCAGAAGAGAAGTGGAAAGCTGGAAGGGACTCTCTGCAAGAAGAAAACGGAAGGAGAGAAGAGAATGACGCGAATGGAGAAGACAAAGGCGAAACGGGGAGAATAGGCTTCAGTCAATGTATGGAATCCAATAGACGTCAGACATGTGTGGAGGGAGTGACCGGGCACCATACCTAAACAGGCGGATGTCCGGTCAACTCGCCCTTATATATATGTAGATGTGGTTTTAAGTAAGCATATATTAATTGGACTGATAAAAAATAAAAAGAAAGAAACCCCGTTAAGTAGCATGATCTTCTTCTTCATTTATGTCGGAGGATTGCGTCCGATGATCTTCACAATTGCGTTCGATTCGCAACACGGCGATTGATCTGGCAAGCATCAAAATTCCCTTCCGCCTTCATCACAGACCGAAGATTAACTGATTTCTATTGACTTTGAATCTTTGATTGGAACAAATTCCTTCTCGTCATCGTCGTCATCGGCCGCAGCTTCTCCACCTCCGTTTTTATCCTTTCGTTTGTTGGCGGCGCGGGAGAGATGGTAGCGTTTAGTTAGGGTTCTTGAGGCATCTTCTGCCATGATTTCAGTCCACTCCGTCTGAATTCACGGTATCAGTCTGAGAAAAGAGCAAAAGAGTAAATATAAACAAGTAAATTAGTTAGATTAATCGTTTTACTGCAAAAATTAACCGAATATTGTTAGATGTGATAAGCAAGCGGCACGTGTCGATTATCTTTCTTTCCTTTAATATATACAATGATTTAGTCATACAGTATGAATGAAATTCGAGCCATTAAATTAATTAAACTTCATTATGATTTAAATTATATATATATATGAGAATCCTCAATTTGTTTGTTACCATCATGGAATAGTTCAATCGTTTAGTTAAGTGATTTTTCAAATGTTCCTTTTACGTTCACTTGATTGATTAATGACTTAATTATGAAAGTAATAGAATAACGATAAAAATAATGAATCTATTGAAATGAAAAGATTCAAATCTGGCGCACAAGAAAGAAGAGATGACAAAAAATATACATATAGACAATAGTTCGTTCTTTCCTATTTCTACTCGTGTATCCTATGATATACGTATGAAGGTCAACTTAGATATGTAAACAAAAGTACATAAAATTGATGAAGAAGAACAAAATTGTCCATCAACTATGGCACATGGCCAATGGGATAATATGTTAACATGCTCTTGACTATGCCAAACACATTTGTGTTGCGTTCTTTTATCTAGAACGGGAATCGGGAAAAAATAATCTCATATCCGATGGAAAATACTTTATTAAATGAATATTTAATTTCTTTTGAAATGTCACAAATATGTTGAATAAGTAATTAGTTGACGATCATTGCGTTTCTTTTCTCATAGACATGAGAATAAAATTTTAAATTTTGAATAAATTAAGAAAAAAACGTAATTTTTGCACGATAATTTTTCATCAATGAAATTACATTGCCATATCAAGGTTTCAACTTAATAAAATAATATAAAATTTTAGTTTTTCCCTAATTAATAAATTTCAAGATTAAAAAAATACTGAATAATCACGTGAGATTATTCTGGGGTATAATAATAAGTAATCTTATTACTAAGTGAAAAGTAATTCCTTACCTCCAATTTTCTATGAAATAATTCACCATTACCTCCCTCCCTTCCAATTGAAATTCAACCAAAAAATAAAAATAAAGATTGATCCAGTCAAGTAGCGGGTGCATGATCCTTCCGTGTACTGAAAAACACACCATATTTACCATGAATGCTGTTCTTTCTTTCTTTCCTTCTCTTCTAAAATTATTGTCTAATTTGAAATTTCACTTTAATATAATTTAAACTAAAAACGAAAACACAAAGTGGATAATAATTATATGACGACTCGGGAGTATATTATTATTTCGCTAATTTTCATATGACCTAATTTTCCTTACGTTTTTTCTTTTCTTTTCGTCGGTTGGCGATTTTTTTTTTTAGTTCTTACTACATTTCTATAAAATAACATAGCCTACCAAGAATTGATTTTTTGTATTTTATTTCAAAAAGTACAAAACGCCAGCTCCTCCTCCCCATTTCTCCCCTTCAGTTCCATTCACGAACTACACTGATTCATGCTTGTTCCATTCCTCGTGTTGATTATCGAATCGGCCTCATTGAATTAGTCGAATTTGATTGGTGGGTCGGTTGATTTTGGAGCATTTGGCGACGCAAATGATCGGTTGAAGAATTTTCAGCTGCTCTGTTGAATCGTTTCCTTTTCTTTTAAGATGATGGAAGGAGGTTTAACTGGGACGGAAATTCATGGCTTCCGAAGCATGGAAGGTGCCTGTGGATTACTGGGGTTTCCTTGAATTTCTGTCTTTCATTGTTTCGTGTACATCTACATAAAACAACTTTGTGTCTCGATTATGTATCATCAGTTCTTAGTCAATTGTTGAATTTGCTTTTTGTTAGGTCATGTTCTGTTGTTTTCGCTTTTGTTGAAGGGTTTTACCTGATGAGGACTTACAGTTGACTAAGTAGTCAAGTACTCAACTACAGATTCATTGGGTTTTACTAAACATTCGTAGTAAAAGTAAGGTGTCCAAACCATGTCTCCGTTGGAGAAATATCTGTCTACTTGACTTTTATAATATGAGTTTCAGATAAGTGATGGGTTCAAGAATGAAACATTTACTGTGAAGATTTCGAAAAATGGTGTTTCTCTGGTTCGGATAAACATGTGCAACTTAATGTTTGACTATATTACATATTTTTCCGAGTTTTTTTGGTTGAGCATTAGTATTATCATTGAACCTCAATGTGGGAGTTGTAAGCATAATTTATTAGTCAAACAAAGGCTCATTTTTATTTAAGCTGGTGATTTATGAAGATGTATATAGTAGTTACCGTGATTTAAGACGTTGGTTGAATAATATGCAATATAGTTCTATGTGGTTAATTTGATTAAGTAAACCATCTTGTATTCGCCAGTTGATATCTGCTCAAACTGATGATTCTTGTTCGTGATTTTCTGTTAATGCTTCTTCTTTGAGAATGAATTCCTAGTAGTTGTTGTTATTTTTGTTACGTCACACATTTGCTTGTGCATTAAGCAAGTTGTAATGGGGTTAATTTTAGAAATTGGTAGCCTGAAAAGACCAGTATGTAATCAAGATTAGTACTGTGTTTGCCACTTGGACAGATTTGGATATCAACAATATAATGATGGAGGCCAAGGGGAGATGGCTCCGACCAAATGAAATATATGCAATTCTTAGCAACAACAAATATTTCAATGTCCAAGTCAAGCCTGTCAACTTGCCTCCAAGTACGTATGAGAAGAAATGAAATGTTACTAAGTTTTTGTTCTTTCTTGTAGAGTGTACATTTACAGTCTATATTGAGGCTGTAGAAAGAATTGTACTCCACTACCGACCCAGTTTAACCTGTGATAAATGTAAAATTAAAGGTGGAACTATCGTGTTGTTCGATCGCAAAATGCTGAGGAATTTCCGAAAGGATGGCCATAACTGGAAGAAGAAAAAAGATGGGAAGACGGTCAAAGAAGCTCACGAGCACTTAAAAGTAAGTAAATGCCTATGTTCGTATCTCATTTAGTTAGCCATCAACTTTTTAAAACATCATCACATGTGTGGTGATGGAGTGCATGCCGGTTAGACAGTTTAATATTGTATATCAAGCTCTGAACCTGATGTAACATTGATGGGAATCTTTGTGGCAGGTTGGTAATGAGGAAAGAATACATGTATACTATGCACATGGGGAAGATAATCCAACATTTGTTCGCAGATGCTATTGGCTACTAGATAAGTATGAAAAATTTTCTATATGGTTATAGGATGAGTTATAGTCTTTTTTTCCCTGCCATTTATCCTTTTTTCTGATTTCGATTGTGAAATTTCTTTTGCAATTACATGTTCAAGCCAAGATGCCAGTGTCCTTGAACCAATGTTATGTTTTGTTTGTTTTTCAGGTCTCTTGAACATGTGGTCCTGGTTCATTATCGTGAAACTCAAGAGGTTTGTTTTTAACGTACAATGTTCTCAGATTGCAAGAGTGTGCTGGACAGATAAAGGAAGTGTATTTCCTAGGATCTTCAGCAAGCTTATTTTGAGTTTCAAAGTATACTTGTTGAAATTTTGAGGAAAAAACCCTTTTCCCCTTATTTTGAATTGAGCTCTTGGGTTTTTAGTTGCGTTTTACTGTTTTGAACTTCATATTTTGTACCTTTCTTTATGTTGTGTTGAACTATCAGTGTCATTATTATACCTGGGAACTGAGTTCCAAAATTTGATGCTCTTTGTTTAGTCCACATTCAGTCTCACAATTACTATTTATGGTTATGGTTCATTTCCTTTCTCAAGTTAGCAAAGGTACTATATAAAATTTTGTTTCTGAAGTCTTCGATTTCATGATTTGGTTCTTGAGTTTGGTTCTCTATATTTCGTTGTTTGTAATATGTGAGATAGATATTAGGTAATGTGATTTATAAGAGCTTGTTCATGGTTTATTAGTTAAAAGTTGAAATGAAATTTTCCAGCGTCTGACATTTCAAATCTTTACATCTTTTTGATCCACAAATCACATTTCATGCTGTTCAGAGTTAAAGGTGGACCCTTTTTGCAAATTTGGGAATTGTAGTTGCTTTTAAGTTTTAAGTTGAATCATTATGTTTGTAAGTTTCTATGTGTTGCCCGTAATTGTCCTGCCATGCTTTGGAAGCTGCCATTTTTACTTGGAATATCATTTTATAAGTTCCTATGCTGATTTATCTTTGACAGCCACAGGTTGCTCCATCTACCCCTGTTCATTCCAATTCCAATTCTAGTTCGGGTGTATCTGATCCATCCGCTGCTTGGGTTGTATCTGAAGAATCTGATTCTGTTGCTGACCAGGCTTACTACTCAAGTCAGAGGGGAAATTCAGGTGATAATTTTACCGTGAATGAATAATGAATTGTCTAGTTGTGGGGTTTTGTCTTAATTAGCCAGGGTACATGCTTATCATGAATAAAATTCTTAGTTTGGATACTGTATTGCACTGGTTCTCAAACCTGTGTTTTAGTTGAAACGCTTAGAGTGTCAACATTTTTGGCAAAAATAATTTTGAGCCGCAAAGGTTCTTCTAGTTTCACGTATTCTTTTCTGCAAGGATGTTTGCGTATGCAGGCAATAATATCTGAGTTTATTTTGCTCATATAAGTAGAATTCAAGTTTCAAGAATGGCTTTTTTTAGCACTAGTATTTTTTCTATGCCATGTGTCCTATTGTGATATTCGTCTATCCTGAAAATTGGGCGTTTACGGGTGATGATTATTCCAGGCCTTAATGAGACCGTAAACGCAAAGGATCATGAGTTGAGGCTTCATGAAATTAACACTCTGGAATGGGATGAGCTTGTGGTGCAAGATGATCCTAACAAGCTAACTGCACCGCAACCAGGTATTCAATTAAATTTTCGTTCAAACTTTCAAAAGAAATGTTGTCCGTTAACTGTTCCCTCATTTGATTGGTATTCTATTTACTCTCTCTGTTGAAACCTGCGAAAAAACTGTTGTACGTTAAGTCTTGCCTCATGTTGATTGCAGGAAGAGTAGCATCTGGACAATCATATCAGTACGAGATGCTGAATTACGGAGTTAATGTAAGTTAACAGTTTTAGGGTTTTGTCGTCATATTCGCGTCTTTGTTGATTCTGCCTGTTTTTCCTCTCTGTTCCTTTTGCGAGTACTTTTGGCATAACATGATTCATAGTACACCGGGTTCACTCTTACCTGTGATTAATTTTAATATTTCCTTGTGAGGCACAGTCCCTTCTTTAAGCTGACTGAACATCATTCTGCTTCAATTCTTTATGGACAATGGCCTAATGAGTGAAAAAATCAACATAAATTTGAGCACAATGTGTACATGCAGATATATGAATAGTTAAAATGAGATGCCAGAGGTTCTGGATGTGACTTTGCTGTATTAACTTAGATGATCTTACTGGGCTAAAACAATTTTGATACTCTGAGAGAGCAATCTCTGAATCTATGTATATTTTTCTCTTAAATGTTTGTTAATAACTTGACCTGTTGAGTGTGGATCCTTGTTGATTGGAGAGACTTCCTTACAAAAGTTGGCTTTTGCAGACAGACTCCCTTCTGGCTAACAATATCGCAACAGAAAATTTTATGGAAAAGTTTCCTGGGCAAGCGGTTGAGAATGTATCTGCTGCTAACCTCAGTATTCCAGCCACTGTGAGCTTTCAAGCTTCTGGAAATGGAAGGTTTTCAAATTCTCTGCAAAAGGAAACTAGACTAATGACAATGTTTACTGGTGATTCATCACAAATAATGGCCAAGGATAATTTGCAAACGCAAGACAGTTTTGGCCGGTGGATGAACGATGTTATTGCTGATTCTCCTTTGTCGATGGACGATGCAGCTCTTGATACTTCAATGTCCACCAATCAGTCTTTTCCTTCTCTGAACATGGATTCCTATAATTCTCCTGCAGTCGAGCAAATGCAAATATTTTACATCAGTGATATTTCACCTTCCTGGGCTTTTGCTAACGAAGAAACGAAGGTTTGTTTTATGAAGAATGTTACTGTTGGTTTAATCTTTCCCTGCTGTTTTGTTCTTTTTGTGAATGCTTGTTTGATATGCCAAAAAAAAAAAAGAGGAGAGAGAGAGAAACCGTGGCCAAAGAATTATTTTTTTTAACTGTGGATTTTGGTGTGTTCTCATCACCTGAAGGAGTTTTTTTTTTTTGGGGGGGGGGTTAACCTGATTAAAAAGAAAAATTGAGCATGTCAGAATGTTTATTATGTTTTTTCAGAATGGGATACGTTGTATCTGATACTTACTGGTCCAGAAAATTTTTATTGTCAACTGGTTTGGGTTTAATAGTTTTCTCTTGTTTAGTGAACTTTTAGTCCTCTTAAGAATCTTATTTATATATATCTGATAACTGTGGAGGTCATCAAGTTATATGGACCACATGGTCATATAATTAGTTTGCATCAAATTATATGAATTCCATAGTCCTTGAGTGATTAATACATTGCTACTTCTGTTTGCCTTAAATGCACTGTTAATCTTTTCGAACAAAACTGATTTTTTCATCTTTTAGCAAAATTGATGTTATCAAACTCAGCTGCTACACTAGTGCAGTCTACAAAAAATACATAGTCTAGCACCTGCACTCTGGTCACATTTTGTTCCTTCTTAGCTATTCATAAAATAATCTCATCCTGTTTTGAAATTTGAAATAAATAACATGCCTAGAGATTTTTCTTAGTTATATGGAATTTATTTAGGAGATATCTGTTTTCTGGTGGATCTAGTTGTAAAGCTCACCTTACTGCTGTTGCAGATCTTGGTGGTTGGCTTTTTCCATGAAAGACAAGGTAACATGGGCAAGTCTAATTTGTCTTTTGTCTGCGGAGATGCTTGTATTCCTGCTGAAGTGGTTCAGACCGGAGTATTTCGTTGTCTGCTTTCCCCTCAAGCCCCAGGAGTAGTAAATCTTTTCTTGAGTTTTGATGGTCAGAATCCCATTAGTCAAGTTGTCACGTTTGAGTTCCGTGCCCCATATATCACCTCTTTCGATGATAACCCTACTTTGCAAGAATGCGAAGTTCAGATGAGACTGGTACATTTACTGTTTTCTACATCTAGAAGCCTTAATATTTTATCCTCCAATGTAACACCAACTGGTGGGAAGGAAGCCAAAAAGTTCTCCCGCAAGACCTCTCATATGGTTAATGATTGGAGATTTGTGCTAAAATCAGTGAAGGACAAGAAGATATCTTGTTCCAAAGCTAAAGACAGCATGATTGAGATAACCTTGCAGAACAAGTTACGTGAGTGGTTATTGGAGAGAGTAATTGAAGGGTGTAAAATTGCTGAACATGATGAACAAGGTCAGGGAGTGATCCATTTGTGTTCTATCCTGGGTTATACTTGGGCTGTCTATCCATTTTCATGGTCTGGTTTATCACTAGATTATCGAGATAAATCAGGTTGGACAGCTCTTCATTGGGCTGCATATTATGGAAGGTACCCTCTCTTTTGATCGATTGAAATCGTGCAACTATTTGTATATTACTCGTAAATTGTAGGTTTACTTGAACATTTTTGTTCAAATGCTTTTTATACTGTCTCATGGTTGGGATTATCATTCAGGGAGGCAATGGTGGCAAAGCTCCTATCAGCTGGAGCAAAAGCATATTTGGTCACAGACCCCACTTCCGACACCCCTGGTGGATCTACTGCTGCGGATCTTGCATCGAAGAATGGACACGAGGGTTTGGCAGCATATCTTGCTGAAAAGGCATTAGTTCAACACTTTCAAGATATGACCTTAGCTGGGAACGTCAGTGGTTCACTCCAGTCCGAGTCCAATGATTCAGCAGCAATATCCGGAAACTTCAATGAGGACGAGTTATATCTGAAGGATACTTTGGCTGCTTATCGCACTGCTGCTGATGCTGCTGCCCGAATACAGGCTGCTTTTCGGGAGCACTCCCTCAAGGTCCGAACTGTAGCTGTCGAGTCATCTAATCCAGAGACGGAAGCACGTAATATCGTTGCAGCGATGAAGATTCAGCATGCTTTCCGCAATTATGACACACGAAAAAAGATGGCTGCTGCTGCAAGGATTCAACATAGGTTTCGCTCATGGAAAATACGAAGGGATTTTCTCAACATGCGAAAACAGGCCATCAGGATTCAAGTATGCTCCCATTTCCTTCCTGTTTTCTTAGTAAAGCTTCGCACATATACAACTGAATTGCAGACTAAACTCTACCTTGAAATTGTTAACTTTTGGCTGCTACAAAGTTCTATTGAAATGTGTTAAATTACACTATTAGGCCAGGAAATGGTTGGAGATAACATACAGGTCAAGATCAGTGCATAGTTTTCATCTTCACTAGCTGACTTGACTGATAAATGAAGTTAAATATAGATAAAATAACTGGAAATGGCCACTGTTTTGTCATGGGAAGAATTTTGTGACAAATTTTCAGGAGCAAGCTTTTTATTGCTTTTGTAATAAAACTTGCCATCAAATGTGATGCACTTCATTCCATTTCTTTCACATTAGGCTGTCTTCCGGGGTTTTCAAGTTCGAAAACAATACCGAAAGATCATATGGTCTGTTGGAGTGCTTGAGAAAGCAATTCTGCGCTGGCGCTTGAAGAGGAAAGGGTTCCGTGGACTTCAGGTTCAGCCAGATGAAGGGTCTACTGAACTGAAGCAAGCTGGTGATGTCGTGGAGGAGGACTTCTTCCAGGCCAGCAGAAAACAAGCTGAGGCACGTGTTGAGAGATCTGTTATCCGAGTGCAGGCAATGTTTCGGTCAAAGCGTGCCCAGGAGGCGTATAGAAGAATGAAGTTGGCTTATAATAGTGCAACGGTAATGAAGCTTCTTTTGAATGTTGTCTGTTCTTTTGTTCTTTCTTCGATCCTCAGTTTTTACACTGTTGCTTTTCTTCGAATGAAATCTCTGCAGTTGGAGTACGAAGAGCTTCAAGATCCAAATGGGATGACAGATGACTAAGCAATGAACATCCCTTTCCCTGGTCGTTGGTTGGAAACAGACAGTACAACCTTACGAGTTACAACTAAGTTCACTACAGGTACGCAATCGTTGCCAGTGATTATTTAGGTCGAGGCAGTAACCACGTGTACATCATGTAAATACATAGTTGAGGAAGCAATCCTCACCACTGATGTAACCCCTGTGGCATATTTTATGGAAATGAAAAGGTTCTTGGTTTTTCACTTCCTCTGCAAGCAATTAAGGTCATATTGTGAACTCCTGAATGAGGAAAATGTCAGCGTGATAATAAGCACTTGCGCTTTAGCTTGTACGAGTTTCTGTTTATGTGGATTTTGGGTTTCATGAGTAATCAATATGTGTGTAGACAATTGTTAATCAATTTTTAGAAGGATCATTTCAGTTTTAGAATGGTAGAAACTCTGTTCTTTTGGTGGTATTTGTATTTTGTACTTACTTTTATATGAAAAGAAAAAGCATGTATGTGAATTTGGTGGAATTACATTACGCTCAAATCCACCAAATATTGTTCAAGAGCTACCTTGATCCAAACAGGAAATTAGCGAATACTGCTAAATTAAAAATGAACATATTCAATAATGCTACCACGGATCAGAAGAACTGTTGGGCCTTTGGACCAAAAATCACCAGTAAATCTTGCAAACATTTGCAGATGGTGACTTAACTATGGTTAATTTTTAGGTTATTACATCACCTTAAAGTTGGTCGAAAAATGGTAATCATTTGCAGTGAGGCAACTGCTGTAGATTAGAAGGTTATTTGCCCCCCGTAAAAATCACCTTACTATACATGTGTAATAACTAAGAATTCATTTCTAATATATATATTTCCTTTAGAAACGAAAGGAAAAACAGGTTCATTCCTGGTATAATTTAGGATTTTCCCCATCCCCTTTTAGTTTTTACATTAACACGTACAATGTACTTACTCCGGTCCTTATTACAAAGGATTTTAATTTGTACTAAATTTTTATTATGTTGCTCTAATTAAAAATAAAATATTAAAAATATATTTTCACATTTAGTGTGTTCTTCCGATTATTTTAAAATAATTTTAAGATTTTATTTTTAATTTTAAGAACATATTATAAATAAAACTCAGAGCATCCGCAATGATTTATACCATTAGAAATATAGTACAATCACTGCAATTACACTTTATTCTACTTTTTTTTTTTTCATGAGGATGAACTTCTGAGAGGACAAGAAACAATCAGATTCCATGTATGATAGAACTCTCTAAAAAAAGAAAAAAACAGTTAAAATGCTACAAATTTTTCCTTTAATTAAGGTATTTAATTTCATAAAAATGAAAAGAAAAAAAAAGAGTAGAGCAAACACTTGAAGGTTGATGAATTAATTTTAGCCAACATATGAACAGTTAGAAGGAAAAAGAGAGCCCATTAAGAACAACTCTAAAATGGGCCCAAACCCAAAAAAGCCCAATGTTGAGATACCAGAATTACACCCTAACTAGGGTTTTCCAGGTACATAATAATAATAAAACCAAACGCTTCCCACTTCCTCCATTTTCTTCACCCTCTCTGCAAAACCTCTGCTCGCCGGCGCACCAAATCCACCGATTCCGGTGAGCTTATCTTCTCGTTTTCGTCTAAGTTTCCTTAATCTTAACTTCTAAGGTTGTTAAATACGAATTTACTGGCTTTTATCTGCTCGAGTCTCTGATCTTTTTTTCTTTTTTTTTTTCTTGTGTCTTTTGTTCTGTTTCTAATTGAAGAAGAAATGGCCAAGTCGAAGAATCACACCGCTCACAACCAGTCCTACAAGGCTCACAAGAACGGGATCAAGAAGCCCAGAAAGCACCGTCACACCTCAACCAAAGGGGTTAGTTTTGTTTCATTGATTTTCCATGTTTTCAATTATTTTTTTTTGGGGATTTTTTTCGGTTCGTGGTATTTATTGTTTGTTGTTTTGTCTGGTTTAGATGGATCCCAAGTTCTTGAGGAACCAGAGGTACGCTAGGAAGCACAACAAGAAGGGTGATGAAGCTGCTTCTGGGGAAGAGTAAAATTCCAAGGGGTTGAAGAATGGAGGGTTTCGCATTTATTATAAAGTTTTTTGACTTTGCTTTTTTTAAAAAAAGCTGAATTAGTGTAAAATGACATATTTTAATCCGAAGTTTAGTATGGAACAGTGTTTCAAGTTATGATATTCTGTATGTGAGATTTCTTTTACTTCTTCCTATGGTTATGATGGTTCCTTGCTCTCCTTCTAAGTTTTTGATTGTTTTCATTGGTATTTATATGTTTTGGTGCTAAGTTTCCCACTTAACTTATGAGATGAAGTGGAATTGGTCGGCTGTATCTTTTTGTTTACTGACGATTTGGAGATTGTAGGGAATGCAACTGTGTTTATTAAATGAATTTGATTTTGACTTTGCTGATGTGTTGAAGTTGTGGGTAGGCTTTCTGATTTTGTAATTTGCAGAAGATATGCTTCTGTTTAGTTAATCCTTGTTTTGGGCATTGCGAGAATTGTAAGTTTGAGATATCTGTAAAGGTTAAGATGTTATTTGTTGCTTCAAAATTTTTATGTGTTAAGAAATTTGGTTGGGATAGGTGGAGAAAAGCCTTGAGAGGGGGTAGAGGTAACTTAATTTGATAGGGGTGGGCTGCAGGGAAAAATTTGAGCAAGTGTTCATTGAAAGTTTCCTTTCTCCTTCTCTTTCACCTTTGCCACCTTTGTCCTTCTGCTTTCTTCGTTATCTTCTTCTTTTATATGTAGTCAGATGGTTGTATTTGATCTCCCTATAGTCGATCGGGTTACATAGACAAAACTATTTCTCCAAGTGCTTGCTTGGGAAATCACAAGGATTAATGTGAGCATTTGGGCTGTTAGCTCTTAGCTAATGCTGGAAGTACCTTCTGGAAAAACCTGCAATCAGTTTAAGTGCCGAAAATGGTTGATTACCTCGAAACAGATATAACCCAGACACAAACTTGCGGTAAAGAGAAAGTAACCAACCTGATACTGCCTTTAGTTGAAGCTCAGACCTGTGTAGCTTTTTTTGATGGGGGGTTAGAAGCTTGATTACGTATTTGTAGATATGCGTGGTTTAGGCATCGAGAAGTTAATGAATGATGAAAGTAGTGGTTTGATATGATGCTTGACCTTGAGTGCTATTTCTGTCCACCCTTGATCTGCAGATTTTGGTTAGATTTGCTTGCTAGCATGTGAATATTGCAATATTTGACAATGATCACCTGCAGAAATGGGTACTGTGGCCTGACATTCCTTCCTGCCTGAAATTAGTTTGCACAGCCTATGAGTGTGTTTTCTGAACAGGAACAGTCTGAATCTAGATTTCATCTAGAACATATATAATCTAGCATGAGGATGGTTTTTGTATATCGATTTCACTTGTTTGCGGATTGTTTTGTATATTTGCAACTAAGAATCGCCACCTTGTATGTTTCAAGATCTTGATATCATTTTCCCTTGTAAGCCTGGTTAGCCCATCTCACCGGACTTTGGCATAGCAGTTTCACAATTGATCCCATCTTTTTGAAAGCCTTCAGCATAATTTTAAGGTCATTACTATGATTTATAGGCAAACTGTTCAACTACATGTAATTACTTGTTTAGGGGGAATTACACTTATTTGTTTTTAAATTACATGTAATTACTGTAAGTTTCATGTAGTCATACTTTTTGGCTTTCCTTGGTAAAGTTTATATGTTTCAGTAATGGATATTGGATATGTAGTTCGATGATCATCTCCAAACGAGCTCAATAGATTCTAAATCTTCAATCCATCCATCTATAACACTATGAACACTATGAATGTACTATACAATCTTTGAGTACAAAGAGATAACCTAATTTTGTGGTACCTATAATCGTTTAACACTAAAGAAACAACAAACAGAGATGAAAATATAAGCAAAATCTCCCCCAAGAAATTGCGCCGAAGGAACAATATGAAAGGAGTTGCCATAATAAGAAAAAGATAACTTTGGCTACGCCATTCTTTGCAAAATTCGAATGAATTTTTGGAAGTTGAAGATCCAAGTTTTCTTTTGACATCCTGCTCCTAATGAAGCTCAAATCTTTCCTCAAATCCTAAAAAACATACTGTGTTGATTTTCGCCTTTTCCGTTTTCGACAAATGATCTAACGATAATAAATCTAAATACTTGTACTCCTTCGTCTTAAAATGAAGTTCACACTACAATTTGTAAATTTTATTTATTTATTTTTAATTATATTGTGGAAGCTGAAAAGCGAAGATTTCCCTAGCGTATAATTTATGAAGACCCTTTTTCGATGTAAAATTGTATTGGTTGTCATCCAATTTTTTTTTTCTTTTTTGGATACAGAGATTAATATCTATCATGGTGAACGTTTAGTATTTAAAATCAACATTGGTACGGAACAACAATAAAACAGATGTTTTGAAAAATTAATTCCTGTTTTCCAGAAAATCACATTATTATTTTTTATTTGTATTGTTTTTTTCTAATAAAATTTTCAAATTATAATTTAGACTATTTTTGTACAATAGAAGGGTAACAAAGCTATCAATTTTTTTAATTCAAAGGGTAAAAGTGACATTTAATCACTTCTCTTTTTTACCAAAAGGCCTGAGAAAAGAAAAACAAATTGCAGTTTTTGGGGTTTGGGGGAGAGATAGAGAGAGAAAAGAGAGCGCGCCAGCCAGCCAGCGTCGTCGTTTTAGTGAGAGAAGGAGTACACACAACACAACACAACAAACTGTATCCCCAGAAGATGGTATCATCACTGCCCCGTTTAGGGTTTTTGGAACTTCAATCAAGTTGATTCCTTTTGGAAATTCAGCAGGAACTCAGCTCATTTTAATCAGGGGGCGATATAATTGTTATTTTTTTTTTCTTGGCCGTCGGGATTGAATATTTATAGCTATTTTTAATCTTTTCTCGTTTCACAAAAACCCTAGTTTTTTTTGGCCGGTTCTTCTCCGTCAGTTTCTGTAATTTGGTCCTGTTCGCTGAATAGCCGCGAGTGTTCTCCATGGGCGCCCAGGAGAAATCACCCAGCTCTAATAATTCGATGCAGGTCAGTCGTTGTTCATCTATTGTTCTTTTTTTCCGCTTACAGAAATTTGCTAGCTCTGTAGTTTGCTTAGTTAGTTCGGTTGTTTTCTTAGTTTTTAAGCTCTTTGGGATAGTTAATTATGTGTACTGGTACTCAGTTTTAGCAGTTTAGAATAGTTCTGAACTACTGCTGCAGTCTTGTGATTGACCATGGTTCGCAAAACATGGTCTTTATTGTGGTGTTGATAGGAGGGATTGTTTGTTGGAGAGCATTGTGGAAATACTGCAATATTGGTGCATGGAGGCTGTTCTATCTGTATTCCTAAGTTTGGTCTGCGTTTTCAGTGTGAAGTTGATAAGGTCTAGAGGGTTCAAACGATAGAGATTGGTTCTTTTGTCAAGTTAGAGTTTTGCTTTTGCATAGTTTTGTTATTCGCTTATTGTTTGTTTGGGATAGTGATTTTTACCTCGTGTTAGTTTATTGGTATAGCATTATAGGTTTGTGGTTCTTGATAGAAGGGTAGAACAAGTTTTAATATTGGATTTGCAGACGTTTGTCTTTCAGGCATCATGAACAAACTGGATGCTGGATGCTGATATTGGAAGCTTATTTGTTACTCACTAATAATTTATAAATTGCACTTTTATAGTAAATTTCAGTGATGGTCACTGAAGTATTTATAAGATCTCTACAGAAAAATATTGAACCATGTAAACTGGATGTTAGGTTAGAAATTTGTTCATTTATTTTTGTTTTCTTTTTGGTTTTGATCCTCGTTGATTTAAGGCGTGCACCTTTTATGTCTTTCCATTTTGGCTTTTTTGGGGGCTTTGGTGTCGTATTTCTGTTACTTTTTATCCTTTCTGCATACTACAGTGTATAAATGTGGAAATTCTTGTGCCGGTGGGATTTGACATTAAAAAAATTGCATTGGAGGACTTTCAGTTCTTCCTTGTATTCCCTTTGTGGTTACATACTGAGCCTTATCTTTCAATGACTTTTTTTCCAGCGTGTGAAAGTTTACCGGCTGAGTGATGATGGGAAATGGGATGACCAAGGGACTGGGCATGTCAGTGTTGATTACTTAGAGGTCTGATTGGTTTCTTTGGTTGCTCTTCGACTTTGCATCAATATTCTTCTTTGACTATCATGAGCTAACTCTTTAAGTTGTGACACAGAGAACAGAAGAGCTGGGTCTATTTGTCATTGATGAGGAAGACAATGAAACATTACTTTTGCATCGGATAAGCTCAGACGACATCTATCGCAAACAAGATGGTATGTTATCTATTGGAATGACCATTTTTTGGTTTGTGTAGTGAATTTTATTGTTTATATCATGGGGTTTGATTTGTGTTTTTGATTAGATACAATAATTTCTTGGAGGGATCCTGAGTATGCGACAGAATTGGCCCTTAGTTTTCAAGAGACCTGCGGTTGCAATTACATATGGCAAGTTTTTGGATTTATCTTTGTTGCCCATTAGTTACTTTGTCAATTTTCCCTTGTCTGTTTTTTATGTTCTTGTTTATGTGAAACTTGCAAAATGTTTTCTTCTCCTGATCTATTCTTTCTTCTGCTCCAGGGACAGCATTTGTAATGTGCAAAGAAATCTTCACTTCAATACTTTGAGCAGTAAGTGTAGGCATCTTCTTGTTGTATTTTGCCCCTAGTTGCTGCTTTTTCTTTTTACCTTTTTTTTGTCCGCTTGATCACTTTGAGTATTTGGAACTTATCATTGTGCCTTTATGTACTCTATTTGTTTCTGAATGTGTTTCTTTAGGAATAAAAAAGTTGCAATTTTTCAGAAGACAATTAATGTGGGAGACCTCTTTAAACTATTAGCTGTGTGGCCCTTGCAATCCCTTTTCCTAACCTTCGTCAGTTTTATCTTTGCAAGTACTTCTTGCTGCCTAAAAAATGAAGACAGTGTTTTCTGAATGTGTTTCCTTTGTTTTAGTGATGTTGTGATTCGGAGGATATGTGATGGACTTGGAGTTTGTGGTGTGGTGGAGAGGGAATCTTGTTCCATTTTTGTTTTCCTATTAGAAGTTTACAGAATCATTTTGGAACAAAATCCTGCGTTCATGGGATATTATTAGTAGACATTTCCTTGTTCTTTCTATTTTTGTCTTGGGGGTTCCTTTCTTGTACAATGTGTTGAAATTCTGAAATTTTGCTTTTCAAAGTGTATTGAATTTTTCATCTCTCTTATTGTTTGTGAAAATTTCAGGTGACACTTACCATAATGTTAATAGTGAACTGAGGGAGTTGCCTCCAGTTGAGCTGTCTACATTGCCTTTGATACTTAAGGTTTGTTTTCATAATTATTTAAAAATATTTATGTTCTTTCCCTTTGGTAGAGTTGTGCTTTTGCTGATTTCGTATTTCATGTTAAGATTCTTAGTAGTTTTCTTACTTGTTGCAGATTGTAGTTGAGAGTGGCATTTCTGATCAGTTGCGGGTGACGGATCTCATACTACATGATGTAAGCTTATCTGATTTTTCTCTTTTTTTTGAGTGCAAAGTGATTCTCCCTTGAGTAATAAGTATGACGTGCAAATGTATCCTTTTATGTTCTTAAATTTCTTCCGTTTTCTTTCTATCTATTTGTTTGAAGGGAAATAAGTATTCAGGTAATGATAGTACTAGGGACATATAAGGAGTTCTCCTCTTTGATAAATTGGAACTTCCTGCTTGGCAAACTTTGATCTTTCTGATGTATGATCTTGGATTCTTATTTATTGTAGTTATTGCTGATCAGTAATACTTTCTCTATTGTAAATTGGATTCTGGAATTAGGTGAATCAGAGGCAATAGGCAATAGGCAATAGGCAATAGGCAATAGGCAATAGGCAATAGGCAATAGGATCTGATTTACTTATTTTTTAAAATTGTGAAAATGATACGGTCTCTTGGCATATCATAAGATGGTTCTCTCCTATAAACTGCTTGAATGACTGACTACAAATATAGTATGACATCTAAGGACCTTCAGATACTTATTAGTTAATGTTATCCTTTTTTCTTTTATATTCTTGGGGGATTATTAAGTTCTTGCAAATGTCACATTGGTTAGCCTTTATGCTCACCAGTTTTATTGAAGATGTCTATGCTTCTTGTATGACCTCCAAGAATCATCCAGCTTCATTTTTCTTATTCATGTTGTAAAAGGCTGCTTTTCAGAAAGGATAGAGTTCTCCATACCTAGAAAGTTCATAAATGGCTTTTGTGGAAGCTCAAATTGCAATGTACATGTATAATTTGCTCAGTTAAGGTGTTTCATATCTCCAGTCTGCCTTAAATCTGCAATTTTTCTTTCATTAATGCCTTGTATGTTAAGCTTTTGGGTCAAGTTAGAGTCTTAAGTTTCTTTGTTGCTGTTGGAAATTATGGCGTCAACTTATTGGTTTGTTGTCTAGTTTCTTTGTTGAAATTTTTGAATCAGAAAATCAGTTTTAGTTTTTTAAAAATAGAGAATGTGGCTTTTTGCTTGGCATTAATTCATTCCTTTTGTCCCTATGTGCTGCTACTGTGTAAAACCGGTCCTCTTGGCTCTTTAGTTTTTCTGCTATTGAAAGATGAGCACTTCCTGTATTGTTTATCCCTGTCCTTGATAGCATCAAATTTAAGAGCGATTTTTTGGTTCATGCAGCCGGATTTTATCAGGAAGCTACTTGATCTGTTTAGAATTTGTGAAGATCTGGAGAACATCGATGGTCTTCACATGATTTACAAAATTGTCAGAGGAATCAGTCAGTAACTTACTGGTCTTTTTCAGTCATGTATATCATCTCTATTTATCTCTGTGTCTGATTTTTGTGGTTTCCTAATGCAGTTTTGCTGAACAGTACACCGATCTTTGAGAAATTATTTGGGGATGATCATATAATGGACATAATTGGATCCCTTGAATGTAAGTTTCCTTGACTGAGTAGGCTTTAATAATTTGCATGAAAGCGTCTGCACACATACGTTCATAAACACACACAATATTATCAGTATTACTGTCGCTCCTTTTGTTGACCCAAGAGGGAGGGGTTAACTTGCATCTTGTCCATTTTGTCTCCTGGCACATGTCATTTCCAACTCATTTTGTATAGCCGACTATTTTCCTAGTACTATTAGTTATTATATCTATCATTGGATTGTTCTTTTGAATAAGTTACTATAATCGTCTCTGCTCTTTTGGCCTGTAAAATTTATCATGCACCGTGCTTTTAATGTTACATTATTATTTTAAATCATGTGGTTGATGTTCTATGATTATGTATTTTGGCACTCTGTGGTGGAGGATTAAAAGTATGACTCTTGCTTTCTGATTGGCTATTTTTGCATTAATTGCTACTTCGTCAATCTTTTTGGTTGGTGTGCCCATTATATTTTCTTCTTCTGATGGTTCGGTCAAGTGACAAAAATGTTATATTTCCCGGCTCGTTATCATGGATTGGATTAGTTGTTCTGGTTGGTATCTTTAGTTCTCTCATCTCTTGAACCTATCCAATTCAGAGCCGAGACCCAAATGAAACCCCCACAAATTTTTTTCCGTTTGGGATACGTGGTAAACTTGAAACTAAATAGAAGTCTCCAAAAGAAAGTACCAATAAAATCAAGGAAAACACGGAGGGGGTAAACTTTATTGAATAATTCTGGAATGATATAAAAGAATAAATTAATACAATTATAATAATTGTATCTATGTCTTCGTACTGCTTGTTCAACTAGTAGGTTAATTTGGGACTTACATAAGAGTGCTTGGTTTTGTCCTCTGGAAACAGTATTGTAATTCTGACCCAAAAGTTTCCAAGCCTTGACCTATGAATGTAAAACACAACCCCATAGCCACCCCTTGTGAGGGGTGTGGCTCTTTTAGGTTCTCTTACCTGTTGATTTGGGTTTACACATGCATAGCTTATTATCTGTTAAAGCAATGACTGCTTCACCAGTGCGTTGTAATGTTTTGGTTATTATGTTTGTGCAGATGATCCCGATGGACCTCACATCAATCACCGGAAATTCCTAAAGGAGCATGTGGTCTTCAAGGAGGTATGTGGTTCTCACTTGTCACATCCCTTAGTCTTTCATTTTTCTTTCGCTTTGTTTGGTTCTTTTTGGAACAACAAATGGACAATAAATATGAAATGAGAAATAGGTCATTCTTGGAGATGTTTTACTTATTAAGTGTACATGTTTCAACCTATATTACAGGCCATGACTATTAAAGATCCCCTGGTTCTATCCAAGATTCATCAAACTTACAGAGTTGGTTATCTCAAGGTAAAATGTGTAATTTTTGCTTCAGGTTGCCATATATTCTTCTTTGTGTTGGTTTTGATAATTATTATCTTCTCTTGTCGCAGGATGTTGTTCTACCCAGAGTAGTAGATGACGCCACAGCTGCTAGCCTTACTGCCATAATTCATTCAAACAATGCAATTGTATGGATTCTTTAGTTGATCCAGCAGTCTGGTTCTATCTTTGTCTATGCTTCTGATTAAAACTTTGGTTCTTTTAGGTTGTGTCATTGTTAAAGGATGACAGCACCTTTATTCAAGAATTGTTTGCAAGGCTCAGGTCCACAACTTCTGCAGAATCAAAGAAAGATTTGGTGAGTAAAGACCCGTGTTCTATGTCATTTCTCCTCGCTATGTGCTGCGTATTTGTTGCACGCGTATCTCAACCATTATGTTGAAAGCTGTTGTATAATTGGAAGTGAAGACCATGTTCAAATAGCTGGATTTTGATCATCTCCTATTTACTAAATTTCCATTTTGGGAGACGTTTATGACTAGTAAACCCCTTATTTTGGATATTGGTTTCTATCATACAGTTTAGATAATTACTATTCTCTGGGATGTAAAAAAGAGTTAATAATGTGTCAATTCTCATTTTGATGCTGTGTAGTTAGGCACTATTACTTTCATTAACTTGAAGTCTTCCATTTCTCATCTCTCAGATAACATTACTAGCTTTATCTGGAACTTTTTGCCTTCTGTTGTGCTGTTCTCATCTTTTTTGCTGTACTGTTCTCTGGAACCTTTGGCTTCTGTTGCGTCTTTTATCTGGAACTTTTTGTCTTCTGTTGCTGTGCCCTCAGAGATATTTCCTTGCCCAGTATGTGTGTATAATTTTCTTTCTTCATTTTTTCATGTTTTCCTTTTTCCCTTCATGTTTCAAGATGATTTTCCGTTGATTTTGCTGTTATATGTGAGAACTAGCATAACAGCTTTTTCTGTAATTCGAAATGCCTCTGAATGGACTCTGATGTAGTATATTTTTGTCCAAGTAGGTGCTCTTTTTGCATGAGTTTTGCACGTTAAGCAAGAGCTTACAGATGGTGCAGCAACTTCGGCTGTATAGGTAAGAAGCTGAAGATTTGGATATCATTTAAGGTAGATTGGAGGCGAACAAGTTTTGATGGCTATTAGTAAATGCTTTCAGGGATCTGGTTAATGAAGGCATACTTGATATTATCGCTGATATTCTTCAGAGTGAAGATAAAAAGCTTGTATTGACTGGGTAATTGAAACTGCTCTTGCTTTTGAATCTTGACATACCTTCTTTATCTTGATTATTTACTTCATACAATCTGACTTTTCATGTGTTGGGTCCCTGTAATGGGTGCAGGACAGACATCCTCATTTTACTGTTGAATCAAGATCCCAACCTTTTGCGTTCTTATGTAACTCGTCAGGAAGGGATACCTCTATTTGGGCTTTTGGTGAGTAACTACATATTTCAATATTTTTTGAGCGGGGTTGAACGCAGTAGTCTAGTTTGTGACCGCATAGTAAATGAGTGTGCTTCTTTAGCTTGATATTCCTTACATGTAAGTCTCATAGTTCACTGGTCAATTAAAGCCCTAAAGTATTCACCTTTCCGCTATAATGTTTCGCCTGCCTTGCCAAAGGACTTTTTTCTGGATGAAAATTCTAAAATGAAGCATTCCTGCCTGCTAAAACCGATGATTTTATTGTTTGCAGGTGAAGGGCATGCTAACTGATTTTGGAGACGATATGCATTGTCAGTTTCTTGAAATTCTTCGTAACCTTTTAGATTCATATGCGTCAGGATCCCAGGTGTGTTCGGAAAACCTCTTTGTTCTTTTGGGTTAGTTGGTTCTATTTCTGTTTTCCTTCTGCAATTTGAATTTAACTGTTTTATGTGGGCATGAGTAATTATCATCATTGTTGGTTGACTTGACTGCTGTGCTCGCAATTTTATATTGATGGATATTATCTATCAGTCTAGATTGTAGTTTAACATTATGAAAACATTATTATAATCAATCCTAGGTGCCGTAAAAGGCTCATCTTTTGCTTGCTCTTAAATAAACCACGGGTTTTGGGTTTCCATAATAATGATAATGAGATAGATTACTTAATCTATTGCGTGAAATTGATTGAGTCTGATAGTTCCATATGATCCACATATCCAGTGTTTGTATGCAGTTTCTGTTTTGGTAGTTTTTGCTGTATGGTATTGCCATTCATTTTCTGGATCAACTTTGATATATATTCGCCAGGCCACCTTGTACTGTTTTGATTACTGTCTTGAAGTTTGTTTTCTACCATTGTCTTTTGTTGAAGAGGTTGTGGTTGGGTGGAGATCTGTTGACTTTTGCCTTCCCAATAAATTTATCCTGTTTTTCTTATTGTTTCAGAGAGAGTCAATTGTAGATATCTTCTATGAAAGGCACTTGGGTCAGTTGGTGGATGCCATAACTTCCTCATGCCCAGGGCATAGCACTTCTCCAACTGTCAGTAAGTTTGGGAAATCTGATGGGGAGTCTGGAAATCAAAGTAGCGTCAGGCCGGAAATACTATTAAACATTTGCGATCTGCTTTGCTTTTGCGTTTTGCACCATCCATATAGAATAAAGTAATTTCTTCTCACCTTGGCTATATTTATTATGTTATTTGTTTAAATTCACATATCTGATATGATTAGTTTTGTTTTGTTTTGTTTTGTTCGGTTTTGCAGATGCAACTTTCTTCTCAATAATGTGATTGATAAAGTTTTGCTTCTTACCCGACGGAGAGAAAAGTATCTTGTCGTAGCGGCTGTTAGGTTTATTAGAACTCTTATTTCACGCAATGTAAGTTGTAAATCTTACCAGATCAAGAGATTCACTACTAATAGTCTGGATGCTTCTTTTTTTCAGAATTTTTTTCTTTATGTAGCAAGAAGATTGATTTTTAAGAGGGTTACTATTCTTGAACTTTTTTATGGTGGTGATATATACGGGTCTTTTCTTCTTTTGTTTTTCTTTTTAGCATCTGTTCCTTGCAATGTTACAAAGGGTAATGTGGTTTCTGGAAGAAATCTTTTGAGAATACTTGAAAGATTTTTGGACAATGTTCTTTAATGATCTTTGCTTGTTAATGGTATCAGAATTCTTGATTTCCATTTTATTCTCTTTATGATCTTTTTCAGCCTGATAACTATGTTTACTTTTTGTCTGAGTTTGTATGTACCTTGTTTGGCTCAGCATAATTAAGCAATTGGGTTTCTCATGGGAAAACAGGAATTCTTATTTGGAAGGGGTTTCGTGTAGTAAGCTCCTTGGATTGACATTTGTTTGGTGGCAGATATTTGAGTTCTTTTCTTGATGCACATAATATTACTTTTCCATTATTGCCCATTCTGGCCTCATTGTGGACTCATTGTGGAATGAACCCTTTGTGTGTTTCAGGATGAGCATCTGGTGAATCATATTGTGAAGAATGACCTTTTGAGGCCGGTTGTCCTTGCTTTTGTGGATAATGGAAGTAGATATAATCTTTTGAACTCTGCTGTTCTTGAACTTTTTGAGTATATTCGGAAGGTGGTTTTCTTCTCTTGTGTTTTTCTTTTTCTTTTTCTTTTGTGTGCTTTTCTTTTATTGGGCGAGGAAAGAATTATGAGTGGGTAACTCCGTCTGATAAAAGCTGAAATCTTTTCAGCGTCTCTGTATCCAAAGTGGATGAGATTGAATTGGGTTTATTTTTGCTGGAAAGATTAAGCACTGTAACCTTGAGTCATTTCTTTACTACTTCTATGTGCTGTGTGCAGGAAAATCTGAAGATTCTATTGAAGTATTTGATTGAATCTTACTGGGAACAACTGGTCAAATTTGACTTTTTGCCTTCAATTTGTTCGCTAAAGGTGAAATATGAACAGGTACACTTCTCTCTGCCCTTAAATTCTGCACTTGGGGAATTCTGTCTTAGCTCATCGTGTATCCTTTTCTTTTTCTTGTTTTTTCTTGAAGTCCCTTGAGAGTGGTGGGTTAAGAAGCAGTGTTAATGTGTCCGACCCAAGAAAACGGATAGATGAACGTGCCCTTGAAAAAGAAGAGGAAGATTATTTCAACGAGGACAGGTCTGCAAGTTTGTTTGGAATGTTGAATTGACAAAATGTTGCTGAACTTCTCTTAGTAAATAAAGTTCTGAGGTTTTTGAATTTGGAACAGTGATGAAGAAGATTCTGCATCAGCATCCGTGCCAAGGACAAATAAAGGACACTCCCGGAGTACGCTGCCTAATGGTTCTGCTTCTGCTTCTGCTTCTGCTTCAGCTTCAGACTACCCGTCTATTAGGTACAGTTACTTAAATACTTATGGTTACTTTTTACAGTTTCTGGGATGTGTTTTTAACTTGTTATGTATTGTTAAGGTCTGGTGGACTCGTTGACTATGATGATGATGACGACGATGATGAGTTCAATCCACCTCCAAGAGAACACTTAGACAAATCTGCTGAAGATGATGAGGAAATTGCTGAATCATTCCGGTTGAAACGGAAGTTGGCCTCTAAAGAAGAGCCTGAACCTAAAAAATTGCGCCGACTGCCCAAACCATCAAAGCCGAATGAAGGTGTATTTGCTGCCTTGTGTTCCACCCTAAGTCAGGCCATCTTACCAGGCAAGAAAACCAGCAGCATTACTGCTGATGTTCCCCGGAAGAATTCAAACACAGTTAATCAGACTGAAGCTAATCAAAAGGAAGTGGGTCCTGTCAGCTCATCAAACCGGGAGGGTAGTAGTAGCAGCATAGATGTAGAGGGCAATAATGCCAGGAAAGAAGTTTCTCCTGGACAAAAAATCAAGGACAAGGAAAGCAACTTGCATGATCTGCCAGAAAACATTCAGGAGCACGAATCAGATGAGAATCCATTGATACATAAAGCATCACCAGAAATGGCTGTGAACGGATCTTGATAACAGATACAAACACAAAGAAAACTTGTGAGTAAAATTATGCCTTGTTGTCCCTTTTGTGTGGTTTGCTTTGCTAAGAACTCATTCACTGCCTCTGAATGATCGATCGGGGTAGAATTGATGCTCGATGGATTGAAATCGCCAGAGCTGTCTAGCCTAGGAAATTTCCATAAAAGAGGAACTAGGAAGAGGTGGATATTGTACAGTGAGTAAGAAGGGACCACAGCTTCATCTTTCGTCCAGTGAGCGGCCTTTGATTAGCTATGTTAATCTTAAGTGGTAAATTATATATCTCCCCTTGGATTTTGCTGATAAATTGTAGTTGAGCAAATGTTATAGTGGATTTGGGATGCAAATTATGCCCAAGCTTAGTGTTTCCCTCTTTTAGCAAGCAAAGTTATGGTGGTTGTAGTAGTAGGCTGTGAAATGAAGAGATGAGAGGAATGAGGAGATGAAAATCCAATTTTTTTGCCCCTATTTTTGTATTTTTCTAATTTCTGTTTACTATGATTGGGGAAATTGTACATTATAATTATAAAAACAATTAATCAAAGAAATATTTGCTCCAGCGCCAATTTATCCCCTCTCATTTTGTTGTAGGAATATTTAACTTTTTACCATTTGTTGGTACTTTGTAAGTATGGATTCTCGAACGTTTGAGAGGGACATGGAGGGAATATTAGTGTATGGATTCTCGAACGTTTGAGAGGGATATGGAGGGAATATTAGTGTATACATTTCAACGTTTATACCATGTTAGCAAATTTATCTCAACGTTTTAGAATTGATTAATTACGTTCTAATGTTATCAAAATTGAGCAGATCCATCCATGACTTACAACCCAACAAAAGTGACCTGATATAACAGGTAAAATCATTTGGATCCTATACTTATCATTTTTACTTGTTTTTTTTGAAGTTTTTTTAAAATTTTTTTAGTTTCTTGAAACAAAAACAACATTTATAAATGGAAAAACTAAAAATTTAATTTATTTGTAATGAATCTCATTTATTTTATAATCAGATTCATCTTAATTTTTTTTTGATAAAACTTAAAGAAATTTTCCAAAAAAATTTCTTTATTTTGAGTGAAAAAAATTTCCAAAAAAATTAATTAATTTTGAGTTTATCTAAAATGATAAATTATTTCATTTGTGATGCTTAAATTATTTTGATTAATTCAGTAAGTTTTTTCAATTTTTTTAATATAGAAATTTTGTTTGTTTTTTAATGAACTAAAAAAATGATAAATAAATAAAAAAAAATGAGAAAAAAAAGAATAAATATGAGACCCAATAGATTTTTACTTGTTATATCAAGTCATTTTTGTTGTTTTGCAGGTTATGGGATAGATCTGCTCAATTTTGATAACCTTGGGATGTAATTGACCAATTTTAAAATATTGGAATGAATTAACACACTGGTGTAAACGTTGCGATGTAGCCGGTGCTTCTATTAGAAAAAAACATTGGCTCATGTTTTAGTAGCATATTGTAGAGAAAAAAAAAATCTAGATTCAAAAAGCAAATATACTCTCTCACTATACAAAAAAAATATTTTACATTATAAATTGTGTAAATTGTTTTTATGAGACGAAAATTTGATTAAAATAATCTTTTTTAAAATTTGGTACTTCCCATCACAAAATTATTGTCGAGTTTGAACACTTTTAATTTAATTTATGAAATTTCAAACTAGATAATAATAATTTCGGCCAAGAAGGCCGAAGAAGTACAAAATAAAAATTTTGGCGTTGTCAAAACTTTGGAGAAAGGGGGAAAAAAAAAGATTAACTCATCGAAATTAGAATGTCACCTTGAAATTAGTAATTAAAATTGTATCGTGTGAGTGTTGTTTTGCATAATTTCATTGTTTTTGGCATAATTGCAATTAATTTTTTTTTTTTGTTTTTTTGAAAGAATTTGCAATTAAATTAGTTCAAGTGTTACTGGGAATGTAATACGTAAAATACCGTACTCACGATTAATATAATCTTTGTGTTTTTACAATTGTGTCAAAAGGAAAAATTAGTGCCGAATAAAGAAAGAGAAGAATGGGGAAAAAAAACAAGAATGGATTTGGCCAACTTATTAACAGAAAATGGCGCCACGAAGCCCGGGAACTCGATACCAGAAGCAGCCACGTGTGCACCAGAATTCTCACACGTGTCCTCCCTTCCCTCTCCTTTTCCTCTTCTACATTTCTCCACTAGCAAGTACTGCATTTTCATTATCACACTCAGAAAAAAATTCATCCATTTCGGTTTCAATACAACAGAAAAACAAGAAAGCAAGAAGAAAATATGAGTGGGAGCAGTAATTTGGAAACAAGATCAATCATTGATGAGCTTAGGAACTTTGACAAAAATGGGCTCTTTGATTTAGGCCACCCTCTTCTCAATCGCATTGCTGAAAGCTTTGTTAAAGCTGCTGGGGTACTCTTTACTCTGTCTTCTCTCTTAATTTTTTGGTTTTTTTTTTTTTTTTTTTAATAATGCATGGGGTTTACATTTGATCTGATTGAGAAAGAATGGATAAAAAGGCTTTCTTTTCTTTTTTTTATTCATGGTTGTTATGGCAGATTGGTGCTACTCAAGCTGTGGCTCGGGAGGCGTATTTTACCGCTGTTGAAGGTGAGATAATTTGCCTCTTTTAAGCCTTTTTCTTGTGATTCTAATGAATTCACAATGAAGACGAGGTGGGTTTGATTTTGTTGGTTTTTTTTTTTTTTGTTTTTTGGGAATTGGTGGTGATAGGTGCAGGGGTGGACACTTCTAGTGGTATTCCACCGGAAATTTCTGCTGGTAAAAAGCACCATTTTCCTAACCTCAGAGGTATTTTTACGTAATCTTCTTGTTGAAGTTCTATTCATTCCTTTTGATGTTGTGATAGCGACAAGAGGGTGAAAAATTATCCCTTTTTAGTTTGTGGTTTGGTCATTTGGTGACGACTCAATTGGTACAAATTCACCTTCTTTTCATACGCCGAAAAGATGTTTCTCGAGTCAATGTGGGAAATTTTTCGCTCTTGAAATGGCAAGGCTCTGAGTGCTTTTCGTGTACAATCGGTCATAGTGTGAGACGCCTCTGATTTGGCTGTTAATAGAATCTGGCTGAACTTGTTTTGTCTTTTATGCTCTTTCCTGCTGTGATTGTTTGGAAGCTATTGCAATTGTCAGCAATCAGTGAATCCAGTGTGGGGAGATCTGATGCCTGTTTTCTTATTCATATAATGCAGGGGAAACCAATGCCAAGACCGTGGAGGCCTTGGTATGTGCCAATCTTGGAGTTTATTAGTATATACATCTGTCTTGTGTCAGTTGATTACTCTTTACGACAGTGTATCAAATTTGTTCTGGTGGCATATAAAATGCAAGTTTTTGATGTGTTCTTGCTCTCTTCAGGTGAAGAATACAGGGAAAGAATCTCTTCAATGGGGTAAGACCGACCGTAAATTGGATTGAACTTTCATCATGTGTTAAAATGCTTGCATCTTGTTATTATCTTAATGGGTGTTGGCAACCTTGGAATAGCCAAAAACTAGAAGGGAAAACTTGATATACCGATAATGTGGTGCTGTTATTGTAGGATTGGCTGCTGGGATGTACTCAGGTCTAACCTATGGGCTAAAGGAAGCTCGTGGAGTTCATGATTGGGTAAGTTGTCTGAGTTTAATCCAGTTGACTCATATATCTGCTAGATGATTGAGCCGTCGTCGTGTTTTGCACGTATTTGTAATCTGCCTGGTTGCATATCAGATTGCTGCTTTTCATTAACTTATTAGGAAGGATGGTGGAAACATCAATGTAGCTAGCTCTGGTGCAAAATTTGTGTTTTACAATGATTCATTTGTCCAAGTATTGGTTTTTTATGTGTATCCTTGGTGCGAGTCTGTGAAGACGCTGATGATAGAATACATTGGCCTTACTGTTTTCTGTGCTGCATCTCCTGGCAGAAAAATAGTGCCTTGGCTGGAGCAGTCACTGGGGCAGCATTGGCATTAACTTCGGATGATCATTCGCACGAACAGATAGTTCAGTGCGCCATAACCGGTGCAGCCATATCAACTGCCGCGAATCTCCTGACTGGAATTTTCTAAATAATTTGAACATATGCTGTTCTACCCAGTAGTGATGTTTGGAGTTTAGTTTTTGGAGTTCAGGTTTTGCTAATATTATTGTCTTTTAGATAAAGGTGACCTGGTTTTTGGTTATGAACTCCAGTTTCCCGGACAAATCAGGGATATGATTTGGCTTATGTTTTATGGATTTTCTTTTTTTTTTTCTCGTTTGTTTGGTGTCATCAAGGCATTACTTCCAAGTATCCTGGTTCAACATTTGCATTCAAATTAAGGTACAACTGTAGTGAAATGCGGATGGCAAGGCTTCAATTTCAGACGTTGCTGGTTCTGTTGCAGCTAAACCTGCAGATTAACGAGAAATACGCGATATGATGCTTTCTTTGCAAAATTTAACCATCTTGTTCCTCTTTAAGGAATTTTTTTGTTATTGATGATTTGCTGGCTGCAACATCAATCAGACCATTCATTTTTTTGAACGAGTATATATGTGACTTCCATTATTAATTGGTACATCAGCAGCCAACAGGCCATGACAGTTAACTTGGGCTAGTAAAAAATTGGGATTGTGTTTGAGTTGTGGATGCATGTTAAATTACACTCACTCTTACTATGAAGCTACAATTAAGCAGGAAAAAGAAATAATGAAAACTGACATCGCGATGAGAATTTACTCTTACTGTGATCCGACATTGTCATTCCAACTTATACAATAAAAATTTAAGATTATATTTAAGATCGGCCGTTTTTCACTTTATAAGGATTTATATTTTTATATGGAGACAAATGGAGAGTTACTTATATGTGAGATTGTTATTGTGAATAGTGAAATTGATGATGATCATAATCAGAATGTGATCTTAGTTTGGAGGTGAGACTCTTAAATAGAGTATATTAGGCGTCCTGAATCATATCCAAATTTTCACTCAAGAATCTTTCTCTACTATTTCCCGTTATTAACATAACACATTTTGATTTGTCCTAGATTTAACTTAGTATATATTTTTATTCGACGAAAAAATTTAAAAAATATTTTATAACAATAAACAGAACATAACGAGTGTGAAAAATATATTTTTAAAATTTTTTTATCAATTAAAAATGTGTACAAGGTGAAACCTATTAACAAAAGTCAAAATACTTTATAATAAGGACTGGAAGAGTATTTACTAAATTCTGAATAAACTATATTAAATTTTGAATCAACTATACATATGCTAATAAACTTTTTCCTTTTTTGAAATGTTGAATTACTTTGGTGATAAAATTTCATTATCTACGTACGTACCATGACTAACCTCAGCTGCTTCCCCCTCAAGCTAATGTTTATGTAAAGACAAGAAAACTTGATGCGTGTGGGTTTTTGATGGAATCAAATGATGTAGCATTGTAATAATCACGAGACTAGATTCAAATTTTCCCCGAAATCAATGCAAAATGATAAAACATAATGCACAATTTGAAGTTTCCTTTGCAAAATTTTAAAACATCTTTTTTCTTTTCCTTAAGAAATTTTAGTTTCAACATGATATGTGTAAACTCTTTTATAATTGTTTCATCTAGAAGAACTAATAATATTTCATTTCTAATGCTTTTTGAAAAATTTTAGGACCATATAGAGAAATAAAAAATTAAGAAGAAATAAAATTTTCTATATTTCGGTATTAATGGTCTTTATAATTGTTTGAATTTTTGACTATCAAGATGAGAGAGAATATAACTAATAAAATGATGGGACGATAACTAACGACTCTTCTTGTTAACTATTGTATACCTCAAATTTATCAAATATTAGTTGTATTCTTAAATAATCCTGACTTTTAAATTTCCACCAAACGAGCCAAGCCCTTCCCTAATCATTTGTGATTCTCCCTATAAATACTTATTACCAACAAATCAAATGAAACATTCAAAATACTAATAATTTTTACAATATCAATCATTGAGAAAAACGTACAATTGATCGAGATGGAGCTGCAAGTCAACATGAGCAGAATGGTGGGTGTTTGCTTGCTGGCACTTTTATTGAGCGCGTCTTTCTCACATGACGGATATCAGATCGCAGAAGCACGTTTGGATGGTGAGAGAGCCAGGGACAGCATCGATTATGGAGGTTTAACAAAAGGTAAGCCTAAGGGTCCGCTGCCACCACCCCGAGGATGCACCGCCGATAACCGTTGCCGATCCCCTGGCAATCATAACTAAAATCCAAACACATTGAATATTGATTCATCTTCCTAAAGTTATTGGTTTGTTTCTTTGTTTGGTTAAGAATAAAGGGCACAGTAAGTGTTCCGTGGCCATTAACGCCAATGTACTTTGATTTTTCGAATTTAAATAACTTCAAATTCCTATTATTTATGTTCCCCTATCATCTATATTTGGTGTTTTTTCTTTTTCCATTTTTTTTAATCACCATCTTGTACGTTGCGGAACCGTGATTAAGGCATATACGTACAGATACCGAAATTCCGAAAAAAAATTAAATTTTAAAATACTTTGTAGGATTTGACATTTTGCCATTCAGTAATGCTTTATATGTTAATAACAATTGCTACAGGTGCAATTCTTTTTTTTTTTTAAAAAAAAAATGAAACCCATGAAAATTCGACATCAGACAAAGATTCACATTTTTTAAAATGCATCTTCGAGATTAATATATTTTTTGCATCCCAAAACGATATTTATTCGTATTCCGTATTTGAGATGAATAGAGTAATATGAAAAAGACATTTGGACACACCAAAAGGGCTCCTTCGAAAATTTAGACTCTAATTTTTGTTTTCTGTTATCTAGATTTGGGTTTTATGAAAATGGGGTTATAGTTTAGACTTTAGAGCGAAAAGATCGATTGTATTTGCAAATTTAGAAAAATTTAAGGTTAAAAAAAATATGAATTTATAAAAATATTTATATGGCTTTTTCGATATTGCCCTAGCTGCCATTGAAGTTGATCAGATTGTCATCAAACCACAACCTCTCCCGAGCATTAGCAAGTCGGGTAAATTGAATTAGAATTCTTTTGATTCGTGGTTAATTCAATTATATAACTTATATAAGCTGTTCCTTGGATTTTTATTGTTAATTTCTTCCCATCTTTTTCGTAGTTCTTCCTTTACAAATTGAACTAGGGCTTATTATAACTATCGGAAAAATTGACACAGCGTATAAACTGAAGTTAATGTTCAAACGTTCTATATTGGTGTCTTTTTGTATTGTGAAAGCAAAGTGAAATTTAAAATGGCATTTGGAATGGTCACTGGTCAGAAACTCCAATTGTACTTGTTCTCGTAATCATTTATCAATTTCTGAAATAAGCATGACAGATACATGATTTTTTTTTGCCACATTTGTAAATTGTTTTAATAATTAATCTCGCTTGCTGAACTGTAAACATTTCGATCGCTGAATCAGCATATGACAAACACAAGACACTTTGATTTAAAAAGTCAAGTGTGTGTTTCACATTTGCCGAATCATACGATCGATTATCAAACTACTGTACATGTATAAATAAAATATATTATGTCGATATTTGTTTTTATTTTGTTAGGGTTCAAACATTATTATTTGTTAGACATTATAATTTTGCGTACTCTATTATACCGAAAAACCAAAAAAAAAAGAAAGAATGTGACTAATCGGTCGGTAATTCCAAACGAATTATTTTTAAATACAAAATAACTCACCGTTTTATTAGTTAAAATTAATAGATACAAATATCTTCTTATATTAACACATTTTCTTAGAAGGACTTGGATTGTTTTTATTTATTTATTTTTTTTTTGGGCAGGTTCATATTAGATGTTGGGATGGTAAATCGCTGCATGAAATCTATAGGATGACTGTTGGTGTTGGAGGATTGGGTAGTGGACCTGAACTTTGTATACGGTGATTGCTTGCCCTCAGGTGAAAGCTAGTTCTTTTAATTATTACCTCATCTAAATGGAACAATGTCTTCCTTCCAGACAGAACGTGAGCTTCTAAAAGCTTTTTTGGTTGTATTTCTTCAGATGTGGGACTCTGGTAAGCGGAGATAGTTCAGGTAGCCTTCGGTTCTGGGATAGCAACCATGGAACTCTCCTGCAAAATTTTACTAATATAAATATATGATATTAATTTTTTTTGAACAAATAATACTAATTTAAGTGCTGTAAAATATCTTGTATTAAATATAAAGTTTTGGAAAATTAATTTAGACAATTTTGATTCATGTGAAAGCAAAAAATTATTTACTTTAATAAAATTAGCATTATATGGAAAAAAAAATAAAACCACTTAATAAAAAATAGGAAATATTATTGTTTATTTTAAATTCAACGTATTTATATTATTTTCATATTACTATTGAAATATTATCATTTATACACTTTGGGAATAGATTTTAATTTATGCGCTAAAATCAAATGAAAGGAAAAAAAGTTATATTTGATTTCAATAGTTAGAGTGATGTTTGCATTGTTGTATGTTCATGCCCTTAATACAAATTATTCAAGAGTGTTACCCTCCTTATCCAAGAGCTATCCGAAAATTACCCAAAATCAAACTCTCTCCTTGTGTTCTTTTTCGTTTTTGACTTCATACTATTTTCCTTTATTCCTTTTTTTTTTATTTTAAAATTATTTATTGAAACTCAAAATAACACGGTTTGTTCTAAATTAGAAAAAAAACCATAGAGATTAACACTAATTATTGTGAATTTCTTTTATTTCTTCCGAGCTGTACTGATTCCAGTCAAGTTAGATTTCTTGGGATGAAATCAAATTGGTGAAACAATTAAATAAAAAAAACGTTACACCATCATTCAATTTGAAGAAATTGTTATAGAATACCACGAAGCGAATCAACTACGAATGTATAACATTTCTGGCTTTTGAATTCTTTTAGATAGTTTCAGACAATTTAATCAAAGTTTCAGTCTCTCAAACCAACCAACACTACAATGTATACTTGCAAATACCATCATCGAAGTTGCTTTTGATTTTTTTCCCTTCTTCTGACACATAGAAATGGCCCCAGTATGTATATATATATATTGAAAATTAGACATCAAAATTCTTTTATTTTTATGTGCAATTTCTATGTGACACTTAAAAAAAGATTTTAATAAAAGAAACACAAGGGTTCCTTTTGGAAAAAAGATTTTGTTAAAAACACACACACACACACACACACACACAACCCCAAGATTTCCTTCGAATGAGTTGATGATTTTTCTTTTATTTTATTTGTGAAAATACTAAACTTAGATTAAGGGAAGACAAATTTTCAATTAATTGTAGTCCTTAGTAGTTATCAATATCTCAGAAGTCAGAATAGAGAAAATTTTGGGGGCGAGTATAATTTAGAATACAACAGGGACCTTATCTGACATTTTTGAGAAATACAAGGATAGAATATGTAGTTTTGAAAACTATTTGTATCTTGCGAGTGCAATTTATACTTTCCCAGCTTTCATATTTTTTTCCCCCAAATCTGTTGGCCCTAACCGCCATTGATTCATAGGATTCTCTCCGAAACCTCCGTCCTCTCCTGCATTCAGAAATTGCTTGAACGTTCCTGAACTGCTGAAATTGGTAAGAATTTTCTGAATTACTCATCCTTTTGTTGAACTTAGAGTTCTTTTGATTTGCTGTTCAGAAACCGATCGGATAATCAGCTGTTCCTTCTATTATCTTCTCTCTTCGTTGCTCTTTATTTTCATAATTTATTTGCTGTTGTAATATATTTTTTTTTATGAAGTTACAAATTCATGGCTTGAACGTATATTATGTCTAGTCTCTGATTCAAGATATTTGATTTGGGCTCGCGCTCAGTTGTGTGTATTCTCTTTTCTTTAGTTGCGTGCTGAAACTTCTTAGAATTTATTAGGGCAAGCGATACAGGGTTAAACTGAAGCTAATCTTGAGACTTTTGATTTTTTACTGGGTCAAACCCAGGCAGTTGCTTAAGTATTTGAGTGGTATTTGAAACCGAAGCAAAATTAATGGACAGGATGTAATTTTTGGGTTTAGGTTTGTAGATGAATGCTGAAGGTTTTTCATTTTTATTTTTATTTCCCGGCCTGGATTGAGTTTAATAGGGTGAAAGCAAAGTGGAATTAATCAGGTTTTGGGGTGGATGATCTTTATTTTAGCTGGATGGCTTTGCCAAATGAGTGGTTTCTGGGATTGAGAAGAGAGGTCCAGAACGTAGTTACTGTTTAACTTTCTAATTTCACATTTGCGTGATTTATCCTCAATATGATCTGTGTTTGCCTTGACCATGTATAATACAACTGGGTTGTAACATGGATAGTTTCTTTGTTAACTTTGGCCAGTATTATGAATTCATAAGGATTTATAGTTGAAAGCCAGACTTTCATTAGTAAACTTGTTGAGTTGTTTTATTTTTTAGCAGATGCTTTTATTCGCTTTAGTTCTTCTTGTGATAAACTCCTGTAATTGAAATGCTCAATTTATATCAGGGTTTTGAAAATCTTGTCGAACTTTTTGTCTTTCTTTTGAGAAAGTTAGGGTAGTTTTTGCAAAAGTTATTTGGACCATAAACGTGATGAGAAAATGGAACGTTTGGCCAATTTATAGCTGAATTCGCCTAATCTTCTACCCCGCTACCATTGGTTGCCTAGGCTTTTATCTAAATATCATAATCGCAGGCAATTAGAGATTGTAAACAGTAGGATCTAAGTTTTCTTTATATTGATTTGAGTGCCCTTTACTTGGTAGATTAGTCCCAGTTGGTGATGAACCTGAGTTTTTACTTTTTAATGACATAACTAGATGCTTTTCAATCTTTCTTTCAAATACCAACTTGGTTTTCTCCTCATTTTCTTTGTTGTCTGAGTGAATATAATATTCAACTAAAGCTGGAAACTTGTGTCTCACTTCTTTTTCTTTTCAATATTTTGATTTTGCTAAACCCTGCTGCATCTGATTTCTTTTTCTGTTAGTATGGTTTAATCTATCAGTTTCTGCATTGAGTATGTGAGAAAATTAGCTTTTTCTGCTTCTTTTTGACTTGTCTTCCACGTGTTTTAGCTTATAGGTCAACGACATGTCGTCTAAACAAGAAGCAGCTCAGGATGCTGCTGAAAGAATCAAGGCTGCAGCATTATCTGCTGCCAAGGGTCTTGGCCGGCCTCAGGCAGAGCGCGCAGCTGCAGCGGCTGCACGCAATGTGAATGCCTATGGACAGAAGGAAGAAGGGCCAAGTAGATGGCAGGAAAGGAAAGAAGCTAAAAGACAAATGTACCTGAATAGTACTGAGAAACAAGTAATTTTGGGCGAAAGAAAGGCCGTTAAAGGTTCGCTGTCTGCTCCTGGTTCTGCTGCTCAATGCCAGAAGTGTTTCCAAACTGGGCATTGGACGTACGAATGTAAAAATGAACGGGTTTATATATCACGCCCATCTCGTACACAGCAGTTGAAGAACCCCAAGTTGAGGATGAAGGTGTCGATTTCCTATGATTTGGATGATAAGGATGTTGAAAAGGATGTGAAGAGGGTTAAGTCATCCAAGAAGAAGAGTAAGAGAAAGCATAAATCGGATACAGAATCTGGGTCTGATAGCGAGGCTTCAGTTTTTGAGTCTGACAGTGAGGCATCATCAGTCACGGGGTCCGACTACTCTTCTGCTGAGAGCGGATCAAGTGATAGTTCATCTACGGATTCAGAGGAAGAAAGGAGGAGAAAGAGGAAGAAGAAGAAGCATCAGCAAAGGAAGAGAAGGCATCACCGCAAGTATAGTTCATCGTCTGAGTCTGGATCTGATTCATATTCAGATTCTGAATCTGATTCTGAAGAAAGAAGCAGCAGGAGAAAGGCTAAGAAGAGGCAAAGCAAGAGGCGATGAGGTGGTGTTGCTATGATTGGGTTTCACTTTGAGGCTTGGCAATAGTGATTTGATTTCTATCCCCCTCTGTGGAACTTGACAGAAATGCTAAGCACGAACATCTGTGAGCTTTTTATTTCGTAATTCAGCTTTGTTTGTATTGTGGATGTAAGATAATCAAATTAATTCGGCTTTTGAAGTTTTAGATTTTGGAGGCAATACTTGGATTTTGCTCAATGTCTCCCGGTTGAAATTCTTCTCTTTTGCCCATATGAGACACAGAGACAGCTTCCAGTTTGTGGTACTAAGTAGATCAGAAAATTGTTATTACTGTGTCCTAAACCTTTTCCTTTTTTTTTTTTTACTAATTGAGTTTATTAAATCAGACAATTAATTTGGAATGGAATGGTATGGAATTGGCTGTTTAAGCTTTTGACTTTCAGTGCCATTCAAGGTTTGGTACACTTTTTGATAGATTGTATAACTCCCAGCAATTTCCATTTCAGCCAAAATCAAGGGCTGGCCTAATAGATGTCCACTATATTTCCAACCAATTTATTAAAATTTTGCATTCACATCCATACAAACTACAAAGATAAACGCCATCCAAACTCCCAAAAAAAAAAAAAAAACGCACATATTTTTCCATTCTCAAAGAACTGCTGGTTTTCAGACATGGAAGGCGATTCGAACAACAATTTATAGTCTGTTTTTTCATTTCTCTATTGTTTCATCTCATCTAATCAGTTGAATAACACACATCGTTACGAAATTTTATGCACGATATTTTGTCAATATTTTAACTCTTTCTAAATTGGTTTTCGAATCGCATATGGATGTCTTCAACATTTATTCATTCTTTCCAAGACATTGACTTTACAACACATGACTGAAAAAATTAATTAGTGTGATTTTTTTTTAAGAAAAATTATTTAGACATTTTCATCTTAAGTTACCGAATGACCAATAAAATCTCAAAAAAAAAAAAAAAATTCCTCCCAAATTAGGACTGAAAGTAATTAAGCAACAAAAATTCTTTTATTAATATGTGAAAAGGAAAAAGAGGCAGTAGAAAAGTTGCAGGGGTCAGTATATAAAAAACAGAGCTTCTCCCCCAACTCCCACTCCCACTCCAGTCACTTCGTTACTAGACAGTCGGAAACTTGCCTCCCCCAATCCAATTCAAACGCAGGAAAGACTCAAACTTTGATTTCAAAAAGTTTATCCAAATATGAGTACCATGAAGTTTTGCCGTGAATGGTAAGTGATCTCTGGAATTTCTTTGTTCTTTGTTTTATTTTGCTTGGAAAAGAATACACTGGAGTTTAAAACCCCTTGTTTTTTTTTAATTACTATATAGCAACAACATTCTTTACCCGAAGGAAGACAAAGAACAGAAGATTCTGCTCTATGCTTGCCGCAACTGTGATCACCAGGTAAAAAAAAAAAAATCCCTTTTAGGGTTCTTACCTCTTCCAATTCCTTGAAAACCCCGTCTGTTTTTTTTTTTCCCTTTTAATTTTGTTTTGCTAGTTATATCAAATACCCAAATTTTGGGGAATGTCTCCTTGGTTTGAATTTTTATTATTTGAGAAAAAAAAAGTGAGGTGTTAAGAAAGGTGGAAGAAGTATTTGCGTTTTTTATTTTAGGAGATAAATGTAGCAATTTTACTATTTGGGGTTGTGAAGAAAGGTCGGGTTCTCAAGTAAGGAGTGTAATTTTCAGGGGTTCAGATTATGCACTTCAGCTGAGTTTTCCCCCCTTTGCCTGTGGGGTTCTGTATTCATTTGTTAGACATAATTGTTGGGGAATAAGGTGTGATTTTTTCCTCTTCTTCGTTTAATGAGTTCTGTTTGGAATCTTGATACTGTCACAAAATGTTGTGTTCAAAAGTGGAGTTGTTCTTACGCTGTGATAATTTACGACTGTTTACATTTGTTTTGACACCATGACATGATATAGTCCATACTCCATATATCCGATTCTTTATAGTCCCAAAAAATATGAGTCGATTTGATTTACGTTTTATCCTTCTCCAAATACTTACCAATTAGCTGACGGTTTTGTTGGAAGGGTAGTTGTTATTTGCTCTCTTTACCTAATGCAGTGTGCGGAATCACTGCTGAGGTTTTATCCGTGATGTTGACTTATTTTTGCAATTGATTTCGCTTTACTCTAAAATAGCATTTATGCTGCTTTCAGGAGGTAGCAGATAATAACTGCGTGTACAGAAATGAAATCCACCATAGTGTAGGAGAGCAAACCCAAATCTTGCAGGATGTATCTGCTGATCCAACCCTTCCACGCACCAAATCTGTGCGTTGTGCTAAGTGTGGCCATGCAGAGGCTGTTTTCTTCCAGGTAATTTCCCAACCGAAATTTGATTACATAGGTTTATTTATCACGGAAGTATTGCCATTTGCTTAGGTTGAGTCACTGCCATTGCTTCTGTGCTTTTTTTTTCTTTTTCAAGTTTTTGCAAGCTATATAGTGGCAGTTTTGGTATTTAGATTGGTAGTTGTCTGTCTGGGTTGATTGGTGTTCACCTGATGTGGTTGCTAAGTGACGGGGGCTTAGTTTACTGAGAATACTATCTCACTAGTGAGTCATCATGAAAGTAGATTGTTGGCTCTATTGAAATGAAGTGACTGGGGCTTCGGCTTGAACTGAAGTGACTGGGATTTAGTTTACTGGGAGTACTATCTAACTAGTGTGTCATCATGACAGTAGATTGTTGGGTCTATTGCTTGCATGACTCTCTGTGTTGCTTTTATATGAAATGAAATGAGAAAATTGTCTTCAGTCTTTAACATGGGAAATTATAGCTTTGCAAGGGCATTGTTCCCTGTATGGACAGTATTTTAGTTGGCCCTTTACATTTTATTTGTATCTTTATTGTGCTTTATTGGAGATGTAAATGGCTGTATGTAAAATGAGAATTTGAATATAAATTGAGAATGATATGCTGCCCTTATGGTACAAGAGTTGCTGCTTTGGTTCATGTGACTTGCTGTATATTAGATCTTTATGACTTTCAAGTACTGATGCTGTGAACTTTCTTTCAGGCAACTGCACGTGGTGAGGAGGGTATGACTCTGTTCTTTGTTTGCTGTAATACGAACTGCGGTCACAAATGGAGAGAATGATGGTCCTGCACAAGTTTTAACATCCAAGAGCGGCTGACATTTCGTAACACTTAGCATTTTATTCCCCGTACCTATTTGGATACAGTGCCGGCAGTTCAAATTTGAACGTCGTCCCTGTGTTTCCCATCTCCTAGTTTTGTATGGATTCTCCGACTTAAACACTTAGCCGTAGTGACCTACTGGAAAGAAGCCTATTTTGTTCAAGGAAAAATTTGGTGGTCTGCGAAAGGCATTGAACCTGTCACAACGCATGTCATTCTTCCAGTCTTAACATATTCAAGTGCGTAAGATAATTTACCAATGGCAAAAAAGCCAGAAAACAAGAACAAATCTGAATATTGCGGCTTTTTCAGTTCTCGATTTCATTCAGTGAGCCTATTGTGTGTATTAAAATAGGAAAATTCCAAAATAAGTGTTGTTTTTTTTAATTCAAATGCACTTTTGTCCAAAATTTTCAAACGTACCAAATAGTACTCCCTTCGGTTTTTATTATAAGTTATTTTGATTTGTCATAGATTTTACTTATAAGTTATTTTGATTTGTCATAGATTTCACTTAGTATGTCTTTTTAATTAAAAAAAAATTTAAAAATATTTTTTAATAATTAGGAGAACACAATGAATGAGAAAGTACAAACTTATCATAAATTAAAATGTCTTATAATAAAGACCGGAGAACGTATTATTAGAGAACATTTATTTTAATGGGTGCTTGAGAATATTCTGATAATTTATTTACACCATTTAAATGTTTCTCAAACTGTATGCAAATTTTCTAATAATATTTATTTAAGTGTCTTATAACGCGTGTATTTTTATCCATGCACATCATGTACTAGTTTAAATACAGGTTAGGTCACTGATTATGGAATTTCAAAAACGGCAAAATAAACTTATTTTCAACTAGCCGCCTCCACAATACATCTAAAAACCCGTTACCATCTTGTCTTTTGAAGTTGAAGTTTTACACATATATTACTCAAGTTTAAATCCCCCTTTAAGTATTTTCATCAAAAGTGGGGTTACTATCAATCTGTAACACGGTTATTAATTATTTACATTAAAAAAGAGAAACTAAAAAAGTAAGCTTTGATAGAAAGAATGACCGATTCTCAATGATGCCAAGAATATACAATAAAAATGCTTACAAAAAAGCAAACCTACTAAAAGATTTCTAGGGATGTTAGGACACTTCCTCAACTTGGTAACACTAAAAAAAAATATCTCTACATTTCAGCAACTCTAGCCATTTTCCCTATTCCTAAAGACATAAAACTAGAATTATAATAATCAAAAAGAAGCTGTATATGTACATGATGATAATCATTCTATGACCTAGAAGGAGCTAGTGATCTGAATCTTTTCTACAAAATTGTGCTCCAAAGAAAAAACTAATGTACTATAGCGAAGACGTTAATTGTGCAAACCAGTCAGACAAACGTCCAATTTTTGCTAAACAATCACTGCTTCTTGCGAAGTAAGATTCTGCATTTGATAACATTACTTGGAAATCATGCTTCATTGCATCCAAACTTCTATAATAGTTGTTCTCTAACCTAGAATGGATCACTTCAAAAGACAAGGGAACCGGAAACCTGCAACAAAAATGTACTCGTTGGCAACAGAAAAGTAACAAAATCAACAAAATATCTAGGCATCTGCAAAGTTGAAGACTATCTAGATTCCTCTTTAACTGAACTTCCCACAGGAAAAAATAGAAGCGATTTTAAATGAGGTTGATCCCAAGTTATATGCCACAAAAAGAATCACCAAAAAAAAAATAAAATAGAAGTAACAATGCTGTCTTGGCAATCTCTCCACTTCTATACAAGCTGAACCCATCTTAAATATCCTCCATCTCTCAGTCTAAAATTCCATCGTTAACATACATAGTTACTTTTTAAGTTTTAAGAGAATGTTTACGTGACTTCTTTTAAATCCTCTTTCCTATCATTACGGTTTCTCATTCTTTTAATTTTTTTCTTCCCCCATTAACTCTTTCAATGTTGAGACTCTACTTTACTCTTATTTATGGTGTTCGTCCTCAAGAGGACATCGACAACATTGCAATCAGTTACAGTTTATGATTGTGTGCTGAAGGGAAGAAAAAAAAAAAAGGCTTCTTGTTTTTTGGTTCACTGAGGGTACCAATGTCTTAAAAAGGTACTGCAAATACTGGTGCACACTAAATAGATTCCAATTTTAATTATTGAAAAAAGGAAAAGTAACATTGAGAAAATAATTATGGAATGCGGAAGCGGCTCATGAATTCGGATCTCTGACACAGTGCGATTTTCGCACCTTCGCAGAAACATACCTGTTAGCAAAACTGGTCTTTTGAGAAACCTCTCTCAATTTCTGCAACCCATAATTGTCCTGCAGTAAAATATATCATAAGAAACCCAGTTTTCAAACCAAGTTGCATATGCTACTGTGTGCAGATCTTGAAAGCTAACCTTCTTATTTACAGATTTATCCAGTTTGGCAAAAGCGCTGAGCAGCCGATGTCGAATTCCAGCATCAATATGAGGCTGCTCCCAATGAGTGTCAGCATTGTAGAGTTCCCAAGGACTATGTTGATGTGTTTCTCGGGGATCGCTCTTGTACTGAACTACATACCTTTCCCACGGACTATCTGGAAAGTCTGAAGATTTAGGCTTCACTGACGTAATACGGCCATCCCACCAAGTCCCCCCTACCTCGCCGCCATCATTTTGCCACCAAACTTGGCATTTATCTCTAGAAGTCCATTTCCTCGACACTGCAGCATCATATCGACTTCTCTCCACAAGAAAGTCTGGAAAGGTGGTCACTTCAGGCAATGTTAACCTAAATGACTCACCGACTACACTAGAAGCGGGATCTACAAATCTAAGTAACATTTTGCAGCAGCTCTCGCCGGACCCGGGACGTGTTGAATATGCAAGCTCCTCAACCTTGCAGAATTCAACGGCTCTGATTTCACCCTTGAGTGTATTCCACGGCCCTGATTCCTTCAACTTGCTCTGGGTTATGTACTCTTCATGACCCTGGGAAAAGAAGTCCAATGCAATTTAATTCAAAACAGAAACATAAAGTTCAACACTGAAGTTCTATATCAAAAGAAAAATCAAGGTACCTGTCTCAGGTAAACAACATCATCCCCTAACTGGGGAATGTACCGTGATCCCTCTTCAAGTGTTGACAACATTAGCCATGAACTTTTTGTCAATTGATTTGATTTCCTTCTATTATCTACAGGACTAGCCTCACGTACATGATAACTAGGTTTCCGATTTCTGCTTGATCTTGATATTGTCATGTCAGTTCTTGGAGAGATATCTTCATCTCTACTAGTTGTCTCTGCACCAGGCGCTGTATCTCCTGAACCACCAACCGCCTCCTGGTTTGAGTCATGAGTTTTTGATCTCAATCTGATTGACCTCGTCCGTCTTACACCTTCAAGCTGAGCAGAAACATCTCCATCTTTTAGGTTTTGTTCCTCTATAGCTGATGACCTTGATTGCACGGACCTTGTCAACCTGATACCTTCAGTCAACTCCTCTTTTCTATCATGTAGGCTGTCCTCTCCTGTGACTGAACCGCTTATTCCAATATTTTCATTCTCGTCTTCTTGATTACCTCTTCTCCTTAGAGACTTTGACCTTCGATAAACAGCACCAAATGTCCTGTTTTGTGGAGGCAACTGCTGCAGGTCGGGTAGAGCAGCCCCAGAAGAAGTATCAATCAGGGAGTTTGATTCTTGGTTATGATCATGGCTTCCATTTTCCACATTAGATGTTCCTTTCCAACCATTGATAAAGACACCAGACTTTAGATCACAGCCATTATCTTGACTGCCAGACGTACCACCGGGCACATGCCTGGAATCCTCAAGCAAGGGTTGGTTCCCTATCTTGCCAGAATTTACATGGTCGTCAGAAAATATTCTGGACTTGATGCGAAGCCTCTTTGGTGCTGTAAAAGACTTTTCCAGTGATTGTAAGCTGTTATCATTGCCATTAGTATCTAGCATGGGAAGTACTGATCGACCATCCATGACTAGTTCATATGATGGTTCGTGTTCAATCAAGAAAGAATTTGGCCCCTCATCAACCGCTGCCTCAAGATTACTGGAAGTGCTCATGCTTCCTTGATACTTGTTCATGTCAACAGTTTCTGCTGCTGCCCCTTCATTTTGGACATGGGGTCTCAACGATATCAGGCCTGACTCATTCTCATTTCGGCCACCATCAGAATTGACCTTCCGGTCATTCCCATCAACAACTATATTGGACCCAGCAAGTACAATCACTGACTGTGATTCGCCTATTTTCGAACGTTTGGAAGTACGAGTCTTCACCCCTCCCCAGCAAACATTACCATCTTTCGAACCTTCAAGCAAATCTAAGCACATACGGCTTTTGTCCATTTCAGTGCTATTGGCATCAGTAGAAGTAGCCATCCTATCAGCATGCATGCGAGGTGTAAATGAAGGGCCAGCAACACCATTCTTGCTTCCACCCGCAAATTTACCCGAATCACGATTAGGAAATTTCAGGATTAGCTTCCTTCGGGTACCAGCTTCTACATGCGATTCAGAGCATCGATCAATCTTATTGTCTAAATCTTCAGTGTGATCAATCAAAACTCCCTTTCCTTTAACATTCTCTTGATGTTCCTCGATCAAAGATGGATCAGATTCTTCACTAATATTTGACAGGGCATCACTATCTGATGAATCACCTTCAGTGCTATGTTCTCCATCTGCATCTGTTGATGTTCCCGTGATTCGGGAGAATAGATGAAGGGCATTCCTGGCAGCAGCTCTCCGAGGTCTTCCAGACTTCAAAGAAGATGATTTTTTTCGAGAAGATTTATTACCACTTTTTGATTTTCTGCAGCGGTTGTTAACTTGTGAACGATCCCCATAGTCGTCCAGATTTTTTCGCTTAACACGTCTTCCCGAAGATGTTGTGACCTCAATCTGGATCATAAACGCTTAAAAATGTCATTTTTTTAAAAAAAAATTAAGATAACATGTATCACCAAAAAGAAAAGGATTTTGAAAAACTTACCTCAGCCTTCTGTTTTTTCCTTTTTGATCTTCGACGGTCCCTGTGAGAACTCTCCTCTCCACTATCATTTCCACTGCTCTCCGAATTGGGAGAGCGAGAAAACGAGCTCTCTTGTTCACCGCCAGATGAATTCTCCTCGGTTACGTGGTACTCAGAATCATCATCGCTTTGTATCTCAATTTCTGGTTCCCAGTCCATCGCATCCAAAAACTCTGGCAAAGGATCAACCGGAATATCCAAATCTATCATAGGAATGATTGTGCCTCCTTCCCCCAGAGAAATATCATGCCCGATAACAAAATTTACAGAAGACGGGCGCCATTCAATGCCCAAAATACCATGGCGCCGTTTTTGATACATGCTCTGATAAGGCTCAGGATAAGGTATCAAGCCTAGTAAATACAGAACATGTCAATAGGTTTCAAATTTATTATTCAAAGGAAAAAGAAAAAAAAATTAAAGCAAAGAAACTGGTTAATAGAATCATAAAGAAGCTGGCAACAGACAGACCTGAATCACAAAGAAGATCTTGCATATTCCTCCGAAAGGGTACTAGCTGAGTTTCCTACAGACCATGATACATTACTCTAGTCATTATCCACATAGTAAACAACAGAAGTCGACCTTTTCAATTGAAAATCCAATCAGTAATACACTTGGTTCACACACTCAACATCATTAGCTATAAACAAAAAGAAAAGCCTTCTCACCAAGCACCGTCTCATGAATCAAGGAAAACAAAGCACGATAGGCAAGGAACGATAATTAGGCAGCGGATACATGGAAGTAGTAGAGAATTACCTGGTCAAGAACATTGCCATGTGCATCTTGAACAAGTGGACGATAGTCGCCTAAGAAAAACTGTTGACAGCCACATCAGATGAGAAGTTTGAAAAATTTATTCAAAACTGGTTGGAAAACAAAGAAAAACCTTTCCCTGATTTAATCTATTCCGTGGAAGTAAACAATCAAATTTATTTATTAAACCTGGTTGCGTATGAGTTAGAATTGAGTCTCTCTAATGCTGGCAGAATATATAATAATGCAAGTACCGTTAACAGTAGGCCAACATATTTAACATAAATCTTCAATCACGAAAGAGCTATTTTTTTAACCTGCTCATATTTGGCATCCATTTGGGATTCTCCTTGGCCAGTGCTCAGTATATACAATTGACCAACATCATCGGAGAGTATAATCGACGTTCCATCCCTGGAAATTAATTTTGCACATGTAAATAGGGAGAGCATAACAACAAAAAAGCAATTGAAGGGGGGAGGTAAAAGTGAACGGTCCAAAACTTACGGGGAAAACTTTCCATCAACCAGCTTGAATCGGCCAATTTCAAATGTTCGAATTGGTATACCTTCCCATATCTAACACAGAAGAAAAACTTATAAAAGAATGTAGAGCCTTTATAAAGAAAAAAAGAAAAGAAACGAAATATAGCTGTGAGATATCAGTGAACTCACATCCCAGATTATTGTTCTCCCATCATATCCAGCACTCATTGCCATTCTAGGGTTGAATGGATGAACATCCAAAACATATGTCTGTATAAGTGACAACCAACCGTCAGATTCAATCCAGTGACAAGACAGGAAATAATGGAAAAGAAAATAATAGAACTTCAACAAGTAAAAATTTTAAATATCATGTTACTGCAAGGACCATACAAATAAACAAATTAAAGGATGTGTACAGAACAGTGCAGTGCAGTGCAGCAGCCTAAAGAACAGGATTTCTTTTTAAAATCTTAAGTCAACTGCAGAAAACGAGATATAATCAGCTTACTTGATCTGTGTGGCCTGTCAAAGAATGAACTAAGCTACCATCAGCAGCATTCCACACACATATCCTGCAATCTGAGAGTTCGTGGAATGAGAGCAAGAAGTCAATCTAAATGAACCAAAAAGAAAAGGGAATAAAACTAAGCTACAATGAGATCAAGGATTGAGTAGTTGAGCACCATTCATGCAAAGGGGGAGAATACTACTCTAAGGAAGACCATCGCTAACAAAAATTACAAAATAGAATTACTTTATCTTCAAGTTCTTTTGAGGGAGGGCAGACATGGATAAATAGAACTAAAAGTGAATTGTATACAAATTCCAGACTTGTGGGCTATCATATATGGGTCAGCGAGAACCAATAGTCATTGGCCAACCTACAGGCCTAGGCCATTACAGGGGAATAGGGGAAGACTGAGGATCAAATTCTCATAATAAAATTAAATAATGAATACACATACAAGAAAAGTTTCATAAAATTGGAAAATTTTTTAGAGGAAACAGCATAATAGCTTTCCCTCCTCCAGTGGGAGAACTAACGTCCATACAAAAACATACCCATGATAGCTGCAAGGACAAAACGATTATCCAGACTCCATATAATCATATTAACACCACGCGGAGTTGGAAGAATTCTTTGTCGAGGGCCTCCTCTTGGTGGTTGAGGAGGCATAGGCGGTGGAGGCACCTTAAGGTGATATGCTCGAGTCCATCGTCCAACCTTACCCTAGAATTATGACATTCAATGGAATAAAAACACAAAGTTATTATAAACCTCAAACAATGACAAGCAGTAAGAATATTACCAATTCAGGCTTTAAAATTACAAAATGTAGGCTTTTTGACAGCACACAAAAATGAAAAGGATTTCTTTGAGAGAAAGAAAGCAATAAGGGAAAGGGAAAAACTTTCAAAAGTTGCCTAGACTCTAGAGAGAGAACACAAAACTCACATGAGATCTACGAGATTTTGGAATCCAAATAATAGCACTGCCATCTCGAGAACAGGTAACTATATTATCCTGGTTATACCTGAAAAGTGTAGAAGCAGAAATAAATATCCACAAGAATACATTTTTCTCCCGTTTCATGGGGTTGATAAATACAGATCATAGATAAATCATGATATCTTGAAAGAGAGTATAAAGAAACATGAGCACACACCATGTGTTCTTAAACTTCGGAAGGTTTTCTTCTTTTGAGGCATCTAAGACAAATAATCGAGACGTCAAGGCACAGCCACTGCACAAGGAGAAAAGCTTGTCATCAATCATGAAAATTATATTCCAATGACAGCCAATGTATCCAGGAAGACAAACCTGAACTGCACATAGTTTACATCATCCTCATGGCCAGCTAAAACATCCATCTCATGATTAGGTCCAGACTCTTCTGCATTGGACTTGCAAGCATTCCAAACCTGGACAAAACCAATATTCCTATGAGGAAACAGAAGGTTCTAATTGTACAAATATAAAATGAAACTACACACAAGCGGCTACATCTATATAAAGCATGAAAATCACACTGCTTTCCATTAAACTGTCTTAAACATAATGTACACAGCCTGAAATCAACATACCCTAGCAAGCTTGTCGGCGCTTCCAGTGACGAAAACAGTTCCGCTGGAGTTGAATGCACAGCAAGAGATGGCAGTTGTTGCTGAAGGACCATTGTTCCTACCTAATCAACAAAACATTATAACAAATGAATCAAGCAAAACCACAATCTAGTGCTATTGGTCACTAAAGAAGCCAGAAACTTACCGGCCACAGATTCAGAAGGTTTTGGAACATATAAACGAGGACTAAAGTTTGAATGCCGAGCATCCCAAATTCGACATGTTCCATCGTCAGATGTCCTGTTATAACCAGAATAAACAGATTGTTATAAAACTGGGATTTGATTAACTAAATACACATTGGAGACACAGATACAACAACAACAACAACAACAACAACATACCCAGTATATACATAGGGACAAAATACAACACAAATACCGTTATCAACTTTTTTTACTCAAGGTGACGACAAACGATACGATGTGAAATCATAAAACAGTGCATCAAAGACTACAAGTAGACATACTTGTACCATAAAAAATGAAAACTCCCAAACTTAAAAATTTTATACTGGGAAAATTCACATTATAAAACATTATAATTTGGAATTCTTTCATGAGAAAGAGGGTAAAAGCAATTCAACTCTTCGTATAAAACCTATTTAAATTAAAAGCATTGCAGAAAAAAAGAAAAGACTTGCAACTGTCTGAAAATACTCACGATAAAAGTTGAAAAAGGGCGCCTGGTCTAGGACTGAAGGCAATAGCCGTAACAGAGTCCGTATGACCCTGCAAGACTGAAATTGGATACCCATCATTCAACCTCCACTGCCAAAAAAAAAAACAGATGAAATGTAAAAGGTAAATTGCCAATTAATATCAAACAGATCGTAAATTTGTAATATCAGAAAGGAAAAATCCTACAGATCGTAAAACAGATGACATGTAGAAGGTGAATTACCAATTAACATCAAGATTGTAGATTCTTAATATCAGAAAGGAAACAGAATCTTACAACGCGTATGGTTGTATCATTTGAGGCAGAAGCTACCAACGTGTTGTTGAAGTTCACAGCCAGGTCAGTGATGTCACCCTTGGTGGATGTGGCAAGATACAAAGTCAGCGGCACATTAAGTTAAGGACAATAAGATTGACAAATCCCACTTAATACTCGTAGCACACACCTTGTGTCCGCGGCAACTAGCCAAGCAATATGCAGTTTCCATTGACCAAATTTTCACAAGTTTATCATCCGATCCCGTAATGACAAATCTCCCTGACCGGTCAAAAGTGGCTGAAAGGAGGCAGTTACAATATTCACAAGAGGTCCAAAAGCTATAAAGTGTTTAAAAGAAGCTTTCATAAGAAGAAAACATGAATACCATAAGGGAAAACAGAAAGAGAAAACTGATGGAATAATAGCAGCAGCTTCAACACAGAAGCAATATTAAAAACTCTAAAAAAATTGGACACTGAATTAAAAGTTAGCCTAAAAACTACTTCTACGCTACAGGCATTCAAAATTATAGAAAGTTGGACTCCCTGGGCAGTTAGAAAGTTAAGTATCCAAGTTAGATCTCTAAGACTATCCAAGTCGTTTCTTAAGACTGCAATATCCGAGTCAGATCTTTAATACTGTCAATGATAACCAATTGAAACGGCAAGGACAATTCTAACACTTGCAAAGTCAGTCCCCAAAATAAATGTAAACAATCAATTTGCTCCTTCCCCTTTTAAAGGCTTGTTTTATTACAAATATCACCTGCATCTTCCCAAAATTTCTTTATGTAAGCCTTCTTCAATGTCACAAATAACAACCACAAGAGTATTATCCTGAACAATGCTCAAGAAAACTAGTCATTTTACAAGAAACATGGAGCTTTAGCGATCAAAATGCAACAAGCAAAAAGAACAAAAATCGTGCTTGCAAATAGCCTTTCATCAAATGATCATAATTTCCAAAACCCAACATACATGACATCCTTTGCAAAGTCCACCAAAAAAACTGAAAACCCAATGCCGCAGAAACTTACCACAATAGACAGGGTGACAATGTCCTCTAACTGTTTTTATTGTCTGCATCTTTTCCACCATGGTTGATGGCTTTACTATTGCATAACAAGCTGCACGGACAGAGGGAGCACGATGGTGCCGGGAAAACCCCCCACCAATTTCCCTCAGACTGAGCCCTCGTACTTGATCAGCCATCATGTGAGGCCATCGCAAAAAGCCAGGCAGACTCACTTCGTGATTCACCTTGTTTTGTTGACCTGACAGAGAAGATTATAAATGAAAAAGTTAGTTGACCTACTATCTCAACAAATATGGATTCTTCAATATTGCTTAGGAAGTACACTGTAAACTTGAAAAAACTACCATATGTGTTTAGGCAAAAAGTAAGGTCATGAAGAACCAAAAACAATACCAAACAAACGAAACAATTTAAACTGAGATTTTTTTCCTCTATCACTGTCACTTACCGCCAACAAGGGAAAAGGAACCAGTTCCCAATAAAGTGGGGACATCAGCCGCATTTAAAACATTTCCCCCAAACAAGTTGCGAGCAGGAGATGCTGTGTTCGATATAAGTTGCTTCAAAAGCTTAACTAAGTGATCCTTTGCAATGTGAGGGTACCTAAAATCATGGACAAGATCTGCTTCAAAAAGTTGGAAAGTCAACAGACAAAAAGCTGGGAAATGAAAGGCATCAACATTTTAGGGAAGTGTTTATCCTTTTCTCTGTTCTCTAAAAGGTATTTTCTTGGTCATGGAGGCAGTCTCAGAGCTAGATATATAAAACTTACCTCTCTATCAGCTTGACATAAGTCATTGGCAGGGACATTCCATCATCATCTTCCTCTCCACTATTCCTTCCACTCCTCGAATACCATGCATGATATCTTCTTGGTAGAAGCCGATTCTCCTGGAGTTCATTCCAGAACTGTGTGCAGGTCTTCTGACACGGTCCAGCTGACAAAAAATGCATAATCAGAAAATAAATCTCCCGAAGGTCCGTGTCAACATCAGCTTCCAATTTCCTCGCTTGTGTATCAGCAGGGTGAGCTTTCTCATTCGTCTTATCAACGACACTCAATGACTTCTTATTATCAAGAAGCACGTCGGTGCCACGGACATGTTTCTGAAGAGCCATTTATCCTGCTAAGCAAGACACAGAGCAGTACACCTCAATTATCTATAGTTTTTAGCAACCAGAGAGAATATAAATTTTTTAATGATAAAAACATAATAAAAGACAACAACAAAACACTTCCATTAGTTGAAACTTGAGGCAACCGCAAGTCTAGAAATTAATTTATCAAATTTTATATTATATATAAACAAGGGTAAGACCTTTTGTCTTTCAAAATCCAAGAGAGAAAATTCATTAACCACTTTCTAATGGTAAAGCCCAACTGATGCAAAAATTTCACGAACCAAAAGTTACATACATAAACTTGGACCCATTAACTTCCTTCCATGTGTATTGGTGCATAATCCCAAATATAAAGAATAACTCACGGGGAGAAAAAAAGATGCATTTGTACATGCACCAAAGATTTAGAATAAAAATTCAAAAAACTCTTAGATGTGATTGTAGATAATGCTGATCTCTCTTTCATTACTAGCAGATGTCTTTTAGTTTCCTTAATCCAAAAAGAAAAGTTATTTCTCCTTAACCTATCAAAAAGGAATCAATAGATATTTAACCCTCATCAACACCACAGAGAGAACACAGCAAAATTTAGAATGATAAGTGCTTCCAGCAAGATGCATTGAACCTCCCTTTTACAAATTCTACCCATGCCTATTTTATTTCATGCCAAATGGAATGAATAGTAGATCTATTAACATAATAGCAAATAATTTGTTGACCCAAAATTTTATAATGTAGAAGGATAGCCACGAGAAGCCTGTATCACTTGAAAGATGAAAATAAGAGGTGGCCAGATGTAAAGTTTGTATAATAAGCTTACAACTTGCAATAAATACTCAAATAATCTCTATGTCTTTGTATTATTCCCTGTTTAATCATCAAGCATACTGAGTGATGCTCCAAATTTCAGAAGTAAAAGACCTAAAGCCATATCTAATTTATCCTAAAAGACGGAGAGCACTTACAGAATCAAATTGTTTGACATCATAGCGATATATTAAATTCCATTCTTGTTAGGTGTTTATTTTTTGAGACAAACGACATAAAAAGCAACTGATATTGACTATCCAAAAAGAAAACAAGGGAAAGGAAAAACAAACAAATATCAGTCTTGGCTAACCAAATTCATCATCTTCTGTTCTAATCACTCGTTCATCGAAAAAAGTTAAATCACCAAATAAAAACTGGAGAACAACAAGGAAGAGACAAAGCAAAACAACTAAATCAACCCATCAGATGATTTATTGAGAATTTCACTCTTCAAAGCCAATTAGCAGGAAAAAAAAAAAAAAGAAAAAGAAAAAGAGCAATTCCTGATGGTTAATTCCTAACCAAGTTCTGACAAACACCAATTCAGCCCAAAGCCAGCGTGATTGAAGAAAATTGTAACAAATCTCGCCCAGCCCAGATTAAAAAAATATATATATTCCAGCATGAAATACAAGATAATAAAAACCTACATAAAATACATAGTAAAAAATATAATTAAAAATAAAGGAAATATCTAACCTTTACCAAAGGCTTTTAAGCTAATTAAACCCCAGGAAACAGGGCAATCACCCGGAGGATTATTCTTCTGCCAAAACCCTGACCAACCATATCCCACAAAGCGTCCACTGTTTCACTCAAACATAGAACAAATAAAATATATGAATGCTAAAACCCGTTAGACAACAGGAACAATAAAATTAATAAATTTTCCAATAGTACACTACAAGAAACAATCCCAATTGAAGATCTATCATCACCATGCAACCGGAAAGGAAAAAAAACAAAAAACAAAACCCTATTCAATCGATAAACTAAAATTCTCATTCAGATATCCAAAAGCAGAGACTTTTCACCTGCAATGGAGTTTTTTTCCTGATACCAGCAAAGAGGGCAGAGTCTTGAGTGAAACCGACAAAAGGGTTCCCAAATTCCCAAATGACGAAAGGGTTTTACTCAAAAAAATCCACAAATTAGTCCCATATGCATGGAAACGACGAGTGAATTGTAATTCTTTTTCCCATATATATAATGATGATCGAATTTTCTATATGTTTGGAAGAAGCTCTGAGTTTCAGTCTGTGCTGTTTGTAAAAGTCCGTCTCTTTTCTGCGTAGTTTGATGACGAACAAAATTGTACTGGGGGAATGGCAGAGGAGAGAAAACTAGATAATGATGCGGCACCGTTTTAGTGGCGGTGTGTATTTATTATAATATCTGGTGGGGTCCACGGGGCCTGACCCACTAAACCTTGGATAAAAATTTTACTTCACTCCAAAAAAGCGCTATAATTTATTTTCCTATGTGAATAAAAACAATATTCATATGCAAATTGAATGTCCAAAATATAAAAAACCATAATAATGTTCTTCTAATTCATAGGTTTTCAAGGAGTGAATGTTTAATTTAAGGGAAGGTTGATTTATGTAAATTTGACCAACATTGTGAATTTTCTGGCAATCAGATCTGTCACATTGTATTTGTGTATCGTGTTTTATAAGTTCTTGATGAAAGCCGTTAATATACATTTTTTACCATATAAATTTTGCAAATTGCTATATATAATAAAAATGCTGATATTAATTTTTTGCAATTGATGATATGAAAACATAGAATTTTCAATCATTAATTACCTATATACTGATTTTGTTTCATCCTTTTTCTTTTTCTTTTTCTTTTTTTAACAACTTGGGGATGGTTGTTTGCTTTTTTTCTCTTTTACCCAAGATGGTAATCTACGGAAATCAGTGTAAAAGAGGGCACACATAAGTCACATCGTTCCAATCATTATATTGTACTTTCTGCTGCCTAAAATATGTACTCTTTTCTGTTTATTGAAATGACCTTTTCTCATTATTAAAGTTGTTGTAATTAAAGAAAAAAAAAATCCCCAATCAAATAAAAAAATATATAAAATGTCGTACAACTTTATTGACTTTTGTTGTACATTATAATTTAAAATTTTGTACATTCACTATTATCAGTTTGGTGTTTTGAATTTGGAAACAAGCATAAAATGATAGCATAACTTTACCGCATTTGACCATTTTATCTTAATGTGACTTCATATGTAACCTCTTATGTGGATTGTGGCTTTGGTAGGTTGTTGATTTAAAATCATATAGAAAATACTTATCTTTGTACAAAAGATGATCCCAGTGAATACAATAACAATTTTAAGGGTCAAATAGTGAATTTGCAATTTTAAAAAAAAAAGTATTAAACATGAACGTTCTAAAGTATTCATGTCATGTGAAACTCGTAGATATTTAACGTGAACAGTATAAAGAGTTAAAGACAAAAATAAATTATGACATCCGTTACAACATTGATTATTATTTATCGATTGGGGCAAAAGTCTAAAATTCATATCTCTTAAACTTCTTCACCCAAAAACGAGTATAGTAAATTTCCATTACTTTATATCTCCATCTCAAAGTCGAAATTTTAAAACCAAAATGATCATATTCACAATCTCTCTTTTTTTAAAAAAAAAAAAGAAGGAAAAAAAAAATCTGTCCTATATAACATTCATGAATTATAGTATTTTTTTTACCAGTAAGGAAAAAAGATTGTTGAAGATTTGATAGAATTTTTCCCTACGCATGCAAATGAGACTGGCATTGGAAATTCCAAAAACAACGTTGGTTCCTAAGCTGTCTTCAAATGTATGGAAACCGTCATTACTCTTGGATTGATTCACGATGTTGAACTGTCTGGCTCCTTCTTAGGACATTTCATAAGTTCTGATGCAAACCTTAATCTTTGTTTAAATTTTTGAATCCAAAGTTTGGTGTAAAAACCTTGAATCCTCGAACTCGTGATATTTGCAATTTGACCCCGGATGTATTTGCCATCATCAGGCGACTATTCTTGACACAATGAGATGATGAGATAATAAGAAATCAACTTTTAAAGTTTTTTTATTAAAAAAAAAAAGAAGATGAATTTCACAAATACAACATATTTATTTTGAGTAAAATATAAACACAAAACTGAGAATTGCTTGCATCCAATCTCGTGAAGAAAAAAAGAAGAAAAAAAAAACCTGAAAAAGTGCAAAAATGTTGCAAATCAGATTATCATTTTCTTTATTGGGTTAATTTAGCAATATTGATTATAATCTTGGCAAAATCAAGGCTATAGGCCCTCTGTTATTTTCAGCAAAGAAAGCCAATAATGCTGAAAAACAAATGGAATTTATCAAAAAGAAAGACCACTTTATTAAAGGAAGAAACTCACTGCGAAGGATACAACTGATCACATTTTATTCACGGCTAACTCACTAAAGCTATACATGATCTTTCTGGCTCATGTTCCAGAATTCAACTTCATTTTCAAGGATGTCTAAGAATACTACCTCGGCCTTCTTGCGCTCGTCTTCAGATGATTTTTCCAGACAACGCTCGGCAATGGTTTGGAGCGCGGCGCAGTATTGCCCAAAACCATCGTTCCCCCACCTTTTGCAAGTCTCTTTTAGGTCCTCAGGCACGTTGGAATCTTCTTCCAGACAATGAGCAAAGCTATCTTGATACACCGTTTCAATAGCCCAGAAAGCTGTGGCTGCCACGGTGTATTCAACTTCTGGGCTTGCTAGTCTCTCCAAAAGTCTGCGGGAAAAAAAAGGGAGCCACATGAAAAAAAAGGAAAAAAAAGAGCCAAACTTACAAAGTGAAATAAAGCCGTTGTTTTGTTATGAAACACTAGTTTGCATAAAATTTGGAGACCAAGGATATTCTTCACATGATGGTACTAAGGTAATAATGTTTGGAGTTCATATGTCCAGTACATACATGGCTGTTACTCGTATAACTCGATCTGATACGAAAATGTCTTCAAATGATGGTACTAAGGTGATAATCTTTGGAGTTCATATGTCCAGTACATACATGAATGTTACTCTTATAACTCAATCTGACACGAATATGACCAAGTAATGTTCTCAACAGACATTCGGAAAAAAAAAAAAAAAACCACATCATGCTTTTGACTTTTGATTTAACAAATCATAAATAACAGCAAATGACTAAATTGATTAGAATGAATGGTAACAAGAACTTAATCTTCTTGACAACATATCTCAAGATAAACCTTCAAAATAAGACCATTACATTTTCAAAATGTGATTGTTCAAGACAGCACAAATGTTTGCTCAAGAAAGAATCGGGATGTTAACCTGCAGTATTTGAGGTTAGCCTTTTTAGGGGTAACATTGGACAGCGAAACACCCCATTTTGAAGCCTCTTTCTTGAACCAATTCAATTCATCATTCAGTGCAACCATACCGCCCAAAATGACTTCTAAATCATCACAAGCATCAGCAGATGACTCCTTGGAAGCTTTGATCAAGACACTGGCGACGAAAGGGATGAATGCCCTGACAAATATATAGTCTTGCTCCTGCAGTCTCGTATAAGATTTTATTATATTACTATCTGCCGCAAGCTCAACACAAGCTTTGCTAAAAATAACTACGTAGCATTAGCTCAGATGCACACAGACACAAGCCAAACTGACAGGTGCAATAAAGATTTCAATGAGAACAGGATGAGGAAAAATCATATGCATGAACTTAAATCCTACTTTGGTCTCCGTCTAAGTTAATCAAATATAGGCACACTGCACTCGTCGAAATAACTCTATCCTCTGTTCCTCCCATTCCATTTTCGACAAACTACAAAGCTGAACCAACTAATAACTGACTAAAGAGAAATCCTATTTTTTACAAACTACATAACCGAAGCAACTAATAACTGATTAAATAGAAATCCTCAATGGTATTGTTTCATACCTCACAGCAATTTCTCAAACAGTTAAAGGAACTGGCTAAAAAAATTATCGCGCATCTGCATTTACTATCTCACTGTCTGACTGTTCCTGGCTATGGTAAATTTTCTAACATATGACCAACACTTCATATGGATGAAGCCAAATTTAACATTTAGCATTAGAGTTGATTGGCTTGCTTCCCAAATTCAATCAGATTTTAAACGCAAACCTTATCAAAAGTTTATTCAATTCAGACTCAAAGGATGATAGAAATTAGTATTAGTATTTCACTATCATCACGATTTCCAAACACTCAAAAACAACCATCACATTCAGGCTCTATCAATTACACTTCAAGAAGAAAACTTCCTAAGACAGCTACAAAGTCAGAAAACTTTAATCATTCATCATGCAGTAAAATATAGTGGCCTTAAAATCAAAATAAAGAAATCAGGGCAGTAAGTTAAAACAAACATAAACCACAGAGAATGATCACAAAAACAAACAAAAAGAAGCAAAGAATCCTAAAACCAAGCCATATCCAGATTATATTACACTTTAAATTGGATAAAGCTGAAAAGGGTTCAAACAAAATTAAGAAAAGTTTTGAACTTTTTTTTACCAGCCATAGCTTGAAAGAAGAGAGATCAACGGTGCCATCTCGAATGCTATGAATAAAAGGGTGTCTGGTAGCTCCAATGTATACCAAACGATGCTTCCTCAGCCATGTTTCAATCACGCTCACCTTTCCTACTTCTTCTTCCTTCTTCCTTTCCATTTCTCAATTAATTGTTTTCCCACTTTTTTTTTCTCCTTCTACTTAGTTGATTTATTTGATAATTCAAAGATTCATAAAATCCCAGAGAAGAAGAAGAAGAATAAGAACGAACTCGAGTTGTGGAGAAAGTCAAAAGAAGAAAAGAACAGCCTTTGTGGTTTGGCGGGGTCCAACTTACGAGGTCCGAACCTGGTGGAAGGCGGCTGACGTGGTGTACACGTGGGCACTGGAAACGTCTGGGGTCAACTACGAGATCGGTTAGACTCTATCCTTTTCTATTGCTTGTTTGGTCCTTTATCTTAAAAGAACAGTTCAATTCAATACCCTGATATCTGAGTTTTTGACCTAAAAAATTTTCTTAAAAAAAAAGTAGACCACATTAATTTTTTTGAAATTTATGTAGACAAACCTATATCTTTCGGATTTCCAAAATTCGAATTCGGGATAAATTCAGATTTCAGTAATCCGAATTCAATAGAAAACGGATTTTGAAAATCCGAATTCATTTTAATTAAAACTAAAACTAAGTAAATTTTTAATCTGACATAATTAATCAGAATTTGGATTTGTGAAAGCTGACTTTATGATTAAAATATTAATTTATGGGGAAAATTTTTTTTGTACAAGTGTTGGTAATTTTTTGGACACGGATCGGATTTCCAAAATTCGAATCTTCCGTGTTTCCCTGATAAACTCGGATTCTAGAAATCCGAACATAAACCCTATACCCTAAATCCGAGTATATGTTACACTCGGATTTTAGTAATCCGAGTATATGTTTAGGGTTTAAGGTTTAGGATTTTGGTAATCCGAGTATATGACACGAATCGGATTTCCGAAATCCGAATCTTCCATGTTTCCCTGATAAACTCGGATTCTAGAAATCCGAACCCTAAACCCTAAACCCTAAATTCGAGTATATGTTACACTCGGATTTTGATAATCCGTATATAGGTTACACTCGGAGTTTGGTAATCCGAGTATAAGTAACATTCGGATTTGGGAAATCCGAAGTTAAACCCTAAACCCTATGGCCTTATTTTGAAAATCTAATTTTTTGCTTGATTCAAATTCTGAAAATGCTATTATTTACTTAAAAGGTATATAGCAGTAGTACATATAGATTATACTGAATTAATGATAATATTTAATAACTAACAGATTTAACAATAATAAATAACAATAATACTATTAATGTATAATGAGTATTAGTATTAATGTACTACATAATACTAGTACGTACAAATAGTACATAACACTAATACAGATGAATTATACTGAATTAATGATAATATCTAATAACTAACAGATTTAGCATTAATAAGTAACACTAGTACTAATAATATATAATTAGTATTAATATTAATGCACTACATAAAATAATATTAGTACGTACAAATAGTACATAGCACTAATACAGATAAATTATACTGAATTAATGATAATATCTAATAACTAATCGATGTAACAGTAATAAGTAACACTAGTACCAATAATGTATAATGGGTAATAGTATTAATGTACTACATAATACTAGTACGTACAAATAGTACATAACACTAATATAAATGAATTATACTGAATTTATGATAATATCTAATAACTAATAGATTTAACAATAATAAGTAACACTAGTACCAGTAATGTATAATGGGTAATAGTATTAAATACTACATAATACTAGTACGTACAAATAGTACATAACATTAATACAGATAAATTATACTAAATTAATGATAATATCTAATAACTAATAGATGTAACAGTAATAAGTAATACTAGTATCAGTAATGTATAATGGATAATAGTATTAATGTACTACATAATACTAGTACGTACAAATAGTACATAACACTAATACAGATAAATTATACTGAATTTATGATAATATCTAATAACTAATAGATTTAACAGTAATAAGTAACACTAGTACAAATAATGTATAATCGGTATTAATGTACTACATAATACTAGTACGTACAAATAGTACATTACACTAATACAGATAAATTATACTGAATTAATGATAATATATAATGACTAACAGATTTAACAGTAATAAATAACAATAGTACCAATAATGTATAATGAGTAATAATATTAATGTACTACATAATACTAATACGCACAAATAGTACATACCAGTTCTTTAATTTCAAAAATTTTGCGCCTTGATTTTATTTTATTTTTTTTCTTTTTGAGAACTCGGATTTTGGAAATCCGAGTACTTATTTGAGTTCAAATATTTCACGCCTCAATTTATTATTTTTTAATGGGACTCGGATTACGCAAATCCGAACGACATTGTTCATGTAAGATTTTTTAAAAACTATTATCCAACAAAATTTATTTAATTATTATTTTATTATTAAATGTAGATTCGGATTTCCGAAATTCGAATGTTTAATTTTAATTATAACTCGAATTTCGAAAATCCATGGGATATATTTCTGCCCACAAATATCTTAAAAAATTTAAATTTGTCCACCTTTATTTTAATTAATGTTTTTAGGGAAAAGACCCCCTAATAGCTTTGCATGTGGAAAAAAGTGTTGATTTCAGAATTGAGCTGGGTAATAGGGTTCAAATGCATGGTTTTTTACACCAAGGTATTGATTCCAAAGATCGCACATTGGAGAGTAATGTGAAAATACATGAAGGCAAATGAAAAAACAAATACACCATCCACTTACTAAAAAATGTCTATTTATTAATTAAGGATAAAAATATAATTTTGGGGAAAAAAATAAAAATTTTTAACGGGAAAGTAGCAAAAAAACTAAAGGCTATGATTAATCTATATCGATCACTATATTTTATCACTAGTTTTATTCACTATAAATATCATTTTTCATAATTAAATGGATGATATAGTTATTTCACTTTATATCACTCATACTTTCATCTAATAGAAATTTTTGAAAAGAAAAAACAAGAATTAGAATATCATTTTGAGTAATTCGTATTAGAATAGTTTGATTAAGTCAAGATAAAAGTAAGCACACTGTTAGGACTTAGCTTATATTTAAGCTACTATATTCAAACAAAAATAGCCAGTCTAATACTATATTTAATTTTTGCTAATGTTTAATTAAATGTCTGAACCTGTTTGGATGGCCCACTTCGTACTGCTCATCAAGATGTCTGAATCATGAAAATCTTGGCCGGAAGAATCAGAATAAATATGAATTAACAAAACCAATTATTACTATTATTTTGCCGAATATTCTGATCTGATTTATGTCCAAATGAATAAAAACAATCAGTTTGCCAATTTTTTGATTCTGAATTCGGACGAAGAATCTATCCACGGTTTGGAAGCTCATCAGAGACCCAAATATGTAGTAGTATTTGTTTTGAGTAATAAAACCAAAAGCTAAAACCTCATTTCTCAAATTTAACTAATGAGGAAATATCTCATTTTTTCCTCTCTCTCTCTCTCTCTTTTTTTTTTTGATTAAAATTTTCAATTAATATAATATGTAAACCCCTCATCATCCAATCCCGATCGAAATCGAATCCATAAAGTTTTTAGATATCTATTCACTACTAAGTTAGGGCACGTAGTATCATAATCGATCTTATATCACAAAAATCGAAATGTGATTCCAAAACTTGCGTAATATATTCACTTATCGAGTCAATTCAAAGATATAAGTCATCATATGAGAGACTTTGGTTTATTGTGTTGTTTTTACATAAAAATATATATTAAAAAAAAGAGTAATAAAGTTGTAACAAATTGGGAATAAAGTTCACTAGAGAAAGAGCTGAACGTATATAGCCAAAAGAAAATATTTATCAGAAAATAAATTGAAATGATCCAATATAATAGTCGTCAAGTTCCTTTTATTTGTATCATCAGGGCGGCATTTTGGATATTGTTTTTTTTTTTATTTACTGAACTATTTAGTTGATTTTAGATGAATTAATAAGTACATACACTAAAGATATGGTCAATTTTCAAACTAAAAGGTCAATAATCTTGGTTGATTACCGTATAGCGACTTGTATTACAATGCTTCATATATTTGTATTTCCTCTGTCCCAAAATTATTATCCAGTTTGAAATTTCACTTTTAATACAATTCGAACTAAAAATGAAAAATCAAATTGGACAATGATTATGGGATGGAGAGAGTATTAAAATGTGGCAACAAAAACAAACCATACTTATATAAATACCACACATATTAGGATCTTAATAAATACGTAAGTTGATTTAGATTACATTTAATTTGATTCAATTTTTTCAAAATAATTATCATGTTTGTTATATGGAAAAGTATAATAGTATCGTTCCGCAATACAGAAGTACAGATTATTTCTATCCCTATGACAACAATGGCCAGTTTATCAATATTTCATTGCCTTATTTTAACACACAAAGAACAAATAAAAAAAACAAAAGGACACATTAATAAATCATTTGCTTCTAGCCATCCATGTGCTGTGCTACTTAAACCAGACCTTTATCAAACTCCATCTTCAAGAGAATCATGGAATCAACACAATTTCAGTCCAGAAGCATTTCACCTGAAAACTCAATAATCTCTCCTGATCAATCTGAATTGGCAGAGAAAGATCTTCCATCTTTACCAGTTGCTTCATTAGAACTTCTGAAGCACTACACTAATACAAAAGCAACAAAGCGATTGAGAGCTGAAATTCACAAAGAAAAACCTTCACAAAACATACCAAAACCAAAAATTCCCATTTCTCCCAATCCTTCAGTACTTTTTCCAGCTGCAACTATCATAAAACTAGCACAGGCACACTTACTCCAGTTGAAATCCCTGAAAATCGACATCGTTTCATTCGCGGCGACATCTTTCGGGTCGCATTCTGGGCTTCCTTCTGGTGTTTTAGAAGATTATGAACTTGCACTCAGACTTCTAGCTGCGGTTGAAAAGGTACCATAGTTACAATATTTTTGAATTAATGTATGATACTCATCTTGATACTAGTAATTAACCTCATATTCTGCCCAGGTTGCCAAGCATCATTTCGTGTATGCAAGAAAATTGCTGACAATGTGCCAAGAATCCATGTCCAAAACCGGGAATGTAGTCCAGAAAGTTTGTTACTATTTCGCGGAATCCCTCCAAGAAAGAATTGATCAAGAATGGGGGATTTTTCCATCCGAAGAGCTGGAAAAAAATGGACTGAGAAAAGATCCAGTGGATGTTGAACAAACCATGATCCGTTTGGAACCTGAGATGATGAAGTGCCAACAGGAAATCCCTTTTCATCTCTACACACAGTTCACCTCGGTTCAGACCATCCTGGATTGTGTTTCCAGGGCCGAAAAAGTCCACCTGATCGATTTCGGGATCAACAATGGTTCCCACTGGACGCTGATCATGCAGGCTTTCGCCGCCCGGGAAACAGGACCTGATTCGCCTCCATTCCAGCATCTGAAAATAACCGCGGTCGGGACCTCCCGGGAGATGATGGAGGAAACAGGGAAATGGCTGACAGCTTTCGCCGAGAACATCAGCTTGCCGTTTTCATTTCACATAGTGGTAACAGAGATGAAGGATCTGGAGAAACGACAATTTTCGGCCCTTCCAGGGAATGATGAAACAGTGGCGGTTTTTCTCGGGCTGCGGTTATGGAGCCTGTTACCCTGGCCTGATCACCTGGAAAAGTTCATCAGGGTGATTAAAAGCCTTAATCCGAGTATCATCGTCGTTAATGAAATGGAAGCTAATATAAACTCCCCTGATTTGGCCGAGAGAATAGACGGGGCGATTGTCCTGATTGCTGCGATATTCGACTGTATCAATTCATGCATGTCACACAGGGCTCAGTTTAGGAAATTCAACGAAGAAGTGATCTTTCCTTATATAGTTCGGAACATTGTCACGGCTGAAGGGAGGGATTGGATCCAGAGGTTTGAGAAGATTGGATTCTGGAGGGAGGTATTCGGGAGGTTCGGGATTGAGGAAACCGAGATGAGTAGACCTCCACCAAGTCAGGAAAAGATGTTCTTGAGAAGTACTTCAGATAAGTTGAGTTGTTGCACAGTGGATTTGGATGGAAAATGCTTGATTTTAGGCTGGAAGGGTTCACCTTTACTGTCTGTTTCAGCCTGGAAGATCAAGCATGGCAAGCGAAAAAATGAAATGAATTTATCCATATCCGGACACTGAGTTGTTTCACTGCAATCAGAAATTTTAATGTTCATCTCCATACAGAAATGTGTAACCACTCTTAGAAATTTTAATGTTATATATCATACACACGAAAAAAAAGAAAGAAAAGAAAAGAAAAAGAAAAAGACTTCATTTATACTAATCAACAGGCCATATCTTGTTTTTTATTCTGTCGGTTTTGATTTGATTACATACGGTTTTGGAATTAATAATCAGATGTTTGCATTTGAGAAATGAAAACTCTGTTTGTATTTATTTGGATTGACATGAATTTCAACTTTTCAATTTGGAGAAAATGTGAAACAAGATTCCTTTGCTGGCCCGTTAAGACAGTACTTGATACTAATGATGTTGATTTGGTTTAGCCCTTTCAGAAACAGAATCCCATCTGTCAAGATTCCCAGACTGTACTAAAACACGGATTACATTGGATCAAAGATCTCAGATTTCGAAGGCCAGCCTTTGAATTTTACATCCGTAGACACTCTTAAGCAACATGATCAGAAAGGGAAGCGTCTTATGGATGATAATCTGATTACTTCCCAGTATCAGTCAGCTGGTAGGATAATGAAGTTAGCGAAAGAACGGTTGCTTCAAATCAGGTCCCGAAAAACTGGTAGTGTTTCCCTGCTTCTTGTTTGCGCTTTAGAAGCTTTATCCGATCTCCCTTTTGAAGCCTCGGAAGACCTGGAGCAAGCATTTTTACTTCAGGCAGCCGCAGAAAAGCTGGACAGTAAGCAGTGGTTTCAGGCGCAAAAGTTGCTTACCCTTTGTAATCAGTCAGCTTCAAAGAGTGGTAATCCTGTTCAACGAGTAGTGTACTACTTTGCTGAAGCCCTTCAAGAGAAGATCAACCGAGAATGTGGAATTTTAGTACCAGAGGAATATGAAAAAATGAAAATAGTGAAGGCAATTGATGTGGAACAGGCTGAAGTCAATCTACGCCCGGAAATGATGGAATGCCAACAAGAAGTCCCTATGCGTTTAGCTTCAGAGTCGACAGCAATCCAGGCGATTTTGGATGCTGTGGGATCCTCCAGGCGGATTCATTTGATAGATTTGGGAATTAACAATGGCTCGCACTGGACTCTAATCATGCAACAGTTAGCTGTAAGATACTATCATAAACTTGAAAGTCTCAAGATAACGGCTGTTGGAACCTGTAAAGAGATGCTGGAAGCTACAGGAAATCGGCTGTCATCATTTGCTGAGAGTCTTCACTTACCTTTTTCATTTTTCATGGTTGTCTCAGAGCTAAAAGGCCTCAAGGAAGATCTTTTTAATGTAGAAGCTGATGAAGCCGTAGCGGTTTATTCTGAATTCAGGATTTCGACTCAGTTAATGTGGCCAAATCACTTGGAATCTCTTCTTGGAGTGATTAGGGGTCTCAATCCACGCGTAGTGGTAGTCAAAGAAATGGAGGCAACCATAAACACGCAAAAGTTACTCGAACGCTTTGATGAAGCCCTTGTACTTTTCAGTGCAATGTTTGATATTTTGAAGGTTTGCATGGAACACCAGATCAGGTTTAGAACATGGAATGAAGAAGTTATCTTTCGACAGATGATTCAAAACATTGTCACCGCAGAGGGCAGCCAGAGGATTTATCGATATGAGAGGATTAGTTTCTGGAGAAAGCTTCTGGCAAAATTTGGAATGATGGAAACAGATTTTAGTAGCTCATCGATTTATCAAGCAAACATACTGCTTAGAAGTTCCAGTAAGTTCAGTTCTTGCACCCTTAACTTGGACGGAAAAAGCCTAATCTTTGGATGGGATGGAACCTCTATACTGTCTGTTTCTGCTTGGAAGTTTGAGGATCCATAGAAAACATTCAATTAATAGGATTAGATGATTCCTGCATCCTCCATCATAGGAGTACTAAACTTTATATGTAAAAATCTCAGGCCGGTTTCTGTATCATTGAGAGGAAAAACTCAACCATATCATTCTCCATTATGGTTAATTCTTGTTAGCCTTTTCACAATAGCAGTGGCTTTTCTATCTTTCGGTTTGCCTTTATTGGTCAGTTAGTGAAGGGAAGTACAACAGGAAAAAATTTTGAAGTTCGGAGTACGTAAATTGAGACATTTCCATTATGATCAATTTGCCCATTCACACACATTTGACATATCTTTACATTGGTAGATAGAATAATTAACCGGATCGATGTTCATCATAGGTAAAGATGGATTTGTAAAGATGAGTATGTTACTCATAAACCGAAAATACAGAAAGTTGTTTTTAATGTTTGAAGATGATTGATTGGGAACAGGGCTTTGATTGGGATTCTAATGTATTTGTTCACTCTTTGCCGGCTTCTAATCTTCACAATCTACATGTAAACCTCAAAAAAAGAAAAAAAAAAAAGTTTCTAACTTGACTGCATCTTAATTAAACTGGTCTGATATTCAAGGTAATATGCATAATGACAATTGAGTCGGTTACGTTCTTTTCTGCTGTCCTGCTAGGCTTTTGGAATATTCGTAGACTGCAGCATATCACACTTTCAGTTGGCCATTTGATTCCTACTAATTTAACTCTGGCCAGCTTTCCCATTTGATTCCTCAGATAGTTGAAGCAGAAATGACCAAAAAGAGATGGAATCCGAGCAATTTTTAAACATGGGAATCTCATTTGTGAACGATTAATATAATCCCAAATCTGATTTGCTGATAGAAACTTCTCCTTAACTCTCAATTTACTAAAATCAAAGTTCATTAGCTCATGTTTTTACATATACATGATCAGGATTTTTGTCTTCTTTGATGCAAGAAATAGTATAAACCTTTGTCCTGTAGAATAGTTACAAAGTATAGCTTTATATTTGTAATCCAATTAATCCCTTTGAAGATAGATATCAAAAGAGTGTGGAAAAAATGGATTTTAGTGCCCCAAAGATCACTGATAATAGAGGGAAACGGTTGAGGGATGAAAGGCGGATTCCAGAAAGCAATGGCCATAGTCGTTATCAGATTCTGTCAACGGCCTGCATAATGAAGTTAGCCAGAGACAAGTTGCAACAGATTAAGTCTGGAGAAACACCTGCTTCTGAAGCTGATTCTCATCTCCCTTTTGAAGCTTCTGAGGACTTGGAACTTGCAATATTACTTCAAGCGGCTGCGGCTAAGGTGGCTAATCAAGAATGGTTTCAGGCAGAGAAGTTGCTAACCTTTTGTGATCTCTCAGCTTCACCGGGTGGTAATCCTGTTCAGCGAGTCGTGTACTACTTTTCTGAATCTCTTCGCGAGAGGATTGAGCGCGAATGTGGATTACTCCTTTCAGAAGAATTTGAAAAATTGCGAATAGAGAAAGCGATGGATGTTCAGCAGGCTGAGATTCATCTGCAACCTGAAATGATGGAATGCCAACAAGAAGTCCCCATCAGACCGGCTTCAGAGTCTGCAGCGATCCAGGCGATTCTGGATGCCGTGGAATCTTCCAAAAGGGTTCACTTAATAGATCTTGGAATCAACAACGGCTCCCATTGGACTCAAATTATTCAGCATTTCGCAGTCAGGTACGATTGTCCACTTGAAATTCTCAGGATTTCGGCCGTTGGAAGCTGTAAAGTCTTGCTTGAAGCTACAGGAAAGCGGCTGTCATCTTTTGCTAGGAGTCTTAACCTGCCCTTCTCATTTCACATGATCATCTCAGAGCTAAAGGACCTGAATGAAGAACTATTTGATATTGAGTCAAATGAAGCCGTGGCTGTTTATTCGGAATTCAGGCTTTCAACTCTGTTACCATGGCCTGATCACTTGAAAAACCTTATAGGAGTGGTTACAAATCTCAAACCTCGGGTCATGGCGATCAAAGAAATGGAGGCAAGCATGAACAATGGGGACTTCTTAGATCGTTTCCACGCCGCGCTTTTGATTTTCAGCGCACTGTTTGATTCTATCAAGGTTTGTATGGAAAGTAGAATCGCGTTTAGGAAATGGAGTGAAGAAGTCATCTACCAAAAGATGATACGAAACATTGTCTCAACAGAGGGAATCCAGAGGGTATTTCGACACGAAAGGATCGGTTTCTGGAGGAGGTATTTGGGAAGCTTTGGAATGGTGGAAACCGATTTTAGTAGCTTGGCAATAAGTCAAGCAACCGTGTTACTTAGGAGGTCTAATAACTTCAGTTATTGTGACCTTAATAGGGATGGGAAAAGTTTGATTTTTGGGTGGAAAGGAACCTCAATTCTAAATCTATCTGCCTGGAAATTCCAGGATCACTGAACATGATTCAGATTATTTGTTTTGATTTTTTATTTTTTTTTAGAAAAAGATACCTGTAGTAGATTAGAGTAAATCTCATAAACTATTACATCGCATCTTATAATAAATTATATCCGATCTACTAACGTTAATCAGTTCACAATAATCGAACATATCTATAAGCATGTGAACGTATTTGTTTTGATCTTAGATGAACTACTTTCATAAGTTCTGATCTTGTACTGTTTCAGCTTGTTGCGCCATATATAATAGAGATCCCATAAAAATCATGATTTGTATACATAATCCAAATTTATCATCACAATCTTGATAAAAAGTGTAGAATATGTTTATCTTATTTCTGTGTAGAGGAATCATCAGTTCACACATTAGTTTGAAAGGAATCATTACAACCTCTAAATTTAAGATATTTGTCTCAATATGCTTACCTATAAATCGAAAAAACAAAGTCGTAACCCAACATCACTTCAGTGAAATTTGAGATGGAATAATTGACATACAGATTAATGTGGAGGCCATACCTGATCAATGACATCAAAAGTGGAGGAAAAGAACAAAGCTGGAAAGTTTGTACCGACCGATAAATCCAGGGCAAATTTTTTTTTTTTTTTTTTATAAAAAAGTTCCTAGAATACTATATAATACGTGGTATTTGAAAAAAAAAAAAATAATACGTGAAAAAAAAGTTTCTATATAATCTGCAAAGACAAATAAATAAGTAAAATAAAAATCTTAATCAATAAAAATTCGGAAAGATTCCTAATAAGAGATTTCGGGTATGATCCCTTAATCTCTAATTAACCAAAATACAATCATTCCTCTTTTCACATATTTTATTTGGGGGAAGAGCACTTACATTGTTGGAAAAGTACCATCTACATTTCTTTTAGTTTCATTTTCTTTAGTGACATTGCTGTCAACCGTGTGAGTTAATTAGCTTCTTACATTCTCTATTCTACTAAGAAGAAAACAATAAAATAAATTGATTTTAGTTCAAGATGTTTTCAGTGTCGTTTGTTTTTTTTATGAGTCTTATTATGCGTATCAAATATCGGAATCTATATGATAAATTAGCAAGGAGATTTCAATTAGAATCCGAGATTATACCAATCCATTAATTCAGCCATCAAATCTTATGGCATAACATTGATACAATAACCACCGTTACAGCTACTGTTGTGTTTATGCGTGAGCTAGGGAGAGTTCACTTCAAAAAGTAGACACTAGACACTCTTCTACTGGAGTTGCAAATTGAAATTTTATATATATATATATATATATATATATATATATATATATATAAACCTTTCATCCTTAGCCTTTACAGTCTATTGTGGCCTGGAGACAACCCTAAAAGTACAAGCAAAGCATTTTTTTTTTTCTCATGATGGTTTACTACTACAACTTTTTTTTTTTTTTGGGTCAATTTTCTTCAACCATGATTGCGATTCCTCCTACTGTTATATTGCTATTTTAATATTAGTACTAAGTAATTCATTTCAGTTAATTAACATCAATGGATGGTATAAATTTGCACCCTTTTATTATGTAACTTTACCTTGTTGCAAATGTTGGTGGATTCGAGTGATCTTACACCGGTACTATCTAAGGGGGAAAAAAAAGACTATTATACAAAGAAAAAGAAAATTAATGCACATGAATCTGCAAAGACCTTAATTAATCAGTAATATCCTGGAAGATTCTACCAAGATATATTTGGGTTTGATTCTACAAATCTTAATTAATGAAAATAAAATCATTCCTTTTCTTTCATAGTACATAAAATATATTTTTTATTTTAAAAGAAAGAAACATTAAATGGAAACTCCTCAATAAATAAGAGCAATGTATAAGTACCATGTTTACTTTGTCTAAGTGTACAATCCAATGCGTTAAAAATGGAAAACTAAGATTTGCATGCATGAAAAAAGTGGAAACTACGTAGAAATTGTCTCTTACCATCTCTTAAATTGATTTCTCTAAAATTCGGAAATAATTGAAATTTCTTTTTTTCTTATACAAATTAAGCACTGTTGCCAAAACAATCATATATATATTACCAATCTTTTTTTTCATCATACTGGGGATTAATTCACACAAAGAAGAGATGGAAGAAAGAAAGAGATCTGGTTCTTCTACGTTGGCTGATGAACTTTTCGGGCCGAAAGAGTCACCTGTTTCGTGTTCTTCCGGAAGATTTGGCTCTATTTTCCGGCCAACTCCCCCACCAAAGGTACTTAAATTTACTAGCAATTTGCCCTTTGCTTTCTAATAGATTTTGAATTATATTCGTGTGGCGTCGTTGATGAACTATGATCTTCTTCCGTACCGACATAAAAAGCCTGTTGTCATAGGAAAGGATTTTGGTTGTTAACACAAACAATGGCCTTCTTTAAATTTATAAGAAGTTTGTATGATAATTGCACGCATGTATAGTAGATTTATTTTAGTCTCCTTCATAATGAAAAAACCGAGGTTTAATCTTTTCTCATCATAAGTGAAACATATATAAGTAATTTTTCGATAATCTAGATTCGAGTAGTATTTTTGTGTTAAGAAAAACAAAAGATATTTGAAAGCTTTTTTTATTTTATTATTTACTGAAGGTCTTCAAATTTTGTTTTTTTTTTTCTTGGGGAATACTTTGATCATAATTTTTCAGAGGAATTTATTCAATATTCAGGGAAAGAAACTCTAGGAATTTTGATGCATCTTATGCATGGGGTTCAACTGAATGATTGATTAAAAAAAAAACAAAAAACAAAAAAAAATATTGGGATTTCAAGAAGAGTTGTGGTTTGACTATTTTTTAGTTAGCGGATAACAACTAAGAAGACCAAAAAAAATAAAACCCAAGCTGCGCATGAGTATGTTTGTACATTGAAAATAAAACCCTGAAATTATGTGGCTTATTTCTTGACTAGCCAGTGGACTTAATAACCACCAGATGCATGCTCGAAGTTTTAGTTCTCTAGTCTTGCATTAAAATGTGACTTGAAATTTAACGTTTCAGGTCGTAAGATCGGAATCTCCATGTCCTGAAGAAAATGAAAAGAAGTCAGACTCTGATAATCAAGCAGCGAATACAAAAATTAGTCCACTAGGTTTGTGAATTAAACAATGTGTCTATTTTAGCACATGTACGTAACTTCTAAGCTACTGATAATCGGTAATTCCTCCGTCCCAGAGCGATTCTCCTGATTGCAAGTACTCCCTCCGTCCCATAATTATTGTTCAATTTGAGTTTTTATTTTTAGTTTAAATTATACTAAAAGTGAAATCTCAAACTGGACAATAATTTTGGGACAGATGGAGTAATAAATAATAACATGATAATCATTTTTGACATATAGAACGTACTCTTCTTACTGCTAACATAAATTATTTTCGTTTATGATTAGCTAATACTAAATAAAATCTCATTTCGTTTAATGTGTTGGCAATATTGGCAGCAGAAGCTAATAACGATAAAATAAGCCAAGGGGAACAAACGAGCGACCCGAATAAAGATAGAAGCTCATTTTATGAGGTTGTACAAATGATGCAGACACCCTGTACTCTCAGTTCTTCCATATACTATGGGGGTCAAGATATACTCATGCATCCTCGATCTCAGAACACCCATCGCTCTGTCTACGCTACGGTGAGTTCATGAAATTTTAAGAATGTCAATTAATCAGGTCGTTTTTCGTGTTTGCCAGTCACAAAAGAATCTCAAAGATGGTTCCATGATAATAACTTATCTTTGGGTGTTTTGCTGGTATTTTACTTGAAATAGTAGCTGACATTTTTTTCTTTTCTTTTCTTTTTTCTTTTTCCCCATCAGTACAACAAAGATGGAGGAGAAGATGATCCAAATTTTGCTACCAGAGGAAACTGGTGGCTGGGTAAGTTGTACGCGATTTTTTTTTAGTATATGTGAACTTTTACGTAAAATTTTCTAATCTGTTAACACTTCTTTCGTCCCAAAATAATTGTTTGTCATGCATGTTATTCATATTTTCAGGATCTCTGTACTACTAGAAGTGCTTTACGTACGCCCGGCAGCTTTGTAATCATATATAGTAATCAGTTATTGTCTTTTGATATTTGTATGATCTTCCTTCTTTCAATGGTATTAAATCTAACAGCGAAACGAAATTCAAGTTCATCAGTCATCAAAATATGTGCTCAGCTTTCTGATTTCCCATATTGTTGTCATGCATGGATAATCTTCTTTCTTTGTAAAAATCCCTTCTTTTAATCTTCCTCGTCATTTTGCTCTAAAAACACAGAAGACCGCGTGAAATAGAGAGCATGTTGTTATCCTTCAACACGGATAAGAGAAGTCCATCTACTTTGATGAGAAAGTCGACTTTCAGGTCGCCACTGGAAAGAAGACGAAAAAGTCGACCAAAACAATTAAACCAATAAATAAGCATTTTCGATAAAATTTCATATCCAGCTCGAACCAAGTAGAAATGGAGTAGACAGTAGCGTATCAAGGTATGTTTAGACTTTTGCATCATGGAATGTCGATGACATAATAATTCATTGTATTTAAATCCATGCATCTTTCAAACGTCGCTTTAATATAGATAAAACGTGATTTACAAATTAATATAATAAATATAAAAACATTTATAATTTACGTAATCTATCATGGAAATTGAAATTGACTAATTACTTACTAAAAAAGATATCATGAAAAAGTAAATATTGACGGATCTTAAACTAAAATTGCAACAAAGTGGACTATATGTGAGAAGTACATGGCTATTCCACGTTATGAGTGATGCTCTTCTAAATCATCTATTTTGCCAAATTCCCCTAACAAGAAACCATGGTTGTCTATAATAGGCACAAAAATCATGGATCCAGAACTCCCATCATTGGGGCTTGGAACAAAATACCCCAGAGCACCTCCTCCGTTGTACTCCGTACTCGTCACCGACACAACATTCAGTTTCTCTTTCAGTGTTTCACACGACACGATAACTGGTTTTGGGCGCTCAGAAACTGTCTGTGATGATTCCTCCGTGGTCGGCTCGTCATGATCAGGTGGACAAGAAGAAGGCCGATGTATAGTCTTATGAGTTGCGAATTCTTCATCAGAACCTAAATAATTTTGAGTTGGTTCCGAATAATTCCAATACGTATGATTTAGCTCTACATTTGTTGCACAATCGTCAGGTGAATTATTATTGTCATTAGGAATTTGTGAATCCACCAGAACAGGTTCTTCTTCCTCCTCCGGCAGCGCCGCGGGGGGTTCTTTTTCAAAAACCTCCACCCATTCAATTCCCCTGGAAACATGTCCTGGCGCCGGGGGATCGATTCCGCGCTGCCGGGCGAGATCGAATTCGCGTTCCTTTGCGAGGCGGGCTTCAACAGCGGCTTCAACAGTGCTAAAAGTTCCGATCCAAACCATCTTTTTCTTGAATGGATCGGTAATCTTGCAATCATACTTGCCGGACTTGGTTCTCCCAACGCCCGGAATTGTCCTTCCTTCTTCATCCACAACTGTCCAGTCATTGAGTCTCGGCCTCCGTCTCCGACCACTACCTTTCCCCTCATCATCATTCATCATCTTACGCTTCATCATCTTCCTCTTCTTCTTCTTTTGTTTAGGGATATAGTACTATATTAATTCTCTCCGGCCAAACATTATGGAATCTATAAAAGTTATATATACGTATTTTATTATTTAGAGGGGGAGAAAACGAACCTGAAAGCAAAGAAAATAATTAATTCAACTCCAATTAAAACTTTGATGATGGGTTTTATATAGAGGCAGCAGGAGGTTTGAAATATATATAGACATTGATCAATCCAATTGATAGTTGGAAAAGGGTACCAGTGCCATACCCATATGTAAACGGGTAGTACTCCAATCCAATTGTTCCAATCTATTGTTTTTTTTTTTTTTTTAATTAATCCACAATTCGAATAAATTGTCTTTTACGAAAACCCATTTTTCCCACTTTTCCATGACCGCCATACTTTTATTATGTGGATTAAATTAGGTATTGTTGATTTGTATACCCTTATTCAATACGTACTTACATTTTAACAATTCAGAGTGTCTCTAGTCAGGCACGGTGAAAAACTCTTAAGATTATCAGGAATTTACTTAAAGAGATGCCCATATCCGCACCTACTTGTAATTTGCGGTGACATAAAAAGTCACAACACCTACTCTTTTTTTAAATCCAAAATTGGAAATTCTGGAGATAGCAAATGCTACTAAAATAGAATATTTTTAATTAATTTGGTTCAAGGTTCCCAAGAAGTAGGAATCCTCAATTGTCTAAAAGGAAACCTTGGATCTTAGACAGGCTTTAAACAAAAAAAAGGAAACAATGCCTGAAGGTAAAAAAAAAAAAAAACGGTCAATCACACTATTTTAGACCATCGCCAAAGACTAAAATCACTTAGAAAAAAAAAATTCCTTCAACCAAAAGAGTCTGCTAAACCCTAGTTTCTATGCAACACCAAAACGTGGGAATTTGTGGTGGTGGATTGTCCGATATAATCACGAAGAAACAACATAATATGGTGTCGGCTACGGAAGAAGAAACAACAGGATTCGGGTGGTTTCCAGAAGAAATTATTCACCAAATACTGTCTTTTCTTAGCGAGGATGGCAAAAAAAAGGCTCGTGATCTATCTAAAGAGTGGTTCGATGCTTTCCGTACTTACCCAAAGTTGTCCTTCAATGGGATTAATCAACAAGACTTCAACAACACTTTGGCGAGACACAATTTTGGAAGAGTTTCGTTTCCTTATCGGTTGGAAATAACTATGGAATTCAAGAACAATGATGAAGATGCCGCTAACATGGACAAATGGCTTAAAATAGCTTTAGAGAATGGAGTGAGGGAGCTGAAGATGAACCTTAGTAGTCCTCCTTCTGCCCTTTCTTGCTCCAGCTAAAAATCTCGATTGGTAATGATTTGTTTGCTTCCCTCATCAAAAGTTGCGGCCGTTTCATTGAGCATTTGGAGATAGGTTTCTGTGATGATTTGAGTGAAGTTAAGTTGATCAATGTCCCCCGCCTCAGAGAGCTTCACATTTACCATTTAAAGCATAGCATTCACCGAGATTATGATCTGAAGGTAGAGATTGATGCACCAAATAGTTTTCAACCATATATAAATCTGCAGAGATTGACATTGGAAGGCACAACTATTGTTACTGAAAGATTCTTCATGGTTAAATTTCCACATCTGAGGTCCTTGGTTATCCCTTCTTTCAAGGACTTTGCAAGAGAAAATTTAACGAGTAATTCGCTCGAGAAGCTAGAGTTCAAGCCCTCTAATGATTTGCCAGTGCAAAAACTAGAGGTTGATTCCCCTAACCTATTTAGTTTTCATCTTTGTCTATTGTATGTGGACATCTTCCCAAAAGTATCTTTCATGTCTCTTGTTCAACCGCACATCAAATCCGAAGTGTCTCTATGGTACGCTTCTGATATGGATAACTGCTGCTTCCTAATGATGGAGGAGATGCTATCATCATTAGTTCCATCCAGGATATCGCTTCACATTGATATCGAATCCGACTTTGACTTAGATGAGAGTGAATCGTTGGAAGAATCATTCACAGGTTTCGCGGCGTCATTCTTGGTTTGTTATCCCGAGATTGTAACCCTGCGGATTGTAATGAACGAAAGGGCTTCACGCGTGGTCGGTTGTTTGCAAAGAAAGCTGGAAGATGCAGAATCAGGACCTGGTGAAGGGATTCAGGGTGTTTCTTGTTCACAAGGATGGGAAAAAATGCCTGGAAAAGCCGCAAGATTGGATGAGTTTATCAAATGTTGTATGCAAGGGATGTGAATGGCGGAAGATAATTCGTTTTGAGTTAGGGTGGAGTTCAGTGACTGGTGAACCAACAAACAACACTGGTGATGGAACCATTGAGATATATAATTCTATACATATATACATTGGTATATATTTTGTATTTGAACCTATGTAAATTGAACGTTTACCTAATTCTCTTGTTGATTTATTCCTTGTTTGTATTTTAAGTTAGATATAGAATCATCCTTGCTTCTTGTGTTTGAGTATTAGCTACAGTTAAAAGTTTTTTGTTGCCCCTTACAAGTTTGTTTTTGGGCTTATTCGAATTAATTGACCATGTGAAGAGAAATCTTGTTTAGAGAAATATTCCTCTCTAAACATGATGTTATGAAAAGCAGCTGAGGCTCAAGGGAAAGTGTAAATTGAATACGTCTAGTAATTGCAATTCAAACAAATGAACAACACCCTTATTTGCTTAAGAGGTGAAAGATCTATCCTCCTCAATAAAAATTTTAACAAGAGCAAAATTCCACAGAAAGTATAATGTTTAAATTGTCATAAGCACGTTGAATTCACTTCGGAATACTGAGAACAAGATCTTCAATCCTCGTAGATTTTAGATGTAGATAGGAAATTCAATGTCTTCTGTCATGCCTCAGCTCAACTTGCAAAACAAAAATATGCTTTCGAAAAATAGTGAGACTCTATTTCTTCATTTGTACCTCAAATTGTACCGGACCGTTTTTCAATAAATTAATTGAATGTTGTACTTCTTCAAAAATATCTTCAATCCTTAGCAAAGATGCCGGGCTTGAATCGATTTCAAATTTTGTGGAAGAAAGGAGAGTTAATTTAAGAGATTCAGTGCTAACCAAGAGATCTCAGTAGATTATAACATACTCGCTCCGGTCTTTCTATAGTACTGAAAAGTCATATTTCCAATCGGCCAATTTGGTCCATATGGTGGTTCATAAAATAATAATTATTATTATTATTATAACCACCGTCATAATAATAATAGTTATAATCATCATGATCAAATCCACGACTGGGGAAGCACCAGGCAGGTACTTTACCATATGGTGGATAATAATTCGCATGAAAACCATCATAACAATCGTACGGACGGTTTTTCAATAAATTAATTGAATGTTCTACTTCTTCAAAAAGATCTTCAATCCCTAGCAAAGATGCCGGGCTTGAATCGATTTCAAATTTTGTGATAGAAAGGAGAGTTAATTTAAGAGATTCAGTGCTAACTGAGAGATTTCAGTAGATTATAACATACTCCATCCGGTCCTTATTATAAGGTATTTTGATTTCGTCCTATGTTTAACCTAGAATATCTTTTTAATTAGAAAAAAAAACTTTAAAAATATATTTTCACATTCATTGTGTTCTCTTAACTATTATTAAATAGTTTTAAAGTTTTTATTCCAATTAAAAAGACACCCTAAATGAAACATAGGACGAAATCAAAATGCCTTAAAATGCCTTAACGACCGGAGGGAGTATGATAGATAAATCTCATAAACAGAAGGATCCTGGAAATCAACTGATGAGATTTAACCAAAATAATAAACAATTAATGTGACGAGACTTCAATTTGCCCTCTCTGAAATTCATTTCATCTTTCATTTGAAGTGAAGAAACTAGTACCAAATGGCACTATTTTAGATTGCAGAAAGGGAAATAAGCACATTGTTATTTTTGTAACCACAACTTGTCGAATGTGACAAAGAGTTAACTGTTTTGGAACGCCATTGAAATCATTACCACTTGGAAAGACCAAATCAAGACTCATGGTGTTTAATGTACGTAATTAAATAAAATCAGCGTGTTTCGTAACATGTTGTGTTCATGCATGGGGATCCTTCTTAATTATCGATTGAATTTATGCAAAAATGTTGTTATTGTGACTTAAATCTGCAAAAATTATTGTCATTAGTACTGCATAGCCGCAAGAATTTGAAGCGGATTCCAATAAAATTTAAAAAATAAGAAAAGTAAAGAACCGGAAATTAACACTGGGAAAACAAAGATAATTTCATCAAACTCATTATCAAAATCTTCAAAAACTAACAAGAAAAAACAACCAGAATTTCCATCTCCAACGACAATAAAATGGAAATCTAGTACCCCGCCAAGGAAAAAAAAACAAGACGGACTACAACTTAGTGTACTTCTAGCTTTTGACATTTAAAAAAAAAAAACATGAAGCAAAACTAATCGCTAATTAAACGCCAAAATCTGAGGCTGATGTATATATAAATGATAAGCTCCCAGAGTCTGACTGTTCAGATGTAACCAAACCACCCACGCCGGCCGCCGGACCACAGGTCATAATGGTAAGCTTCCCAATGGAAAGGAGTAGGAGGAGGAAAACGGCCACTTCTATAGTACTGGAAAGCCATATTTCCAATCGGCCAATTTGGTCCATATAGTGGTTCATAATAATAATAATATTATTATTATTATAACGACCGTCATAATAATAATAATTATAATTATCATAATCAAATCCACCACTAGGGAACCACCAGGCGGGTACTTCGCCATATGGTGGATAATAATTTGCATGAAAATCATCATAACAATCGTTACAAAATCTTCTATAGTAATTACTATTATTATTAGAATAATAATAATTACCTGATCTGCGATTGCCCCAATAGTAAGAAACTCTAATACCTTGGTACTCAAGCTTCTTCATAAGTCTTCGGAGCGCCTAGGTTTCCGAAAACTTCCACCTCGAAACCGCCGCCACGGCTATCAAACATCCGGTAACTTTGTACCGAATGGGATCTTTCCAACACCTCCTCCACCGTGGCTTTGGCTAAAGGAGAATTAGAGAAGACCTTGAGGGTGCAAGTTCTTAACGGCAACTTCCTTCGTCCGAAAATCATGATGATGATGATGATTGGTGATATGAGAGAGCAAATTAGTTATTTAGTTAATTATGGATGATGAAATGAAAGGTGTAAAAATTAGGGTTTTGTGATGATGGCAGATGTGTTTAGGGGTTGTAATTTTACGCATGATCCATCCTTTTCATATATAAGAAGAAATGCTTCCACCGACTTACCCTTAATTCCCCTGCCCCGAAATGGAAATGATCCTCTAAAATTTACAACACATTATTTTGTGTATTTACAGTATATTGTAAATTATAAAGGAACACAATATTTCGCGAGTCATAAAATTATTTGATAAAAAAATACCATGTTTGTAATAAAATGTGATTGAGATTTTTTATTTAAATAAACGATTTAGCCTATCGTCTCCCTTATTGACACATTTATTGCTCGTAATATTTTGCTTTGTTTTTGTCTTCCTGGATTCATTTACTTAAAAGTTTCGTCTTTTTTTACACGTTTTTCACTATATTTTCCGAAAATGTTTGTAATGTAGATAAGATTGTAGACTATCCTTAACTATTTTGTTACCGCCAACACCCCCAAGAAAAAAAAGAAAAAGTAAAAATGATAGACTTCATTCATTATTTGATGAAAAGTTAAAGCTTTTTAGAGCAGCCTCTTTCCCATATTTGTATTCATATCTTGTATTGTATAAAAAAGAGAAAGTTTGTATTCTTTCTTGTTATGGTTCATCTTAATTATATGATTAGAATATGATTTAATCAGGTGTTCTCATTCACAAAATGTAGTAATTTAGTTTATTAGGCATTGGTCTTGAAGAAATAAAAAAATCTTTTGTATATTTCGTATGCCGTAGATTTTTATTTTTATTTTTTTTAATCACAGATACAATCGGGATACCCTAATAAAAATTTTTGGAGTACTCAATCAATTCAATATTTAGTAACGTCGGTTATCCCTTTTACCCTATTAAAGCAGAATACAGGATGTTGATGTAGCAATTTCTTATTAAAACTTTTTGGCTCCAAATGCACCATATTGCATTGACCATTCTGCCACGTGTCATCTCCTTTAAAAAAAAAAAAAATCTTATCCGGAAAAACAAAAGTTACTTTACAAAAATAGTTACACAATTTTAACTCCTAACATTTATCATTTATCAATCAAATTAAAATAGCATTTAAATTTGTCCATAAACTTATCTCCTTTATTACTCCACATTGTATGATTTCTGCATCATTGTACTTTTTAATATTTTTTTTCCTTTGGTAGATGATTTTTTATTTTTATTTTTATTTTTGGCTAAAAAAAAGTTTTAAAAAAAACTAAATGTGTAGCTATTTTATTTTCTTCAAATCAAAAATTTATTTATCTATTAACACAAATTTAAAGTAGAGGAGCTGGGCCAAGCATCTAGTTGTTATTATCAACGATTATCTCGTTAACAGTTAATAAGCGGCATAGCCTGTAATCGGACTCGCAGGCGACTAGGATTATTTGTTCTCCCCGGTACCCGTTTCATGGATCGGGTCTCTACCATTTTGATAATTTCTGCTTCTTCTTTTTTTTTTTCTTTTTTTTTGGTCGAGAGGAAGGTTTTTGGAGAGCTTTTGTCTAATGTCTAGGACGAGGACATCTTACCGAAAAGCATAAGCGGCTAAAATTAAAACTGAGGGAAGAAGCCTCATGTATGACATAAATACTCTTTCATTTTATATACAATTATAGAGAGAATCCATAAATATATTATTTATTAAAAAGCATAAAAGAATTAAAAAAATATTATAAATGATAGAAACCATATATTATGGTTCTCAGAAACACTCAGAGTACTGTTGGATGATAGAGAGGCAAATGTATACCTTTTTTTTTTGTGGAGTGGAAGGAAAATATGCCAAGTTTAGGTCACATGAAAATCATGAGAATATATAGGAATGAGAAGAACTAGGATCTCAAGCTCAATAACACACCCATAGCTGATTTCAATCAAGTTCTTTTCTGAAGGTTCAACACATAAAAGTGCCAAAAGTTCCCCGGATTCAAAAAGCTTGGGACTGATCTCAAGCCTAATGACCTACTCCCTCCGGTTCTTATTATAAGGTATTCTGATTTTTCCTAAGTTTCATTTAGTACACATTTTTGATTAACAAAAAAATCTTAAAAATATATTTTCACATTAGTTGTGTCATCTTGATTGTTATGAAATATTTTTAAAATTTTTTCGTCAATTAAAAATGTGTATTAGGTTAAACTTAGGACAGATCAAAATACCTTATATTAAGGACCGGAGGGAGTACTAGGTTAAACGTATTTCCATTTATTTTTTCGGTAATAAGATATAAACTGGAGTTTTACTTTAGTAGATAGCTTTCACTATGAAGTTAACTGATATTTGTTGGAATCAACATATGTCAAATTAACTGAGTTGTATTCTGATCCCATGGTAATTCAAAATTGTTGCCATACATTGTTTTAGAAACAAATAAAACCAAGGAAAATTTGTTGCAGCATTGTGGGGATCATGCAACATTTTCATGATTTGAAATCTCTCATTCACATGATGATGCGGTTGATGATGTTTTTTGAGGAACTGACTCCTTTTGTAGAGCTTTAAAGTGGTGTTGAAAATGTGCATTGTTTTGAATTCTATTGTAATTTCGATGAGGGAGTAAATGACAATAGGGAAACGTTGGCGATTTTGGTTCCAGGGTTGCAAATTTGATAGGGAGTTTGTTCATAGCATGTCACAATGCCAATGAATATCAACTAATTTCACAATGCTTAACCTAGGCCTAATGTTGTTCATCCAACCAGCAACTTACATATGAATCCCCCTATTACATTAGTGATCCTTGAATTTCCAGGCAGATACAGACTTCGTTGACGTTTCTCCCCATCCAAAGATCAGGCTTTTCCCATCCAGGTTAAGCCTGCAAGAACTGGAGTTATTACATCTTTTAAGCAAAATGTCTGCTTGAGTAACTGCTAAGCTGCTGAATTCTGTTTCCATCATTCCATATTTGGCCAATAACTCCCTCCAGAATCCAATCCTTTCGTATCGGAACAACCTCTGGCTGCCTTCTGTTGCAACCATGTTTCCAATCATCCGGCGAAACAAAACTTGTTCCATCCATTTCCTACACATAGGCCTGTGTTCCAGGGTGTGCTTGAGCGAATCAAACACTGCACTGCAGAATATGAGCAATTCGTGAAAGCGTTCCAAGAACTCCCGCGTGTTCACAGTTGCCTCAAATTCCATGATCACCATAATACCTGGATTGATATTCCTAACCGTTTGTAAAAGAGCTTCCAGGTGATTTGGCCATACTAACTGAGTTGAGAGTCTGAATTCGGAATAAATAGCCACAGCCTCATCGCATTGCAGATCAAAATGATCCTGTTTGAGGTCCTTCAGCTCTGAGATGACCATGAGAAATTCAAAAGGTAATTGAAGGCTCTTTGCAAAAGACGACAACTGATTTCCTACACCTTCCAACATCTCTTTAGAGCTCCCAACGGCCGTTATCTTGAGAATTTCGAGTGGACAATCATGCCTGTTTGCGAAACTCTGCATGATTAGACTCCAATGCGAACCGTTTCCAATTCCAAAATCGATCAAATGAATCCTCTTAGAACATTCCACGGCATCCAGGATCGCCTGGATGCCTGCAGATTGCCAGGCTAGGTAGGCAAATTCTTGTTGGCATTCCATCCAATCAGGCTGCAAACGGTTTTCAGCCTGCTGCACATCCACTGGCTTATTCATTTTCAACTTTTCTCCGAATTCCTCTGCAACGAATATTCCCGATTCACGTACAATTCTCTCGCGGAGCCCTTCTGAAAAATAGTACACAACCCTTTGAACTGGATTGCCATTTATAGAAGCTGATAAATCACAAAGGGTTAGCAGCTTTTGAGCCTGAACCCATTGCTGATTTGCCACCTTTTCAGCCGCTGCTTGAAGTAGTAATGCTAATTCCACATCTTCTGCAGCTTCAACAGGGACTTCAGATTCAGACTGAGCTTCCAATTCACTAGCAAGAAGCAAAGAGACAGCACCTGATCCAAAGTTGCGGGACTTGATCCGAAGCAAACGATCTTTGGCTAGCTTCATAAGGCTGACAGTTGAAAAAGGCGAGGTTGCATTTGCATTTCCATCCCACAAACGCTTCCCTTTGGTGGTGTTAACTTGCTGCTTCATCAGATCATCCAATGATGATGTTGAAGGCAAATAGGGACCTTCATTGTGAGAAGAGATTTGTGATAAATCTGTGATCATTGATCCACTACCCAAATCCATATTGTTTCCTCTCTCAATATTAAAAAGTTTCAGACTCTAATTTTCAAAATGAACATCATGAATCTCAATATGTGTCATGTATTTATCATTCCAAAGAAGAATTCCATGTTTTTAATATTGCTGAGATTCTCCACAGCATATGGCCAAATTGAAAATACTCGTGATGCAGACTTTGATATTCCAAAAGCCTAGCAGGACATGAGAAAAGAACATGAAGTGACTCATTATGTTTGTTATCAACCATAAGATTTACAAAAATAAAAAAATGTTGCTCAGGAGACAAATGAAAGTAGTAATATATCAGAAGGGTTTGATTATGCAGCCGTACGAGGATTCTTCTGCAGCTAAATGATTTGCAGATGTAGATCACCGTCCTCGGGGAAAACTATAGAATGTTACTGTTTGCATGTCTTATTGCCAACAAGGAATAATCAATCTTCTGTTGATATCAGATACAACCAAAAGGCCAAACCGCATTTTTATCTGACATTTCAAGCCTTAGTACAAAGTAATCACTACAAGTATAGAAAGAGGACAATGTTGTTGGTGAGGATCTTAGTATAGTCCGAAAGCCAAATTAAAGTTGAAACGTTAAATTAGTACTAGATGACTTGCCCGGTTTGGTTCAAGTGGCTTATTTTCTCTCTCTCCCCCTCTCCATCTCTCTCTCCTTCAATTTGGTTTGATCAAATAGTAGGGACAAAATGGTTAAAAATGAAAATTTGTGGTTGAAAGAACTAAAACTTGTGGTTGTAAAAATCCTCCCCCATAATAAAAACCGGAGGGAGTAGTATACAATAAATACTAGGTTTTTCTGGTCTGCGATTATTCGCAGGATATATATCTTCAAAACATTTATACTTTAATGATTTTAAAATGAGTTAAAAATTTTATATTTGGTTCATTTCTTCACTTCAAATTGAATGGTTCAAACAAAATTTGAAATTATGATCTCCTTCGAGTAATACTCCATACTCAGCACTTTTTTTTTTTCACCCATCCCATTTAAATCGGTTTCATGCTTCTTTTTTTTCTAATGACATTCCCATTTAATTTGGTTTCATGAAAAGTTTTTTTGTCCCATTTAATTCGGTTTCATGCTTTTTTTTTCCCTAATGACATTTCCATTAAATTTGGTTTCGTGCATTTTTTATTAAATACTGATATACTCCATATGAAATTATACCTAATAAGAAGAAAATGGCACCATATAACTTATTAAGTTAGCTAGTCTCAATCTTTTTCAGAAGTTAATTATTTTAAAATTAAATTTTTTTTTTTTTTTTGTATATTGCAGGGTGTACACCATCGACAACAGTGACTAATCCCCCTCGCTCATGGTAGGCACCTCGATGGGCTTAAATTATTTTATAAAACTTATTTTATAGATTTTAGACTAAGCCCAACTTCTTCTTTTTTTCTTGAAACCCCATAATTTAATCCAAAAAAATTAGTTTAGCCCAAAATCTAAAGTAAAAGAAAAGTTGCTGGGTTGAAATTTGATAGTGCCACATGTTTTTTTGTCTGGACTTTTAAGTAATTTGATGTTTAGGCATGTTTTTTCGACTTAATAACAAACATGCCACCATTTTTATTGATGTTGTTCCAACGACGAAAGTACTATAGCTTTGTGGCTCTTACTTATATATAGTAATAAATAGATAATAGATAGATATATATTGTTCCAACGACGAAAGTACTGTAACTTTGTGGCTCTTGCTTTTATATAATAATAGATTTTGATTTTCCAATAAATTTTTACTATTCAGTATATTCCAGTGAACAATCAAACAAGGGACCTCAAACTATATAGTATACTGGGAAAAGTTCTCAGGGAAATCTTAAGTGCTCAAATACAAACATATGAAGACAAGTTTCAGATGCCACATGAATAATGTAGAGATAGGATACAGCCATAAGGCTTAACAAAGGTATAAAAAAGAACAAACAAGATTCAAAAATGCCTTTTTCTTTCCATGCAGAAACAAGCTCTTTTCGTAGATCATTAGGCTGCAAAACATGTTCATTTAGACAAGTTACTTCAGCTCCCATTAAGAAGACCTTTCTTCTTGGCCAGATGGAACTTTCCGCTTAATAGGACTAATGAGCTTGTGCTGTAAAAGACTGTGATGTCTGGAGTAAGGTTCTTATACTTCATGTAATTCCCGCAACTCGTGCGTCATATTTGCTGGCTGAAGAATGGATTTATATATTTTTTTTCTTGTCAAAGTATCAATCTTGTTTTCAACAAGTCGAACTTAGTTGCCAACCCCCAAGAAAGTAAGTAGCCAAGAAAATATCTGAGCTCGCGGTAAGGCTACGATTTCAAGTTTGGTTAGGGCACTAAGGGAGAAAATTAGCATGAGTATTCAGAAGGTCAAAAAATGATTAGTTCCTAATCAATACATGAGCAGACATTGTAGAAATGGATCAATATTATACCAATCATCAACCTGATCTTTTGCTACTAGAAAGACTACAATGATAGGATTAAGCCATATACAATAACAGAAACTATACATATTTATCATTGTAATACACTGTTATCTTTTCATATTCATTCTGCATCACGGAAAACAATACAATGATTCTTTTTTATCTTTTGAGGTGAACCAAAAATAGAAGGATCTATATTACAGATTAAGTTCGATAAGATATCAAACCTTTGATGCTTATAAGTAATCTAAAGACTGTAAATCTCATCTTATCCGCCATGCAGAAAGTGAATAGATTGGAGTTCCTTTCCACCCAACTATAAGACATTTCCCATCCATATCAAGTGTGCATGATTTCCCACATGCAAAATTCTCAAGAACTAAATTCGCTTGATACATGGAAGAGCTGCTTAGTTCCGCCTGAACAAACCCAAAGCGCGCAAAAAAAGATCTCCAAACATGCACCGCGACATGCCTAATTGTCCGTTCTGCGCCTTCAGTAGCAACAATGCTTCGAATTGCCTGACTAAAATAGACGTACTCAACATAATACCTGTTTGTTGGATCATGCTTCAGGCAGTCTTCCAAACAGTCAAAGAAACCGCCATAGTGAAAAAGGGACTCGATGAAGCGGGTCACAAAAACCGGGGAATTATTGTTTCCCTCAACTTCTGTAACAACCATGATTTTGGGCTTAAGGGCTCTGACCACATTCATCAGGGACTCAAGCACATCTTGCCTCCCAATCATGAACATTAAAAAGAAATCAGCCCAAACAGCTACTGCTTCATCTGGTTTAACCTCAAAAAGGGACTCATTTAGATCCATGATCTGATCAACCATGACAATGTTGAAGTAGAATTTTAAGTTCAAACTCCTTGCAAAGCTGGCAAGCCGGTCCCTAGTTGCCTCGAGATTAGCCCTGGATTTGGTTCCTACTGCAGTTATCTTAACATATTCAACAGGATTCGTGACCTTAGTCGCGAGAGCTTGCATCAAAATCGTCCAATGCATTCCAGTCCTTATCTCAAGATCGACCACATGAATCTTCGTAGCATCACCCACATGATCTAAAACAGCCTGGATTCCAGCAAACTGAAAAATCTGACCAAAGGGTACATTATTCTGCATTGCCATAATATCAGGGGATGGACCTCCCATCGTCTCCAGCATATCTTTGCATTGCTTGTTCCCTAAACCTCGTGGGCTAAAAGTGCCGGTTTCGCGATCAATCCTTTCCTGAAGGGCACCTGAGTAATAGTACACCAGCCTTTCAATAGTACTTCCCTGATCAGAGCTTCCCTTATCACACTCAATCAGGAGCTTACTTGCCCTTCCAAACTGCTTCCTCCCAACTTTTTCAGCTGATGCAAGAAGAAACTGAACAAGCTGGACAGCTTTTGCATCTTCCTGACACAAACCAGCGAATGCGCTGGCGTAAGGATGGTTAATGGCGGATGATTCGGTATCACCTTTGGTCGAACATTCGATGAAATTCTCAGCAGCCAACCTTAAGATACAATTAGTTGACAATTTCTGGCTGCCATTGTCATTGTTGCAGATTGTGAAACCTGTAAAGTCTTCTTTTTCAGGATATCCTCCGGGGAGTTGTACTTTGTGAACGTTCAACTTTCTGAGCCTGCTTTTATAACTCCTCAAAATATGAAGTGATGCTGAATATGGCCTTTCTCTCTGAACTCCTGGATTTTCATCATCCGGATTTTGGTCATCATCATCACATAATGAAGCCTGATGGGTTAATGGTTGGATCAATCCCATATCAAATTGGAAGAGATCATTAAAATCTGAACCATCATCACAATGATCATGATCATGATCCCTTTTTGAACTTGCCAATACAGGGGCTGGAAATGGATGATGAGAATTGATCACATGACACTTTTCGCTTCCTACTTGCCTATCATCATCCACCTCTAAACCCTTTGAAAAACCATGAATATTGGTAAGCTGATTGATCTGAAACATTTGAGCAACCAAAAAAAAAATGATGTTTTTGTGAATATGTGTATATGATGATGACCAATAGATCAAACAGGTTGATAGATGGATGCTGAAATCTTCAAGAACTCGTTTTAGTTTAGTGACATTGAATCCCTTTTTATAGAACCAATATTAAACTTTTTGTTAATTATATTATCTCCTCTCTAATTTGTGAAAACTACTGAGCTTTTCCCTAAAATTTATAAAAATTGCCGACAACTCTCATTACCTAATCGCCTTATGAAAACCTAACCATCATATTGAAATTGGATAATAATGTTAAAAAAACAATTTAAGAGAAGGGGAAAAAGAATAAAATAAATTCGCACATTCAATGTAAAATTTTGCCCTTATTTTTACGTCGTATTTCGAATTTTTATAGAGTTAAACGTTAAGTGACTAGTTTGATGATAGAAGGGTATTAATGAAATGTTATCAAACTCAATGGGCGATCGGAAACTATTACAAACCTTCTGAGGGAATTTAATGCAATTTTTTATGTCCAGCAGGCATAATGTTGGTCAAATGAAACAACAAACACAAGGTGACAAGAGAGAAGATGAAAACAGATTAGACTAATGATTGAATCCCCCCCTTTTTTTTTTTAATTACGGTAACAAGGTTTTTGTTCAAGATCAAGTAGACATTAAACTAGTAAGAATCATCGTGATAGAAAAGAAGAAAAGGAACCCGACAAAGCATTGAAAGTGATCTTTGATTTTTTACTTGATATTAAAGGATACAAACTGATTAAATTCCAAGGGGAATTGTCTATAAATTTTGGACATTCGGCTGAATTTTATATTTTAGCCAGTGAATACAATGAGAAAGGGACAAAAAACACACGAATAAGTGATATACTTATAGGTTTGTCAAATAGCTACCGACTTTTGTATCATGCATGCATTTCTAGTTATATTTTCCAAACTCAAAATGATGCTGCATACGTAATTTTTTGTTAGTTTTAAACAAGGTCTTCGGTCTAATCTGATACCTTATGAGTGATTACAGAGATAATGAAAACATATAATGGGACAGGTTAAAATTTATGTACGTATCTCACATTATTAATTATCTCACTTTTGCAAGGAGTTTGACATTGGTTGATTCACAATATATATTACATCTGTCTCAGAAAAATAGTTCATATTAAACTTTGATATTTATACTGTTTTTAGTATAAATTTCAAAACGGAATATGAATATTTTTATAGGATGATAAATAATAATGCATACTTATTATTGAACCTTCATTTATGCTCCCCACAAATGTCATGTGTTAGACAATTTGACTTATTCGATTGAGACTTTTTTTTTTGTGGGTGGAATGAAATGATCAAGAAAGTCTTCCCTTTGGTGAATTGGGGATCATATATAACTTAGGTTATCTCATTTTTCTAGTTTTTTTTTCTTATTTCAATAGTAACTTTTACTCCTCTGGTCTAAAATTATTATCCAGTATGAATTTTCACTTCTAATTCAATTTGTATTAAAAATAAAATCAAAACTGGATAATAATTTTAGAACAGAGGAAGTATTATAATATTTTAAAATAATAAACTCCATAATTGAAATGGAATAGAACCAATTTACCATATATTCAAAAAAAAAAAAAAACCATATTCATTTTAATTATTTTTCTGAACGGAATTCTCCAAGAGATTAACAAAAAAATAAAAAATAAAAAAATTAACTAAACTTCAACAGTGTGGGCTGTCAAATGCTCTGGCCCATAGTGCCCAATTCCGCTGTACGAAGCCCAACCCACAATAGACAGACCACGTAAATTGGTTCAACACCAGTCCAACGTATCCCTAGAAGACAGACCAATAAGAATTCACCAGCTCAGCCTACCACCACTATCTTATTACCACGTCATCACATTTTTCACCAAATGACGTGTCAAACCATCATCACCGCAACCGCACCGGAAATTTGTACTACTAACCAAGTCTAAAATGTATAAAAAGTCAAATTCGAAATAAATATCCCAATAAAAGTTCAACAAAAGCTGAAGAACAAGGAGGAGAAAGGGGATAGTGATCAGGTGCTTCTCGGATCTACGGTGAAAAGAAAATACCACCGGGAAAAATGGCGGAGGAGAGATATAACCGGAAGAACCCGGCGGTGAAGAGGATTTTGCAGGAGGTTAAAGAGATGCAATCTAATCCTTCCGATGATTTCATGAGCCTTCCTCTTGAGGTTGTTTCTCTTTCCTGGATTTATATATATCTGTATATATATATATATAAAATCGATTAGGTTTCTGAATCTGATTGACCGATTAATTTATTGCTTTCATGTTCGATCGGCCAGATTTTACCCCCAATTAGCTCAGCTCTTTTTGCTTCGTCGTTTGTTTTCTGTTTTATGGTGGACTTACTGTATAAATTTATTTTATCGGATTCGTTTTGCAGCTCATCTCGATTATGCTTTCCCGAACAACATTTTCCCTTTTTTATTTTGATTTATTATGCTTAATCCAGGATTTCGTTAAACAGCTAGAGACTGGAATTTCTTTAGGTTAATTTTTTTTTTTGGGTTGAATTTTGCTGGTTTTATAGTTGGTACAAATTACGTGATGATATTTTACAGCTTCAGTTAATATGCTGGAGAAGACTGGAAATGCTTTTGGTTTATGTGCTTATTGTGGAGTTGTTCTACATTTTGATGCAATATGTTGCAGTTTTTGGTTGGTAAAGCAGCAGAAACTTTATTTGTTGTAAGCTTTTCAGCACATTCGGGGTTCTTGGTTCAGTTTTTGTAACGAGGCTGTCTCAATGTGGTCGTAATGTTATTAGCTAGGATAATTGGTGCTAGTCAACGAGAGAAATTGAATTGAAGAATGTATTGTGTTTCTCGTTTTAGTTAGTCTGTAGGTAACCTGGATGTATGTGAATCCTTCACTTTGGCTAAATATTAAATGGTGATAAGTACTTTTATGGCATACTGATTTTTCCTTATGTTATGTTTCCAGGAGAACATATTCGAATGGCAATTTGCTATCAGAGGACCTGCCGATTCCGAGTTTGAGGGAGGAATATATCATGGAAGAATTCAGTTACCTTCAGAATATCCTTTCAAGCCTCCTTCCTTTATGCTACTAACTGTAAGACTCTTTTTCAATCTTGGCTTTCTTGTCATTGCATTTTTCCTGCTCTGTGAGCAGGGTTTGAAGAAGAGGAATTCAATTGCATTTAGCATTTGATATCTTGTTTACATTGTTTGATTTGATCTCTCTTTCGTTCAGCCCAATGGACGTTTTGAAACCCAGACCAAGATTTGCTTGAGCATTTCAAATCACCACCCTGAGCATTGGCAGCCATCATGGAGCGGTAAACTCCGTTTCCTAAGTGATTGGAGCATTTAAATAAATTTATCTTTCCAAGCTACTTCTTCTCTCTATATTTGCCATGCTTATCTTGTAGAAAATGTTATGACCTTTATAAACTCTTAAAAGTTGAACAAAAGAGGAGTCTTAAACTAAAGCTTTTTGTGGTGAAAACTTTATGTTCAAAAACCATCCCTTGGTTGGATCAGAATCTGGATAGAGTTATCACCCCTCGTTGTCATTTGAAATATTTACTTTTAACCCTTCTGCAGTTTATCATCTTGGAGAGTTAAATATCTATTTTGAGTAGGCGCATTTTCTGATGCAAATTGGTTGGTGTGTAGAAATTTGATATTGTTTCAGCATGGTCATTATTAAAAGTCAAAATCAGTTCTCTGTTGTTTAACGGTTCTTTGGCGACATCAAATTGTGGCTGTTATGGCTATTTGGCCTTTGTTTACTTCTATTGTAAGAGTCCAGATTTTAGTCAATCCATGGTGCAAGTGAATTCTGCAATGCAGCAATAGAAGCCATGTTAAAACTAGTGTTGTTTGTTTTTCCAGCTGCAGTTAACCTTATTCTGTGACCTAAGAATTTGATTGCTTATCTATGCATTAGTTTTTTTATCGTGAATTAATTTTGACACTTGGCTTTTGATATATTTCAAAGTGCGGACCGCATTGGTAGCCCTAATTGCATTCATGCCAACCAGCCCTAACGGTGCTCTGGGGTCATTGGACTACACCAAGGATGAAAGGCGTGTCCTTGCAATTAAATCTCGTGAAGCTGCTCCAAAATTTGGGTCTACTGAGCGCCAGAGATTAATTGATGAGGTTCAGCTTTTCCCTCACTTCTTCCCAAATCATTGCAATTACATATAATCTTAACTCTAACCATCCTGCGTATGTATGTGCTATTTGTGCAGATCCATGAATACATGCTAAGCAAGGCCCCTCCAGTTCCTCAAGTTAGCACTTCTCAGTCTCCAGAAGACCAGGCTGCTAAGAGTGAGGATGAAGTTCAGGAAAATGCTGTTAATACTGTTGCAGAAGAAACTCAAGAAGAGCTTCCAGAAGGACCAGCTCCAGCAGAAGACAGTATCACGGAGGAGGTACAACCCCGTGAAGTACCACCCCCTGCTGTGACTTCTGTTCAGCTGCAACAAACACACCCTGCTCCAAGCGCAACACTTCAGCAAACATCCCCAGTTGTTCCTAGACAGGCAGATGACCGGTTGTTTACATGGGCAGCTGTTGGGCTAACCATTGCCATAGTGTTTCTGCTTCTGAAGAAGTTCATGAAAGCCAATGGTCACAGCGCTTTCTTCATGGATGAATCCTAATATTCATCGACCTGTATATGTCTTTTGCCTTGTTGAAGATGAATAAAATCTATACCGATGGAGAAAATGGCAAAGCCGGTTGTACATTTTGAAACATGTTTATGCATCAAACGCACGGGGATGGATGATGGAAATTGAGCAGGGAGCGTGCTTAGGATAGTAACAAAGCTTATATATAGCATTATATCCAATTGTATGAATTCGGTTACATATGAATCATACGTTTCTTAGGAGTTGGAACAGTTAAATCATCAGAAGTGTGGTTGGTTTTCAGAAACTTTGGAAAGTGTAGATAATGTATGATTATTATTAATCTTTTCAGTCGAATGAAATTAGTTTGCATTTGCCCGCTCATGATTACCAGCAAATCATCCAATAATTCGTAATTAGACTATATAAATATTGATATGATTGACATTCTTACACTAATCAAGCCGCGACTTTTCCTATCCCCTTATCTTTCTGCCACTGTCGGTAATTAAATAATAAAAAGACTAAAGAGACATTTCAGTTTCAGATATTTCTGTCCTGGCACTCATTTCCCGATCTTTCTGCCTCCCCTGTTTTTTCTCTCTTGTAAAGCTTGAAAGCTGAAACCTCTTTTTTGTTTTTTTTTTTTTTCTATTCGTCTGTGATCGATTTGTGAGAAAGAAGAATTACCCTGATCTTGATCTGTGTCAAATTTTTCCAGTACCACGAGTTTTTTAAAGAGAGAGAAATTGAAAAGGGAAAGTCATGGCAGCGGAGAGGAGAGTGGGAGTAGCAGTGGATTTCTCAGCATGCAGCAAGAAAGCTCTGAGCTGGGCTGTTGATAACGTTGTACGGAAAGGGGATCACCTTATTCTTATCACCATACGGCCAGAAGGCTATTATGAAGAAGGCGAGATGCAGCTGTGGGAGGCCACCGGTTCTCGTATGTTCATCTATCTATATCATCTCATAATTTTATGAATGTTTGGATTTGGGTTTCGTTTCATTTAGGCTGTGGGTTTTGAACAGAAAAGCTCGAAATTCGATCTGCTTTTGAGATTATGGAGGAAATGGGGAACTTTTCTTCTTTCTTTTTTTCTTTTCTTTTCTGTCTTTGTACAGTAGTTTCTGAAGTTGACTTTGTGAAATTCAATCAAATTAGCGTTTTCTGGTTGGTTGATGTTCCTTAAGATGCATAATTTAGAGCTTTAGTTGTTTGTTTGGACAAGACAAGCAGTTCTTGGATCGTATGTTACATCCCATTTTTAAAGTCTATACAGCATATGAACATTCTGTAGGAAGTAAAAATAGTATAAAGATATGAGATTTTGTGAGTACTTTGTGTATAGAACGATTTCTTCTTATGGAAAGTCAGGACAAATTAGCAAATTTGATATTTTTCCCATATATCCATGATGCAACTTAGTCAGTGCTTCGGTTTCCCAACTTGCAATAGGAAAGTATTTAAAGTTACCAAGTGGTCATATTTGTACAATTGCTGGATTAATTTCTTAATTTGGAGTTTCTAAGTTGCTTCTACTATTCTATTTCTATCTCTATCATCAGTCGTCTGATTGTTGTTTTGTGAAATTTCTCAGCATTGATCCCACTAGTTGAATTTTCCGACTCTCATGTTATGAAGAAATATGGGGTCACTCCTGATGCAGAAACCTTGGACATTGTCTCCACCGCTGCTAGGCAGAAAGAGGTATATTTTTGCTTCTTGTTCTCAATCATATTCAGAACTGTGGAGGCAACATGATCGTGCTGTACGTTTGTAGACAATAAGATATAACTTACGAGTGAGTTCTCTTACGTGCAGATTGAGGTACTAATGAAGATTTTCTGGGGAGATGCCCGGGAGAAGTTATGTGAAGCTGTCGACAAAATACCTCTGGACTGCATTGTTATTGGAAACAGAGGGCTTGGCAAGATAAAGAGGTTCATTGCATTTAAACCCTTTTTGTAGAACCTAAAGTTTTTCCATCTGAGACATTGTTCAATTTTAACTAGTACAACTTTTCTTGTGAGAGTGGTTTATTGAGATTGGTGTAGTTGATAATTACCATTGAGCTTTCTTGATGAGGAAAACGGAAATGACTTGAGTACTTACACATGATGCTATGGTGTAAATGTCACTATGGAGCTTACATCTAGCGAATTTGAGTTCTTGCTCTGAGGGTTAATCCCTGAAAAGTTGCGAGAACTTAGATTTTGGTATTATTAGCTGTTGTAGCTAAAACCTCGGTTTTGAGTTTTGCATGATGAATATAAGTTGAACATTTGTTATTCCTGTTCTTGCAGGGCGATCATGGGCAGCGTCAGTAATTACGTGGTGAATAATGCTTCCTGCCCCGTCACGGTCGTGAAGAATGTGGAGCATGAGTAAATTGCCTGAATGTTTGCATCCTCTCCATCAAAAGATGGGGGGCAAAAGATGGGGGGCTATGTATCTTGTTCAGTTGACTCCCGCTCACGTCCTGATTCTCCGAAATAAAGCCTACAGTTTATGATTAGATCCTAGTTTGGATCTAATTAAGGCTTGTAAATTTGCTACTGTGGTAGACGCTACTCAGTTTCTAAATGCCTTGTATTCATATATATGTGTCTGTTTGAGTAAGGATGAAAGTTATTGAACTTAAATCTGCTTCGGACTGATAGAAGCTGAGTTGGTTGATTCTGCACCCTGATCTGGGATAATTGGTGAGTTGCTTCGCTGAAGTTCTTTCAAATTTCCAGTGTGAAGAATATGAAATAAACATGAAACCGCACGTAATGCCGTTATGGGATTCTATTCCCAAGTTGGGAATACGTTTTTTAAGCTGGTATATTGAAAGTCTATCAATCAAACTAACTTCCTTGAGATCAAAAGCAATGGATACAACAATCACCATGTTCACTTGCTACATGTCAAGACGACTAAGAGATTAATCATAAGGAAGTGGAGCGTACTCGAGAGCAAGACAACACTGAGCAGCATCTGCAGCCGATCCAGCGGCAATTATTGCACATTTACGCACCTTCCCAGTAAAGTCCCTAATATCCTTACAGTCCTGCACTATCCCCTCACAGTCTACATGATAAAGGACTGGACCCTACAGGAGAACATGAACAATACCGATATATAAGAGTGACGTGGAGCAGAAGCAACCATATGTACAGAGTAAATAATCATTTTTGGTATCAGTTGAATCTAAACATATATATACTATATCTCTAAAAAGCCGTTGCTACGCTAAATTGAGTTGATGAACCAAATGAATATGATCATCATTGCAAATTTGCAATGCAGTTCTATTTCCTTTTCGTTTGCACTTTGTGGCTGCAAATGTTTAACAGAAACGAAAGGATCTCGTAGAAGTTCACTGTTGTGGCCACAAGCTTTTGAAAATATTGAATTTCGACTTCATAAAGACATGTTTTGCGTTTAGTTTGTACATCTTAAGTTAACTTAGACAAGTTTTGGTGTTCTACTTTTACACATCAAGGAAAGGGACGGATTTCCTTCTTATAATCCTTCAAAGACTGCTCAAATGCTTGAGATCCTGATGCAAATGATCCATTTACCTTCAAATAATGCAACTAATGATGATATGAAAATCGGTGAATTTTTAAAGCTGAAATATTGGTATACCATATCATCATTTGTTGAAATCAATACACATTATCTGCCGACTTCAACTAGTAAATAGTAAATATTTTTTCATTAACAAATAGTAATAAGCGACTTCAAACACAGAACGGGTGTCCGGGCCAAGTTATAATATGTACATATATGTATTTTTTTTTTTTGAATTATGAATTATTTCTTTCAGTAATAAATATATATATATATGCATTTTGTTTGATTTTAAATTAATTTTTTATTAACAAATTTAAAATATAAGCGGACCGCCCGGACATCTGCCCGAGCCAAATATCTAGTATTATGAAAAAAAATATCAATTGTTGCATCTTATGCACTTGTTTTATAGTACTCCCATGAGATTTTTAGTTGTGAAGAAGTACATCCCGTTCGAAGAAGCTACAGCTAAAAATACTTTTATGAACACAAATCCTTGTAACATTCATACGTTTTTTTACAATTTGAAATATACCGAAAGAAATCGCGGCATAACAAAAAATTTATAGTGCGAGGAGCGAATGTCATATATACAAACAACATTAATTTGAACATTGCTTCAAAACAAACAAAAAAAAAAAAAAAAAACCCTAAAACCAAACTTTTTCTGTTTTGGAGAACAACCAAACGGTTAATTATAAACCAGCAAAAACCAATGCCTTACGAAAACAGAAACATCTCATAACCAAACATCAACATCCGATAAATAAGCCTAAGACAAAACAATGACCAAACCATAGCCACAAAATCACTAACTTCCCCCCCACAAGTATTCCAACCCTTTTCTTTTTCGTTAACCTTCTTAATTAAATATCTTAACTCCATTTCATTTTCATTTTCACCTCATCCATCTTCCTCCTTTTCTTTTCTTCCCCAAACCAAAAAAGAAAAAAAAAAGAAAAAAAAAGAAAAAGGAAAAAAAAGAAAAGCCCTGCAGCAACAAACAATGGGGTCTCAAAACATGCCTCAGGGAATCAACCTGGTATTCCTGGTGGCTACATTCTCTGTTCTCATCATTATCATTGGTGACCATAATGTGGCTGCACATTTAGCCCCGGAGGCCCCTGCTCCTTCTCCATCTTCCCTTCCTCCATTAAGCTATATTTCCTACTCTCCCGCTGACGCCCCCTCCGGTGCTCCATCCGACGCCCCGTCTTCTTCACCGCCATTGTCACCAGGTACTCCGATTTGAGGTCTCCCTGAATATTGTGCACATTTTGTTCTTGTGGCAATTTAATGGGTTCACCTTTATTTACATCATTCAAAATTATTCATTCGAATTCTTATTTTTTTCCATATGCATATATGAATATAGTGATTGAAAACATAAACGCGTAAATATTAACGTTTGTAATATATATGTGACTTACTCCATCTGATTCAAATATTATTAATAAAATCAAACATGATCAATATATCATTGTGCGATAAAAAGAAGTACCAATTATATCTAGATGGAAGTGAATTTTGTTTTTCCTTACATTCTAGAACTACATTACCTTTGCATATTGATACCTAGTTGAGCCCTCTTCTTAATTCCAAATGTGATGTACAATGGTGGGCTTATTTCAAGGGGCTCGTCTCATTGCCTATTTCAAGGTGTATTGGAGCCGTAGAACGGAGAATATATTGTTGCTCACGCTTTGGCTTTTCATGCAAAAGCTTCGACTTTGTAACGTGGTCTAAACCACCGCCTTTTTTGCCAATCGCAGTTGAGCGATTACTAACAATTAATAACTTATTTCTTTTTAAAAAATTATATAAGGAATAAATATAATCATGTATTTTGATTTTAAAATCGAACCATTCATTTTGGATGCATTTTGATATTAAAATCTTGTGTAGGAGGAGGTGATGACGGTGGCTTCTCTGGTGGAGCTGGAGGTGACGGTGGCTTCTCCGGTGGCTTCTCCGGCGGCGCTGGTGGTGGTGTCGGGAGTGAATTCGGGGCTTCCCTGCCCGCATCATCGGACTTCACGTCATCGGCGTCATCAGATTTCAAATTCGATTTCAAGACGGGGTTCAATTTCGACGTCGACTTCAACCTCATGGACGCCTTCAAGGCCGACCTGTCAAAGCTAACCGCCGGGTGCGACGAGCGGATTAAAAAGATCTGCCAGAACACGGATTACCCGGAGATCTGCCTGGCCACAATCGTGCCGATCTTGAAAGCATCTGGCCATACCGGTGCCAAACTCAGCACGATGGACATCTGGGAACTCAACACCAAGATCGCCTACGGATTCGCCAACTTCTCCCTCGGCGCATTGGACAGGTTCTCCAAAACTCCGGGTCTTCCGGAGGACGTCAAAACCGCCCTGGATATATGCGGGGAAAGCTTCTCTGACGTTCTGGACTCTCTGGAGAACGCCGTCGACGCGTTTTCGAAACACGATATCGGAACCGTTAGCACCATGCTCAGCGCCGCCATGACCAACTGCGGCGACTGCGAGGAGGCGTTCAAAGGGCTGAGCTACGACTGCCCGGTTGCCGGTTTCGCCGACAAACTCTCCTCCGTCAGCAGCAATTCCCTTGCTATTGGCTCCGCTTTCATGACAGTTTAAAAACTATAATATATATACTGTCATTTTTTTTTCATATATTATATTATACATATATAAAGAAAAACAAAAAATAAATATATATGTACTAACAATGTATAGTACGTTGTTGAACATGAATTAATCCAATTTGTATGAGCTACTTATCATTTTTGTTGTTGTTGTTGTTATTGTTGTTTCTTTTTTCAATTCCGTTTTATTTTAGTAAGTGAGAATTTTAAATTTCCTTTAGTATAAAGTTTATAGTATACCTATATTGTTATTTTTTTAAAAAAAAATTTCTTCTTTTGGAATCTGAATTATATTCTCGATGTTTCCTAATATAATTACCCGTGTTTGTTCTACTCTTGTGACAAAATAAATAGATTTCCAAGAGTAGGATCGAAATTTGGATTATGTTACAACTTGTTCGCAATTTTGTTAATTAAAGAAAATGTATCACAAAAAATGTATGTTGTGGATGTATTATTATACTAGCTATAAGCCTATAATACGTGAAAATTAATCATGTTGATGACTACATAGTTCAAAAAGCATAATTATTCTCTTACATCGAACTCCAAACTTTTGAATTACATTTCTTATGGGGAAAATTTGGATTGAGGGAGGCAGAGAGATCTAAATTAATAAAAAGGGTGTAACTCTTCTATAATTTGGATGACAGGCAGTAATTTATTTTTAAAAAATTATAGAACTTAAAAATTTATCCTTTTAGAGAATTGCCCTTATTTTGTATTAAATAATTTTCTTTTAGAAAAAAGAAGAATGAAATCCCTTATTCTCTCAACTTCCCGTTCCTGGCTTAGATTTTTGGATCCGCTAGGCATTTTTGGCAAAATTACAAGTATCATTGACAACAATCTAATTAATAAATTTCAAAATTAATTGATTTCCACAAAATATCCAATCTTCATTTCTTGATTCACTAGAATATATGTTCTTGAACATCTATGGGGGGTTTTTTTTTTTATTTATTTGAACAAAATTTCTTTTCTTGGATTTTCAATGTATTTGACTAAACTCCGACTCTCCCAAGGCCTTCATGCCAGTCCATCTCTCCGATGGTTACATCATAAAAAACGGTGAGTTGACGTCGATAATGTTAGGGTTACAGTAGCTTCCAAGAAGGAGAGTAAGACTCGAAGGGGGAGGACTAGGAGGACCAGGAAATTGGAGATGGCGCCTGTCGACGAGGATGCGGAGATGGAATTAGGGAAAATTGAGGCAGCAGATGGAGACAATTTGGACAAAGTGGCGAGTTTGAGCATTGGAATCGAATGTAGTTTATATTCTTTAACGCCGCAACTTCACATTTCAATTGTAAATGAAGTTGTATCCTTTAATGTACAAATGCAGGAAAAATAACTTTGGTGATGAGCTTGCAACTTTGCTCGATTGAGCTGTAATTTCGTAAACTTATTTTTGCTTTGTTTCTCATTTGCTGAATTTTTTTAACATTAAAAAAAAAAGGTTTACACTGTAGTTTTCTTGTTTGATTATAAAATTTTGATGGAAAGGTAATATGAATATAATTTTAATATGAAAATCCATTTCCAAAGTAGATAGTTATATTCTAATTTGATGAAATTTCAGATTGAAGAAATTGTACTATTAAATTTAAAATTATAAAATAATAAGGGTAATTTCGTCACTGCTTAAACATTTAATTTTAAAATTTGTGTAACTTAATTTACTGCCCCTAATGTAAATTATGGAAGAGTTACACCCGCTTTTATTAATTTAGATCTCCCACCGCCTTTAATCCAAATTTTCTTTTCTTCTGCATGAGGTCTATAAAAATTCAATGACATTCGAAATAGAAGGGTCAAACACACAGGTCCCAAAATTCTTATTACGAAACAACCAACAAGTCATACTATTTGTGCCATTATTATTATTATTATTATTATTATTATTATTATTATTATTATTATTATTATTATTATTATTGTTGTTGTTGTTGTTGTTATTATTATTATTATTATTATTTTGAGAAGATACATGTATATTATGATAAAGTATCTAAACTATTACATTGCATTTTAAAATATGCCAGATTATGCATATCGTTAACATCATTCCTACTAACTTTTACTAAGAACGAATGAAGTGTTGGTTCAGTGGTAAAACCACCATTGCTCTCAAAAGGAGGTCATGAGTTCAAACCCTCCACTTCAATAAGAGTGAAGAAATGACTCTAATCTTATCCATTGGCGCCCCTAAAAGGGTTTGTTATGCGAACCCACTCATGAACCCTCAAATTCTTATCCGAGCTTGTCACCTCGAGCTTGCCTAGGATGGTTTACCTAGTTTTAAAGTTAATTATGCACAATCCGTGTGTATGATCACATCTCTTGATACCGAATGTCCAAGTTTCTTGAAGAGTCATTAGACAAGTGGTTGCCTCTGTTTGGCATGCTGACAAGGATGGGAAAGTAGCCGTTCTGATTTGCAAATCATGTTGATGAAGTTATCTTCCAGGCTCCAACTAACCTCTTTGTGTTGGGATGGAATGATCCATAAAAAACGATCACTGTATGGTTGCCAGTAACACCTGATGAGAAAGAGTTGGTGATTGCTGATATTGAATTGATAATTTGTGTTGCCTGACTTCATCTTGAATAAGTCTCCATGACATTATTATTATTATTATTATTATTATTATTATATACAAGATTGATGAATAATTAATCTTTACCTCTTATATGATAAAGTTGTAATTTCAGAATTAGGTTTGAGAGAATCAGTCTTTCGCAAGCCTCAAGTTCAATTCAAACTACCAATATCAATTTATACTCCTTTCGTCCCATTTTATTGTTCTATAGAATATACTACTTACTAGCATCGACGAGGATGTGAAGGATGTATCATTTACTACATCTGTCTCAAAAAAAAGTAATTTATATTATTTTTTATTTATACATTTTTTAGTTATTTTGGAAAAATTTGAATCAAGTGCGGTAGAGAAATCTAAATTAATAAGAGCGGTATAACTTTTCCATAATATGGATTATGGGCAGTAAATAATATTATGAAATTTTCAATCTAAAAATGTTCATGCATTGACTGGATTACCCTAATTCTTTTGCGATGACTTTTGCATCATTTAATTGTAGCCAATAATCATAAGTTTTTTTCTAGTAACGGTAACATATAACTCTGATTGTACAATTTCCTCAATCTCAAATTTATCAAACCATAATGCGACAATTTACTGTATAAATAGATTTTCTACCTATCAAAATTGTCATTCATAATTTACTTTTCCATCAAATTTCTATAATCAGAAATGAAAACTAAAATGTCTACTTCAAAAAATTGTGTGGCCATGGTAAAGTACAAAAGCCTACATGGATAGAAGTAGATTTAATTAATCGTGCAATAACTTTGATACAATCACCTAAATGCACAAATAATCATATTTGAAAAGAGCAACAAATGATCAAATACATCAAAAATCAAAAAGAGAAATTTTGTTCTTTAAATTAAAAAATAATGGTTGCATTTAATATTTTGGAAAGAACTTCAACTTAATGTTTAATCAATTATATATAAAAAAGAATGTCTAACAACATATCTAGGTGAATCAAGAAATGAAAATTGGATATTTTGTACAAAATTAATTTATTTATTAGATTGTTATGATTTTGCTAAAGATACCGGTGGTGGAGCATGGGGCGAGAAATATGAGCGAGGAACAGGGTTTTGTTAATTTTAGAAAGTAAATTACCGTCCCTAATCTAAATTACAGAAGAGTTATACCCCTTTTATTATTTAGATCTTCCCACCCTCCTTAAATTCAAATTTTCCTTTTTATGTGTTTTTTTTTGTAGAGGCCTAGAGGAGCGAATATCAATATGTATCAATGGAGGAGTTGGACGGGGACTGCTCCCGTTTAGGTTCGGTAGCCGGTCATTTCCCCATATGTGTCGGCTCTTGATTGGAAGGTCTTGTTTTCCCGGCGAATTCCACTTTCCTTCCCGTCAATCTCTCTGTCTTCTTTTGCTATGGCGTTGCAGTCTTTTCCTCATCAAAAAAGACACATGGAATGGCTAAATTCATGAGCCAAATTTCTCCCATCTGTTATATTCAACTAATCCACATTCGGAAATCGTCTATGCTTCCTAGCACCATCGCACCGGAAAACAGTCTACACCTACAAAGAGAAAGTTGAGCGGGATTTCTTAGAAAAAAAGGAGCAAAAGATGAGCAAGGTCATGTATTGTTTCAATTAATTATCAAGAATTGAATTTGATTTGACTGCTGACTCGAATTCTATGACTGATTAGTTAAAGCTCCATTAGGGGATACGCATGAATGTTTCAGATTGGTGGTAGCATCAGTGACATGGCGAGTGGGTTGACCGTGAGAGAGCATAAGCACGGCGGCTGAAAACGGTGGAACTAATGGTAAGTGTCCATTGCTTTAATACCTTGAGAATTGAGATTAAGTATTTGAACCAGAAAAATATACTAATAAACTATCAAGATTAGTCATTTGTCTGTATCTTGATTGATCAAGTTGTGTTGACAATGTACTTGAAGTGTTTGACGTTTGGCCCAAAAGGTACTTCTTCTTTAGAATTAGTATAATTTGAGAGTTCTTTTATACTCATAACTTGAAAACTTAGGAAAAGATGATTATCATTACAATTGAGCTCTCAAAATGTGCTTAAAATGCTTCATTTTTGCCCAAATGACTTCAATACAATAATATATACTTGAACAAATTCCTGCTTTCCCAATTGATTAAAAGAACATTTTAACTCTTATCACCTTTCAATCTTGAATTTGTTGTGAATTTCTGAAATTTACTAGATGTTGTGCAAATTGAATTCTGACCTGACAATGTGCATTAATCTAAGATGGTTCTTTCCCTTGAATGCAACAAGAGAAAATGGAATCATCCCGACTCATGTGCCATATATGTTGAAAAATTATGGTACACAGATTCGATAAGGATTGATCCTTTAATCTGTTTGATAAGCTATGAACTTTGAAGTTCATTAAATCCAAACATCTTCAGAAACCTCAATCTCAGGTTTGATGAATGTGTTGTAGTATTGTTATTGGCACCTCTCATTTGGCAGGATAGGGTTTAACTCAAGATGATGTACTTTTTCCGCACCTTACGGTGAAAGAAACACTGACTTATGCTGCAAGTCTAAGATTACCGAGTACATTGATAAAACAGAAGAAGAGAAAAACGTGCCTCTGATGTCATATACGAGCTTGGATTAGAGAGGTATGTTCAGTTTTTCATGAATCTTGCAATTCACTCCATTCAATCTTATGTAAATCTTGTTCATTAGAAACAACAATGCCCTCAGTTTGCCATTTTCGCAGGTATCAAGACACCATGATTGGAGGCTCCTTTCTTTGGGGAGTTTCAGGTGGAGAGAGCAAGTGTGTTCGTATAGATTGGTAGTGTAAATTCAGAAAGTGGTGCTGCATCCTGCTTTGGCAACGGAAATACAGCAGCACTGCTGCTCCATTGAGCTTAGATCATTCCATCATAAAGCAAGAATGTACAACGTCTTAACAATAGATTTAAACAAGATTATTTAGGGCAACGGTGATGAAGGAATTATAAACTCTTAGGAATTTCAACTTGAGAAAAGTTGAAAACCAACATGCAATATCTGTTGATGTGAACAATAATTTCATATCGAAGGAAATATCATATATATGTCAATGGTCAAAATTGGTTCTCTGATGATCTCTCATCCATATGTAGTTTTCGAGTTTCTTAGATAATTGTCTAGCTCTTGCATATTTGTATCATCATTTATCTATTATTATTATTTATTTTGATTCCATACAATTCTCGAGCCTTAAAAAAAAATCCGGGCTCTATCTAGCATTCACCTGGGCTGCACCTTGTGATGCAGCAGCACCACCTAGTATATTTGAATATTGTGATTAGAGGAGTAAAAGTGCGGATACGGGTACGGGTATGATAAACCCGATTCGCGTGTGAATTTGTGATCACCTGGGAGCGCTATAAAAGCATTTTCCCAAACTCGGAAACCCAACAAAACCGACTACTGAAGCAGCACCAGTAGACTTAGTAGTACTAGTAAAATTAGTGGTGCTTTGCATTTTTCTTAGGCTTAATAATATAAAAATGCCCCCCTCGATCCACTGTAATTCGCATTTCATCGGAAACCACCAAAAATTGACAAGATTTTAAATCCTCCAAGCCTAGGGCTTATAGAAACAATCAGCTCCGGGAGACAACTGCTTCGTTTTCTTCGCTCGGAATTTTGCGGTGTCGACCGGCGGTTATGGCGTTCTGGTGGCCGCTGCTGGTGCTCGGCTTCGCGTTCGCGATCTGTAAACTGCTTCTCATGCTCATTCCTCCCAATGTTCCCTCCATTGATGTGGATACTTCTGACGGTACAACTTCGTTTTCCTTTTCTTTTTCTTTTGCTTCCTCTTCTTTACTTTGATGTATGAATGAATTTCATTGGTACGTATTCGCACCCTTGAGTTTTGATGTCTGATATTTCCGGTTTGTGTTGCTCGGTTAATTATACTTTTAACTCTTTGTACCTTCGACATTGCCTCAGATTTCTTTCACGAGCTTGATTTTTATGTATTTTAGATGTATAAACGCTTACGACACTGTCCTGCTCGTTTTCCTCTTATAAGACAGAAAAACAGAGGTTTCTGCATCTTCGAGCTTATTTTTCTGCTCTTCTGTTTTCTTTTTCTGATGTGTTTGCTTGTGATTAATAATGCGAATCTTTTATGTTTTGTGACAAATTTCATAGAACTTTTTTATTTCCTTTACATTTTGACTGTTTAAAAGAGCAATGGAGGCACTATTTTGATTCTATTTGCTGCTTTCTATATTTGCAGTTATGGATGATCGGAACCAGACAAAGGACAACAGCTTCATATATGTGAGTCAAATGCTTTAGTTGATTGTCAAAACTCCTTTTGCTTTCAAGTTCCCCTGAATTTGCTTTGTTACATGCTCTGGTTTTGTGTGTATAGAAATGCTAACTGCCTAGGGATCTCTTGTAGCTAAATTTGCAATATGCAAACACACAGAATATTTTGCCAGCACAGTGTTTAATGTATCTGCATATAAGAAATGTTTAGTTTCTGACCATTGCCATGAAATGAAGGATAGTTCAGACCAAAAGTATGTTTAGATCTTCGTGGAGAGCTTGTAATCTTCAATTTTATTTACATTTAATATTTTCCTTGGCGATTGTTCAGATACTGGTGTTATCATTTTTGGATGTTTATCTGTTTTGATTGCGAGTTATGGGGATATTTGCAGTACTACTCCAGAAGCTTACATCTGGTTATTTGCAGATACCTTCCAGGAGACAGACAGACAAAGTTCAGTGCTATGAACCCGCAACGATGAAGTACCTTGGCTACTTCCCAGCACTGGAACCTGATGAGGTTTCTACAACCCTATACATCTAATGATTTAGTTACTGAATACACATACCTGTGTTCCTTTCATGCATCCATCTCCTTCCTTAGACATTGATTAAGCATCCAGTTCAATATTTTCTTGCCTTTGGCTCAGTTTGATTATAATAGGTTGCTACTGGTCCTGAATTATCTGTGCATCTAGAATTTGATATAGTCATTTTTTCCCCTATGATTTTTGTGTATCTTTAATCATACTTGCTTTGTGTATCCTGATCCCATTTGTAGAATATGAAGGGGAGGTTTATTTTCTTTTGCTTTTCCGGTGCAGACAATATGTTTTAAATTACTGTAGATATTGTTTTGTGATCAAGTTCACTTGCCAAAAAAGACTGCTTTAGTCAATATTGGAGTATTCGCTAAGATATCTGATGATAATAGATGGCCATATCACCTAAAAATAAAAAATATTGGAGCATACTTTCTTTTGCATTTGGTTGCTTTTTCTGATTTATGTTTATTGTTAAAAATAAAATGCTGAAAACTGAATAACTTGACGACTGAATTTAACGCTTGCATAGGTTAAGGAGCGAGTAGCACATGCGAGGAAAGCCCAAAAAATATGGGCAAAGAGTAGTTTCAAGCAAAGGCGTCAGTTCCTACGGATACTTCTGAAATACATTATTGAACATCAGGAGCTTATTTGCGAGTAAGAACACTTAAACTGAAAATTTACTCTGCATAGCTCCTGGAAGTCACTTCACTAGTTACTCCTGTTATTGCATGGGTTCCATCACCCACAAAACAAATCAGGGCTGGCAGAAAGCCAACTGAAGTAAATACTTGATTTGTTATAAAAATAGAAGAGCCAACAGAAGCCCAAAAAGTTATAGGAAACCAGTTTTATCGGATATTAACTTCTAATCCACATATGAGCACCTTCAGTTAATGATAATCACACTTTATTCTTGATTCTGTCCTGAAGCTCTGTGACAAGGTCTATACCAATCCAAATAGGGTGTGTCAAGAACTGAAAAATTCACTAATGCAAATGACAATAGAAATAATAAAAATTTATAATGCATGGGATTTACTTCTATCTAGTTGTCGAAAAGTTCGTAAACAAATCTATACTTCTGTTTGTTGCTTCATATCCGTGCAATGGTTTTGTCTATTTAGAAAGTAGTTGCGACAGAGTTTAATCGTATTCTTTTCCAAATAGAATTTCCTCTCGGGACACTGGAAAGACAATGGTAGATGCTTCCTTGGGAGAGATAATGACAACCTGTGAGAAAATCACTTGGCTTCTTTCAGAGGGTGAAAAATGGTTAAAGCCTGAATACAGGTACACCGGACTTATTTTATATTCTGACTAGGAGCCCTTACTTATTTGTCAACTCAATATTTTCTTGTTCAAACCTGTTGAAATAGGACATGTCTTCTGTTATGTAGTAGGCAGTAGGCATATTGCAAATTGAATGCCTTTGTTCACTCTTGTGGTAGCCTGTTAGTTAAGTGCCTTGACAAAAGTTTAATGTATAGAGCGACTTTACTCTAGGTCATTTCCATACTTTCTCTTTCACATGTTTATTTTTCAATATCTGGTATTTTATTTTATGAGGAGAGTAGTTTGGTCTCGTGACTCCCAATTGCACTCTTTAATAGCTTAATGTTCTGATCATTTGGGTAACATTACACATTTTAAGAATCCTGAAATGTGTCCTGTAGCTGTTTTATCTGATACTTCAAGCGGCTGAGCTTGACTTGGATTTTAATGGTTGAACGTCATGTAGGTCTTGTGGACGATCAATGCTTCATAAGAGAGCCAAGGTGGAGTTTTATCCTCTTGGTGTAATTGGTGCTATTGTCTCATGGAATTATCCATTTCACAATATATTCAACCCAATGCTGGCAGCAGTATTCTCCGGAAACAGCATTGTGATAAAGGTATTGTTGTCCCTTGTGTCATCTGCCAGATGAGTCCAACTGTTGCATCATTAAGTCGACTCCTTATTATAGAATTATAGATTAAGTAACAGTCTTTCTTTGAATCTTTAGGAAAGATCCTAGTCCAGATCAATTTTATTATGATTTAGGACCAAGTTTGTTAGTTTATGATGGGCTTCAGTTCGTAGAAGTTGTTGACGCATCCGTTGCTGATCCAATTATCTGACTGCCACTAATTTGATTCAATTGTAGGTCTCAGAACATGCTAGCTGGTCTGGATGTTTCTATATGAGAATTATCCAGACAGCTCTTGCTGCTGTGGGAGCTCCCGAAAACCTAGTCGAAGTCATAACTGGGTAGGGTTTTGTAGTCATATTATTTTTGTGAGCCTGTATTCAAGTTTTAATTTACATGAACATCCTGCAGGTTTGCTGAAACAGGGGAAGCTCTAGTATCTGCTGTGGACAAAATGATATTTGTTGGGTCACCTGGTGTGGGTAGAATGGTATGTGTAAACATTTTGTTTCCAGCTGCAAACTGCTACTCAGTTTCACATTTCCGACAAGCTGACCTTGCTCCTTGCTCTTTACTGCAGATAATGAGGAAGGCTGCAGATACTTTAATCCCAGTGACACTTGAGCTTGGTGGAAAAGATGCATTTATTGTATGCGAAGATGTGGATGTGCATCATGTACGAATCCTCTGAAACTTGGATTTTTATCTTTAGACTTCGATGTTCCAAATTCTCTCAGACCCTCGGATGTTGATCCGTCGACATTCTCTTGCTTCTCGTGCTTCATAGTTTGTTATTGATACAGGTGGCTCAAGTTGCTGCTAGAGCTGCTCTCCAATCAAGCGGGCAAAATTGTGCCGGTGCTGAGAGATTTTATGTTCACAAGGATATTTATTCTTCATTTGTTGCAGAAGTTGTCAAGATTGTGAAAACTGTTACTGCTGTGAGTGTATTCTCAGTCTTGTCAAGTTAGTTCATAATCAGAAACACTTTTTTTTAAAAAAAATAAATTAAAAAAAATACATTGCCAGTTAGTCTTACTGATTTTATGAACTTTATGATTCTACAAACATGGGTTAATTGTATCTGATATTTCAAATCCTATGCCATGTGCATCCTGTTGCATCCTTTGTAGCTGGATTTTTTTCCCTCAATATTCATATTTATTTGGGCAACTGATGTGATCTTCATTTTTAAACATATCTCAACCAATTGTTGGTTAAGCATTGATTCTGTTCTTCATTTTGCGAACACTTGATGTTACGCAGGGGCCTCCACTGGCTGGAAAGTATGACATGGGAGCAATATGCATGATGGAGCACTCTGAAAAGCTTCAAAATCTTGTAAATGATGCGCTAGAGAAAGGTGCTGAAATTGTTGGCCGAGGAAGTGTTGGCAACATTGGTGAAGGAGCTGTTGATCAATATTTCCCACCAACGGTGATTGTAAATGTGAATCACTCTATGAAGTTGATGCAGGAGGAGGTACTTTGTTTCTGACTTTTTATCTGTTCTGATTGTATTTCTTCAACTGGGAAATTTTTGAATTTTGGTTATGGGACATGCAGGCATTTGGACCAATTTTGCCCATAATGAAATTCAGCACTGATGAAGAGGCTGTTAAGTTGGCTAATGATTCAAAATATGGCCTTGGATGTGCTGTGTTTTCTGGCAACCCTAACCGTGCCAAGCGAATTGCCTCACAGTTGCATTGTGGAATGGCTGCCATAAACGATTTTGCTTCAAATTACATGTGTCAGGTATTTTCAGTAACAAATCCAAAAACATCATAAAAAACACACTATAAAGTCTCTATTTTGAAGACAATGAAATGCCTATTGTAGCTTTCTTAAATAATTTTTAATTTCCCTTATGATTAGGGTTAGAGAATTTAAATGGGTGCTACAGATTTGCTTGATATAAGAATGCAACATGAAATAGTGATTAGCGTGTTTACAGATGTAAATGGTTTAAATTCTATGTCTCATTTTCAAAATTAGAACATTGGGCTATTTGTTTCTAAAAAGTTAGTTTACATGTGACTTATCTTTTTGGGGTCCATTTTACAGAGCTCTTGGCTTACTTCCTCTTGTATTTAGAAAAAATCTTATGCAATCCTGACTCCTGATGTTTGCAGTCTTTACCATTTGGCGGGGTGAAAGACAGTGGATTTGGAAGATTTGCTGGGATAGAAGGTTTACGAGCTTGCTGCCTTGTAAAAGCAGTTGTGGAGGATCGATTGCCTTTCATCAAAACTAAGATACCAAAGCCAATTCAGGTAATATATATACTGACAACTTCTTTGATGCCTGGGTATTGTGAAACAAATTCACAAACTTGATAGTGTCTTACTCACAATGCAGTATCCTATTGCGGAAAATGGTTTTGAATTTCAAATTTCCCTGGTCGAAACTCTCTATGGCTTGAATGTGTGGGATCGGCTAAAGGCCTTGGGAAACGTTATCAAGATTGTTACGGAGCAGAACCAGCCCACTATAAACAAGAAGAGATGAAATGTCTGAGGTTTGTTCAACTTTGTTTATGAGTTGGCACCAACTTTTATCACAAAGCTTCGCTCACGGCTCCATGTTTGACAGACTTTCATTCTAACAGGCTACCCAGATTTTGCTTGACCTTATATGTCTTTTCTGGGTATTAGCTTTTAACGTAACGAGCTTTACATTGTTCTTAAAATGCTCAAAGCTAACAGGGCAAATCGTTTGTATGTTACGTGAGCCGTCATCAATTCATGTGAAGTTTTGTATCACTTGCTTGGAAAGAGGGTATTCAAATCAAACGGTATGTTATTGATCAGTGAATCGCAGTTAATTGATTACAATAACGGTACAACACACCTTTTCAAAACCAAAAAAAAAAAAAAAAAAAAAAACCTGGTACCACACAAAACTAAAGATAAAACGCCGAAAGCAGTTACCTCACTAGATCACCACCTATATACATCAATGTAAACTTCAAAGTTTAGTTGCCCGGGTGATTTCCCATGCTGTTGTGTAGTGCTCAGAATCCATCATACTAGCTTGACCCTTGCAGTTGACGATGGCGACAGTAAACCTTTCATTCTCTAGAGCAGATGGATAAATGATTTGCTCTTCCTAAGATGAAAAAAAGTTAACACAACGAGATTAAATCCAGGGGAAATTAAATTAACCAATTCAGTTCAATTGCTAGAAATCCCATCTAACACAGTAACTTCCTTGTTACAATTCTATTAACTTTTAGCTAAATTTTCCTTGTAACAAAAAAAAAACCTTATTTCTTATGATTCGAAACAGTATACCAAATCTCCCTTTTTTTTAACAGAGTCATTGCAATAGTATTAGAAGTACTTTCTAATCCATTTGACAATGTCCAAATACTATAGCAATTAATGTCTATATTACAGAGTCTGAAAAAGATCGATAGAGGCTATTAAAATTATTTTTTAAGCCAAGAAAGAAAAAAAAAAAAAAGATGTGTTCTTTTCGAAACCACAGAGTTTATTACTAGTGAATCCAATTGAAAAAGTTCTGCTATTTTCATTCACAAAAATAAAAACTCAAAAGTCATAATCTTATTAAGGAAAAGAACCAAAGATTTTCAAACTGACATTTGATGTACTTTGCGTAAATATTACTATGTCTTTCGTTCTCCGTCAATGGAACTAAATTTACAGAGATAGAACTTTTGAAACTAGATTTGTAAACGTTTTATTGACTTTTGGACTATATTGGAGACGACAGTAAACTTGAGACATGATCACAATTCGCTCTTACACCACCATTTCCTTCTTTAAATTGAAGCAAGTATATTAGTTACTTCTCTACCATTCTGCATTCTTTTCGTTACTATTAAAATGAGACCAAAGAAATACTCCCCTCTGTCTTAAAATTATTGTCCATTTTGAAATTTCACTTTTAGTACAATTTGAACTAAAAATGAAAGCTCAAACTGGACAATAATTATGGGGGGAGGGAGTATTATGAACTTCCTCTTAATCTTTCGGTATTCTTAAAAAGGTCTTGAGATTCAGGTTTAAATAATCGCTGTCTAAATGGTTGAAAACCCAAAATCCATTTATCAAGAACTAAGCTGAATTTTATTTTTTTTTTTCACAAAAAGAAAACAAAGTTTGAAGTTTATAGGTAAGGACATATTTACCTCGGGCAATGCATCAAATTCATCAGGAAATATTTGCAACAGCTCTGCCGCCGTTTGACCAATGCACCAACCCTGGATTTTGGTACTCTCATCTGCAAGGGTTATCTTCATATGGAATGAACGCACTACTTCCCCAGAGCAATTACGGTTGCAAAAAGTGCAAAATATATCCCCAGGTTCGTTCTCAATAAAATTACCGCAAGCAGAATGCAAAAATCTGGTATTTACGTGCTCAATGTGATCCAGCCATACTCGACATATCTGATAAGAGATACAACAGAAGCCATGATAGTTAATAATGGATTAAGTTCCAGACGATCTTAGTTTCTTCTATTGAAAGGAGTTATTAGACTAGACCATTTAAGGTAGGTCTTAATATTCATCCAACTACAAACAAAACAAGTGAGATTTAGGATCTGTTTGGAAAATCATGACTTTGCCAACACAACTGTCACGTAGCAAATTTTTCTAATAAGATATCCATCGGTTACATGCAGGATTGCGGGATAGAATCCATGTAGTAATGCAAATTGAACATAATAGAATTATAACTGAGATCACGTCCCTCTAATTTAAACTCTCCTCAAATAAAGCACAAGGAAGCAAGAAAGCACAAAGAACAGTGATGCTAATTGCTTATCTGAGGAAACAAGAAAGCACAAAGAACAGTGATGCTTATTGCTTATCTGTTAGCTGGAGATTTTGAATCTAAGAGGAAGAAACATACATGAGTGATGCCAGTCTGCAATTCCAGGTCAGAAAGGCATGATAACTTGTGAAGACAAGATGAGTTCAACAATGCTGGTAAACAACTTAGATTCATAAATGAAGCACCGCTCTCATTCTCCACCCATGATAACTCAACTCTGCCAAAGGGATATAGTGAGAACAAACGTGAAGATCAGACTACGCAGAAAAGTGGGTATCTCAATCCAAAAAACATAAATCCATGTATACTCACCTATTGTTTTTGCTTGTGGAAGACATCAAACCAGATATGTAAACAGTGTGACCAAGGCTTACTCTTCCAACTGACCTAGAATGCATAAATAGATACATATATTAGGAACCAGAGCATTAAACTTCAACAATGAGATAATAAGATATTCCTTTCATAGGAAGCTATCTTTATGAGAAATACCAGGATCTAACAAAATGTAGCTTTATCCAAATGGTTCCAGTTCTGTCATTAATCTCCAAATAGAAAGTGGAACTTGCTGTATGTGTATCTCGAACGATATTGCTAACTACACCAAAAAGACTGATGCTAGTCATCTTGCCACGTACATCAGCTACAAATGACTGCATCACTTCAACGGCAGAAAAGAGCTCAGTGAAACAGGAGAAAAGAAACTGGACTATGACACAAATTTCGTTTCTAAACTATCACAGAATCTCTCTATTATAAAATATTGAGTTCAAAGCAAGCTCTCTCTTTCATAAGTTTTACACATAGCAAAACTCAAATAAAGTAACAAGTTGATCTGCAAAGAATAAGCGAACCTAAATTGGACACATAAGAAACACCACAAATAATCCTCCAAGTCCCTAAAGCCTCCTGGACTAACTACAAACACCTTTTTCCCTTGCAAAATTTAGATACAGGAAAAAGATTAGTGTGAATTTTGAGCTCATTTGACAATGGCTATAGTGGAATAAAGGCTTAGTTATATACTATTAGTACCACTGGATATGATTACCCATGGAGATGTAATTCAGCAAATAAGTTCTTTAATTTTAATCAATTTGCCAGATAAAATAACTCACTGTAGAAAAGTTAAACTTCAAATCTGCATGCAAATATGATCCGGTTGAAAGTCTTAAGCGATGAATCACTTACGCGAAATGGATAATGGCTGAAATCCATGGATCCTTGAGAATCACAAGGCAAGCTAACTTGGGAAACTACAGATCCTTGACTTGGCTCTGACATGGGGATAAACCTTGACCCTTGAGAACGGCTCTGGGTTAAAGCCACAGACACCTAGAAACCCCAAATGTTAACATTTTATTCATAGCCGGCTACCTTTTTGGTCAACATACAGATGCAGGACTTACATGTTCCTCATGTTGAAGAAAAGGTACAAGATACAACTGTGTTTCGCTACCATATTCAAGGCAAAATGTTTCACATGTTTCCAAGGCGCAATCGGGAGAACTTGCAATGAATGGCCTATCCAGGGCGAGCATGCTCCCAACACTAAGAAGCGGCTGAATTATGTTCACATTCAACAGCAAGAAAGGATTTTTCAAAAAGAAATTAGGACTAGAGAGTACCTGAACAGATTAGCTAGCAGAACCTGATCACCCCATAGCAGAAATGTTGCCTTGACATCGTCATTGTCTACAAGTATTATCTGCTTCCTCTGCAAACAATGCTTCCCCTGGGTCTCCAAGGATCCAATAGCTTCAATTCTATGTCCAAGGAAAGAACAAAAAATATTAGCACAGACCAGTAAGGGATACAAGGAAAAATAAATTGCAAAGAATCATACAAGCAATATTTATCTTACCTAGCATACAATGAATAAGAGACACCTTCATTAATTGCCTCGAGTGAAATGGAAGAGAAGGAATCAGAACAAAATTGAGCTCCAAGAAGCATGGCATCATCATCTTGGTCCTGCATTTAGATGTACATCTCAAGCCAACTCTAGAAACATTACATAATTTCTTAAAACAAAATAAAAAGCCAGCTGACTAATGACCTCAAAATGATGATAACCACAACAGTAACACAGAAGAAGCAATCATCTATAGTTAAATCAGTGAACAGTATTGAATATGCGAAAAAACTGATAATACCTCATCTAACAACACTATAAAATTTTCGGTTGGCAGAAGCCGAGACTGAGCAGAACTTCCACTGGCTGTCCGAAGATGGCATCCAGTAAGTAAGACTTCTCGTCCCTTCCTCAGAATCCCATTGATTGGATCAACTAATTTGTAAAATCTGTTTGACAATTATAGGAAGACATCAAAAATCACAATTATCTACTGGAAATATGGATGAACCACTTACTTTATTAACATACACAACTAAGAGAGCTATGAAAATATGATTATTGCAAATGTACCAAATCACAGCTAAAATCAATCCGAAGTTTTAGACAAATGGTCTACATTAATCTTGGTCAGCAGTCCATTCATTGAACATATGTAAAATAATTTTTTTTTTCAGTTTCTTGAATAAGAAAAAGGAGAACCCCAGCAGCACATAAAGTGAAAAGGCAATATAATCAGTAGATATTTGAGGAGTTAGTTCAATGACCTTCGATGGAGGTAGAGGTCAATGGTGTTAGAGCTCCAAAAGTCACCCAAAGTTATCATATAGATATTTGTCCCTGCAGGAAGCTAGATTTTATTATTTCAAATTTAATTAAATGAACGTGTCACTATCAGTAATAACAAAAACTGCCGTATATGAAAGAAATATGCAGGAAGCACTGTAACGATTGTTAACAAGCGTGGCATTGTGATACATTATGCATTAGAACAACTTAAAAAACTTGTTCTGCGGGTCTCATTCCACCAACTACACGAGGAGCATATGCAAAAGCCCAAAGTTTGTGACTTGTTAACATAACTTTATGTAACTAGCAAAAATACTGCCACGACAGAACCATAGAGTTATACAATTGAGACATCAAGATCTATAGATATGTTATTCAAGGCATAACAGACAACAACAGATACAATCGTACTAGGTAAGTAGGCATAATGTACGGAATGAAAAGGTCCTCAGTCTACCTGGAAGTGTGTACACATCTAATATTACTGCTTCAATAACACTAGCCAGTGATAAAAATCTTTTCTCGTATATGGAATCAATCGTAACAGTGTCGGGAAGCTTCGCTCTCTTATGTTTTTCCCTCATTTTGTTCACATAATCTGGCCTCTTTTTTGGAGCTCTAACTCTATTCTGCTCGCTCCAGGCCTGAGTTCCAAAAAAAAAAAGCACGTATGTCAACCACAATAGATGCTAGCTAATGAATTTAGCAAGACATTTAACTTATACAGCAATAAGATGCAATCACAAGAGCATTTAGGATATCATACATAAGGCGGAAATTTGATGTTAACATCATAATCGCCAAAATCCAGAAAGCAATAAACACAACATCAAACAAAATTTGTAAGCATCATCCTTATAACGAAGGCAAACCAACTGGTTATAGCGTATAAAGTTAAAAGTGTGCAGAAGCTAAGCAGCTAACTGACTTAAAGAGATTCATTCAGAAAATAATCAGCTCACGAACACAAATCCGTCAATAAAGAAAAACTAGCAACAAAGGAAGGAAAAAGAAGAAAGAAATGAGAGGCTTAGGTACCTGAGAGAGATCGGAGAGGAGAATTGCCGGAGTAACGCCGCTAGAATACGCAGAACAAGTCTTAAGTATCCGAGAAGCGGTCCAGCTCCAACCAGGACGGTTGGAGTTCTCCTTTTCATTCTCGCTCAACATCGTCTGAGCAAAATCGATGAATTTGATGAACGGATCCTCATCCTGCTCCTCCACGTCCGCCGCCTCTTTCTGCTCCGATTGATCGGCGACTATTTCCATGGCGGATTGTTCGTAGTCCATCATTCCTCTGAGAATCGCTTGATCTGAGAGAAAATCCATCTCCTCGAGTAGAGAAATAGAGATGGAAAAGGGAAAAAAAATTATAAACCCTAATCAGGAAGTCAGTGAAATCAATTGGCCGGGAATAATTAATAAATTTTTGAATTTTCTGGCTAAGCTTTTGGCGCCTATATATGTGACTTCATGAGACCAAAGCCGGTCCTTATCCTTCTCTTTTACTCGTAGTTGCAATTAATCCAATAAACTGTTAATAAAAAAAAATGTAAGGAAAAGAAAAAATTACAACATTTATTTTTGAAAGTAACACACACTAAGACAAATCAAAATAGTTAGTTTATTTATTTTAAAAAAATATTTTATTACCCATTGTGTCAAGTTCTGTAATTTTATTTTTTTTTAAGAGAATCCAGAACGGTACCTGGCGGGCATTCCCCCGATTTTATTAATTTAAAGGAAAAATTACAGAGGCTGTAATTTTTGTTCCTTTCAATTTGAGTTTAATTTCTAAAGTAATTTACTGACCAAACGATTGGAAAGCCTTGAATGATTGAATTTCATCATGAATTATTCACTTCTCACTTCTTAAGTCCATTTAATCGAGAAACTTTTCATCACTTTTTCAGTAAATATGAAGACAGGTTTGGTATGGATATATCCTTTCATCTAAGTTTATGCCCTTTTTTTTTTAAAAAAAAAAAAAGAAGTAAAATTATGGTAAAAATTACTAAAATGTGAAATGGATGCATAAAGTATAATTCTTGTGCCACTACTCCATTGAATTCAATCTCTGTAATGACATATAAAACACTCATCGCATTACTAGCAGCAGTTAGGGAGTAGTAGTTTTTTCTGTTCTGTCTGGTGTTTCCATCTGAACTTCGAGTGTTGAGGGATCCAAACGTAACATTTCTCGAACAAATTTATCGAGATCAAACGAACTTCGACCATCATCTTCAGCTCCTTGCAAACCAGTTGCGGATTCCACGGCGAATGGATCCCCCCTCGACTTGATGTATGGACTCTGATCCAGGTTCAGGAGTCTCTTGATGCTGTCGATTGCCGGATCTATGATGTCTAAGAACCCCATGACCCATGATGCATCATCAACAACTTCAGTTCTCTGTTTCATACAAGGAAGAGTTCTTTCTATAAGGCACGACTGACTAATGCATTTACTTGCAGTCATTAGTGTGACAACATAAGATGTATAATGATACATATTCAGACAAGATACCAACTCTACATTAGTCATTGAGTGTATTATCGCTCTTCTCACCAATTTTTTTATACTCTTCTCACCAAAACAGTAGTCATTTTGTGTATCACTGTACTGTCCGTTCTTTTTTACTCTCTATTAAAGTACATTAGACTTCAAAAACGATGAGAGCTAAGTGAGGTTCAGAAGTTAAAGGTTACCTGCTGGAAGTAAAGATTGCGGATTTCATCAGCGCGATCTGAATTCCCTTGATCTTCCTCCAAAGATGCCCAAGTCATCCATGTCACATAGCTCTGAGAATTTATGTTCAATGAAGATCTAAATAATCTTCTAGCCGCTGACAAGTTCCCAAGTCTTTGCTCCAAAACACCCCAAGCCTGCAACACAGTATTCCATGATAATCCAATCTTAGTGACTTCCTTTCTATTCACTAATTCCAAGAATATAATCTGGTAAAACCATATAAAGTTCCCATTATTGTAAACCTGAAGGCACCGAGCAGCACTTTCGGTGGTGGAATTGATTGACAGAGCCTTTTGGTACAACTCTCTAGCTTTCGATATGTTTCCTTCTTTCCACTCCATCCATCCCCAAGCCTAACATTTTCAAAACAGAAATTAGTTAAAGATAGGGTGTATAAGCGGCAAAATGAAACCATAATCCCAGAGACAGGAAGATATGGTAGCTTGTTTGGATATGGAAACAAGTCATGGAAATGTAAAAGGAAGTGATACATCCAAGATCATTTGGAAATTCTTACAATCCAAACGGGTTGGTGCCTCGGATCAAGTTGAGATGCTTTTCTAAACAATGTTCTAGCGAGATAAGGACTTGAGTATTTGTATTCCAGCAATGCAAGTGACTGAAGGAGCACTGGATCTCTTGGATTTACGGCATGTCCAATCTTCAAGAGTTTCCTTCCCTTGTCAATGTTTCCCAAATTTGATTCAAAGACTCCCCAGACATGCCATGCAAACCTATTCTTGGGACTGGCCTGGACAGCTTTCTGCATAAGGGAAGAAAAGGTAACTGAAAATAAGATTTAATAGATGTATATTATTCAAAAACCAGAACATTTAGAAGAAAATAAGAATTCAAAGAGACAAGAGGATCTACCTCAAAAAGCCGCCTAGCTTCGTGGTTGTTCTCCTGTTGAGCCTCCAGTTGAGCCCAGGCCTAAAAAGGTGAAACTTTTCTTAAAACTCTTACCCAGAGTGAGTGCGATTAAGATATACAGAGTGTGTTATTGGTGCCTTAGTAAGAAAGATCTTTATGAGATTTTTCTTTTCTGAAAATGTATACTCACGAGCCAACTTGCGCAGCTCTTCGGATTACACTTGGTCGCTTGCTTGAATAAATAGCGCGCTTGTTCATATCTTTTTGCTTTAGCCTCCAGTAATGCGAGTGTCTGGTATATGTATTCATTTCCACCACAATATTTCAGACCTTTTCCAAGAAGACTCCTAGCCTTCTTAATGTTCCCCTGTTTCAGCTCTAAGACCGCCCATCCGTGCCAAGCTGCAGCATGCCTCTTGTCAGCAACAGTCGAAGCATCAAACAGTTCTCTTGCCCTCCTAACATTGCCCATCTTGTTCTCTAGAACAGCCCAGCACTAGCAAAAAGAAATAGGTACAATAAGCGTCTGTGACGAGAAAAGTGAAAGAAACAACAGTTATTAGCCACCATGCTCAAATGAATCACACAATATGTCAAATGCTCCAGGTGTGTATTGTCTAGTTCACCAAGCACAATCAGGATCCAAATGAGTTACAAGCGACTCTGAGCTTCAGCTAAAGAACACAGATCCGAGTGGTGTCATAAACCTACACAAACATGATATCTTGGACATCCAAAAGTAGATGAAAATATATTACAAAACAATATTTTCAGAACAATATCACCAGCAGCTAAGTCCTAATCCCACCGTGTGATATGGACTCCCATGTTCTATAGTCACAAAGAATAATATGGACACTAAGCTTAAAGACTCTGGGAAGGTAGCAAGTTGGACACTAAACAACAACATAGTCATCATGCAAAACTGTATCAAGAAAGTTTCTCCCATCAGATCATACAACTGATGAGCAACAACAGTGTCATTCAAGTAAAACTGAACGTTTCAACATTTTAGTAAAATTTACTTCGATCAAAACATATCAAACTGCTAATCCAAGGCAGTGTTTGACCTCTGTTTACAACCAAATTGATACTGATGAGGACTAGCTAAGGCCCAATTTATCTAAGATAGATTATACCCATAAGTAAAATCGAACACAACGTCAAAACCAACATCAAACCATGGCAATTGACTAGAGAACAGAGATATTGATCAGGAAAAAGTCTAACCTGCCAAATGTAAGGATTTTCTCCTTGTGTGGCCTGGCAACCTTTTTCATAGACAGCCCTGGCTTCTTTCATTTTAGATTGTTTACTCAAAATCTTTCCTAATGCCACATATGATCTCCCATCTTCTGGCCAAATTTCAATGCACTTCATATATAATCATGCAACCAAAAATCAGTTCAATGTACAAAAACAAAACCAACAAAGAGAAAAAGGGAAATAGGGATTGGGTTGCTGAAATCACCTTCTGAAGTATTTTCTCAGCAGCTTGAAACTGGTAATTCCTCCCTAATATTTTAGCTCTATACAAAGCTAAGTCTAAATTCACTGCAAGCGGCTTCTCCTCAGAAGAAACTGCTGACTGTACCCTTCCAGTAGGCTCAAAAATAGGCATCTTTCTAGCAAATTCAGTAAGATTGTCATCAAATGAAGAAGAAGAAGATGGTTTTTCCTCCTCCTCAATAATATCACTTTCAGAATCTCCTCTATTTGCTTCTTCCTTTTCCTCTTCCTCTTCTTGTCCATCTTCTCGTTCCTCCTTGTAGAACTCCATCACTGGCCTACGAACAACAAGCAATTCCTCCAGGGATTTCTTCGCAGTCCTGATTTTCTTTTCACTAATCTGAAAATCATCATCATTATCAACTTGTCCCTCATCATCAACATCATTATTATCATCATAATCCAACTTCTTATTTTTCTGGGGTGTTTCTTCAAGAAGTGGTGAAGATGATGATGTTGATGACAATTCACGAGAAGAAATGGGATATTTTGAGAGAGAAGAATGAAGGGTTGACTTAAATGGAGTTCCAGAAGTTGAGCTGAATTTCAATGGGGGATTGGAGTTTTGAGGATTGAGGATAGTGTACTTGGAGGTTGAAGATGAAGAAAATATATGCATTTTTTTTTTCTTTTTTCCTGTTCTTTGTATCCTATAATCTAAACTGTATGAATATATTTTACACCATTCAATTCAGTTCTTCAATTGTTAAAACTGTGCAATTGTTATTATTACCATAATTGTTCTTTTTGGACATGCAAACTGAAAATTGAACCCAAATTCTCAGAGTAATACTGCAGAATTGCTTGGTGGGAAATTTAATAAAAAAAAAAATTTAAAAGAAATAGAAATTGAGGGAAAAAGACCAATGGTTGTCGGCGCGCCACGTAGGTGACCTTCATGGGTGGCTTATGCTGCATCTGGAAAAGTAGATTTTTTATACACGTGGAAACATCTTGTTGGTTGGACTCGGGAGATAAAGCACTGCAGGATATTTTGGGTTTGTTTATTTTTTTTAATGTGTTTTTAGTTATTTTTTGTATTGAAAATGTAAAAAAATATTAGAAAAGTAAAAAAATATAATGAGATGGAACAGTTAATAATAATTTAATTCGAAAACACCATCAAGAAAAGATAAAAAAACAAAGTTTTTGATATATTAATGCGGTTTTCATCGTAGGCATGTACGTGTGGAGTATCACTTAGTAATAATATCTTCGAGTCTCTCCTTAGTAGTAATATTCTTTTCTTCTGGTAGATCGCACAAATATAATAGTTTCGGATATCTGGTATATCAAAAAAAATAAATAAATAATTAGTGTTTCATCTGGAGAGCACAAAAAACAAGCCGACAAAATATACAAAAAGAAACGAAAGGAATTTCATTTTCCATTTTTTCCTCGATGTTAAAAAAGAGAAAAAGAGGAAAATATTTCCCGAGTTTAACAAAGAAAACAAAGAGAACAGTTTCCAACGGAATTTCTATAATTAGTTAACTAATAACAGGGAAATACTCATATCTACTAAGGATGCTACCAAAAAAAACTGTCTACCTCCTCCTCATAGATCGAATTCAAATGTCACCTATACATTAAAATGATGGATGTCGAATAATGTTCACAGCTCTTCAAACAAACTCAACCGAAGTACAACATGTCGAGTGCAATGTGTAACCACACTGAAAATGTATTCTCTGTTAAAGTGCAACCTATACCTTTTGTCATGATAGATTCCAAATAATGAAAGATCAGGTGTGTTCTATGCCATGAAGTTGTTTCTTCCTATGCTCAACCGACAATCCATTTCCGCTTTCTTGCTGGTCTATGAAGCTTCTTACTTTCAGCAGTTTCCGTGACTTTGTCAGCTGCGTCAGGCTTGTCATTCTTCTCTGATGATGCAACCCCTAAAGATTGCTTGAACCTCTCTCGCCGCTTTTCCATTTTGTCCATCATTTCCTGTATCCTGGGTTTGTTACTCGAAAGATTCTCTGAGCCTGCAATGCCTGAAGTATCTTTTGATGTGCACGTCTCTTTCTTGGCTATGATATGACCTCCTTCAACGTCAGGACAATGGTGCCTTGTGGTATCAGTATACTTGTCGACCCGACTTAAATCCCCCGAATTGTTATTTCTGTGATTTTCACCAACTATGATCCCTGATTGGTAATCATCTGAATCCTCAAAATTTCTCTGACCCGAATGATCATTCCAGTTCAAGCTATTGTCATGCCTAGCATTACCTCCAAAGTACCTGGTGGACTGCAGAGCATGACCAGGAAATGTATAAAAGTAAGGATGTTCTGTATGTATCTCAGAGTAAGCAGAATAGCCAGTCTGAAGACACTATGAGGGATGACTGATATGAAACGAAACTGAAAGAAATAGTAGGGGAACCACAGAGCTGTTGAATGTACACAGAAAAGTGCTTGCAAAAGCGGCAAATGCTTCACAAAAAGAACAAAACACAACTACCAAGATTTAAAGTGAAATGTTAACCTAACAGCTTGGACTCCCTTAGACACCCAAATCAATATACACTTTCTTCATATACAAAACTGCCAAAACTCATCATAGCAAGCATGAAAATGTGGGGACTCTTTATGGATACAATGTTATCCTTGACAAGGAATGATGTCATGACGACAATATGGTATGCATTCTACCCATAAATTTCCGACCTTCCACTTTATCATGCTATAAAAATTTTGCAATAGGTTAGTCACTAAAGTTTCTTAAAATGCAAACAATATTCATAAGTAACAAATGTAGTAAATTTTGCATAGTATCAAAAGTAAACCATTTCAACAACTGATAACCAAGGGGAATTAGAAAGCAGAACATGCTTTTCCATTTTGGTGTAACAAAATAGCAGAAAAATGTACGTGCTATCATTTCAACAACTACTATGACGAGGAAAAAGAAAACATGATGTGATTTCTTCGGACGGGGGGGAGGGATCTGAACTGTCAGACCATGAACAGGTGAATGACATGTTGGCAACCAGTTTGAACTTAATAACGGCAAAAAATAAGGGAACTAAGAGAAGAATATTTGTTGTGTGATTTGTATCTCAGCTCTTTTCATAACTGATGCATTCACCCAGTGTCAACCAAGATAACTATGAACTTTAGAACAGATATGAATTTTCACTTATAGACATGTAGACAAGCTTAAACCTTAGGCATTTAATTAAAAAGACAGTAACCAAGGGTGCTTTAAGAGAAATGTCACAAGCACATTCCCCATAATCTGATATTAAGCAAAGATACAGGATAACACAAAGGATTTAACCTCAATTTCCCCAAATTTACCTTTCTGTTCCAAACAACCATGTGTTTGTCAGTAGAGTTCCAGCTACCTTGGAAGCCTCGTCTAACAATATCTCTAGGACTCGAATATGAATTTCGAGGATATTGACTACCATAACTGCGTTTTCTTAACTGCTTACACATATTATGTTCAGACTCATACACAATAAGCTTTGATCCTTTGTCATATCTGGCATCAGATCTTTTACTCCTTAAATTTTTTGTTAAAGGATTCCATGTCCGCTCATCAGCAGGAAGATCAATGTCTGCATGACAAGGTCGGTATTTTTCTTGTCCCCATGGCAATACTTCAGATTCAAAATGCGGTCTTCTTCTGCTAAAATCATCCTCATCATGAAGATTTTCTATAATATCATCATTATGAAGAACATCAGACCAGCCACCAAATTTCCTTTCATGGTACCTCTCACAAAAGTTCTCTCTCATTCTGATACCTTGTGTTTCAACTACATCATTCCGACCACTCCGCCTGCCATTAGTGCAATATTTTCTCCAAGATGAGAAAGGGAACTCGTTTTCTATGTCTCTGAATGTCTTGTTCTCATAATCTCTGTGCCTAACAGTGCCGTAGACATCAAGGGGGTTCTCAAATTTCCTTTGGATTCTTATAGAAGTTTCAACTTCTCTTCGAGTATATGATAATGGTCTATCATATTCAAGTTCAATAACATCTGTTTCCCTTTTGCCACTCTCGATACATCTATAGTTTTCTCGAGTGAATTCATAGCTATAAATACGTTCAGGCACGAAGTTATTCCTTTTCCGCCTCTTAAAAGGCAGTTCCTCATGAATCCATTTCCTTCTGTTGAGGTTTCTACTTTCTGGTAATGGTAACTCCTCAGCAATGAACTGCCCTGAGCCATCATAACAGAGCGAATCCGTCATCTCAACAGATGGTCTACTTTCAAACTGGTTTATCATCTTCTCCAACACGTCATTAGTTGACCTTTGTATTCTCTTTCCAGGAAAATTTTGTCTATGACGTAGGTCTCTGTCATATCCAGTATTTGGAGAAGCTCTGTAATGAGAATTTCTGCCAAAATCATCATTAAGCTGATAATCACAAAACTTTTCCCCTCTACAATATGATGGTTGTTCTGACCCCTTGTAACATAAAAAACTTTCCCTTTCAGAGTAACCGAAACCTTTATGTTTCTTCCTCCAATTGCAGTATCCACTTGTTGGATGAACATGGAACCTCTCAGGGTCAGAGGCATACAAAGAGTCCCGATTATCAGAGTAGCTCATGAATTCGGCCTTTCTACTCGATTTTTTCTGGTAAATTTTATTGTTTCTTAGGACAGGACTTTGGCCTCTATAATCACTAGGTTTCACTTTAAGAGCATGGCTTCTTCCAGATTCATTTAATGAATGATAACCATATGTCCCCGTCTCCCTCACCTCTGATTCTGAGTTCCGTGATTCTCTCTTCGTATGGCTTTTAAATTTACCTGCCTGCTCAATATAAGCACCATATCTGGATGCTACATTGTCACCCTGACAAGGTGACAAACCAGGGCTCCGAAGACTCTGTTCAGAATAGGGTGATTCTAGATCCTTTCTACAAGATGCAGTAAACGGTCCGACGTCGCTAACGCTTTCTTTTAGATAATCGGATGATCTAGTTGGTACAGAACTACAGTCTGAATCACTTCCCAACGTCTCTTCTACACAGAGCTTATCTGCTTCAGAAGCCTGACCACAAAGATGTGACTCCATACATGCAGGATTAAGTGGGGATATTTGTTTTGTGCACCTGACAAATGAGAGTTTGTACATCGTCAATAATTTAAAAGGTTGAACCGTGAAAATAATTTAACTAATACTTCGTATTATATGCTGGCAACACAATCTGGAAAACAGATGCTAAAATCTCATCTAGTCTAGTTCTTAATACCTCAATGACCAAACTTACACCAGAGAAAGAAAACTAAAGTAAAAATAGAAAAGATAAAGGAGTTCATATAGGAAATTGACTATCCAAAAACAGTTACAGACCTTGCAAGAGAATAATTTGGTGTGTCGTCAGAGGATACTTCCAAAGTGGGTAACCCATCCACTCTTGACTCACATAAACAAATCATATCTCCTCCATCATCTGCTGGAATATCTCCAGATTCTTTAACATCTGATGCTTCTTGAGCAAAGGCAACTTTATCAACTGCCCCCTTGGCAGAGTTTGGAAAGTCTTCATCAGTATCCTGCACAGGTATCTGCACAAACAAATAGAATGAGCAGAAGGATAAATTAATAGAGCTCCTGAAGGTGGAGTAGTAATGAGTTACCTGTATGATATTGATAAAATCAAAGTCCCGCACAACAGGATGCCAAACATCAGTAGATGGTTGGCGTTCGCCAATGCCTTCTTCAACCTGAATAGCTTTTCCCTTTGGCTGGAAAAAGAACAGAATAATCTTTGATATATTGATTTAAATCACTTAATTCACAAGAAATTATGGGAAATTAAGATACATGACAAGGAAAAAAATCTCAAGTAAGATATTATGAACCATTCAAATTTCTAATAGAAAATACCTTCTCTGCCTGCCACGTTGTAGGAGATTTTTCATGAGGAGGATGTGCTATTTTAAGTCTGGATGAAGCATCAATTTCAGTTGCACCCTCCGCCAAGGTTTTCTGCTCAGATCCAACTTCAGTTTCTTAAAGTTGGAACTTATCAAAAGAACATTTTGTACAATAGATCAATTTAGATATTAGTGACTAGAGTACCTTATTATGTCCCAAAGGTTTGTCAGCTCGGTAAAAATTGGCATTAGCTCCTCTTTTCCCCCGCAACTCATCCTGTATCAGAACCAAGAAAAAGATTCTTATTTGATCACCAAAAATTTAAAAATTTCTGACTAACTGAATACAAAAATGCAAATCCATAAAAACAAAATATTCATACACGAGACAGCTTCAAAAAAATTTCAGAACTTATAAACAGTAAGTATCTACCAATCGCTTGCAATAGCTTTTCCAGCTATCTTCATCCAGACCAAAATTGAAAAAGTCTGTTATGTCTGCCCCAGGATGTCTCCAAGGCTTCCACTCCAATACATCAATGTCGACATCTAAAATAGTACTGTATGTAAAAGAAGGTAATCACAAACATGCACTGCTGATGTCAAATTGAAAATGTCACTTATCAGAGAGGAATGTAAGATGATGTAATCGGCAAACACAATAATTGAAACCAAGAATTGCCCGGAAACTTAAGGAAATTGCCTACCTAGAGCGAGGCAATGAAATATTCAGTCTGCGTTGGTCTCCAATTGAGCATGTCCTAAAATCAGGACCGCAACTTTTCTCCTCCCAGTTATCACCAACCATAGTAGAGGAGTAAGAAGCAACTCCTGCAGATGCAAAGCTTTTCATGTTGTTTGAAAACATCCCTGGGCGAGATTTAGACCTCATGAGCTACAGAAAAGAAACCCAATGTAGTTCTTATCAGGCACCATAGGCTACGGTTAATAATCAACATCAATGAGAACAAAGAATCAGAGAAAATAAATAGTATTTTACAGAATTTTTTCAAATAGGACTCAACAACTAAATAACGAAAAGGAACGAAAATAAAATTCCGTAAGCTATGTGCTAGAAAGTTTCAGGAGATCTTCTAATCATCTTCACATGTCAAACTCAACACACAAAACACCAAAACTACCTGTGTAGATCAACTATATTTAGACAGGTCATATCTCAATACGAGAATCATACCCTGCCATGGCATTATATAGCACTCATATGAGTTGAGTTCACTAGACCTTTTGAATGTCCATAGTTTCAGAGAGATTTTCACAATCATTTTATTCATAGCAGATTCAATTACAACCAACAACAACTAAAACGTATATATCCCTCTATGTGGCATCAATAAATTCAACTTATGAATCATATTTCACCAGGGGGATGATATATCAAAACATCCATCATACGCAACATCAAATAGAATCAAACAGATAAAGTATAAATTTGGGAAAACACCACACCTTAAAATGAGCAACGCCGCCGCCGCCATTGCAGCCACCTCTTCCTCCTCCTCTGTCATCATCCTCCTCCATTTCCCCATCATCAAATCCCACCCTCTCCGAATTAACCTTACTATTATTATAACTATCAGAAACGCATTTTTCTTCTCTGTGATCATCATCAACGTCGTCATCATTCACCACAATCTTCAATTCATCCTCGCTCTCGCTCTGACTTGAATCCCCATTTTCACTCACATTTCCGTTCTCACATTCATTCGCCTCGATAATATCCAAATTTTCTTCTTCTTCGTCTCCTTCTACCGGAAGCAATTTAGTCACTTCTGGGCTGGCTTTCGCCTTGATATCGGTATATAAATCGCCAAAATCGTCGTCCTCATTCATCTCTAAAACCATTTTAAGTTTCGATTCTGTAAAAAAGTTTTTTTTCTTTTAAAGGGAAAATTTTGGTTTTTTTTGTTTTTTTTTTAGAGTGAGATAAACCCTTCCGAATGCATAAACCCTACAAGTCAGTGAAGAAGAAGAAGAAGCACTGATGAAGTCATCTCCGCTGTTCTATCTGATGACTTTGAGCTTTATACGGAGGGGCATAACATTGTAATTAGTTGTAACACGCAGGGTAGAATTGCCACTTTGTAATCCCAACTGTATTTAAAATTTTCTTTTACTTTTTTTCCTTTCCTTGCATCACATTTCTATACTTAAATACATATCACATTTCTATATTCTTTCGGTCCAAAAATGATTTATGGTTCTAGGACAAAAAAACAGTAATTGATACGGATATGACTTATTTGCTTCGCTAGTGACGTAAATTTGATAAGTCAATAAATTTAACACGTAGAAATGACGTATTAACTTTCAATTTTGAAGATTGACAAATGTTGGAAGTGTAATATTTCTTTATTAGTTAGTTTTTCTCTAATGTTTGAGCAGAGAATCAACTTCACGAGCTGGCCATAACCATGTCACATCTATTTGCATTTTGAAATTTGTGGTAAAAAAAAAAAATTTAAAAAAAAACTCGTTGGGACGTTACCGGGAAGAAAAAAATCATTCCCTAATTTAGAGATCCTATAAGGTTAGGCCTGTTGAAGTTCAATAAGGAAAAACATAAATAATGCAAAATGGTCTCATTAGAAGTCTTCTCTCATAAGCTGTTTACCACAAATTACTTTCTCCCCAAGGATTGAGAGCCTTCTTTAGAAACTAGCATTACTATTCAACCCAAAAAGAGACCCTAAAATCCCAAAAATTCTTAAACTATATAACAAGAACCCTAGCTTCTATTCTTCCAAGATCACATCCTTGATTAAAGTGAACTTTTTCCAATCAATTTGTCTAATATATATATGTTAGTAATGTTCCTTAAGTATGTAATGGTTGCAGGTCATCACAATCACAGTCAAAATGATGTTGTTTTCTATGCATATTTCGTAAAGTCATATATCAATGTAGAGATGAATACCATATATAGCCAGTCCCAACCTATATATATAGATTGCCCTATCTCTAAACAGTCTATAGCTAGCCTTCTTTCCCACATTTCATTTTCACACAGTAAAAGTCTTCTTTTTGATTTTTTGATTCCTTAGCAAAAATCGCCCTTAATTTGGATGTTTGATTTTAAAGACAACCCTCTAGTTTTGAACCTTAAACCTTTTGAGGGAAGAAAAAAAGATCGCATTTTGGGTAGTAACAAATTGTGAACTAGAAAAAAAAAAAAAAAAAAAAAAAACAGATCACCAACCTAATGAGGTTTGTTCATATTGGTCTTTTATGCTTGTTTCTGATCATCATTATCATTATGGTAATCTGCAGTAGCCAACTCCAGTCACATAAATCAGGTAACTGGAAAAGTTGTACTTACTGAGCTCATTTTCTGACTCCATCTTCAAACTCTTGGTAAAACTTGCACATTTTACAGGTAAATGGTCCTCAGAAGAAGGTGGCAACAGCACAACTGAGCCAGAGAAGTTATATTTGAAGCACAGGAAGATCTTGTTACACGGTGCTCAATCTTTTCTCCTGTGCATTTGCTAAACTTGATTAATGGTAAAGTAATAATCATTTTTCATATCATTTTTGGCCATTAATTCAGAAGGCTGCAGCAACAGGGATATCAGCATTTCACAGAGTATGGATTCAACATCAGGGATCCCACATTTCATAGTGCAGATTGTGAACACTTGTTTATCTGGATCATGTGCACCTTCAAGAATACACCTGCATTGTGGATGGTTTGCTTCAACAAAGATAGTGAATCCAACAACTTTCAAGAGGCTCTCTTATGATGATTGCTTGGTTAATGAAGGGAAGCCATTGAAAACCAGTCAAATCATCAGTTTCTCCTACTCCAACTCTTTCATGTACCCCATTGCCTTTAAGTCTGCCAAGTTTTGCTGAGCTGAGATCAAGGAATTCCTCTTTTTTTCTGTAATTTCTCTTGTGGGTTCAATGTGTTTCTTTGGTTTGGATTCAAATTGAAAGTTTTGAGAGTCAAAAAAGGGTAAGTTCTTGAGGAAGTGGAAGCCCTGAACCTGGTGGACTTTAAAGACTGTTTCTTTTTGCAGCAAAGTGTGCTCTCATTTCTCAATCTAAAGTCTCTTTCTCTATGCCTCCAAAAAAAAAAATAAATAAATCCAGCACAGTTCAGAATAGTGGAAATTCATCACAAGAGTTTTCAGGCCCCCCCTTTTGTCTCCATGAATTTCACTTTAATTCATTCTGGAGAAAATGACAAGAGCAGCACTAGGAAGAAGAAAGGGGCAGCATTTGCCATTTGAGGAGGGGGGCTATATGTTATTCTTTCTTTTTTTTTGTAATGTCACCTTCATTGCGACATGTTCTAACTTTTTGGTGTCATTTGCCCATAGATCATCTTAGTACCTGTTTCCTACTCACGAATTTTTAAGGTTTTCAGATTAGTCATTGATTAATCAGTCAATCAAAGGTTCATGGGATTTTAAAATTTAACCCGTATGAGATTAATAAACCTAGTAAAAAAAAATTAGGTTATAATTAATAAAATTAGCAAAACTTTAATTAATTAATTACCATTTTAGTCCTGAAATTTATAGATAAAAAATAAAATATATTTTCCAGCAATCAATGGCCGAAATTTGCTAATTCAATGACGGAAGAATGAAATTGGCCAAATTATGATACATTATGTTGAAATTGACACTCCCCGAGTACATTAGGATGAAATGCTGAAAGTTGAGGACTAATTTGACACTTTTTCCTTAATTTACCCTTGGGTGAAATCGTGAAACTTCTCACAAAGCATCAAACCTCTATGCAAGGTCAACATTTCTACTAGATGATGTCACTTCGATGCTATCAAAAAATGTGACCCATCAGTTATCTCATTTAATTTTATGATTTTTGATAAGTATACTATTGTCCTTTTTAAAAGAATATTTTAAGGTCATACTCTTTTTTATTAAGTTGACATGTTCTATTATCCTTAAATCAAATTTTCCCTAAAAGTTTTGATAATTTTTAAAATTGGGACCGGTTTTTGTAAATGATTCCAAAGTTAATTGAATACTCACTCTGTTCAGAGTCTTGAAATTTGTACTAAAATTAAGTATAAACTTTGAAATACAATATAAACTATTTTTTAAAAGCGGAGTAGAGTAATCTATCTTATCTCATCCCTCCGACCCGGAGATGATATGGCAAATTCGCGTGGTATGTATGTACCAGTAACAATGCTTCGTATCGTCAGCATTAGGCTTGGAATATGAATGGATACAATGTCTGAGCAGTCATGATGGGATGATATTTCGTACTAGTGTACTATTGCTATTGCCCAAACAAGAGATTGAAGAGTGTTTGCTGGGCTAGCTATTCCATTCCCCACAGATTTTGGCACCCAATATTGCCAATATTTTTGACCGGCTGTTGCCGCCCGTTTCTCCTCACCAGGCCTCTTGCTCGCGGCGTATATTATTTATATTCTCACTGGACTACTTTCATCACCGCCAAAGCGGCCAGCAGGCGGTGGTTGGCGGGGGTAAAGGCGGGAATATAAATAATAATATTTTATTTAAAATACTATTATTTATATATATTTTTTAAAAATTTTTATTCTGATCACATCTCAAACTCAAACAAAAAAAACTAAAATAAAGAGTTGTCCAATAGGCACTCGAGGCGATTCTCAACTGGGAAATGAAGACAAAGTCTCAACTTCTGGGACTTTAGGGAGAACAAAGTGAAAAAAATTATTTACTTAACTTTTGCATCATAGAAATTCTTCTGCTCAACCTAATCTATCTCCCTTGTGGATTTACTATCTGCGAGAAGACCGCGGTTGAGCTATGACCATCTCCTTCTCCTCTAGTATTACTATGATTCATTTCATCCACCTCCTCCTCAATGTTCAGCAATGTTTCATGCATTGCATAAGCATCGTTGGCTGCCTTTTCCGCGACAAGTGCTGGTTCATCAGGGTTGTTTTGGAGTTGCTTTGCGTACTCAAGATTCCACAACACGGCCCCCATGGAAGGGCGATCAATCCCTTGATCAGACAAGCATTTAACAGCAGTTTCTTCATAGTGTTTCAAGCATTCAAGGGTAACTTCTTCTTTGATATATGGATCAATAATGTCATCAAAATTGCCATTTGAATGACATAGTAGAGCCCAATCTGCTAAACTGACTTGCTCTTTTGGCTGATTAACATCAAGAGCTGGCCTTCCACACAACACTTCAAATAAGACCACCCCAAATGAGTACACATCTGATTTTTCAGTCAACTGCTGCCTGCGATAGTATTCGGGATCCAAGTATCCGAAACTACCCTTCACCATTGTGCTAACATGAGTTTGATCAACTGTCAGTCCTGTCTTTGATAGGCCAAAGTCAGAAACTTTTGCTACCCATTTGTCATCAAGTAAAATATTAGTAGTTTTGACATCCCTGTGAATAATTGTGTGCTTAGCTCCTGTGTGAAGGTAATGTAGGCCTCTTGCAGCACCAATGCATATCTCAAGCCTTGTTTTCCAGCTAAGTTTTGGCTTATTGTGCTTGTAAAGGTGCTCCCTCAAAGTTCCATTAGCCATGTAGTCATAAACCAAAATCATCTCATTGTTTTCTTCACAAGTACCAATCAGGGAGACTAAATGGTTATGTCTTAGCTTAGAGAGGAGATGAATCTCAGTCTGGAACTCATGAATGCCTTGTTCTGAAGACGGATTAGCCCTTTTGATGGCAACTTGAATGCCACCATCAATGAACCCTTTATAGACTTTTCCAAATCCTCCAACTCCAATAACATGAGATTCATCGAAATTGTTTGTACCTTGGCTTATCTCAGCCAATGTGAAGTGTCTGCAGAGGCCTTGTGTACTACTTGCAGTGCCATTTGTACTCTTGCCTGATGTTGTTGTCCCAGTTACTGTAGATCTAGAGCTGGCGTAAATTGGTAGCCAACTTTTAACCATTGAGCCGCTTCTTCCACCCCTGGAAACCTTCCTGCGATGCCAAAGAAACACCACCAAACCAACCATTATAACAATACCAAATAATGCTCCAAAAACCGCGGCTAGAATAATGCCAGTTTTGCTATGTCTTGATGGTGCAAATGACCTATTCGGCTCAGAATCAGCTGAAGGTGCAAGTGGAGATGGCACGGGATTTGGACCTGCTAAATTTCCATTCGTGTCGTTAATCTTAAACACTTCCAACCCATTGAGAATAGCATCATAAAACTCGGGTCTAGATGTTTGGTTAGGCTGCAATGCCACCCATAACAAATGATCATGATCACCATCACCAGTAGTTTGATCATTTTCATGAATTATGAAATCCTTGTAAATTGGAACTCCTTTGGCATTAGTCCATCCAAACACATCTGCATCCGGGAACGCGGTTTGGTTGTTAATGAAGATACCAAACACCCTCTGATTAACTTTTGACATTTGATAATCACAGAAATGAAACCTCACCAGGTAACTGAAGTTTAGATCAACTCGAAACACCCAGGTGAGGTTAAAATTCTGGTTCACGCTCGCATTAGGCCCCATTGACCTAGCTGTATCATAAACACTGAGAGGAGCAATGTACTCAGGTAAATTATCGTTGGGATATTTGATTTTCACCTTGTTATCTGAAGCCTGAGAAGTAACGCCAAAAGCCGCGCCAAACAAGTAAGGCGAATCATCATACCATGTCCTGGCAAGTTCTCCAGAGTCATTACTTGCTGGAATATATTGTCCACCAACATTTAGACTAACCATAGTCTGCATGGTAGTGTATTCTAGATCTATATCCTGATCCGAAAACCCCACTAAAGGTGCAGAATTAAAGAGTTCTGGAGACGAAACAATCTCAATCCCATTGACAAAAGCAAAAGATCCCTTATATGCTACTGAAGGAGTAAATGTAAGATTCAGGACGCCAGACTGAATTGGCAGGACACTGAATTCTCTAACAATATAGGCCTGCGTCAGCGCTTTAGCCGTGATGGAAGCACTAAAGTTGCTGAGGAGTGTGAATGACCCTCCTGCAATGACTGAGAAATATCCATTTGAAGAGATGAAACTGTTGTAATCAACCGGGTAGAAATGAAGGCGAACGAAGTGGCGATTTTTTGGCGAAACGGGGAAAATGTAGGTGGATTCTGAGGTGAAAATCCTGGCTGTCATATATGGAACTTGGGAAGGCAAAGAGGGATCCTGGATTTGAGCAGTGGAAACAATGGAATTGTCTGAAGATGTTAAGAACATGGTATCAGGCATCCAGTTTCTACCATTTGCATCTGTGTCATTACTTGAAGCTCCACAGGACAACACAAAGGAATAAGGAAGTATGGATGCATTACTGTAAACACTAGCAGAATGCACCTTATTCATAATCAAACTATAAGTAATCCCCAGGAACAAAAGATGAAGATCAAGATTCATACTTGGCATTTTTTTCGAATTCGCTAAAATACTGATGATCTTGATGTGCACAAATATGGAAAAGAAAACCAAATATAGACCTTCTTATAGTGTGATTTTTCTCATCATCAAACAACACATGAGCATGTATGCATCATCTCACCTTGAGTTTTTCTTTGCTCTTGATCAATGCTGGAGTAAGGACTAACTCAATTGCACATTGATCCATCCCAATACTAATTGTCGTCCCATTTTGATCCATTCATTCATTCATAAGAAGGCATTTTCTTGTTGTGTGATGGAGTTTTTTCTGACCTAAAAACTTGATCGAATTTTGTTTCAGGCTGAAGAAAAGATCGGGTTGGTTAGAGAAAATTGGTAAAAGAATGTAACGCCTTTTTTTTTTTTTTTTAATGGTGGCATTGATTAAATGACTAGTGTATTAAGTACAGTTAGTTAATTACTGCTTCAGTTTCGCGCCATCAGATTTGACTTTTTTATCCTCTTATTCCTTCACATCTAGCCCAACCCAATCCAGCCCGGCCCAACCCATCCATAACGTTTAATTATTTAACCCCGCCAGAGGCAGATCATTGCCGTCGAAGAACAGAGTAATATACAAAGAACAGAGTCGCTTCAAGAAATCGAACCAATCTGTCACATTTTTTCCTTCTCCTTCAAGAATCACCTCAAGAAATCACAGTTCATCTCCACATCCTTCAAAATTTCTTCAAAACTCGAAGAATATTAGAATTCAGAAAGAAAAAAAAAAGAGAGAAGAAAAGAATGTCTGGGTCGTCAGCAGGGGACTCTGTTTCTCCTCAATTCCGTGAACCCAACATTGATGACTTCAAATTGTGGCGTGATATCCTTGATTTGGTATTAAAGTACAACAAAGAAAGACAACTCTGTTGGTTTACCGTAGCCACCCAGGAGCTCCATGATTTCGTGCACCACGAATTGGCTGGGAAATGCACTCCGGAGATTGTAAAGAAAACGATAATGGAACTTGAAGCGAGGTTCAAGAAGGGTGAATTTCTGCAAGTAAGATCAGAGGTTGAAGCCGCTCCGGCCGCCATGCAGTATGAAGTTTCCGAGCTTGCTCACACGGTATATGGGGGTCATTGGATTGCGTACGGGAATGAACACGTGGCCCGGGTTCTTGATGATCTGAAATTCCGATGCCTTGTTCTCGACCACGTCTTGGCATACAAGAACGCCGGCCACCCGCCGGATTCCTCCTCCCCGGAACTGCATGAATTCGTCCGGCGAGCATTGTCGCCGGTGGACCAGTACCCACCGAATTTGCGGGACAAGGTGGAGAATGTGAGTGTTATAATCATGGCGCTGGAGAGGATGTTCAAGAACAACCAAATGCCCGGAGACCTCCCTTTTGACCTTGCGGTTGCCTACACCGAGGGAGAACCGGCTTTTGACATTGTCCAGGGCTATGCTAAAGAGTGGGAGGCATTCGTACTTTGCGATATGATCTGGGGTGGTAATGACTTCTGATATTCCCATGATTCTGCCATATTAGTCTGTCTTATTGTGATTCCTCCCTTGGACGAAATCATGATGAGGTGATGGGTTTTCTGGAACGTTAAGATCATACAAACTAAAAGACCAAACAAAAAGTGGTTTTTGGTGTTTTGGGGAAGTTTAATGGCTGGAAGATTGCAGAAGAAGATAAACCATATTACCCATTCAGTCTCCTCCTTCTTTTTTTTTTTTGTTTTGGTCTTCTTTTTCTTTTTTGGGCCACTTTTGAAAGATGTAAACCTTATTAATATGATATGCAATGTAATCATTTTAGGATCAAGCATTTTAGGATCAACCATTGCCAGTGCTTATCAGCTGAAATTTTGTGTTGCAATGTAATCATGTTTTGATCTTTATTTTTATTTTTATTTTTTTTCTTATAATAGCTTTCACACTATTTTCGGCAAATTAAATATTCGATGTTCAAAAATATTGTCTTATTAATTTGAATTCATATCGACGGATATGTTGCTTTCTAAATTTTATCAAACACTCGTAGCTCGTTTTAAAAGACACTATCAATGTGACATGGTCCAGTTGTATATTGATTTAATCAAAAATATTATAAAGTGCAAGCAAAAGGTAATCTACTACTACATTGCAATAAATTACACTGTCTTCACTCTTGGCAAAAAAAATCAAATAGGACTTTCGTGTCGAATCATACTACTACAAAATTGTAAAATTTTATAAAGGAAGATTTAAAATATCAAAATAATAATGTTATATATTGTGAATGAATATCAAGCGTGGAAATGGCGCAACTATTGAAGATTTATAATGCAATCTTGTGATAAGAAGCTTGGACTCTGTTTGGAAGGTTTTTTTTTATGGTTTTTTAAAAATAATTAAATAATAACTGTCACATCACAATATATATTTTTACATTTTTAATACACGTTTTTACATTTCTAATACAAAAAACACCTAAAAACACATATTGAAAAAACGATCCAAACATAGCTTTCATGTTTTTAATAGTTCACATGTTCGATCATCTCGGGTAAGTAGAGAAATCCCTTTAACTAGAGAAAAGGGGAAAAAAAAATAGAAAAGAAAAGGAAAGAGTAGAAATTGGCGCAATTTTATACCTCTGCTAGTAAGTAATCTCGCAAATTTTCACAACATTATTGACTGACTAAAAAGTATCCCGAAAGGCCTAGCCACAGTAATTAAACAAAATTTATATCCTTGGTTTTTCCTTATTCTCTTCGCTTCTTGTTCCCTCTGCCCAGAATGCAATGGCTGCCAACCTATCTTTCTGTGCTTTGCTCAATCCAACTACTTTAACAGGTTTCTCTCTATCTCTCTGTCACAATGAATCTCCCCCTCCAAAAAACAAAGTGGAAGTTCATTTTTTTCTCCCTCTTATTTTTAAAATAGTTGGACAGCAGAACAGAAGCTGCAGCTTAAGCAGCAAAAGTGAAGGACTTGAAAAGGTGAAGAAATTGGTGATGAGAAGTGGGATTCCCTCAAGAATTACATCTCCACACGAATCTCTCCGATTAGGGAACTGGGTTAAGCTCATTTGTGGTGCCAGTTTTGAGGACTTGGCTGATGTCAGGAATCTCTCCCTGGTTTATACTCTTGCTGGGGGTAGGGTGACTGATTAATTCGCCAAAAAATGGATAATGTTTTACAATTTCGAGAATGAATTACTAACTGTGTTTTTTTAGATGCATAAATGAAGAAAATTTGTATCTTTGAGCCTAAAAGCCACTGGTTCCTCTTTTGACTGTAATTAGAATGACAGAATTCTTCTAAATGTTGCATGCTCTGTCATTGGATAACAAAATTGAATGAATATTCTAAGGAAGAAAATAAAGTTTTGTTTTTATGGCTGAATTATGTTGCTGAGTTTTCATTGATAACTCAGTATTTGATCTTCTTCATTAGTTCACCTAGTTTGCTTTTTATCCAGTTTCTTTCTTTCTTTCTTTCTTTTATTTTTGGTAACTTGAGGGGTTTTTCTTTTTCAGTTGATTGCATTGATTGTGCTGCCGAGGCTGCAGTAGTGACTGCTGTAAATGAAGGGATTGAGGCAGCTAGAGCCATTGTTCCCGCCATCCACAGGCCTTGGGTTATGGTCAGTGTTAATGATGATGAGGATCCTCATTTCCGCAAAGCTGGTAATTTTTTTGTGCTTTGAATCTTGGACTGCCTTATATCATTATGGATTTAGGATCAGTTCATCACAATTGGAGAAAGTAGCCATTTTCCTTAATCTAAGTTGAAGTCTTCCGGATTCTCGTTCCCCACTTGTTCGCTTCTGATTTTAATCTCCAAGGAGTTACATGTTGTGCTTTGAGCTATGCACAGTACTTCATAAAAAGGAAAAATGTAACTCCCCTTTTCTTTGTTTCATGAAATATTGCCTATAAATGCTATTGTAGTTTTTTTGTTAAATGCTATTGTAGTTGATTATGTGGGAAATGAAGTGGTTGAATGTCATGTTTTTCTCAGGGATAGTGTGAATGCTGTGGTAGAATTTTTGACATGATTCTTTATCAATGTGGCAGAATTTGATCCAAATGAATGTCCATCGGATTGCTCAAGGCCGTGTGAGGTTGTCTGTCCAGCTAATGCAATACTAAAAGAAAGCACATCTGGTGAACTCCAGGTTCTTTCCCAATCTGTAGTGTGGCTAGTTCCCAAGCTCATGGCTGGTTTGCTATCATTTGCTTATCTTGATGCTTTTTCACTGTCTGCCTATGCACAGGGTGGAGTGCAAGCTGAGCGCTGCTATGGCTGTGGCCGCTGCATACCTATTTGTCCTTTCGACAAAATAAGTGAGCATCAAACGGCTTAAGATTTGCCTGAATTATATGCTTTCCACGGTTTTAGTGCTCCTGTTTTTTCTTTAAAACTCTTTTTAACTGGTTGAAACATTTAGGTGTGAATACATACATACGCGATGTTAATACTACTGCTGAACTTCTTAAGCGGCCTGATGTCGATGCCATTGAGATTCACACCAATGGAAGGTAAAACTTCAGAGCTATATAAAAATCTTTTGACATTTTAGCATTCATGGATAATTTTTGCTCTATGGCTGACTACTGAAAATTTACAGTGTCTTTTGAGAACCATAAATGTGCAGTCATAGTTTGAAAAGTTACTCAATTTGATGTAAAATATGATGTGAATTTGATATATGCTCTGTCTGAGGCAATCACTCTTTAGTTCCCGTATATAATTTGTTAAGACATTAGAGATCTGATTCTGCTCTAGTTCATTTTTTTGGTGTCATGGCTTACTTTTTTAGGTATGCAGCTGCTTTTCAAGAACTCTGGAATGGTTTGGGAGATTCAGTAGATTGTTTGAGACTGGTGGCAGTAAGTACAGGTTCTGCTTTTTATCATTTATCCGATTCTGAGGCTGGTAATTGTCTTTTTTAGGAGTATGCTAATTTACTTGAGGTGATTAAAATGCAGGTTAGCATGCCTGATATGAAGGAATCGGCAATAGTCACAATGAACACTTTGTATTCTGTAATGAAATCCAACTTAAGCTGCATTAACTTGTGGCAGGTTCTGCAGGCAAACCTATTCTTTTAATTTTTTCAATTCTGACAAATTACCCCTTTAAATTTTCTCGGACTACTGAATGTTGATGAATATTTTTGCACCTAATGCTTGTTGTTAAGCTGGATGGTCGTCCAATGAGTGGGGACATCGGGCGAGGAGCCACAAGGGCTGCTATTGCATTTGCTCTAAGTTTGGCCTCTACAACTGACAGACCTCAAGGTCTGTTCACCATCCAATTGACTCGAGGCTGACGAGTTTACCTTATACCTTTAATACACATTTTTTTGCAATCGGCAATAACCGCCTCTCGGTTTCTTATCTTTTGCATCAGGTTACCTGCAGTTAGCTGGTGGTACCAATGCTCACACAGTAGCCGGGCTCAGGAAAGAGGGACTATTCCAAACTGCCGGTATGAAATAGTTCTACCATCTAAAGCTTCATCATTAGATATTATGCCTCTGTTCTGTGCCAGGTTCTAAATAAAACAAACTTGATATTATCATCCAGGGATATCAGGAAGTGAAAGAATGCCTTCAGCTCCACAATCTTCTAGCGCACCAAGTGCTTTAATCGGTGGAATTGCGTTTGGAGGCTATGCAAGAAAGGTTAGAGGTCACTTCTGTCTCAGCTGTGTATGCTTACGTTTTCTCGAAACCCCTTGTATTTCGAAAGTGTCTTTTTTGGGTAAAAACTAGATAGATCGTGTCCCCAGGTGGTTGGAAGAGTTCTGGAATCGATACGGTCTGATCAGCACCCAAAGAGTGCCTTTGCATTGTTGGAGGATTACCCTGAACATCTCCTCAAGGCACTTGAGGAATCTGTTGCCTTGGTTTCAACCGTTAAAAGCTACAACGTATAGTATAGCAGCCCTTGGAATAACAATGACAACTGAGTCTTTATGTGAGTAATACACAGGCTCCACTGATATTTTTACCTTGAAGCTGTCAACTGCAAGCAAAACCCCTTATTTTCTTTCGGTGCCACCATAAGCTTTTCGATGGCAAGCAAGCAATATGATGGTTGGAAAAGAATCAAAATTATAGGGAGAAACTTTGAGGAATATCTTGCATGTTTAGAAGTCAGAGATGATGTACATAAACTGCCACCTCCCTCTGTTTAGTAACTTTTTTCTGGATGCTTTAGCTGATACTTCCTCCACAGTTAAACTCACATATACTATTTCTTTCTGCACGTTGTACATCAAAGAATGTACTCTCTCGTCTCATAATTATTGTCCAGTTTGAGTTATTTTTAGTTTAAATTGTATTAAAAATAAAATCTTAAACCGAACAATAATTTTAGAATAGAAGGAATAACTGTCAACTAGGCATATATAGTTTAACAAATTTCCTCATCATTCTTACAATCTTCGCTTCCTTAAGACAAAATTCAAATGTAATTTCCTGCAATCACAAAGGAAAATTTTTAGAGAACCCTCACCTCTGGATGACAGGATGGGCAGTGAAGTTAAAATCTTTATAAACTGGGTTGGAGGGGTGCGCCGGGCCTAGGCAGTAGTGCGAAACCAAGGCGACGCTCAAAAGCCCCAATAGCAAGCTATTGTAATGGGCCCTTCCCCTAAAAAAATTCATTTAATATCATGTGGGCCGATGGCCCACGTATCAGATATTAAACTGATAAGAACAGATACTACACTTGATCTTAGCCAAAAGGCCGAGAAAGGTATGAGCTTAACGGTTGTTGGCGCCTGAATTATATAGCCCTCGAAGCTTCGATGCACCTCTTTCTATGACCGATGTGGGACTTCTTGCGTATTGCCTCTCTAGCCCAAGAAGAAACTTTTTTGGGTTTTGAATTTTTTATTGTGGTTCCCTTAATTTTCTTCTTTTCATCCCTCTTTATAAGATGCTTCCTTGTAACTAGAATTAGTGTATTATACTATTATAAAATTATAAATCTAGTTTTTTGTATTCGCGAAAAAGTGATAAGTGAATCATAATTTTCATACGAACATGGTACATAGTAGTAATATATTTTTCTAACTGATTTAACCGGTTTTAGTTTTTATATTGGATATGACTAAGTATTAGTATTTAACAACTCGCAAACTTGATATTCATATAACATTATGATAGATGTAACATATTTTTGAATTAATTTTATATCATGTGGATCGAATGAATGAATGGGAGAGAGTTGACTTTGCATGTGACATAGTTTTCTTTTGATGTTGAAGAATGAATAATGATTTTGAGTTGAAAGTTGAATCCACAGGAGCTTATGATTTTTATTTGTTTGAGTTTTGATCATTCAAAGTCTACTCCCTGTACATATTTCATAATGCATCCCCCGCAGAAAAATGGAACTGAGTTAGAACACTAATAGATTCAACTTGAAAATTCCTTACCTCTTTGTAAAGTAAACGGTTCAAGTCGGGTTTTAGAAGAGAGCATATGAAGATGTCAATGTACAAGCGAATGATTAGTGGTTTGACTTCAGTTTTCAAGATTCTTGTAGGATGCTTCTTTCTAATGTCCTAATCATACATCCACACTTCCATATTTCCATTCACCTTTTTTTTTTTTTCCTATTCTACACTGCAATAATACAAGTGTAAGTGCGTGACAAATGGATCTATGATGAACCGTTTTCGCTATTTTCTAATAAATTATGAGACAATTTTCTCGTAAAAATGTGGAAAGATTAACTTTCTTTCCAGATATATAAATATAATTTATTAGTTTTGTTCATTTTGATAGTATACGAGCAGAAATATTAAAACAAAATTAAAATATTATACATTGGAAAAAAAAAAAAGCCAGAAAGAACCGAGTAGCACTTATTCTTTTCCCTTAAAAGCACTCAAATTGAACTGCATCATGCATTTCTACAAAATAAAGAAGACCAACATTACAGTCAATGGATAGAAGTAAGAAGCGATCAATTATTTGTTCTAAAAGAAGACAAAATTTAATTGAATGACACAAATTTGAACCAGTTTTTTGACATTATCTTGTTTGTTCATGGTATACAACAAGTACTTCTAGTTGTACCTTGGCATTACCACGGTCAACATTTGAATACGCAGTCCACAGCTGACTTTCTTAGGATATATATGTTGAACCATTACAGCTGACTTGCTGAGAAAAAAAAAAAAAAAAAAAAGTGTGTGTATAATATATTGGGCAACATTTTGTTTATCAAATTATTATTCTGAAATTTTTTCCACTCAAATAAATAATTTATATTATCAAATCATTGGACTATTTAATCGTTATAACTTGGCAGACGGGGTATCACGGACTCACAAATTGACCTTCTTCCCCTATGATCAAATCAAATGGACGGTTTCCTTGTCTTTTTCCCATAAAATTCTATTAATGGTTTTCGATGTCAAAAAGAAAAAAAAAAAAAAAAAAACAGCATCTATGCAATCTAAAATAAGAATTATATTATGCAAATTTAATTTAACAAAGGGAAAAAAATATTTTAGGATGAAAAGTTTATAATTTAATTCAACAATTAGCTTAAAATCATACACAGTTCACGCGTAAATTCTATATATTTTATTACAAATACGACCCGGCCCCTAAAAGGATTTCACAATTGTAAACAAAGTAAAGCTACAAGTCAAAAGTTCCCCAAGTTTTGAACATTTCCACAAAATTGGTCTTACTTCACCACCGAAGTGGAGAAATGCCAACGGAAAGAATAATTGACGCAAAAGGACATAATAAATCAATTCACCCAATTGTTGGAGTGCCTTTTCCACTCAAATTGCCTTGGTGAATGTCAAAAGTCGTATTTTGTACAATAACCTTCCAACTAAATGGCATATTGTTACCTATCAATAATCATTAAGCAGTCTTTGGTAAAAACTTATCAGAGTAATAGTGTAATACTACGTTACTTAGACATCTTCATCTTTGATCAATATTGTCAAAGATGAGTATGGTTTATAGTCGGCAGAATGTCCCTGAACAGATCTATCTAAATCGAATAGAAATTAGTTTGAATATTGTATCTTGTATGTGTCTTGTTAAAACATCTTACTCTCTCCGTCCCATAATTATCATCCAGTTTGGATTTTCATTTTTAGTACCAATTGAACTACAAATGAAAATTCAAAGTGGATAATAATTTTGGGACAGAGGGAGTACAATTTTTGTTAAAAAAATGCAAAATTTCATTTATTTTTTTGAGAAAAATGATGTTTATAGTAATAATTGCATATTACATATACCTTGTTGTCAACACTCAATAACTCCCTTCTTCCTTTTTTTTTTTTTTTTTAAAAAAAAAACTTCCTTTGCAATAGTAACAAATCTTTCTTATGTAGTACTATATTGAATTTGTGCTCAGTGATGATGATGCGACTCGAACGACCGTAAATGTAGTTGGGAGATAAATTAAAAGGGCCGGTCCAGTTGGCCTTATGCTTCCAAAATTATGCAAACAAATTGTTTTGATTTTATACCTTGGTCAAACTTTTTCTCACACTACTCAACAAAACATCCCAATAAAAGAGAGTTCATATACAATGACCTGTTCAACCCGTCAAGTGGAGTTTTTACGGTGGTGTCACAAGGAAATTACATATAATTTATTAACGTAATTAGTTAGTTTTTGATGTAATATTTTCATTGTATCAGATAGAAATGATTAGATCGTAAATAAATGATTTGTTAGTATCATCATAAAAGCTCAAAGAAAAATCAATCAACATACACTATGATTGTTTTAAGTTCTAATTGATAATGTCATTAAGTAATTATTATGGCCATGTTACTTTGGGAAATCTGGTTGAACTAAGTAGTAATTATGTTTGGTTAGGCTTTAATATACATCGTACTCGGACGCCACCGATATAGGGCAAAATTAAATAAATGGAGATTATTTTATCTGAAAACAATCTTTCAAAATGTCCTGTAAATGATTTTTATCACCGTAAATTTTTTTTACTGCTCTAAGAATCTAGTATCATTAATATCCAAAAAAATAAATAAATACTCCTTCTGTCCCATAATTATTGTCCAATTTGAGTTTTCATTTCTAGTTCAAATTGTACTAAAAGTGAAATCTCAAACTGGACAATAATTTTGGGACAGAGAGAGTACTCGTCAAAGTTGGATAAAAATCATAACCTCTAGAAAAACTTAATGAGCATGAAAAAGTGATTGAAATTGAAGTACGTGAAATCATTAGCTTCAGAGTTAGCCGTTAAGGTACATAACTATTAGATTTGGTTAGCAGCTAGGTTATTTAATACAACCATAAAAGTGCAAAAGAAATTCACAAATTTGTGGTCTTTAAGAAAAAAAAAATTGGTTATTGTATATTTTTGGTAGGATTGTTAATTTGCGACACCGCGAGAAATTATAATTTTAGTCCAATAAAAAGTTTATATGTTTATTAGGACATGAGATTAATTTTATATATTCCCTTCATTTTGAAATATATGTCGTTTTAGGATTTAGTGAATTTTTTAAAATATATGTCGTTTTCACAAATCGAGGCATATTTAACCATTTTTTACCAATATTACCCTTGCATTGGAAATGAAATAATATTTATAATGAATTTCTATTGGTTTGTGATGAATTGTATAATTAATAAATAAGGATATTTTTGTATTTTAACTATATTAATTAATGTGTTCTTGGTTTTGATGATTTTATATGAAAAAAAATATAGAGAGAGTAGTTTACAAGTCTTCTTGTGTCTTAAAGACTTAATACAAACATTTGAAACCAAAAGGAGATCATGTTTTGTATTGTTAGATTAATAAAGATATTCGGTTATAATTATTATTCGCCGATCATTTTGTTGAACGATTAAAATATTGATTATAATACATTCTGATTTTAACTTGTGATTAGTGATTTTTATAGGTTAATTAAACAACACTATAGATATGACTATTGATTTCTTTTTCTATCATTTTTCATATTTCGTTCGTTCATAAAATGATTATGATTAATTAGTTATGGAAATACTAAAACATTTTTTTATTTGGGCAGACCTATTCTTAAAGTCAAGACCATCCGATCTACCTAACCAACCAAATTCTCTTTATTTGCTTTCTTTGGTAAAACTTCAACTGCCAATTTTGCCGAACCCAACCAAGAACACGCACTCACATGCTGACACGCACTCACACACTGAATTTAGAAAAAACAATTAATTAATGTCTTAAGAAAAAGAAAAAAGGAATATGAAAAATTTTAAAATGTGACACCAAATTGTGTTGCCCATAGCCATAACCACTAATGATCTTAAATGTCCAAAAAAAAAAGCCAATAACATAAGAAAGTTTGGTGCAAAAAGACACACTAATGATAAATTTATTTGTACGTGTTGATTTTACAAAATAACCCTCCCTATTTTTGTTGCTTATTTGTCAAGTGACCATTTTTTTTCCTTTTTGAAATTAAAAAGTTCTCCCTCCGTCCCATAATTATTGTTCGATTTAGGTTTTTATTTCTAGGTCAAATTGTACTAAAAATAAAATTCCAAACTGGACAAGAATTTTGGGACATGGGGAGTAAAGTTTTGTGTGTTTTTGGAGTCCGTATTCAGTGCACCCGGGTATACCGTATACCCCCACCAAACACACGCGTTACACGCGCTCAATATTTTTACGGTTGGTCTTTCTACTTCTTTATTAAATTGCTTATCCTATGATGTTATCCTGCTTATCCAATATTTCTTTGCTGATTATCCAATGCTCTGTATTGATTATCCAGGACTTTTATACTGGTTATCCAGCCAATGTGCAGCAATATCCAACCGTTTGTAATGGTTATCCATGATCTTTGTACTAGTTATCCAACTTGTTACACCTGATTATCCGAATGTTTTATAGTGATTATCTAGTTAAAAAAAATAAAAGTACAGTCTTTAACCTGATTATCCATGAGTTTATACTTGTTATCCAAAACCTCAATACTGCTTATCCATATGTAACCAATGCCTATCCACCATGTGAACATAACAAAACAAGGATTCATAGAGGGCTTCCAAAAAGACATAACAAAAGAAAATATCCATAAGAAAATGACTATCCAAACGGCATGTTTATTGGGGGGCTTCGTCCCCCATGATAAACTAAACGACTCCCGCGGTTACCGGAATCGCAGGTCACCAACCTGCCCCCGCTGCGCCGCCCCGCCGGACACGCCAATGTAGCTAAGGTAATCCTTTTTTCGTGTGTGTGTAAAGAGAGTGTGTGTGTAAGGAGAGTGTGTTATTGCGTTAAGAGGGGACACAAATTACTTGTATAAATCCCCTCGTGATAAACTAAACGATCCGGCTGTGCTGGTGCCTGCGACTGTGCCGCCCCCATGTCGAACATGACAAATTTCATATATAGTATTTAATTGAATGAGGGGAAGTTTGCCAAATAATGGAGAACAAAAAATGAATGAGGGGCACCTTGATAACCAGTGTAAAAAATACGGACAAGGATATCCAAGAAAAATATAAAAGGAAAAAAATGAAATTTGGCAACTGGTTATCCAGCTGTATGTAACTGGTTATCCATAATGTGCATACTGGTTATCCATAATGTGCATACTGGTTATCCACTATGTCCATACTGGTTATCCAACAGGTTAATAATGGTTATCCAGCTGTGTGTAACTGGTTATCCATAGTGCCAACACTGGTTATCCACATGGTGAATACTGGTTGTCCATAGTGTGTAGCTGGTTATCCATAGTGTGCACACTGGTTATCCAATATCCAATTTGAATGAATTCGTTAACTTATATATGCCGCGTTTAAAAAAAAAGAAGAAAAAGAAGGATGAATTATCTAGCAAACTCACGCTATTCTAAGAGAGTAAAGTACACGCATAGGAGGGTACATGGTGCCCCCGGGTGTACCAGATAATTTGTCTGTTTTTGCTTAAACACACGATCATAATTTTAGCTCGATATTTTTCCATCTAATAACACAATCATATATTATTTTACAATTAAAATAATGATGTCAATTCATTGCTTAACAAATCACTAATGTTTCACAATTCAAGTTGAATGTGGGGAAAAAAATGGCTTGGTTTAAGTAAGACATTTGTTTTTAAATTAAGAAAGTATATTTTATTTTATAGCATGAATGAAATATATATATATATATATATATATATATGCAAATCTTCTTTCCGTCTTAACCTTCCCAAGTAACTAATGGTTTGGATGTATTAGAAAGGTTAAAACCTTGAGTCGAAATAACTGACACGATAAGTCATTAATTGTTACATCTTTTAATTTAGCGAGTATTTTTACAATGTACCCGAACATTTGGTACTAATTTGGCTATTAACTTAAAATAAAAATAATTGGGAATTTTTTTTTAAAAAAATAAAAATAAAACAAAAAATGTTCGAATCAATGGTCTTCGTGAGCCAACTACCGTTTGGCCACGTGATAGGGAGTTCGCAGCAATGTCTTCCTTCCCTCTTTCTTCTTCGCCTCAAAACAATTCCTTATATTAATATTCTCCAATTCGATTTTTTTTTTTTTTTACCAAAGATCCAATTTTTAACCCACCATCCATCCCATCATCCATCATAATTCTTTGATTTAATAATTCACGATTTTTCCCACATCAATTATATTGTTTCCTATATAAATCAGCTCCCTTTTCTTCCCACGAATCAACTCTCTTTACTCATCCTGACACAGAAACAAACAGGTAGGTACTACTTACACCCCAACTACATTTTTTGATTGTTGCCATATTGAAGCAATTTCGCCTTTTGATACAGAGAACAAGTTAGTAATTGTTGAATTTGATCTGTTTTAATTGGTGGGTTCTTTTGTTTTGGCTGTTTAGTGATCCGGGTTTGTGTCTGTTTTGAGGAAGAATGTTTCCGTGATTGGATCACTGCCCGTTTCTATAATTTTTCGATGTTTCCGAGGAAAATGGAGAATGGGGAATCTTTATGCTTTCTTTTGTTGTTTAGTTCATGGTCCAGGTCCACTGCCTTTTAAATTTCAGTTGGAGATGGATCTCCTTATGCTTTAACTGCCACTCTGAAAGAATAAAGTTGGCTACTTTTTTTTTGTTAGTGCATACGTGATTTGTGTTTTTCATTGCTGGGATCTTGATTCTCCTGGTAAAGTTGGGAATTTCAATTTTGGTTTTTATCAGTTTTCTATGGTCTGATCATATCTACACTCCCAATTATGATGATGGATCTAACTTGATTGATTGCAGAATTAGTGACGGTGACTCGAATTCATTTTGTTGTTGTTAAGATTGATTGAAGTATGGAATTTTACATTTTCACTTGATGAATTAGATCTCTCGTTCTGTGATCCTCGGATTTTTAGTTGGTAATGTATGAATTGTGTTTCTAACTCTTGTGTTTTGATTTGTCAACTTCTATAATGCTGTGCATGAAGCTTAGTGTATGTTTTTTCAACTGCATTGCAACTTTAAGATGTCCTGCTTAGACGCTGAATTTCCTGGAGTTTTGCTTTAGATCTCTATTCTACGAAAGAGTCCTGGAAGAGTTGTTGCCAGTACTCAATTACGTTTCTGTTTCTTTTTTAATGATCTTTTTGTCTAATATGCTGAACAAACGATGATATCAACTGATCCAGTGTCCGAATGAATCATATGCTGTTTGGAAGTTGTGAATGTTTGTCCATCAATTTTCAGGTTTACTTGCTTTTCTAAGAAGAAATGTTGTCATTTATTTGAATTAAACAGAACCTTTGCTTGAGCGACAGCCATGGCTACTGGGCAGCTGTTCTCCAAGACTACTCAAGCATTATTTTATAATTACAAGCAGCTCCCAATCCAGCGGATGCTGGATTTTGACTTCCTTTGTGGTATGTATAGCGTTTCTAACAGTCATCCATGCATTTGCATAGGATTCAAATCTTTAATTTTAAATTATACATTGCACCTAAAATGCTGATGAAAAAGATGCTTTAATGGTTTTCTGATCAATATGCAGGGAGAGAAACACCTTCGGTTGCCGGAATCATAAATCCTGGTTCAGAAGGATTCCAGAAGCTATTTTTTGGCCAAGAGGAAATAGCAATCCCTGTACATTCCTCGTGAGTGCTATAACCCTCAACATTCTGTCAGTATGCTTACAGATTGTTTGTTTCCAAGTAAACTTTTGCATGTTGCATCATCAACTTTTGCTCTGATGAAAGTTTCTCTATTTATTTTGATGATAATCTAAATCCAAATGTGTTCTCATGAACAAAATCTGCACCTCTTCCACACTTTTGCATGCATATAGTTGCTGTACTGTGCATTGAGATAGTGAAACAATAACCTTTTGCTTTTCTGATGCTAATATTTCAAGAAATTTTAAAACATACGTATGTTGTTCTTGTGTTTGATTATTGCTACATCTATATTGATCCCTTTTACAACTTAACATGAAAGTCTAATCTATTCTTCAATTTTCTTTTCCAGCATTGAAGCCGCCAGTGCTGCTCATCCTACTGCTGATGTTTTCATTAACTTTGCATCTTATAGAAGGTTTGTCTTGGTTTTCTCTGTATTTAGAAACATCAAGCTTGCTCAACGTATTAATTTGCATCTCGTTCCTCTAGTGCTGCCGCTTCATCAATGGCTGCACTCAAGCAGCCAACTATTAAAGTTGTAGCTATCATAGCAGAAGGTGTTCCTGAGGCAGACACCAAGCAATTGATTGCATATGCTCGCTCAAACAATAAAGTAAGTTGCAAATTTTTTTTGAAAATGCTTTCTTTCTTGTATATGGGTTATGTTATAACAATGTTGAACTTCTTCTAGGTTGTTATCGGCCCAGCCACTGTTGGTGGTATCCAAGCTGGAGCTTTTAAAATTGGTGACACTGCTGGAACAATAGATAACATTATTTCATGCAAGCTGTACAGGCCTGGTTCTGTTGGTTTTGTTTCAAAATCTGTATGTAATCATCAGAAGTCTCTCTTTTTTTTCTTTTTTTTTTCCGTCTCAAAAAGAAAACTCTTTTCAGAAACTATGTCAAAGGTTATGACAAGATTTTTGTCAATTTATAGGGTGGCATGTCTAACGAATTATACAACACAATTGCTCGTGTCACAGATGGAATTTATGAAGGTATCTCAATTTATTAGTAAAGTGTCTATGCATTTGTTTGGATTGTTTGAAGAATTACTGAATCCTTGTACGGGTTCTTTCTCTTTGTTCCTTCCGAAATTTCCTGCAGGTATTGCTATTGGAGGAGACGTGTTTCCTGGATCTACTCTTTCAGATCATGTTTTACGGTTTAACAACATCCCACAGGTAGATATTCATAATCTTGCCTTGTCCTTTGACTTGGCACCTGGTCAAATAAGCTATAATCTTTTACTTGTTTTAAGCCGGATTTAGGATTGATGCGTAACATGAAAATCCACTGTGGCCTTAATTTGGTTGTGAATAATTAGAAACGGACACTTTAGCAAATCATGTTAGAGAGTTTAAATTGTACTTTAAATTTTACTATTTTGTCTTTTGTAACTTGTTTCTTAAACATTCGGTTGTTTATCTAATCGCGAGTTTTCCACTCGGCTGTAGGTCAAAATGATGGTTGTCCTTGGGGAACTTGGTGGAAGAGATGAATATTCCTTAGTTGAGGCCCTTAAACAGGGTAAGATTAACAAACCGGTGGTTGCTTGGGTCAGTGGAACTTGTGCAACACTTTTTAAGTCTGAAGTTCAATTTGGCCATGCGGTGAGCATCCTTTCTTTCTTCTTCATTCTATATATCTGTATGTAAAGTTGCTGAAGCATACTCCAGAGATTTATTATTCTTCCTCTGGGTTTGATGGAAAATGTATTTTCCCCTCCCCACTTGATACACTGTTTGCCTGTAATCTAAGTGAAATCTCCAACTTTGTTTCGTAATGTTTTCCAGGGTGCTAAGAGTGGTGGTGAAATGGAGTCTGCGCAAGCAAAGAATCAAGCACTGAGGGATGCTGGTGCTGTTGTTCCTACCTCCTACGAAGCGTTTGAGGGTGCTATTAAAGAGACATTTGATAAACTTGTACGTTTTACTACATTATAATCTATAATTTGCTGCTCATTCATTTTGGTTGTCTCGATCAATATTTTTACTTGAGTCCTGGTGGTTTCACTAGGCTGCAGATGGCAAAATCACTCCAGTGAAGGAAGTGACACCTCCACCAATTCCAGAGGATCTTAACACAGCAATCAAGAGCGGGAAAGTCAGGGCTCCCACTCATATCATTTCCACCATCTCTGATGATAGAGGTTTGAAACATGGAACTTATGTTACGAGAATGACCGTGCTTGATTGTTTGCATGACCACATTCTAATGGCCGATTTTCATTCTGTTTAATAGGTGAAGAGCCATGCTATGCTGGCATTCCTATGTCATCTATTGTTGAACAGGGATTTGGTGTTGGTGATGTCATTTCCCTATTGTGGTTCAAACGAAGCCTTCCCCGGTACTGTTCTCGTTTTATCGAGGTTAGTTTCTTTTGAGCCTTTTAATCCTCTTTGTTTAGGCGACTTCAGTTATTTCGAATGATTGCACTTTTGCATGTTTTCATGTTTTTTTTAATCCATTTTCTCCTTTAATTCAGATTTGCATAATGTTGTGTGCGGACCATGGTCCTTGTGTCTCTGGTGCTCACAACACCATTGTAACAGCCCGGGCTGGAAAAGATTTAGTGTCCAGCCTTGTCTCCGGTATGTAACATTTATCTTAGCATCCCTTATTTTGAATTAGCTAATGTAGTGGTCCATACTGAAAATTAACTATGTAGATGTCAGACATCCTAGCAAGTTGTGTTGGTTCTGTTGCTATGTTTTAGTTGTCCGTGTTGGTTCTGTTGCTATGTTTTAGTTGTCCGTTGGATGTAATTCATCTCTTTCTTTTTGCTTTTCCAGGTTTGCTGACCATTGGTCCTCGATTTGGTGGAGCTATTGATGATGCTGCTCGTTACTTTAAGGATGCTTATGACAGGGTAAGTTCTATTTAGCTAATGATATCCTGCAGTCTCAGGACTCTGGTTGAGTAGATAACATAAACCTGAAAGCCGGCCACCTATCTGCCCTTTCTGGGGTGCTAACTTGCTTTACTTCCTATTTTGGCAGAATCTTACACCTTACGAATTTGTAGAAGGCATGAAAAAGAAGGGCATTCGTGTTCCGGGAATTGGACACAGGTTAGAAACGTTTTTGCTTACTCAAGTCACATAAAATTGAAGTGCCTAGTGAGGCAATGCATTTTGTTGATTGATGGATGATTCCCAGCTAATAGTTGCTCGAATCCCCCAGTGACAAACTTAATACATAATTCCAATTTAACTGTGGCAAGTCATCACTAATATAAATGTTGGATACATGTTCTTTGTATGAAAAGGATCAAGAGTGCGGACAACAGAGATAAGAGAGTAGAACTGTTACAGCGATATGCACGTGAAAACTTCCCATCTGTGAAGTACATGGAGTATGCTGTCCAGGTTGAAACTTACACACTTTCAAAGGCCAACAATCTTGTCCTTAATGTTGATGGTGCCATTGGGTCATTGTTTCTTGATCTGTTAGCTGGGAGTGGAATGTTCACGAAACAAGAAATTGATGAGATTGTAGGGATCGGTTACCTGAATGGCCTCTTTGTACTTGCCCGTTCCATTGGTCTCATCGGGTGAGTTTTAACATTTACACTTTGGTTTGATCACTTTGCTCTAGAGTATTACTATTTCTTTGTCCAATTTGATCCCTTTAGAAGAAAAGAAATATTCTATCAGCAGAAAACTGATGCAGGCAATTGAAATTTTCTTGCAGGCATACCTTTGACCAGAAGAGGTTGAAGCAGCCATTGTACCGCCACCCGTGGGAAGATGTTCTTTACACCAAGTGAAGATGATGCTGATCATCCTCGTCAGTCAGACTCCATTCAAATCAGATTTTCAAGTTTGCCACTTTGTTGTGAGAATCTAATCAGTTTTAGGGTTTAGTGTTTTTGCTATGCCGAAAAAGACAAGCAGGTTTAGACACTTCATTTGTAAGTTGTTCCTCTATTTGCCTAGGTCCAGGTTTACAGAAAAAGATCATGAATGAATGTGTAGTTGTCATTTTCTGGGGGAACTCCTATCCAGTCTTTTCCAATAACAGACTGTTGTTGTATTCATTGTCCATTGAGAGCCAAGAAAGAAATGAGTAAACTTTTTATCTTCTTCATTTCTTTGTGTGTTTAAGCAAATATTTTAGTCCCCTTGTTGCCCAATGTTAAGGGGAGTCAATAACATATATATATATTTCCTCAGTTCCAAAAAAAAAAAAAAGGCCCATATTAAAAATTATATAGTTAATATTTACAATGTGAACTATTTTATGGGACATAACACAAATAGTTTTGTTTTCCTATGTAAAAGATCACTAATTAAATTCTAACTGGTTACAAAGGTACAACGAGGCGATCTCTTGTCCCTAGGAACAAATGAATTTAACTAAACAAGTTGAACATAAATCGAAGAGAGACCAAAATCAGCTTCAAAATCCTGATCCAATGTTGATGGTCTGACTTGGCAAAATCCCAAAACAAAAAAGTAAAAAAAAAAACAACGACAGGAACATGAACACGAGGAGTTGCAGAAACCTGACAACGGTATTGGATCCATGGATTTGTAAAGCCCACCGCATGTATTTTTTTCTTTTCTCAATTATTAAAAGTATAATACTCCTTCCGGTCCTTATTATATGATATTTTGATTTTACTTATAATATCTTTTTAATTAAAAAAAAAATCTTAAAAATATATTTTAACATTTGTTGTATTTTCCTAATTATTATAAAATATTTTGAAGGTTTTTTTTTCTAATTAAAAAGACGTCCTAAATAAAACCGAGTACGAAGTCAAAATGTTTTATTATAAGTACCGGAGAGGGAGAACTATAATATATATCTGGTGGGGTCAAATGGTCAAATTAAGGTACTATGTTCACGTGAATAGAATGCGATCACATATGGGCTTTGTCCCCAACACCAACTAATATTATGCTCTACAAATTTCTTTTGCAATTTGGTACTACTACTACTACTAAAGTCTTTGGCTTCTTTTCAGTTCAAAAATAAAAAAAAGTTTTTGGCTTTTTCCCTCAATTTGTTAGGGTTACCTTTAATCCATCAATTTTTATCCTTTTTTTTTTCACAAGAAACTTTTGATGATGTTTTGAGAGAGGGCTTGGGTTTGGATCAGGAATCTCAATCAAGCATATTCATCTCCCCTAAAAAAGCAGAAACAAATGAAAGAATTAATATCATTCATGTACTAACAATTTTGCTCGTTTCGTCTTAATGAAAGAATATATATTTTTTAATTGTATTCGTTCCTGATCAATTTATTTTTTTAAGACGAAATGAGTTACATATATTTACTTAAAATGTAAGTAACGCGATTTATCTTGGCAGGCTGCTCCATTGAAGAAACATGACCAATGAGCAATGTGGGCAACATTAAAGCCAGATATGTCGTGTGAAGGAGAATTGTGAAACGTAGTAATCTTTTGTTCATTTCCAATTTTTTTTTTATATATATAAAATTCAATCAGTCAAAACCCTATCAAAGAAGTATCAGTACCTTAATACATTAAAATATAATGTGGATTTTTAAATCTCACGTGATGGAAGTGACAATATTGTATATAATAAATTAACAACAATCCCATAAAGCATGATCATTTGTAGTATATTTTTATGGTAATAATAATAGTACTCTCTCCTAAAAGGCAAAAACAACACATCAAAATTGTAACTTTGGCCATATATGTTTCTGCCCATTCTGGTTGGGATTGGGATGTCAGCTGAAGTTTAGAAAAATCCAAACACCAACTAGTCTATAAATTTCATCACAAAGTACCAATAACTTTTTCATTTCCAATTTCAATTTTCTTTCTAGAACAATTTATTTTATCTCTTAGTAATTTTAAGAGATATTCACGAAATTTATCTAACATTTTCGTTGGATCATGTACTTACATCATAATCACCATCAAATTTGTTGTTTCCATTCTTCGCTTAAGGTAACTATGGCGTTTTTTGACAACGTAACTTGATTTTATTTTATTTTATTTTTTTTCATATTGCGCACGGTGTTTCAAATGCATTGCATTCAGACTAATCTGCACCAAGTCGGATCAGTTTCTTTTCAAAGGGAAAGCTCTCTCAACATTGTTCTTTCTGTTCTCGAGACTCGAAATCGAAATCTCACTTAAAGGAACCAAAGACCTAGTTTAGTTGATTATATTGATTATATGCATTCCATCTAGTTTAGTTGAAAATTATTTTTAAAAAATATATTAAAGAGGCATCCTTAAAAATAAGTGAAAGGGCAAAAAGTGGGACTGAGGTCCCAAAACTCAGCTAAATAGACACATCCTTTTCTTCTCGATTTATACAGAATCAGAAAAATGAAATGGAAACCCAAAAGCATCCCTCCTCATCCCTTCTTCAAGATTAAAGGGTATCCAAGAATTTACATTTAATTGAAAGGGAAAACGAAAAGAAAAGAAAAGAAAAGAAAAAGAGCAACAAAAGTTTACTGGTTCTGGTTGGCTCATAACTTGTTTTAAGCAGCACATCTATACAAACAAAAACAAAAACACAAAAAAGATAGAAATTTTATTTCCCATTTGCAGATGTTAGAACATAGAAACCCTTATAAAGTGGAAAACTGAAACAGATGATCGTTTCTTGGTTTCCATCTGAAATGGAATCCCAGATTTTCTCCCCCAATTGGGTCCCTATAAAACCCGCAATTCACACACATTGAGAAGTGGCTGTGTGTAAAGAAGAGTTTTTTGAAGAGGGGAAAAAAAAAGGGAACAAAAAAGAGGAATCTTCACACAACTTTACAGGTGAAAGTAATGATGGCTTCAGGTTCAGGAGGAAGCAGAGCTTCAAATAATCCTCAGCAGCGACAATTAAGAAGTGGAGTACAAGCTCAATCTTCAGGAACAAGTCAGTATACTGTGAATCATAAACATCAGCAGCCTAGGGAGTCAGTGACAGTGAGCAAAGCTGTGGCTCAATACACAGTGGATGCTAGGCTTCATGCTGTGTTTGAGCAGTCTGGTGAGTCTGGAAAGTCTTTTGATTATTCACAGTCTGTTAGAACTACCATAAACTCTGTTCCTGAGCAGCAAATTACTGCATATTTGTCTAAAATTCAAAGGGGTGGTCATATTCAGCCTTTTGGTTGTATGATAGCTGTGGATGAGAGTTCATTTAGAGTGATTGGTTATAGTGAAAATGCCCGGGAATTGCTTGGTTTGACTCCACAGTCTGTCCCCAGTCTTGAGAGCCCTGAAATTTTCACAATTGGGACTGATGTTAGGACTCTTTTCACCTCATCCAGTTCTGTTTTGCTGGAGAGGGCATTTGGGGCTCGAGAGATTACATTGATGAATCCGGTTTGGATTCTGTCAAAGATCACAGGAAAGCCATTTTACGGTATATTGCATAGGATTGATGTCGGAATTGTGATTGATTTGGAGCCCGCTAGGACTGAGGATCCAGCATTGTCTATTGCTGGAGCTGTACAGTCACAGAAACTAGCTGTACGAGCAATTTCATACTTGCAGTCGCTCCCCGGTGGAGATGTTAAGCTTCTGTGTGATACCGTGGTAGAGAGTGTGAGGGAGCTTACAGGGTATGACAGGGTTATGGTTTATAAGTTTCACGATGATGAGCACGGTGAGGTTGTGGCAGAGAGCAAAAGGTCTGATTTAGAGCCGTATATCGGATTGCATTACCCGGCCACTGATATTCCTCAAGCTTCCAGGTTTTTATTTAAGCAGAATAGGGTTAGGATGATTGTGGATTGCAACGCAACTCCTGTTCGGGTGATTCAGGATGAATCACTTATGCAACCTTTGTGTTTGGTTGGTTCAACACTGCGGGCACCTCATGGTTGCCATGCTCAGTACATGGCCAATATGGGTTCAATTGCCTCATTGACATTGGCTGTTATCATTAATGGAAATGAAGAAGAGGGTGGCGGGGGCCGGAATTCTATGAGGCTTTGGGGTTTGGTGGTTGGTCACCACACTTCTGCTCGTTGTATTCCTTTTCCTCTGCGCTATGCCTGTGAATTCCTAATGCAAGCCTTTGGTCTCCAACTGAACATGGAGTTGCAGCTGGCATCGCAGTTGGTTGAGAAACGTGTTTTGAGAACACAAACACTTTTGTGTGATATGATACTTCGAGACTCTCCCACTGGGATTGTTACACAGAGTCCCAGTATTATGGACCTCGTGAAATGTGATGGTGCAGCTTTGTACTACCGAGGAAAGTACTATCCATTGGGTGTCACGCCTACTGAAGCCCAGATAAAGGATATTGTACAGTGGTTATTGGCTTACCATGGGGACTCAACAGGTTTGAGTACTGACAGTTTGGCTGATGCAGGGTATCCTGGAGCAGCTTCCCTTGGTGATGCTGTTTGCGGAATGGCAGTGGCATATATTGCTTCGAGAGATTTCTTGTTCTGGTTTCGGTCTCACACTGCCAAGGAGATAAAGTGGGGTGGCGCAAAGCATCATCCCCAGGACAAAGACGATGGGCAGAGAATGCATCCTCGTTCTTCGTTCAAAGCATTTCTGGAGGTGGTTAAAAGCCGTAGTTTGCCATGGGAGAATGCCGAAATGGATGCAATCCATTCACTGCAGATTATACTGCGGGATTCGTTCAAGGATGCTGAGGGAAGTAATTCTAAAGCTGTAATGCAAACTCAAGATATGGACCATGAGTTGCAAGGGATGGATGAGCTCAGCTCTGTTGCCAGAGAAATGGTTAGATTGATTGAGACTGCGACAGCACCAATATTTGCAGTAGACATTGAAGGCCGAATAAATGGGTGGAACGCAAAGGTTGCTGAATTGACAGGCCTGTCAGTTGGGGAAGCTATGGGGAAGTCCTTGGTTCATGATCTCGTTCACAAAGAATCAGCCCAAACTGCAGAAAAGCTTTTGCTCCATGCTTTAAGAGGTAGTTGTCTTTCAGTTGTCTATATTTTGAGATGGCTTTGTGAAGGAAGTGTTCTAACAATCAATGTTTGAACCTATCAATATCATTTTGAACATGTTGTACTTGTTTTATTTGCATTTAAGTTTCGCATCTGTTTACAACTCCCTTGCTGAAAGGAGGAGAGTGCGTAATTATCTGTGGAGGAAAAGTACTGAATTTCTAAAACCAGTTACTACTTCCACTGTTTATTGGGTGTTAGTCTGAATAAGGAGCGGCTGGCTTAGGTCATTGCTCTAAATTGGTTTAATATCGAACTGTGTGCAACTAGACAAATGAGTTTTGCCATCTGAGTGAGCAGTCTTTATCTGAACTGACTGAAAAATTTTGTAGGAGTTTGAACACAAGGATGGTTAATGGACAAAAGATATGGCTGCATTGACTGCTATGATTATTTGCCTGGAGTTTGACTAATGTTATTTGGTGCAGGTGAAGAAGACAAGAATGTTGAGATAAAGCTGAGAACCTTTGGAGCTGAACAGCATAAGAAAGCCGTTTTCGTGGTGGTTAATGCTTGCTCTAGCAAGGATTATACAAACAATATTGTGGGGGTTTGTTTTGTTGGTCAGGATGTTACTGGCCAGAAAGTGGTCATGGACAAATTTATTCACATCCAAGGTGATTATAAGGCCATTGTACACAGTCCCAACCCTCTAATTCCGCCTATATTTGCTTCAGATGAGAACACATGTTGTTCTGAGTGGAACACCGCCATGGAAAAGCTTACGGGTTGGAGCAAAGGGGAAGTATTGGAGAAGATGTTGGTAGGGGAGGTTTTCGGTAGTTGTTGTCGGCTTAAAGGTCCAGATACTTTGACAAAATTTATGATCGTTCTTCATAATGCAATTGGCGGGCAAGAAACTGATAAGTTCCCTTTCCAATTTTTTGACCGAAGCGGGAAGCTTGTGCAAGCTCTTCTGACAGCTAGTAAGAGGGTTAATATGGACGGTGAGGCTATTGGAGCCTTCTGTTTCGTGCAGATTGCAAGTCCTGAACTGCAGCAGGACCTAAATATCCAAAGGCAACAGGAAAAGAAAAGTTTCTCAAGGATGAAAGAGTTGGCTTACATTGTTCAAGAAATAAAAAATCCGTTAAGTGGAATACGCTTTACTAATTCTCTTTTGGAAGCTATGGATTTAACTGAAGATCAGAGGCAACTTGTGGAGACAAGTTCTGCATGCGAGAAGCAAATGTTAAAGATCATAGGAGATGTTGATCTTGAAAACATTGAGAATGGGTAAACTTCTCTTACCCTATCCATCTCTGAGCACATTAAAAATATGGATACTTATTAACCTAAACAAAAAAATAACATTTTTTGAATACTTACATGGTATACATACCATGTGCGGTACATGTTCTTATAGTTGTGCAGAGTAATTTGCTGGCATGTTTTTAATTTTGGGTTATTTGTGAGATAAAATCTGGTTGTTTTAAATTTTAAGGACCTTCAGGTTTTATTCATGTTATTTACTCTTTTTTTTTGGAACAAAATTGATATAAAGGCTATAAACATACATATGATCTTTGTTCGTTTTAGATGTGTTTATACTTCTTTCAAGATGCCCTTGCACTAAGTCTGGTATTCTTTTCTTTGCCTTGGGGGATTGGGAAGCCGTGTTTGGCGGATATACTGCATTTTCCCTGTCCGTTCTTGTTACAGATATAGGTAGTTGTAGTTCAACAGAAGACCTGACTCAATACTTTTAATTTGTGCATGATTTTGTTCTGTTATGTTTTCTGATATATAGCAAATGATTTCCTTTTACACGTTATGTAGGGCTGTCTAAAAATATGCCAAGTGCCCCTTTACTTATGTGATCTGTTTTGTAGAAGTTTAACACATAAGCCAAGCCTAATTGACAAGTGATTGGACAGTGTTAGAATATTATGATTTTTATACGAAGTGTTGAAAAGTGATTTAGGAAATCCTTTGCAGCATACTGAGTCTAAGGATGTTTTCAGTTGTCAATCTGTACAATTTTTGGGCTTTCAAAGCTAAGCATTATTCAAAATTTCTTTTCCAATCTTAATAGGTTGATGTTATTGATCGTTAATAGCCGCAATGTTTTTGTAGTTCATTGGAACTTGTAAAGTCAGATTTCTTGCTGGGGAGTGTAATAGATGCTGTCGTTAGCCAAGTGATGATATTGTTGAGAGAGAGGGGTCTGCAGCTGATTCGGGATATTCCGGAAGAGATCAAAACACTAGTTGTGTATGGCGATCAAGCAAGGCTTCAACAGGTCTTAGCAGAATTCTTGTTGAACATGGTGCATTATGCGCCATCTCCAGAAGGTTGGGTGGAAATTCAGCTTAGACCAAGTTTAAAGCAACTCTCCACGGGGATAAATATTTTGCATTTTGAATTTAGGTTGGTCATTCATGCTTGATGCCTTATTAATCTCATTGTTCATTCATTATGTATTTATTTTTTCATTCTTTTTGCATGCAATTATTTGGTTAATCTGAACTCGCAGCTTCTTTGGGTGACATAGCAATATTTGATGTCTCGAACTGTTTCTTATCTAATATCGGTTTACTGTGTGAAGGATTGTGTGTCCTGGTGAAGGTCTTCCTCCCGAACTTGTTCAAGATATGTTCCACAGCAACCGATGGGTGACCCAAGAAGGGCTGAGCCTAAACATGTGTCGGAAAATCTTGAAACTTATGGATGGTGAAGTTCAATACATTAGAGAGTCTGAGAAATGTTATTTTTTGATTTTTCTTGATCTTCCCATGCAAGGGCGAGGCTCTAAGAGCAGCATGACCTAGGCTAGGCTACTTTTGCCCACGAATATGCATATTTTCTGGATGAGAGTCTTGACACTTGACTACAGCAATTGGACTTGGTATTCTCGCCATTTTTTTCCAGACTGTTTCCTGATTCACGTGAAACAGGTAATTTGAACTGGAGGTTTTTTTTTCTCCTCTTTCCCCTTTTTGTATTTTCACGAGAGTCAAGACTGCTTAACCATAATGAATATCGAGTTCATGATTGTTGCACTGCTCTTCAGCACAACACGCGAGTCCTTAGGTAAAAAAAAAAGAGTCAACTTGGACCGGTGTTGGTCGTTCATTGCGAAAGCATCCCCTATAAGAACCACAGAAGGATTGTAAACACTGAAAATTTGTATTCAAAAGCACATAGTTATTGTACTTATGGGTTCTACTTATCAACAAAAGAATAAACATCAATGGAGAAAAGAGAAGCAACTTATGATGTTATATAGTCTTGGTAGAGATTGTACTATAGTTTACTTACCATTTTAGTTTGTTAAAAGTTGGGTTTCTCTTTGTGTTGTCTTGCGGTTTTCTGTTTTTGCTTCATTTCTCAAGTTTGCCAGAGGTGTGAATTTCATTTCACATTGTGGCCTTATAAAAGAGAGTTGTCCTAAGATTTATATAATGACTTTTGTTCTCAACTGACACAACAGAAACAATAATTCCCTCCTATGTTTCACAGTTCTCTTCTATATTTGGCTTTACTATATAATACTCCCTCTGTCCCAAAATGTTGTCCAGTTTGAGATTTCACTTTTAGTACAATTTGAACTAAAAATGAAAACTCAAACCGGACAATATTTATGGGACAGAGGGAGTAATTAATTTGGGATGAAGGAGTACTTTTCTTGTAGTAATTTTGTGGTATATGTTACTAACTAAAAATATATAATTACGTTTTTTTTAAAATGAATTTTTATTACGTTGAATGTTGATGTATGGGTGATTCTTTTTTCTTCACAAAAATAAAGGGATTCAACCCTTTACTTTTATACATTTTGAGGTGGTTGTTTTCCTATTGGGCCCTGGCCTACACTTTGATGGACAAAGAATGCTTTATCCTTTAACATCTGCTAATTGCCACAAATGGTTTCAAACTCTCAATGTTGGGCCCTTCCACACGTAACATATTAATTAACCACGCCATATATCTAAGATATTTCTTTTTAACAATCGGACTTGATCCAGTGAATATTGAGCACTAACGAATAAACAACATTCAATCGTTTGTTATTATAATAATATTTTATTCAAGAAAGTAGACGGTTAATTTAACATAGAATATATTGTACTTGGAATTGGATTGGGCCCAACCCAATACCCCTTGATCCAACAAGGGATAAGTATTACATTTTGCCTTTAGGAATTAAAATGGCCAAAATCATTCTTAACATAAGAACCCACCTAATTATAGGAATTAAGAATTCGAAAGAAGAACTTGTACCACATTTTAACTCCAAACTACTTAATAATTCCATGAATTCCTTCTAATCTACTTAACTCAATTAGTGGTCTCTTTCGGACACAATAATTATGTGGTGCGTCTAAACTATAATCATGTTGTGCACGTAAATGTATATGAACTCCATTAGACAAAGGAAAATATATGGAGAGAAATAAAATTGTTAAGTTACTAATGATCATCAATCAACCTTTCTTGCTTACAACTACGAAAGTGACGCCAACTCACCCCATACAACTATAATAGTTTGTCCGAACGCTTTAATTTTGTCTCCCTAGTTGAGTTTTGTAATTATTTCTAAAAAAAGAATTTCGAGATAAGATTTCAAATGTCAAATGATAATATAGAGTATAAAGAGCAAAAAAAAAAAAAAAAAACCTATTGGATAATATATGAACGTTGGTATTTGTTTTGACTAAACAAAAGCATCCTGCCTTAAACAGGTTAGGGTTCTTTTAGGATTTTAGAGGAATTAGATTCCCACAATTTGGAAAAGAAAGTAACCATGCTACAAATAGTCGTGTTTTCATATGAAGCCTTCATCGTTTTTTTTTCATTGTGTTACTTGCACTTATCAATATTTGAATTATCAATCTCGTAATTATAATTTTATAATTGCTAATATTTAATTTACCACGATCTCTTTGTGTGTGTGTGTGTGTTTTTTTTTTTTTTAGCGTGTATTAAATTGTAAAAGCCAACCAAAATCAAGATTACGGACAAAAAAAAAACACAAGGAAAAGAAAACAAAACCAAATGAATCCTTTGTATCTAAGTAATTGATAAATTGCACGATGCTTCAACTCATAAGAGACTCCCTTGAAGAATTAAAGGAATTGAATTAAAAAAATCAAAAGAAACTTGTGTGGTTGCTTTTTAATTCTTCCATATATTTTGGGCAAAAAATAATTGCATGTTTGATTTCTTGCACGTGAAGACAAGACGAAAATGAAATGCTTCCCCAATTAAGGTAAATTACTTTTTCGACACATCTACTTTCCAATATAGTAAAAAGCTCACTTCTTTCTTCTTCTTCTTCTGTTTTTAATCCATTAAGTCGTCAACTTATCTTATCCATCTTTTTTTTTTTATAATTTTTTTAAAAATTTTAATTCTGAAGTAAATACAACAACAATGTAAGGTTCCCTTATTCAATAATTCATTTAATGCGAATTGACATTTTCATCAATTTTAAAGTCAAACTCACATCAGTTTTATCACAAATGAATAAAAAAGAACGAATTTCTTGTTGAAGAACCAGTGATAAATGTTTAATAATTAGAGAAATTGATCAGTTTGGATGATACCTTACAATCTTCATTTGCTGGTTAAGAATTCAAGCCAATCTAGTGCATAGTTTATACTCCTTCCGTCCCAAGAAAAATATTTCACATTATAATTTAAATATATGCGTGTTAACAGAATACCGTATATTATCTAATATACCAATCTTTACCAAATGAATACCCTAATTTTTTACCTTCTGGTAGATATGAATACCTTTTTCTTTTTTTTTTTGTTTCCCTTTTTTGTACAAACTTTCTTGCTAAATTTTTTGAAACATAATTTATTTAAAAGCTCCTCAGATAGAGAAAAAGAAATAGGAGTATATATATATATATATATATATATATATATATATATATAGGCGGAAATACAAACATAATTAACAGACTGGATCTGGTTGTTTTGTTGCCTTTTCTCTAAATGAAGAAATTGGACACACCATTAAATAATTCAACCCCACGCGCTACAGAAAGTCCAATTCTCTTTTTTCCTTAGCCATGGTTTTTCTCTGACCGGCATTTAACAGGCCACAGTTACAACTTTACCACCACGCGCAACCAGTGCAAGTGGTCCTGATATTGGCGGTCATAGCTATAATAATAACTATAATACGCCACCCCAAGAAAAAAGAAACACAGAACCGCCAAAGAAGAGGGTGAACTAAAACCATACAAATGGTAGTTCAATAAAATAATTTTTTCCAGAAGAACAATTAAAAATAATTACAAATTATTCAGTAAATTAATTCCATGAACTTAAGAAGAAGAAAGAGAGAGAAAGAGGGGAAAAAGAAATATTTCTTGACCTCTCTAGACCCATTTCAGAGTTAAAGTTTCCATTTTTTTCTTTTTGGGTATGGTTCGTCATCAACATTTTTATTGAAATTATAGGGAAAATTAGGATGCTGATTTGTTGAATCTCTTTGAGATCCATTTATATTGTCCCAGAAAGAAACTTTGTGATTTTCTTGGGTTATTACAGTTTCTGTTAGTTTTCTTTTTTTTTTTTTTTTTGTGGGGTTGAAGATTCAATCTATCAAGTGGGTTTGGAATGTTAAAGTGCAAATTGTGTTCCTTTTGTGTATATTATGACAACTATTCGATTTCTAGGATTTGGGTTGGATTGAGTTTGAGCTGAAAATAGAAAGAAAGTAGTAAAAAAAAAATGGAAAATACAGCTTTGAAGTCAGCTCCTTCTACTGGAGCTGAGGTTCCACCAGCTGAGGAGTTGTTGAAGAAGATTCAAGAACTTGAAGAAGGTCATGCCCGGTTGAAGAAAGAGATGGCAAAGCTGTTAATTTCGTCAGCAACTGATCAGAAATCCGGTGCTGTTGAAAGGCATAGGTCTCATTCTATATCTCCGGTGAGGCGCAGCGGTCCACGGCGAACTGGGCGGACTAGTGGAGGATTTGATGGTAGTGTACTGGGAGCTTGGAAAAAGGGTTCTGCTTCTTTCCGGCATTCTTCGCCTTTGAGATGGGAGAGCAGAAGTGGTGGGGGTGATGGCGGCGGCGGCGGCGGTGAACCGGCGGCTGTTAATTTTACAGACAAGCATTATTTGAATATATTGCAGTCAATGGGTCAATCGGTTCATGTGTTTGATCATAATTTTCGCATTATTTACTGGTGAGATTTTTGGCGTGTCACTAATTGATCTATTTATGTTTCATTTACTTGGGAAATTTAGAAGGGAAGTTTTATTTTGGGTGATTATGATATCTTTTGTTTATATTTTTTGCAATGGAGTTAAGTTTTACTAGGTTGTATAAGTAGGGAGTTTTTCCTTTGGACGATTGTTTAGTGTTTTCTAATTTTGCCTTCTGTCATGTGTGGGTAGGGTTTCCTTCCAAAAATCTTCTCCCGTTTGTGCAAATATATGAGCTTGCATTTTTTCCTAAGCTGAGGAACCTATTATAAATGCAAGTTAAATTGGTCTGCTTCTTCCTATTAGTGTCATTTTAGAATGAAATTTTCAAATGCACTAGTCAGCATTTTTGGGGCTTTCTGCTATTTTAGCTCTCATAGGACCTGTTTATGCTTGGGAAATAGTGGATACTGTTAACTTATGATTTAGTGCTTCTATTAAAGGATGCATATTGATTGCAGGAATCGGAGTGCTGAAAAACTGTATGGTTATACTGCTTCTGAAGCTTTAGGAAAAAATCCAATTGAGCTTTTAGCAGATGCCCAGGACTTTGATGTTGCTACCAATATAGTCCAACGAGTGTTAAAAGGGCAAAGTTGGACAGGGCAATTCCCAGTCAAGAATAAGAAAGGGGAAAGATTTATGATCATTGTGACTGACTCACCTTTCTATGATGATGATGGCAATTTGGTTGGGATAATATGCGTATCTGCCGATGCGAGACCTTTTTTAGAAACAAAACCAGCATTGTCAGGAGCAAAGCTTAATCCAAGTTCTAGTAGTCGGCCTCGATTGATTGCTTCTGCAAAACTTGGACTTGATCCTGAGCAACCTTTACAAGTTGCAATTGCCTCAAAAATATCGAATTTGGTTAGTGAAGTCTATTGCTTATATGTTTATGTCAAATATATTTTAATTCAGATCATAAACTCATGACACAACTCTAAATATAGGCTTCTAAAGTGAGTAACAAGGTTAAATCCAAAATGCGGGCGGGAGACAACACTTCCCTCGATCAGGAGGGAGGTAGTGGAGATAGTCATTACTCTGATCATAATTTATCAGATGCCGCTGCATTCTCTGATCATCGAGAGGATGCTGCTTCAAGTGGGGCGAGTACACCTCGAGGAGATCAACACCGTTCTCCATTTGGGAGATTTTCCAATCCTACTCATGATGAGGTCTCTCCAGGAATCAACTCCCAAGGTGGTTATGGGGATGAACATGAAGGAAAACCTGGGATCTCGAAGATCATTACATCAAAAGCAGAGGCTTTGCTTGGTAAAACAGGGATATGGCCGTGGAAAGGACATGATCAAGAGGGATCTGCCGAGTCAAAGGGTGCTCCTCGGTTTGCATGGCCGTGGTTGCATCACAACTTTGAGAATGACTTTAACGAACAAAAACCATCTGTACATCCAAAGGGGGACAACCAGGAAACTGATAGGGCGTCAAACAACGAGGCTTCGGGATCCTGGTCATCGGTTAATGTAAACAGCACAAGTAGTGCTAGTAGCTGCGGAAGCACCAGTAGCAGTGCTCTTAATAAAGTTGACATTGATACCGACTGCTTGGATTACGAGATTTTGTGGGAGGACTTGACAATTGGAGAACAAATTGGGCAAGGTGATCTTTTTTTATTTAATTGATAATTGGTTTTCCCCATTTCAGAAGACATCTGATTCCATGTGGAAATGTTCTGCTTTGTTTCATGCTTAATTGCCTTGTAATTATGTTCTGCCGCCTGCGTTCTTACACTTGAGTGGAGAATCTTTTCATAGGTTCTAGAGTTGAGGGATCTGGATCTTTTTCTACCCTTGTGATCCCATGTTTGTGGAGTTCTGATTTGGATATATGATTGAATTGAATAATAAAAAGGGCATCCTTGTCCATAGAAAGCTTCCACATATACTGGATCAGGGCCCTCGGGAAGAGTCTGGCCTTGAAAGCTAAATGTATCATAAGGCACAAACAGAGGCTTTTATAGAATTAACCTAAATAATCTACCATAAGTGGAAGCCCTTTTCTATTATATCTGTGCTGCTGCTGCCTTCTTTTCATCTAACTTGCTTTGCAATATTATCTGCAGGTTCATGTGGAACTGTCTATCATGCTCTGTGGTATGGATCAGTATGTTCTCTCTCTCTCTCTCTCTCTCTCTCTGTGGAAGATCATGCAATTATACTTGTTAGCTTCGTCGACTTAACTGTGGTTGCATGCAAGCATTTTTTAAAATTTTGAAATAAAATGCCATCCTCCTGTATATTGCACATGTTTAAAACAAAATTTGCAGATGTCGTAACACTTCTCGTAAGTTATCAATCCACTGCTCTTTTTACTTGCTAATGGCTAGCTTTGTTATCTGTTTATCTTATATCCCTTTTGAGAGCAGTGAACTTGCTGGAATTTGCTTCGATGTGCTATACTTATTGATATCTTGATTATGTAGGACGTAGCTGTGAAGGTATTCTCTAAGCAGGAATATTCTGAAGAAGTGATCTTATGCTTTCGGCAGGAGGTTATCTATAATTCCCAATTTCCTTTTATTTTGTCTCTTATATTCCCTCCTTTTGCATGCACCTCAACATTTTGCTATTTTATTTCAGTTTGCAACTGCTTTTCTGAATTGGATGAATATTTGGTGCTTGACAAAGTACGCCATTTCATTTGCTGAGTTTGGTTTTATCGAGTCAAACCAGCTTGAATGCTTTTACTAAACCTGTTCTTCACTTTCTGTGTAGAGTTGTTTGGCGCTAATGGCTGGTCATGTTAATTTGCTCTGTATGTTGTTACAAGTTGAAAAAGATGCATAAACTGTCGCTCTTCTGGGTTTGCCCTGTCTTTGGCGTGCTTCAACTTCTTGAGAAAATCTCTCATGCCCTCTTTGTATCTTTTCTGGAAGACATTTCTCGTACAGTTTAGATGATAGCTTATGTTGATATGCTTTTTGTTTTCGAATTTTCTGAGCTCATTCTGGAACACGAGTTCATTCTGGATACACTTAATGCCAATTTTAATGGGAGAGATGAATAGTTAGTGGTCCATGAGCTATTGTCTGATCGATTCTTATTGTTGTTTAGGTGGCTCTCATGAAAAGACTGCGACATCCAAATATTTTGCTTTTCATGGGTGCTGTAACATCACCTGAACGGCTGTGTATTGTGACCGAGTTTCTTCCGCGGTTTGTCCTTCTCCTTTCTGCCATGTTTTCTGGCTGAAGAACATGGATTTTAATTTCTTCTTTTCCGTTTATATGCAGAGGAAGTTTGTTCAGATTATTGCAACGTAATATGGCCAAATTGGATTGGAGGCGCCGTGTTCACATGGCTTTGGATGTAGTAAGTATTTTCAGAGCCTGATCTGGTTTTATAATAGCCTATTCTTGAAGAATCATTTAGTATAGTCTGAAGGCGGTTTCCAAAACATGTCTTCGACTGGATTTTATGTTTCCTTAGATATTGGTTGATTGGGTGCTTGGGTTTTTTCAGGCACGAGGCATGAGTTATCTTCACCATTGTAACCCACCTATCATCCACCGAGATTTAAAGTCCTCAAATCTTCTTGTTGACAAGAATTGGACCGTGAAGGTACTGGATTATAAGTTTTCGCTGGTTATGTTTAAATCTTTTTCATTCCTATTTGTGCTTAGGACACCCTGTAAATTAGAGGTTTCTGAGTTTTTATTTTCTTTCCCAATTTAACAGGTTGGCGATTTTGGTCTTTCACGTCTTAAAAGAGAAACATACCTGACTACAAGGACCGGGAAAGGAACAGTACGTTTCTATCATATGTTTTATGTTTTTGCTACATCAATAAGATCCTTGCTGCTCCTGGTTGACTGACAGTGTAGACTTCTCTTCCTCTGTAGCCTCAATGGATGGCACCTGAAGTTCTTAGAAATGAACCTGCTGATGAGAAGTATGTCTCTATGGAAAACCTTTCGATAAGTTCATCAACTGGGATAGACATGATTTTATGCTAACTCCTCTTTGTGTTTTGGTAACCAGGGCTGATGTGTATAGTTTTGGGGTGATATTGTGGGAACTCGCTACTGAGAAAATTCCTTGGGATAATCTCAATTCTATGCAGGTATTTTCACTTTTACAGAAACAGAAAGCAAGGAGCATATGCTTTCTTTCAGCATCTTTTATCATTCTATTTCTTAATTTTCCAGGTCATTGGAGCTGTAGGGTTCATGAATCAACGGCTTGATATTCCTAAGGATGTTGATCCTCAATGGGCTGCAGTAATTGAGAGCTGCTGGCGTAGGTTTGTAGTTGTTAATCAACTTTCTTTCTGTTTTTCTCATTCAAATGCAAACAAGTGTCTGACTTGAGTTAGTACTCTCAAATTTAGTTACGCTTGTCTATTGAATCTGCCCCTCAACGTTACATTAATATTCTTTTTACAGCTGACCTATGCAGTATGTGGCCGGCGGCTAATGTGTGTCCTTTCATAAGGGGTTTCTTATTTATTTTTTGTTGTGTTCAAGTGGGGAAAGCCTAACTTTCATATCTATGATGCTGCCATGTTATCTATTTTTTCACTGATGAATTCTAGATAAATCATGAAACAATCTGTTGCACTGCATAGTTTTACCGATGCTGACATGAAATATGTTGCCTAACACAGTGAACCTCAGAGCCGGCCATCATTCCAAGAACTTGTCGAGAGACTTAGAGACATGCAAAGACAATATACGATCCAGTTTCAGGCTACACGTGCCGCCATTGCAGCAGATAACAGCCGTAAAGAGTCATAAACCGGGGAAGCATATCAAGCTATCTTTTTGCCTTGCAAGAGAAACATGTATGACACTTCTGTCATAATTGCCGCAAATTGATATCCTTTTTGCACGTTAGATGTCGCCAAAATGAGCGGAGGCTGGTGGTGACCTCATTGTCAGTTAGTGTGAGCAATGTGTTTATTCAGACAATGATCGTCATTTGTGATGCCTATGAAGCTGGGTCCATGGCATAACCACATCCGGCTGCTGCACTCCGCTGTTTACCTTGTACAGCTGATTTGATACCGAATTGAACAGATTGGATCAACGAATATTGTGGTGTGTCTGAAGCTCTGGAAAAAGTTCTATGTGTGGGTTTAACAAAGAATTATTTTAGACTAACTCTGACAGTTGTAGCAGGCCAAAGAGTAGTACTGTGATTTTTGCAAACTGAAGAGGGGTAGCTAGTCTGACTTTCGACACAATTATATTTGGTTCAAAACCAAATGGTGGTAGGAGGAGCTTATATTCTTTTTACATTCTGAGCAGTTTCTCAAGATCTGGGTTCAAGTGAAGTAACTTTCAACTTGAAAGTTTACCACAGTTAGTGGATTATTTCTCCCCATGTACAAACAAAGGATAGTGTACAGTGGGAAGTCGAAGATTTATAGACTGCTTAAGAATGTATCATCAATTTCCACTTGGAAGATTGACATACGAAGCATTTGAGACAAAAATGGTTCATTTGCAAGAAACAGTTGGAAATACTTTTGTTCATGTTTAAGGTTTGGCCCCCTTGAAAGGTTTTGAATCCATTGGTTCTTGGTTTTCTTTACATCAAAGGTTTGTGTGCGTATATTTACTGATAATTGTACTTAGGTTTGAGTTTTGACCAAAAAAAAGGAAAAAAAAAAAAAAAACTTCCTCGGAAGTGATTCCCGTTCATTATTCATCACTGGTTTCATACCATGCATGCGAAGTCGAGGGTTTAATTACAACTTAGTGAATACAGTTTTAGTACAATTTAAACCTCCCCATTAAAATAAGTCAGAACAACCATTATACATGTCAAATAATCTATTGCAAAATTTACATTTTTGAATAATATTCCCTCTGATTTTTATTATAAAATATTTTAATTTGTTTTAGATTTTTCACCTCGTATGTTATTGAAAAAAAACCTTAAAAATATTTTTTAATAATTAAAAGAACACAATAAATATGAAAATGTAAAATCTAAGGTAAATAACAAATGTCTTAGAATAAGTAGAGAGGCCGTATACATCTTCATTGTAGTAGCTGTATGAGGTGTCTATTGAGTATTGAAAATCTTAATACATGGATAAATTGATGTAGCCCTTAATCAATGAGTCTTTAAAATAATGATTGCTTCATTTGAGGGGAAAATTAAAACTAGAAAAAAAAAAAATGCTTTCAAACACACTGAAAACAGTTAACTTGAAGCGCTGTCGACTCAATCGAGAGATGGTGTATTGTAATTGGTTTGAACTTGTGCTGGAGAAAGAAAAATGGAAAATCCTGCTACGAAGTCAGCTGCTTCAGGGGAAGCCGGAGCCGGAGCCGGAGCTGGGGTTCCACCAGCTGAGGAGTTGCTGAAGAAGATTCAAGAACTTGAAGAAGGACATGCCCGGTTGAAGAAAGAGATGGCAAAGCTGTTAATTTCGTCAGCAACTGATCAGAAATCCGGTGCTGTTGAAAGACACAGGTCTCATTCTATTTCTCCGGTGAGGCGCGGAGGGCCGAGGCCGGCGGGTGGCGGTGGTGGTGGGGGATTTGATGGTAGTGTTTTGGCAGATTGGAAAAAGGGCTCTGCTTCTTTCCGGCATTCTTCGCCTTTGAGATGGGAGAGCAGAAGTAGTGGGGGTGATAGCGGCGGCGGCGGCGGTGAACCGGCGGCTGTGAATTTTACAGACAAGCAATATTTGAATATATTGCAGTCAATGGGTCAGTCGGTACATATATATGATCTTTCTTGTCGCATTATTTACTGGTGAGTTCTTTATTTTTAATTTTTGGATTGGTATTAAGTGATCTGTTTATAGTTAACTTTTGTGGGAAATTTTGAAGGGATGTTTTTGTTTTGGATGATTATGGTAACTTTTTTGCTTAAGAGGTTTCTGACTTTGCCTTCTGTCATTCTATAATTAGGATTCCCTTTGCAATCGTTCCTTATCTGTGCAAGTAGCTAGTTTTCCTACGCTGAGATGCTTATTGTAGATGGAAGTTAAATTGGTCCATTTACCTTACTACTAGCATTTTGGAATGCAAAATGAAGGGTGTATCAGTACTTGTAGGTGCTTGTATCCGCTTTTAGTTTACATGAGGATATATAGGATAGCATTCACTTATGATTTAGTACCTCTGTTGGAAATGTGTATTGATTTCAGGAACAGGAGTGCTGAAAAACTTTACGGCCATACAGCTGCTGAAGCTTTAGGAAGGAATCCGATTGAGCTTTTAGCAGAGACTCGTGATTTCAATGTTGCTGGCCATATAGTCCAACGTGTAGCATTGGGGCAAAGTTGGACGGGACAGTTCCCGGTCAAAAATAAGAAAGGAGAGAGATTTATGGTTATCGTAACTAACACACCATTCTTTGATGATGATGGTACTATGGTTGGGATAATTTGTGTATCTGCTGATTCGAGACCTTTGCAAGAAACAAAAGCCGCATTGCCCGGGGCAAAGGCTAATTCAAGCTCTAATAGTCGGCCTCGCTTGAGTGCTTCTGCAAAACTTGGACTTGATCCTGAGCAACCTCTTCAAGTTGCAATTGCCTCCAAAATTTCGAATTTGGTTAGTGAAGTCCATTGCTTTTTTAAAATTATCTCTGCCCATTCTGTTGTTATTCATGTTAAGTGTTACGTACTCATGATGCAACTTAAATGTAGGCTTCGAAAATGAGCAACAAGGTTAAATCGAAAATGCGGGAAGGAGACAATATTTCCCTGGATCATGAGGGTGGTAGTGGAGACAGTAATCACTCTGATCATCCTTTTTTGGATGCCGCTACATTCTCCGATCACCGAGAAGATGCTGCTTCAAGTGGGGCCAGTATACCTCGAGGAGATGTACACCCTTCTCCATTCGGGAGATTTTCCCATCCTACTCACGATGAGGTCTCTCCAGGAATCAACTCCCAAGGTGGTTCTGGGGATGAAAATGAAAGAAAACCTGGGATCTCAAAAATCATTGCATCAAAAGCAGAGGCTTTGATTGGTAAAAAGGGAATATCTTGGCCATGGAAAGAACATGGTCGGGATGGATCTGCTGAGTCAAAGGGCCCTCCTCGGTTTGCTTGGCCATGGTTACAGCACGACATTGAGAATGACTTCGACAAACAGAAACCCGCTGGACCTCCAAAGGGGCACAATCAGGAAACTAATACGATTGAGGACAATGAGGCTCCGGGTTCCTGGTCTTCGTTTGATGAGAACAGCGCAAGCAGTGGTAGTAGCAGTGGAAGCACAAGTAGCAGTGCTGTTAATAGAGTTGAAGTTGATGCTGACTGCTTAGATTGTGAGGTCTTGTGGGAGGATTTGACAGTTGGAGAACAAATTGGACAAGGTAATCTTTCAGTATTTGATTGATTATTGGTTTTTCCCATTCCGGAAGATGTATGAGGCCTCATGTGCGAAATGTTTTCCGTTTTCATGTTTAGTTGACCTGTGATTGTGTTCTGCGGCTTGTTCTCTTTCACTCGAATGGAACTTCTTTTTGGTTCTAGGAAGAGAGGAATCTGAATGTTTGCTTTATCAGCGTGATCTCATGATTCTGAAATTCTGATTTGGACAAATTATAGATTGTTGTAAGTGCTGCCCCACACATAGAAGCTTCCGCATGTGCATTGGCCCTCCTTAGGGTAGGTGCAGGCCTTAGAAGCTGAATGTAGAGGCTTTATTTTAATAATTGAAATAACCTACACAATTTACCGCAAGTAGAGGCTATTTTCTGTGTTGTTTGTGCTGGCTGCTTATCGTTTTTGTCTAACATGCTTCCCAATATTCTGCAGGTTCATGTGGAACTGTATATCATGCTCTGTGGTATGGATCAGTATGTTCTTTGCCTCCTTCTCTATTAAGTAAATTTTTTCTCCAAACAGCATGCAAAAGACACCTTTTAGCCTCATATAGTTAAAATATGTTAACAAATGAGCAGCTGTAATGCATTGGCATTACCCCCAAGTTAAGTTATAGATGTACTGCTCTATCTATGTGCTAACTATCTGGCTTGTTTTAACTGTTTTCTTGATTGAAAGTGTGAACTTGCAAAAATGTCCTTGTGCAGTACTTACTGTATGTTTTGTTATGTAGGACGTAGCTGTGAAGGTATTCTCTAAGCAAGAATATTCCGATGAAGTGATATTATGCTTTCGGCAGGAGGTGATCTACAATTCACTGTATCTTTTCTTTTTGTTTTTGTTATTTTGCTATCCTCTTGCCAGCACCTGAGTTCTTGGAATTGTATATTAGTTGATACTGCTTCGCAGGATTTGGTAAAAGTTTTATGCTTGACAGAAGTTTTCCATTGGATGTACTGTGTCAAGTTTTATGAATTCAAATCAGCATGAATGCTTTTACCAAGTCCTTCTTCTCTTACTTTATAGAAGTTTACTCCCATTGTTGTTAGAAGTTTGCATGAAGGCTCGAAGATGTCCTGTTGTTCTACATGGTTTGCCCTGTCCTTGGTGTGCTTAATTTTACAAGAATGTCTCTCATCCCCTCTTTATCTCATCAGAAGGACAACTCTCATATGGTTTAAATGATAGCTTTAGTCGATATAGTTATGTTTTGCAGTGTGCTGACGTTTTTCTGTATACACTTGATTCAATGGCAATTTTAATAGTTGCAACAAATAGCTAGTTGGTCATTGAGCTTGCCTTTGATCAATTTTTTACTTTTGTTCAGGTGTCTCTCATGAAAAGACTGCGACATCCAAATATTTTGCTTTTTATGGGCGCGGTGACTTCACCTGAACGGCTGTGTATTGTGACTGAGTTTCTTCCGCGGTTTGTTCCTCCTCCAGTCTGCCAAGTGCCAAGTTATTGGCTGAAGAATATTGATGCTGAGATCTCTTCTTTTCTCTTTTCATGCAGAGGAAGTTTGTTCAGATTATTACAACGAAATGTGGCCAAATTTGATTGGAGGCGCCGTATTCACATAGCTTTGGATGTAGTAAGTACTTTCAGAGCCTGATGTGGTTTTATAATAGCTTTTTTTTATTAAAAAAAAATTTTTGTTCTAGCTTGAAGGAGGCATCTAAATATATCCTGGATTCTAAATTTGTATTTCTTAGATGTTGGTTGATTGAGCATTGGCTTGTGTATTTCCAGGCGCGAGGCATGAATTATCTTCACCATTGCAACCCGCCTATTGTTCACCGGGATTTGAAGTCTTCCAATCTCCTTGTTGACAAGAATTGGACTGTGAAGGTACTGGATTTCTAGTCTTTGCTGTTTATTTTTCAAATATTTTTCCATTCCTGTTCTGCTTAGGAAACCTTTCTGCAAATTAGAGGTTTTAACTTGTGAGTTTCTTAATTTAACAGGTTGGCGACTTTGGTCTTTCCCGTCTTAAAAGAGAGACGTACCTGACTACGAAGACGGGGAAAGGAACAGTACGTTACTATCACGTGCTTCATGTTTTTGCTCCATGCAAACCCCTTCCACTTTTCTTGGTCAACTGACTGTGTAGATTTCTCATTGTCTTTAGCCTCAATGGATGGCGCCAGAAGTTCTTCGAAATGAACCTTCAGATGAGAAGTATATCTCTGTCGAAAAGCTTTTGATGTTATCTACTGGAATTCACATCACTATATGCTAACTCCTCCTGCCTTTTGTTATCCAGGGCCGATGTCTATAGTTTTGGGGTGATATTGTGGGAACTCGCCACTGAGAAAATTCCTTGGGATAATCTCAATTCTATGCAGGTATATTCTCTTTTACAGAAACAGGAACAGAGGACTATGAGTTTTATTTTCAGCAGCACTTATCATAATATAATGTTAATTCATTTTTCAGGTTATTGGGGCTGTAGGCTTCATGAACCAACGGCTTGATATTCCCAATGATGTTCATCCACAATGGGCAGCAGTCATTGAGAGCTGCTGGCGTAGGTTCGTACTCTGCTATTCAAGATCTCTTTGTTTTGTTTGTTTGTCATTCGAAGGTATCTTTGAACTTTTCACTTATAACTTAGCTAACATCCTCAATTGTGCCAGCCAGTTGTATTTGCTTTAAAGTATTATTGTAATATACTTTTTACAGCCGATGTATGCACAAGGCAGGCAGTGGGTCTGTCTCCTTTGAATAAGGGTTTTATTAGTTTTTCTTTCTTTTTTAGTGTTCGAGTGGGGAAACTAACTTACATATCTATGATGCTTCCGTGTTTTCCTTTTTGTTCCTGACAAATACCAGATAAATCATGAAACAATGTGTTGCACAGCAAAGATTGTGGTGATGCTGACATGAAATATTTTGCCTAACACAGTGAACCTCGGAGCCGGCCATCATTCCAAGAACTAGTTGACAAACTCAGAGACATGCAAAGACAATATGCACTTCAGTTTCAGGCTACGCGCGCCACCACTGCACCAAATCGTAGCAAGAAAGAGTCTTAAACTGGGGAAACAATCAAAGACCTCTTTTTGTCTGTTGAGGGAACAATTTGTGACACTGATGGAATTGCTGCAAATTTGTATCTTTTTGTAAGTGAAGTGTCACCAACATGAACGAAGGTTGGCATTGCCGTCACCGTCACCGTCAGTGAAGTGTGAGCAATGTGTTTATGCAGAAAATTATCATCATTTGTTATGCCTATGAAGGTGGGTACAGGGCAGAACGGCATCCAGCTGTTGCAGCTGCTGTCTGCATCTTGTTACCTTGTACAGCTGATTTGATGTGGAATTGAGTAGATTGGATCATCCCATCGTTGTAATGTCTTTGAAGCTCTGGAAAAAAATGTATGGATTTAACCAAGAATTATTTTATAGTAACTTCTACAGTTGGACAGGCCAAACACAGTACTGTGATTTTTGCAAATTGAAGAGAGCCGGCTAGTCTGACTTATGACTTCCAAAGATTTTTGTTTCACCCATCTGATGATAGTAGGAAGGGCTTCTAATCCTTTTACATTTGAAACAGTTTGTGAAGTAAAGCAATTTTTAACCATAATTACAGTTGTCTGATCATTTCTTCCCATGTTCAAACAACAAAGAATGTTGTACGTCGGGAAGTTTGCGATTTGTACTGATAAGGATTTGTCATAAACTTCCACTAGCAAGATGACTATACGAACGATCTGATAACAAAAAGGGTTTTAATGAAAAGTCTGGAGAAGAACGTAATCCCATCCATTTTATTAATGGTTTTAAAACACCGATTGGAAAAGGTCTGTGATTCATTGGTTCAGGCTTTTGTTGGCGGCAAAGGTCCGCATACCATATCGTATTGTGTCCATAGTTTTGACAAAATAATATTCCTCAAGTGATTCAATTTCAAGGTCATTCATTCATTACTGGCTCACAAATAATTTGGTCTAGCAATACAAAAATGGAGATCCCTAAAAAGAAATTGAGTAAAACCACTCTTCAAAGTAAAACTTTCTCGATGCTGTTGGACATTCTCGCATCCAAGTGTAGACAACTAGGGTTCAAAACAACTGGTTAGCCTACCAGGCTCTCAGTGAACCTAAAATAAACACAAAGTATTCTTTCAAGCCATCAGTCAATTAAAGATCGAATCGCTGCAACTGCATCTCCTTTGTGCTCGCGTAAGACTCTTTCTGCCAACTTCTTGTCCAGCTGCATGCATTAAAGAGACTAAGTTGATTAGCACAAAAGAAACCTGGCAGTTAAAAGAACAACAGAGATGATCAAATTCAATCTGGACCTCTAATTCGTTGGCAATTATATCTACATCAACTGCATTGATCTTAACCGCAGCTAATTCCTTCTCCCTGTGACAAAACCAAACAAAAAAAAGAAGCATGTAAGCATGTTGTCCTGAAACACATTTTCCAGAAAGCTACCAAGTATGTCAAATTGAGTTGGTAACAATGCAAAAAGAAAACAGATACCAATCATCTTAAACTATAGCGATCTTATTTCATCGAACTCCAATGTTGAGTTCAATGCATCATCACACGGACATCAGGAGTCGTGAAGTGAGCTCTCTCGAATTAATCAAGACTAGAAAAGAAAGTAAAACCAGGTTTCTATGCTAGAGCATTGTTTAACAGAGCAACAAACTATTCGATGTCACGGAATTAACCATTGCCCTCCTATCCTTTAGTGAAGGTTCTAAATGACCAGATATAAATACTTTAAAACTCCAAGTTAGCATGGCCAAAACGTTTCAATTCGAGATTGTAAACTACTAATGGTTGAATAAAGTGCAAGGTTATGCAATAGCTCAGTTAACATAACCAAACATAAGATCACGATTTCGACAGCTACTTTCTTATTCTCTAAAAAAAAAATTAGGGCAAATTAGCCATATTGCTCATAAACCAAGAATAACAAACAACCCACCTTAATTTCTTTGCTTGCAGATCAGCTTCCCTAGATGCAGCAATTGAAGCCATCGCCTAAAAAAAAAAAAATCCCAAATCACACCCAAAAACAGCCAAAAAAAAATTAGCAAACATCCACAACAAAAACAATATTGAATTCAAAATCATAGAATAAGCAAACAAATTGAACTCTTCCAAGGAGTATATACACAGAAAAAGAAAACCCAAAAAAACCCAAAAAAAAATTCCAACCCCACGTCAATAAAGATTGAATCTTGATAAACAATATGGAACAAATATGGGTTTTTTTTTTTTTTTTTCGTTCTTTTGCAATATAGAAGTAGAGAATGATGAAATTACCTCCTGAACACGAGTGGAGTCGAGCTGACGGTCTTCGACATGGTCGGTGAGCTTATCGAGGGCTTTGCTCTGCTGTTGAAGGTCCTTTGAGTCAACCACCAATTCTATTCCTTCGTCTCCTCCCTCCATTATTGAACCTCTTTCTCCTCAGATTTTCTTCTGCTCAACTTTTTTTTTTTTTCCCCCTCTGAATTCTTCTGCTTCCTGCTTATTATATTCAGCTACAAATAAATCGGGCCATTAGCTTTTATGGGCTTCCAAATTTTGGAGTTTTTTTTTCTGGGCTTATCCATATACATGGTTTGGCCTACAACTCTGTAGTGCGAACAAATAATAATTTGGTTTATTTTTAACTTCTAATTATTGCATTGTTTATGTTTCTTTTTTTTTTTTTTTTCTTCAGAATCTCATTCGCAGCTCACTTTTTATTTCTTGGTTACAAATAAATAAAGGAAATTATGAACCACTGCCTTGAATTTCCTTTCAGAATATTAAATCGACACAACTGCAAAGAGATTTTAATTCTAAAAAAAAAAAAGAGAAGTGGTGTTCATGTTTTACCGACTTAACATTTCTTAATATTGGTGAAAATGTTTTGTACGACTTTAGTAAAGTATTTAGGAAGATATTGAAGATGAGATTGTGAACAAACTAAACTATGACTTAAATTTTAAAGGGAAAAAGATGGAAATACTATTGAGTTAGTTTAGAATTGATCAAACTCAAGTTGAACTTGTCTTTAACGTCCGGAGGATTCTGTTTAATCGAGTCTTGACATATCAACACAAATGGGAGATGGTGTATTGTTCTTAGTTGGAACCTAAAACCAAAAAAGAATAAATAAAAGAAATTAAAGTTCAACAAGGGAGTGATGTACGAGAAAAAGCAAGGATGAATAAGGAAGAATCACATTGAAAAACAAAAATGAAGGAGAATGTTATTTCAGAATACCAAAAATAACATTCTTCTTTATCATCATTTTACTGGTAATTCAATGATACCAGTAATACATTTGAATATGAAAGGAAAGAAAATTAAATTACAGTAATATTTATTACAAGGGTTATTATATATAAATAAATATATCTTCTCTTTTAAGAATACATATCTTTTTTTTCTTAATTATACAGATTAATTTAATTAATCAATTAATTTAAAACATGCCAGGCTGATAAGGGAAGCCAGTAGCCTTGATCCAGTCATCCCCCATGAAGTATTTTCCAGGAGTGAAGCTCTCAGCAATCGCAGGAGTGACCTTCTGGATACCTTTCCAGGTGACCCTCTTGTCGGTTTTAGCGCCGGCGCCGGTGTTGAGGTATTCACCATAGTACAATGTGTCCAAACCCCAGGTTCCCATCCAGGGAGACCATCCTTCAGGCAAGATGAATCCTCCAATGTTGGATTGCATGATGAGGGTCCTTGAGTATTGCTTCCATGGGCGTCCAAGGTATGCCCTGGGGAGAGGGTTAGTGGCGAGGAACTCAGGTTCGGCGGTGATGGTGCTGTTCTGGATGATGATTGCGCCCAATGATCGGGTGTTGTTCCTTCCCTGAGCGGTGACCATGCATCCTTGGTTCTCCAGGGGCTTCCTGACGACCATTGTGCAGTTTTGGAACACGGCCTGAGCGTCGCCGAAGATGAAATCGATGGTTCCGCTGATGACGGTGTTGCGGTAGAACTGCCTGTAGTTGTGACTGTAGAGTGTGTCTTGGTACCCGTCCAATCGGCAGTTGAACACGATGGCATGGTCACCGGATACTCGGAGTGCCACGGCCTGGTGCTTCTCGGCTCCGGCTGAGTTCTCGATGGCGATGTCCTTGAGGATGCAGTTGTCACCGTTGATGGCTGCATTTTATTGAGAGATTTTTTTTTATTACACATTAGCTATTAATTAAATGAAAGAACTGAAGTTGAAATCAGGATCAAGAATAAGGATAAGGAGGATTGACTTACCAACAGTGGCAGTATGGAAGGTGCCGATTCCATCGACGTAGTTCTTGTTACCGGTGATCTTGGTCTTCTCAGGGCCTTCACCGAAGATGTAAACATTGTTGATCTTTCTTGGGATCATAACAGTTTCGTGATAGACACCGGCCTTGACAAGAATGACGAAGGGGACGCTGTTGTTCTTCGGGATGGTGTTGATCACATCCTTGAATGTCTTATGTGTGCCACTTCCATCCAAAGCAATGACGGCGTTAGGCTTCAAGGTGGAGGGATCGGCCCCGAGGAGTTTGCGTTGCTTGGCATTGACGAAATCAGGGTAGGATTGCTCATCCAGGGCCTCAGTCGACATGAGCTTCCTATTCAATCCAGGGATATTCAATGTACCGATAATTTCGGAAAATTGTGAAACCATAGCCAAACCGTTGCTGGATAGCTGTGAGGCGGTTGTCAAGAGCTGCTTCATCTTCTCACCGGTGGTTCCGGTGGTGTTCTCGAAGGCGTCGATGCAGGTTTCCTGGTAGGTGATGGCGCCGCTGAGCCATGTTTTGAGATCGGCAAGGTACTCGTCGACCTTGCTCATGTCAAACTCCTCGACTCGGGCGAACGACCTCTTGAAGTCGTCGATGGCGGTGTCCAGGACCTCTTTGCAAGTTTCCAGGGCCTGAGAAGTCCTTGGATCCTTGGCAGCATCCTTCAGGGAGGGTGGAATTCTTGATCACTTCTTCCAGGTTATCAACCGTAACCTGGAATGCAACCTTAACAAGCTCCTTTGGATCACTTGTGTTCCCGGCTTTTGCGAGACTGTTCTCACAGGTTTCCTTGTAATCAACGTGTTTGCAGATGGATTGCACGGCCTTGGTTGAGGAGCTCGGGGATGCGCTGGCGCCGCCCGCCGGAGCGCCAGTTTCGGCATTGTTTTTCGAGCTAATGCCGTATGTCACAGCACCAACAACGGCTGCTACAAGGAGGATTGAAGAGACGCCCAACATGGCCATCTTTTTCTTCTTTGAACCATCGCCACTGTAACCCATTTTTTTTATTTTTTTTTTCAAACAAAAAATAACAAAAAACTCTAGAAGTTTTTTTGGTATTTTTGATTGGAATTTTTTTTCTTTTTTTCTTTTTGTGCCTGACTCTCTCTTGAAATCAGAGAAAAAATATTCAGACACAAGAGTAAAGATATATTTATGAGACTGGTTCCCTTGCCTGGTTTCAATTTTGAGATTGAATGCAAAGGCTATTTATACAAGTGAAACCATCTCTAAACATCCGAAAAAATGGTCACCACTTAGAATAGAATAGCATAATTTTTTCAAGAAAAGGATGACATGTGTAGATTGAAAACCAAAATTTGTTACCTAGAATTTCTCCTACCCATTTTCCCTTCTTAGGAACCCAAGTTTTGTGGTAAGGATTCTGAGGTAGCGAGGCTTGTTCGGAGTGTAAAATTATCCAAATGTCAGTACAAAAAGTGATGGTTAATTTTAGCATTTGTCGGGGAAATGGAAGACCAGGCAAATTCGTGAAAATAGTGGAGACTTCAGAATGCTAAATCCACACAATTGCATAGAGATTTTTTTTTTTTTCCTAAAAGAGAATTGGTGTTCATGTTCTACCAACTTAAAAAATAGAAATGATGTTTTATACAACATTATTAGTATTTAAAAAGATATTGAACATGAGATTGTAAATGAACTAAACCATAACTTAATTTTAAAGGGAAAAAAAGAAGAAAAAGCTACTATTGAGATAGTTTAAAATTGGTCAAACTGAAGTTGAACTTGTCTCTTGGTGTTCATGTCCTACCAACTTAAAAAATAGAAATGATGTTTTATACAACATTATTAGTATTTAAAAAGATATTGAACATGAGATTATAAACGAACTAAACTATAACTTAATTTTAAAGGGGAAAAAAAGATGAAAAAGCTACTATTGAGATAGTTTAAAATTGGTCAAACTGAAGTTGAACTTGTCTCTTGGTGTTCATGTTCTACCAACTTAAAAAATAGAAATGATGTTTTATACAACATTATTAGTATTTAAAAATATATTGAACATGAGATTATAAACGAACTAAACTATAACTTAATTTTAAAGGGAAAAAAAGATGAAAAAGCTACTATTGAGATAGTTTAAAATTGGTTAAACTGAAGTTGAACTTGTCTCTTGGTGTTCATGTTCTACCAACTTAAAAAATAGAAATGATGTTTTATACAATATTATTAGTATTTAAAAAGATATTGAACATGAGATTATATACGAACTAAACTATAACTTAATTTTAAAGGGAAAAAAAGATGAAAAAGCTACTACTGAGATAGTTTAAAAATGGTCAAACTGAAGTTGAACTTGTCTCTTGGTGTTCATGTTCTACCAACTTAAAAAATAAAAATGACGTTTTATACAACATTATTAGTATTTAAAAAGATATTGAACATGAGATTGTAAACGAACTAAACTATAACTTAATTTTAAAGGGAAAAAAAGATGAAAAAGCTACTATTGAGATAGTTTAAAATTGGTTAAACTGAAGTTGAACTTGTCTCTTGGTGTTCATGTTCTACCAACTTAAAAAATAGAAATGATGTTTTATACAACATTATTAGTATTTAAAAAGATATTGAACATGAGATTATAAACGAACTAAACTATAACTTAATTTTAAAGGGAAAAAAAATGAAAAAGCTAATATTGAGATAGTTTAAAATTGGTCAAACTGAAGTTGAACTTGTCTCTTGGTGTTCATGTTCTACCAACTTAAAAAATAGAAATGATGTTTTATACAACATTATTAGTATTTAAAAAGATATTGAACATGAGATTATAAACGAACTAAACTATAACTTAATTTAAAGGGAAAAAAAGATGAAAAAGCTACTATTGAGATAGTTTAAAATTGGTTAAACTGAAGTTGAACTTGTCTCTTGATGTTCATGTTCTACCAACTTAAAAATTAGAAATGATGTTTTATACAACATTATTAGTGTTTAAAAAGATATTGAACATGAGATTATAAATGAACTAAACTATAACTTAATTTTAAAGGGAAAAAAAGATGAAAAAGCTACTATTGAGATAGTTTAAAATTGGTCAAACTGAAGTTGAACTTGTCTTTAAAGTGTGGATTCAGTTTAATCGAGTCTTGATATCTCAATCCAAATGGGAGATAGTGTATTGTTCTTGGCTGAAGAAAAAAAAAGTGTATTCTTCTTTGTTCGAACCAAGAGCCAAAAAAAATAAATAAAAGAAATTCGATTTCAAATGAGCGATCTACGAGAAAAAGTAAGGAACGAACAAGGACGAATCATAAGGAAGAACAAGGAAGAATCATAAGGAACGAACAAGGAAGAATCATATTGAAAAACAAAAATGAAGGAGAATGTTATTTCAAAATTTAATATTACCAAAAATAACATTCTTCTTAATCATCATTTTACTGGTAATCAGCCATACCAGTAATACATTTGAATATCGAAGAAAACTAAATTACATAACATTTATTACAAGGGTTATTATATAAAAATATATCTTCTCTTTTAGGAATACATATTTCTTTTTGTTTTATTATACAGATTAATTTAATTAATCAATTAATTTAAAACATGCCAGGCTGATAAGGGAAGCCAGTAGCCTTGATCCAGTCATCCCCCATGAAGTATTTTCCAGGAGTGAAGCTCTCAGCAATCGCAGGAGTGACCTTCTGGATACCTTTCCAGGTGACCCTCTTGTCGGTTTTAGCGCCGGCGCCGGTGTTGAGGTATTCACCATAGTACAATGTGTCCAAACCCCAGGTTCCCATCCAGGGAGACCATCCTTCAGGCAAGATGAATCCTCCAATGTTGGATTGCATGATGAGGGTCCTTGAGTATTGCTTCCATGGGCGTCCAAGGTATGCCCTGGGGAGAGGGTTAGTGGCGAGGAACTCAGGTTCGGCGGTGATGGTGCTGTTCTGGATGATGATTGCGCCCAATGATCGGGTGTTGTTCCTTCCCTGAGCGGTGACCATGCATCCTTGGTTCTCCAGGGGCTTCCTGACGACCATTGTGCAGTTTTGGAACACGGCCTGAGCGTCGCCGAAGATGAAATCGATGGTTCCGCTGATGACGGTGTTGCGGTAGAACTGCCTGTAGTTGTGACTGTAAAGTGTGTCTTGGTACCCGTCCAATCGGCAGTTGAACACGATGGCATGGTCACCGGATACTCGGAGTGCCACGGCCTGGTGCTTCTCGGCTCCGGCTGAGTTCTCGATGGCGATGTCCTTGAGGATGCAGTTGTCACCGTTGATGGCTGCATTTTATTGAGAGATTTTTTTTTATTACACATGTTAGCTATTAATTAAATGAAAGAACTGAAGCTGAAATCAGGATCAAGAATAAGGATAAGGAGGATTGACTTACCAACAGTGGCAGTATGGAAGGTGCCGATTCCATCAACGTAGTTCTTGTTACCGGTGATCTTGGTCTTCTCAGGGCCTTCACCGAAGATGTAAACATTGTTGATCTTTCTTGGGATCATAACAGTTTCGTGATAGACACCAGCCTTGACGAGAATGACGAAGGGGACGCTGTTGTTCTTCGGGATGGTGTTGATCACATCCTTGAATGTCTTGTGTGTGCCACTTCCATCCAAAGCAATGACGGCGTTAGGTTTCAAGGTGGAGGGATCGGCCCCGAGGAGTTTGCGCTGCTTGGCATTGACGAAATCAGGGTAGGATTGCTCATCCAGGGCCTCAGTCGACATGAGCCTCCTATTGAATCCAGGGATATTCAATGTACCGATGATTTCGGAAAATTGTGAAACCATAGCCAAACCGTTGCTGGATAGCTGTGAGGCGGTTGTCAAGAGCTGCTTCATCTTCTCACCGGTGGTTCCGGTGGTGTTCTCAAAGGCATCGATGCAGGTCTCCTGGTAGGTGATGGCGCCGCTGAGCCATGTTTTGAGATCGGCAAGGTACTCGTCGACCTTGCTCATGTCAAACTCCTCGACTCGGGCGAACGACCTCTTGAAGTCGTCGATGGCGGTGTCCAGGACCTCTTTGCAAGTTTCCAGGGCCTGAGAAGTCCTTGGATCCTTGGCAGCATCCTTCAGGAGGGTGGAATTCTTGATCACTTCTTCCAGGTTATCAACCGTAACCTGGAATGCAACCTTAACAAGCTCCTTTGGATCACTTGTGTTCCCGGCTTTTGCAAGACTGTTCTCACAGGTTTCCTTGTAATCAACGTGTTTGCAGATGGATTGCACGGCCTTGGTTGAGGAGCTCGGGGATGCACTGGCGCCGCCCGCCGGAGCGCCGGTTTCGGCGTTGTTTTTGGAGCTAATGCCGTATGTCACAGCACCAACAACGGCTGCTACAAGGAGGATTGAAGAGATGCCCAACACGGCCATCTTCTTCTTCTTTGAACCATCATCACCGTAACCCATTTTTTTTAAGATTTTTTTTCAAACAAAAAATAACAAAAAACTCTAAAAGTTTTTTTGGTGTTTTTGATTGGAAATTTTTTTCTTTTTTTTTTCTTTTTGTGCCTGACTCTCTCTTGAAATTAGAGAAAGAATATTCAGACACAAGAGTAAAGATATATTTATGAGACTGCTTCCCTTGCCTGGTATATTTTGAGATTGAATATAAGGGCTATTTATACTAGTGAAACCATCTTTAAACATCCGATAAAATTGTAAAGATGTAGAATAAATTAGCATAATTTCTGAAGAAAAAGATGACACGTGCAGATCGGAAAGCAAAATTCGTTACCAAAGACTTTCTAGTACCCATTTTTTGTTTTCCTTTGGTACCCAAGTTTTGTGGTAAGGATTTTGAGGGAGCGAGGCTTGTTCGGAGTGTAAATCATTCAATGTCAGTATAAAAAAGGGACGGTTAATTTTAGCATTTGTCGTGAAAATAGTGGAGACTTGTTACACTAATATTATTATTTTTTTTTGAATTTTTATTTTTTAATATTAGCTGATGAATGGATTTGAATGGATACTTTTACTGTGTGGTAAAAAAAATCAAAATAAACTTCCTGGCTGTTGATTTTAGACCTATTTGTTTTCATTTTTTTTTGGCTATCTTTGCATGATTTTACGGATTGACTTTTGGGGTTTCTTTTAGAATACAATTTTAATTTGAATAGCAATTAATCAAATTACATCAACTTACATTTGCTAGTATTTACGAAAATACTTTTAATAAACTAATATTATTCTTTCTGAAGAGGGGGAAAAAAAACCATGTACTGTACATACTAAATTAATACTTGAGCTTAATCAAGTTCATAGTATTATACTTTCAGCATATCCAATATCATGGCCAGCTCGTCGTCCCCCTAACTAATACTATTATATTCTTTCGTGATGAGTTATATGACATTTCTTTAACAGAATCTGGCCGGAATCCCTACATTTAATTTAATATAAATAATAATTAAAAGTAAAATTACAAATGCAGTGTCTATAAGACAATACCCAACAGAATGTCTTGCATTACATGTAAGTTAGCGTATACTTACAATCTATATAAATCATAGAAGAATACATAAAATGAAAGAGAGAGAGAGATTACATCAATTCGTTTCAATCTCGATTGTGGAAAGAAGTGTTGATTTGCAATATAATAGTCCGTCAATTAATTGCGTTGTGTCACATACTCATTCCGTCCCGAAATGATTATCACATTTTACAATCTATATAAATCATAGAAGAATACATAAAATGAAAGAGAGAGAGAGAAATTACATCAATTCGTTTCAATCTCGATTGTGGAAAGAAGTGTTGATCTGCGTATAATAGTCCGTCAATTAATTGCGTTGTGTCATATATTCATTCCGTCTCGAAACGATTATCGCATTTTATGAAAGTATAAGTTATTAGTTTTGGTTAAACTAAGTATAAACCCTACGTTGACAACGATCTTCCAAATTAATATAGCCCTGACCGCAAATATTCACTTATGATCAATTTGTACTTGTGTTCCGTTGGGGAGTTATATTTTTACCTCTCTAGATTTGTAAAAACTGCCTTTTAAATTCTTATATTTCATAAAACCATCTAAGAACATCTTTACGGACCACCCAAATATCATAAACAACTGTTTTAATGACAATAATCAAAATTGTGAGAAATTTGTTTACGCCAACATGTTGAAGAAAGAACAAAATAACTTTTATATGTATGAACTATATATGCAGAGAAAAATCCTTTTATAGTACATACATATATACATACATATATAGTACATAATCACACCTCCAGAATTGATGTTTTATTATATCATCACTTTCACTGTAAAGTCATTATTTTGGATATTGGTGAATTATTGAGCTAAATCCGAAGCGTTGACCATGAAGAAGCTACGGTGAAGATTCTATTCTCGGTCCCATTTCCGGCACCAAATCAGCAACAAAAACAATGGCATTGCTACATCTCATCAAGAGGAAGAACATTTCAATATAAATTTTGTTGGACTTGGTGGCCTGTAAAACGAGATCCAATATGGAATCGACAGCTTCAATGCATTCCGGTGACTGGAAAGTTCAATCGACTTCAGAAAGAAAGGAGGTTTTTAAAAATTGCACTTTGACCTCCCATTTCTAATATATTCGCACTGTTGGGGACTCGAGTTTAGAAGCTGCCAAGTCCGGAAAAATCCTTCCCAAACTTTATTGTAAAAAAAATATGAAAATAAAGGTAAAATAAAACCCGTCAAAAGATGGCCCTTTCATGTTTAGAAATTAAGGGCAAAGTATTTCTCTTTGAAAAAGTAAATACTGTTTGATTTCTCTTTTTGTTTAGTTTTTTTATTTATTTATTTAATGGGCTGCCAAATATACTAAGCAATAAAAATGTCCTCATGTAGATTCAATTTCAATAGTACTTTTTTTTTTATTGTTCTTCTTTATCATATTTATGTGTTTTTATATATTCTAAATTGAATTAGATTGAATTGTCTGATGGATTTTCTTCCGATATCATTCATACAAATATCTAAATTTTTTTTCAATATAATTAACATCGATGAAATATTTCGATCGAATTCTCACAGTGCAACGCACGGGTACATCCAAGAGTCAGGGACAGTATCTGTTTGAAGTCAGATTGTTTTTGCGTCGTCCAGTTTTTACTCATGGGCAATTGTACGTCTCTTTTTTCAAGAGTAAAATCCGTGAAAGGTCTTAAAATCCTTATTTGTACCAAGGATGGAGAATTCCACACTCGGACGACAAATGTGGTTTACAATTAAGTCTTGGAAAATATATAATTCCTGATATGTTGCTTTTAGAAGTATTGCTTATTTCCGATACATTTTTTAATAATGACACAAATGCTTCATATTTTTATATACCCTTAGTTTTGTCCGTAATTATAAACAAACTAATATTTGTTATACACCTTCGTTTTTATTCTTATATGTTGAAATTATATACTCATATTTAACGTAAAAAATTGAAGGATAATTTAATTTTAATTTGCTCATCGTGCAAAGCACGGGTAAAACACTAGTGTATCATTAAAAGCATAATTGTTCATCATTCATTATTCCATTTCCATTTCAGTAGTGAAAAAGGTTTGTTTCACAATCCGGCATGAAATAGAAAAAAAAAAAAAACAAAAAACCCCACCAGACACATTAAGCACACGCATCGATCGGGCATCAACAACATGTAATCAACAAAACCACGTAGGTTGAATTTAGTACAAAATTGAATATAGTAACGATCATGTAACTTCAAATTTGCTACATAAATATGATAAAATATTCAATTCTTTTCCTGATCATTTATGTGACAACTCGCTAGGTTTAATTTAATTGTAATACATAACCTATGTATGTATGCTAATGAGAAAACCAATATCCGAGCCCAAAAACACATAACTAGAGCGAAGAAGTTGTGGTGTTTGAATTGATCGATGAAAGTGATTACGTGTTTAATTTACGTTTTAATTAAGGATTTACGATATCTAAAGATTTTCCAGTATTCAACTTAATTATCAACGTAACTAACATTATAGTATTGGTTGAATTTCACTGAGTAGAATCTAAGAAAAATTACAATAATTAACGTCAGTTGATTGATCAAAATATAAATGGAGGACGAAAAAAAAAATAAGACTTCAAAATTTTCCTTTGATATCTCGTGAAGTATACAATAATACTCAATTATCGAAAACTGTCACACACCAAAAAATAATGATCAATCTAAATATGTTTAAGTTTCTGCATCCATTGATCGATCATCATAAATATTTCTATCAAAACTTAATATAAAAGTTCGTAGAGATATAACTAGTTTATAATCCCAACAAAAAAATAAAAATCCAAAACGTAAGATTCTTTTTTTTTTATAAAAAAAATACAGGCATTTCCTCTACTATAATAAAAAAGTTAATGTGGTGATGATATTATAAAATATTATTTATTAACGGTTTGTGTTTTGGTTTCTATGATGATACTCTTTTGCTTACACCTTCATCATTCCAGCTTCAAATGGAACGCCGGCTTGTGGGAGCCAAGTCTGACCCTGGATGTAGGGTCCAACGGTGAAACTGTTAGCAATCTCGGGAGTAATCTTCTGGATGCCCCTCCAGGTTACCCGCTTGGAGGTATCAGATCCAGGTCCTCTGTTCTGGAACTCACCATAGTAGGATGTGTGCAGGCCAAAATCACTGGCATTCCATGGCGAAAAGCCTTCTGGAGCAATGAATGCATCAATGTCAGATTGCATGATGATGGTCCTTGACATTTCCTTCCATGGACGTCCCAGAAAGGCCTTGCGGGGTGGCTTGAGGGTCAAGAATTGCGGATCGGCCTCAATCTTACAGTTCTGGAGGACGAGGGCTCCGACTCCACGGTTCTCCGTCCTGCCCTGAGCGGTGACCATGCAGTCCTGGTTAGGGAGTGGTTTCCTCACTATCATCCTACAGTTCTGGAACACAACCTGACCGTCGCCGAAGATGAAATCGATGGTTCCGCTGATGACGGTATCGCGGTAGAACTGCCTGTAGCTGTGGGTGTACAACGTGTCTTGGTATCCGTCCAGCTGGCAGTTGAATATCGCGGTTCGGTCACCTGATACTCGGAGGGCCACGGCCTGGTGCCCTTCGGCTCCGGCTGAGTTCTCGATTCCCAAGTCTTTCAACACACATCCGAACCCGTTTACAGCTGCGTAATAATATACCATATCCAATGACATGAGAGATTGGAGAAGAGATTATTAATTCCCCTAGTATGTACTCCTCAGTCCCAAAAATATTGTACAGTTTGAGATTTCATTTACAGTTCAAATTTACTATAAATAAAATCTCAAATTGTACAATAATTTTGAGACGAAGGGAGTACTAGAAATGAAAGTCTAAATTGTCAGATGACTTACAGAGGGTGGCGGTTTGAAAAGTGCCGATTTTAGCTATTTCGTAGTTCTTGTTTCCGGTGATCTTGGTCTTGGTGGGTCCTTCTCCGATGAGGTAAATGTTGTCCACTTTCTTAGGAAGCTCCACATATTCCTTGTAAACACCGGCCTTGATTAAGATCACGAATGGTGCAGTGTTCTTCTTTGGGACGGTATTAACAGCTTCCATGATGGTCTTGAACTGGCCACTTCCGTCCTGGGCCACGACCGCGTTAGGTTTTAGGGCACCGGCTTCCATGAGCCTCCTGGTGGAAGCGGCAATGTATTCGGGGTAGGTCTCGTCGGACATCAGCCGTCTGTTGAATCCGGGGATGTTCAAGCTCGAGAAAATCTTGCCGATATCGGAAACCATGGCGAGAGCATTGCTGGAAAGCTCGCGGGAGGTTTTCAAGAGTTCCTTCATTTTCTCACCGGCATCACCTGGGGTCAGCGGTGGAGTCAGGACAAGTGATAAAAATCACATTATCCTAAGTATGCAAATTAATGTTCTCTCCATTCCGAAACTACTGTCCAGTTTAGGTTTTCGTTTTTAACACAAATTAAATTAAAAGTGAAAATTCAAACTGGAGAATAATTTTGGAAGAGAGGGAGTACAAAAGAGAGAATTCGTTTCTTTTTTTCCCTTCCAATGTACTAGTATATATAATACCTGTGGTGTTCTCGAAGGCATCCAAACAGGTGTCATGGACGGTGTTGGCGGCGCTGATCCAGGTTTTGAGATCGTCGAGATGCTTGTCGAAGTTCTTGATGTCGAAATCGTGGAACTTCTCAAGGGAACGCTCGAAGTCGGAAATGGCTCTGTCGAGGACATCTTTACAGATATCCAACGCGCCAGACGTCCTGGGGTCCTTGGCAGCATCCTGGATGGTGGAGGACTTGGAGATAACGTCTCCAATGTTGGCGATCGTGACGTTGAAGGCGTGCTTGATCAGCTCTTTCGGGTCGTCGCTGTTGGCTCCGTCCAGACTCTTTTGGCAAGTTTCCTTATAATCAGTGTGCGCGCAAAGGGATTCCGCCGCCTTGGAGGATGTATGGGTGGTGGTGGAAGGGTTTGCTGATGATCCGTGGTTCCCGAACCCGAAGGTTACGGCCCCCACGACGGCAGCCACCAGGAGGATGGAAGAAACGCCGAGAACGGCGGCCTTCTTTTTCCCTGAATCACCCATTTTTCTCTATGTATTTATATTTTTTTAGGGGTTACTCTTTCCCTGAATTAATTAGACAGAGAAAGGAGATTTTTTAAAAATATATATATTTTTGGGTTTTGATTTAGAGCTCCTATTTCGAACCCCTACTGACTTTTTGAAGTGATGAAAATGAGGCTGTATATATAGTATTTGGTGTGCGAGGTTTAAGGGGGAAAGGAGCCATGCATATTCATGCCTGCAAATGCAATGGCGGAAAAATTTTCTGTCAGCGAAATAATAGATGTGGCTAAGGACTTCCTCACACCTTGAGGTTTCATTTCCCACGAAATACTTGGGTCCTTATAGCTTTATAAGAACGTTGTTGTTTGATTTTGGATGCTGGGTCAACTAACTAAAAATGGCAAAAATTAGTTTTCATTGTTCCATCACCTTTTTTTATTTTCGCGAAATAGAAAAAAAGTACATAAATTTTCTTTTATTTATATCATAAGAATGATGTTGTCATCATTGTTTAGAGGCTTGTTTTTCCCTTTCTTTTTTTACATATAATGTATAAACCATTAAACAAATATCACAATAACACTAATCCCCATTCAACTCCAGTAAATCTTAATAGGAGTATAAAGGGTTGCTAATGACGAGTCATAAATTAACCCTAGGCCTATTGGACCTAGGATTAGATTACTTGGAGATTAAGCCATCGCCTAAACCTATTCTGTTAGGGTTTCAGGAAACAGGTAACACCACCTCTATATAAAGAGGTGGTGCCTCTCCTATAATGGATATCTTCTACCTATCTTCTACACCTTCTACACACGATACACATCCCTCTCTCTCTATTCTCTCTATTCCTTTACTGACTTAAGCATCGGAGCGTCTACCCTCGGAAGACACCCGAGACTCTGTCTTGCAGGTTTTAAGCCGTCCACCACCGTCTAGGTCATCATCGCCGCCCGTCCTAAGCACCGTACAAATCCATACTTCGTCAAGTGGCACGCCCAGTGGGACCGATTTGTTTAGTCTTCACAACCAAATAAATTTTTTAGCGAAGCACGGAATCTTTTGTATCTTTCGCACCAAGAAGATCACGCAAAAAATTATCTTTGTGTGGCTAAGACTGCGTCAGCCGACAAGTAACACAAAGAAGCTTTCGATTTCACAAATAATCGAGGAGCAACACTTGCTCTACAGCTGATCGAGAAGAACAATTAGCAAGAAGCAATCTTGAAGATTGAAGTTTCGAGAGATACATCTCCTCGAAGGGGTAAGCATACCTCGAGCACAATAATACTCCTCGAAGTGTTCGAGAAGATGTATCTCGACTTTTATCTACTCAACAACTACCTTCTCGGAATTGAGGTAACACTTTCTCGAATAACTAATTTATCTCGAGATCGAGTGAAATTGCATATCGACGAAAGACCTGCGCGACAGGCAATAAAGGCTTAAAGGCTTCTCCCCTTCAAATAAGAGAATAAAGGTTTCTCCCCTTCAAATAAGAGAAAAAATGTTTCTTCCCTTCAAATGAAAGAAAAAAGGTTTCTCCCCTTCAAATAAGAGAATCTAGGCGTCATCCTCCTAATTCGGCATAAACAGGCTTTCCCCTGCTAATAAGGAACTTACTAACACAAAGACCTCCTCGAAGGCATTCTACTCTCTCTATCTTGTATAAGTGATACCCGAGAACGAAAGAGTTCGAGAATTGAGGCAACACCACGAAACTCGAGAAGACATCAACACTTGTAGCAACCCATATCCTTCTCGTCAAGTCTCGAGAATATCGCTTGCTAGGGGCACTTGACGAGTCATAAATTAACCCTAGGCCTATTGGGCCTAGGATTAGATTACTTGGAGATTAAGCCACCGCCTAAACCTATTCCGTTAGGGTTTCAGGAAATAGGTGATTCTCCTGTTTCCTCGGTAATAAAATAGGTTTAGGCAGTGGCTTAATCTCCAAGTAATCTAATCCTAGGGCCTAGGGTTAATTTATGACTCGTCAAGTTGCACCAAGAAAGATGATACCTTCACCGTAGTTGAGCTCTTGCTGACACAAAGATGATACTTTGAATATGGATTAATCGAAAAGTTGTAGATGATATCATATTTTCTTTTTGCACACAACTTAATGAAGATCTTTGCTTTCCTTAAATCAACTTAAAACTAGCAAATAACCAAGAAGAGTTGACCGAACAACCTTCAACATAACTAGTAACATGTTTTGGGAACATCAAAAGCAAAGGTTGCTGAAGAAGCAATGTCCTGAATTTTACATCAAACAGCCAGCTTCATCGGAAGCTTTTGATGATAAAAGTGTACAGTTGTTGGTATGAGCGAGAATGAATTCCATTAGATAGCGCATCATGACTTGAATATTATCAATATTAGTTACAATAGTCTTCAATTTGTTCATATTGTATTTTGATCTTCCTTTAGTGATTATCTACTGTGTATTCTAAAGCTGTTTTTATGTTAACCTTTATCTCCTAAGAATTACTCTAAACTGCATAATTTTTTCTATAGATTCATGCCCCTGTTATAAACTTTCCAATTATTTATTATTATCGGTTGAATTTAGGTGTTGAACCTGATCTCAGCATCAACTGATTATTCTTTGTCATGTGAGATGAAAATTCGTGGGAATCCTTCCCTTGTGATCTGAAGCTTGTAGGGGTTCTGACTTCCGAGCCGCTTGTTGTTGCCCACTCCTGTATTTTATTCGTAATTGTTCCAAATATATCGCAATTGTTCTAAATATTTCGCGATTGTTCAAAATTGACAATAGAAGATGAGTTTATTGATTGTTTGTCTATTCATTTTGATTCCAGTATATATGACTTTGTAGTACTCCGGAAGTGATTTTTGTTAATTGTAATATAGTTGTACATCACATGTGTGTTTTGTCAAGAGACCACGCTTTCGTACCATACAATTATCATATGTTGACCTTAACCGTTTATAGAAAAGGCAACTGAATAATAAGAATGTGAAACGATCTGGTTCTTGAGAAGTGGTCTGCCTTTTGTGGCTAGCAGAGCAAGATATTAATATTAGCCATCAATACTTCGTAGAAACCAGAATCATTACGTCAGTTAGAATATACAAAAGAAAGGAGCTATGCATTGCAGACACTAAGACTGTCAAATCAGACATATATTTTTTCCGGAACCATTTTCATAAACTGATATTTATTGCCACAGCCCACAGTTTATAAAGCTGCAGGTGGTGATTTGCGATCTCATTTCTGAATCTCCATGTAAAACCAGACACGATTATGGACTGTTTACCTTGCCATGCAGAATTTGATTTCTCCTCAAATTTTTCATCTCTCATCACGTACAATTAACTATGGCAAAGATGAGTTGATTTATTTGGTTGTAAATGACATTCTGTTCCTAATAAGTGTGTATATTGAACAATAAGTTTCAGGAGGAAAGAAAAATAATATATATATATATATATATATAATATAGATGTGGAATTTTCTTTAAGAACTTATATTATTGACCAGAAAATCGATCGGGGTTAAACCGTGATTGGAACACGATATTATCGGCGTGTCGTATCCCCGTAATGCAATAATTTAGTCTCATTTGAGTATTAGCCTCCTTCTTTGTACCAAAAAAAAAAAATTGAGCAGAGAATCATTATCACAAAAATTTATTCAATTACATGTAATTCCTGGTAGGTATAATTTACACAACCTGATGAATCAAAAAGGCGGCAAAAAAAAAAAAAAGCTAATAATATTTCCCAAAGATCACTGATTTGATATGATTAAGAGGTTTAAGACCTTGGTTGCCTTACCCTGCCAGCAAAAAAAGGCACCCCTGAATTCTTTTTTTTTTTTTTTTTTTTTGAGAAGGCACCCCTGAATTCTTAATCCATCTATGATTGTCTCTGCCCCTAAAGAACTTTAGAAGCGTAAAACTCTCAGGAGCCATATCAGAAATATTGTCCTTGATGCCCGGGAACTTGGGTCGCCGGGCCGCGCCAGGGCCGCCATTTCCATGCTCAATGAAGGATCGAGTAGTGTTGTAATCTTTGTTGTTCCATCCAGACCATCCTCGAGGGTCGATTATTTTGTGGAGAAATGAATCCAGGACGACGACCCTGGCAAATTGTTTCCAGGGCCGGCCAAGGTAAGCCTCGATCGAGGGCGGCGACTTCTCGCCATCCACTTCGGGTATGATTTTGCAGTTCCGGTAGATTGAACTTTCTCGAACCGGCCTTGAGCCGTCACGATGAACTCTTGCGGTATTTGTGGCTTCCTAACCTTCAGGTTGCAATTCTGTAGGTGTGCTCGAGCGTTAAACCCGGATTCTAAGGTTCATTGGAAAAGCTATGGATATCACTGAGCCAAGAATCAATATTGCAAAAATTTTTGAATTTATATAATTCAGGGTATAATTTACAACCTGATGAACATCAAGAAGGAAAAAAAAAAAAAAAGAAAACGAAAAAAACTAGCTAAGATTCTTCTCCAAGATGTCTGATTCGAACTCAGTGTTCCAGACAAATCGTACCCTCTAAAATATTATTGCTGTTTGAGATGAGAAATCTTAGGAGGTTGGAGCTTTTTCCCTGCCACCATGATAAGGTACCTTTGCATCATAAATCCATTTATCACCACTCCTTACTCTGCTCTTAAAGAAGACTGAAGGAAGAAAATTTTCAGCAACACCCTTATCATCAATACGCTTGATGCCCGGCCACTTGACTCGCCCCGACAGACCCTTGCGAGGACCAGAATTTCCAAGCTCATAGAGAGAGCAAGTGTTGATGTTTGATTTATCCTTTCCATTACCCATTTCCAGCCATCCTGCCGGGTCGATTATATCAGGTAGAAACGAATCCAGGATGAGGGTCGTGGAATATTGTTTCCAGGGCCGGCCGAGATACGTCTTGTAACTCTTGTCCTTCACAGGGTAGTTTGCATCGGCCACGATTCGACAGTTTTGGACGACGGTCGCGGATTTTTGATCGGGTTCAACTCGGCCTTGACCTACCACTGTGCAGCTTTGTCCTTGAACCGGCTTCCTGATTACCAAATTGCAGTTCTGTACCACAGCTCGAGCGTCACCGAAGATGAAATCAATGGTGCCACTTATGCTGCAGTCCCGGTAGAATTGACGGTAATTTTGGGCGTAGAGGGTGTCCTGGTTTCCATCTATATGGCAGTTATAGAAGAGGGAACGATCGCTGTTCACTCGGATCGCCACGGCTGCATCTGCGTCCGGGCCTGCTGTGTTCTCGAATCCGATGTCCTTGGCTATGAAATGGTCTGTGTCCACACCTGCAAAATTCACCCCCCGAAATTATTGAATCAGGTGGCTCAAGTATATACTTCCAGCCAAAAACTACAAAGAAAAAATCATTCATGTATTCAATAGTACAGTTTATACTTACTAACTGTTGCGCTCTTGTCTATGTTGATGTTATCAAATTTTCTATTCCTGTTTCCGATGATCTTGGTTTCGGTTGGACCATCCCCGATAAGCATCACATTCCGCATATTATCTCTTACTTCAATATTTTCATGATATTCGCCTTTCTTCACATATATGATGAATGGAACATTTCTCCCTCTTGTTTTGTTAGCAAGGATTAATGCTGCCTTGATCGTCAGATTCACATATTTTTTCGTTTTGGGATCCAATTCCACAGTTGCGCTAGGAATAAGATTTTGAGGGGTGGTGCGCGCGACTTGATCGAGTCTTCTTCTCCAATAATCGTCTAATTCGTTGCTTTCGCTTTCGCCGAGAAGTCTTCTGTTTAAGCCTGAAAAATCTTCTACAACACCGGTAACTTGATCAACCATTCTAAGTGTATTAGTTGTTAGCTCACTCCCTACTTTCATCAGCTGCCTCATCTGTTCGGCTGCTTTTTCGCCGTTTTCGCCCGTGTTTTCTAAGAGATCCAAACAAGTGTGCTGATATGATACAGCTGCAGTCAGCCAGGTTTTGACATCATCCACCAGCAGCGGCAAATCATCCTTGTCGAACGAATTCATACGCGCCAAAGATCGCTCGAGATCATACACCGATTTATCCAAATACGACACGCATGTTTCGAATGCATCTGTGGTGGCAGGATCCGCAATTGCTTTTTGAAGGGCAATAGACTTCTCTTGGGCGATCTTGATTTCCTTCATGGTTACCTGGAAACCGACATTGATCAATTCGGTCGCGTTGGTCGAGTTAGTTGCCGAAGAAATGCTCCTCACACAGGTTTCCTTATATCTTGTGGGTTCACAGAAAACTTCAACTGCCTTCAAAGATTTGGCTGCATCTTCGTTTTGATGTATTGGCCGGGTTTTGACATAGACAAATGCACATATTACACCAATTACAAGGACTAAGATGCAAGATCCAATCACGGCTGCCCTCTTTGATTCCATATTAAATTCTCGTCCTTCAAATAACAAAAAAAATCCGAAAAATTTATACCCTGGATGGTATGACTTGTCTAAGAGATATTTGGGATTCTTGTAGAGGTTGACCTCGAGCTCGCATTTCCCAATGTGGCGAGCTCGAGATAAAAAAGGAGGATTATCCTAGATTAACAAATAATTTCATAATCTAGTCACACTTTCACGAAATTCAAGAAATCGATAGAAAGTAGCCTCCTACAAACCCCCTCACTGGAGAATTGGTTGTTGCAAAATGGCATGTAATGAAACCTTTTATAGTGGAAGATGGTGGTCTGGTTAGCATATTGATTTGGTTCCTACAAATTTGGAGGATTCGGAGTCAAAATAGGCTAAAAGGCACATAAAGCATCACATTTCCTTGCCTTTTTTTCTTGAGAAGTTTAAAATTATCTAGTTATTATGTGGGGGGTAAGAACTACTACTAATATTACTTTTTTTTTTTTGTGGGTCAACAAAAATCTATTTATCGCATTTCCAAAAGTCCAATGAGAGTATTATACGGTATCTGACCGTACTTTGTTTTGTCATTTATTCGTTTAGATAGAGACCCTTTATTTCTTTTCCGAAAATCATTCGCAAATCATTTAACCATTCTTTTTTCTTTTTGTAACGTCAAAAATCACACCAATATTGGGTGTCACTACAATGGATGTGTAATAATTTGAGAGCTAAATTTTATCCTATTTCGCTAAATCCATAAAAAAGTAACAAAGATAAGCTGGAATTGATGGGCGTTCTAACTAGCTTTTATCGTTTTTAATTTCCTTTAGTTTCTTTGGGGGATTAACACTTGACTAATTAATTACCATCTGCTTTGCAATATAATGTTAACGACAATATTTGACGAATACCCTGAATTAATTATAACATGTTTCTTTACTTCAAAAATCGTAACTCTGCTGAAATGTAATAGTTTTTACGTCCCATTTTAGTAGTCTACTTTATTGAAGTTAAAACAGGAGAAATAATTACTATTAAACTTGACATTTCTATTACTGCTTTAGCTTCGACTTCATATCTGGAAGCGTACAGATCCATTGCTAGGTAGGCCAATTAATACTGTAACATCGTGCTACTTCTGTAGTATCGAGACTGGTTGAATGACTAATTGGATTCGTATTTCGTATTTTCCTTTGAATCATTTCCCATGATTTGTGTTTGATGAATGTGGATTAATGAATTAATGAATTTTCCGTGAACCAAAAGTTGGCTATAAATCCTTAGAACACATCTATTTTTAATTTGGTTTCCCCACTCAAAATTCAAATTTGTCCTTTGATATTTCCTTGTCCCAAATGATGGTATGAAATGAAAAATTTTGAAAAGGCCTTGGCGTATTTCGTCAAGCAATGATCAATGTTGAAGTAGAGGTGGATCGTTTAGGAGTATCCTCCGCTCAAGAGGATCTTTTGTAATTAAGCTTTAAAGCTTCCTTCATATAAAAAAAAAAAAATCAATGTTGAAGATTTTAAATATTATTTAATTACATTTTTATATGCTGGTAGGCATGGTGTCAATTCTTCTAATGACCAGCAATTGCTAAATTCCCCATGACTTGCTTTTTCCACCAATTCCAACGAACAATCAACTGTCAAAATTTTTGCCTCTGAATAAATATGCATGGCACATTAGCATTTTCTTAATCTTTGATTAAGAAACTCCTCACCCTTCTAAAAAATGGATTGTCATTTGGATTATCTGCACCAACGATTTGACTATCCACTTTTGCCATAATCTCCCAAACTGATATTTAAACCTTATAACTATAAGCACCCGTGACCGAAAAAAAATTGCAAAAACTTCATAAAAAATTAATTTACTTTAACCACTTTGAAAGTTCAATGTCTTAGGAGATTGAAATTAATAATTCTTTGGTCCAGAGTAATACTCCTCGCTCTTAGTTAGAAAAAAATAGTCTATATTACAATTTGTGATTTTTATTATTTTTAGTATAAATCACAAATAATACAAAGAAAATATAAAAGGACTGTTTTCTTAGAACAAAAGAAATATATACTGAATGTACGATAGTTAATCAACACAACTCAACCTTTGGGCATTTTCTAATCGCAAAGATGTAATAATAGAATAGCAAATGAATTTGCGGCTCTAACAAAGAGTAGTGATACTGAATGTATCATTCGGTCGCATATCTCGATGACCATCAGTCAATTGCAACTAAACGATTTTCAATATCTATGAATGAACTTCTTTTCTAAAAAAAAAAAGGAAATATATAATTTCTGCAAAATATTTTAGAAAAATAATACTCCTTCCGTTCCATAATTATTGTCCACTTTGCCCAAAAAATTTTGTCCTAAAATTATTGTTCAATTTGACTTTTTATAGATCAAGTTACACATTTATCCTTAGAAAAAAACATTATCCATAAAATCTTAGTGGTTAAACAATTACTTATGTAGGGGTCTATCTGGTTGTTTAAGGTAAAATATAGCTAAGTTTGAAAAAAAAAATAAAATCTTTCATTTTAGTAAAACTGGACAATAATTATGGGACGGAGGGATTTGTACGTGGAAAAAAAAAAAAGAAAAAAGAAGAAGAAAGAAGAAAAGAAGAAGAAACACCGCAAAATGTTTTATGAGTTCGGACTGAAGCCCAAACATTCATTAAACAGAACGCATCACTTTGGTTTCAAGAAGGTCCATTTGGATTGAAGACCAGATGGGTAGAGTCCATCTAAATGCTTAGCCCATTGTTGTTGTGCTTGCCCCCTTTTGCCCTAGCAACCAAAACCTAACACTTCTTAGTAGTATTAATATACAAATTGATCCTGCAGTAACATCGTGTGTTGATTGCTTCTGTAGTATCGAGGCTGAATGAAGGACTAATTGGATTCGAGTTTCGTATTTTCCTTTGAATCATTTCCCATGATTTGTTTGATGAAGTCTCAATGGCTGATTTGAGGGAAAAATTGGCCGATCTACCCAAAGGTTGACATGCGTTGTTAATTTTACCTTATTCTTTTTCGATTAGTCAATATTGCCTTAATCTATTCAACCGTTAGCCGATTTTGTCCAATTGACCAATTTCTATTTAGATTAACGAAATTCTATTAGTTTTAATTATAAAAAATACCCTAATAGTTTTAAAAATTATAAAAACGACCTTAAAAATTTGTAAAAAATAACCAAACAGTCTTTTTACACTTTTTATTTAATTTTTTTTGTTTTTTATTTATTTTTATTATTTCTCATAAGTATAAAAATATATTATATGATCTTTTAAAAAAATTATTTATTTTTAAACACTACTGTGCAAATTTATAGATATGTATATTTGTAACTCATGGTTGATTTACAGAAATATATTAATTTTTTAATAATATAACTTGACAATAATGATATTAGTTTTTTTAATCCTTTTATCAATTTAAAGAATAATATTTTTTTACAAAAAAGTAAAACATTTAGCATAGATTAAAAATTAATATATTAGTAAATTTTAATTTATTACAAATTGAATAAACAAACTATACATTGTATTATCCAATTCAAAAAATTACTAAACTAAAATGTAGTGTACAATCTAGTGTTTAGGGTGTTGAGCTTCATGATAGTAGATATAAGATTAATTCTCACCAAGGATTTTTAACCGAGAGAGTGATTTTATCCACATTTATGCATGGTTTACTAAAGGTAAGAGGGTTGAGTTGGATGGTCAGGTGATTTAAGATGGGAGATGATTATTACTGTGTTCGAGGCCTCAATTCTCACTGGGGCGATCTTTTTTTTTTTTTTTTAAAGGTGGAGTCCAGTACTGGAGCAGATTTTTTTATTATTATTAAAAAAAATTTCCTGCTAAAGGTAGATGTTAATATCTCAAAAAAATTATCACGAAATGTTAAACTCTCGCAATGATAAATATGCATATTTTTTATAAAATATTTTGTACCATTTTTTTTTACTTTCTGTTTGTACTTGGCCTTTTAAGGAAAATGTATATTTTAGTTTAATTATTTTTTTAATTTTACAATACAATCTAAATTCTGTTAAATTATATTGTAATAATACATTAAAGTATACCAATAAAAAAAATTTAATCTATGCTAAATGTTTTATTTTTTGTGCAAAATTAGGTTTAGTTAAATAATCTTATTTTTTAGATTAAAAAAATAGATTAAAAAAATAATATCATTACTGTTAAACTATATTATTAAAAAATTAATATGTTTATGTAAATCAACCATGAGTTACAAATATGGATATCTATAAATTTGCACAATAGTGTTTTAAAAATAAATAGCTTTTTTTTAAAACGATTATATAATATATTTTTATAGTTATGAGAAATAGTGAAAAGAAATAGAAAACAGAAAAAATTAAATAAAAAGTGAAAAAAGACTGTTTGGTTATTTTTACAAATTTTTGGGATCATTTTTATAATTTTAAAAACCATTAAGTATTTTTTGTAATTAAAACTAACGGAATTCCGTTAATTTAAACGGAAATTGGTCAATTGGACAAAATCGGCTAACGGTTGGATAGCGTAGGGTAATATTGGCTAATCGAAAAAGAATAAGATAGAATTGACAACGCATATTAACCTTTGAGTAGATCGGCCAATTTTTCCGCTGATTTGAGTGTTAAAAGCTAATAAAGCCTGATTGGATTTTTTTTGTAATGCGAAATAAACCTAGACCTCCATCAAAGATTGACTTGTGGATATCCTCTTCTCAAGTTGCCGAATGAATTTACCTTTTCTCGTTTGTAGCTAGCTAATGTGGATTAATGAATGAATGATTTTTCCTTTGATGAGTAACAACACATCTCTATTTTTTGTTACTTTCTTTGTCCCAAAATGATTGTACTAAAATGAAAAATTTCAAAAAATCTGCGCGTATTTCGTCAAGCAATAACCGATGTTGAAGATCTTGAGTTAGTCCCTGAACCCAACAAGCCCTGTTAAAATTGAAGGCTCCATCCGAAACTCAAACTTAGGATTCTTCTTCACAATTGGCAAAACTCAATCATATTTATATAATGCAGTGTTTAATTTACAACATAATGAACATAAAAAGAGGAAAAAAAGGCCTAATCATCTTCTCCAAAATCACTGAACTTTTGTTTTTCCTGATAATCATCCCACCATACATGCGTTACCGCATGCTGTCTGATATGAGAAGCTGTTTTAGGTGGTCTTTTTCATCCTTCCAGCATCATAAGGCAACCAGCTGGTTGCAGGCTTAATCCAGAAATCACCCCTGAAGAAACTTGCAGGAGTAAAACGGTTTGCACTCTCATCGGTAATGTTCTGGATGCCGGGCCACTTGGCACGAAAGGCCTGGTTCGCCCCACCTCCGGTATTTCCATGCTCAACGAACAAGCAAGTAAGGGTTTCGTTGGGAAATTTCATGATGGTATATCCTTCAGGATTGATGACACCATCGATGTCCGAATCCAGGATCACGGTCCTGGCGTATGTTTTCCAGGGCCGGCCAAGGTACGTCTTTTTTAGTAATGCCTCCCTCCTCAAGATTGGGTCAGGTTTGATTCTGCAGTTTTGGAGTATGATCCCGCCTGTTTCATTCAGGAATTCCCGGCCTTGAGCCATTACCGTGATCATGTCCTTTGGCCTTGTATCCCTGATTAACAACGTGCAGTTCTGCAGGATCGCTCGGGCGTTACCAAAGATGAAATCAATGGTGCCGCTGATGGTGCAGTCGCGGTAGAATTGACGGTAATTGTGGACATACAGTGTGTCCTGGTAACTGTTGATGTGACAGTTATAGATGATGGAGTAATCGCTGCTCACTCGCAACGCCACGGATTGGTTACCGGCGACCCCTGCTGCGTTCTCAACTGCAATGTCTTTCATCGTAAACCGCCTTCCCTCCGCAACTGCATTATTGATGATAATTTCAATAAGATGAATTGTTGTGAGATCAATTAATTTCAGCAAAAAATGAGAGTGTTTATTTTGTGTTACTTACTGACTGTTGGAGTGTCGAATGTGGAGCAGCCAAGGGTACCATCAGGGCCACAGCCACTCATATTGCTCTTTTTAGCTGTTATGATAGTTTTATCAGGACCATCCCCAATGAGCACCAGATTCCACTTATCTTTATATATGGTAATATTCTCATGATAAACACCTTCCTTCACATACACGACGTATGGATCGAATGTTTTGCTAGGGGCTTGTCTTATAGCTCCATCGATGGTCAGATCATTCATGTATTTCTTCCCTGAGGGATCCAATGCCACTGTGACGTTAGGTCGGAGATTTTGAGGTGTGACACCTCCGATCTTAGATAGCCTTCTTCGCCAATTTTCTTCGTCGCTTTCATTTACCCCGAGGAGCCTCCTGGATGAGCCTGGTTTGTCATCAGTTTCCACAAACTGTGTAACCTGATCAACCATTCCAAGTAAATCTGTTGTTAGCTCACTCCCAACTTTCAACAGTTGCTTCACCTGTTCGGCCGCCTCATTTCTGTTCATCTCTTGAAAGGAATCAAAGCAAGTTCGCTGAGATGTTGCAGCACCTGTCAACCAGGTTTTAACATCATCCACCAGCAACAACACGTCTTTCTTGTCGAATGTATTGAGACGGTCTAAAGTCTGCTCCAGATCCTCAATCGAATCGTCAAAAAGGCGCTGGCATGTTTTGAATATCTCTGCTGTCATAGGATCTGTAGCAGCTTTCTGAAGGGCAGTGGTCTTTTCCTGGGCGGTCTTGAGTTCCTTAATGGTGACCTGGAAACCGACATTGATCAATTCGGTGCTGTTCGTCGAGTTGGTAGCCGAGGAAATGCTCTTCACACAGGTTTCCTTGAATTCTGTGTTTTGACAGAAGGCTTCAACTGCCTTCAAAGAACTGTTTGTTGCATTGTTATCAGGGGTTGGACGAGATTTCATAAAAGCGACTGTGCCGACCACTCCAATCACAACAACTATCAGGCAAGTCCCAATTAAGCCTGCCTTCTTCGTCACCATTTTTCTCGTCGGGTATGATAATCAAGAAATTCGTAAAAATTCAGCTTGCTATGATTTTCTCTACGAGTTTCCAGGCTTGGAACTTAAAAGAGTTCCAAGTTTTAAACTCGAGATAGGGAGAAGAGTTGCGTTAGGTAACAGTTATGATTGAATCTTGTCTGACTACATATCAAACCATTCTCCTTTTTCACTTTTGTTGGGGGAATAGGAGAATGGTTGTTTGCCGGAGAAATGCATGCAATGAAACCCTTATATAGGGTTGGCAAACTTGATTTGGTTCCAACAAAATTAAAGGATCCAGAGACAATGTAGGCTAAAGAACACAAAAAGTACATAAGATTATCAGACATTATTATCAATATGGGGCTAAAAATGTGATCAGCAACATTTTAGGACAATTTCATGATCACAAGAAAAGGCTACGTTTCCTTCTTTTCTTTTTTTTTTGGAGGTCAACAAAAAGCCTCTATTTCGGGGGGCTTTGGCTAAAAAATGGGGTAGAAAAAGGAGTAGAGAGATCTATAATTTTTTTTTTTTGGTAAAGAAAAATGTCGAGATCGGATTCTCAAAATCCGACCTTCTAATTAAATTAGTAGTTCGGATTTTAAGAATCCGATTTAATAAAATAATAATTTTTATTTCCGGAAAATATATATGAGAAAAATGTATTGAAAGTCAAATAAAGAACAGTCAAAGGTCGGATTTTAGGAATCCGACCTTGTTTATTTTCATAAAAAAATACAGGCGGGAGATTTGAAAATTAAGAACAGTACAACATCGGATTTACAAAATCCGATCTTATTTAAGCATACCTAACAGTAGGTATCGGCATTGAATGGACGTTATTAGCTGGCAGAAGATCGGATTCTTGAAATCCGGCCTTACATGTAAATCGGATTTTCTAAATCCGATTTTATAAGTAAAATCGGATTTTAGAAATCCGACTTTATTGTGTTATAATGGGGCGACGGAAAACACTGTTCACATATCGGGATTTTTGGTAAAGTAGGCTATTTCTTGAAGGAGGAGGTGATTTTAGTGGCGATTTGAAGATTTTGTTCACGATTCTTCGCAACGGATGTCTTAAAACCATTTCATAAGAAGGTTAGTTAATGTTTTGATGTATTTAGAATTATTTTTGTTATTTTCTGTGTAAAAGTTTAGAACTAGGATGATTTATAAGGTTTTAGGGTTGATGTTGGGTGTAGTTGATGATTGTTGTTGTATACGTGGTATTGAACGTTCAATTTAGTAAAATGCTTGAATTTGGCCTAAACTTTTGAATTTGTAGGGGGTTTAGTAAATTTAGTGTTGATTATGCCTTGTTTGTGGTAATTGTTATAATAAGTTGTTTGATAATGCCTTGTTTGTGTCATTTTTTTTAATAATTTGTTCATGATGTGTTGTAATTCATGTAATCAACGAGATATAAATGGCGTTTAACGGTCCATATTTCATTAATGTCTATTGGTCGAGCAAATTTGTAGTGAAGAATGGGATTGTGAATAGTTTTAACAACATGCCGGACGATTCCTTTGTGATTGATCATAAGTTATTGTACAATGATTTGGTTGGACTGATTTGTGAAAGAGTGGGGTGGAATAGAAAGAATGTGAATTTGAGTCTATCGATTTTGTATGATACGATGCGCAATGGTTTTAGGCGTATCGCCAAAATCAAGGACGACGCATCGTTGCAAGTGTTGTATTTCCTCCCAAGTTCGACATATATTGATTTGTATGTAGATTTGGAGGTGGCGGGTACTTCTAGGTCCCATTTGGAAGTAGGGACAAGTAGTGGTAGGCCGAATGTGGAGAATGTCGATTACATGGAAGATGATGATGTGGGTGGACCGTTTATGGAGGATGGCGATCACATGGAATATGATCACGGTGAAGATGATGAGGACTACACATCGATAAGTGATCAAAGCGATGAAAACCAATCAATATCCGAAGGAAGTCGGGAGAGTGATGAAGAGGTCGAAGACAAATTCGCCACAAAGGATAGGCACATATATCGTTCACGAGTACGTGGGATCATACAAAAGTGGACAAGGATGATTTTCAACTTACCATGTGGGATGGGACAACCGCAACAATTGGGATAGGGACTTGTTTCAAGAATAAGGAAGAAGCAAAAAATGGTATTGCAGCGTGGAACATAGAGCAAAAGAGAGAGTTTTATGTGAAGGAAAGTGATGGTTCAACATGGTCTATTTGGTGCAAATCCCTAAAAGAGTCAACCCCTAAGGGTTATGTTCCTTGCCGTTGGAAGGTACGTGCCTCCTTGAGAGACCACGGTTTGTGGGAGATTGTGAAATGGGTGCCCGAGCACAATTGTATGAATGTCACCGAGGATAACAATAATCGGAATGTGAGCGCAACGCTTATTGCGCATCTCATAAGGCATAAGGTTGAGTTGGACCCAGATTATGAAGTGAAGCTAGTTCAGGAAGAAGTGAAAGACCGTATGCATGTCGATGTTCCTTACCACAGGGCATGGGAGGGAAGGAGAAAAGCTATCGATCTTGTTTACGGCGACTGGGTTTCCAATTTTGACATACTTCCAAGGTATTTACTTAAGTCCTATCTAATTTTTTGATTTGTTTGTAATTTAGGAATAAAATAAGGATTACTTTTTTATTTTAATTTAGATTTTCGCCGCCCTAGAGAAGAGCAACCCGGCACGGTTGTAGAGTGGGAATGGCAACCGGGTTGGACCGATATAGAGAGGACGTTCAAATACATTTTTTGGGCATTCAAGCCTGCAATTGATTGTTTTGCTAAATGTCCTCCGGTGATTAGTATCGACGGGACGCACTTGCACGGCGGATACAGAGGTAAATTACTTGCTGCAATGGTCAAAACTGCGAATAAGCGCATCCTGCCAATTGCATATGCGATCGTCGATGAAGAGAGTGAGGAAAGTTGGTCATTCTTCTTGAAGCATTTGAGGAATCATGTTATATCCGACCGGCCTGTGTGTGTTATATCCGATCGGCACAAGGGTATCATCAGTGCAATACGCCTAATGCCCGAATGGAATGCATACCACCGGTTTTACCTTCGTCACGTCCGTAGTAACTTGGTGGCGCAGTTTCGAAGTAAAAAGATCAAAAGGTTGTGTTGGGAGATGGACACGAAACTTTCTAAGTCTAAATTCAAAGAACTAAGGAATGAGCTACGTGATTTTAGCAATGATGCTTATTTGTATCTCGAGGAGATTGATGCTTGTCAGTGGACTCTTGCCAAAGACAAACACTATCGTTGGGGTAACCAGACAACGAACATTTCTGAGAGCTACAACAACGTCCTCAAGGGCGTTCGTTTCTTGCCAATCCGGGCTTTGGTGGAAGCTACTTTTATTAAGACTGTGGATTTGTTCCAGGAAGAATACGTGAAGTCGAGGAAATGTATTACTCCGGTCCCAACTGACTTGTGGGAAGACTTCAAGAAAAAAGAAAAGAAAGCCGCGCAACACAAAGTCAACCGTTATGGTGCTATTAATGGCAAGTTCAAGGTGAAAAGTAGAGCCCGACTTGGTGGTAAAGGGGATAACACGTACACTGTGAAATATGAAGAGAAGAAGTGTTATTGCAAGAAGTGGCAAGAGTATAGGTTCCCTTGTACACATGCACTAGCTGTGTGTCAGAAGATAAAAGATCAACCAATCAATGCGGTGAATCCATATTTCAGGGTTGTTGCTTGGCAAGACCAATTCTGTGGGCGCGATGACTTTTCCCCGGTCCCTGATATGAGAAGATGGCCTAAGGTTGGATAGAGACTCGTTCCTAACTACGAGCGAGTTATTATGCATGCTGGACCCGGTCGTTGGCAAAAGAAGAGATTTAAAATGCAAATGGATTATAGGGGACGCAAATCGAGGGGTGAATGTTTGAGATGTGGCTCAAGGAATCATTTCACCAATGCGTGCCCAAAATCACACAAGAAATCCAATAGGACAAGGCTCAAGATCAATTGGGACGCCGATGGTATTCACAACGACTAGGATTGTTTTGTTTCACAATGTTTCATGTCTCGAAACTTTTGATATTTATACTTTAGTTTGTTCGATTTGGAGTTTATGTTGTATTTCTTTTGAATCATGAGGCTTAATGAATTTGTTTAGTTAATATATTGTTATTGTGTTTGATATTAGTACTTGTGTATCCGAAATACAAAATCCCATCTAGGCATAAAGCCGGATTTTCTGAATCCGAGTTCAAAGGAAAATCGGATTTAGTAAATCCGATCTAGGCATAAAGCCGGATTTCCTGAATCCGATTTATGCACTGTTCACTCAGAAGGTCGGATTTTGGTGAAATTTTGCAACCAACTTCGTAACTCTCTGTCCAAGGTCGGATTTCCTGAATCCGATTTATGCACTGTTCACTCAGAAGGTCGGATTTTGGTGAAATTTGTAACCAACTTCGTAACTCTCTGTCCAAGGTCGGATTTAAATGAATCCGACCTTGTTTCTCAATGAATAAATCGGATTTGAAGAATCCGATTTTGGACGAGTATTTAACCGGTTGACCAAAATTTGGGGGAGTCAAAATCGACTCCCCCTTCTTCTCCAACCCTAAACCCGGATTCCCCTCCCCGGTCGGATTTTTCCTCAAGGTCGGATTCCCCCAAACCCGGCGATTCCCCTCCCCGGCGATTTCCCTTTTGTTCGATTCTCTTCCCCGACGATTCCTCATGTAATTTGTCCATTTTTTTCATTTTGATTTAGGTAATGTGTGTGTGTGTTGCCGGGTGTGTGTGTGTGTGTGTTGCCGGCGATGTGTGTGTGTGGGTGTTGCCGGCAATGTGTGAATGTGTGTGTCTGACTGTGTGAATGTGTGTGTGACTGTGTGTGTGTGTGTGTGTGTTGCCGGCACTCTGTGTGTGCCGGCACTGTGTGTGTGTGTGTGTTGCCGGCACTCTGTGTGTGTGTGTGTGTTGCCGGCACTCTGTGTGTGCCGGCACTGTGTGTGTGTGTGTTGATATTGGTATTGGTGTGTGTGTATTGATATGGGTATTGATATTGGTATTGGTATTGGTATTGATAGTATTTGGTATTATAGGATTAAAATATGGAGGGTTCGAGTTCCTCACAACCCACACTGCAACATTTTAATCCGGCTCCAATAGATGACTCATTATTATACCTATATGACCATCATAGGGCGAAAGCCATTTTCGAGAACCATGAGGCTTTTAGTAAAGCCCTTAAAGGCAGGAGATTTGATAGTCATTTTTGGACTTGTATAGAGAAACCACCCCGGCATTGCCCTCCACAAGTCATAGATGAGATAAGGCGGGCAGGCTTTGGGGGGGTGATCCAACTAGGTTATATACAAGCGGACAATTGTTTGATCACCGCAATGGTTGAGAGGTGGAGGCCTGAAACTCATACATTTCATTTTCATTTTCATTTTGGCGAGGCCACTATCACTCTAGAAGACGTTGAGGTGTTATTAGGGTTGAAAGTGGATGGTAAGCCTGTGGAGGGGATGACACCTGAGAATTCTATGGCACAGTGGATGGCATTGTGCTTTAGATTGTTGGGAATTACACCCGTTAGTGACATGTTTGATGGGAATAAGATTTATGCAGAGTGTTTAATCAACGAGTGTCTGCGTCCGATCCCAGAAAATGTCCCAAGAGAAGCCTATACACAGAGGGCCCGTGAATTACTGTTACTACTGATTGGAGGTTTCTTGATTCCTGACAATACGGGAAACAGAATACCACTTTGGATCCCGACAATACTCGAGGATTTGGATGTCATGCTACCTACGGTTGGGGTCACTGTTTTAGCTAAGTTGTACTTTGCTCTGTGTCAAGCTTCCGCGCCCGGGAAAAAAGACATTACCGGATGTTATATGCTGATGCAGGTGAATTTTTGTGTTTCTTTGTTTATTTATATTTTTTTATTATATTTTTGTTTGTTTCCCTAATTTGTGCCTTTTCTATTTGATTTAAAATTTCAGTTATGGGTTTGGGAGCGTATCCCAAGACTTCAACCAAAGAGGAAGGTTAAAGATGAGAGTTACTTGGTGCCGGACGCACCATTAGGCAATAGGTAATGATTTATTTTATTATTTTTTATTTCCTATTATGTCTCAATCCAATGATTTATTTTATTATTTTTTATTTCCTATTATGTTAAAATCCAATGATTTATTTTATTATTTTTTATTTCCTATTATGTTAAAATCCAATGATTTATTTTATTATTTTTTATTTCCTATTATGTCTCAATCGTAGGTGGAAATGCCCAAAATCCAAAGCGAACATCGCCGCTCATTGTGTTGCTGGCATCAGGGATCAGTTATCTAGCCTAAGGGATGGAGATGTAAGTATTGATTTAAGTTGCAGTTGAAAAAATTCCTTTTCATATTTTACATTATTTTTTTTTACCAATTTTTTATTTTTGGACAGTTTCTATGGACTCCATACACTCCCTTCATCGACGATCTCCCTGATTTCTGTAAAGAGGGAGTTAATTTCTACCTCTGTAGGACGTGGATCTTTTGTTGGGCCATTAGAGAACCATACGAGCCCAATCGGGTCCTTCGTCAATTTCAATGCGTCCAAACTGTGCCAGAGTACCCGTTAATCAATGACATTGATCGCTGGAATGCGATACACCACGGATGCCTTGGGACTGGAAAGGCATATGATGATTGGGTGCAAAAACACACTGAGGTACGACCTCATTGGAATGTGAGAGATCAGCACGTGGTCCCTCATGAATTGGGTGATCCGGAACTAGGTCCTCAATGCACATCGGACTACATGCCGTGGTTTCAAAAGAAGACTATCAGATTTATGACTGATCCCACCCAATACGGTCCTCTGGCACAGGGTTATCACTCGTCTTCATTTCTGGAGAGATTTTATGTAAGATCTAATATTATATTTTGACTTAAATTTTTTTTTATAATTTAATTCTTGCTATATCTTACACTTTATTCACATGGTTCAATTTTCTGCAGTCTTCCAATCTCGTGACATATATCATCTCGATGCAGCCTTACGGGAAAATCCAAGCCTTGGTGGTAGTCTAGAGGATAAACTCTTCCAAATCTTCGACAAGAGTTTCGGTGCCACGACTTTGGGCCCACGTGATATGAGCACTCGGTCCGATACTCAAGTTCTTGAAAAAGACCCCGAGTCAAGTCAAAATGTGGTACTCACGCAGAAAACAACATCGAAGCCTCTTGGAGGAGGAAGGAGGAAGCGACCGGGAATTTCAGATCGAACAATCATAGTTCATCCTAATCCAACTCCGATGCAAGAAGATGATGAAAATGATGAAGGCAATGAAAGCGATGAGGATTACTACAATAGGGGCGAAGAAGAAAAAGAAGAAGAAGAAGAGTCCTCTCCGCCTCGTGTTTCTTCCCAAAAGAAAAAGAAAACGGTCGAGGTTCGCAAGAGTGATAGGGTTAGTAAACCGGCCAAGAAGTATACTCCCGGCGATGGGGCTACAAGGAAGAAAAGGTCCTCAAAGTAATTCAATTGTAGGACTCTTTAATTTATAACTCTTTCATGTATAAATGTTGTAATTTGGATGATTTGGGATTTGAATTTGTTAATGTTTGTTTTGATGTGTTTAGAATGTGTTTATAGGTAATTTTATTTGTGAAATTTGGTTTTGGTGTTGTTTTGATAGATTGGGATTGGTTTAGAAACCAATCTTTTATTTTTTTCAAAGAGTCTGTCCAAGGTCGGATTTAAGAAATCCGACCTTCAACTTGTTTTAAGAATAAATCGGATTTTAAGAATCCGACCTTAGCTTACACGGATTCTCAAAATCCGATTTAAGCTTACCCGGATTTATGAAATTCGGCCTTAATGTAAAATCGGATTTTAAAATCCGACTTCGGTCAAAATTTTATTTCAAAAAAAAAAATAAGTGTTTTTCGGAAAATATATTATTTTAATATATTAGGGTCGGATTTTAGAAATCCGATTTTCTCTTAATCTTGATTAATTTCATTAATTTTTCGTATTTAGCGAAAGTCAGATTTGCCAAATCCGATTTAGGTCAAAAATCAGATTTTAGGAATCCGATATCGATATTTTTCTTTTCCCCAAAATTCGACTTATATTTATCTCTACTCCTTTTTTTGAACCATTTTTTAACTCAAAAACTCCTCTATTTCGTATCCAAAAGTCATGGCAGATATCCGAGAGTAATTTATTTGGGTTCTACCTTTAGATAGAGACCCTTCATTTAGCTTCCGACAATCAATGGCAGATTATACAATACATGTATAATTCGAGAAACTCAAATTTTATCTTATCTCACCAATTGGACCAAAGAAAGTAAAAGAGAAGCAGGTAGAATTGACTTTCCTTCATATCTATGGGAATTCTTTCTGTTTCTATTTACTGAAAAGATCAGATCAGAGTTTAGCCCTTCGCAGCTCTAACTTTGCGATTGTTCCCAGATGGACTTCATCCGGGCCATCTGCGATCCTCAAAGTCCTTGAAGTAGCCCAGAGATGGGCAAGCGCCGTGTCACCAGACAATCCGGCTGCTCCATGTACTTGCATTGCCATGTCCAGGACCCTCAGGGCCATATTTGGTGCTGCTACCTGCCCAGAACACACTAAGAACAATTAGAAATAACTGGCAAAACGAAATGGATATAGAGATCAAAAGAACGAAATGGATATAGAGATCAAAAGAACGAAATGGATATAGAGATCAAAAGAAGTGGCTTTATATGTAGCATGCATCAGATATACAAGCACAATTACCTTGGCCATAGCGATAGTTCCACGAGCTTTCTTATTTCCGAAGCGATCAAGCTGGTCCGCAGCTTCCAAAACCAACAATCGGGTCCTCTCCAACTCTATTCGATTCTGCAGCAAGTGAAATTGGTTATACATCACAAGATTCCTTGAAGGTATATGGTTGAAGAAGATAGTGATCATTTCAATCACATATCTTTGAAAAGATTGGTTAGTAAAAGAGAAGGAAAAATGAGAATTATGCATAGTAGTAATTTTATCAACTGACCTTGGCAATATCTGAAAGAAATGAACCGTGTTCCGCAATCAATTTTCCGAAAGCTTTTCTTTTCAGGGCCCTTTCAACTGTCATCTGCATACCACGTTCTGCGGCACCAATCAACCTCATGCAATGATGCAGCCTTCCAGGACCTAGTCTACCCTATAAATCACAGTAACACAACCAACCACAAAATGAAGGATTCAAAAGCCAATCTAATGTTGATGTAGATCTTCAACTATAACAAATCCCACCAACATTTTCATATTCATTACAGGACTAAAATATAGTATATACTGCAGATGCAACTGAATCTATTGGAAGAAATTTAAAAATTGGACAGACATTACGGCTTTACCTGGGCAATTTCAAAACCGCGCCCCTCTCCCAATAAAATGTTTGTGGCAGGGACGCGCACATTCTCAAACCAGATTTCTGCATGCCCATGCGGAGCATCATCAAAGCCAAATACTGTGAGTGGTCTTTTGATGTTTATCCCTGGTGTGTTAATGTCAACTAAGATCATTGACTGTTGCTTATGCTTTGGAGCTGTAAAATCAGTTTTTCCCTGCACGTAATACAAGTATACAACTCAGTTGAATTTTGACTCGAAAGGTCAAAGTAAGGTCGTCGAAATAAAGAATAGCCTGATTAAGAGAACTAACCATTACGATCAGAAGCTTGCATCTCGGATCCATAGCCCCGCTAGTCCACCATTTTTTTCCATTGATGATATATGAATCTCCATGTCTACAAAAAGCATACAACTCATGATAAGTAATCACATAAAGCCAAAATGGTGAATAAAATTTTTAATCCTTTTCATGTAGCAGCTTAAATACACCTTTCAATTGAACATTCAATATTGGTTGCATCAGAAGATGCAACTTGGGGTTCTGTCATTGCAAAGCCAGATCGAATGCGTCCTTCGAGCAAGGGAAGAAGCCATTTTTCCAATTGTTCTTTACTACCATATCGCAGCAAGACCTGAAGGATTTACAAAGCCATGCGGTTTTAATTGATGGTCCCAGGAAGAAATTAAAGATCAATCTCAAAAAGATTGATCCCTCTAACATGCAAACAAATTTTGGCCAATGGAAAGTAACATGTGACAATCATCCGTTCAATTGTGCCTTCCACTAAATAATATATGAGGACTACTCCTTACCTCCATATTTCCAGTATCAGGTGCTCCACAATTAAAAATCTGCGGTGCCCAAATAGATCTGCCCATGATCTCACAAAGGTAACCATACTCAAGATTCGTGAGCCCTGCGCCCAACAACAGATCACCAGTCTTTCCAGTTGAAGCACCAGAATGACCACTGAACAATAGTTTACTTGCCCGATCAGCACTGTCAACCTGAATATATCCACATACATTTCAATACGGCTGGCTGAGAGGCAGATAAATGGTCTAAGCATTATGGGAAATCATGAGGCAATATACGCACCGGTATAAACAAGTTCCACAGTCCTTCTGTTTTAGCAAGGTCCTTCAACCTCTCTTCCTCAGGATGAATCGTCCAACGGTTGGAAGACTGAGCAAGTTTATAAAATTCACCTTCCAATGGGTATATATGATTCTCCATGAATCTTAGGAGTCGATCTCTCAAATTTTGAACTTTCTGACTTGGAACAAACTTCCCACCCATTGATGAAATTGGTCCCTTGGTCTCTCCATCCATTTTCCAGCTTTTGTATTCTTGCACATCTGTCTCTGCATAATTCCCATCAGATAGATATCTAAGCACCATGTTGCACAATTCATATTAGAACCATAAGGCAGAAAAAGGTGCACAATTGATTGAGCTACATAGTAAGATATTGAGCATTGTTGCTGAGCTCCAAACAAGAAGCCATGACTTTTTTCTCCAGAAACATGGCAGCTTTTAAACTAAACAAGTTTCGGATCCTATTTCAAGTTTCTTGAGAAGCCTTTCTTTTTATTACTTACTCTTCTAAGTTATTTTCACCTCCAAACTTGAGCTAGAAATAATTCTTGAATAATTTCTACACAGGAGTAATCACTATATCTCTTCCTTGAGCTATGGCATAGTGAGCAAACATAAAAATAACCAATTATAGAAAATGAAAGAGCAACATGATTTCCTAGTTTGAGACATCAGCTGTCTGTACAATTTCAGAGAGAATAAATGTCATCAGAACAAGTATACCAGATGGTGGGTGCAGAGGTAGAACCGAATCCCGCTGGACAAGTAGCCATGCAACTTTAATGAAAGAATCAGCCATTTGCCCTGTCCGTCGAGCACGCTCACCTCCAGAAGCATTACCCTGACAAGTCAGTGTATTTAAATCATCTGTCACCACACAACAGTTGAAAAGAAAATGAAAAAGAAAAGTGAAAAGAAAAGGAAAATTCTAAGACATTGCTTCAAAAAATTTCAGGCAAGAGCAGAATAACTGAATTACCATAATCCATCTACAATGTACTCCAGCATAGATTGATGCCCCACGAAACAATGAAAATGCCACATAAAACTTCCATTGAGCAGCAGGCCATTCTCTTCCCTGCAGGTATATTGAAGCCAGAATGAGGCCTTGTGAAACAATGAAAAGGAGACAATGAAGCAACAAAGATACACCCAACAGCAAGTAATGATGACCTTGTGACCTTGTAAAGAAATACCCTCATTAATACTGACACTCAAATAAATCATGACTGCTCCATAAAACAAGGAAACCATACTTCTGCACACTTGCAATGAAGGTAAAGTTTAAAAGAACAAGTAAAAAAGAACAGCACTTACTGCTGCAGAACAGTAGTAAGACAGATATTCTGGCAGTGAAGGAACTCCGTCTGGAAAGTTCGTGAGTTCGCGACCTTCATTCTCCTCTACGGCATTCCCCGATGAAATATCAGCAATGTAATGCTGTTCAGCAGGGAAAAGGATGAGTGACGTAAGCTTCATAAGAATACCGCACACAATATTACTACCTCTGTCTCAAAAAAATAGTCCACATTGATGTGGACTATTTTTTTGAGACAGAGGTAGTACTTTATAATAGGAAAATTATTCTTTCCTCCCATTTTGTGTGGTGTAGTGACAGTCTTGAATTGTGCAATTTTATTTCTCAAAGTGAAAAGTTTGCAGAATTTTGTGCACTAGAAAAAAAATTCTGAACCACCATTTGTAAACTCAAAAAAGACATACTACCAACGCCAAGGAGCTTCTTTAACAGCAGCCAGAAGCCAAGAAATTAAAAAAAAAAAACAAAAGGGAGATATGAAGGAGAATGACTCATACCAAGCAGCTATAAGCAACATCAGACATCTGATTGCCCAAGGTCGATAATTCCCAGTCAAGAATGCCAATAACTCGTGCCTGCAACAAAAACCTACAGGTGTTAGCAGCCCTCAGTGAAACTTATGTTAACAGTAAATTATCATTCATTACTGCAAAATATAAAAGACACAGCAGCTTCAGCTACCTCAATAGGATGAAACACAAGATTATCAATCCGGAAGTCACCGTGTACTAAACCAGCTGCTCCAGAAGAATCTTCAGGTGGAATGTGATTCCGTAACCAGTCAGCAAGCTCTAACATTTTTGGATTTCTCGGTGACTTGCCTGTACCTGTAGAATTGATATATTGTTTGGCCCACCTCTCTACCTAAGGTGCAAATAAAAACAAAATAAGTAGTGTGGCTTCGGTAGTTAATATTTGAACACCATTGGAGGCTAAGACAAAGAACTACCAAAACTCAAGTTCTAAATCACTTAGCCCTGTATACATTTGTGTGTGTGTGTGTTTGGGGGGTGGTTGAAGGCAAACACAAATAGATGGAAAGAACAGCATGCACCTGTCGCTTACAGTAGTCGCTCCTTTTACCATAGTTTCCTAGACCAATGGTATCCACATCAACAGAATGGATTGAAGCCAAAGCTTTAGCTGTTGCACGATAAATCTCCCTTCTTTCCTCTGGTGTAAGACCCTGATCAAAGATAAAATGTTATGACAAAAAGAATAATTTGCAGTTTTTCAAGAATCTCAGAGGTTCAGTAGGAAGTTGAGCACATTCTTTGATAAAAAAATATAAAATACACAAGAAAATAAAATTGTATATATTTACATGATATATTGATATACCAAAGGTCTTACCGGTAACTTGGGGTCTATGAAAATGCGCCCTTCCAAGTACTCCATAATGTAAAATGGTGTCCCAATAACACTTGAATCGGTACACAAACAGAATACTTTAGGGACAGGAACTATTGTTTGAGTGCCTAAAGCATGTAAAACCTGCCATGTTTCCGATAAGAGTATCAAACATAAGTATCCTTACGACCAGGCGTCTAACAAAATACTTAATAAAATAAAACATCTGAACCTGATATTCTCTCTCAACGGCATGAGCAGATTGGAGTAACTTCCCAGGAGGCTTCTTTCTGAGAACATACCGCTTAAATGTGGACCCCGAATGGACTTCAAGGAGAAAGGTAGGGTTTGATTGACCATGACCAAACTGATTCAGGAAAACAACAATAATTAAAGTAATTTACAATTATCTGTCCTCTAACACAAAAACAGTATTCAGATAGAGGAATATGATGAACGATGTCTGCACCTCCCTATAGCTTCCAACTAAAGTAATCAAAATTTCCAAATGCAAAACCAAGTTTGTACTCTTCAGCAATGACAATATGTTAAAACAGTAAAACACAAAAGTCTTTTCTCCATTATCCTATTTAATGTGTAGAATTTTCCCTCCAAATTGAATGAAGCATACTATTATAAGTAGTAGCTTGATAAGATCTACCAAGAGCCACACTTCACAAAGAGTCGACATTGCCCAAAAGACCATAAATCCTCTATCAGACGTGCTCACAAGATGAAGCATGTGGGTTAATAAGGATATAGCATTGTCTTCTCATCAGCCCAATAAGAATCTCATTGCGTAGCATCACTACGAAATTTGTTAAATTGTTCATTTTTACCTTTCAAGGTTCTTGAAAGTCAACACTCAACATATGTACCTCTAATATCCACTTCAAATTGGGAAGGACAACAACTTTCCATTTGATGCTCAAAGTTCAGCCAAACCAAAGCAAAGGGAAAACCCATTCATATTCTATGGACTAAAATCCCAGCATCATCTTTTTTCTGCAAGTCCTAAGCAACAATAACCTTGTCTACAAACATTAGCATCTCAAAGTTCCAATTTTATTAAACCTAAAAAGAGAACTATTTGAAAATCCCAATGGCTACCTATCATACATACAGTCAATAAAATGAAAGTAAGACCATTTAATGGTCACCCTATATGCGTGGTTATTACTGCTTGCAGCAATTCAAAATACTCCAATCCAACTCATGAACCAGATAAATTATTGTTCTCAGTGTCACATCGTTGCTTAATAATTATTACAAGCCTAAAACAAAACGAAACTTAAACAATTATCAAAATCCCAGCTCAAATACAGCTCTAATTCGAAAACATCAGTAAAGAGAAGTCTCACAAAGTTCCATTCAATAGAAAGAAAAAAAAAACGCAGCTTAATGATCAACTTTACTTCCACTACTAACACAATAAAGAAGAATATAATCCAATTTACCTGAGAAACATTAAACTCAGAAGGGGTTAAAGGGAATCCTTCAACATTAGCAGAGGCATATCTGAGAAGGGCATCAACATCAAATTGATGGGCCGAATGAACTTCACCCACTATATCACCGGTCCGAATTGCCATTTTTTCTGTCCTTCTTCTGCCTATTCAGCCAAAACCCAGATAAACCCACCAATGATTCTGCCGGAAAGATGAAACAAACTAGTCTATTTTTCCTTTGGGTAAATTGATCAACTGAAAGTCTACAAGAAGATGATCATTATGTCAACTGAGGTACACATTTCAATGCCAAAAAAAAAAATTAAAAATTTGGAAGCCTTGTAATAATCGACCAGGATAGTAAAATGAGAATAATTCCTTAGCTATTAATTGCCCTGGAAATTGGATGCGGGAAATTTCTATATCCTATTACTGACTAGCAGACGAGGATTGAAAAACAGTCTAAAGAAGCAAGATAACATTTGTTATTTTGACTTTTGACTCTTGCATTCGCTGTTTTCGTCAAAATTTCATCAATTATTTTCTTATTTTTATTCTTCCTGTTTGTTGAAAGGAAGTTAAAAATAAGATCAGTTTTTTTTTTATTATTATTATGATGAGGGACTGAGATTTTTTTTAAGAGCATTTTTTTAGCCAAATATAATAATGACTAAATAAATAGAAATTTTTTAAACTTTTCTTTTTCGTTGAAAAGTATGGACCAATAATTGAATATTTGAATATTTAGGCTTTAAAATAGCATAATAAAGATAGGATATTTATTAATAAAAATTCTAGAAAAATCTTAGAAAAAAAGAAACCAAACCATTTTGCCTCTTTTAGTATGTAAACCGAACGAATTAAATTACGTGAGATATAAAACTTTTGCGTCATTACTTCGAGTTAGGTCTATTACTTTTAAGAAGATAGAGTAAATTGTCTTGGAACTAAAATTACACTCATCGGTTAAGACATTTTGATTTATCTTAAATTTTATCTAATACGTATTTTTAATTGATAAAAAAACTTAAGAATATATATGTTTTTAAGATTTTTTTTTTGGTCAATTAAACTTGCATGTTAAGTGAAACTTATGACAAATAAAAAAAAAACATTATATTCAGGACTGGAGAGAGGTGAAATTTATGACAAATAAAAAAAACATTATTTTCAGGATCGGAGGGAGTATTAACTAAATGTGAAATAAATCATTTGATAAAGTTAGTTACTTGTCTTTTTCACTCGACATGCTCCATTATCTAGGATTGAATACGTTTTAGAATTCATGTTCTCTTACTTTGAAGAGTGCAGGGGTTTGACGATGATAAAACTAAATTCTGCTCATTTAAAAGATTTTATAGCTTTTGAAAAGATGAGATCGCACGGTGAATTTATTCTCTCGTAAGTTGTATAGACTGCATACCATATATTGTTTAATTCGACCTCTTTGTAAATATGTAAAGTATAAACTCAGTGAATAATCATAAAAAGGAAAATGAGCAATCATCACCAAATATAAGATCTTTAAAAATGGAAATGAAATATTACGCAATATTTTGAAGAATCAATTTCTAGACTTCCTTAGCAAGGTAAAATTAAATTGAAAAAAAAAATCACTGACTTAACATTTTGAGAAGGGTTAATAATTAATGAATTCTCCAGTCTATAAATAATAAACCTTGTGCTTTTAGCGTTTGTTCATTGAAATTTCAGAAAGCCATAAACCCTCTGTATTCTTCATAATTTGGTTCGCAGGAATTTGAAGGCAATGGAACAAAGTCCCCAAGTTCATCAACCTCGCTATGCAGATGCGGTAAATATAATTGCGAAGATTCGTTTCAATTTTCTTACTTCTACATCATTTGTTTTTCGTTCTTCTTTTTTCATCGAGAATAGTTATTTCTTCGATTTTATATATTGTTATTATTCTTTGGCTTGAAATTTCATGAAATCATCAATGTAATAAAGCTAGCCTCATGAACAAAAAGTGATTTTATTTTTTCGATATTATCTGTCAACCCTAATTTTACTCAACTGATCTTCCATGCACCCTTAAAGTTCTACGAGAAAGGGCCTTGTGCCTTAAGAAACAACGTAGCTGGATCAATAGTTTGATTTATGGGTTACTTTCTATTGTTCTTTTTCTTTTTTCTTTTTTTGATTTATGGGTTACTTTTTATTGTTCTTTTGAAAAAAAAAAGAAAAAAAAAAAAGAAAACTCTGTTATAATGATCAGCAGTGAAATACAATTTGTTTTAGCTTTAGCTATACGAATATTCCAGGTCTGATTTTTTTTTTTTTTTAAAAAAAATGTATATTGTATGCTTTCTTTTTTAGGGTCTAATTTGTGATTGGTTCATTGTTTATCTTTTGTTGATTTTGATGTTTAAAATTGTAGAGTTGGACTATGGAGGTCGACTGTTCTTGTCCCGAGTGCAAGCAAAGGATAATTGAAAGCATCGTATCAATTGTTGGTAATTAATTTCTCGTGTACTCCAAAATTAGGGTTTCATTAATTCGTCCAACATTTTGTACGTGAATTAATCCTTTTGACAAGAGCAATGTTTTTTTCCCCCTCTTTGTAGGTGTGTACGACATTGACTTTAATGGCACTCAAGGGATAGTCAAGATTTCAGGAGAGGTTGATCCAAACATGCTTATCCGAACAGTTAGAAGATGTGATAGGCACGCTAAAATACTTGGAGTTAGAATAACTCATCCTGAATACGTGAATAGAAATAATAATATTCGTCGTCGTGCAAATTGTAACGATCATAATCATAATCATAATCAATATCCGGCGGTTGAGTATGGCCAATGCAACGGCAGTGCACTAGCGCTCGAAGGCGGCGGTTGTGGCAGTGGCTATGGTTATAATTCTAACTATCATCCTTCAATTTATCCGGCCGTGAGTGACAGGCTAGCCGCGGAGCTACATGGCCGCCCTTATGGTGGCTCCGGCGGCTTTTACCGGCAATCATATCCTCAAATGGATTATTATTATGACAGGATGAGGGCTGAAGAAAGTTGGTGCACCATCATGTAGTTAGTCGCAGTGCTAGCTAATTAGTTTGCTCTTTCGTTTATGAATTTGCTCCAACTTTTTAGTTGTTTTTGAGATGGTTTTTCCTTGTTTCTCCAAGCTGTTTTTCATCGCATGGAGAAGTTTGATTTAAGTTTGTTGTCCAGCTAGGGTTTCTTTTTTGGTGAGAATTTTTGGACTCGTTGAAATTGAGGGACGTTCTTGATATTTAGACCATGAGTATGTTACTTAATGCATGATGTTTTACATGAATTTTTTTTCTTTCTTTAATGATTGTCATAATGGCTGTTACTTAGAGTCGGTTACAAAATCATATTCTCCATAGATTTCATATACATTGTTGATCTGCACTTAAAATTCCACTTACGACTGAATCATAGATTCGGATTCATTGATCATACTATTGGCTTTGGTTACTAAGTGATATCAATTCTCAGAAAAGGTTCTGAAGGATCAAAGCATTTATTTATTGTGGGAATGGAATCAAATTCCCAATAATTTTTGTCACTTTATTGACCCACCATTTTATCACATGATTCCATTCATCGTCCCACGTGTATTAATTATGTGTTCTGGTATGACTAAAAGGGTTAAAAAAAAGGTCTAAATGGGACCAACAGAACAAGTAATTAATCCATATTGCTCTTTCTTAATTACAATAATTAATCCTAATTTTTTTTGGTTAACTAAGATTATCTTCAAAACACCCGAAGATATGTTTAAACGAATGGTTATTTTTGTGCAAAAGAAACATTTTACTTTCGGCTAGGATCCGGATTATATATGATCCATGATCTAGATGACCACCTTATCCAGCCACATCTCCCATGTCTGAACTTGTATGAAATAGATTTGGATGAACAAATATACATTGCGAAAAACAACATGCATATATATATGGGAAGATATCACACTTTAGGATGAGAGATCGAGGCTAAAAAGTTTCTTTTAGCATAAAGAGCTTACACTTTGCATATACATACAGATAGGGATATAGATGAATAATTCAATCCAAGTAAGATTCATTCGGGCTTTCCCAACTTTGATGCATTATAGTAATTGGAATGGGTATAATATATTATTACAGTAATCATGGTTTTAGATGTGTGTTGATCCTCTTTAGTTACCCTTTTTTCTCTATCTTTTATTCATTCTTTTTTATGTATAACAAATTTGATTGTGTGTATTGCATTTTGAACAGTACATTACAAAACTCAAATCCAAAGCCATTAATTTGGATCTTCTTAAAAGATCAATCATGACTGTCTTCTCCATAAGTACATTACTATGTCGTTAGAGTACTCTATAATTTTATCTTAGTGACAAAATTTACCATTTCTATAGAAGTTCATGGGATTCCACCTCAAAACCAATTGGCAATGAAGGGAGTAGTTCATAGATTTATATATTGATATCAACTCTCTCCCACCACCGATGTGGGATACTCAACAATTTCTCATTACTGGTGAATGGGGGTATCTACATTAATTGAACAAACTTTGGCACATTTGGCCATAAGATGATGTGTAAGGAGTCTCAGCCAAATTCAAAAAATCAAAAGACAAATAGAAAAGATTCTAAATGAACAAGTTCTCTTATAACGGAAGGAAGAAAAGGGATAAAGATGCACTTTCAACACTTCCACTTGTGTGATTCCTCAATAATTGGTAGGTTGCTACATGAATGAAATTGCTTGTCAGTTACTCTACTAGGGTATTATTCGGGGAGTATTACAAACCTCTCAGATATTATCTTATTACATGATTAGATCCATAGATAAACTAGTAATACGTGTCTTGTCTTGTTAATTAAGAAATATGATTATGCATTTCTCTCTTATTAAGAAAGAATCTTAACTGAATCCATATCCGAAAGGAATCATCACAACTTGGGGTAACCCTAACTATAGGACCTCATTCCAAAGATATGATCTTTATTGGAATATCACAGTAAATTAGAACCACCCCTCATAAACCTAGCTAGCTACCTAGCTTGCAAAACCTAGATCTATTTAAAGTGGCCATTCGTTCTCAAAGATATAGCACCAAGAAACCAACTCAAATCAACAAGTCTTCAACATATCTACCTATCAAAAAACCCTCCCCTTCATCTCATATTTGGCGAGCTTAAACTCATTCACAACTTACTAAATGGCATACAACTACAACGGCAAGGTGGACAAATCCAAGCTTCTTAAGGTAGGTTTGGAAGCCTTTGAGATGCTAGAAGATCAATATCCCGGAAAAAAAAGGCAGCAAAAAACCAAGAATAAGGCTCCGGCTCGGCCGGCTATGGCAGCTGCAGCTTGCATCTACCAATATCAACCACAGCAAACCCTAGTTCAGGTGATGAACCCTCTTTCTACAACTCAAGAGATCATGATCAACAGCTACGAGGGGCGGATTAACGCGATGGATTATTCCAAGAGAAAATCTGCAGCTATGGCTTATTAAGTAGTAGCAGTGATCTAACCCATGTTTAATGGTTAAGTTTTGTAAATGTTTAGTATTATGAAATGTAAGATCTTTGGCTTGCTACCGATGCATATATGCTTCCATTAGGAAAAAAAATGGTAATGCTTATGCATGTAATTTCCTGGTCCTCTTTATCTGTAGTTTCCAGGCTTTTTTTCTCATCTGTTTTTCGGGAGTCGATCAGGTCAAGTTTCGAGCGACTTCTCTTTTATGTCAATATTCTAGTGCTTTACAAGTATATATATAAATAGTCGATCAAGAGTACTCTTGATCATGATTTTTAGTCTTCTCCTCACTGATATAAATTGATTTATTGAATATAAATTGGAAATAATTAGCTAGATCCAAACACTCTTCAGTAAATAATAAAAAGAAATGAACTCTTAAGCACAAAATATGAACTGATTCTGCGCCAAATGGATCATTTCCTTGGAAAAGAGCCGAGAAGTGAGTTAAGAACCTTTGATATGAAAAAAATTGGAGGAACAGAATAAATCTGTTGACAAAAAAAAAAAAAAACAAAAAAAAGAAGAAGAAGAATAAAAAGTGGATTCCTTTTTCAGAAACCACTTCATTATTAGGGATAAACTTTGTTTATAATTTTAATTTGATAGAGACGCCATTAAAGAAAACATGGGGAAAAAATTGATTCTTAACCATATCTTGTTTACTTTTTGTTGTTTACAGTGTCTACTTAACCAGAATTGTTGCTTCAAAAATGACCACATTCATTTGGGAAGTAGCGGTGGTCGTAAAATTGTTCATTCACAACAGTTTAATACAGATACATATATACAATTATTATTTTGAGACCGAATGAATACAATTTCTTTACTTCCATAATGCTAATTAAAGTCTCAATAGCAGATTTTTTTTCAATGTTTAGGTTTTTTTTTTTTTTCAATGTTTAGTTAAGCTAATAAACATCGGTGCGGTGAATGTCCGGTGAAATCTGAAGCAAGTAGGCAAGAAAGAACCGGATAATGACAAATTTGTGTTACTCCCTCTTATGCATCCAGTCTGTAATACAATTTCGATATATATATATATATAGATATATAAATAATATATATATATATATATATCAATAACTTTTTGCCTTGTGAAATTGAAGAAAATTTTGGAAACCTTAAAAAATTGCAAATTAATAGTTCATTGGAGAACCTTGGACTCTAGTATTCTATTGTCAAATTTAATATTTTATTTTTAGTATAAATTGAATTAAAATTAAAAACTTAAACTGGAATTTTGGGACAGAGAATAAAAACTTTTTTTTTTGTTATTATAAACTTAAGAAAATATACTTAAATGTGTATGATATACTACATATCACCGATAAGATTGGGTTAGTAGTGTAAATATTTTGGTCTAACTATGAATATCAAAAGCAAAATAAGATGGCAATATAACCTATTATCATAGCAAAGAAGATCAGCCAAATTATCTTTTTTTTTTTTTTTTTTTTGAGAAAAGATCAGCCAAATTATCTTGTTGTAAAATGATTCACACGATTCATGAAAGCTCGATCCCATGTTTACCTTGTGGAACTGATTAATAGTGACCAATATTCATTTATCTTCTACTGTGTTACAATATTAAAAAAGAGAATCATTTAGCTCTATCTGTTGTGGAAACAATTCAGCTTAAACTAATGCACATCTTTTTATTATCGTCTAAAATCTTGTGAACCAAACCTACATGAATGGCAATAATTGAGAATAATCTACTGGGAAAAGAATCTATACCGCAATGTGTAACACGCCACTGAAAGAAGAAAATGCCGAGACCAAGACCAAGAAGACCAAGAATTAACAGAGATTTCGTGTTATACTTCAATTCTTCCAGATTTATCAGTTCCAGATAAGGTCGGTAGGTACCATTCTACATCAAAGGAAAGCAAGAATTACAGAGCAGGAAAGATCAAAGAACTCTCCCCCGGATGGATTTGGCCAACAAAAGTTTAAGACCGAATCAATCCCCTTGGATCCCAGTTTCCTTTTTCCAGATACAGATTCAAAAACCCTGTTCTTATCTCGAAGGAATAGCCACATATTTGGGAGGTGGAAAAAGAAGGTAAATAAGATTCTGTTCTTTTTCTTCCTCACAATGTGGCAAGTGATTAAGCTGATACAAGTTGAGAAAAATCTCTGTTTTGAGTAATACCAAGAATCTAATTCTGTTTCCTTAATTTCTAGGTCAGTAAGACAACATTTCTTCCCAACCGTTCTATATCTATAAATAGGACTCTTTGCCTTACTATCACTTCACACCAAGCCAACGCAAGAAAATCTCACTAGCCTTGTCTCCTGTGTTCCTTTCTAGTTTAATGGCTCCTAAGGCAGATCTTGCTAAGATTGGCAAGGAAGGGTTCGACATAATCGATAGGTTCTTTGGCAAAAACAGCAACAACCATCATGCCCCACCAAAAGAACCTAAATGGCTTCTCGAGCAACAAGTTTCTCTTCAGCGTTACAAACCTCAAGATACACGCACATACTACTATCAACCACCACCCCAAGAAGAAGCAGCTCCTAAAGGTGCTCGAGTAACCAAGGTGGCTTACTATCAACCCCAGCAACCACCACCGCAAGAGAAAGAATCATATGCCCGCTACTATCAACCACAAGAAGCTCCTAAGACTGCGCTAGTAACCAGGGTTTACTATCCACCCGTACAAGAAGCTCCTACTGGCCGAGCAAACAAGGCTTATGAAATGAGCGGCTATCATTATTCTGAAACAACATCACAGGCTCATTTCATGGAGTATCAGAGGCCAACTATGCGTATGTCCTATAACTAAAGTTAAGGCGTCCATACCAATGTGATATCTCGTCACTCTAGTTTGGATCCGTAAACTTAGATAACGTGCCAAGATTAGAGCTTTTGGGTCACCTGGCCAATATTTCAAATGCTGTAATAGCAGCCAGGTTTACTTGTACTTTAGTTGCTGAAGCAACTGCACAAAGCTACATGTATAAATACTTTAATGTAATACAGTAAACTACTAGTATAATAAAGAAAGAGAGTACAATCAAATAAAAACAAACAAACAACAAAAAGCATATTCACTGAATTGTCACTGAAAAATTATCCAAAAGAACAACTTGTAAATTAGATTAGGCTCAGCCTCAATCAAAAGGATCAAGAGAACATAGGGTTAAAACTCGAATTCTCCCCTCAAAGCGGCAAGAACACTTGTTATGCAGTCCCTTCTCACTTCTGGCCTTCTTTGACCCACTGAAAGAATTATAGAAGTCAAATCAGATAGGAAATAGCAACTTCAATAAAGATTTAGAAGACAAAGGTTCGTGAATCTCACTCTGCTGTTGGAGGTTTAGAGGCAGCATTAGAAACCTTCTCCCCAGGTCCCTGCAAAGCCAGAATAAACAGCAAAGTTCAAAGCTAAATCTAAATCCGTGTGCTCTAGAAAAGAAAGTACAACTATGCCGCAAAGCTAAACATACTTCAAATGAATTTGTAGCTCAGGTATTCTTCCAATAATAGAGGAAGAAATACCAAACCATATCTAGAAACTGATAGCAAGCATTCAAACAGCATGCAAGTTTTTAAAGGTTCATTGCATCATACTATGTTCATACTATGTTCACCAATACACTGATTCACAATCGAAGTAGTTCTGGAATTAATAACAAAACTAAAACAATTGTTCTAAACTGAACCAAGCGTTCTTCCCTTCGAGCAAGTTTCTTTTCCCTGCTAGCTTTGTTCTTTGCTCCCTTTGCCTCAAACTGGTCAGACAGCGTTTTCTCTCTCGCTTTCTCAGCCTTAGTCTTGTGAATGCTCTCCATTAGAACTCTCTTGTTCTTAAAGACATTACCTTTCACTTTCATGTACATATCATGGTACATATGCTTGTCAATCTTCTTGGCCTCTCTGTATTTATGAAGCAAGCGCCTGAGCACACGCATTCTCCTCATCCAGAGAACCTTTGTCGGCAGTCTAGTCTCCCTTGTACCCTTACGTTTACCTGCACATTGTGAGCACATGATAAAAATATTAGCTCCTCACTTCACTTTCTTCCAGCAACTATTAACAAAAGTTTGCACCATATGAGCACAAAGTTCACATATTTGTGTAAACTTTCCTCTAATCCAGGGATCAAATGATGCTCAAATACAAATAGCAAAACTTTAAGAGAAAGGTATACCATATCCAGAGTGGCGACCCTTTCTCTTGGCCTCCTTCATAACTTGTTTTAATTTTTATTTTTTTTAAAATGGTAAATTATTTATTTTCATGTTTACTTTAACTCGAATTTTTCTTCTTCATTTCTGAATTTTTTTAAAAAAAAATTTTAATAATCTAGAAGTTAAAATACAAAAGGAAAATAAATTTTTAAAACTTAGAATTATTCTACCAGTATATACAAGTTAAGAAAAGAAGAAGAATTGTATAAAAAAAAATTTAAAAGATTAAAAAATAAAAAAATAACAAAAATGTCCTGAACCCAAAAACATGTGAAAAATAGATTTCCATCACTATTTAACGGCCAAAATTAATAGAATAATCTGAAATGGATTAAAACTTTAGTAAGGTAACCTGTGTTACAAATAAATTTAATTAATGACCTAGAGTAGAAATATATTAAAGGTTGATGACTTGTTTTGAGGTTCACTCTTTTCTTTATTTTGAATCACGATTGGACTTAGATCCAATTCTTTGTGGATCAAAACTTCAGTACGTCTAATTATAGTCTACTGTGGAGAATGGATCACAATTTTCTGAATCCCACAAAAAATTAATAAAAAGGTGAGATACAAAATTATTAACCTATATATATTAATATAAGATGAAAATAACTTACTTGCATGAAATTGAAAGCTCACTTAAGTTAAAAGTTAAAAAAAAAATAGATTTAACCGTGATTATAGTATATCTTAACCGTAGAAGATAAATTTATTTTAACTTTCTGCAACAATTTTTAAAATATATAATCTAATAATGAAATCCCAAATAAAGTCCAAGTTATCCTAAATTACTCATATCCAAAATCTTATACAGGATCTGTTAAATATTGTTCAATTTAAACTCCATCAGAATAAACAGTTCAAAACAATCAGATATGTCTCTCTGTTTCATTTTCCTTTAAAATTTTTGTTCCTTTCTTTGAGTTTTTTTTTTTTATTCAACAGGTTGCCTTCATACTTTTTTTTTCTATTTAATACGGGTTTATGTTCAATGCAGGTACTCTCAATGGATGTAGAGTACCTGTGCATAGTGATTACTTGAGATGTTTTCGCTTATACTATATTTTTGGAGAGAATTTTGGATATCTTATTAGATATTAGCTGAGTATATATAAATGCATTTTTCAACAAGATTACACTTATATTTTTTTATAATCTTTATTTTATACAAATAATGCAGAAAAAATTTTACAACCCGCATAACGTGCAAGTCACCCACTAGTACGAGGAAAAAACAATGATGTGATTATTAAAAAGAATTTAATGACAAATAATAAATTAATATAAATTATAGAGGACAATTACTTCTTTGTTTTCACTGCAAAATGTTAAATGTTTGCTTTCTACCATTGATACTGAAAGAGACAAATGAAGAGAGAATCAAGTAATAGACACGTGATTTAAATCTTAGACGATTTATGTGACATCGCATAAGAGGCGCACCATAATAGTTTTCCTAATAATAGTATTTCTTTCATCAATAGACCTCATTCCCAATCTAAATAATTGTATAAGTACCTTGAAAACACTATGTATAGTTCAAAATCAACCAAAAATCTCAGATGTTGATAAGTATTCTCACAAAGTAAATTATGTTCTAACTACAGGACAAATATTATTCCTCATATACTATTCCTACCTTTATTTTTAAAATATAGTCTAATTTTAGAAATGTAAAACTTAAAATTAGACTTATGAGATTCGTACAGCCTAAAGTTGATTATTAAATTAATAAATTTAATTTTTAAAACTAAAATAAAATTAGATGACGTAATCTTACAAATTAAAAAAGGTAATAATATGAAAAATTGAATAAAGTTTCATACTTATTCATCACTTTAATAATCAACTTTAGGTTATATCTTCATAAATCTCAATTTTAAGATTTATTTTTTTTAAAATTAAATTTTTTTTAGGAGAGAGATAGCAATATATTTTTGACTTTTATATAAATTGGACTTACTCGATGAGTACCACACGTTTTATCCAAGAAAAAAAAAAGTGGAAACATTACAATAAAAATAAAAGCCGACGTTTGAAAATTCCTGAAAAAAAGGCACTACTACTACTTAAGAAACAAATATTCGATCCTTTTATTCCACCAATTTTCCCCAATTCCCGGGAAAAATCTACCCCCAAATCGGAGAGTTCTCCCTGAAACCCTAGCCCAATTGCATATTTCAAAATAAATCGATGGAAATCTCCCTAATTTCTGATACATTAAAGTCGATCGTTTCAACCCAGGCCGGTTTAAGCTTGGGATTTTCAAGGTTCCTAATTGCATCGTCGGACCAATCACCCACGGGCTCCCTCCAAATCTCCGCCACGATGTTCCCCTTCGACGCCGTAGCGCCACGGCCCCCGGTGAAATCCAGTCGGGTCAAGACATTACCTCGTAGGCAGCTGAAGCAGAGGCGTCGCACCAGGAAGAGATCGCTGACCAGCGACGATGACGGCGGTTCCGGTGACGGTGAGGAAATTTTCGGGTTTTTCGCCGGTGACGGCGATGGACCATTTAATAACAATAATAATGGCGGTGGTGGAGGATACGGTGGAGGGAATTGGAATTTTGGTCGGGATGAATTCTTTTCTGATGATAATGGCAGCAATAACTCTTATCAGGATCCGGCGTTTGATTTCGTTTACGAGGTATTGTCATGGATTGTTTTGTCGAACTGTTTGCATTTTGCTTATAATAAGCTCATGAGAATCGTGGCTGATGGATTTAGTGATCCTGCGAGGGAGAAGGTTGCCATTCAATTGGAATCTGTTTGTTAATTTGATTAATTGGCAATGACTTATTAGGCTCAATTCTTCCGCCCGAGGGCGTTGATTATGTCTCTTAGATCAAAGTATAAATGGTTAAAGGTTTCAGGGGTGCCTCAAAGCTGGCACATGGATACTGTGTCTTATGGACACATAGATTGTAAATAAGCTATCTTTAGGATTATGTTCTGTGTCATTGACAAGCTATTATATTTTAGTTTGACAGTTAATGTAAATATTGTTCATTTATTTGATTGTTTTGGTGCCTTACAAAGATCTAGTTTGCTGTTATTTTGAATTTAATGTTTTGTTTTGTGACTGAATTTGCTTACGTATGTCAGCTTTTGGAATTTGAGATCACTTATCTCAATAGTCAAAATTGGTTTGTTTGTACTGATCTATGTTATGTAGCCTGTTATTATCTGAGGATGGAAGGAGATGCTAAGTTTAGATTACCTAATGCAACAGGTTGAGGTATTGAATTTATTGGATTTTGGACTTGAGACGTGAGATTTTGGTTTGAAACTTGTAAATCAGATAGGAAGCTGATGCGTGCCACGTGAAAATGGCTTGTTTCTAATTGTTGATTTTGTTCATCAGCTGAGTGAATGGTACTAGATTTTAATAATCTAAAGGCAACTTGTTGTAACTTTGCAAATGATTGTGTCTGTTGTGAATGAGTCAGTGTCAAGATTAGGATGTTTAAGCTTTTATAATGTTAAGGATGACAATCTATCATGATTAGTGATGTGGAGGTAGAGACTTCTTATAGCAGCTGGAATCCAAAATAGTTTGACAATTGGGTGCAGCTGTTTCTGGCATACTTGGGAGGAATGGTGAGAAATGTATTGTAATGATGGAAGAGGAACCATTTCGTCTATTCTTTTATTTATCATTAGTCTTCCTACCCTTCAAGTGATATCATCTTGTGTAAGATCTAATTTAGTTGGATCCCGTAGTTAGTACAAGCTCTTAACATAAATAATTGTGTGGAGGGAGTAGTGTTACAGTCCAAGAAAACTCGTAAAATGCTCTATTTTTTCGATTTAGTGACAAAGAGACACTGATCTGGTTGAGCTCCTTTTGTATGGTGGCCAGAAGGCATTTTTTATTATTCTAGTTCTGGCATTTAACCTTGTAAATAAACAACTAGTCAACTATGTCTATGGAATGTTCTTACACCACACACTCCATCTTGGAATTTGAACTTCTAGATCGAATAATTTAGCCTCCTTTTTTAGATCCACTATAGATGTGCTTTCAGTTTCCCCAGATTTTTCTCATCACTAATTAAAGACTACTGGTAAACTCTGCCTCCTTGAATCCCCCAGGATGAGTAGGAATGAATATATTAGGATACAGGTAGAGTAAAAGTTTTTTTTGACGTTCACGAAGAATATGGATTATATAAGAGATCGTGTAAATGGTTGAGTGCCGAATTGTTATTTTCTGCCAGTGTTGCTGGATGATGTTCTTGCACTGCGGAGTTAAAGAAGAATGAGGAAGGAATATGTACAGGGTAAGAAACGTGGCCATAAATTATGGACAAAACTCTGTTCTTGCACTAATCACAACTATAATTATGGGTATTTGGATAAATTATGTTGGGAGGACATAACGAATCAAAGGAAGCCAATTCGTCAAAGAAATCTAGAGATTAGATTTTTATTATTCTTTTGAAGATGACGCAGTCTGCACAAATACATGCATCTTCTTCGTGCTGGCTATGATTTTCAATTAAATAATTCGCTAACTCCTGCCTAAACTATTGCTTTTTCTCCTGAGAAAGTACTATACTTAAAAAAAGAATCTTAAACCCAATTGATTATCCTTCATATGGAATTAGCATTCAAACACAAATTTTCCATTGTACGGTTTGTGGCTTTTAGCAACTCTACTGCAATTCGATTACTTCTTCCAGCACGCTTCATGGTTAAAAAAAAAGTGAATTATTAAAATGAGTAAAATAATTGTGATCCGATCAAAATGTATAGTAAATAAAATCGTTGAAGTTGATGTTATCTATTATCTCCGTTCTATAAAAATATTAAAAAAAATTCAGCGTGAATTATTTTATTGGGGACAGATATAGCACGAGTTATGAAACAAAATCTAGCACATACAAATCGTAGATGGCAATAGTAAGACCAAAGCAAAATCCATATCTTTCTCCCAAACTCCTCCAAGAGAAAGTAGTGGAAAACTGCATTTTTCATCATACATCAGAATAATGATTGTTCAGTATTATAAAAACCTTTTTTTTTTTTTCAGAAAAAACAATCAAAGCAAGAACTGCAGAGAATTACGTTTATTGAATTGGCCAATTGGGTGCGTCACACAGCACACCACGACAAAAAGCAGTCGTGTGTAAACCGTACGCAGAAGATGACAAAATTATACACGACGATAATTGCTTTTTTTATTTTATTTTCTTAATTTGAATTTCTATCTCATTGTGTGAGTAGTTGTTTTTTTGTTTTTTTAGAGAATTCCTTTTAATCTTACTTTGTTAATCTGTTCATCTTCAATCGTCTTAAATTTACTAAAGTTGTTACTTACAAAGCATTATCAATGATTGTTCATATCTTATTTTCTTGAGACTGAATTACTCAGCTCATATTAAAAAAAATTAAAATCAATCTGATAAATGATTTTGGACATCAAACCCTCAAAAGCTCCAATGCAGATTAGCTAAAAAGTTGTTTATAAACAGTAAATTAGTTACCCTTGTTGAATTTAAATTAAGGCCTTAAATTAATCAGTGATAAAGATGTGATATTCCAAAAAAAAAAAAAAATCTAACATTTGTTCTGTCAAGCATTGCAATCCCCTAATAAAACAAAGAAAACAAAAGAAAGCAACAGAAAAAAATACACAGCATTCAGTAAATTGCTACAATAATAATTGAAAATGGCCGAAATGGTTCATTAAATTCCCAGGACAGATTTATTATTATTAGTCTAATACTAATAATTATTCTGATAACTCCACCAACCCATGATTGATTGATCCGTCCACCCAACCCGCAATACACTATTCATTACCGCTGCAAAATAGTACCAACACAAGAAATTCCAGTAGTAATGCAGAAATCTGGTGATTGATCAATACAGCATATCAATATCATCAACAATAAACAGATTCTCCTGCTGGTGGTGGACGGCGGCGGTGGTGGCCACGAGGTCATCATCCATCGTCCAATAATCACCAAATTGAGCTGCTGGTGGTGCCGATGCTGATGAGGACGATGACGTCATCAACCCAGGTGGTTCCATCATCCCAAGGAAAGATGCCAAGCTGGAGAGATCATGCTCAGCCCCCAAATGATCATCATATGCTTGGTAATTATTATCAGATAACAATGTTGTCATGGCGGCGGCGGCGAGATGGTTATCAGGCGGCTGAGGTGGAGTTTGGAAAATGGATTCCAGGCTGCCCTGTAAGTAATTATTATTATTAGGAGCGTCATCCGGGATACTGATGACGTGTTGCCGCTTCGACGGCGGCGTTGCCGGCGGCGGGTGATACTCGTCGGGGAAATTGAGTTTGGCTTTGTCGCCACGGATGCGGCGGGCGGCTTCGTCGTAAGCTCTGGCTGCTTCTTCAGATGTGTTGTATGTTCCCAGCCAAACCCGAACGCCTTTGAGTGGGTCCCGAATCTCCGCCGCCCATTTCCCCCATGGCCGCTGCCTTATTCCTCTGTACTTGTTCTTCCTCCTCCTCCCTCCCCCCGCCGCCGTCGCCGTCTCCGGCTGCGACTTCTTCCCTTCTTCACCACCTGCAAACACCACTTTTTTAAACAACATTTTTTAACAAAATCACACACACACACACACACAAAAAAAAAAAATAGTAGCATCCAATATGAGATCAATAAGATGTTTAATTAATGGATAGAAAAATTAGTCTATCATTGAATAAAGATAGAAAGAAAGATGTACTAATAATTAAGAAATGAGAGGCCAATAAATGATGACACATGCAAAAATAAATGGAACTGACCAGCTTCCGTATTTTGGCCGGTGAGTTTTTTCTTCTTCTTCTTGTTATCTGATGAAGAAGAAGAAGGAGGGTTGTTATTGTTACTGTTGAATCCCCAGTATTGAGAAATGGTGTCAAAGTCGGCCCAGAGTTCTTTGGTGGTCAGTTTCCGGCCACGGTTGATCGGAAACTCGTCGGAGATTATTGCTCCTCCACACATCTTTCTTGAAAAATTTTAGCTTCAGTGGATGCTCAGCTGGAATGGATATACAAAGAGGAAAAGATCAAAACCAGGAATGATGAAGAAGTACTGGAACATATGGAGAAGAAACACTAAAACCGGGAAAAAGGTGGTTTTTATATAATAAAGGAAGCAGAAAGAACGGAGCGGAAAAGCGTTACGTATCGTCCTAGGGTTAAATTACATTGAACTCCCTGAACTTTCTTGAATTATTTATAGGCCATGCCAAATTTGATTTCTTTTTTATTGTAATATTTATCGAAATAGTGATAATAAATCAATAATCAATAAATAAATATAAGTACGAATTTGCATTTGCTCAATTCATATTATTTTTGTTAGTTCTATCTTTTCTTATAAATATTACAGTTGTTAGTCTGACCAATCAATATATTTTTATTATGAGGGTGATTTTTAAAAGATAGAACTAGAAATTTTTAGCGACCATACTAACAAAACCATGACATAAAGATTTTTTTTTTTTTTTTTGGGTCCGAGAAGAGTAATTTTTGAAACATAGCAAACTTTTGACGTCCTCTAAAAGTGACTCTGACCATGTTAATAATTTTCACAAACGTTAGAGATGTTTGCTAATTGATACGAAATGAAAAGGGAGCTTTCTACAATTAACGTGATTTTGGGCTCTAATTCTTCGTTTATTGGAAGAAAGAAGAGAAAGGAGGGGGGAAAAAAGTGGAACGTACGGTTACTGATGCAGAAACAAATTTCAATTTTTGGGAAAAGGACAAAGCTCGTGTGTGGGAATTACTATTATTTTTCTTCTTTTTTGGTTGTGATCTGACGGTACAGAGAGGGTAGATGATGAATTGACGGCCGTGATGATGATTCACATGTAAATGGAAAGTTTGTGGGTCCAGTTAGAAGTGTGTTGAGCTGTGTAGAGATGAGAGTAATTTTCCCAAAACAATCCTCTGACTTTTATTTATTACTTAACTGGCCTCATACTTCTTTTTATCTTAAATTTCAACCGTGGACTACACCCTATGGAATGAAGAATGGTTCCCCTTTCATCACTTATAGTAAGAAAGATTGGAAATTACAAAGAGAGGGATTAAAAGTTTCATGAAATTATTATTGCTTCTACGTCATTTTAATAATTCATTTTGTTATGCTACAAGTTTTGCCACCATATCAAGGGGCATGAGGCACATTAAAGTTATGAAATTTATGGTATAACAGGAAGAAGGAAGAAATAACAATTTTGATCATGCTTTCTTTACACGTAGGCATAAGCAAAATCGTGTCATAGTTCTCAAAAAATGTGTATCTGTTCGGAGCTCATCAGCTCATCTGAACTACAGGAAACCAAGAGTAACAAAACCCACTTACATCAAGACTGAGGTACAAAAACGAGACAGAAATATGTGAGCTATTATGAATGTACATTGTACATTCCAATCCAATGAAAAAAATTCAACTGAAGCTGAATATGATAATTTGTTGAAAAACTTGGTATCGACGAGGGAGGGGCAGGTAACATCAAATGTACTAGAGCAGGTTGAAGTGCAGAGAAGTAATGTATTCATGTGTTCTTTAGCCAGCCATCTGCGTTAAGCGATGAATGGTGCTTCTTGCAACCCTGTTGCTCGGATCAAGTTTCATAACTGTTCTTAGGTCTTCGGCTCCAAGCTTGTACTTCTCCATACTCTCATACAAAAGAGCACGTTGCACAAGGATATTCACGTTTTTCTCATCTATACCTAGAGCCTGCATGACATTGTGCAGTCAGAAGATGAAATCCCAACACCAACTGACAGGATTAAAGGGAAGAAGACAACAAGTACTTGACATGGGTGCCAAAAAGAACAATAGGATAAGTGAGGAACAAATTTAAGCAGTGGGTGCCTGGGTGGCTCATGCAGTCTCATCATTATGCTTATTCGTTACTGTCATCTATGGTCAAACATATTTCACGTTTATCATAACACAATCGATTATTAGAATCAACATCACAGGAAGAATAAATCATTCAACTAAGGTACATAAAAAACAGAAATCTATTATCTTGTCCTGGTATTCAGTTCAAAAATAGTTCTCTTGTCTATGTAGGCTAGCCACTGGAATATTCTTCTGCCCACAGAAAGTCAACAGAATCATTAAACAAAACACTCCCGGTTAAACTAAGGAGAACAAGCCTTCTAATTCATAATAAAAATGGAATAATACAGTTAGAAAAGAGCAGAAAGCAACGGTCTAGCTAAAAGTAGTTCTATGGTTTTTAAGGTATCATTGCAGGCTAAGCAATTTTCCTAGCCAATCTTAAAACTACAATTTACCTAGTCAAGTTCTCGGATGTCATTGGCCTGAAAAACTTACAGGTAAACATGAAAACTAAAAGAAAAAGTAAAGAGAATACCTTTGTGCAATCAGCTACCGCTTTCTTGTACTCACCGACTTCTTTGTATGACGATGCTCTGCAGGTCAAAACCTCTATTGTACCAACATCATCACCAGCCTTCTCAAGAAGAACAACAGCCCAAGACAACCATTTTATAGCATCCGCATATTGGCCCTGCTTGTAATTATCTACTCCTTTGTTCTTTGCAGTCGCAGAAGTAACACCAGCTGGCGGAGGTGGAAGACCTTCAAGCTCAGTTGTGGTCCCACCAGTGTCTCCGCCTCCAATCTCAAATCCCCAATCATCACCCCCTGAAAACGGCTCGGATGCTGCCCCACCTGATGGATTAGTAGTTGGTTCAAACAATGAACCAAAATCATTAACCCCAGCGGACGGCTGGGCAGATGGCTGACTTTGAGGCTGACTATTAGAAAACCCAAAACCATCAAATCCCATTCCACCTGTTCCTCCTCCCACGAAATTATCAGTCCCCAATGGAAAAGTACTCGATGGAAATGTAGCTCCACTTGGTTTACTAGGAGCATTCTGAAAACTCCCAAATGCATCATCTACACCTCCAAAACCATTGTCATTGCTACTATTGTTAGTAGTACTACCTTTACCACTCGAATTAATGCTATTACTTGGCTTAGACTTTAAATTATCAACCAAGGAACCAAAGGGGTCCTTATTTGCACTCATCCCACTACCTAATCCTCCACCTGGAGCGTTCATGGGCTGACCACCTAAACTAGGACCTCCCTTATTCACATTGCCATTCAAATTCTTCACGTTCCCGGCATTATATCCACCCGATCCCCAGTTGGATGAACTATTAGCTGAATTACGAGTCTTGGGCAAGGAATCAGCCATACCACCCATTGAAAACGTGCCTTTATTCGACACAGGGGCGGCATTCTTCAAAGGCACGTTGCTACCACTCTTGTTCTGACCCAATGCTGAACTGAGCAAATCACCAAACAAGTTGGGATCTTTCTTCCCGATCCCAATTCCCGCAGCACCGCTGGCTGCTGGGCCGGTTGAACTCCAACTTTTCCCGAATATATCTCCAACCATGGATGTCGGACCCGATAGAGAAGCCGAGCCTGATTGAGTCGGAGCTGCAGGCTGGTGGGTCCAAGAGGGTTTATTGGGCTGTTGGCTCCAGGAAGGCTTTGGCTGGGCAGAATAATTATAAGAACTATACGAAGACGACGACGCGGATGATGAAGTCTTGTTCTTTTGATCATTAAGGGATTTAGGACCCGATTTGTTGAGCCCCAAATCAAAGTCAAAACTACTCGATTTCTTCCCGTAATTCGAATTCATTTTTTTTCTGGTGCCCTTTTCTAAATCGATTCGATATAAATTGGAACCAAAAACTCAGATTGATTACAGAATTACAGATCTAAAATTAACCCAAACGAACAAATTGAAAGGGAAGAAGAGATCTGGGGTGTGATCAAAACGTACCTGATCAAATATATAGGTGGCTACAAAAGTACTATTTCGGAATAAATGGGTTCCGCCGGAGTGGAGTGGATCGTGTTTCTCGGCGCAGGGCGGGAGAGGAAGGTGCGGAGAGGTGTAATAGGAGCTCCGGGGCTGCTATTATTTTGTCTGAAGCTTTTTTTTTTTTTTAATTATTCTTTTTCTTTTTGTGTTAATATTATTTTTCTCTACCGCACTCGAGGTTTCCTAATTTAGTTGAGGTCTATACAGTAAAAACATACGCACTGTTACTTATTACTCCTATTACTCTGTCTTTAAAGATTTTCTAATATCTATTTTAAACTTTTTTTTTTACTAAATAAAGATTCAAAGTGTACAATCATCTCAAGAAAATAAATAATATTTAATTGAACTAATTGTACATTGCATTGCTCGTTATTTCATATATTATCCGCATCAAAAATGAATACAAGATTTCATATAACGTGCAATTTCATATACTATATGATCTGTTTTAAGCTCTATCTGGATTATAAGAGCACTCTCACACTAGGTCTTTCATCAAAGACCGGAAAGACCAAAATCTAAATCACATTATTTCAGGAGGGAATGAGTAAATAAATACTAACATTACCAGAATGGATTTGGTTTTGATTCCCGTGTTAATACGTACAAGTTGGTGTGTTTATCGACCTAGTATAGAAGATATGAATGATACTACTCCAAACCTGGCATTGATTGTGAATTTTCGACATGAAGGTTTATGAAGAACAAACCTGGACTCGCACTCCTCCAATTCTTCACCATATGGGTAATGACAGACATAGAAACCGTTGTACTACTGTTAGACCATTTTGAAGCCCTTCGCTTTTTGGAACAACAATAAGCTTATTTTTGAAAGTTGTAGGTTCTGGTGATATCGAGAAGAAGTCAGGTTTCCAGCAGGTGAACAGACATGGTATTCATGTAAGAAAAGTATGTTCAATTTGAATGAATAGATTGATGATTATATTCGACTACCATGCAGGGAAGATAACAGTTCCTTCAAAAGTTGTATGGAATCAAGGAGATATATTCACAAAAGCAAACACTCAACTAAAGTGAGTCAAATTGGCAATTACTTAACATAACTTCCCAATATGCAATTGGTCAGGTAAAAACTAAAAAGAGGTACCCTCTGTTCCATCAGCCTCAACCTCGAATACAATGCATACATTCTTCCCTCTAATACCCACCACCACCCTGATTTGATCCATTCTGAGATGCATTTGGGGAATCTGTTGGCGGAGGATACTGGGGTGGCATTGGATTGTTTCCTTGAAACCCTCCCTGATTTGGTTGGTAACTGCCAGCAGTGACGCCTTGAGAGTGGCCATGGAATGATGAGGCCGGATGCTGCTGTGGTGGTGGGGGTGGAGCATGTTGATTATTTGGAGTCCAGGATGCTGCTCTCGGTTCTCTTCTTTCGACCTGCATTGTTTCTCGGCGTCTGTCATATCGAGGGCGAGGCCTGCTCCTTGATTGTGGCTGCTGATTGAATCTATATTGTGGCCTATGAATCACTTTACCATCAATAAATAGATCACCTGTCAAAAGCCAACTAAGAACTTAGTCACAATTTTGATATTTGTGAACCAATAACTTCAGCAATAAAATGTTCTATAGGTTTTTGGTTTATCCTAACCTCCATAGTCTTTGTTGGGAACATCAAGATAAGAGTCAGGCAAAACCCACAGGACACCAGGTAAGCCTGTAAACCAGAAAGCAATTCTCAGATCCATAAAAAACAATAAACAACAGATAAAGGACTTCACATAGTTTGAATCCTCAAAACCGAAATTCAAATGTACAAGTACCATACAGGAATTACAAAATGAAGAGAACAACCAAGCTTTAAACATATCCAAATCGAAGCCAAGCCCCCCACCCACCCAAGCACACACACCAAAAAGTTAAAAAAAAAAAAAAAAAAAGGAAGGGAGAAACAGAGGTACGCGTGGGCAGCAGGAATACAGAAAAATGCTACACCAATATAGCTATCCAGCAACTGAGCATGAAGGATTATTTACCTTTAACTTTATGTGAGAGCTCCTCCGAAATAAGACAACCAAAACCAGTGTAGACGGATGTGCAAACAGAATAAATCTTCTTTTTTGCCTCCTCTTCACTGCATACATCAAAAAAAGAAATACAGTCAATCTCAAAATAAACAAATGCCTTTTAACCAATTACATAACAAATTTGTTCGGAACATATGGGCAATATCTGTAATCTAAGGAAATGGACCACAAAGATAAACACACAAATCCACCAGATACTTATGAATGCTGCCGAAAATGTAAATTTGAATGTACTTATTCGCTTATTTCCTCCACAACCCACATTCAGCAAAGGGCAATAAGGGTGAAATGGCCAATATTATGATTGCAATCAGCCATCTTCAAATCAAATCATTCGTATGAGAAGGGACATTCTACAGAGATAAGGTAAATTCAAAGTGAACTGTATCTTCATCCATAGTACCCAAAAGAGTATGTCAAGACTTAAAATACCTAGCTTAAATTGTTTTCACAGGAAAGGAAAATGCTGCCTAACCTCTAAAACTAAGTTTGGCCTTCTATCCACCGAATTCTTCAGAGGCTAATAAACCAACAAGCCAGTATAAAGCAGTACAGTACAACAAGTACACAAGAGGAAAAATATTTTAAGTTCTGCCATAAACAACACAAAGTACTCTCTTCAAGCAAATAGAATCACAACACGGTTACTAATTCTACACGGATTTCACTTTTTAACATTTAGTTCTCACTTTCACAATTTCTCGCAAGACTACATGTGTAGATTTCACTTTTAACATTTAGTTCTCACTTTCACAATTTCTCGCAAGACTACATTTTAACATTTCGTTTCACAATTCTCATTTCAATATAATAAACACCAAAGCAAGACGAAATCTCTGAACAGAACGTGGAAAAAATGATTCCTCAAGGGATTGCATTAGAAGGATTATACCATCAAGTGAGCAACAAATCAACACAAGGAAGCAGTAATTTCTCCAGAATGAAAAACGAATTACTGACAACAAAAGCAAGTTGTAATCCACGAATCAAGAGTTTGTACACTTGTACCTTCCAACAACGCTGGCTAAGGTTTTAACGTAGCTATTGATCATCTCTTCTTCAGAGGGTTTAGGGTCAGTGGGAAACTCCATGACGATAAGCCAATGCTCATAATCGCAGCCATCGAGGAGTATCGTCTCCTTCGGCGGCCGGTTGCTCCAGTTCGGAGACGGGTCGTTCAGTGGAGAGTACCCCGACCCAGAAGTTTTGTTCCGTACAGCGGTTTTAAACGGATTCGAATCCGGGTTTCGAGATAGGGTTTGAAGGTTGAGAAGTGGAACAGTGAGGCGGGAGCGAGATGGGGTCAAGAGGGCGCAGCGGAGTGCGGTGGCTACTGCTCGCCTGGTGGCCATGGCGGTGGCGGCTGCGGTCTAATTGCCGGTCGCGTAGAAGAAATGGGGCTTCTTTCTCCAAATTTTATTTATTTATATGTTAAGTACGTAAAAAACATTTGCACTTGGATCCTTTAATCTTTTCAAATTAAGCAAATTTGACAAAGTGGTCTCTTAACATTTGGGCTTGGAATATTTGATTGAGTGAACAGCCCAATCCAATCCCCATACTTTGGTTTAGTGTCGGTTTGGTCACCAAAATTACTTAATTGTTCACCACAAACCAAAATGGTTGTGGTGGAGTGGAAGGGACTCCTCCGCCCTTAACCGTAGGTCGAGGGTTCTAACCTCGACATGGGCATGGGACAGCCTTAAATACTTTGGCCAGTTGTCCCACCCATCGAGGTGCCTACAATTCAGCGAGGAGGATTAGTCACTGTTGCCGACGGTGGACACCCTACAAATATGGAAAAAAAAAAAAAAAAACAGTTGTTCACCACATCAGCTTGTATATTAGTTGCATTAAAAAAGTGCATGCCACACTTCTTTGGCTCCTTATCATAATACATTTTGATTTGCTCTAAATTTCATTTAATATGTTAGAAATTTTTTACATAATAATAATTGTAAGAACGTAGTAAACTGAAAATATATTTTTAAAGTTTTATTTCAATTGGAAGAACATATATTAAATATAATAGAACAGTTATAATAAAGACTAGAGGGAGTAGAATATTTTTTCAAAAAAAGCAATATTTTATCATTCAGTTAAGTCTAATAAGCTCGATTAAGATCAAGATATTTTTTACTTTTAGTACGTCAATGCATTTGTACAAGGTGCTTCTTGTTACTTCAGGTGAGTTATTTAATTAGGTTTCTGGCAACATCTACTTCTCCCAGAACTAAAAGTTTGTTCTACGCTTATGGGATCATATACTATTTAATCGGTTGCAAATTAAATTGTCGTTATCAAACTAACGAAATAATATTTTGCTAAAAGATAGGTTGTACCAAACGAATTTGAATCTTGGACTATATCCATATAGTTACTGAAATAGATTAGTCACCAAATTCTTACGTACAAATCACAAATAACGTCCTTGAAGTCTTTTTTTTTTTTTTTTTAGGAAACAAATTTATAACGAAGCTGGAATCAGCCAGCATTGAATGATGACCAGTTGGGAGGAGACGACCAAAGAGTGTCCCTCACTTTACAAGATTTTACATAATCTGTAATTTCATAAGCATGAGTTATCTAATAGACTAATCCAAAAAAGATTTAAGATTAGAAAACAAGTTTAAAAGATGTTTAATATCCTATATGATTGGAATGGCTAACTGTGGCCCTCCAACTTCCCCCGTCCAACTAGTATTGTACTGAGGGAGTCCCCAACTACTTGAAAATCAACCGGCCTCAAAGTACGTGCTAAGTTTGCCTTAACAGATGCCTATGAAGATCACTTTTTGATTCCAAAGGGAAGAATCATTGTTATTACACATTGAAGGGTGATTCTCTTGCAAGTAAGTGAAGCATCTGATGGTTGTTCACAATCATTTATAGATAAACAGATTATGCTGTCTATAGCTTTTGTCGGTGCCTGTTCTCAGTGTATATCTCATGTTCCATTTTCAGGAACCATCGAACATTATTATTGCTCACAAGAAGTTTAACCCAACAAGAGATCCGTGTTCGGTTCCATGGGATGTGGTTTGGGATGACCTTGTTACAATGGAACTGACGCTTGGAAAAAAAGATCATCCCAGTGCTCCTCCTTCACGGCTTGTTCTGGAATCTAATGAACAAATTCGTGTTGTAAAATGCATGAAAGACTCCAATCAGGCAATGGAGATTTATTCTTCAATCGAGCAAGTACGGTCTACTTATGGACCAAGACAACTACAGATGATGCTTCTATCTCTGTCTTCTCTGTTACTTTCTGGGATCATTCCTGATTTTCTTACAGAGTTTTTCACTTGGTTCTTGCCTGTTGATGTGGGGTTAGCAAAATTGGAGTTGATTCTTCTTCTTCTTCTTCACTGCTTTGTTCCCTTTTTTTTCTCCCTTCATTTTCTTTGGTTGATTCTTGATTTAAATTTCAGGCCTCTTTGCAAAGGAAAGTGACAAAACCCTATTCACCAAATGCAGATATGGCCTTTGACGTATTTTCGGATGAAGGCATTGGAGCTTCTTCTCCTTCGCAGCAGTTGCCTACATCAGTACCATTAAGCTCAACCTTTGGAAGCAGCGATCAATGATATGTTGATTATGAAAAGAAGCTGATGACTACAGTAAAATGTGACAACGACGCTATTCAACGATGCATTCCAAAAGAATCTTTAATCATTGCCGCTCAATCGCTTTCAATCTTTATGGAAAATGGAATGGTAATGCTGGTTTTACTTCTTTTCCTTTCGCTCAAAACAGGCGTTCATATTTAGATGACATTGTATTCTTTCGGATTTCTGTTTTTGATTGGAAAAGATGGCCAATTGGATACACAGTTATTGAAGCATTTCTTTCATTTCACAATTGTGTAATTGAAGGTTTGATGACTTTTAAAAATCAGTAGTCAAGACTCGAGAGGGATGGATGGATGACATAATCATTCTTTTTCGGGGTTGTTGCAGTTATATGTTGAAGATGTACTCTTTTTCGAGGGTGCATTTTCTTGCGGTCGGTAAAAACCTTGGATTGGCCTTACTTCTGAAATGTAACATTTTCATTTTCTTGTGCAATTTGGTTTCTAATTTGTATGTAAATATGTAAAGCTGTGAAAGATGGTTTTAGGTTAGGAAAAAGGAACCCACAGCAAATTAATTTTAAGTGAATGTAATATTGGGTGGGATGGTTAAAATGTTAGGGACGTTGATATATAACTTCTTGTACATCTTTGAAGAAACAAGCTTGCGGGATCTTGTATTAGTAATTGATTTATCCCTTTGAAGGATTGTGTGCATATATAGGGGCAACAGAGTGAATTGCGTGATTAGTCAAGAATAAATTTAATTTCTTATTCTATTTTAATTTCACATTTATAGGGATTGTAAAAGTCTCTCTCTAAGTTCTCTCTAGGCGTACATCTGCTAATGTGTGCCTGCCATGGTTGGCGAGAGAAAGAAAGGGAAAGGCCTAAAAGTGACAGAGAGTACAGATGAGCAAACAGCAAACGTGAAATGTATGGAGAGTAATTTGGAATCTACCAGCAAACCAGTGAGATCTGAGGTAAGGCAGTGACAGGAAGAAGAACTTCAGCGACTGGTTGAAACATCGGTCGAAAAGGAGAAAGAAAGGGTTGAGAGTTCTGGTGAGGCAGAACAGAAGGGTGATGTGAAAGCTAGATTGAGTGATGGATGTTTGAGTGGGCGAAAGAAAGATGAATTGTGCCTAGGGTTTCTGAGTTGAACATTCGCCGGCAACTCAATTGGGCAGACAAGTCTGATATGGCAGTTAGGGATAATGCTTGGGATCACTTTAATCTTGAGAAATTGAAAGAGCCCTCAGGGGATTTGAAATTTACTCAACCACAACAGCATGAAGGGCAGAAGATGGGTAAAATTCATATGGAAGATGTCCAAATAGAGGCAGAATACTGGAAGACAGCAGTGGTGTGCTTTGTTCTGGGGGGCAAACCCACCGAAATGGGTGATGGAGGAATTCATTCGAAGGACCTGGGGTCAATTAGGCATTGATCAGGTAATACTCTTGCCAACTGGTCTTTATCTTGTTAGATTTCGGACTCTACAAGCTAGAGATGATGTATTGAATGTCAGAATTTGCCAATTTGGATCAAAATCTTTTATTTTTGAACCATGGGGTATTAATTAGGGTATTAACTATAGAGAGATGGATAAGGTCCCTGTTTGGATTCAATTGCATGGACTTGAATTAAAATACTGGAACTTGAATTCATTAGGTAACGTGGCAAGTACTATTGGATGCCCAATCAAGGCTGATGAACATACTGTAAAGAAAATCAGGGTTCAGTATGCTAGACTCCTTGTTGAAATGGAATTATCTGATAGTGTGCCGGATAAGATTGCGTTTGAGGATGAAACAAGCAATGTTAGGGTACAGAAAGTGGTTTATGAATGGTTGCCGTCTATCTGCAAATGTTATAAGGGGTTTGGGCATCTTATAGAGAATTGTCAAAAGAAGGTAACCAGTGTCGAAAAGAAAGTACCAGTGTCAGTATCTGAATGGAGACAAGTCAAAAAAGATAAAGGTGGAGCACTGCTAGGTGACTCAGAGCTTGTGTTGCAAGATAAAGCTGATGTAAAACCTGCAGGATATGTAACAGGTGATAATGGAACAGTTGCCAGTGTAGTAATGGAGGGGAATAGTGAGTTTATGGGTGATGTAGTGGGAAAGAAGGTTAGTACTGATGTCCAGGCTACTCAGATTACAGCTGTTAGGAAGCCCCAATTTGGGACACCTGAAAAATTGTAAATAGTCTGGATGTTGATACTAGCCTGCACATTAGGAATAGGTCTGAGGAGGGCACTTTGCTCATTCTAGATCCTAAATCTAATGTGTAAAGTATCATCATGGAATATACGGGGGTTAAACTCTCCCCTAAAGCAAAAAGAGTTAAGAAGGGTGGTGGAGATGGGGAAGTATAATCTAGTAGGTATATTGGAGACTAAAATGATTAAGGTACGGTTTGAAGAGTACTTAGATAAATACTGGCAAGGATGGAATTGGATTTCTAACCATAGTTGTCAGGAAAGGGGGCGAATAGTATTAGTTTGGGATGACAGTATTGGACTAAGAATGGAATTTGAGACTGATCAATGTATACATTGTAAGTGCACTCTGAAAATTGAAATCTAGAATTTCATATTACATATATTTATACAGCAAATGAGGATGAGGAGATATCCAAGTTGTGGAATGACTTGATGCTGTTGGCTACGAATATTAATGGACCTTGGGTGTTAATGGGTGATTTTAATAACATCCTTACGCCCGAGGAGAAGTTAGGTGGGAAGCAAGTGGAGTTAAGAGACTATGAAGAGTTTCAATACTGTTTAGAGAATTGTGGTGTACAAGATCTAAGGCAAAAAGGTAGAGTATTCACATGGTGTAATCAGAGGATTGGTGCAGACAGAATCTACTTGAAAATTGACAGGGTACTTGTCAATGGGGACTGGGTGGATATGTTCAATGAATCATTGGCAACTGTTCTACCGAGAGTATCTCTGATCACTCCCTGTTGGAGTTGCAATTGGAAGGGGAAATAGAATCAAAACTGAAACCTTTTCGATACTTTAATATGTGGAGGCAGTCTCTACAGTTTCTAAGTATCATAAGGGAGTTTGGGAGAAGAATATCATAGGGACAAAAATGTTTCAAGTATGTGCAAAGTTGAAGTTATTGAAACCTGAGTTAAGAAGATTGAATAGACAACAATTTGATGACATTGTGGTTACAGCTAACAGAAAACAGGCTGAACTGGTTGAGCTTCAAGATCTGTTGGACCATAATCCTTGTAATTTTAAAATTCAGAAAGCGGAAAGGAAGATGTTCAATGAATATATTATGGCAAGGAAATTAAAGCTGCTAACAACTTCTTACATCAGAAGGTGAAGGAGACGAAAATAGAAGATTCTTTCACTCTGTTTTGAAGACTAGAAACATGAGAAATAGGATATGGGCTGTTGTGGATGATTCAGGGACTGAGATTAATGACTGGACAGGGATTGAGCAACATTTCATCAAGTTTTTATCAATCTTCTAGGTCAGGCATCAGAACAAAAAATGGCTGTTCCAGCAGTCTTTGCAGCAGGCCCAAAACTGGATGTTGACATGCAACTCAGACTGATCAAAACGGTGACAGAGGCTGAAATCAAAGTAGCTGTTTAGGAGATGAATGGAACGAAAAGTCCAGGTCCTGATGGCTACGGTGCAGGCTTTTACAAATCAGCATGGGACGTTATTGGAAAGGATGTAACGACAGATGTTTTGGAGTTTTTCGACACAGGCCAGGTACTCAAACAGATAAACTCCACAACTCTAGCATTAATCCCTAAGATAAATTTCCCAATAAATGCTAGTCATTATAGGCCTATAGCATGCTGTAATGTATTGTATAAATGCATTTCAAAGGTGACGTGTAATAGATTAAAAGAGGTGCTGCCTGTGCTTGTAGACGAAAATCAGAATGCTTTTGTCAAAAACAGGCTAATCATGGATAATGTTCTAATAACTCAGGAACTCATTAGGCACTATAATAGAAAAGGAGTTAGTGACAAGATAATGATGAAAATAGACTTGAAAAAAGCATATGACAGTGTAGAATGGGATTTTATCGGGGAAATGATGCTAGGGTTTGGTTTTCCAGAACCATTCAGACGCTGGATTATGGCTTGCATTACATCACCTTCATTTACTTTGTCTTTGAATGGCTGCAATGTTGGGTTTTTTGCTGGGAGGAAGGGATTGAGGCAGGGAGATCCAATTTCTCCGTTATTATTTGTTTTAGTTATGGAATATTTGACCCGTAGTCTGAAATGTGCTGTAAACCGAAACTTTAAGTTTAATCCAATGTGTAAAAAGTTAAAACTTACTAACATCTGCTTTGCGGATGACTTAATGGTCTTTTGCAAAGCTGATGTTCAAACAGTTAAAACAATCATGGTTGTTTTTAATGAGTTTTTGAGTACTACGGGGTTGGTTGCTAACACCCAGAAATCTGCTATATACTTTGGAGGGGTAGATGGGAGTAGACAAAGATTTTTGTGCCATAACTGGTTTTATGATGGGTAGCTTTCCAATGACTTACCTTGGGGTGGTTTTATCTCCTAGAAAGTGGTCCTCTGTTGACTGCCAGGAAATTGTCAATAGGATCGTTGCGAGAGTAAAATGTTGGGGCACACGACACTTGTCGTATGCAGGTAGGTTGCTGTTGGTGAACTCTGTATTAATGGCTGTGCATTCCTACTGGGGTGTTATATTTGTGTTGCCTCAAAGTATCACTAATAAGGTTAATAGAGTCTGTCGGGAATTCTTGTGGGAGGAAGGGGGAGGCAATAAGGAAGGCATAATTCTTTCTCTGGTTCGGTAGGAACAAGTTTGTAGGAAGAAGTCATTGGGTGGGCTAGGAATCAGGGATGCTAGACTGTGAAATATTACAGCTATGGCTAAACAGATGTGGCAGATAGCTCAGAATAAAGAGACTTTATGGGTACGATGGATACATGGAGTGTATATAAAGAAGGCAGATTTCTGGGAAATATAACCACAGAATGACTCTAGTTGGCAATGGAAATAACTATTGAAGATCAGAAACCAAATGAAGAAGGGCTTTGATGGCCAGAAATGGAAGGACAGGAAATGGTAAATATACTATCGGCTCTGGGTATCATTGGCTATCAAGAGGAGGTGAGAAGATTAAGCTGACACAAGCAATCTGGGCTTGCAGAGTGATCCCCAAGCATGCCTCATGGCTGGGCTCATTTGGAAAGGTAGAGTGCTCACAAAGGACAAAATGGTTAATATGCACATGATGGTGCCTGATAAAACATGTTTATTGTGTAAAGAAGTAAAGGAGTCTTATTTTTCCATTGTAAATATGCAAGGAACCTGTTGAATATTTATTATCAGGGGTTGGTTACAATGCAAGAACATAAGCCAGGACAGAAATAGATGGATGGTGCAGTGGCAATCTATGTGAAAAGGTCAAAAGGTGAAGAGGATGGTGTTCCTAGTCACTTTTGCTGCTTGGCCTCTATCACTTATGGGAGGAACGGAACAAAAGGGTGTTTGAACAAGTGGAAAAGGAACCAGCAGAACTCTCGTGTTTGATCCAGAATGAGGTAAGAGTTAGATCAAGAGCTGGCAGAAGCTTGGAAGAGCAGGTATAGAGCAACAGATTTTACAGCAGTTTTTTCTAAGTTTTTAATGTTAGTTAGACATTCAGAAAGTAGCAAAGAGTAGGGTTTAATTGGTTTTGCCTTAAGGTGCATAGTGGCCTCTGAAATTTTGTAATCGGTAGGGATTTGTTTGAAAACCGATTCAGTATGTATGATGTGCTTCACTGCTTGGTGATAATGTATATAGTTTACCTTTTTCACCAAAAAAAAATATATTTTTTTCACTAAACTTAAATGATATAAACTTAATTTCACTCCATTAAGTCTTCAATCTCGAATAAATATTATTCTTGTTGCCGCAGATTATAGTTCAATGAAAGATAATCGTTTTGAGACAGAGTGAATATTTATTTTATTTTTTTTAAAAAAAATAGTGTCATATATTATTTCCTTTTTTTTTTTTTTTTCATAACATAGCCTTTAACCCCTCCTCCCGGAGGAGGATCATTAAAGACAATGTTCAGTGGTCTTTGCAAGTTAATATAGAGTGTTCCAATTAAATTGCGTGATTAGAAATCTACACGAAATTAAGTGTTCCAATTAACTTGGCTATAAATCAGAGTTACTCAGGAAATCTGAAAACAACATTATTTGCAAATCGTAGTTAACTCTTACTTCTAACAACCATTCAACAAACAGGACCTTAATGGATTACTAAAGGGAAGATTAGTTTCTATGAAATGTCTCCATCATTATAATTACTAGTTAATAAAAAAATATGTTGCGAGAGCCGTTTGGTTTGCTAGTTCAATAAACTAATCAAACTCTACAATTAATTAATTAATGATGGCCATAATCAAATGAGTTTAATAATGAGCCACGAAAGGAATCACTAATCTAATTCGTATAAAATGAACATCGATCCTTATACGTCTGATCAAATTGTTGATCACAAATATTCAGAAGAAGAAAGGAAAAAAAAGTGTAGTTCATCAAATTTTTAGCCATGACATTTCTTCTTGTATTGCTACTGGCCCTCGTTGTTGATGATGGAGTTCCTGGTTCAGTAAGTGCATCAGCAGAAGCACCGCCACCACCTGCGCCGTCACCGACATGTCGGAATACATGTCTGGAGTTTCTCGTTTGCCGGAACTATTGCAGTAGTGTATTTCAGGTGAGTAATATCTAGTACACATATGTAGTAGCGTCAACTATAAACGTTCTCTCCGTCCTATAATAATATTAGTAATACTTTGATAAATTTTCTTAGCATACGAGTATTTTATTATAACAATGACTATTATTATGTGACGGGATATTTAATTTGTTTAGAGTGATGTGCAATGCGAGAAAAGGTGTTACCAAAATCTCGGGAATTATAATGCTACGGAGTGCGACTCTTGTGGCTACTCTAAATCCGATTGTCAAGAGTCATGCTCTCGGATGTGTGACAATCTTTGTGATGAAGTACCGGATTTGGAATGCAATTTATCAATGTGTCCAGTTATCACTAAGCCGGTGTGTAGTTCTATATGTAGCACCGGCCGCGGCAGCGGCAACGTCTAGCCGGATGATCACAAAGGAATACATATATAATCGATCACTCCCGCCCTGGCTCCGGCGACGACTAACGGCAACAGTAGCCTCTCTTCGAAAGCTATTTTCATTTGATCACATGATGAATGTATTTGTATTTCTGTGCTTTGGCGCGGTTGATTTGTGACCAATATGGAAAAATTATTGGATTTTTGGTTGATTTGTATTTTTGTGGTTTGTGTCCTTCACATATTGTAAATAGCGTAATACCTACTTAGTTTGATAATATCTATGGCCTTAGTTTGATAATATCTATAGCATAATATAGCATAAGATGTACTTAGTTTAGTTTGATAATATCTATAGCCTTTGGTAATAAACAATAAAGTTTGGGACGAAAACACTATCAAAAAACCACTCTCAATTTATGTCTAAAACACTCTTAAGTCTTTGGTTTTTTCTATTTCAACACATATTCAATTGAGTAAGTTGCAAAGAGTTGTCTCTTACATTCGGATTGAGTGATCAATAGCCAATTTGTTTGTAAAATTATGTTTTCAAGTAGTACATATTTTATTTTGCTTTGGTTTTTTCAACAAGATCAAATGCATTACGCTTTTGGTAAAACCATGGCCGCGCATCTCCCGCCAACAACTTTCAATAAAATGATGCACCAAAAGAATCTTAAGCTATTAGTTTATCCACCATCAGTCGTTGAAACCAATATTTGCCATCAAATATTCTTTGAGATAATTATAAAAAAGATCCTTTAAGTTTTTTGGTTTTTTTTTTTGCCAAACATATCTTTTGTCACATTTTAACAATCAAATTTCCTGATTAGAAATACTAGAAATTAAGTTTTTCCAGTTGTTGGTCTCTAAAGATCTTTTAGAAACTACCAGTACTATATTTTTCCAACTACAAATATATATATATATATATATATTTATAGATATATGTATATAAATAATTAGTTGGAAATTGCAATCAACTCCTATTTTAAATTAAAAGTGCGGTGCTAGAGGATAAATTTTACAAATTACATTAGATGCAGTTATATAGCCAAGTTAGTTGATGTTGTAATTCCGTTGCCAGTACAAAATAATTAAATTAATCAGTGGTGTTTCTCTTATAAAAACGTCTGACTAAAGAAAGGTAAAAAAAAAAAAGAGTCTCTCATATCATCTTGGAGAAGTTAGCTTCTTTTTACTGCATTACTAAAGAATACCTTGGAGAAAGTCTTAGCTAGCTTATTTTCAGAGTCTATCTTCTAAACATATATAGATTGCTTAGAAACTGAAAAAAAAAAAAGCAAAAAGGAAAAAATGCAATTGAAGGGGAAATTGTTTACAAATTGCAATCGGCTTCTATGAACACCTTTTTTTTTTTTCCAATTAAAATTGCGATTCAAGAGAATAATATTTTACAATTATCATTAGCTATCAGTAGTTGGGCGATGATCAACTTGATGTTACACCCTCAGTTGACGAATTGATTAATTGATTTTTTATCTGATCTGACCCCTTTCAATATAATTTAATTAGTGATGCTTTGCGCAGGGAATTATTAGTCTGTTAGCCACATCAAAAAGCAGTTCTCTAAACAATAGAAAAAGAATAAGAAGTCTCTCATTTCATCTAACTTTGGAGGAGAAAAGCTACTGCGCTCTTTAATATGGATTTATCTACTTCGAGAATAAAATTCTTCCTTTTTTCTTCCATTAAAAATAAAAAGAAAGAAATAACAGTATGTACTTACTACTTGATCTCGTAACAAGTAATAACAGTTCAAGTAAAGGATAAGAAATTATTTCGGACACCGACTGAAAAAAAATAGGTAAGAAATGAGAGAATCGATCTAATAATAAAACTAAGCACACAGTCCCCGGCAAAATGATTATGCTTAATTTTTCACAGTAATTAAACATGTCACTGTCTGATTGATGGATTATATATATATATCAGAGTTTGACTTGTTCATTAACAAAATTCTAATTTGGAACGGAAAAGAATTGCTAATCACGGAAACAAAAAAAATTAATGTGTTACACACTGTTCATGAAAATTAAACCTAGGTACTAAATGACAAAATCAGTTAGTACAATCGAATGTATCCATCATGATAACTAATTATTAATATTATAAGAAGCGTTTGGTTTGCAAGTTTCATAAACTAAACTAACTAATAAATAACTGTGAAAAATGAATTATTTAGAATGAATCACGATGAACCAGTGATGTATACATATAAACGAATATATATACCAAAAATCGAGCTAACACATACTATATATACTCTCATCCATTCAACCAATCAACCATCAATCCAGTAAATTGTCTAAGAAATATTAGGAATTAAAAAAATAAAAAAATTAATCCAAAAGATGTGTAGTTCGTCAAACTCAACCACCGTGGCACTTCTTCTACTAGTGCTCCTTGTAGTTCTTCAGGGAGCTCCTGGATCAGCGAAACCGCCAGGAGCTCCTGGATCAACATCATCGCCAGGAAAAGACGGAGGACCACCACCAACACCAGTACCACCGGTAGAAGCAGCTGGACCAATACCACCACCGGCAGGCGAAGCACCTGCACCACCAACACCACCACCACCACAGCCAGAAGCACCGCTGAGACGACCGCCGATATTCTTACCAAGGTGCAGTTGCAATGCATGCTTGGACTTTCTTGCGTGCCGGGCACATTGCAGGAATCTTAAGGTAAAAACTGATCTTTCTGTGACAGAAAAATAATCCATGTTTTATGATATATTCACCTTATCCTGAAATTATTGTCCAGTTTAGGATTTCACTTTCAATACAATTTGAACTAAAAAATGAAATTCAAACTAGACAATAATTTCGCGACCGAAAGAATATCACTTTTAGCATAAATCACAAAATACAATTCTGATCAATCTTCTTATAGTTATATAATAATGTCACAAAAAAACAAAAAGAGTTAGTGACTTTTTTTGTTTTATTTTTTCCTTACATTTTGACTAAATTTGTTTATATCATCAAACCATCTTTGTATAATTATATAAGGGCGGTAATTTTACTAACCTTAAGTCCAAAAACACCCACAATTTAAGATTAATCCTGTCATAATCATCTCTACAGTCTATATAAAGATTTACTGAATAAAATTTTCTTGTTTCTTAATTATTATGTTTCGTTACGGAATTTTGTCGTAGAGTAATGGGTGCGAAAAGGCCTGCTATAGAAAGCTGGGGAGCTGTGATGTTAAGTCGTGCAACTTGTGCACTTACTCTAAAGCGGAATGTGATGCTTCTTGCCCTAAAGTGTGTGACAACGTCGCTTGTGATGGACTGGATTTGCCATGCAAGTCAGCCAAGTGCCGTGATACTAGTACATCCGTCTGCACTCGTATGTGCGGCTACTTGCACTGATAACAAAGGATTACTTTCTCCATTTCAATTTATAGGTTGTTTTAGGTTTGGAGAGATTTTTTAAAAGATAAGTCGTTTTACAAATTCTAGGCAAATTAATAACTATTTTTCCAATTTTATCCTCAATAAATGATGACAATATATTTTCATTTAGTCTTGTTTATGGTTCCAATGTGATTAATGAGGGCTAAAATAGATATTTAACATATAAATTAATAATTGGATGACTGTCTCCTTAATATACGCGCGAAGTCTAAAGTGACTTATATTTTGAAATGGAGTAAGTATTACATTAAAACTGTTTACCGCGATAAGATAACCAATAAATCTATTTTCTTTTCTGTTTTCAGTCATTTTCCATTTCATAAGATCATAAAAACATATATACTTGCATGCATTGCTTTGGCAAGGTTATATAATTTGTGAGCAATATGGACACTCATTGCCGTGGATCAGGTTGAAAGATTTCCGTGATTGTTTAATAATGTAATTCATGTGTAGTTCTATTTGTATTTTTCTTGCGTGATATCTCATGTACCAGTTTTTTTTTTTTTTTTTAATCATAAATATGGAGGTAAGGTTTATGTCCCCCTCCATTCATGTATTTCGATTTTATTTTTTGTGCTGTTTAATAAAAGGAGACCGCCTGTGAAACTGTAATACCCTGTTAGATTCTTTTTAATTCTCATTTTGCCCCAATGCCCCGTAACAAGTCTATATAGCATTATGTGGGTTTGACTTTATTGATTGTAACTTGTAAGTCATGCATCATGTCTACCGTACTTAATAGGTGTTGTACGGGTTGTAACGAAAAATAAGAACAAAATGACGAATTATGAACCATGATTAATGAGAAATATTTTAGTATCAAATTAAGGATATATAGATCTACTTTAATCAATTTCATAACTAACGGGAGTTTTCGTTTTTTTTTTTTTTAATTTCGGTCTCGCAATACTCGAAATACATCCTAGGAAAATATTTTTAAAAAAAGGTAATACGGTCTGCATGAGAAAAAGAGAGTGGAAAATGAAAAAAGAAGCATAACATTTTGGATTAAACGGATGGAATATTAATAATATCCATCAAAGAATAATATTAATATTTTTTCTTTTTGTTCTGCTTAATTATAGTTCATTTACAAGGGGCTGGGAAGTGTGGACCATTGGCCATGACATGGGCATTGCTACAATTAGATGTGAAGACCCCTTTGGCAGTTGGGCTAGGCCTCAAATTGATGTTGCTGAAATGCAGATTTGTGCATGTAAATGCTGGGCTGCACTTTAGTGAAATTGCCACTGCTGTTGCTGAGGTTCCCCTTATGTTGTTGTACACAATGTCACTGATCCTCACTTGAGATGGCTGCACCCAAATAAAATTGTCACGTCAAGCACAATTCGGGACAACGTGATCACTATGAATTTTCATTATATATATATATATATTTTTTTTTTTTATCACTTTTTTTTTTGTTCCTTTGATTCTTAATAAAATCAGTCTAACCTTTGGGGAAGAGCTGCCGTAGAATTGATTGATGATGATTGGGTTTTTCACATTTTCCATGACAATATCATTGAAGAACATCCCAGCGGCGGCACTTGGATCTGATGCAGGGTATGTTTTGATTCTGATCCCATTATCCGTTCCTTGCAATGTGCAGTTTTTCACAATTAGTCCTCTCACATCTGCTTCTTTCGGGTACTTCCCCAAGCTTCCAACACTGTTCAATCCCCGTCCAACGTGTTAATTAATAATTCTTTTTTTCGAGATAGAAGGAATAATAATATTAGTTCTCAAAAAATAGTTTACGTTGAATTTTCATATTTGTATTAGTTTAGTACAAATTTTAAAATTCAATGTAGACTATTTTTCAACGTGGATTATTTTTCTGGGACGGAAGCGTAAATCAGTTGCACATAATTAAGTACCTGATGCCGTGACCAGGGCCACAGATAACTTTGTTAACGGTGACGTTGGTAGCGCCCTGACCGAGGGAGACGCAATCGTCGCCGGTTCGGATGGTGCTTCGGGCGATCTTGACGGAGTTGGATTTGCTGACGTGCATGCCGTCGGTGTTGGGGCTGTCTTCCGGAGCAGTGATGGTCAGGCTATGGGCGCTCACCATGAAGCTGTTGGTAATGTGCATGTGGAATCCCATGGCGTTCAAATACGTGAGCCCCTTGATTTTCACATGCTGCACATCATTGAAATGCATAGACTGCCAGTAGGGGGAAAAAAAAATTGAAAAATAAGTTTTCTGAATTTGTTAGAATGTCTAAATTTGACCAACAAACCCTTAGTCTAAATTGTAAAAATTTTGGACCAGTTTAATTATGATTCAGGATCGAACCCGAACATACAACAGTGATTAAAATACTTGTTTAGAGAGCTTTATCTCCCGAAAGGGATGTATTCAGCTCGAATCCGAATTAGTCGTAACAATGACTTTAGACACGGAATTCATAATATACCCGAAAAAAAAGGTTCAAATTTGACCTTATCAAGAAACAAGATTTTACGTTCTAAACAAAAAATATTTAAAATAATTGAAACAACAACACGATTTCATATAATCCTTGTAGAACCCTAAAAGGGATACACGTTGTATATACTTGTATTGTCATATAAATTCATAAAGTTAGTTTGAAATTTTCCTTCTAGTAATAACAATTAAAAATTAATGTAGACGTATATATCTGATGATGACGTGTTAAAAAAATGCATATTGATTATTACTAGAGTTTCTCACCGCGGGTAAATGGACGCAGTTGCCGTTGCGTTTACAGTCATTGTACTGCCACACAAGAGGTCCTTGGCCGTCAATGGTGCCTCCGCCGGTGATAATTAAGCCGTTGATGTGACTGAACGACATCCACCCCTGTCCGCTGTACACGGAGGGATCCGGCATTGCCTGTACGGTTCCGGCGACCTGAAAATAGATCGGGAACTGGCTCTTGCATGGCCCTTGGAAAACAGCCTCTCCAACTGTAAAAATCCCTTGAGGAACAAAGAACCTTGCTCTTGGGCCCACGAAATTGCATGCGGCTTTCCATGTCAGAATAAATGCCTACAAAAGAAAAGCCCCAAAAACCCAAATTAATTTACTTCTACAAAATGCACAACTTTATAATACTCCTTCCTTCCGTCCCATAATTATTATTCAGTTTGAATTTTCATTTATAGTTTAAATTATACTAAACGTGAAATCTGAAACTGAACAATAATTTTGATACAAAGGGAGTACAAAATTTATGCAAAATGTCTAAATAGACATTTGTAGCATTAATTTTTTCCCAGAAGAAGACTCATGTTTATATTATATTAAAATCGTTTAATAATCAAATTTTTTTTTTTTTGGAAGAGAAGGATAATTTATTAACGTGCCGGATTACGGAGGAGGCACATAATCTATTTTGGTGTAATGTAAAGTTATATAATAGTATAAGAAAATGGACGGAGGAGGCCGTGTAATGTAAAGTTATATAATAGTATAAGAAAATGGAATGAAATTGAATTTAAACCTGGGTGCAGTCAAAATTTTTTCCAGGTTTGGCACCATAGTTCAAAACATTGAAGATTTGGCCAATGTTTTGAGGTGCTGCAACTCCACCTGCATTACAACAAGCCAAAGCCGAACAAAAAACCAGGATTGCAATACTCGTAACCCTGTTATCCATAGCCATCTTTTGTATAGCAACCCCTCGAAATCTTTTGATCCGTTTTTAGTTCTCTTTTTTTAAAAACATATATTCTAAAAATAATAATAATTGCAAGCAAATTGCAGATAAATTTGCTTGCTCTTGCCCAAGATACTGTTTCCAAAGATATGAAGGGCAAGAGTTCTCGGTATTTTTTGAGCTTAATTTTCTTTTATAAAATGGTACCTATAAATATGATTGAAGTTCCATAGGTAGCGGTATTCGGTACTATGTTCTAACACTGCGGAGAACCTTAGATATCATCTTCCCTTGTTGTTTTCATGTTTTTTCTCCAAAATTGGAGGCTATTATTGAGTAACTTTACAACGCATGATGATGGTCAAAAAAAGTGATTTTATGTGTTTATTTGTTTCTCAAAAGATTTATCTAGTCAACCATCCATTTTGGATTATCTGAAAAGGCTGAAATGTACAATATTATATTTTTTTGGTTACCGAAATGTACAATATCATATCTAGAAAAAGGGGATTATATTTTTTTGCGCGGTTTGACCACAAATGCAAATGACCAATAATCTGTACATCACTAATTAATGAACCAGAAAGCTCTATTGCAGGAATGAATGACCAATGAGTACGTATGATAATGAGCAGAGTAATTCGTATATTACTTATTCCCTCTGTCCATCTAAAAACAATCTTGTTTACCGTACTGTATTAGTTCTACAAACAAAACTTTTATTTCGAGCCAATCGTTAAATTACAAGGTTTTAAGATTAGTTCTTGTAATTGCATTGAGTTTGAACACATCGAAGCCAATCATTAACTATGCGTTTAAATTTAAAAATACAACATAGCCGCTCATTAAATTTGTAATGTTTCATGTTGAGATGGGAAGTGGATTGTATCTAGCCGTGGGGAGACAAATCAAAGCATTTGCTTTGTGAAGTGTATGAGCATTTCCTACTGTCATGTCCACTTCATCCTTCTCTTCACCATTAGTTTTCCATTCAAAACATTGAATCATAGCTGCAAGACACGTTTGCACCATTAGTAACGCCAGTGAAATTCCGGGACAACCTCTTACGCCACTACCAAATGGTAAGAAATGAAAATGTTGCCCCCTAACATCATTCGTGGTTACAATTTCGCACCCTTGATCTTCTGATAAAAATCTTTCTGGGAGAAATTGGAGTGAATTTTCCCAATAATTGGGATCCCTTCCAATAGCCCATATGTTAACAAATAGTCGAGTTTTTGCTGGAATATGATTACCTCTTATTTCGACATCTTCAACGGACTCTCTTCGCATTATTGGTGCTGCTGGATGAAGTCTTAGAGTTTCTTTAACAATAGCTTGAAGGTAAGGAAGGTTTGCAACATCTGATTCATCTACCAATCTATGATTTCCAACCACTGAATCGATCTCTTGCACCGCCTTTTTCATAATGTCGGGATTGTTGATCAGCTCGGCGAGAGCCCATTCCATTGTAATGGCTGAAGTGCCAGTTCCAGCCGTGAACATATTCTGTTAACAAAAAAAAATAATAAATTAATTGAACTAATTATGTACTATAGACCATCAAGTCAAATAAGTCTTCGGATTGGAATAATTCAAATTAATTTAAGCAAATTAATTAATATAATAAACAGGACAATCATTTCGGAACTGAATCAGATCTTACCAGAAGGAAAGCCTTGATGTTCTCTCTTGACAACTTAACTTGTGAGCTTTCATCTTCGGAAATATCCAGCAGTAAATCAAGTAAATCCTTCACTTCTTTACGGTGTTCATCTTTGGTCCTTTTCGCTTCATGTTCCTCAATGATCTTCTCAATCAAGCGATCAAACTTGTGTCTTAACTCTCTACTCCTCTTCTTGAATCCCTGCAAATCTAAGTTCTTCAAGAACCAAACATAATCACAAACGTTAAACTTCCCATTGATCACCGAAATTTCTTGGATCAATTTCTTTATATCTCCAGCTTCATTTTCATCCTCAGAGCATCTTTTGCTCATTGACATTCTAGATATAACGTTGTTTGTCAACCTAACAAACTCAGAACTAAGATCAACTGCCTCGCCAGCAGTGGCTTTCCGCCATAGCCGATCCATGAATCGGGCTATCTCGTCACGTCTAACTGGATGTAAAAGTTCCAATGTTTTGCCTCCAAGAAGCTCAGACATACAGACCTATATATATGACATCACAAAAAAATTCCATTTATTATATATTATCAAGAAATTACCTCTAATTTTAGAAGATACAAACCAAAAATTACTCATCAGACAATGTAAAGCCAAATTGCAAAAACTGAACAACCTAAGTTTAGTCAACAAATCCTAAATGAACCAAGTTAATACGCATCATTTAAGTTCTAACCAAAAACAAACACACACACACACACAGACACACACACACCTTTTTCATGAACCTCCAATAAGGTCCATATGGGGCAGTGGCGAAGTCTTGAGATCCATAAGTCATGTAACCAACAACAGCAAAAATGGGTCGGTTACTGAACGAGAGATCATGAGCTTTCAGGCATTCTTTTGCGATTTCCGGCGATGAAGCCACCACCCAAGGGACCGAGCCGAGGCGCAAGTGCATCAGCGGCCCATATCGCTTGGAGAGATTGTACAAAGCTTCATGGGGTGCCGCAGCATAAAGGTGATGGAGGTGGCCGATGATCGGTAGTGATAATGGGCTCGGAGGAAGATGTTTTCGCCGGAAACCTTTCCTAATTAGAAGTAATGTGAAAAAGATGGCTGGAACTAAGCAAATAAGGGAGAGGAGAATGACGCTATCAGCCATGAAAATTATATTAATTAAATAACTTGGTTTTCAGTTTCAAAGAGTAGTGGAAATTCACACATATTCATATGGTATGTTGATGATTATATAGAGTTATTAAACTCTCTCTCCATCCTATTTTAACAGTCAGGTTTTAGTTCAACAGAATAACATTAATTAATAATACACAAGATGGACGAAATATAATACTTTGAACTTAATTAGATAACAACACCCGCTCGATGAAAATTAGAAAATTGAAAGCCGTACATTATGATTGATGATGCACAAAAAGTATATGCCAACAGTTCATGATTTCATACCAATTAATGATGCCCATTATCACTTATGGGACGATAAAAGAATTTTCAAGACAATGTAACGTTTGGTGCTTTACTGAAGGGGCATTACAATTGAAATCTACAACTATTGGTAATAAGTTGGAATCCAGTCGCATGGATCTCGTTCTCTTATGTTTAATTTTTTTCCGCATTGGTAGATAATTGATTTGCCATTTTAAATGAATTTATCTAAGTCAGAAGTTTTGTGTTGCATATCTGTAGGTTACGTGGCAAATGAAAAATAAAAAAGAAAAAGAAAAGGATTTTATCAACTCCAACCACACAACAATATTGTAGGTCTTCTTAGTCGCATAAGTCAATTTGGTTTTGGATACTGTAATGCTGTAGACAGCCAGCCGATTAAATTAGGAAGAGGAGTAACTTCTTTCTCTTAATTTTATTTCTAACATATTAAAACTGTACAAAGTATACTAATAGAGAAACCCATGTTTTAGTTTAAGTTAATTAATTCATTATTAAACTGGATGAAATGTTGCTAACGATGTTGGATTAAGGGCTAGAAGTTTTCTTCACGATCTACTTTTGGTTGATTTTGATAAAACTACCCTTGGAACATACTCATTTAACATAATACTATTATCTTTCTGAAAAAAAAAAGAAATTAGCCTTTGATATCTAAGTTTTACTCCGTCAATGACATTAATCAGCTTCCCTTGATGTCCTTCTTCTTTTTCCTCATTTGATTTAATTTAATCACTCATCTGTTGTTTGTTTTACCCCTTCTAATTTCTCCTCAAAGTTTCCTCAAAGTTGGCATAAGACTTTTGAAGTACTTAGAGAGTTTTGTCGATAGGTCGTGCTGGGAATACATTTATTAATTAGTTTATTTATTCAGAATTGCAAATTTCCCAGTGACAAAGACATTGGGAACAAAAAATTGGTCTGATTTCCATTCTGATGAGAAAGGGGAAAATTTTAATATATTATATATTTAATTTATAAAGCAGATGTGAACTGTACCAAATACAACCTTTTGTAATTTTTCTCCGATGAAAGTCCTAGAAAGCGCCTCCTTCTCAATAATTTAAGCGCAGAGCAAAATGACAAAATGAATAGCTAATCCATCCTTCGAAATTTGCCCTTTTAGAACGCCAAAATATGTTATAAAATCACGAAGGATCAATCAAACTAATGAGGGAACAATTATTAAGATGGACACACGGAGAAAGATGCATAACTGGACAACTAAGGATATTTGATGACGAAGCACAGATTTGCGTCGATTTCTCCCGTTGATTGAATCGGCGGCCATGGCAACATTAAAACCCTAAAACCTGCAAAAGAGGATATCTGGATCTTTGAGGGTAGATACTCCGATGTTTAAATCAATAAGGGTAATTTTAATTGGAATATAAATTGTGGAATATAAAAGAGGATACGTTTGAGGTGAAGGGTTGATCTGTATTTATAGTGTTAAGGTTACCAGTTTGTGAAACCCTTTTTTAGTAAAAAAGTAATTAGCAACCGTCTTAGAAACTTCCAGGTGCCGGTTGAACCGCTCGCCGAACTTGGGCCGACCTAGTCGTGGGCTGTAATAATTAGACTCGTCATTTGAATTCCGATAATGTTTTAAGAAAATTCCGATATGATGATGTTTTGTATGGCCGCGGGGTTTGTTAAGGGACATTAGTCATTGCTTTGATCACAGTATAAAATTTTAATTACTTAAAAAGTTAGTGTTCATACGTTATGTTTAAGATAAAATAATGCATGAAAATAAGGTAGCATATATGATCTTGAAGGCCTAAATATAGACCCACATGTAATTCTATCTCAAAACCAATTGGTGATGAGGGGAATAGCACATGGAGTATATATATTGGGTTCAAGTATTTTCTTCTATCTATGTGGGACAAGAGAACATGAGACATATTCATTCAACACGCCACTCTCAAACAATGGGCTTGGACGGGTAATTTTTATAGGGTTTTTTTTTTTCAAATCTTGCGATCGGTTATTTTTCTGGATAAACCGTCCCCTGCCGGCCCAGTCAAAGTTCAAAGTCAAACCCCAGATTTCTTCGGTAGGTTGGTCAAAGTTTCAAGACTCAATATGAGTCAGTCTACCTTACCCCACAAGTCATACAGGTTCACGGATTAAAACCCGCTCTGATACCATCTTGAAGGCCCAAATATAGGCCCACATGTAGTACCACCTCAAAACTAATTGGTGATGAGAGAAGTAGCACATGGGGTATATATGTTGGATTCAAGTGTTTCCTTCTATCCATGTGGGACAAGAGAACATGAGGCATATTCATTCAACAGATGATAGTATGATATATCAATAGATCGAGTTTCTTTTTCCTTTTTTCTCCCTAACTACTTGCTAGTAATAACCAATGTTATACGAAATGGTGAATATTAATTTATGTTATCCTAAGAGCATCCACAATAGTGGTAAATAACAAGTAAATAGCTATATTATTATACTATTTTTTATTGTGTTGAGTGTGATAATATTATACGGTGTAAGAATTCTTACACTGTGTAATACACTTTTTGGTATTAAAATATAATTAATGTGAATTTATGATGACACTAAAATTATTTCATTTTATTATACTTTTACGGTATAAACCAATATAGTGAAAAAAGAATAATACTAAAAAATTATGGCATTATACTCACAATAGTGTAAACTATTATGGATGCTATAACTAAACCAATAGTCCTCCCAGTTAAGCAACGGAATATTATACTGCTTTTGATCACGGGTGTATAACTGCTTTCTTATTAATTATTTTAGATGTTAAACCCGTGCGATGCACGGAATTTATCTAAACATAATATGATAAAATCATTGAAAAAATAAAAATGTGACAAACAGAAATGATGTGAATGAGTTGTGATGGTATAGATGATATGACTAAATATAAATTATAAGACCTACTTACAAATATCAAAATTTAAATTTGTATGTAATGCCAAATTAAATATTGTGCAAATTGTGAAAGAGTTTAATCTTGATGGTGATGAAAGTAGATGTCATATTATGTTTTATAGTTTTATGGCAAAAACTAAACAAATTAATATTGTACTTAAATTGTATTAATTAAATTTATGAGGACTTTATTTGTTATAACACAAAGTTTTTTTATTTTGAATTCATAGAATACTGTTACATAGAATGTTTATCCTATGTCGTACTCTAGGAATGATTAACCAGTTTCTCTCTCTGATTTCCTCTTTATAATACACTATAGAAGATTTGAGCTAACTTTAGGATTTTTTTTTTCTTTTTTGAGAAAAGAACATTATCCTAAATGAATCAATCACAGCAAACCAGCTAGGAAGTTGGTAATGTGTTTAGTTTTCGTCTGTTAGTGATTGTTTTCAGCATATTTTGATTTTGGCAAGGATGAAAACTAATTCAGATTTCCAAATTTAATATATTTATACTAAAAATAAAAATTTACACTAAATTATTATTTTGAGACAATGAGAATCATAAAATTATATATCGGGCCAGCTCGGGAGCAGTATGATAAATTCATCCTTAAGAGTGTGCCTCATGTTTCAAATTCGTCCATTGTTTTTTTCGCTACTTGTTATTTCCTCCATTCTAAATTTTATAAGATAATTTATACATTGCTTAAATTATATACAATCACTACTAATTATACAACACCTCTTTATACGTCTACAATCACTACTAATTACATTTTCTTTTTTTTTTGAAAAAAAAAAGAGTACAGCAATAACTTTTTGTTTGTATTGAGGAACACAATATTCAACCAAACAGGTGATCAACCTTGGACTACAATAATTTGCTTTAGATTGTGGCTATTCAGATCGGATATATATTGTGGTCCTCAATACAGAATTGCCAGTTCCAATTCATAAACTTCCGTGTCACAATTTAAAACATAAGTGAAATTCAACCGATATCAGATCTACAAATTCTGTTTGTAATTTCATACTTGGTTCCGAACCAGTTATGATTATTTGTGAACAATTACAATTAGATTTGTTGATCATTTCAATCGTTTGTTTTACGTTTTTAATTTGGTTTGTATGTAATTTCAACTAATTTTTAAAGTTTTATTTTAAAATTATTTTCTTCCTTATGATTTTTTTTTAAAAAAAACTGAATATGAAGACTTCGCTTGTCTTTTTAATAAAAAAAGATTTATTTGGATTAACCAATTAAATTTTTCCTTTTTTTCCTTCATTCTTTATTTTTCATTGTATCATATTCACATGAATAAATCTATTTATGTATGTGAACCTTTTGTGTTATCTGGATGACACATAGGCCATCGATATTATTTGGAGTTTTTCCGAAGTTCTCAAACCTTTGTAATTTATAATGTTGTACAATAATTTTATTAATCAAATTGCTGATTAATCAGACTCTGATAACTTGAATTTTCAGTTTAAATAGTCTATTTAGCATTAGTCAAAAGTTTAAACTTTAAACCCAAACTTGGTTGCGATTTTACAAGTTACAACTCGTGCCTCCGGTCAAGTTTATGAATTGATGACCCGGTTCACCCGAACCGTGATCATACCTACCTGAGTGAGAGTTTAACAACCTATTAATTAAAAGGAGAAATTAAATGCATATTATTAGAACTAATAAGCTTGGTTTAAGTGAAGTTTGACGTGCCTTCCTATTTATCAAAATTAAAAATATATATATATATATATATAATATAAGAAATAGGAGGTTTATTATAAGGTGGGAACCAGCTGAGGAAAAATGACATAGCTTGCCCTAAACTGCATGCGAAGAGACAAGTTTTCTTCTTCTTCTTCTTTCATTTTTGTTTTTATAATGTCTAAGACCACCATTTTGATGGACGTTTTAAACCACTCTTGTTTTTTCTTTCATTTTTGTTTTTATAATGTCTAAGGACACCAGTTTGTTGGACTTTTAAACCACTCTTGTTTTTTCTTTCATTTTTGTTTTTATAATGTCTTAGGACACCAGTTTTTTGGACCTTTTAAACCACTCTTTTTTTTTCATTTGAATGTTGAATTAATTACTTAGCAGAAAGTAGAAAGGGGAAAAAAAACGACAATGAAAATGATCGTAAATTCATTAATTAATGTTTAGTATGAACGTCCATTATGAAATGCTTCATAGCGTTCTTATTAAAAATCCAAAAGGAAAAAAAGGCAAAGATTTACTTTTTTGGCTCTACTCGATTTAATAATAATAATAATAATAATAATAATAATAATGATGATGATGATGATGATGATGGTGGTGGTGAGTTGATGATGAAGTCTGATGAAATACTTGACACTTTATTTGGTTGCACAAATTGGAGATGTTTTCACCATTTTATTCTCTCCCTCTCTCTCTCTCTCTCTCTATATATATACTAATGTCTGGTCGCACAACGCGCGACCCTGGCCCAATATATTTGTAGATCTTAGAAATATTTGTATCTGAAAAAAAAATTTTATATTTAGCCCGATCTATTTTAGAAATGTTTGAAGAATTTCTTCATGTTTTATAAGTGTGATGTTTGTATTTGGCATAAAAAGAAATTGTATTTGGCCCGGTACATTTTAGAAATATTTGAAGATTTTAGAAATATTTTATAAGTGTTATTTCTTAAATATAAATAAACTTGATTAAATATATCTCTTGAAGTAAATGCTAGACAAAATATAAAAGTATCTTTTTTTTTTGTTTTGGCGAAAATAGGAGGTGGAGGTGGATTTGGACTGTATTTGCTTTTTAACTCTAGGAGATGTGGAAATAAAAATTTATTTTAAAAATATGATATGGAAATGCCAAATGGCAAATGGTGGTACTTTCTCTTAAGTGTGGTTTTTGTTTCTAATATAGTAAAATATATATATATATATATATATATATGATTTCTCACCCGTTTTGAGTTTGTTTTTATGATTTATTTTGGTTCAATTTGATTTTGTGTTGCAATTTGGGTGATGGTGATATTGAAGGGCAGGTGATGATGATGTAGATCAACCGTAAGAAATAATGAAGAAGAAAGAGAACCGGGTTTTCTTTTTTGGCCGGAGTAAAATTGTTTTTTTTCGCCTTCTTATAAGTTTCCGGCATCGACTCAACTTTTTAACCATGTCAAATGAGGAAATTGTAATATTATCAAAATTCAAGGATAATCTGTTAAATGACCAAAACTCGGGGTATAAAAATGTAGTTCGCCCATTCTTTTTTTTTTTTAATAATATTCTTAATACAACAAAAAAATATACAAAAACTGAAAAAATCTTCCAAAAGGTGACCTGTGTATGCTAAACGGCTAATAAATATCCTCATTAAATTAAGATGGCTTATGGTACCCTAGATAGAGTCTTGATTTATGGGATATTTGATAAACCAACTTGGAGAAGATTATAAATTTTCGTGTAAGGCCCGTGTTTTGGATCAAGGTGCCCAATTTATTATAACAAAAAAGGCGTTCATTCAGATCAAGCGATTTATTGACTGACTTATTTATGATACTCCTTCCATTCCAAGTCAATAGGCTTACTTCCTTTTTGGGATATTTTAAAATTTAGTCCCGGTTTAGACAATTAATTAAGTTTTACTGTAAATTCTCTATTATATCATTTCTACTTTTACTGAAATCAAGAACATTTATTAATTTTAACAATTATTCTCTCATATCAAACAATAATTCACTAGTTATTAATAGGGGTGTAGTAGGAATTTCATTTAAAATTAACCACATAAACTATATTACTTACTTTTCTTAATCTCCGTGTATATCTAAATGAGCGTATTGAATTGGAATGGATGGAATACCATTTAAAATTGTTAGTCGTTGTTATTTCTATATATAGACATCAAAGCTAGTTTCCATTATAAGCCTGAAACAGCCAATACAAACCCAAATAAGCAATAGAACGTTGACCTGTTTCATGGCTAACAACTACATTAATCTTCTCATCAACTTCCTCATTTCTCTACTCTTCCCGGCCTTCTTCTTTTTCCAGTTACTTCTTCGGTTTCGACGCTCCCGGCTTCCTCCAAGCCCACTGGCACTACCGGTCATCGGTCACCTCCACCTTCTTTATCCTAAAGTATCCCACCAAGCTTTATACAACCTCTCCAAATGCTATGGACCGTTAATGCACTTGCGCCTCGGGTCGGTTTCTTGGGTGGTCGCGTCGTCGGCCGAAATCGCCAAAGAGTTCCTGAAAACCCATGATGTTTCTTTCTGTAACCGACCCGGTTCGGCCGTCGTTGACTGCGTGACGTATGGTTCTCAGGATTTTACCTCAGCCCCATATGGACCTTACTGGAAGTTCATGAAAAAGGTGATATATGCATATCTAGTTACTTTCCCCAGGCAATTATAAGTACATAATTTTGCATCATAGTTCACAAACATAATTTTGGTTCACGAAAATTTAATTAACTTTGAATAGTTTTTGAAGTTTATTATTATAATAATAATTATTATTATTATTAATTATTATTATTGTTGTTGTTGTTGTTGTTGTTACTACACACTCAGGTCGCCATTAATTTGAATTCAAGCTAAATTGATGAGTTTTGAGAGTTTACAAACAGTCATAGTTCACATTGAATTTTAAAATTTGTGTAACACATTTATATATTTTTTAGGGACAGAGAGAGTAATAAGAATAAATCTCTGTATATTCCTGTAGGTGTGTATGTCCGAGCTTCTTTCTATCAACACATTATACCTTTTACATCCAATTAGGCGTGACGAGATAACCCGTTTTGTGGATTTGCTAGCACAAAGTGCCGGGGCTAGTAAGGCAGTTGATGTTAGTTCAGAACTTGTTGCAGTTACATACAACATAATATCTAGAATGACAATCGGCAAAAGATGTGGAAATGATGATGGTGATGATGAAGCTAGAGATATCATGAAATGTGTCCAAGAAATGTCCAAAATCAGGGGGAAGTTTAATGCATGCGATTATATTTGGTTCCTAAAGAAGTTGGATTTGCAAGGGTATAACAAAAGGATTGGAGATGTGAGGAAGAGGTTTGACAATAGGATTGAGAAGATCATTGAAGAGCATCAAGAGGAGAGAATGAAATGGAAGCAAAGTAAAGTTGTAGGAGAAGGTGAAACAGTGAAGGATTTGCTTGATATATTGCTCGACTTGTCTGGAGATAAAAGCTCACACACAATTAAGCTAACAAAAGACAACATCAAAGCTTTCCTCCTGGTAAAATTTCAACTCTATCTCCATCTTAAAAATGATTGTCGTGTTTGTGATATTATCTGTAACAAAATTAATTTGTTGATATCCTTGTTTCAATACATATAGAATTTATTTGCAGCTGGAGTTGCGGCTTCCGCGGTTACAATAGAATGGGCTCTAGCGGAACTGATTAATCGTCCCGACATTATGAAGAAAGCAACTCAAGAGATTGACTCGGTGATTGGAAATGACAAACGGCTTGTGGATGAATCCGATCTTCAAAACCTTCCTTACCTTCAAGCCGTTGTTAAAGAAACACTTAGACTTTATCCGGCAGCAACGTTAATCAAGAGACAATCAAGTGAAGATTGCGAGATTGGTGGTTACCATATTCCGGCGAAAACCCGGCTTTTCGTCAATGTTTTGGCTATCGGAAGGGATCCTGATTATTGGGAAAATCCACTTCAATTCTGTCCAGAAAGATTTCTACATGATAATCAAGGAAACGGAGTCGCAGCTCCGGTAGATGTGAAGGGACAGCATTTTCAATGTTTGCCGTTTGGTAGCGGAAGAAGAGGGTGCCCGGCAACTTCATTGGCTTTACAAATTGTGCAAAATTGCCTTGCCGTTATGATTCAACGCTTTGAATGGAAAGTTGAAGGAAATAATGGTAAAGTGGACATGGAAGAAGGAAATGATACCACACTTCATAGAGCAAATCCTTTGATTTGTTTCCCTGTGACAAGGCATAGTTAATCCACTGCCCACAGAAAAATGATCCAAAGTTGAGAGAACTAGAGAACTAGAGATAATAAAGTTGCAAGTTTTGGCTGGGCAAATATGGAAGACTTTGCAATTTAAATAATTTTTTTTTCTTTTTTTTAATGGTTAGTTAGCAACTAAAGAAATCTCTTCATCCACAGGCATGCATGTGCTCCTTACTGGCCGGGGTGTGGTGTTAAATATTGTGTCTCCAGCTTGCATCCTCAGTGAATAATTACTTGCTATATTTATATTAGTAATCTCTTTAGAACGGATGGAATATTAAAGAGTAAATTATACTGGTAGTATAAAAAAAATTCAATACCTTATCACTTTTCCCCGTTTATATTTATTGTTATCCCAAATTTTTAGACGTTTAGTTTTTGTCATCGAGCAAGTATAGGCAGATTCCTCTTCAATGAGCCAGTCTTACGTCAAATTTTGAATTATCTTGAAATGTTGAAATGTTACACTACAATGTTAATCGCATCTAGAAGGAATACGTTAGTAAATATATATGAGAAGTGAAACAATGTGACAGATGATTTTTTTTTTTCATTACTCATTATCGTGTTTTGTTATTATATATATATATATATATATATATATATATATATACTCGTTAGAGATGAAGGAGGGGTAATTTACTAATTAAGAGAAATTTTTGCCTAAGGGTAAGAGTAATTCTGACTGGCCATGGTATTATAAGTAGGGTTAGCCCTGTTTAAAGCCGTGAGAAAGGCGTCAAGGGCGTTAATCCTACTTATAATACCATGGCCAGTCAGAATTACTCTTATCCTTAGGCAAAAATTTCTCTTAATTAGTAAATTACCCCTCCTTCATCTCTAAGGAGTAGCACATAGACTAATTCAGGAAATCTTAAGCTAAATAGGGAAGATTACAGAGTAATTAAGTCCGTCAACATCAGTAGTTATAAGTAAACTGGGATTAACGCCCTTGACGCCTTTCTCACGGCTTTAAACAGGGCTAACCCTACTTATAATACCATGGCCAGTCACGGCCATGGTAGTATAACGCCCTTGACGCCTTTCTCACGGCTTTCTCATGGCTTTAAACAGGCCTTTCTCACGGCCATGGTAGTATATATATATATATATATATATATTGATATTCTTATATTTTACCTATTTATTATATCCCTAATTCGTGATTTTTGCAATATATTTTGAGTACAAATATTCTATTTATGTGATTTTATCTTTAATTGTAGGAATTGTACTCAAATGAAGAATTGTTGAAGTTTTGAGCTAAAATCGAATTAAAAGCAACTCAATGGGAAAGAATTGAAGATTGGAGAAATTGATGGGGAAGAAATTAATGAGTTTAGAGAATTGGAGGGCCAATGATGCAATTTTGGAATGTTTAATTTAGTTTTTGGAAATTGGCCGAAGGTTACGATGAATGTGCGGCCGATTTGGGATTGGAATTGGATAAAAATTTTAATCCCGATATTATTTGGGAAACAAGTTTTCTTGTTCTTCAAGAAGTAGGGTTTAGCCGGAAGCCTATAAAAGAAGGATTAGGGATTTATTTTTACAACAGAACTGAATCGAAACTTGACCGAAAACCACCGAACCCGACACCTCCATCACCGCCGAGGCTACACTTTCACTGCATCTCCACCTAAAACCCACAAACCCGACGGCAGCTTTCACCCATCAACCTTGCTCTCCACCATCATCACCATCTTCTCCCTCCTCCTTCACCGACGGCAGCCACGCACCACCGCCTTCCCCCTCTTTCACCTTCACCGAACCTCCATCTCTACCCATCATCCATCACCCACGCGCCACTGCAGCACCCTGCTCCCTTGCCTTCGCACACACAGCAGCATCAACTCCACCTTCTCCTGATCACCGACGCCGCACTACCGAAGCATCTTCCTCCATCATTGATCACCGGCGAGCCACGCAGCAGCCGCGAAGCGAGCAAACGTCGGGGAGTTTTGGCGCTTTTTGGCTTCATTCGGGTTTCGGGTTTTGGAGCTTTAATTATTTAATTTATTTTTTTTTATGTCTCTAAAATATTGTTAAATTAATTTTAATAATGTTTAGTGGCTAAATTCTTTTAATCTAGGGCTTGGGTGTAGCCACCGAATTTATTTGGTTTATTTAGTTCATTATTATTTGATTTTTCCATAAATTAATATTTGTTATTCTTGTTTTAATTCGTGTAAGTAATTGGCCACTATTTGCATGTCTGAAGATACTAATTGAAGTAGCGAGAGTGGAAGATTAGTATTAGTTCGTAGGAATAATAAACTTAGGTTGTAAGCTACGAGAGTAAGATTATAACCTTTGCAATATTTGATTCTTAATAGTCTTAATGTGCTTTTGTTAATCCCTATAGTCACGAGAGTAGTCATAGGGTTAATATAAGTAAGAGAATTATAACACGAGAGTGTATAGTTCTTAATTAGGTGAATTGTTGTGAGATCAATGGAAGTTAAAAGTCAGATATTTGTGAATAGAACTAACCCAAATATTCGGTAGGTGAACCCAATGTCCTAGGTTTTCTTTGTCTGATTACTTGAATTAATATTATTTGTTTTTATTTTATTTATTTATTTTAGTTTTAAATTTTATAAATCTGAGATCATCATTTATCTAGATAATAATAGGAGTAATTTATACCTGGGAGTTAGTATTCCTTCTCTGTGGGATTGACCCTACTTTCTGCTTTACTACTAGTAATTGTATTAAGTAGGTAATTATTATTTGACGAGTGTAACGACAGCTTGTCATATATATATATATATATATGAAATTTCACTATTTCTATTATATCTCTATCTACTAGGAAAGGGTCGTCACACTTACTTCGTCATTTTGATCACTAGTATGCAAACGAGATGAGAGAGACTCACACTCACTAGCGCCTTTCAATGAAACCTTTTTTTTTTTTTTTTTGTGTACAATTGAAAGGAGGCGCAATATGCCCAATAGACTAAACTATTACAGAACGTTGGTAAGCGACACTAATTATATCATGTTGTAATCACGGCTTGACCTCAATGAAACTTTATTTTATGGGAACACAATCTCTTACTAAACTTAGAGTTTCCTTAACAAAACTCAATAACAAGAAATTCGGAATGGTGCAAACTATTATGATGCCTGTCCTTTTTTAAAAAACCCAGAGAGTTTAAGGCAATTTTGGTTGAATAAAGGGTTTTTTTTTTATTTATTTCGACCCAATTAATATAGCATCCATCCAGAATATTAAACTAAATTTTATTTTGAATTGGAAATCATAACTGATGACATTAATAAAGAATTAAAAGTGGAACCTTGGAGAACATTATAAAAAAAAAGTTCAAATTAATTATTTTGGGATTGGAAGTGGATTGTGCCTAGCTACAGGGAAGCAAATCAAAGATTTTGCTCTGAAAAGTGTATGGCCAGTTTTAGCTTCCATGTCCAATAATGGATCACCGACATTTCCTTCACTAGTACCGATTTTCCATTCAAAGCACTGAATCATTACAGCAAGGCATGTTTGCACAAGTGTTAAACCTAATGAAATTCCAGGGCATCCTCTCATCCCACTTCCAAACGGCAAGAAATGGAAATGTTGACCCCTAACATCTACCGAGCAAGTCGTTTTTCCTTTCTCTGCTTGTTCTCTCTCTAGAAATCTTTCAGGAAGAAATTGGAGGGGATTTTCCCAATAGCTGGGATCCCTTCCAATAGACCATATGTTGACGAAAAGCCGAGTTCTTGCCGGAATATGGTAACCCCCTATTTCGCAGTCCTCACTGGACTCCCGCCGCATCATTGGAGCTGCCGGGTGAAGCCTTAGTGTTTCTTTCACTATGGCTTGAAGGTAAGGAAGGTTTTTAATGTCGGATTCATCCACCAATCTTTCATTTCCAACCACCGTGTCAATCTCTTGCATTGCCTTTCTCATAATGTCGGGATGGTTTATCAACTCTGATAAAGCCCACTCTAGTGTAATGGATGAAGTGCCTGTTCCAGCTTGGAAAATTGTCTGTATATAAGAGATTTGAACAAGACAAAAATTTAGGGTTTTCATTCGTTAGTTTTTATTTAATTATTTAGGGCAGCTTTGTCCAAAGAAACAATAACTTCTCTACACAAGCTAAATTTTACTCTATTGATCAAATCATCAAGTATTGTGTCTTCGAACAAAAGGACAACCGGCTAATCTACTATTCTCTATGTCTCAAAATTATTGTCAAATTTTTATTTTTATTTTTAATTTAATTTATAGTAAAATTAAATAATCTAAACTTTACAATAATTTTGAGACAGAGTATATTCTCATAAACAAAAGAGCTATAAACTAAAATAGTACAATGAACATGACTTTTTTTTAATTTGAGGGGATGGAGGGAGCATATGGACTGATAAACTTGATAGTAGAACGAGAAAAGAGCAAAAATAAAAAGAAAAAAAAGTGAAAAAAAGGGTATAGAGTATTAATTACCATGAGGGAAGCCTTGATGTTGTCTCTTGAAAGCTTTACAGGTGAGGTTTCATCTTCGGAAATGTCTAGCAATATATCAAGCAAATCCTTCACTTGTGTTTCCTTCAGCTTCATCATCCTTGCCTCTTCATGCTCTTTGATGATCTTCTCAATCAATTTATCAAACCTTTCTCTCACATCTTTGCTTCTCTTCTTATATCCTTGCAGATCAAATTTCTTCAAGAACCAAATGTGATCGGATAAATTGAACTTCCCATTAATCACTGCTATTTCTTGGATCAAATTCTTTATATCTCCAGATCCGTTTTCTTCTCCAAAACATCTTTCACCCGTCGCCATTCTTGATACTACGTTGTTTGTCAACCTAATAATCTCCGCACTAACTTCAACCGCTTCGCAAGTCATGGCCTTTCGCGATAGCATCGCCGCGAATCGGGTTATCTCGTCGCGCCTAACCGGATGTAAGAGGTCTAATGTCTTGCCACCAAGAAGCTCAGACATGCACATCTTTAAGAGAAAAGGAAAAACAAGAAAAAAAAAACAAAGAAGATTATTTCTCAACAAAAAGTTTTAAATTCATGAAATTGATGTGTAAAAAACAAAGATAATAATGTCTTGATACCTTTCTCATGAACTTCCAGTAAGGTCCATATGGGGCAGAAGCAAAGTCTTGAGAGCCATATGTTAAGGAATCAAGAACAATCGATATGGGACGGTTGCAAAAGGGTATATCATGAGTTTTCAGGAATTCTTTCGCGATTTCTGGCGAACAAGCGACCACCCAAGGGACGGAGCCAATGCGCAAGTAGATCAGCGGTCCGAGGCGTTTGGAGAGGTTGTGAAGCACTTCATGGGGCGCTTTTCTTAGGAGATGGAGGTGGCCGATGATCGGCAGTCCTAATGTGCTCGGAGGAAGCCGGCCGGGTTGACGTTGGGAGAAGAGAAGTACCCTGAGGCGGAGGAGGAGGAAGAAGAAGATGATGATGGCAAGGATTATTAGACAAAATTGGAAGAAGAAGTTGATAGCTTGGATCTCAGCCATGAATGCAAATGGAACCTTGGGACCTTGGTTCTTTTTGTGAAAGACTATTAATTACATTAGGCATTTACATAGACGGTTTATGTGATGCTGCTTCGATTTTTTTATTATTTATTTATTTATTTTTTTGCATAATATGAAGTCATTTACAAAGAAATAAATGAGATTACGCAGATTTGGGCTAATTAAGGTCATAACATACATATAACTTAGGTGGTTATTGGAAGTTTTTAATCAGTTTTTTTTTTTTTTGAAACTCAAACATCTATTTAAATTCTCATCTTTACCAATATTTAAGTTTAGCTAGATGTCCAAAAGAAATTACTCACTCTACACCATAATAAAAGTTCTTCTTTATTTATTTTTTTTCTTTGTGTGCAGTGACTAAGTCATGTTCTCTACATTCTTCGTTACCAATCGTAATCGATCAAGTTCTTGATGCAGTAGATCTTCAAATTTGAGTCTTTACCATAGATACGGATAAAGAGGAAAAATTGTGAATATGATTGTTCAATGTTATGGCTCAGAGAGAGCATCATAATATCGGATTACAGGTTATTTGTATTTACTGATGATTTTGAAAAGGCATCCAATGATTAATGTTAAGAAAAATCATATAATTATTAGGATTAGAAAAAATGATCGTAAAGGTGTAAGATAGGAAAATGATCAATCTATATGATATCCAACTTGAAACCAACCACGTGAATTCCAAAAGGTTAACACATTATCAGTATGTTTATTAATTCTTGCTTTGACCGATCGGATTCAAAGTGGAGGAACAAAATCTTTTCATCAGATTTGAGAATCCCAGCCCAATTTTGAATTGATAGAGAATACAGATTTGGAAATTTGCATTTTGCAATGCCATTTAATCGTACATTGTTGTCATATAGTACGTTTTAGAAGTCAACCAACTGCCAAATTTGGGATGCATGAATTGGTCATGATGACTTTGGATGTGATGTAATTGAACCTTATGTATATTGAGTGAGTGAATAATTAATTCCTTTGTACTCCTCTCTCCGTCCCATAATTATTGTCCAGTTTGAGTTTTTCATTTCTAATTCAAATTGTACTAAAAATGAAATCTCAAACTGGATAATAATTTTGAGACAGTGAGAGTATTTTTTTTTACTGTTTCTGTAATCTTAAAACCCAATGTGGATTTTTTTTTGGAACAGAGGAATTATTATAGTAAGTGATATTCATTTTTTTTTTGAGGATAAAAATGCGTATAATGAGTAAATGACTATATATATTATGGCCGAGGATGGGTTAGTTGTAGACAGCAAAATCTTCTAGCTAGGATCAGTCTATTTTTCCTCATTGAAGTGAATTTATAGGTCGTTGAATTTTGTAAAAACAAATATGAATGTACAAATTGTTCAAAATAATTAGGGATTGAATGAATCAAACAGCCAATCTAATTAAAGGACTTGTTGTTCGTGCCAAACACCAAAAAAAAAAGAAATTAGACATTATAAGAACTTTTTGTACTATAAAAGATTTTGAAATCAACGAAGCTAACTCATCATATCATATATACTTACTCCCTCCGTCCCAGAAAAATAATTCATGTTAAATTTTCAAATTTATACTAAAACTAATACAAATCTCAAAACTCAATGTGGATTATTTTTTTTGGACGAGGTAATATTTCTTAATATTTGAGAGCCCGCTCAAGGTGGGTATGTATGTATACTGAGTAATCATTATATCACCTTCTTAATCACGTAGAAGAGTTGTTTGATCATAATTTTCTTTTTTAACACTGAAAGTTCAACAATAATTCAATGCATTCCTTATTCAACTATGGTCCTTAACGCTATTTTGGTGGTGGTTAGAGGATATCTAGATGATTCATCTTTAACTCTTTATTTTACAACAAAAGAAGACCAAAAAAAAACCAAAAAAAAAAACACAAGGGATTAAAAATCTCATACAGCAACAGCACTTCTCCAGTCATAGAATTGTAAATTTCGCAAAATGTGCACAAACCTTTTGGTCGTCATCATTCTGTGGAGGTTGTTTTTAACGTAATTTATATATATGAAAGTTTTACGGAAAAACTTAATACAGTAAGTATCGACATCATCATGTACAATTAACCGACTGATTAATTACATTCTTGGTTTCCTTCTTTGTCTAATTCCTGCCATCATCTTCTTCAAAAACAGTTCCGGGCTTTGTCATTTTCTTATGGTATATTACACATTCAATGTCTGAAGAATAGTATACAAAACTGTAATTAGGTAATATTACACCGTAAATATACAATCAATAATTACATCCGTAATCGTGTTACCATTGATTCTTTTTAAATTCTTCGATATTTTTCATCTGAAAATGATTAGGTGAGTTAGTTGGATATGCATATTGATGCAAATATTAACACGTAGAAAAGCTAATTATTAATGTTATGTTTGGTCAGCTGATCATAGCCGACCACGGGTTGAACCGTTGAAGATTTCGACGATATCAAGTTTGATTTTATTTCTTTATTTATTGAATACATTATAACAAGGTGGACATTGAATTTGGTGTCTGTGGTGTACGGTGTACCCCGATCGAGCAAAACGCTACAATTATTTACTAGTGTATCTAGTTAACGTAAACAACTGGCTAACTGTTGTCATGTGCATTTCTAGCTTGACAGGTAGGAGGGCAAAAACAATAAGTGCGTGTATACAAATTTGCAAATCAGTAAAACTTATGATGAAGTTGCTCTGGATTTTTTGGCCACAATGGATTTTTATCCGTTTATGTATTAACGGTGGACCACTCTTCACCATAAACTCTCTAATGGACAATTATTGAAGATGCCCATGAAGAGAAAGTTTATCAATATAAATCAAGAGTAAGGGGAGAGGTATGGGATCAAACATTAAAATATTTATTCAAGTAATGACCTACTTTTTAATTTATGTGTATAAACTAGTTTATGATTAAAGATGAGCTTCCACAAAGAATTGGACCAGTGACATTTTCTTAAATAACCCACCACCTTTTTTGAAGCCCGTGTTTCATCAAATTAGTATTCACACCTTTAACGTTTGATTTTGTACTTACTTTGCTTGGAAGATATTTTTTTTATTTTAGAAAAAAAGAAATAAAAATTGGTCTGAATATATATATATATATATATATATGTTGTGATTTATTGCGAACCAAGGATTATTGATTACTGCAAATATAATAATTTCCCTCAAATTTTTCAGGTTAACCAAAAAAATATGATTAGGTCCATTTCGTTCAAGTGAAATAATGTATAGTACGTGTTAATCTAATTTACGCTGGTAGAATAGTTGGCTCGAATCAAATTAGACGTGATAATGAATATGTTGTATAATAATTAATATAAGTTAAAAAAAATACTTTTATCATCGTACGATATCAACAACCCAAATAGAGAAAAAAAAAATCAACTATAGAGAGACAAGAGGTAATTTAATTAACACTGATAAGATCAAATGCAAAAGCAAAAGACACTAAATATTTGATAAAGTCCTGTCATACCAATAGCTGAACGAAATATGAGAGTTCATAAAATGAATATAACCTAATTTTCATCGCGCCGAAAATCATCTTGAACAAAAGAAACCATAAGAACCGCGCGACATGATTAATACTACTAATAAGCATGAAAAATGTACTATAATTTATTTTGATTGTAGACATAAAAACAACCTCGAAAATCGAAATTTATCACAATCCAAAATCTGCTCTAGTTGGTTGGAGGATTAATAATAGTATTGCCTTTCCTCACCGCCTCAAATTCAGCAGCTTTAGTCAGGGCATACTCCTTCAACTCTTTCAAAGAAGATGCATACTGTTGAAGCTGCTCCATATCCAATTCCTCCAGTTTGAATCCCTCCCAATACCAAACAACGTACTTGGCTATTTCCAGTCGCTTCAGTTTCTTCTTCTCCGCCTTCAATTCCTTCGAAAGCCGATCAAACTCCATGTTATATTCCCTAATTTCGGCCGCGGTGATCGTGCTAGTAGGGTTCCGGTTTATCGGCGGCGCACTTGATGATGATGACGAATCGTTAAGGTAATGATCTGTCACATCGTATACGTTAGGATGGCCAAAGGCATAAAAACGCTTCGCAGAATATTTAAGAATGATCCCGATTTCCGCACCAGTCAATGTGCAAAGTTGGCTCGCTTTTTTGAATAACGCTAGGCGACGTTTGGTGAACGTGACTAGCCTGTTGTTGTTAGCCTTGCCGAGGTCTTGCCTTGTTCTCTTCTTCCCCCTGCTGTTGTTGTTGTTGTTGTTGTTGTCGTTGTTCATGACGATTCTGGAACTTGGATTGCTGTTTTTCGTCATCGAGTAGTTGAGGTTAAATAATAGATCTATGATGCTTAGATTAGAGGAAAAGGAAAAAAAAAAAAAAAAAGACAAGGAGGGTTAATAAATAACCTAATGACGTGTGATATTTTAGGATTTTAGCCATTTTTCTTTAATGTTAAAAATTATCCTTACAACTTTTGATGTCCCCATGGGACATTGTTTAAAAAAAAAATGTAATAGCATAAATTATAGTCACCAAATGTTTCCGATTTCCCTTAATTAATTTTCCTATCGCTTATCTTGTTTCCAAGAAATTGACAGATTAATTTTTTGGGGAATTAAGTAGAGGGCCCTTCTGAAGGTTGGGTTTCACAAATGTTGCTGTAAAGGGTGATTCTTCAATCGTCATTTTGGCTGCTAATGGGGAAGTAGAGGGCCTTCTGCTTGTTCACCGGTTCTTGATGATATCATATATACTAGATGTTTGTCCCGGGCGAATGCACGGGGTGTCGCCTGTATTTTTAAATTGATTAAATAAAAAATACAAATTATTTTTAAAAGAATAAAAAAAAATTAGAAGAATAAAAAACCGATTGAAAGGACATAAAGTGAGTTATTACACATAAATCTATGTCCAGATTTACAATATTTAATTTATAATAGTTAACTTATGTCCGGGTTTACATAAATCATAAACCAATATCTACAACAGAAGAATAAAAAAAAAATATCCTTAAAAAATCAAATTTCTTTCATGACAGCTTATTTTTTCTCTATTGTAGAGAGAGATGGATTGATAATTGATGGCAGATTTTAAGTAATTGATTTAAAGGCCCGGGTGTGAGAGGGGAGCGGAATGGAAGAGATTCTTTGAAATTGGGGATTGGGAAGACATTACTAGTGTTTTACTTGATTTAAGGGGATTTCATTACATTTGATTTTATCAACTAAATATTGTTGTTTTAAGGGATTAGTATATACTTATAATTAAGATATTTTTATGTAGTTATAATTAAGGGATTTATGCATTTATCAATTCTATCTTTTTTTTTTCTGATTAGTTAGAGTGCCACGTGTCAAAAATGATTTTGTACTGAAAATGACTTTTGGTGGGAAAATTTTCATTGTGGTGCTGACACATGTCCATTTTGTTTGCTGCTTTAATTAAGTACTATAGATTTGTCAAGACTTAGTGTTTGCTTGTCCAATAACTCATTTTCCATTTTCACTCATTTTACCTCTTAAACACAAAACTTAATGAAAAAAAAAAATCATCCAAATAACTTTTTAATTTACCTTTTAAAATGTTGTATTTGGTCATTATACTATTGTAAAGTCTTCGTTTTGGTGACTGAACTATTGTAAAGTCTTCATTGCGTTTGGTTACTAAACTATTATAAAGTGTTGCATTTGGTCACTGAACTATTGTAAAGTCTTGTGTTTGGTCGTTATATTATTGTAAAATATTCATTTTGATCGCTGAACTATTTTAATTTCATAAATGGTCACTATACTATAATATTTTCTAAATAAAAAACTAAAGTACCTTTTAAATCTCTTCTCAAATCCAAATAAAAAACTAAAACAAAACGTTGTCCAAACAAGCACTTACCTTTTCAACATCTCCAAAAGCTGAAAATGGGATTGCTCATCATTTTGCTAAATTTGCTAAGTATGCCTCTGTTGTAGAAATATCTTGGAGTGAATTTCTTAAATTTGTATCTCAATTAGTGTTGGACCGTTTACAGTAATGATTAATGCAAGTTTGTTTTTCTCAAAAAAAAAAAAAAAAATTGACAGATTTTGTTTTTTAACGCAAAGAGCCCAAACTCCCAAACACTTGTCTCGAGTGTTAAGTACTTGGTTAAGGATAGATATAAACAGTTCAAATTAAAAGAGGAAACCGTACAAACATTTTGCTAAACCTCATACTATATGATATTTATAGTGCAAAAATAATAACTCGGATGTATTTTCTTTTTTATCAGTGCAAGTCGTATGACATTTATGTTTTGTTGCCATTTAGAAATTCTATCATGTTCGGATTACTGTATGGATATCACTATGTAAGCTAACAAGAACCAACATGATCGTTCAGTTACACTTACATTATAATTTTTGCATAACAAGGGAGAAAATCCTTTAAAACTTAACCAATTCAACTATTGTACGTATTAGGTCAATTCAAATAATAATAATAATAATAATAATAATAATAATAATAAAGGAAATGGTAGCGCAATAACACGCAGGCATACTACTAACTTGTTGATTAGAGCATACTTCAAATGAAGTAACACGCATATATACGCATTACATATGATTAGGTTTAAAATCGTCGCACTTTGCCTTTTCCAACCTGGGGCTAAACCCAACCTTGGATCTAGAAGGGTCAAACTCAAGTACACTTTCTTCAATTTGATATCCCCCAATCACCATTGCGGGTTGCTTCATATCCTTCTTAATGACCCGACTTTGCTCCACAAATCCAAAGCACATTACATCTCCGCTGACCCGAACCATTGAATTCCCACCATGAATCCTCCATGTTACATCGTTGCTATATTCGGTTCGCATGAACACCAAATCAATCGGAGGAACCCGAGGCAACCCGGTCCGGTTGATACCCATACCCGTAAAACATGCTCCGAATGGTTTGACCGGGTTTTTCATTAATTTGGCCCCTTTACTGAAAGAAGGAAGTTCTTTAAGGAAAGCTTTTAGGAAAGGCTGATACATAGAACTCTCCAAAACGCTGTACGGATCAACCGTACTGATTTTTGTCCCGCCATTGCCCTTATCATCAAAGGTGCAAGTCAACGTGCGGTTGACCGGGACGTCTCTGCCGTTGACTTTAATGGCTACTAAACAAACGTAGTACTCCATGGATTCATTACCCTTATATGGAAATGCCGTGTTTCTTCTCAAGAGTGGCGTGTGGATGAAGGTTCTGTAGAATTCCGGGTTAAGATCGTGATCCCCGACGATCACGACTCCCCGGGATCTCTCCGGCAAACAGACGAAGAATTTCCTCCTCCTGGTGAAGAATGTATGAGTGAATTGGGTAGGAAGTGAAGCAAGGCTGTCTCCTAGCCCAACTACGCCTTTAATGTCTCCGGGCAAACTCCCGGCCGAAAAAGACGACGGAGCGCACGTGAATACAAACTGCCACGGCGGCGAAAGATCCTCGTCTGCCGTGTTCCTGATGGAGATAACATCCCTAACAGCCACACCAGTCACACCACTACCGGCGGCGGCGGAGGAGGAGAATGGATTGACGGGCTTTGTGTAGCACGCGCGGGTGCTGCAGTACCAAGGAGGAGAAGTCCGGTTTGTTGTTGTAATATTACAACTGTTGCCGCAGGCGGTGGACCGGAGGAGGTCGCATTGGGCGGCGCGGCAGTTGACGGCCTTGAAAGATGAGCTGTTTTTGTAGTTGCTATTGTCGCAGTCAACCCATACGGAATCGCCGCCGAGGTCAACGGCTAGGTTGACGGACTGAAGGCTGGGAGTTCCTAGCCGGAGGTAGGTCATGTAATAATGGTGAGGAAAAGGGCCCTTTTTGGTAATTGTAAAGTAGACAGCTTTGGGTTTTTGATTTGTTGAATTTAATTCTAAACCATGAGAATGAGTGACTAGGAAGAACAAGGGAAGAAGAAGAAGGAACAATAGCCGGAAAAGAGTAGTAAAAAGGGCCATTGATATTTCTACCAACTTAAGCAACTACACTGATCTTATCGTTGTTGATATGAACAGGTTATAATTAAGATGGAAAATTGGTTTCTGTTTAAATAGGTGAACTTTGAGGTTTGATGTGTTATTCATTTTTTAGTTATTTATTAATTCAGATTTTTAAGGTCTTGTTTGGACACCACTTGTTTTGCTATTTGTCTCATTTTACCTTTTTAAACACCTCTCAAACACAAATTCCACTACTATTCAAACAACTTTTTAATTTAATTTTTAAAATTTATTTCAAACATAATTTTTACACAATCTTAATCCACAACCACCAGACCATCTCCGCTGCCACCGGCCGGCCGGCCGGCGGTCCGGCAGCGGTCGGTGGTGGAGGTGGTCCGGTGGTGGTCTAAAAATATTATTATGTTATTTAAAATATTACCCAAACAACTTTTAAATTTTATCTCAAATCACATTTTAAATCACATCTCAAACCCAAATAAAAAATTAAACCAAAAACTAAAACAAAATGTTAGCCAAACAAGCTCTAATTTACTTTTATTATTGTCATAGTAATCACCAAGGAGGGAAAGAACATGGATCATTAATTAAACTAACTAGTTGGGTGAAATTCAAATCTTCTTTTCATAGCTAAAGATACATTTCTAGTCTTTTATTAAGGATAAAATGATACTATCTTCGTCCCAAAAAAATAGTCCACATTGAATTTTCAAATTTGTACTAAAAACAGTACAAAACTCAAAAGTCAATATGGACTATTTTTTTGTACGGAGAAAGCAGTTAGCATTACTTTCTTTTGCTTCAAATCACGGATATGTTTATTGAACTAGTTTAGTGTTACGAAAAATATGAGTTTTTATCTTGGCATGAAGGAAAGAATTCACCGCATTAAGAAAAGGCAAAACTTCTCAATATTGTCGCTAGCAATATTTTTTGTTTCTTTTAAATTTGTAGGATGTTCACCATTAGCAATAAATAAACTAATCCTTTCGCACCACTTGTAATGTTAGATCCAAATTTCAATGGAATTAATATTAATCTTGCCTTCGAATTTAGAATTCCTTGTGAATTTATGTAGATTAGTTGGTCAACTCTACATGCGGTAATCCACGTGAAGTAATACTGAAGGAAGGACATCTAAACATGGGCAAGTGTCCAATAAAAATTGTCCAAAGTACAGAAAAATATGGATCCAATGAGATAATTAAGCAGTCCATGGAATGGAACGATGGTAGATAACATTAAAAGCAAACCAAACCTCGAAGCCAGATCTTTAAGGGCTCTTATCAATTTTAAAGTCCGAATTTAGTTGACTTTTTGGAGTAATTAACATGGATTTTGGATGGAAGGAGTACAACGTAATCAAAAGTCTTCGTATATGTAACTACCACTTGTTGGTCTAACCAAGCGAAACCAGATTTGGATCCCTTAAGCACAGTTATGCTATTCACGTTTAGTAATTGGAAGAGAAAAAGAATAAACATTGTGGAAGACTACTACTTCCAAGAAAGCAGTGTCATTTTGATTTGCAAGAGTAACTAATTTGAACGTGTTATGTACTACTTGTGTACTAAAAATAGTTCACATTGAGTTTTCAAATTTGTACTAAAAATAGTACAAATCTCAAAATTCTATGTATACTATTTGTTCGGGAGTACTTATTTTAAGATACAATACAGTTTATATAGAGAAAAGAAAGTACTCGTACAAAAGACAATATAAGTTTACTTCACAACCAAAACGTAGTATGCCGGAAGATCATAACTAAATTTCATCAAGATGGAATTATTCAGTGACAACTAATAATAACCACGGCGAAGGCTACTGAAGAATGATGTAGGCTTTCTCTTGTAATTGGCAGTCGTACTTTCCTTAATCAGCACCCCGTTGTATTTCTTGGCAGCTTGATCACAGTCAATTGTCGAAATAGCCATTTCTTTGGCGGGAGTTGGAACAAAATGATTGTAGTAAGTGGTAGTGGTAGTAGAAGTAATATCATGAGGACTCACTAATTTAGGGTGGGCCGGCAACCGTCGATTATTATTCCACCAATACGCCGTTGGTGGCGGCTGAACGGCCATTGCCACGGGAGTTGGAGTCGGCAAGGTAGTGACAACGGTGGTAGTGGTGGTGCGACTACCGCCACCATACCGTTCTTCCCATTCTAGTGTAGCAAACCCTTCCTTTCCGATCTCCAAGAGACCATTCATGTTGTTACCGTTGTTTTTCCTAGCCATAATTCTATAAATGATGCTCTCTACACAGTACAAACTATAGAATAATAGCTGATTATATTTATTTTTGTTGGAACAAAATCGAAGATTTCATGGCTGTTTATATAGAATCCAAAAAGGCTCTTAATTAAACTATACCTACCACCTGCCTATCCTAGCTAGCTAGGGAACCGCAAAACAATTAGAAGGGAAAAAAAAAGGCTTAAAATGTTCTCCAACCTTTTAGGTTCATGATTGCTATTTGTTTAGTGAAATCTAATTAAAGTTCACATAGTAATTGATATCCTGTTGTATTTAAATCTGTTGAGAGAATATTAGGAGGCCGGTTGGATTGGGTATGAATGGGAATGATGGTTAAAATAACATACAATATCTAAGAGATATTCTTTCAAAAAAAAAAATAAATATATATATGTACTTTTTTAAAAAAAAGGTGTTTGGTGTAAATTAAGCAATAGTAACCTTACAAATTCTGAAGAAGTGTATGTTAGACAGTTGGACTAATAGTATACTGAGAACCCGAAAATTACACATATGAAAGATCGATGAAGTTAATGATCTTGGCTTTACTTTATCTATCATAGTGTCACTTGTTCTTCATGGCTAGCTAAAATCATTAAGAAAAGGACTTCATTATACAGCATATGGTGGAGATTTACCAGAATCGATTGAGCTGTACAAAATGCCCAAGAAACTTACTTTGTTTGTTAGGTTTTTTACGGTAATTTTCAAAATATTTAAATAATAACTGTCCTATCACAATATATTTTTTTACATTTGTAATAAATTTTTTTATATTTCCAATACAAAAAACACCTAAAAATAAAAAATAAAAAAACGAAATAAACATATGTCAATCATTAATGATTATTTTGTCAATCACAAAAGCCATGCAAAATCATTAATATGTCAATCACAAAGTAACACCGCTGGTTTTTGTCCAAAATGATTATTTTGTATATAATACAATAAACATGACATTAATTTTAAGAGAGGGTGCAAAATGTTGCCTAGGTTGAACTAGGAGAATCCATATATGCGGGAGAACTCTTTCTCGATGATTCACATGTAACTTTATTCGTTTCTTTTCAAAATGTTCTCATTTAGTTTCTTCTTAAGTTGTTCAAACTGCTTTAGTATAGCCAAGTCCTCACTATCCATTTTATTAATTCAGATTCCAAGCCGACCAAACCAAACAATTTGGTATTGGAATTTCCACGTCAGCTATCATATCAAAATATATTAATTGGTACCGATTAAATTATCTATAAACCAAGCCAACGACAAGAGTAAAGTAATAAACAAAATACATACTACATTGTGGAGACTGGAGAGTTTGGATTCTGAAATGGACTTATCCGCTAGAATTTGATTAATCGGTGCAGTGGTGACATTGCATCCGTAATGTATAAAAAAAATTACATAATAGTATAATACATGAGATAGTATAAATGCTAAGTACACTACATTAACTACATTATTAAACTGTGTATGCGTATCTTAACCTGTCAGGTTGAAAGATTAGAGTAATCTAATTAAGCCAAAGGGTATGTTGTTGAGTGGTTTGAATTCATTCATTTTTAGGTTGGGAGTTCACAAATCCGCCATATTTAAGGAGGAATATTAAAATTTTATAGTCTACAGTTCTACCCGTTAAGATACTTACAATTCAACTAGTATGATTAATCCACGTTATCCACATGAAGTACTACTGACAAGCCGTCGTCACATTAGTCAAATATTAATTACCTACTCAATACAATTACTAGCAGTAAAGCAGAAAGTAGGATCGATCTCACAGAGAAGGTTACTAAGTACCGGTTAAAATTATTTCTTATTATTATTTAGATTAACAATTTATCAATTTTAAACTATTCTAAACCTAAAACTAATAATTACAATTAATTTAAGATTTTACACAAATAAAAGAAAACCTAGGGCAAAGGGTTCACCTTCCGACTACTCAGTTTCATTCAACTTATAGATATGTGACTTTGGACTTTCATTAATCTCACAACGATTCACCTATTTAAGAACTATTCACTGTCGTGATATAATTCTCTTACTCAAACTAACCCTATGACTACTGTCGTGACTATAGAGATTAATAAAAGCACATTAAGAACTTTAGAATCTCTAGCTGCAAAGACGGTGCTCCTACTGTCGTGGCTCACTACCTAAGTTTAATATTCCCATGAACTAATGTTAACCTTCAACCGTCATTCCTTCAGTTAAACACATTTAAAATATGCAAGTGGTGATCAAATACTCACATAGAATAAAAACAAGAATATTAAATATCAACTAATGAAAAAGTCACAATAATGAATTAAATTAAATTAAATAGTACGGCGGCTACATCCAAAATCTTAGATTAAATAATTTAGCTACACATCATCACAAAATAAAATAAATAAACAACGAAACAATGGAACCCGGGAAAAGAACAAATCCAATTTCGAAGTCCAGCCTCGAAGGTTGATCCGAAAGCTCTGAAGTTGCTCCACTCCCTTATGTGTGCGTACGGTGATGATGTATGTATGATATGAGCGTGCAATGATGGTGGTGATGGGAGAGACGGGTTCAGCTTTGTGCATGGGTTTTGAAGCCTTTTTATAGTGTGTTCCAAAACCAACTTTCTCGGGGATTACTTCAGCACCGCCTCACGCCGAAAGCTTCTTCTTTGTCTTTGTTTTCGGGCCAAAAGCAGAAGCAAAACACGAAAGCTCCTCCAAAAAATTCAATAGCATATGGGCTTTCTTTATTTTAGTCCAAGACTTTTTCTATTTAATTAAGGAAAGGAGGCCAGCCCACGTTTATCAACTTTGAGCTCCAAAAGCAGGCCAATATCAATGAATTTCCAGCCATGAACTCTCGGCCAAACCCAAAGCAAGAATTCCAAAATTGCACGTTTGGCCCTCTAAAAATTCATCTTCTCTACTTTCTTCCTTAAGTTCTTCAAATCTTCAATTACATCCTTTTGAGTTGCTTTTATCTTCAATTTAGCCCAAAATTTCAACAATTTCTCCAATTGAGTATAATTTCTACAAATAAAGATAAAATCATATAAATAGCATATTTGGACAAAATCACAAATTAGGGATATAATAAATAGGTAAAATATAAACATATCAACTACCCTGCAAAATTTAATATAATATGTGATTGTTACATTCCGAACTTGTTTGGATCTAAAGTAGTGTATTCAAATATGTCGAATAAAGTTGCATTACGGATCAATTTTCTTTGTCTATTAATGTCGCAAAATGATAATTATTAATTACATTAAAATTACGAAAAAGAATTACTCCCTCCGTCCCATAATTATTATCCACTTTGCCCAAAAAATTTTGTCCCAAAATTATTGTCCAATTTGACTTTTTATGGATCAAGTTACACATTTGTCCTTAGTAAAAAACATTGTCCATAAAATCTTAGTGGTTAAATAATTACTTATGTAGGGGTATATCCGGTTGTTTAAGGTAAAATATAGTTAAGTTTGAACAAAAATAAAATATTTCATTTTAGTAAAACTGGACAATAATTATGGGACGGGGGAGTACAAAAAATGATTATAACAATTCGTGGTACTTGGTTATAATACTACTCTTGCAATCATTATATATGTACTTTTTCTTTGGAGATTTTTTTTTCCTGACATAATTTGATCCTTGCAAGTTCCAATTCCTTCTCCCCTCCTGGAACTCTGAAATTGAGAAATATATTTTATACTCAAAAAATAGTAGAAAGGAAATTTCATTAGAAGGAAAATATCCTATTTCATGCGCACGTTTCTAGGATAATTCATGATTAAGGGTGTCGTGATCCTATGATATCTCTCACCACTCGATTAGAGGATTCAAATCTTTGTAGAAAATTCCAGATTTTTGGTAAGTAGAGATTCGAAATTCGATTTTGGAGACTCTTGTTCAATTAGCCTTCCGAAGTACATGTAACAGCAATTAAAGCATTAATAATAACCATCCCAAAAAAATCGAATCGAAATTCACTTAACTAATTTTAACAATTAAAACCCAATAAGTTAGGACATCATTTATGACTCTATTTCCCATTCTTATCAACTTAATTTGACCTCTCTAAACATAGTTGTAACAAAATTTTCCCAAAAAAAACTTCAAGTTTTACTTTCCTGAAAACATTATTATATTGTTTTCTTCTTCTTTTTATGACTAGAGAGATGACTTATTCTAACAAGTTGGGTGAATCGGATCGATTCCGTAAATCACAATGAGTTTTACCTTGTCGTTCGATGGTGGTTTTATGTTTGCGTGAGTATACTCATGGTTCCCGGCGCCCAAAAAAAAACAAAAGAATGAAAAAAAAAAAAACGTAGAGAAAAGATAAAATTCAAACTAAAAAAAAAAATTATAAAGCATAAAGATAATAAAAATTTGATAAAGTATCCTTTCATATGTTGTGCAAGTAGCACCATGATTACGGAATACATAAAGAACACCGACTAATAAAGTTCCCTATGTATAACAACAAAAGTACAAAACCTACAAAACTGCACGAAAGGATATGAATAATAATAGTACACCTACCCCTACAAAACTGCACGAAAGGATATGAATAATAATAGTACACCTACCCTAATGTTTATACCCTATAATCATATTAATTCAATTGCGATAGTTGTGATAACCAAAAGGAATGCTAGGGTCGGATGAGGAAGTCAAATATTGATGATAATTTCCTTGACCATTATCGTCGTAAATAACATTCTCATCATAAGCAATACCATTAGTTCCCATCATTGTACTAGTTGAACTAGACGCGCTTGGATTAAAATCAGCGTTATAATTTGATTGTCTCCCCAGCAACTCGGATTCCTCAGCCTTAATCAGCACTTTGTTCTTAAGCTCTTCCAGTGCCGTCGCAAACAGCTCAAGATCCTCCAATCCCATGTCCTCGATCGGTTTTTCCCACCACGGAGCTTGAGCACCACCGAAATTGTTGTTGAAGTTCATCAAGTTGGCCTTTTCTTGTTGCTCTATTTTCTTCTTCTCGTCCTCCAACTTTTGCGTGAGCCGCTGGAACTCGAAATTGTGTTCTTGGATCTGGGCCGCGCTGATCGGGCTACTAGCAAGCCTTCTCAGCGGGAACAATGCCGTCGCGGGTGTCGCGGTCGATGACGTTTCACGCATGAAACGATCGGCCAAAACATCCACGTTAGGATGGCCAAAAGTGTACAAACGCTTACCTGCGGATTCAACAATGATGGCTACTTCCGCACCCGTCAATATGCAAAGTTCGCTAGCCTTTCGGAACAATCCGGCGCGACGTTTTGAGAACGTGACTTGTCTGCTGCTAACCTTATCAATTTTCTTGATTTCGATCTTCTTCCGGCCTTGTGTTGTTTTCTTCTTCTTGTTCATGAGGAGCGCGGTGGTACTTGGATCGTTCATCGTCGTGGAGTAGGTAAAGGAAGCAAAGAGATCTATTTGTTATTTTTGAAGCAATTAATTGAAAGAAGAAAACAATGGGATTAAGAAATTGGTGAAGCGTATATATATACCGGAAACATAAGATCTTTCCTTATATAATGTGATACACTTTCCTTTAATTTCTCAAAAGAAAGAAGAAATATTTTCAAATTCTATAAATTGGCAGATTCCAATTTCCCGAAATTCTGAGCACAATTAACGATTAACTACCGAATCAAGGTCAGCCCAATATATTAGTAATTCGGTTTTTTTTAAAAAAAAGGGGGGAAGCCCAATCGGCCACTAGACCCTAAATCCCTTAGGATTTAACAGGATAAGTTAGGACACTGGACACTCTATAATTATAAAATAAAATTAAAAAGACCATAACCCTAATCACATGCGTTGATCACGTACTTAATCCCCCAAGGGGAAACCGAGTAGATCGATCTCCTCTACAAACGTAGGCTTCTTACGTCACCTATCCGGTTCTTGTCCTTAACCAATTAACAGTCGTCCAGCGAGTGAGCTAGTAATTAAGGCAGGAAAAAGGGCCATCTTTGGCAATTGTGAAGTACACTTGTTTACCGCTTCATTTGTTGAACCTGATTCTGAAGCAGAATCAAGAATGAGACTGATGAGGAAGAAGTCCAACGGAAAAAGGAACAATAATAAAAAAAAATACTACAAAAGCCATTAACGATATTCATTTTGTCTCAATAATTGTTTAATTTAAAATTTTCATGTTATATTATACAAAATATACACTACAAATAAAAATCTAATTATTGAACAATTATTTTAGACGGCAGGAGTACTTGTTACTTATTACTTATTAGTGACAATTCTAGTGATCAACTGTTCCTTATTGGTGTACACAATAACATACATTGACGGACCAGCTTGTAGAATGATGGTACATGGAAAATTGGTTCTCTGCAAATAGGTGTAATGACTAATTAATGGACGCCATATTTTCATGTTAGAACGATAGTCTGTTTATGGTGCCCGTTGTTCGACCCCTCCAATAGTATTCTCTAATTAAATCGTTTTCAACATTGCAAATCAATTTGAGACAACAGCGCACAACCGCTTGATGTCATTTTGCTTTCTCAATCTGACTAATTACTTTTAAACTTACAACTAATGAACGTATTCAAACTCCGCGGAGTTTTTTTTTTTTTTTTCCTTCTTTTCTGTTACTTTGATTTATCATGCTCTGAGCAGCAGACGTTAGAGATAAAGTGCTTGTTTGAATGTCAGCTTATATTTCATTTTCCCACTTAAAAGTGGAAAGTGTTTCAAGTTGAAAACTAAATGGGAAATGAAAATGTTGTTTGGATGGTATTTTGAGCAAAAAGTTGTTTGGATGTTGGTTTTGTAAAAAATATTTTGAACTACATTTTGAAAATATCAAGTACGAGTCATCACTAAACAATTAAATACTGTCAATTATAGTCACTGCAAAAAAGAACTTTTCCAAAAACAATTAATCAACAACAGAATCCTGCCAAATTTGTCACTAAACTATTTTTAGTTCTAAAATGGTCATTACACTAACAAAAAATATTTCAAGTTGGAATTTAAAATGTAAATCAGACCGTTGTCTGGATGATTTTTTTTTCTCATTGGGTTTTGTGATTAAGAGGTAAAATGAGTTAAAATGTAAAATGGAAGGTTGGCCAAACAAACTCGAAATTTTTGGGACCAATTTAAACTTCAATCAGGCGACTGGGAAATGAACCATGGACCGTTTGCAGGATGTAGGAGATTAATTACTAACAATATTATCACAAACTTTGTTTGATTACGGTGGGCAGATTTCACTAGATAATTAGTTAGTAACAGGATTTGTTAGTTATGGAGAGATTTTAAGGCTTGAACTATATATTGACGAATATGTTCTCTTCAAGGAAAATTAAACCTGGAAACCATGGGAGTGGAAGAATAAAAAAATTACCGGAATGTAATGCAATAAAGTGAATAGTTCCGATAGAATTTTTTTTAAAAAAAGGTGGATACCGATACAATGCATTTTCATGTAGATTTGAGTCGTTTATTGTAATTCAACCTTTCAGACTCATGATTGAATGATGAACAAAGAAGCTCCTTTCCACATTGAAAATCAATTTGGAATAACACTGTTCATTCAGAATCATGATCAACATCGACGAGCTAACAACCTTTTGCTATTAAATCAAAACAATATACAACAACAACAAAAAAAAATCAAATCAAACTATTTCTTGATCTTTCCACAAAGAGAAGTTGAAGGAAGAAACATTTCGTATATTTTTTTTCCTCGTCTTCTTGGGAAACATATTAGCCATTATAGTCGACACATATGAACAAAATAACACTCCAGATCGATGTTTGCAAGATCTTGATACTAGACATGATCGAAATAAGGTCACAGGATCGTAAACGGGATCGGTAGAATCGGATATGTAGGATCGTAAACATAAAAAAAAATTATTAAGTTTATTTTTAAAGATTTAGTACTCCCTATGTCTCAATATTGTTGTCCATATATTTTGAGGTTTTTAGTACAATTTGAACTAAAAATGAAAGTCTAAATTGGACAATAATTTTGGAACGGAGGGAGTATTAATATTTCATAATTAAAATAAATAATATATTTTTTTTTATTCTATTATAAGTTTAGTTTTAAAAAATTTAAATACATTTGTAGGACACCAATTTTTCTCATCTATTTTCTGTCAAATGTTATATATATCACTTGGATGCAGAAATATTTTTGATTAAAATGTATGTAATAATGACTAAAACCAAAAGAGCAAATAGGCTGATTTTTTAAAAAAGATAAAAATATTTTGGTGATAAATGAATTGTTTAACCCAAAAAAAATGCCCACAAAAAGATTAATATTTAAATTTTGATTAAAAAAAATATTTAAACAAAACTCAAGTTTCAACAACGAAACTGACATTCTAGAGTCGGTAGACTCTACAGATTATGGAGAATTTGATTAAACTTTGACCTTTTTGGGCATTTATGAATCATGGGGAAAAAATAATACCGTCAATTGTATGAAAAATAGAAGTTAAACCGTCGAAGTTTCATTTTACATTAGAATCGGCAGTATCGTGGGATCGGATCGATCCTGTGATTTTGAACGATCCCGTCCGATACTGAAACAATCCCACACCAAAAAGCGATCTTAAACGATCTAGAATTGATTTATATATTTGGGATTGTGATTTTGATAACACTGCTCCATATATTAACAATATACAGTATCCATGAACCTAAAACTAGAGATAAAAAAGTCAAATTTCAGTATTAAACTTAATAACAAGATTGATAATAAAGCAAACATAAAAAATAAAAGGTCGATAAATACCATCAAAACCGCAACTAAAAGGATGAATAACCCATCAATACCGCCCTATTATTACTAACTATATATGATGATACCCTTCAAAAGGGATAGTAGTTGGGACCAGAAGGATCATTGGAGTTGTTTCAGAAAGGAAGGGAAATATTCCTCAAGATTATTATTTCCGGTGTAAATGAAATCATCATCATAAGGAACACCAGCACCCATTGCTTTAGCCAAGCTTTCATAGATGTTATAACCAAAAGGATTGATGGATTTGGAGGAAAGGACCAAAGGGAGATCTCCCAATCCACCGTAAATATAATCATCATCGTCACAAGGATTAATGGAGTTAGATTGTTTTTTTAATACATCCAATTCAGTAACCTTAGTTTCCACATTTTTCGACAACTTTTCCAAAGCAGAAGCAAACACCTCAAGCTCCTCCAATCCCATATGATCTATCGGTTCCTCCCACCACAAAGCATTATTAGGGTTCGCCTTTTCCATTTGCTCTACTTTCTTCTTCTCCTCCTCCAACTTCATCACAAGCCGATCATACTCCATCTCGTGTTCCCTCATCTGAACCGCGGCGATCGTGCTGTTGGTAGTGTTTGAAGATGTGGCCGACGATCCGTTCATGCAACGGTCGGTCACATCGTCGATACTAGGATGTCCAAACGTGTAAAAACGGTTCAGTTCGGTTTGGATTACTATCCCTAATTCCGCACCGGTCGTTATGCAAAGCTCGCTAGCCTCTTTGAACAACACCTTTAGTCGCTCAGAAAACGTAACTTGTCTCTTGCCAACAACGTTTTCCATTTTCTTGATCTCGACTTCGCATGCTTTCCTCTTCCTGTCGTTGTTGTTCATGGCCATCACGGAACTTTGATTGCTGTTGTCGAAGATCGGGGAACTCGGAAATTTGTTCATGGCTGGCATCACGAAACTTGGATTGTTCTTGTTTTTCAAGGAACTTGGATAATCTTTCATGGCAATCAAGGAAGTTGGATTGTAGTTCTTCAAAATCCAGGAACTTGCAACGTTGTTCGTGGCCATCATGGAACTTGGACGGTTCAAGGAACTTCCAACATTGTTCATGGCCACCATGGAACTCGGCTTGTTGTTCTCGATCAAGATCGAGGAACTTGAAACGTTATTCACGGGTATCATCGAACTTTTATTTTTGCATATTGCAGGGTGTCCTCTGTCGGTAACCATAACTAAGACATCTAACTTTTATTTTTGCATATTGCAGGGTGTCCTCTGTCGGTAACCATAACTAAGACATCTCGATGGGTGGGAGAGCTGGCCAAAGAATTTAAGGTTGATCCATGCCCATGTTATAGTAAAGTGGATAAAGTGGACAACCAGAGGAGTTCTTACCACTTTACTACAACTCTTCTGGTTGGGCATCATGGAACTTTGATTGTTGTTCTTCTTCAAGGAACTTGGATCATTGTTCATGGCCTGCTACTTTGATTGTTGTTAACGTTGTTCATCATAGTCAAAGTCAAGTTGTTATTAGGGTTAAAGGGATCAATGATGATTATAAGGGGTTAGGAAATTCATGAAGCATTGGAAACATTGTAAGACGATACTTCCCTTTCCTTCTGTGATGTGACATACTTTACTTAATTTTTCGTAAGAGATAATTTCTTTTTTTTTTTTTTCGGTAAGAGATAATTTCAATTTCATAAACTGGGAGATTCCAATTTGCCGAAACCTTAGGCCCAATCAGGTATGAAGTATTGGGTCAAGGCCCATGGGCCCGTGATAGAATTTTAACCAATTTCAAAATAAAGAAGAAAAAAAAGCGCGAATCTGTCGCTAAACCCTAGATACCCTTATCTCATGCGCAGATCACGTGACATAATCCCCGAAAGGAAAAACTGTGAGTAGAGAGCGCCGCAAACAAAGAAAGCACAAGAGAAAAACGATTCTTCTAATCTCGATCGTTGGCAGGCTCTCCACGTCACCGATCCGGTTAGATCCCCAAATTCAACGGTCCAGATCAATCCTGCTGCAGAAGCTACTCTCTTGCAGAACGAAGAAGAAGAAGAAGAAGAAGAAGAAGAAGAAGAAGAAGCTCCTCTTTTCTACTCTTCTTTCTCTCTCCAGCAAAATAATTATTCTCAAACTTTTTTCTTCTTTTTTTTTTTGTAATTTTTGAATTTAGTGATTTCAATAATTTTCTTAGAGAATTATTAGTTTTTGAAGATGACGGTGGAGGATGAAATTAGGGCGGCTGAGGGAGTTGACGGCGAGGAGGAATTTGAGGAGGTGGTTGATGACGTTGAAGAGGAGGAAGTCGACGGCGAAGATGACGACGACGACGACGAGGATGAGGATGACGAGGAAGAGGACGATGACGATGATGACGTCAGGGAGGTGCTTCATGGCTCGAGCGGAGCGCCGCCGGTTCAGTCGGTAGACGACGACGACGACGAGGAAGACGGTGACGACGATGATGAGGACGGTGACGGTGATGACGACGACGACGACGACGATGATGACGATGATGAAGAGGAGGATGATGATGAGGAAGAGGCTGAAGGAGATGAGGTAAAAAGAAAATTTCCTTTAGGCCAAAAAGAAAATTCCTGTAGTTTGCTGTGTTTTTTTCAAATCGAATTTTCTATAATTACCTATGTCAAATCTGGTTCTGCGCTTGGTGTTGATATAGGTGGGTTTATAATTGTTTTATATCAATTCTGGTACAAATTGTTCAATTCTGTTTTGAATATACTCAGATCTGGTTGTTAATCTGGTGTCAGGTTTTGAATTTTTGAATATTATGCAATTTGAGTGCCAGAATTTTTATTGATGTTAAAATTGATGTCTTTAAGGGGATGGGGGTAATTCCTTGTTGAATTATCTTCTGAGTTGTGGAACTCAGTCTTTGAACGCGTTTTAGGAGTCCTTTCATGTTTTGCTTCGCCGCTTTTGTTTTTGACTGTATGCATATACCCTAGAGTATGTTGTTGAATTTTCTGCTAAGGGTCTTTTTGCTTTTTACAGTGACTGATCTACTGAGAGTGGCTTTTGCCCTGTAGATCCTGCGACAGTTGCTATGAGTATGCATTACCTTGATCCGGCTCAGTTGCTATGAGACTGCATTATGATTTTTCATTGTGTATTGTTGTGCTTGGTTGAATTGATGGACAGAATTTTGCTGAATTCAACTTTCAAATGAAGAAAATATGTGCTGGATCCCTTTTTGCATTACTGCACTTGATTGCGTCATTAGGACATTCGCAAAAGTGATTTATTCTACCCTGTTTTTTAGAAAAGTGGATGATTTCTGGAATGTAGACTTCAACTTTCATGATCTGGATGTCTTGAGATGGTTTAACCTGTTTTCTATCTGTAATGATCTGGATAACTTTAGTACACCAGTGTATTGTTGAGTGGATTTGATGGTTAGGAAAATCTCCTGTTTATGGTCAATGTGAGTTTAACTGCATCTCTTTCTGCACTTAATTACTTACATCCGCAAACATGATGAAGTGTTTACCCTTGTAATTTTCAGAATCGTAATTTAGGTATCATTAGTAAATGATGAGGGCATATGTGATCCTTATCCCCAACTTTCACTATGTTGTCTTGTTCATTTCTCTTCCTAGTACAGTGTTCTGTATGGTTCCTTGTAACCTTTTCTCCAACATATATAACCAAAATTGGGACCAACACTTTTGATAGTTATTCTTGGTTTGGTTTTGGTATGCTAAAGTATTGTGGTGGTGTGTTTCTTCAAATACAGGAGGATTTGGGAACTGAATACTTGGTCAGGCCATTGGGTCGTGCTGAAGACGAGGAAGATGCTAGTGACTTTGAACCAGAAGAAAATGGCAACACTGATGAGGTTGATGAAGAGGACGAGGACGAGGACGATGATGACGACGATGGTGGTTCTGCTGGCCCAAAGGATGAAGCTCCAGTGAAGCGAAAGAGGGGCGAAGAGGACAATTCAGGCGATGATGGGGAGGACGATGAGAGACCATCCAAGCGGTAGTCCAAAATCCATCCCATCCAAGGGTGATTGTAGCAGACCTTGAAAGTTTCTGCTCTTCAAAAAAAGTCATGATCTTCCTTGGTGTATTATTATTATGTTATTACGGTTAGGTTGGGATTTGTCCAGGGAAATGCACAGTTGTGTATGGGGTTTTTCCTGTTGACATCAACTTTGGTCTGTTTTTACAGATGGTTTCGAGGTTAGTGGAAAGTGTCCTAGGTTAACATCTTTGCGACGATTTTAGCTTTCAGTGAGGATCTAATTTCTGTTGGATGTTTACATAGTAGTTCAGCAAATTTTACTTCAGCTTCATTACAAATGAAGAATCAGGTCGACTTTTTTTTTTATCCTAATTCAAAATTAAGACGAGATTGTTGTCGGTGAGGCAATGACAAATAGTGTAGAGAAAAATGAAGTTCCCAGGTCACAGTCAGTCGAGTCCAAGTTTGCTGATAGTTTCAATCTACCTAATTGAATACGAAATGAAGCAGCAAAGCTACCTAAGAAGCCACCATGAAAACCGACATTGTCCCCTAATGGCCTAATCTCTTCCTCTCGACTTAATACATAAACCGAAGAGAACTGCGAGCCATTTAGGGGTGAGACGGTGAAATCTGATCTTGGATTCCGAACTCTACATCAGACCAGACCAAAATTTAGAACACCAAACAAATTAAGGTTCTTTTTTTTTTCCTCTTCGTTTCGTGCCGTACTAAAGAAGTTGGCAGTTTCTGTCAGGAAATTATTTGAATGATGAATGAAAATATCAAATCAACTACCTTAATTTTATACTTTACGTTGTAATAATCATCATTAGAAGTTGGTCACAAACTTGTCAAAATCCTGATTTAACAAAGGAAAAAGAAAAAAGAAAAAGAGAGAAAGGGAAATGAACAATGAATTTATTAAATCGATAATATTAACTTTAATGACTCTATGACAGAATGGAAATTTGATTTGTAGATTGCATTTATTTGGGCACACATCTAAGCCACACACACCTCAAAGTTCCAACTGTCCATATCCTGAACCGACACAAATCCACCCTTCTTTTCGCTAAATGCACAGGATGATTAATTCATCTTTTATGTTACTCTTTTTTCTTTTCTTTTTTTTTTTCCCTTTCTTCACGATGAAATCATAAAAAAGATTCAGAAAACTAAAAGGTTGGTAGCACAATCAAATGATAGTAGTATTTTTTTTTAATAGTATCTCTAAATTACTGATTTTAGGAAAAATTAATATTGTCACCAAATTAATATCGTCTTTTTCTAATATGATTTTTCATGTGGTTTGAACTTTATGGACATTTTCGAAGTCTTAACCTGACTTCTGTCCTTTTAACGGATTAGATTTACAGATATATGGTAATTTCCATATGTATAACTTAAATCATAAATGAATACGTTACATTTTCTTATTGTATCTTGTCATATTCGATTCTTATTTAAAACAGTCAGTGACAAAAAAAAAATAAAGTTACTTTAAATGAGTTACACAATTCTTTTAAGTTTATATCGCACGAGTAACACATTATATTTTTATTCGGTTATATCATTAAGAGATTCACGTTCAGAATTATGATAATTATACCTTCACAATCAGCTCAACCCAACACCCAACCGAAACAAATTAGCCGACCTAGATTCATAAAGTGGAAATTTCAAATAAGTTTAGACATTTATATAATCTCATCAAAACGAAAATTTAAAAAAAAAAGGAGGAGAAAAAGTGTGGTAAAAAAAAAAAGCATAGGAAAATAAAAAACCAGAGTTAATTAGACGAAAACACGCACTCACACAGTCGCCAAATGCCAACAAGCTCAAGCTGTCGTCCCCCTAAGCTAAATGGCTAAATCAACAACAATAATAATAATAATAACTACCCGCCCTTTTCTCCCCCCACATTTTCACACACACTCACGCACTCAAATCCAATGACAACATTATTACCGCAGAGAATCTAGGGGGAAGAGAAGAGATCACCGAATTATATACATAGATCTGCTCAGTCGATTCATACCTTTCTTTTTTCTTTTTTTTTGGCATTTTTTATTCTTTCCTCAATCTTGCGTTTCTCTCTCCATATACATAAATTGCCTGTATATTTGGGCGTGAGTTTTCCAATTTTTCGGTTGAACAAAAGTGGAGGAAAGAGCAATAGTTGTAATACAATGGTGTTGATCTACGGACCTTTGACGCCTGGACAGGTTATTCAATCTTCTTATTAATTTTAGTGTTTTTGAACTTTAAAATTTACGCTGAATCATGAATTTCAATTTTGTTATTGTGATTATCGAAATTTCCCGGATTCCGCATTGCGCTGTGCTTCAATTCGCCGAGTTCAATTTTCAGCTTTCTAAAGCAGTTTGAATTTTTGAAATTGGATTCTGAAACAGAACAGAGCAATATATGTATAGAGTTCTTGAATTTGATGCCAAATATGAATTTATCTGATGGTTGTTTTTTGTTTTGTGATGGGTGAAGGTGTCGTTTTTCCTTGGAATTGTGCCAGTATTTGTAGCTTGGATATATTCGGAGATTCTGGAGTACAGGAAAGCCTCTCTCTCAAAATTGTAAGTTTATGCTACTTTCTCAAGTTTCACAGTAACTTTTCCTTGGTATCATTTTGGTTGCAATTTTTATGTTTGGTGATTCTATAAAAATCTGAACTATGTTTTGATTCTTACAACAATTGTTTCATTTCTGTTTCTGAGGATCATTTATATACTTAGTTGCCCTCAGGCTATAATTTTTTGGTTATGTGAAGAATGATTACTGAATGTGGAGCTGGCTTCATTGGCAAACGGTGAAGGGGTGGCTAAATGTGCTGACAGAGACTGTATTTTAAGTTTTGTAATCTGAATTTTATTGAAAATCACATTTGGCTCAAAGTTGTACCAAAATTAGTGATGCTTGCATCTTCTCTCTAAAGAGGACTCTCTAGTCGCATACATTTTCCTTTTCTTTTTAGCCATGGGAAGTTGATTTGCGCTATTTGTTATCATAAATCGAAGTATTTTTTGTCCATCTCTCTCTCTCTCTCTCTCTCTCTCTCTCTCTCTCTCTTTCTTTTGTCCATTTCCTTGTCTGAGCACCTACTTTTCTGTGGCAGACACTCAGATATTAATTTGGTTGAATTGGGGAATGGTGGAGTTAAAGAAGATGATACTGCTGTCTTATTGGAAACAGGTGGCTTGCCATCAGCATCTCCAAGAGTTAAAAGTGCATCAATAACATCTCAAATTGTGAGGTTTGTCACAATTATCACTATGGCCTGGAACAAGCATGACTAAGAAGAATGTCACGTTATGAATCTGTTACTCCTAAATAACTGAAAGTGCTGTTGTCTTCCTTCTTGGGCAGATTTTTGATGATGGATGAGTCATTCTTGATTGAGAACCGATTGACTTTGAGGGCTATGTAGGTGACTTGACTTTATTTGTATTCAATATTTGAGCTTCAGTTTTTCATATGCAGCATGATGAATTATGTTACTTTGTTCCCTCTTTACAGATCAGAGTTCGGAGTCATATTACTTTACTTTTACTTATGCGATCGTACCAATATCTTTGGTCAATCAAAGAAGGTCTGGTGAATAATCTTCTTTTTGTCTTGCTTACTTCTTCTGGACCTTCATGATTGTACTAGGATCCTGAAGAAGGTTGTACTGAAGGAATATGTCTCAGTCAGCTATAATTTATTTTGCAGAGCTACAGTCGGGATCTTTTCTGGTTTCTCTACTCCCTTTTAATTATTGTTTCAGCCCTCACCTCCTTCAAGATCCACCATGACAAGTCACCAATTTCTGGCAAATCAATTATGTACCTCAACAGGCATCAAACTGAGGAATGGAAAGGCTGGATGCAGGTAAGCTCAGTCTGATCTAGTTCTCTGGCTGAAATATCATTTCATCCCGTGTGCATGCACACCAAAATTCTATTCAGTTCGTAAACCAAACCCCCAAAATATATATATATATATATATATATATATATATATATAGATATGTGTGTGTGTGTAACTATTCAGTTCTGAACTTCTGGATTTTTCTTGTTTTATCCATTATTTGTTACTTAATTCTCCATTATTCAATGCGTACAGGTCTTGTTTCTGATGTATCATTACTTTGCTGCGTCAGAAATCTACAATGCTATACGACTTTTCATTGCTGCATACGTGTGGATGACTGGCTTTGGGAACTTCTCGTATTATTATGTCCGGAAGGATTTCAGTGTTGCAAGATTCGCTCAGGTAGGTGTGATACCTCCTAGTGGTTGTTTTATCCTGTGGTTTCAAATGAAGTTGCCCTTTTGAAAAACTTTTCTTTGCCTTTCTGCAGATGATGTGGCGGCTCAATTTCTTGGTGTTATTCTGCTGTGTTGTCCTTAATAACAGTTACATGCTGTACTACATTTGTCCTATGCACACTCTCTTCACTCTTATGGTTTATGGCGCGCTTGGTATTTATAACAAGTACAATGATAATGGAACTATTATTGCTGCAAAAATCATTTCTTGCTTCCTGGTGGTCATTCTGATCTGGGAGGTGCCTGGTGTGTTTGAGCTGATCTGGAGCCCTCTCACTTTCCTTCTTGGTAAATACTTTATCATTATTCACTTTGATTATTCCGGCCCCCATAAAGGGCTAATGGCTAAGCTATTTTTGTGTCTGTTCATTTCGACTATTGCTTTTGGATTACAAAACTCAATCAGTTAGCATACTTCAGGATATACTGACCCAGATCCTTCAAAAGCAAAACAAACTCTGCTGCATGAGTGGCATTTCCGCTCGGGTCTTGATCGGTATATCTGGATAATTGGAATGATATATGCATACTACCATCCAACAGTAAGTCTTACTGTTTTGATGAACAAATAAAAAGAAAATTAGATGATGTGTATCCTATGTTCATCTGATGGGATAGCACGACCTAGTTACGGAACATTAAACATTTTCATTTTGCTTATAAAATTCTCACATTTCATTTACATTGCTGCAGGTGGAGAGATGGATGGAGAAACTGGAGGAGACTGAAGTGAAACGTAGGATATCAATTAAAACGGCTGTTGCTACAATATCTTTAGCGGTATATTTCTCCCCACAATCATATAAAATGGCGCATCTGATGCACCAAATCTGTAATCTTGACTCAGCCGATTGTGATGTTATCTGCAGGTGGGCTACCTGTGGTTTGAGTATGTATACAAACTCCCGAAGCTGACATATAACAAATATCATCCTTATACATCCTGGATTCCTATAACGTGAGTCTTAACTTGCCCTGATTCACACAGCAATTTTCATGTGGAAATTTTTCACTTCAGTTAATAGTCTAACCCTCCAATAACAACAACAACAAGCCTTTTTCCCACTAGGTGGGGAATAGTCTAACCTCCAATACTTAAAACATTTTGTGATTTTTCTGCTTCCCAGTGTGTACATCTGTTTGCGAAATTTCACCCAGTCTTTCCGTGGTTACACGCTGACACTCTTTGCGTAAGTGATCTCAAGAATTAATTCCTGTGGTTGTTTTCTGTAATCTAGGAAATCGAGCATATGATTGTGATTTTGGTATATTCAAAAGTGTAAAGTATATTTGAAATTGTTTGATGAGGTGGTTTTTCTCAAACAGATGGCTGGGAAAGATCACTCTGGAGACTTACATTTCGCAGATCCACATTTGGTTAAGGTATGTTATGGATGAATACTGGTTGAGGTTTGTGTTACTTCTTGTGCTGGCTTGGTAATCACAAAAAAGAATGCACAGGGTCCTTTCAAATGCTTCAAAAACTCGAAAATGTTATCTTGCACAGGTGTCTTGTTTCTGTAATTTCTTCTTGCTTTGTATTAGGACTTCGCAGAGGTTCAATTCTTTTGGATCCTAGACATGGACATCATTTTGGCAGACATTTTTTCCTAATCTTTTAGAATAATTAAACCTATTAAACTTCAAATAATGATTTGAGTTTGCATTGCTGTGTGTACCCATGTTTAGCTTTCTTTACGCATTGATTTTGCTCAGTGTTGTAGGGGTATAGTAGCAGTAAAAGCCTTTCTAACCTTTTTTTGCTTGCAGATCCGGCATACCAGATGGACAACCAAAATTGTTACTTTCTCTGATTCCAGAGTATCCATTATTGAACTTCTTGCTTACCACTTCCATATACGTTGCAGTGAGTATATATATTTTTTTACCATCCTTCTGGCTGACATTGATGGAGGTATATACTGAGAGATTGATCAACTTGCTGTTGTTTGCAGGTTTCTTACAGGCTTTTTGAGCTGACAAATACATTAAAAACAACCTTTGTTCCCAGCAAAGACGATAAACGTCTGGGCTACAATATTGTTGCTGGAGTAGTAGTAGCAACTTGTCTATACACATTGTCTTTTGTATTATTGAGGATACCTCAGATGATGCTGGTAAGCATTGTTTTTTCCTTGTTGCGACAAATGGTCATTGTCTTGTTGGCCCTTGTCAGCATGTATCATTCTACTTGCCTGGGCCATTTGGACTAGATTATTTCCTCATTTGAGGAATTTCATTACTGGGCCTAAGCTTCATTCTTTTCTAATTGACAGGTATAAGCTGGTTCAAACTCGATAATGAAGGACAGCTCTTGTGGTTCGATATGTGTTTGAACTTGTTGAAGGATAGGCATCTTTCAAATCAGAGTTTCGGCATTTTAAATGCTCGGGGTCGGGGTTTGTTTTGCCGATTGCTGACAGTTGAGTAAGGGGGTGTTTTTACATCAGCAGCCACCCCACCAAAACCAAAATGTATATTTAACTGTTAAGGTGATAGGAAGGAACCCAGCTTTGGAAGCTGTTTGGCTAATCATGAGTATATTATTCAAGTGATATTTTGCTTCCTTTTCATATTAATATACGAGTTAACATGATTGCTTCAATTTCTTTGTATCTATGGGCTTCTTGGCTGCTATATGGTTGTTCAGTCATTAACTACCAGTTTCTAGCACATGCATGATCACTAGCTTAACAATTCAATTTTGGCGTCCTTTTCCTGTTGTTGTTAAAGCGTGATGGCCATATACGATCCTCTGCATTGTGAAACAAAGAGTTCATCTGCACAGAGCTTAAATTCTCTATGATTCTGTTGTAATTTGTGTCAAGAGACCTCGAGAAAAGTAGCTCAAGAGATAGCAAGGAACACTTTCAATGTCTTTTCTTAGTGCATGTTTCATAGATAGTAGAGTTTTGACTATCTGCAAGTGAAGAATGGTAGACACAGAAGTTATGATCAGATTGGACAGTTGAATGAATCTGTGTCAAGTAAAATGATGAAAAATATCACATTTACTAATTTAGTATCTCAAAAAAGACAGCAGGAACGAAACTGATACTAAATTAATGAGAAGAATGAATATGTTGCTCTGCAGTCCCGCTTTACATGCTTTTTGCACGATAGAATCTTGTGTTAAAAGGAACAAACGACAAAAAGTAATAAGATGACTAAAACTATGGAGACTTGTATATCTCGTAACTCCTTCCTTTCTGGAACAATGGACTCTTTCCTTTCTGGAGTGATGGACGTAATCAAACAATCCAGTTGAGGCCAACCAGCGATTCGCAGAGAGTTCATCAGAATATGTGCACGATGTCATAAGCAAATCTGTTTTCGCGTGTCAAGGAAAGTCGAAAACAAAGAAAACTGGAGAAAGTTTACCTATAATAGGAACTCAAACAAGTAGAATGCATAAACTTCACTGTCACAACACACATTGATGGGAAAGAGAAGTAGTTTGTCTTTTAACACTAATTTCTCAAAACTTTCATTCCAACCGTAATGCCGATGGAGAAGTAATAATAAGAACAGTGAGGCATGTGGCATAAATGAAAGAAATAACTACAATTTATCATGATGCAATTTGTAAAGAGTATTGCTTCTTCCGTTTTTTCTTTATTAAATTTCATATGAGCCACATCATTCACTTCCCAATTCACCCTCTCTATCATTCAAAAGTAAAATAAAGTGGAGAAAGATGAGCAATAAAGGTGAAAAAAATTACTCAAAACAGTGATGCAGGATACGTCCAGAATAGCACAAATGACTGCAAGAGATGAAATAAACACGTCAGTTTTAAAGATCAAACTCATTGCGATTTAAAACCAGTAACATAAACCAAATTTGGACAAAACAAAAATCAAAATGAAACACAATATAACATAACAGCTAGAGCAAAACTATAGAGAAGAGAAGAGTTATATACCATGAGCCCGCCAAGAAAACCATCAAGCACGATCCGATTCCAGCTATCAAAGTATGAATGGACAGAAAAACCAGCCTTTGCAGCTATGCCTATTGAAGTTAATGCCATTACCACGAAATAAAAGATAAAGCCCATCAGGCCAGTAAATCCCAGGATTCCAGCAATGACTCCTCCAATAATAGACATGAAAGTTCGGCTGAAAAGTTAAACAAGGAACAACATAATATCAGCATCAATCCAGAGAATGCTAGGGCCAAGCAACAGAGTAAAAGGTGGCATGAGGAGGTGGTAAAACGAACCAGTAATATATGACTTTCATGTTGCTCTGCATATTCTCAGCGTTGATGGTAGGTAGTTCATCAGAAAGATCGCTAGATTTCTCCTTAGAGACACTTGAGCCATTGCTAACCGCCATTGCCCCCAGTTACAATTAGGAATCCTATGAAATAATCAAAGAGTTCCTAATTCATTAATGTACTAGGTCTACAAACAACCATAAGGAAATCAAAGTACAGTTAAGCTATGCATACTCAAATGATTGAACTGAAACTCCAGCTATTGAAATCAAGGGTTTGAATAAAGTGTTTTGCAGGCTTTAGAAAATCTCCCAGCAGAATGACCCACTAGAACAATCTCAAAAAGTTCATCCCATTACCCACAATATCGTAGCCCACAATCTTGCACTAAAAATTTCCAGTGAAGGTTACAAACATCATCAAAATTATGCACCCATCACTTCAATTGAACTTTAACAAAATAAAGCGAGAGATGAAAAAGATGAGATCTTTACACATCCATGGAAACCCAAAACTAGAATCTGACGAAATCTCTCAATTCTGAGGGAAATAACGGAATCGACAATGTAACAGAACAATTTAATCTATCAATGGAACCAATCAATCTAATGAGCTGTTGTTCTTCAGCTGAGCACAACGAAAACATGTTTCAGCAAGACAAAACAGATCAAAAACGAAATTCGGAAGGATCTTCACGAGAATTCACGAAAAAGTAGGACAAAATCATAATCATAAATACGAAAGAGAACAAACGGAAAGGGGTTTTACCAGTAAGAGTTGAAAGCGGAGATTGAATCCAGGCAAAACTAGAGAAGTGAGAACGTTTACGTTAGAGCCAATGAACTTCCAGTTCAGCCGTCTTCTGACTCGGATCGGGTTTGTACTCGGACGGGTTATTGAAGGTCTATATTGGCTCTAATTAGCTATTTGTTTGGTTAGGATGTTGGGCCCATTTGGACTGCCTATTCATAAACCTGGGCTTTTTAGTTCTGGGCTAGAAAATACAGCATAAAACTTTATGATTGTTCCGAAAATCCAATATTTTGTTCAAGTAATAATAAAAATATAATAACAAAAGAAAAGTACCAAAAGGTATGGAGGGATCCATTGAAAAGCAGCTCAATGTCTACTGACAAAAGAAAACTTACAACGGGAACAAAGTCAAAAACCCTGAGTAACTCATTTGCAGCTCTGAATTACAACAATGAAGAGGAAGAGATCATATAGGAGTAAAGGGCCCAACACCTTTGAAATATGATCAGCGTCCACCGGTATTAACAAGCCCAAACATGTACAGGGTAAGAGAAAAATTGACATAAGGAAAACTCCAACATAAGTATCCAAAAGAACTGCTACAAAAGATCATAATGAGGCAAGCAAGGCCCATATGGCCCCAGATATCATTTTAAGTGCAGCCCAGGCAGTTCATACAACCGTACTTGAATCATCTCTGCAGGGCACAACCTTAGCCCAATTTCAACCAACACCAAGGACAACTCCAACGCTTGTCAACCGGAAACAAAATCTTTACACGCCGGTCCGGGTATTCCATATTCAGGGAATCATTACACAGTTTCACCTCAGTTGAACAACCATTGTGATGAGACACCTAAACACACGGTGGTTCATATTCCACAACCAATTACAGGCCTGACTCATCGGACCAAGATCCGAAATCCTCTGGTCGCCAGGAAACCTCGAGATGCAACTAATACCTTTAATATCAAATCCAAATTCAAGGTGAATGGTGGAAAAAGGAAGAACAAGAGTGTTATGTTGGAGGCCATGGAGGAATTTGAGAATTTTGTTGGCCACCAAACTGAAGAGGAACACCTTATCCACACCGAGGATGGTCGTACCTCTGACCTGGAGGAGGAGGAACCTCCCGATATCACCATGTAAATTTCCAAAATAACACACTGCAAGAAGAGAATAATATGTTTTGGATCTTTCAATCTTCAAAAGAACATGATTCGAAAGAGTAGAATCAAAGGACTTTCAGAATAATAAAGCTCAAATGAATCGACCTTTATAAAAATCGGCATATCTTGTTGCTGAAACAAAAGGAGTTGGCATAATATTTTGCTTAATTTGGACAAAAGAGTCTTGGGATAAGACGAGAGGTGCTGGTAGATGTAGCTCTCTTTTTTATGTAAGCATGCAATACTACTTACTTTATGTTTGGTAGAACTCAAAGCTCTGATGTTGTAACTTAAGCACTTTGCCTCCCCTATATCTATATAGATATATACACTAGTGATGTCTGGTGCGCGATCCTGGCCCAATGTATATATATATATAAATATTTGTATTTGAAAAAAAAATATTTTGTATTTGGCCCGATATATTTTAGAAATATTTGAAGAATTTTAGAAATGTTTTATAAGTGTGATGTTTGTATTTGACAAAAAAATAAATTGTATTTGGCCCGGTACGTTTTAGAAATGTTTGAAGATTTTAGAATTTTATTAAGTGTTACTTCTTAAATATAAATAAACTTAATCAAATATATGTCTTGAAGTAAATGCTAGACAAAATATAAAAGCATTCTAATAAGTTTAAATATTAGTAAGATAATTTATTGATGTTCTCCATTGGTTGTGCCAAATCAATACTTAATTTTAGAAATTTATAATAGGTTTGTAGTTAGCTTCCTCCAAAGGTATACGCGTAATTGTTGGAACTATTTCTTCCAAAAGTTTATAAGTAGTAAAATATCAAAAATATGATTTTGAAACTGGTTAATTGTTGAAACTGGTTGATCACAAATACGAGAATGAAAATAATGTAAATTTGCATAGGTTTCATGATATAGCAAAAAAGAACTCACCTCACCATGGCAAATAAAAAAAAAAAGTAAAAGATAGCCCATTAAAATTTAAAAACTTTTAATTTTTTTTTCTGTAGGTAAAAATGATGTATAAAAACACAAATAAACGCAGAAACATCATTCCTTCCCTCTCCACCTCAAATTCATAAAAGGATTCCTCATAAATTAGTTAAAAGAAATGACCTGAACTATTTATATGATGAGGAACTAAAAAAAGTCCAAAAATCAAATCCAAAAAAGTATATTCTTGAAATCACGAACACAAAAAAAGAAACGTGCTTCATTTGCAAATAAAATAATAATAATAATAATTGGTCAACTGGGAGTATGAAACAAAATCAAAAGTAATTAAACAAAGAAAAAACACATTTCATAATTGGCCATATACGAAAAAAAACCTGAGACTCCATAATTAAAAAAAAAATACTCTAATTGAATGAAACATAAAAAACAAATTTAAAAAACCACACTTTGTAACAAAAATCCAATCAATCAATTCAATCCAAACATAACTAAAACCATACAAAAATTCTAGGCTAACTAACTAAATAAGAAATCACATCATACTACCTGACAATGGTTACGGTAGCTGTAACGGATGGACGCATAAAAATAATAGTAATAATATTATTGTTGAACGGGAAAAACAAAAAATAATAAAAGCCAAACCAATGATCTGTGGAAATAAAATTATTTAAATTTTAATACCTGTAATGGCACCACCACAACGGCCGAAGCAAGATCGATGAGAATTTTTTTTCCCTTTGTGTTTATATAGAGAGGTAAAAGAGAATATTTTTTGAAGTTGAAATTTTATCTGATTAAGATGTAGTTAATTATGACTAATGAAAAGATTGAATATACTAATAGGAAAGGAGTATATTTCACCATATATTCTCAATTGATGATTGATGAGGAATTTGTTTTTTTTTTTTTTAATTGTGGAGAAGGGATTGATTAAGGAGTCGATTGTCGTAGAGATGGGGATGAGAATTTGGGTTTTTTAAGAACTTGTGGTTTTTTTTTTTGTTTTGTTTATTTTGACGAAAATAGGAGGTGGAAGTGAATTTAGACTGCATTTGCCTTTTAAATTTAGGAGATGTAATAATAAAAATTTATTTTAAAAATATGATGTGGAAATGCCACGTGGCAAATAATGGTGCTTTCTCTTAAGTGTGGTTTTTGTTTCTAATATAGTAAGATATATATATATATATATATATATATATAGTCCCATTACGGGACGGTTCCGTTTTAAGATAATAACTGTAAGATTAATTAGACTAATTAACAACCATAGGATTACAATGAGGGTGCATCATAGGTAAATATACCTAAACACACCTGATTAAACTGAAAAAATTAAAAAAATTGGTTAATTTTGCTCAAAGCTTTAAGTGTCTAGCTAATTTGATCCCAAAAGATTTTTGCGAAACCAAATCCATCATCTAAGTTTCAATTTCTGGCCAATTTCATCCAATTGACAAAAATTCCGTTAGATTTAACACATCCGCTGACATTTCGTTACGGATAAAATGACGGTTGTGCCCAAAGTTTTAACCGCGTCGTTAATTTTATTTCATTGATTTTTGGTTAGCCAATTTTGTCCTTTACGTTTGAAATTTTTTCCAATTTCATCCAATTGACCCCGTTTCCATTAAACTTAAGGGATTTCAGTTAATTTTTTTACAAAAATATATCTCAATAGTACCAAAAATTATAAAAATAATCCCAAAATATGTAAAATCAACAAAATAATTTCTTTTTATTATTTATTTATTTATTTTTAGTTCATTTTATTTCTCTTTACTACTTTTTATAACCATAAAAATATATTATAAGATCTTTAAAATAATAAGTATTTATTTTCAAACTCTATTTTTCATTTGCAAACATGTGAGTTTGGTTCAGAAGTAATTTTGTCATATTTTGAATTAATTTTTTAATTTTTGCTAGTTACTATTCTTTTTCTCATACTTTCTGACTTGTATCTGTTGCTACTACTATAATTACTAAATTTCATTAATTAATTTACCTTTTATTTCATATATTATTAAAAAATTTAAAAATAAAAAAAATGAGGAAGAAAAAATCGAGTTGAAATAGATACGAAAATTTATATGTTATCATTCTAAACAAAAAAAAAAAATCTAAAAAAAAATTCTAAGTCAAGTCTTTGCTCCTTGACTTCTTGTAATTCATAAGTTACGAAATATAAATTTTACTCGATCTAGCCTAAAATGATTATTTTGTTTGTGATAGTAAAAATAATACAAAAATTAGATAATCATTTGAAATAGGAAAAGGTGTTAATTTATTTAGTCGATGACGATGAATTATTTTAAATTTCATTAACACAATTTTTATTCTTTTTTAGTAATTGTTATTGTTACTTTGTCGATAGCTAAACTATATAAGCAATCATTAAATTTCATGTTAAAGATAAATACGTATATTTTTTAACAGCATATTTTTTAATATTTTTTTAAACCTCGAAATTGAAATACAAAAGGTAAATTTTTTTTTTTGAAATATAGAAATTATACTAGTGCCAACATATACAAGTCAGAGAGTACAAGAAGAAAATTGTTAAAAAATAAAATAAAACAAATTAAAATTTTTTAGAAAATATAAAAAGACAAAACTACCTCTAAACCCAACTCAAGTGTGTTGCACATGAAAAATGTTGTTGAAAATAAATAATTATTTTTTAAAGATCATATAGTATATTTTGATGGTTATGAAAAGTAGTAAAAATAGAAATAAAATGAAATAGATTAAAATGAATACAAGTGAAAAGGGGATATTATATTATTTTTACATTTTTTTTAAGCAAGAAAAAAGATGAAAACGACATTTTGGTTCCAGATAACTCAAAAAATATTTTGTGAGTTGTCTTTATAATATTTTGAAACTATTAGGGTATTTTTGTTAATAACTAACAGAGATCCGTTAAGTGTAACAGAAATTTGACCAATTGGATGAAATTGACAAAATTTCAAATATAAAGGACAAAATTGGCTAATCAAAAATCAATAGGGTAAAATTGACGACGGGGTCAAAACGGTGTAACCGCTATTTTTTCCTTTTCCGTTACTTTATACAATTTTTTAGAAAGAATAAGGGAAAAAACGAAAAAATAAGTAAAATATTTTGTAATTTTTGTGGAATTGAAGAAAAGTGGCGGCGACGGAAATGCGGGTAGTGGTGGAGGGAGGATTGTGTATTGTTAGTGGAGGCAATTTTTTTTTGTTTGTGGTGATGGTTTGAAATCCTCACAGATTTAGGAAGTGGTGATAGTAATTTTTAGGAGAGAAGAGGAAAGGGATGGTGGTGGTGCGGCAGCGGAAAACAAGTAAAAGAGGAAGAAAAGGAAGAGTCTTAGGGTGGAAGTAATGAATTAGATTAGGAGATAAATTATGTGGTAGGAACGTTATAATAATTAAATGGTAAGATAAGCGTATAGTACTGAATAACAAAACATTAGGGATAAAATGTTAAAATTTTGAGTCAATAAAATTTTTTACCAATAAAAAATTGTACAAAGTAACGGAATATCATTAAAAACATTAAATCTAACAGAATTCTCATTAATTTGGATTAAATTGGCAAAAAGTTGAAATTTAGATGATGAATTTGGTTTTCCAAAAATATTTTGGGTCAAATTGGCCAGAAACTTGATGTTTTGGACAAAAGTGATCATTTTCTCAATTAGTTTATGATATTATAGAATGTTATTTACCACATGGTTACATCTTATACCCTCAATTTTAATTGGTTGAAGACAAAACGGACACTTCCGTAAAAATAGCAAACAGAATTCTAGATTTTCCCATATATATAATGAGTGTAAAATTATCTCAGTTGATCACTATTGTTACCGACAATAGACATAGTATTGTATATGAAAAAAAAAAAATGAAAAAACGGCCAGTGGTTTATGGATATTATTTATTTATTTATTTATTTTTTTGGATATTCTTATCTACATTTGTTATTAGGCCAAAAATGTTGAGGTTTGTTCGCTACATAAACTCTTTTGAATCCAAGTCAATGATTGATTAAAAAAAAAAATCAATGATTGATTCACCCCTGGAACATGTTGAAGAACTTAAGTGTGTAACAAACTTTTTGTGCTTTGAATGAGCACGTACAATGGCTCCTACATTTCACTTGTGTAACAGTGTACATTCTTGAAATGCATTTTTTAAAAATACTACCTCTATCCTGTGAACTCAATTCTTTATTCCAAAATAATTATCCAGATTGAATCTTTATTTTCAGTTTAATTTGTACTAAAAGTAAAAATCCAAACTGGAAAATAATTTTAGAATGAAGGAAGTATTTTTTTGGGACAGAAATTCCTGAAATTTTCATTGTTAATTAGTTCCATGAATTTCTTCTTTGTGAAACATATATTTATTGGATATGCATATGACAATTTACATAGTTGCTAGTAGTGTAGCATACGCTAGCAAGAACAAATGTTATTCGTAATATAGTTATGCTTCTTCTTATAACAACATAATTATAGTAGTAGCAATCAACGATTAAGAAAACAAAGCCTAAATCGAAGAACCAAATTGTGACAACGAATGTCATTTTTTTAATAAAGAAAAACTAATTAAGTGCAATCATCGGTATCTTCTCGTTCGTCGTGATCTGAATGGTCGAGATGTGATTTGTGGTGGTGTTGGTGGTTGTGGTGGTGGTGGAGGTGTGATTCGGCAATCCGACCCTGAGCTCCGTCGGGGTAAAACCCACCCGGTTTGCTCTCGGACCCGGTTCCATAAATGATCCGAAGTATTTCCTCAGGTGTTCGATCAAATGCCAAAGAGAACTTGTCGCCCGCAAGTATGTTGCCTTTGATTTTGCCCTCCGCGCCTTGGGATGGATTCACAGTGAGGCCTTCGTCTTTGATGCCTTTATTCCCCAAATCATTTCTCAGCTTTGAGATTTTGTTGGTGAATTCGGCCACCGTCATCCCGTATGGATTCACCGTCTCGTTTTGTCTCTCATATAGTAATGCCCTCAACACGGCGTCCTGTCCTGATTCCACTCCTAATAATCCAGCTATCATCTGAAAAAATTCTCCTTTTTTCAGTCAGTTTTGAGTTCAATATCTATGATCTTTTTGTCATAATACCAACCATTTTTCTAAATTCAAAAAAGTTCTATAAATAATCGTTATAGACATATCCATAAACAAAAGTAAATGAGGGAAGTAAAGATGAGAATATTAAGACGGAGATTTAAACAATAATATTAATGTCAAGAGAACTATTAATAAATGAATGAGAGACAGAGGTGTTAAAGATAATCCCAAAAATTAGTAAATCCGGGTAATAATAATAAGATAGAAAATATGTCATAATGGAAATTAATTGCAACAATAAAAACATTGCTAATTTAGCTTTATTCTTATATCTAGCACTTGCACACGAAATTAGAAAAGTATTGCTCTAACTAATTTAAAACGAATTTTAACAGCTCTCCAAATTAGCCTTGTCTCTTTAAAAAAATTCACTTTGAATTTTAAAATTATACTAAATATCAATATATATATATATGTATATATATATATATTCCGTGACTTTTTTTTTTGAACGGAATGAGTAATACATGTAATAAATGCCGTTTCTTGAAAAAAAAAAGAGAGAGAGAGAGAGAAAAAGAATATGCAAGTTAAATGTTAACGTACTCTTTTGGCGGTGGCAGTTTGGAGTTTAGGGTTGGCTCCCACGTAACCGGTGAGTCCAACGTAAGGAATAACGTAGGATGCAATGAGGTAATTGAGATCATTTGCATATGGATCAAAAGGTGGATTTAAGTTTTCCCCAAATGCATTGTTGATTATAGTTGCAAATGATTTCACACTTAAATCCAGCAATGGCCTTGGAAATCCCTTTACAGCGCTCTTAATCGCCCTTAAAAAAAATAAAAAAACCATCAAAATCAAGTATTAAATTTTTGTTTTGAAAAATAAAAGAATAGACATAACTGAAAGGATTAAAATTAATTAAGGTACCAATTAATAACGTTATTAGTTTTTGCCCTATAACGTGAAACTCTTTTCTTTTCGTATCTGAAAAATAATTCAGCTCGTTAATTAATTATTTGGGTTTTTCTTAATGAAATGAACCTAACCTCAAATGGCCAACTTCTTGAAAGGCAAATTGAGCTGTGATGTCTTTGACAAGAGGGCCCAAACTGGCAACCTTAGCGCCAATAGGTGACGGTCCATTCCCAGTGAGCTCAGGTGCGATTTCGTCCAAACCATGACCAAAAGCTCCAAAAGAGAAGAACTCAGCTTCCAAGTACTCTAAATTTAGAGGGAATTCCAATAGATTGATGTCGTTTTGAGTCAAATTCCCACGGCCATAGAGGCTCTTGGCATGAGAATTAGGTACAAGGAAGAAGAAGAAGAAAAGGAAAGGAAGAAAGATTAAAGCAAAAGTGGTGGATGATGATGCCATGGCTAACTAGCTTGCCTAGTTTTAGAATCCTGATGAATAAATATTTTTTGGTTGAAGTCATTGACATATATATGGTAGGGCATTTATATAGGAAAAGTAGAATTGATCTATATCATTAAACATTGATGCATAAGTTACAAATATTGACATCACCATCTAGAGAAAATTGAAACGTATATTTTGATTTGAAATGGTACGTATAGGAGAAAAAAGGGTTGATTCTAGACATGAATTTTCATTGGAAAAATTAAATCCAAACAAGTGTACGTAAATTTTCATTGAATTCACATCTCACAAGTCACAACGTACGTAAACTTTTCTTCCTCCTTTTGTTTTTTCAGTTTGGTCTTAATCTTTTTACGAATTTTGACGTCTATGTAATTTCTAGGGAAATAAAAAACGGCTCGAAATGTTAAAAAAAAATGCGAATAGCTAGCTATCTTTTAAGTAAGGTACAAGTTACATATGCTAAGACTAAAAATAGTAAATATAGAACGTGGAATTAGGTGGGCAGATTTGTATTGATTTTATGATTTCATTAGCAATGCCAAATGTCAATAACTAGGGAATTGTAAATGAGTATGGTGCCACGTTTTGGTTTCATGTATGCGGAAATTTGCCGATTTTGAGATTTTGGAAAGGCTTGGGAGAATATCATTCATGAATTGATTGATGCATGTATATCTATAGTTGAAGTTTACGTCAAGAACGATCGGTGGCTTACACGAAAGTGCGATTCAATTACAAATTTGCCACAAAATCTAAGATATAATGTCTCATCAACTCATCGTAATTCACAATAGTAAGTTGAATGTCAATGTTTAATTTCCAATAGACACATAGTGTATATTGTATCGTTTTTTTAGATGAAAAATGTCAACTACAAGTTGTGAAATATTTCAAACGAACGTGTTACTGTGTTGAAAATAATGTATTGAGATATGCCTAAATTTTCTTGTCTCTAGATGGATGGAGAGTCTAGTAACCAACATATAACCACATTTTCACGAAATTCGAATTTCATCAACAAATTGAAAAGAGGGAATTTTTTGGAACACAAGGACTGAAGTCGTTTTTGGTGGTCACAGTCAATTCCGTTGAGTAGTATTTATTACTAGGCTAAATTACTGTCTAAGTTAATCCTTGGAGTAAATTCTAGAAAGATTCTGCCTAATCCTTGCAATGATTAGCTGGCAATTCCCAAGCATTGGGATTGTTGAATCTTGTACGATGATTGATAAAATCTCCAATGGAGTTGTAAATCTACTGTGGAAAATTTTAAATGAAATTCTATTCTAAAGTTGTCCTTGTCTCCTTTTTCCCTAAATTCTTTTCTTTCTATTATTCTGTCTCTCTTCTCAAAACCCTCTGAAATCTGACTCTTTATATCTGAAATTCCAGCAATATCGTGACATTTGGTATCCCAGAGCCCCGATCCTCCGACCACCTTGACAGAAATGTCCACTGTCACCAGATCTCAAGCAGCGGCCGCCGACGAACAGAGTAAGAGATGGGAGAGTCAGATGGATTCGATGGAGAAAAAGCTAGATGAATTGAAGGAAGTAAAAGGAAAATTAGATTTGTTGATGGATCTAAAGGAGCAAGTGAGGTTGCTCACGGAGGCTTTCAACTCAATGCAAACGGCGAACAAGGGGAAGAGCATCGTCGGCGAGAGTTCGGGACCACCGGAAAAAGGCGTCCTCAAGAATCCAGAACAACCCTTCAAACCATTGGAGGTGGAGAATTTTCAGACACCGGTTAGAGAAAGAGTGAACGTTTACCCTAGGAATCTTGGTGGTTTTGACGAGCAAATGTATCCCAGAGACAAAGGTAACCGTATTCCTTTTGTAATACAACCAAAGATTGAACTTTCAGAATTTGGTGGCGAAAATCCACGCGAATGGGTAAGGAAGTGTCAGAAGTATTTCAATTTCTATGGGATTAGAGAGGAATTGAAGGTAGAAACAGTGGAGGTTTACCTGGAAGGCAGAGCGGAGGTATGGTTTGAAGGATTCAACCCAACCCGAAGGAGGCTGAACTGGAGGGAGTTTAGTGATGCACTGATTCATCGTTTTGAAATTCGAGGCGGAAAAGATGAGTTTGAACAGTTTAACAAGCTCCTCCAAACCAGTACAGTGCTGGATTATATCGAGAAATTCGAAGATTTAAAGGCCAGAGTAACCCGATTGAATCCCACCTTGCCGGAATCTTACTTCATGTCTAGCTTTATGAGTGGCCTTAAGGAGGAGCTGAAACCAGCTCTCAGACAGAAGAGACCACCTGATTTACTATCCTTGATGGATGCAGCAGTGTTACAGGAGCAAGATGTTAAAATGCAAAACAAACGGAACAGGAACAACTAGCAGTATGGGCAGAAAAATCCCAACAACAGCAATCGGAATTCAACTCCACAGTTAGGATGGAGAGGTGAAGATAAGAAAGCTCCGCTTAATCAATTCAAAAAGATAACTCCCCAAGAGGTACAATATCGCCGTAATCATAATTTGTGTTTTAAATGCAGTGAAAAATACAGCCCGAGACATAAGTGTGCTCAGGTATATTATATTTTGGCTGAGGATGGTGAATTGGATAACTCTGATTTGGAAATATATGAACTAGGGGAGGATGAAGTGATAACAGAAGGGGTTAAACGAATTTTTTTGAATGCTGTAAGAAAAGGGATTGATCAGAAATCTATAATTGTGAGAGGTAGGGTGGCAGGGAAATGGATAAACATTTTGATTGATACGGGTAGCAGTGACAGCTTTATTGATTATAACCTAGTGAGGGCTCTATCACTCCATTATCAGCAATGCGAACCATTTGTGATCATTATGGCAGATGGGTCTAGAACTAAAGGTTCGGCTATGTGTCCTTCCGTGGTATGGGATGTGCACCAATTCAGTTTCACTTTTGATTTTAGAGTCATGAATTTGGGAGGTTTAGACCTGCTTCTAGGAGTTGATTGGATGACCAATTTCAGCCCTATAGCTTTCGATTATCAGCTCCACCGAATTTACCTTACTAAAGGCAACATGCAATATACATTATTCGGGGATGGAGAAGACCCGACTTTGAATATGGAAAAGGGTGATGATCTAAGAGACTACCTTGAGGTAAAGAAGAGAGGGAGGCTATTAGGTTGTATCTCCCCTGCGCAACTTGAAATTCCCGAAATGGAGACGGGTGAGAAAGAGCCACTTCCAGCCGACTTGCAAGCATTACTGGAGAATTTTGATGAAGTATTTCAGAAGCCTCACTCACTTCCTCCTGCAAGGGAAATAGAGCATTGTATAGAGCGGAAAGTGGGGTCACAACCATTCAGAATGAAGCCTTATCGCTACCCTCATGCCCACAAGGATGAGATCGAAAGGCAAGTTGCTGAAATGTTGGAGCAAAAAGTGATACAATACAGTACTAGCCCTTACTATTCTCCTGCACTTTTGGTGAAGAAGAAGGATGGCGAATGGCGGTTTTGTGTGGATTATCGAAGGCTCAACGAGCTGACGGTTAAGGATCGTTATCCTATACCGGTGATAGAAGAACTTCTTGATGAGCTGAGAGGGTCTCGCTTCTATTCTAAATTAGATTTGCGTTCCGGGTACTTTCAAATTAGAATGAGGAGGGAAGACATTCTGAAGATGGCTTTTCAAACTCATCATGGTCATTACGAGTTTCTACTCATGCCATTTAGACTCACGAATGCCCCCGCCACATTCCAATCTTTAATGAACCGGATTTTCCAAGATATGATCCGAAAATGCGTTTTGGTATTTTTCGACGACATCTTGATATACAGTGCAACTTGGAGGGAGCATTTGAAGCCTATCCAGGCAGTGCTGGCCATTCTGTCCGCCAACCAATTATATGCAAAGATGTCCAAGTGTCAAATTGCCAGGAAGAGCATCACTTATCTGGGGCATGTCATTTCAGAGAAGGGGGCGAGTATGGATAAAGATAAAGTGCCATGCATTGAGAACTGGCCTATTCCTTTGACAGTGAAAGAATTGAGGGGTTTTCTCGACCTTACGGGTTATTATCACAGATTCATTCAAGGATATGGTATAATAGGGAAGCCTCTTACCAGATTACTCAAAAAGGATGGTTTCAATTGGGGAGAGGAAGCAGCACGGGCCTTTACTCAGTTGAAATCTGCAATCATCAGCGCTCCAGTTCTTAGAATGCCGGATTTCTCAAAGCCTTTTGTGATAGAAACCGACGTCAGTGACTTAGGCATGGGAGCCGTACTCATGCAAGAAAACCACCCAATCGCATTCCTTAGTAAGGCTTTTAATGAAAGGAATAAGGGGTTGTCAGTGTATGAGAAGGAACTTCTTGCTGTGGTAATGGCGGTAACCAAGTGGAAGCATTACGTTGTAGGCCACCACTTCATTTTAAGGACTGATCACCAATCGTTAAAACATCTATTGGAGCAAAGACTGACTACTGGGATGCAACACAAATGGTTGACTCGTTTATTGGGGCTAGATTACGAGATTTTCTACAAGAAAGCGAGTGAGAACAAAGCCGCTGACTCTTTATCCCGTATTCATTCTCATAAAACAGAAGTTGCAAGTCGAGCTGTATCAGTAGTGCAACCGAAATGGATAGAAGAAGTCCAAAACCAGTTATGAAGGTGACCTTGATGTGCAGGAATTGATAGCCAAAACCACCTTGGAAGGAGAAGGGAATGGCCCCTATCAGTTCACTATGGGACTATTGAAGAAGGGAGCTCAAACAACATAAGGCAGAAAATTTTGGAGACAATGCATGCTTCTTCACTTGGAGGACACTCAGGTCAGACAGCAACATTTAACCGGGTTAGGTCCATTTTTTATTGGCCTTCTATGAAAAACAGTGTGGAAGAAATGGTGAGAAGTTGCGAGGTTTGCCAACGAAACAAGTATGAACATGTTCAATACTCCGGCTTACTCCAGCCCCTCAATACGCCCCAGCAAGCCTGGTGTCACATATCCATGGATTTTATTGAGCGACTGCCTACTTCACAACAAGGAAACAACACAGTTATGGTGGTAGTGGATCGATTGACAAAATATAGCCATTTCCTTGCTCTATCCCATCCTTTTTTCGGCCTCCTCCATTGCCGAATTATTTCTCAGGGAGATTTATAAGCTACATGGTCTTCCCGAATCAATTGTGAGCGACAGAGATAAGGTATTTACTAGCATATTTTGGAAGGAGCTGTTTAAACTATTGCAGGTCCAGCTATGTATGAGCACCTCTTATCACCCTTAGACGGACAAACCGAAATAGTGAACCAGTGCCTGGAAACTTATCTGCGTTGCTTCGCCAGTCTTAAACCTTCAAGCCGGAACAATTGGCTTCCTTTGGCCGAGTGGTGGTACAATACCACTCACCACAGCGGCATCAATATGACTCCGTTTGAGGCGTTATACGGTAGCAAGCCTATCCATATTCCTCTCGGCCCTTACTCTGATGTCATTGTGCCAGCTGTAGAGGAAATGCTTGAACAAAGAAAGGCGATCTCCAAGATACTGCAGGAGCAACTACAAAAGGCTAAAGATCGAATGAAGTTTTACGCAGACCAAAAGAGGACTGACAAAACCCTTAATGTGAGAGAGTGGGTTTACTTGAAATTGCAGCCATATAGACAGCAAACCGTCGCCTTGAGGAGCTCCTTGACACTCACTTCCAGGTACTTCGGGCCGTATGAAGTGTTGGAGAAGATCGGCAGTGTAGCTTACAAGCTTAAGCTTCCTCCAGGATCAAGAATCCATCCTATCTTCCATGTTTCGCTACTTAAGAAGCACATTGGCAAACGTCCAGTAAGCGCCACTCCACCTCCCAATTCCGAACTACAGGAGGAGAACTCCCTGATGCCGGAAGCCGTCTTGCAGAGGAGAAGCATCAAGCGAAATCAGCGGGCTGTAATCCAGTGGTTAATTAAGTGGAGAAATCTTGAGGTGGAAGAAGCTTCCTGGAAGGATAAAAACTTCATTTCCAAACAGTTTCCAGGGTTTAAAGCTTGAGGACAAGCTCGTTCTTAAGCGGCGGGGATTGTCACGAAATTCAAATTTCATCAACAAATTGAAAAGAGGGAATTTTTTAGAACGCGAGGACTGAAGTCGTTTTTGGTGGTCACAGTCAATTCTGTTGAGTAGTATTTATTACTAGACTAAATTACTGTCTAAGTTAATCCTTGGAGTAAATTCTAGAAAGATTCTGCCTAATCCTTGCAATGATTAGCTGGCAATTCCCAAGCATTGGGATTGTCGAATCTTGTATGATGATTGATAAAATCTCCAACGGAGTTGTAAATCTGCTCTGGAAAATTTTGAATGAAATTCTATCCCAAAGTTGTCCTTGTCTCCTTCTTTTCTAAATTCTTTTCCTTCTATTATTCTACCTCTCTTCTAAAAACCCTCTGAAATCTGACTCTTTACATATGAAATTCCAGCAATATCGTGATACACATGTGCTACTCTCCTTATCACCAATTAATTTTAAGGTGGAACTATATATGGACCTATATTTAGGCCTTCAAGATGGTATCAGAGCGGATTTTATCCTAGACCTGTGTGACTTGTGGGACGGGCTTTGACTAGCCCAACAGTATATTCGGGGTTTGATTTTCTTATCTGTTTGGCTTTCTTCTACTTCTACTTACTCAATTCTGAGCCTTCTATTTCTATTTCTTCTACTTACCCAGTTATATATGGACCTTTACTAATCCGGCAGTTTATCCGATTTGTCCAACTGTTTCGGGCTTGAGAGGGAGGGTTGAGAATAATGAATTGAGATATGCCCAAGTTCCCTTGTCCCACATGGATGGATGGAGAGTCTTTTAACCAACACATAACCTATATGTGATACTCCCCTTATCACCAATTGGTTTTAAAATGGAACCACATGTGAGTCTTTATTTGGGCCTTCAAAATACTTATTTTTTTCTATTTCTGAAATAGGGGGAATAAAAAAAACCCATATCCTAAACCCACATACAATTTGAAATTATTTGAAGAATATTATACAGCTTAAAATACATCTTATTGAAGTCTGATGTATTTCACCAAAAAAATAAATAAATAAAAATTCTGATGCTTTTAAAATATTAGATTACATCTTCGTTATGAATTTTCTGGAGAACGCACCATACTGCAGAAGTACGCTAAATTAAAAAGGTCCTAGAACGTTTAACTTTAACCCCTCGCACAACCCCATAACCAATTTGAACATAACACCAAAAGAAAATGTCAGCTGAATCACAAAAGTTCAAGCTAAAAAAAAAATGGTAATTTAAGAGCTGGAAAAAAGTATTTCAAAATTTGAAACCATAAAGAAACTGACCTAACAAACAAAGACGTCTCACATAAACGTAAAACGAATTGGTGTGCTTGGTTGGAGCACCAAACAAAGCATCCAATTTTAAAGGAATACAGATACCAGACAAGTTACACATACATAAACCCTATTTTTCTCAGTGAAAAATATTATCGTATGAATAACGCGAGAAAATTTTTTTTCTTTTTTTTTTTTAAAAAAAGGGAAAGAGAATCTCTATCGTTGATTTGTTTCGTCCACTTGAATAAATCGACAGATAGGTTGACGAAAAGTCGTCGACTTAATTGTCAACTTAGAATAGAGTGACAAATAGGTCGACGTCTGTTTGCTGAATTCCTTCTTCTTCTTCTTCTTTTTTTCTTCTAATTTTTATTTTAGATTTCAATCTTTTATAATTTTTTATACCAAAATAAATATGATTAAAAAAAAAAGAAAAATCTTTCAACGATTAAATCAATGTAATAATCATCATCATTTTGGATATAACCTTAATGCTTCATCAAATGTCTTATATATCAATTCTTTTGATCAATAAGTTGCCTAATTTACTACTTTTAACAGATTATTAGACGTTTTAGTATCTGGTCAGGGACTATATAGCTTGTGGCAGGTTGAACCATCCGTATTTGGTTATCATATGTAGTGATTAATATCCAATCGTTGGTAATTATGTCCAATGAACTTTGAGTGATCGATAAATATCAACAACTATTTCTTTCTATTCCAATTATAGTAAAAGATCTCGCATGAATTATTATAAATTTTTTTGTAAGTGCTACAACTAAACTATCTAAGGTGGGAATCACGTGGATCATCGAAATTATGGGTTAGATTCCCAAGGGAACACCTCCAACCTCCAAGTTAAGGATTACTGATTCAACATTATCCATAATACAAGAAATACATACTTTTTATTTCCAAAATAATTATCCAATTTAGATATTCACTTTTCCAAAATTACATGAAAAGATAGAGAGAGTATTTTATCTCTAAAAGAGGTTTTAACTTAAGCGTGGAAATGATTTTCAATAATTCAACCTCCTTCATTTATTAAGCATTCTACTATTACAGTCTATGATTTCTTCGTTTTCCTTATGTTCACTGACTAAAGTGAGTCGTCAAGATGTAATAAAAATGCACACTTTAGCTTATACCATATGTGTTGTAATAGTTTAGGTATCCTTTAATTAATATATACAAGTACTTTTAAAAAAAAATGAGATGTTAACCTATTTATTACTTCTAAATTATTCTTAACGTCGTTGACAAAATATGTTCGCCAATTAACACTCTGGAAAAACGTCACAGGCCTTGCGGTACATGTCCACTAAGTTTTCGTTTGGTCTATAGGTTTCAATTTTGGCCCACTTTAAGGCCCATAAAACTGATCCAAAAGGTTCAAGCGGGAGGTAAAAGAAATGACAAGAACTAGGAATAAGTTCTTAACTTTCACGAACTCCTCTTCGAAAAATTCTGGAAAATGATCAGTAATTTTCTTATGGCTCAAAGTTTTTGCTCCATTTTCACGATTGAGGTACCTTTTCTCGCCATTTATTGAATTTTTTTTCTCGATGGATTCATGAATTTTTCTGGAGAAAGACAGTAAAAATGGTGTCTTTTGCCCAGGGAGCTGATATTTTCTCATTTAGATCTTTAATTTCAGTATCCTTTTTGATGATATTTGATATAGGGAGCCAAGGTTTTGAGATGGGATATTAGGGTTTTAGTTTGTTCTGGAGTTTCTTCCCATTTACCTGGATTCTTTTACTGTTCAGACAAAAACTACTGTTCTGTTTGGTACGTTTGTTGTTCATATGATGTATTTGAAAGAGGGATGCTCTTTATTGCTCAAAGTTCAGAAGCCTTCAATCCCTTTAGTCTTGAATACTAGTATTAACTCCCCAGTACTCAATGCCATTCAAAAGAGTGATAAAAATAGCAAAAAAGACTCGGTCTTTATTAAAGAATATGAAGTTTTGAAGAGATTGAAGAATGAATGTGATGTAACTTCTGCACTGGAGTACTTCAAGTATGTGGCAAATGTGGGATATTTTAAGCACACCCCTTTAACTTACCGAATGATGATTGAAAAACTGGGGAAGAATCAGGACATGGATGCCGTTCAGTACCTTTTGCAACAAATGAAGCTAGAAGGCATTCCTTGTTCTGAGGACATATTCATTAGTGTTATTAAGTCTTACAGGCAATGCGGGGCAGCCGAGCAAGCCCTTAGAACGTTTTATAGGATACAAGATTTTGGTTGTAAAGTTACAGTGAAGATTTATAACCATTTGTTAGATGCATTGCTTTGTGAGAGTAGGTTTCATATGTTAAACCCTATTTATGATAATATGAAGAAGGATGGCTTGGAGCCAAATGTTTATACTTACAATATTCTTTTGAAGGCGTTGTGTAAGAATAATAGGTTGGATGGTGCTCATAAATTGCTGGTTGAGATGTCGAACAAGGGATGCTCCCCGGATGTGGTGAGCTACACCACGATAGTGTCATCTATGTGCAAGAATGGTAATGTTAAAGAAGCAAGAAAACTTGCTTTAGGTTTCAGGCCAAGTGTGCCTATATATAATTCTCTCATAAATGGATTCTGTAGTGATGGAGATCTTAATATGGCGTTTGAGTTGATTGATGAAATGATCAGTAACGGACTTAGCCCTAATGTTGTCACATATACGACAATTCTGAATGCGCTTGCTCATTCTGAAGACGTTAGGATCTGTTTTGCTATTTTGGCAAAAATGTTTACTAGTGGAGTAAGTCCTAATATTCAGACATTTACTTGCTTGATTGGAGGACTTTCTTTGGAAGGAAAATTTATTGAAGCCTTTGATGTATGGGACAGGATGATCAGGGAGGGCATTTTGCCTAATGTTATCACATACAACACACTAATACATGGTCTGTGTTTGGCAGGGAATTTGCCACAAGCTTTGTCTGTTTTCAATCAGATGAATTACTGTGGCTGCATTCCAAATGTGACAACTTTCAGTACACTGATTGATGGCTTCGCAAATTTTGGAGACTTATCTGGTGCATCTGAGATATGGAACAAGATGATAAGTTCAGGATGCCGTCTTAATGTTGTGGCGTATACAGCCATGGTGGATGTGCTTTGTAGAAGTATGATGTTCGATAGAGCTTGTAAGCTGATTGAGAGAATGCGGATGGAAAATTGTCCCCCAAATACAGTTACATACAATGTGGTCATTAAGCATTTATGCAGCAATGGGAAAGTAGACGGGGCAATGCAGTTTTTTGAGGAAATGAAACAGTATGGATGTGCATGTAATGTTACAACCTACAATGTACTAGTGGATGGTTTTCTCAAAGTTAAAAATTTCAGGGCAGCGTTTGAGCTTCTTATGGATATGGAGGAAAAGGGTTATTTGACTTCAGTGACTTTTAATACCATCATAGATGGCCTTTTTCATGCAGCTTTGGTTGAGATGGCACTGTTGTTTGTTGGGAAAATGATGGTCAAGGGAATAAAACCTGACACTTACACGTTGAACATACTAATCAATGGTTATTGCAAGTGTGGTAAGGTAGAATCTGCAATCAAACTGGTGGATACCATGAGGGCTATTAGGTGGCAGCCTAATTTAATTGCATACACCAGTCTTATCTGCGGGATATGTGAGTCTATTGATGTGGAATCAGCCTGTATGTATCTCCAAAGGATGACACATGAAGGGATGTCTCCTAATATTGCTATCTGGAACGTTTTGGTGAGGCGGTTATTTTGTGAAAAGGGATTCAAGGCATCTGTAACCTATCTTAATGTAGTAATGGATTATGCTTTGTCAAAGGAAAGTCAGCTGGTTAATGTTAGATTATAAGTTCTGAATTCATCTGATTGAACGCTTGAAGTTTGTTGAACATATGAAATCATAGAAACTAATCCGTGCAATCCCTGAGCGGTTACCAAACAGAAAACAAAGTTGTGCGATCCATTGTTCATTTTGTGGGATTTTGAGTTTTAAAACAATGTTTTGTGAGATTGAGGCCCGAGCTAAAGTGGATGATCCCAAAGTGGTTTCTGCTGGATATTCATTTGCAAGAAGCCAGGCTTGCCAGGACTAAATGCTAAGTAAGACCAAATCAAGGGTGCGGCAGATTCCTTTTTTTCTCATCGTCTCTTTAACGATTGCATTACTCCCTTGTTTTCTTCCTATTATCATAAATAATCATTATTTGATGTTCTTTTCTGGAAATATTTGGCAGGTGAAGCCTAACATCTACAAAGATGTATGCAAATTTGGAGGTCGCCTCATTGTCATTTCTGTATAGGTTGTGGTAATGCATCGTTTCATATAGCCTACTTACAGAAAAAGGCACATCTGAAGTTTTGATCTTTACTTGACACGATTTTTGATTAAATTGTAGTTTTGGAGAGAGTTCTCAGGTCTCAGGGACCATGTCATACATCTTTGCCATCATTGCGCATTTGCCTTTAATTGGGGTTGTGAGTTATATGATCCTTGGAAGATTCCCCGAGATGGAATTAGTTTCCCATGTTTCAATTGCTTCTTTGAAGAAGGATAACTCTAGTTGACTGGGGCGGTTGCTTGGGTTAGGACAACTAATGGTTGAAGGCAATGCTGTGGTATTACTTCTGGTCAGAACTCTGGTTGACATTGGTAACCTTCAATCTCATCCAACAGATACTATAGGTCCATTCATTTGCAACTCATGACAGAGACCTTAATGATCTATTTAAAATGTAAAAGTATACATCGGCAATGTAAAGGTTTTTGTTCTAGTTTTTTCATCTCAGATGTAAAAAAACTATATTGACATTGTAAGAGGCAATATGAAAATTGAGAAATGAGATTATACAGGGTAAATGCCTGTTCAAAAGATCAGAAACACAATGTAAATCACGGTAAAGAACACAAATCGTGAAAATTGCAAAAGCTATCGTTCTGTTCTTGAGCAGCTTCATGATATAACACAAATTTCGCCATTCTATGTGCAATTTAAATGCAATACAGGAGTAGTTTGTACCATCCTTGTCCGCAGACAGATTTCACATAAAGCAACAGGGAAACTGATCCCAGAAGGGAAAGAACCACAAACTACCCCATAGATATATATATATGTAAAAGCAACTATGCCGACTACATTCATCAAGATCCCATGATTCCTGATAGAACATTATAATTCTTAGTACATAACACTAGTGCAATACTTTCTCAGCCTTTTGTTTCCTTCTACCAACTGCGTTTTGTAGGTTACTTTTATCTGCATCCTCCTCATCCACGTAAATCACACCTTCTGCACTATCCCTAAAAGCTGACATATCTATTTCATCTCCATCCTCCTCGTCAACCCAATCTTCGTCATCATCGTCAAACTCATCCTCCTCATCCCAGTCCTCGTCGTCCTCCACATCAGACTGCAATGAGTGAAATAGAGGGGGAGGGGGGCACTCCGCGGTTTCAGCCTTTTCCCTTTTCATCACAAGATGCCGAATGATTCTTTCATCCTTGTCAAGCATGTTCTTAAAATCATTTATCAACCTTGCTTCCAACTCAAAATTCATTAAGATGTAATGGGCATTTTTGGCTTTCTGTATCTTGTACGCCAGTTTCCTCATGCCCCAGTCACTGAATCTCCACACCCTGCCTTTATTCTCCAGTATGAATTCTGCAGAAGTTTCCATGTGCAATGTAACCATGTTAAACTTTTGACCCACTCATTTTTTGCAAAATGGTATATCAGAAGTTGGACGAAAAGGCAGTTGGAGCAGATGAGACAATAGATGGTGCAAATTGTGAAAATTGAAAAGCACAGCTCACATAAGAGGGGAAAAAAAGAATATTTGCAACATTTTACGTCTCTTCATAACTTTCTCAGTCGCAAGACAAATTCCTTCCAATAAAAAGAATACCTTGAAGATGCATAGATGCATATACAGTGTAACAAACTAGAAGCAAAAATATCACAAGGTTCCAAAGTCACCTTGAACTTTCTGGTTGACACTCTCAACCTCGTTTTTATGATCTTCATGAATTAAATACACCACTTCATAGTGCCGCACTGCACATAGCGAACCATATCATTCATTAGTAAAGGTATCACAAAAGATGAGCTACGAAAAAAAGATGATAATGAAAGAAGGCCAGCAGTTTGTTCTTCTTTCCTCACATAGCAACCAAACATTCCCTTACAAAACACGACAATAAAGAAAGACTTACTAACACATTCTACCATGAATCTGGTTTACATATTCGGTGCATTATAATTATTGGATGATGAACAGGAGGGTGAAAAATCTCATTTTAGTACACTGTCAATTCCTACATAAAAAAGGACTCTCACAACTGAAAGTTCAGTTCGCGCAGGCTAAGAATGATGCTAGGGTCATGAAAGAGAAACTATTCACATGAAATATAAAACAAACTAAAAGCAACCAAAGTCCAAATTCAGAAAAGGGCTTACTTCTTTCAAGATTCAAGTCACTCTCTAGCTGAAGATTCAAAGCCTCATATAGTGCCTCTGCAGATGAATCATTAAAGAAAGAACACTGTCAGCTTCAGCGCAAATAACCAACAATAAAACCATTGGAAAATTCATAATAAGAAACGCCATGTCCAGTTTGGATTTGATTTTTGTAATGTGTTTTATGTCTTCAAAAACAAACACTGAACATAATGCATTCCCAACATTTCCAGCCATTGTTTTACATTTTTAAGCTAAAAATTTCTAAAACAAAATTTTGGAACTCCGATGTAAAACCAAAACCAAAACCAAAACATAATCCTGGCGGACCCAAATTACCTTCTTCAGCATCGGCGAATTCTGGAACAAGCTTTCCATCTTTTTCAACTTTCTTCTGCCAAAACCAAAGCAGACATCAAAAAAACAATTCAAGTATGGGTACCAATAAACAGCTCTATTCTAGATGAGAAAAAGATTGAATTTTTGAAGCTCAAAAAACAACACCCAAACCAACCCTTTCTCCTATTTCGAGTTCCAGAAATGGAAAACCCACTACCTCTTTGAGCAGAACAGCTTCTGGGAAAGGACCAGTGGCTTCATCTGGCCTTGCAATAAAGCTATGAGAATCAGTTTTTTTCTGGTTCGAGTCCTTTCTAGCAGCAACTACCGTGGCTGAAGCCCTTTTTCTCAGCTTCAACAAAGAAGATTGCCTAATCTTTCCTGAATTAAACAAGCAACCATTCTTCGGACTTTGACAAACCCCACGATTTATACAACACAAACTTATCGGCTTCTTTTGAAGAATGTCTGGCAAAGAGGTCAGCAGCGAAGCATCCATTTTTGGGTGAATTGAAAAAGGTTGTATTTTTGGTGGAGCTACAGGGGGTTTAAGTAGGAGCAGGATTTAAGAAAGGGCAGAGGATATGTTCATTAAAACGTTAAAATAAAATAAAATACTACTATTAATATAACTGGATAAGAGAGTTGCGAATCATGATTTTTTTTTTTTTTTTTTTTACTGTAATGCTAAGGACTTCAGAAATTTAAGAGGAACTCTGCACATTAATTTAAGAGTAACTCTAAACATTATAACAGTAGGATAACGATTGGTACAGAGAAAAAATGACAAGAAAATAACAAAGAATTGATCATGACCATTCATTTTTAACACTTTTTCTTTGGGGTTTAAGCATTTAAGATTACGACATAATTTAGATGATTGACAGCTCATTTTTTGTAAGTTTTTCTTATAAATTTTTCCTGTAGTTATCATTACTCATAACCGTAATACTTTCTCTATTTTAAAATGATTATACTGTTGGGAAGGAAAACTGATATAGAGAGAACATCACAATCATTTTGACATAGTGAGGCCGAAGAGACAAAATGGCCATACCATATATGCAGCAAAAACTGCGTACTAAAATGTAAGGGATTTAAACTTTTAGGTCGCTCCTCATGTACAAATTAGCTGTTAGTTGCTTCTTGTTCCTGGTCACATCATCTTTCCAGGTTGATTAAAATGGCTAATAACTATCTATTAGTAAACGGTACTACTGTTTTTTCCCCTTTTTCTTCCTCTTGGCATTGCCACTACCACCGTGACTTCCTCCTTTGCCCTGTGCAGATGGCGAGTTTTCGGGTGGGCCGCCACCTGGGAAATTGTCGAACATGCCAGATTGAACGGCATTCTGAAACCACTCATAAAATTCCTCCTGTGTCATCGCATCTTCCATATTGGGTGTAGGTATAGGACCGCCACTTCTTTGCCCAGAGCTCGAGCTGCCCCTTCCACCAGCAGTCGCCTTTGAGGTTATACTTGTATTTACATGGAAGCTTGGCTTGTGTGAGTTGGCAGGACATCTCATTCCCTGTAAAATGTAAGGTGACATAAGCAAATGGAAGGCAAGAATTAGGTACTGATTAACAAAATCAACTTTACTGACAAACAGAACTGTACTTATGGTTGAATATGTGACAAGACATAAAGGCGAACTGAACCTAACTTGTAAACTTACACATTTACAGTAATGTAATACAAACATGAACCTGATTATTATGAGGATAAGTTGAATTCAAAATGAAAATTGAAACCCCTTACAGTGTGTTGGGTTTATGGCACCCTTCGACCCACACAGACAAAACGCGACCCGGTTTACACCTCTATATATACAAGCACCACCCAACAAGTAAGATATTGAAATATGCACGCTAAAGCCACATATGTTTCCATCTTTTAGGCCAGTGGATGGAAGTTATTCTTGTAAATTGGCAGGATATATATGCTCATGGCATAAAGGTCTTAATACAGTATCTGCTGCAAAGGTTCCGAAGAAGCAACAACAATAACATGGACGCTTCGGGCAGGCTAAACACTAGAAAAAGATTACAAACCAGGTGAAATGCCACTCTTTGAACATAGCTCTGGAAACACTAGAACTGAGAAACTTGGGTAAAAAGCTTAACTATGATTGTTCTTCCAAGATGATAATGATAATAGTGAATTGCATTGCATGTTAGGCCTAGGTCCTATAACTTTAGAAGGGAAGTTCACCTGACAAATATACCACTCAGTGGCATCATAGATCTTGCCATCGGCACAAACAAAGGCAGCAGGAGGATCTACCTGAAAAAGATGCAGTACTCAGTATATGACAGAAAATGCTAATATTGTTTTTCTTCTGTTCCCAGCGGCTGAACCTCTAAGTAAATACCTTCTGTAGCATCCCAAAAAGTATGGGATGTGAAGACTGTTCAACCCATCCATCTCCGTCTTTAGCTTGGTGGAAATCTTTACATTCCTTTAGAAACAGGGGACAGAAATGAATACCGAGAATTTCACTGAACTGACTGGAAACGCTTACAATCGCATCAATATGCAGTCTCTGAAGTTAAATACACATGTAAATGATAGAACACAAAATGACACAAGAGAAGGAAAAACCTGGCACCATCTTGCTTTAGATTTTACTTTCTTCGTAAGAAACCACACATGGAAGTTCCCACACTTTCTGCAAGCTATTCGTCTTGCCTCTCTATGAGGGTCCTCCCCATCAGCTTCCTCACGTGAAAAGCCCCTGGGAAAGAACCCACGCCCTCTACTCTGAAAAAAGAGTCATTGGAAAAAATTTACACCAAATTGGAGCAAGCAGAAATGCTAACCTAAAAGTTCTTAACCCAATTGACACTTTGAGAACCCATCGGCTAACATGTTAAAGTAATGGTCTTTTACAGCTTCAGCTTCATATTAGTAGCAACTCATTGATAAAGTTGGAAATTGGAAACACTATTTGATCTGAGGGCAAGAGACCATACAGAACATCGAAATTCAGATGAACAAGTCTCATTGGGCAGTTAGGAAAGGTACAAAGACGGGACTGCAGGCAACAAAGAGGGAAATATAAGATAATCACTCATAAATTGAGGACAGTGGCATGCAACCAAACACAAGGAGATTTTGTTGAGTAGCACTTCAAGTGAAAGAAAATAGTTGCATCAGCGACTTTGCAAACTTCAGTCAACTGACTAGCTTTTTATAAGAAGGTATTACGGTAGGTCAGCAAGATAAAGAAGCATACACTTCATGAGTGATGTAAAAAGAACTAAAGGGGGAGCAAGACGGGGTTGGAGGGGAATGATGTCTTACCTTGTGAGAAGTTTCTTGAAAATGACGGAAATAATCTAGCAGTTCTTCTCTTCTAAGTTCGTCATCATAAGCTTTTCTCTTAGCAGAATCCAATAAAACCTATCAGAGTGTAACCTCCAAACGTGAAATGAGGAGTGAAACAGAACATGAAAAGAAAACAGAAACACTGGCACCTGTGGAGACAAACCCAAAGAGACGTACCTCATATGCATTTTGTAGTTTCTTAAAAGCTTCCGCAGCCTTTTCATTGCCCATATTTTTATCAGGGTGGACCAACATTGCCTAATTACCAAAGTATATTCAGTCTATAACATACAGCCTTTACTTATGAAGGAAAAATGAAATGCTATAAAAACAATTCTTATATAAATGTGAAACAACAAGAGGATCATGAACAGGAACTGCTCAAAGGAGAAGACCAACATCTGTGAAAGATATTTTAAATTATAGTGGAAATAAAGCAATCACCACCAACCTTCTTCTTGTATTCTCGTTTAAGAACAGAAATGTCAACATTTTCAAACCGAGCGAAGCCAAATGCAGAATAGTTATCACTGCAATTTAACAACCTAACAACCTCATCTTCAGAAGTTGCCTCATGATCAAATCCACTAGTTGAAGGAGTTCCAGATCTCTCATCAGCTGATGGACCAGCCACACCGATACCCGCAGATGAAGCAGGGTATTGACCTCCAGCAAAGAAATCCGATTGACCTGGCTCTTCAGATGCTTGTTCTCCAGTAGTATTGTTAGACCTTCTTTGGTCTTTCATATTGTTCCTCAGAATGTAAATGAGTACGTCACTTGATATAAATGAGAGGTTCAAACCAAAGAATAAACGAACCCATCCAACAGAGGCCCATACACAATACATGGAGTACGAGGTTGCAATAAACAGTGCAAGGCGTTCACGACCAAATGCAAAAGCCAACCCTGCATTTCGTAGAACCAAATTTAAAAAAAAAAAAAAGAAAAAGAAAGAAAAAGCAAGTGATCAATAAATAAGGGAAAAAGAAAAGCATGAATGTTAACTGGTCTCAGAATCGGGCTTAAGAATCACCTCCAAAGAGGATCACAAGCATTGTTGTCCAAAAGCTTCCATACAACCACAGCAGAGTAATAGCAGATATAGCCATCAAAATAAGTGCAATGGTGAACCCCATAAAAAGTCCAATTATAATAGCTGCAACCTACATAAACACAAGGAAATATAACCATATTCAGAGACTAAACTTGATGCGCTACTCCAGTTAATAGCTCAAGCATAGTTATCGTCGAGCATGAAAATAATAAATAAAGACCGCTCCAGATCATCAAAAAACACAGTGTAGTTGGATCAAATATTAAAACTAGCACGATCATTAGGCTTTACCAGTGCAAGCAGAAACTTGAAAACTCCAATCATAGCAGTTATTGAGAGAACACTGCACCAGACAACGGTGAAAAACGAAGTGGTTCCCATGCGTAAAAAGGATTCCAGACCCCTAAGAGAACAGTCCAACCAAACCATAAAAAGTAGGAGAACTATATTCACGAAATGCATACTCCATTTAAGAATTATGGGATATGCAACTTCAATCTTCCCTTGCACATAACGACAAGCATCCACTGCATTATTTCTAGTAGCAATGAACAGGGGTTTTTGCCTTTCAAGCCATTCCATTGATGCTTTCGATGCTGACAAGCAGAAGCTCTTCAGCCTAAAAATCAATGCATACGAGAGTTCCAAATCTTTTGGTGTGTCCTTTCCTCCGTGCAATCCATCTGGTGACTGAGAAATACTGCTTCCTGAGGCTTTGGGGCTGCCACATACATGGGATAGCATCTCAACTCTTTCTGTTGAATCAGGTACATTGATGTCGCATCCTCCAGGCTCCATCTTATTTTGCTCTTCCACCTCCGTTCTATCAGCTACTTCTGCAGCAATTTTAGAAGATTTTTTATATTTGTGCTGCTTGCTATTGGTTGGAGCTTCTACCTTGCTTTTACTATCATTGGTCTCACTCCAAGGGACATTATTTGTGAGCTGGCTTAAATTTTCTTTATCTTGCGGACCTGTACTTTCAGTTGCATTTGTTTTTTCCTGATTAGCAGGTGAATCAGATCTATAGTTAGAAACTCCTTTCTTCTGTTGGTTTCCCTTCTTCCGAGCCATCAATAATAACGTTATGGATGACTGGTGCACAAAGCGTAGTTCAATTTACCTCATTTATGTAACCTATCACAACAAAGTTCCAATTAATAACTTGAAAAGTACACAGGACAAAAAAGCCATAATATTGAAGTAGCTTGATCGCAACAATTCCTAAACTTCATTGAACATGTAATATGACAAGTCAAATACAAAATGCAGATATAAATGAGACACATATAAGCATCCAATCGTACTTCTTAAGAAGTGCTCATAACATTTCACTCTCTAAGTTATCAAGTTTACAATGGTACCATCTCCACAACTCGGTTCCCGTCCACAAAAGTTCTGGAGTCACACGCTTGTTGCTTTGATGAACAACTATGAATAACAACTGATTGCAATCAATGATGTTCACAGATGCCATAGATAGAGAATGGAACAGTTCGAGCTACTGAAATTCAAACCGCAGCCACAATTTTTAATTCCAACCATTAAAAAGATAATTTACCACCAAAACTTTAGCAGTCAGAACTACAAAGAGATGATTCCTCATTATATGCAATTCAAGCAGTGAAAAATTCACCAAGTGTATATAATCCCTAACAAAAAAGTCTCAAATTTCATTTGGGTTTCTTTCCCCCTTCTAAACCAAAGTTCCATCAACACAACTTAGTTCGCCAAGAACTAAAAAAGGAAGCGGCACCGAAAAGGCAGTGATTATAGTAAACCCAATAAACAAATAAAAAAAAGGGTGTCAGCAGCAAGCCAAAACAAGAAACCCCACGAGAAGTGAAACCAAACAAACAGAGAAACTTTCCGACTTTGATCGATTTACAGTTTATACTAAACAGGGTCTGAAAACATGCAATCAAGAAACCCAAGAGGTTACAAAAAAGAAAAAAAAAATTGAATCTTTCTTGCCTCGATCAATTCAGTATCTTAAGAAAATGCTGGATGGAAGGGGCAATGGAGAAGAGGGCACTCAGAAGTCAACACTCAGTCTGTCATCTGAACATGGATTGATTCGGGTCGACGGCGGGTCCATTCCAAACCCAATTCATCCCAGAAAAAACAGAGTAGGAAGGATGACAACAGAGAGAGAGAGAGAGAGAGAGGAAGCGCAGAAGAAGGCAGGAGCGAGGAACTCAGCTCAGTTCTGAGTTTCGCGAACAACCCTTTTTGAAGAATAAACCAACAAAGACACAAAGGGGAATACCAATCGAGTTCAATTGGATTGGAATTGATCCAAACTAGGTGAAACAATGGCACGTTTTTGAGTTTTTCGACCTCTCAAAGCTCATGTGTCTTTGTGTCCCCCTTTTCCCCATCCCTTTAGGGCCATTTCTTCCTTCCCTCCTTTAGCAAAGTAATTTTACTTTTAGGTCAAAGTCCTCCATTTTATTTAATACTTCATAGTTTCCTTTTCTTTTTTTTTTTCGGTTAATAATATAAGTATTACATAGTTTCACTACTAAACACTGAGATCCAAAAAATACTAAGTAAGAAGGATAAAAAATAAAAGCAATTCTAAACATTTGTTAGTTGAATTGTATGAATTATTATAGTTAAGTTGGTTTGAATTAAAACATGTAATAAAGAACTATTGGCTTTAAGGAACGAAAAGGTAATGATACATTCAGGAAAAATTTACAGAGAATTTAAACGGGAATAACGTCATTAGATTTAAACTATCCTCTAACTTTTAAATATATAAATTCTAAATATAAGAGATAAATATGGACTGTTATGATTCATTCCCTGTTAAAATTCACTCTAAATTTTTCATGGATAAAATCATTATCCTATTAGAAAACCTTGAAGCCGGAAGGAAAATGATTGATCTATAGGGAGTCGATTCACTTTAATATACCCATAGTTGTTAAGAGTTTTAATTTCAAAGAAGTTAGGAAAATTATTTTGGTTAACATGTGTATAATATATCTAAAAAATAATTTGTTTGTTTGGTATTTTTAGTCAGCCTCCAAAATGTTACTTCCACGAGAATTGGGGGAGTCATACAAAACAATACAAAATGCTGTTTTCAAGATGATGCGAATTGGGGAAAATGATTCTCAAACTAGCTTCACATTTGTTATAAAAGTTATTATAATTTTATTCTTGGGGGGAAAAAGAAAAGGATTGTAGAAAGTGTTATACAAGATGTGCTGCAGAGGAGGATCCAGTGGGGATCAATTGGCGTGGCAAAAACAGATCTCATGTTCATCACCAACTGCTGAAAGACAAGGAATTGTCTGGCCACATAATGATCGAAATGTGCTTGAAACAACAGAGATGATCGGAAGACACATCACCATGAGAACCACAATTTGAATAGTACTTCCTGCTTTCAAATTCCCTCTGACTGATGCCGGTACTATGGTCACAAGTGATGTAGCAAAAGCGAAAGAAACCGACACCAACGACATTATTATCGCAACCAACAGAACCAAGAACATTAGGCCTACACGTTTTGCCCGGCCAGTAGTCATCAGAAGCAAGATTGTGCTCAGAGATGAGCCAAAGGCTATCATATTGGACCAAATTAGCCACTTGTAATATTTTGGCTGAGTTTGTGCTATTACACTTTGTCCTGCTCTGTGTGGATTCGGACCTTCTAATAAATCGTCTTGCCAAACACCACCCGGAGGGCTAACCATGGATTGAAATGCCATTGTCGCGATCACTGACGTCACAACCATGATCGCGCCTTTGCTTTTTTCGATACTCTTTAGCAGTTCGCGAGGATTTTCGCGAGCTGTGACAATGTCACCGGTTACTCCTCCAGATGCAATGAAAGGACCTATGATCCCTTCTTCGTTTTTCTTTCTTCTGAATAAGTGGAGCTGCTGTTGTGGTATTTTAGCCTGTTTGAGGTACAGGTCTAATGCGGTTTTCCCATTTGAGTTCTTCAAATTGACAATTTCTGTCACGTTATTTATCAAGTAATTGATGATTTCCTTCCTCCCCTGCAAATATTGTATTATGAAAGTCACAACTTACATAAAATCAATTTGCATTCTTTCTAAAGCAACAATGACTGACTACACATGAAACAGAATTACAGAAAGTCACCAGAGTTAACACTTAATAATACCTCCTTTTGGTTGTAGTACAAAGCAAATGCAGAATAGTCATACCATCTTCATTCTTGACACCTATAAATTCCGGATTGGTAAAAACTCCGAGTAGCAATTTCAAGGCGTGCAGTTGATTATACTTGACACACACATGTAAAACAGTGCCTCCCCTGTCAGCCTTCTCTAGAGCTGCATTCATCATGCCATCATGTTCATGCACCAATTTCAAGATGTTCATTTTGCCATTAATCGCGGCAAGGTGTAGAGGGTTTCTGCCATCTCGGTCTCGAGCCAAACACATATGATAACATGAAGAGGAATCCACTTGTAGAATCGCTCGCGCGAATTCTTCGTGACCTAACATTGCACTGATGTGAAGTGTATTCTTATCTTCGCAGTTTAAAAAGGTTCGATCAATGAGATAAGGATCTTTTTCCAGGAGTTGAGAAAGAGTGACCGTATCACCTTGGATTGCTGCATCATACAACATTTTGTCCATGGTTTTTACAGTGGAAGAAATGGTGGTTGTGTAAATGGCAAAAGTAACCATACTCTGGCCTCAGCTGAATACTTAAATGACATCTCTTCTCTTTCATTCGGGTGAAATAATATACTCTATCCGTCCCAAAATTATTGGGCTGTTTGTTATAAGATTTTGGGACGGAGAGAGTACTATAATCTGTATTAGTACAAAAAACCTAAGACAACTCAGCAGTCTAATGCTGCTGGTGTAAAACTGCAGCCTTCCAGCATTCTTAAAGAAATAGAGCCTAGCTAGTACTAAAAAATAGTAATAACATATGTAATGATGAATTAAATACGTAAATTCGATCTTATTCTAAACCAAACATGACGGATCAGGCTGGTAGTTAAGGAGTTCAGCACGTTAGTCACATCGAAATTCGGTTAATTACAGTTGACTTCGTCATCTGGAACGAACAGATTATCTGTTTTAAAAAAAGACTTTAGCATGCCAGTGAAGCCTTCTTGGTTTTGGATCAATGACACTGAGAAAAAAAAAAAAACTATGAAAAGGAGAAATACAACTCAGCAAGATAATGATATGCCAGTGCAGAAGCCTTTCTTTATTTTTCCAAAAAAAAAAAAACAAAAAAAAAGGGCTAGGCTTGGAATATTTTACTTCGCATCTCAAGTCAATGAAAGATGCTGTCCCGGTAAACAAACGGTATTCTAATCTGAAATGAGCTTTTGAAGTTAATTTCTTCATTTTCAAGTGAATTTCTAAGGAGTATAATCCATGAAATTTACCTGTCTATCCTCAGAGTGATATGAATCATCATGTTAATAGTTTCGATTTTTCTCCCTGGAATAACTCTCAGTTAATCCTTGGGATCATATTCTCAACATTCTGAGTGAGATGAACTTGTTTGATGAATATACTGAGCATTCTTGTAGCTGTTTAAGTTAGGAACATGAAGAAAGTACTGTAGAGCAAATTCAGGAAGGTTATCCGAATTGATGAACGATGGAAAGCAGAATCAGTGATGGGAATCATTGAAAATCACCCTTCTCTTTTCATCAATCATTTTCTCCGGATATATTGTTCTCCTGGATTTTGTTCTTCATTGCATTTAGTTAAAAGTACTTAATCAATGCTATTTATCTGAAAGTTTCTTTCCTTTTAATGAGTCCAAAATCAAATTCGAAAGGTTGAAACTGTTGGACTGCATTCTGAGCTAACAATCGACACATCCAGCAGATAGCAGAAACGAAATATCTTTCCAAATGTCTTAAATTGATTGAAAGTTTGGAATACATTGAACTGTTTGGAGAAGGAAAAGAAGCAGAAAATGAAAAAGTGCTAAAAACAAAGCCAGAACTACTTGAATTACAAAAACAAAATGCAGAATGAACTGTTAGGAGGATGAACCACAAGGACCCCCAAATTATTACTTCAAAGAAGGGGAAAAAAGGCACACAAACATACACCAATGGTGTTTTCAACATGATGTGTCCTATCATCTTGAAAACCCACCAAATACTTCTCAAATCAGTGCATCAGCAAAAGAATTCTCAGAGCCTGGTTCTTCCACACTGACATCTGTAAAGTGCAGGAAAAAAAAAAAAAAGAAGAAGCAAATGTTCTAATCATTTAATTTGAGTAATCGCAATCGAAAATGACAAAGGCAAAAAAAGAAGAATGGATATGTCACTGACCTGCCAAAGAAAATTTCAATGCTCTGGAGGATAAACTGAGAGCTTAAAGTTGGTACTCTTGTTGCCTTTATTTGCTTGTTTCAGCTTCAATACCTGGAGTTTCCTCGCGGAGTTAGCCACATTAGTGTTGGTGCAGTGAAGGACCACAGATTGGAGACTGGGAATATCGGCCAAGCCGTGTGGAAAGCTCTGAAGCTTATCACAGCCATTGAGTTCAAGACTCTTCAGTTTGGGAAAATGATCCACTGAAGCCTGCCAGACCACCAAATCAGTGCGTCCAATGAACAAGTGTTTCAGACTCTTGAATCCGCCTTTATTAGGCTCCCATTTGGTTCCTTGAAACGCGAACTCTTTCAGCTTGAGGACCTCGAGCTCGTCTAGCTCCCCAATTACGCTCATCTCGTCCCAACCCAGGAATGTGTGAGACAAAGTGAGCCTTGTTAAATGTGGAGGGAAGCTCTTCTTTGGAGGAAGACTGTAAAGCTTGGAGCTCATGTCATCATCATTCAGCAACTTCAAGTTTTCCAGGTATTCCAATGTGCGAAGATACTCAAACAAATTGGCTTTACTGCTTGCTTGAAACAACTTGGATAACGATCCACAAATCCCTAATTTTTTCAATTTGGGAGTCTGAGCAAAAACTTCCCTGTTGCAACTTTCAGGCGAAATGGTGCATAGTGTTTGGACATTCTTAGGCAGCGGTGGAGCGCCTTCCTTACCTTTTGTTTTGTCACTTGAACTAGGGGGTGGAAAACTGGCTGATGCATTAGTATGCAAATGCCTAAATTGTGATAGCTTCCAAATGTCTGCTTTGATTTCAAGTGTTGGAGAAGAAGTTTTGACTATAAGGGTTTGCAAATTCAACAGTTGAGAGAAAACTGCAGGAATAATTCCACCAATGATTTGTATGGCTATGTATTTTAGAAGAACAAGGCCACAAAGGTCGGGTGAGAAACGAGGTGAAATGAGGGAGGGAATCTCCAACACTCTAAGAAGCTTGAAAGCCTTTGAAATGTTTGAAACAAGCTTTAAATCCGCAGCCATGTCTTCTTTAGGACAGGTTAAGAAAGAACGAACACTTTTACCTGAAGTCGTTGGAGAAAGGAAGTTGGAAATTTGAACATTGTTGATGCAAATGCGGCGACATTGATCTAGTTTCATGTCTAGGTTATCGGTTTTGATTTCCTGGAAAAGGTTTTCTTCCGTGGCTTCTTTCTTACAAAACTCACGAAGTGTATCATGCATACGACAAGTTTTGATTTTGTCATTTGACCTCCGTTGCCCCACCATCACTACGTTTCTGTAAACAAGTTCATCCAAGTACTGTTCCGCGGTGATCTCCAGGTCAAGATCACCTTCCTGTGGTATGAGCCCCTCGGAAATCCAGAGGCGCACTAATTTCCAAACAGGTATCTCAAAATCCTCTCGAAAGACACCAAGATAGAGAAAACATGTCTTTAAATGGTTTGGTAAATGTTTATACATCAAGTCTATCACCTTGGTGGCTTGAGTTGCATCCTTGGCAATGTAGTCCCTGACACTATTAGAAACATGCCTCCACCAATCAGTCCTGTCAGGATGGTTCACGAGGATACCTGCAATAACCACCAATGCTAGTGGCAAACCATCACATTTCTCGACAATTTTTATCTCGTACTCTTCTAATGCCGGAGGGCATTCATTTTTATAAAACACCCTCCACCTGAGTAGCTCGCGACTGTGCTCAAAATTCAAGAAATCCAACTTATATACCGAATCTGGATTGGTTGGGTTCGCGTGCCTGGCCACATCTTCTCGGCGAGTAGTTATGAGAACTCTACACCGCTTGTTGTTTTTAGGAAAAGCGAACTTGAAGTCATCCCAGTGTGTCGGTTCCCAAACATCGTCTAGCACAATCAGATAACTTTTTCCTTCTAGTTGTTGTCTAAGATGGTTTTCAAGCCTTACTTCATCCATGCCACTGACTTCATCATTGATTTTGGTGAAAGAACCCAAAATCTTGAGCAGCACTTCTTTTTTTTGGTATTCTTCTGAAACATAAACAAAGACCCGAGTCATGAACTCGTAATCAACATCAGGATCCTTGAAAACCATCTTAGCCAACGTAGTTTTCCCCAGTCCGAGCATCCCAACTATGGAGACAATCTCAAGAGTTTCTGGTCCTTTGACCAGCAGCTCTTCCACTTTCTCAGCTGCCCCATCAAACCCAATGATCACCTGGTCTTCTTCAACTCTGGATCCCTTTTGGGAATACAAAAACATGAATTGCATATATCAAAACTACAAGCAAATAATCCTTCTACTTTAATCAATCAAAATAATTGAGAGATGAACAGAAGCCAACCCTTTTGTACAACAACCACAATAGAAATCTTGCATCAACCAATGTTTCTTTTATGAAATTATGTTCAAGGTAATCACATTAATTGTAGATTATGTCAAATCTGATGCTTCTGGTATGGATAAAAGAACAACTCCAAAGCAACAAATTTAGACTTACCATCCTCAAATCTTTAATGGAACAACACAAAGAGTCATATATATTTGTTATACGGTTTTAGTTAAACAAACATAGGTTTGACTTTATAAATTTTCTTGGAGTCTACTTTTTTTCATTCAAGTCAAGATCGAAAATCATCGGACATCACAAAAAATGTACGAATATATGAACAAAACTAAGGATTCAAAGCAATCAGATCATCCAAAAACTGAACTAAATGAGATTTAACAATTAAGTTACCTCGGCAGATTTCGCAGTTCGGTTAAGGTTATTGATGGCCCCGAAATTCAACGCCTCGATCCCATCTCTGACCCTGTCAGCGGTGATCTTCTCAACTCTTTCACCAATTTCTTCGATGCACTTCCCGATATCCCGAAGCACTTTCGGGTAATCGGTGAACTGATGGTAAAACTTGATAACACCTTTCCTGAATTTCTGAATGGCAGCTTGAGCTAAGTAGTTGTCGATGGCGTCTTCAGCTTCCCAGAGAATGGACTTAATGTCCTTGATGATTTGTTTCACGTACTCCATGTCGTCGTTGTACTTGGAGAAATCCACCATTGCGCTCTTCAGCAGTTTCAAGTTTCCTTCAAGTTTCTCAATGTTTTCCTTCACATCAGCTATCAGGTGATAGTTGTATGTTAGGATTTGGCTCACATTTTCCAGCAGGAAACTCACCGCCGCATCTGGAACCGCCATTGGACGATGATGATCGGATCAAAAGGAAGATTGAATTTAAAATGATGGGTTTTAGCAGAGGGAATTTGAGAGACTTCTTCAATCTTCTTTTTTTTCAGGAGCTTGAAATTTCTTAGAGATCATGAAACAGAGTACTTTATAACCCCCATGAGAGTTGACCAATTTAAGGAAAATGATGAACTACTGTATTTATTAAACAAATAACATAGTGAATGATTCCTCAATCACATTAAGTTTTCTAATTTGTAATAATTTTGATACAAATTTCAAATCTCAAGGTGGACTATTTTTTCGGGACGGAAGGAATGATAATTGTTCAGTAATTTTAATTTTTGGGACAGGAGGAATATATGTATTGTAATTATGTAAAAAGAGTAGCAATTTAGTAGTACTACCTAATTTTAAGTTTCGTCCAATACAATTATAAAATGTTTTACTATCATCATTAAAATAAATTCAAATGCTCAAGAACAAATAATACTTCGGGAACTCCAATAAGTCGATCCATTGGGGATGGACACCCATCTCATTGTGAATGTACAAAATGCAAGTGGCCAAATTTTCAACTTATTTTTTTCTTGGCATTGTTATGTTGTCTGCTATTGACCATTATTCGTTTAAAAAAAGAAAGAAAGATTATATCTGTTAGATTATAATATTACAATAAATTTAATTCTTATTTTGAAAGGGAAACAATAATAAAATATATTGCATTTGCATTATTTATTTGGCTACTAGTATTAGAGGGTCATGGGGGTGCCAGTATATGGGTTGAGTAATTGAATGTAAGCGCTTGCACATTACTGACTTGTTGCAGTAAACAAATACACAATTCATGACTGGTTCCACCGTCCAATTGAAAAATGATCCGCTTGGAATTGGAATTGCATCATTGCATGTGAAGGACGAGTTTATTGTCTTTTCCCTCATTTTACAGGGGACATGGTACGACTAGAATATAATTCGATTTAGCATTTCGTAGAGTACAATTTTCAAAGAGTAATATTTGGGATTTCACACCGTTAAAATACAACCAAATGGTTGTTAGAAATTTTAAAATGACAGAAAACAATAGGTTAACTCAACCCTTCATTTGTTCATCCAATCTCATGTCTTGATTCGATTTGGAAAAATATATATACTATTTTTTTCTACCTAATTTCATCAAGGGAGATGATGTAATCGAGGGATTTTTTTTTTCTAGAGGTATTAGGTTCCAGTAAGACGTTGTTGTCTGTACATTACTAAAATCAAATTAAGTTGATCGCAACTTTCAATTAGCATCTCTTTTAAGAAAACTCTTTTTCTTTATTCTCGCAGTTTTTTAAATAATTGTTAGGCTTTTTGTGTTTCAAAACAATTATTTATTTATTATATTATTTTAGTACAAATATGACGATTATTTTGGATGAATTTATAATTATGATCAGATTAAAAACATAATTTAATGCAAATAAAGGGCCAGTTTCATAAAATGGCTTTTCTGTTTATTTGTCACGCATTTTCTGTAGGTGGCTGCTGCTTGATAACTCTACAACGAATAATAATCAAACTAGAGATGCCAAAAAAAAAAAAAAAAAACTACGGCGATGTCAACTAATCAAGGCTCGGTTTCTTGATTAATTTAATAAATTCGACAGTGGACCGAATTTATTCGCTCCACATATCGTATTACATGAAAATTCAAATACGACTACTAATTTATACGAAGATTAAAAATATGCTTATTCATCACGTAAAAGTAAAATTGGCTTGTCAATATACGAATTTCGAACGTTTCTTTTGTAAATGCAAAAAACAATCCGGTTGTCTAACTAGGATCTATATTCAAAGCTATGGTTAACATTTAAATTAATATGGATTCATTATGAGATCAAGAAACTCTAATCTCTCTCTCTTTTTTTTCATCGCAAGAAATCCAAATTAATTAGTTACAAATATATAATGATTACTAGAATACGTACATACAACACCATATTATATGCATATAGCTAGAGCTAGGACGACAGTCATACTCGTTGACGAAAGAGTTTTTTGGAAAGTGCTAATAAACATCGTCGACATCACCATTTTGTAAAACGTTCTTGTTGCATTCTGTATATATTGCACATATACATTATCATTTCTTGATTACAGATAGTTTACAATTGTGCTAATTAACATACAAATTTCTTGTCTGTCCTTCATGTTTTATTTTGTCAAAATCTTTTAACTAGAATTTAAGGGGAAAAAAATGATATTGCTTCCGAAAGTCAATGTTGAAAACGAGAAATTACAAGAACTGAAAAAGAAATGTTTCTCTCCCCTCATAAGCACAAAATCACGGATCCAAAACCTAGTATTCCCTCTGTCTCATAATTATTGTCTAGTTTGAGTTTTCATTTCTAGTTCAAATTATACTAAAAGTGAAATATCAAACTGAACAATAATTTTGGGACGGAGGAAATATTCATATGTGATTTTTGTAAGTGAAGTTTTGAGGAGGGTGCTAGAAGTAACACAAGGAGGATGAATAAGTCGTACTCCCTCCATTCCAAAATATATGTCGTTGGAGGAAAACTAAATTTTTTCAAAATAGATGTCGTTTTTGCATATCTAGGCATATTTTGTCATCTTCTTCCAAAATTGCTCCTACATTGGAAGTTGTAATTGTATTTAAAATAGAAGTGTATTAGAACTAAATGATATTGGGAATAGAATTGTATTGAGAATAAATGAGGGTAGTTTAATATTTTGACGAAATATTTATTGTCTTCTTAAACTTTGTGAAACTCCTCCAGCGACATATATTTTGGAATGGAGGGAGTACTAATTAGAACCCTTCCACCAACATCGTTGATATGTAGAACAAGTTGCAAAACGTGAACAAAACCTCAACAAGTAAAAAATCACTAAAAAAAAGAAAAAACAAACAAAAAACAAAACCAAAAACTTGAACATAAAAGAGGGATACGTATAAAAGAAGTTGGTTGTTAAGGAGGACATCCGCCACCTTCAAAACCATGATCACCATTATCATTTATCATCATTGCCGTGGAGGTGAACAATCCCTTCCAGCACGGTCAACATGAATTACAATGGGTTCTACCCAATTCCCATATCTCCTCTTTCGTGCCACCAACATTATTAACTTCCGTCTTTTCAAACTGAAAAAGATTGACAGACATCCATTGAAACAATTTAAATAGCAAATTATTAAAAACTTAAAAATAGTAAGATTGGAAATTTTTTTGAAAACCCTTATGTATTCCCACATCGTCCTTAATTAAGATTTATCCATACACTATGAGTATATAACTCATATTTCTCCATCTCAACGTGTTAAATATTTCCCTAAGTACTTATTCCATTTCCTTTCATAGTAAAAATAAATCTTTTTTCTTAATACAAAATGTAGGGGATATAGACTAACCTATTTTGTTATTGATTGATTCAGGATATGTATTCATACCAAAGACGCAGAGTTAGGTCCACATCCCTCCTTCTCCTCAAGAAATATACATATATTCCCTTGATATGGGAAAGATGAAAGTTTGCACTAACTCTATTCATATGGACCAAAGACACTAAAAATGGAGATGATTTTATTTACACATAATTATTATCTTTGTGATTTTCTTTACCATATTCTTATTAAATGTAATAAATTACAAGAAAAACGTATAAAGAATGATACGTCAACTCTCTGAATTATTATTTGTAAATTAATGATGATTAGTGTTTGTAAACATATTCGTCCATTTCTATCACCAAATCACAAGGGTCAATGATTTGCTACCTAGTGCAAAATTATTTTACGTACAAAATTGAAGAGACCAAACTGAAAGTAAACTTATTAAAGCGACTGATGTGATCTGCTGGTCAACTACTTAGCAGCAGTTAGCACCCATCTCCATTAATTAAGATTCATTTTCAAGCCAAAAGTTAGGAGCTTACAAGATGATTAAGGGTCAGAGACCTCAAATGTTTCAGTCGTAGGGGGAAATTCTGCTAAACTCATCCCTGTATCAATAGAAAAAAGAAACAGAAAGGATATAGCCGTGCTGCCTATGAACCCGGTACCTCCGTAATGTCATACAACCACTTCCAAATGAGATCAGGGGGGAGCACTTTTTATCATTGACAAACTTTTTCAAAATGTGGTTGAACCCGCTTTCGGAGAGAGGGATCAGTTATCTAGCTTCTTTTTCCTGTTTAGATGAATACATCTTAGGAAATTTGTCAATTACATGTGAACTGAATAGTTTCAGACACTTGCTTTTCAATGTAAGCCATAATAGGCTTTAACTTTCCAATTTCCAGGCCGCCTGAAAGATATTTAAGCTGCTTTATCCTCTCCGAAAAGATGGTTGCAAAGAATGATCAATTGGCAACCTGAAAATTTTAAAGTCAAGAATAAAGGCCTTTCCCATCTACATTGTGACGAAACATTAAGCAGTGGCTCCAAAAGAAAATACAAAGGAAATAAAGAAAACAAGCACTCAATGATTACAAGAGGAAGACTAGCTGGAATGAAGAAAGTATAATCAGTCAGCACAGTTCCGCTTCCTGGTGTCAGAAAAATCAATCATTCGCGCGACTGAATAACGATCTTCAGATCTGAATTTCCATAGTCTTCCTGTGCTTCCTTAATCTTGTTCACTAGCTCTATGACATTGTTTCCACAAATACGTGTTGCGGTATTGCTGGGATGACAATTTCCTCCACATAGTCGGGAGGGGGAGATTTGTTGGGATTATTGGACTCCTAACATATGTGGAGAAAGGCCCAATGGTGAAAATGCTTTGGCCCACTTTTAAACACTTAAAAGGGCAAGTCAGCATTTGAAAAAAAAAAGAGAATGAGAGAGAAGAGAGTTTAACTGCAAAATACGGGTAACAAAGGGAAAAAATTTTCAGTAAGGGGTTTACTGTAGCTAGTTCTGATTTTTTGTCGATTGGAGGGGCAAACGGAGTCGGATTGCTCTGAAATTTTTGCTGAAGTTAGAAGGCTTACCACTCTTCATCTCTGCAGAAGGGTTTTGGATTTCGATGTTTAGGTTGGGAGTTATAGATTTCTGAACATCACGCAATTTGGTTGATCTTTTGATTGTATTGATATTGTAGTGCCTTTTGTAGCTTGGTTTAGCTTGGTTAAGGACTAGATATCTTTGTTGTATTGCTAGAATCCTTTGTACTCAACTCTCATTTGGTGATAGTGGATTTGATAGGCCTTTTAGCCCCGTGATTTTTTACTTCTTCACATCGAAGGGGGTTTTCCACGTAAATTCTTCTGTTCTTGTGTGGTTTTGCTTTGATTGTTGTTTCGTTGCTGCAATACTTCTATTTGATTTTGGTATTTTATGCTCCTGGCGTGTCCTTGCAAATTGGGAAGGTGTTTGGTTCTTCCGCTGTAATTTAGCTAGCCGGATTTATGGATATAGCTAACTTGTTGCTTCTATAACCATTCTGTTTGTAATTGAGCTAGCTGGTTTTCGTGATATAGCTAGCTTGTTGTGCTATAAGCATTCTGTTCGTGAAATAGCTAGCCGGATTGTGGGATATAGCTAGCTTGTCTGCTGCTATAATCATTTTGTCTGTTAGTTAACTAGTTGCTTCTAATTTTAGCTAGCTAGTTTCTCTGATATAGCTAGCCGGTTTCACTTTGAGTTAGCTGGATGGCCAAAAAGAGCTAGCTGTTTTCAGCTAGTAAGGTGTGTCCTCCCCAACAATACGGACATCAATCATTTGGAGCATCGGACAGTTTTCGAGACAAGAAGGTAGCTCTTCAAAACTCCAGCAATTTTCCAGTTCCAATTTCTCGAGACACTCCAACTGACCATAATCACCACTCCAGGAACGAAGCAAATAGAAGTCCAATCGCAAGAATCTCTGCTTTGAGAATTCATTTTCGTCCATTCTCCATGTGTCATCTTCAAATTTCACAAGATATAATGTGAGGGAAGGTTTTGTAGCTTACCAATGGCTGGTAAACTCCTCGACGACACATGAAACTCTTTCAATGTTATTTTCCTCAGATTCAATGGCAAACCAAAGTCAACCCAACCGCGGAAAGGTCCATGAGGTCTGAATACAGACACCTCAAGTGATTCTAGTTGACTCAATAACTCAGGAAATACAATCTCCAGTGTCTCAGCACGGCGACCACCAGATACCTCAAATTCGCATCTTAACCTTCGAATGTTTGGAAACTTTTTCATTAGACTTTCCATGTTGTCCTCCTCAAAGTCAGTAATCTTCACACCTGACATCTTATCCAAATGAATTAGATTAGATGTGCTGTCAAGAAAATTTATGGGCAAAATTCCCCAGGACTTGATCACATGGAGATTTTTCAATCTTTGTAGCTTCAAAAAACCAGATTGCAAATATACTTCCTTCTGTCCAATTACCCTCAAAATGAAAGTTTCCAAATTAGAAAGTTCACTTATTTTACTTGGAATGTACCTCTCTGAGCATTGAATTGCTAGGTAGGTCAACCGAACCAGCAATCCAATACTACTTGGAATCTTGTCGAACCGAGTTTTTACCAAATTCAACACTCTCAGTTTGCTGAAGTGCATCATAAATGAGATATTTTGCATCGATGGTCTTTCTTCAAAATGCTTGAAATGCAGAGAATAAACACGAGGGTACAATACCTTAGCCGATGTGAAATCCGTTATGCCGGAGCAAAAGCATAATCTCCACCGGTAGAGTGGCTCATCAAATGCTGATAGCACATTATACTGTCCTCCCAGGAAATGAAACAATTGTTCATCTTTGGCCTTTCTCAGACAAAGTTCATGAAGCAAGTCGTGAACGCGACATGTTTTTGCTTTACCATCATATTTTTGTTCACCGACCATAACTAAACTTCTTCTAATCAAATCATTCAGATACGTTTCAGCAACTTCGAGTGGACGCTTCTCCTGAGTTTCGCGAACAAATCCCTCGGCCATCCATAACTGAAGCAAACTTTTGACCGAGATTTGTTCATCTTCTTCAAATGAAGCTAGATAGAGAAAGCATGGCTTTAAATGCTCAGGCAGATGCCTGTAATTGAGCTCTAATATGTCCCTGCAACATTCTGATAACTCGCCCGAGCTAATTGTATCCAGAATGTTCTTCCAATCCTCTTGCGCTGTGGATTTTAGAACTCCAGCTATGATGACAATTGTGAGAGGCACTCCATTGAAAATTTCAGCAACTTACGACTTGAGATCATTTAACTCTGAGGACCATACATTTCTCCTGAATAACCGCCTTCCCAATAAATCAAGGCTTTCTTCCTTATTCAGTTGTCTCAGTATATGAGGTTCAGGAGCAACATCATGGTGATGACTCGTCACCAAGATTCTACTTCCTTGGAGATCATCAAGGAAAAATTCTTGAAGACTCTCCAATACTCCACCTTCCCATACATCATCCAAGAAAATGAGATATGGCTTTTTCTTTAAACTACGCCTTAGCCGGTCTCCTATATCATATACACTCATCTTAGAGTAATCACCAGGAGCATCCTGACTTAAAAGGTCCATTAGGACCTTCTTTCTGTCAAATGATTGCGACACAACAGTCCATGGACGAATATGAAAATGACGTATGACAGAAGGATCATTGTAAATTTTACCAGCTAAAGTGGTTTTGCCTAGTCCAGGCATACCTACAACGGGAACAATCATCAACTTCTTTGATCCCCAAAGGAGCCTCTCTTTTAATGGATTTAGCCTCATCATTGAAGCCAACCACTTCCTTCGTCGCCATTGAGGGAACAGCGGATTGAATGTGACTGTGGGTGGCAGTTAATTCCTCGACTTTGTGTTCTGGCCTCTTTTGAATTTCTGATTTTATACTATTTATTTCTTTCATGATGGAACTATATGATGCTGAAACTAAATCTAAAATATTATCAACCACGACGTAGTTGATGAAATCCTCGACCCTGTATGCAACCTCAAAAATACGATCCTAGAGAGCTTGGAATTCCTCTGTATCATCATGGATCAGCTCCATTATGCCCCACAAAAAAGATCTCAAGGGGATGAGCTCTTTGTGGATAGTTTGAGCAGGATATGTCGCAGCTGATTCAAAATTATTACTTGTCAGTTCCATCAATTTTTCTAATACAAAGTTGAAAAATGCCAACTGACCGGTGCTTATTGGTACTTGTGAATGCTTCTCCTTGAGTTATGTCTGAATCATCTTGATTACTTCCAACAGATCTTGAAGAAGCCCAAGCTCTTGTTGACCATGTTCCAGGCGAAGTAAAAAAATTAAGACTCCGGCATCACAGACCACAGCAACAATGTTGTCCTTGAGAATGGATTTTGTCAAGGAATTGAGTGCTCCATGTAGCTCAAACAATTGATCCTTCACAGGAACCGCGACATGAGCACTGACTGAAGGTAGCACTTCCCTGAAAATAGACATGAGGTAATGAAGGAAATCCTTCGCCGCGACAAGGATTTCATCATCATCATCCATGTCTCGATGACTACCAGAGGGATCAAGTGATGTTCTCGCCAACTTTAAGCTACTCAGGGCGTCCATGTGAGTCTTAACGACGCAAGGTTTATTAGGATTTCATCATCATCATCCGTGTCTCGATGACTACCAGAGGGATCAAGTGATGTTCTCGCCAACTTTAAGCTACTCAGGGCGTCCATGTGATTCTTAACGACGCGAGGTTTATTATGATCATCCTGTTTTTGCCATATCCGCATTCGTATTTCAAACGTACTGTCATTTGTCAACTTGTATTATTCGACTGTGAGGAGATGAGCCGTAGAGATAGCACAGCTGCAGCATGAGCCAGCAAATCGCCTGTTTCGACATTATTTTTAGTGACAATAATGAGGATGAGACCTTTGAGGAATCTCATCTTCTCTTCCAAGATCCGTCACGCTTCTCTCCGGCTCTTGGATTGCTTGATGTCTGCCACATACTCCAGAAAGGAGTCAATGAGTTCCAACAACTCATGTGCAGTGAAACAATTTGATTGCAGCATCTTGGGCTCCAAGAGAATCTTGTACCATTCATCCAAACTGTCCTAAATAAATATAAGGTCATCCATCAACCTGTCATCTGTTGAAGAAAATCCATCCCCTGATGAATGAAAAGTGTGAATATTCTTTGAAATCCTGCAAACACAATCTTCAATCTTTACTAAAAAAAATGCTACATTTGCAGCATCCCGCGATTTCCTGGCAGAAAGAGCAAATATTTTGACATCCCTGAGAAACATCACCAGATTTTCAAGAACCTCATATTGCACCGTTTCATCCTGTGAATGCAATTGCTGTAAAGCAGAGCCAATAACATCAAAGAGGGTGGAGGACATCTCCTTGACAGGGACAAATTTTCTTTTGACTGGATCTGATGAATGGGAGAAAAAGGAATCAAAACACTATAAGATTGTTTGAACAGAAAGAGACAAGTTTAGTAAGTCAAGCAATCTGGTTGGGCTAAGGAAACCAAGAAGATTGAAATAGAGAATCCAGAAAGGAGACAAGTTGATGAAGAAGGTGAGAAGAAGGCAAAGTAATGATAACTGATGCAGAAATATTACATTAAACAATTACTTAAAGCAGTACTATGCCTTACACATTCAGAGAAGAAACCAGTTGGCTGGATGATGTGAAAGGAAGAAGAAAGGGGATGATGATCAAAGTTTAGATACTTCAACATTTTTTAATAGGGACTAAACTGTATAAATGGTTCCCTACATTTGTCCGAATTTAAATTTTGGTTTCCTACATCAACATGTATATGGATTGAGCCTTTATATTTCATTTTGAAACTTTTTTGGTCTCTTTTCACTGTTCCATCACCATTTCCGTCTTGATGACCGTTGACCCTACTAAGTCATGGGTATTTTCAGAATGACACATATAAAATCAAAATAACAAATATTTAAATGGTCTCCTACATTTGTCCAAATTTAAATTTTCGTCCCCTACATCAACATGTATATAGATTAAGCATTTACATTAAACTTTTTTGGTCTCTTTTCACACTGTTCCATCACCATTTCTGTCTTGATGACCGTTGACCCTACCAAGTCAGGGGTATTTTCGGAATGACACATATAAGATCAAAATAACAAATGTTTTTATAATAAAATAGAATAAAATATTAAAAATTATTATTTTATAATAAAAAATTAAATAATTTAAAAATAAAAAAAATTAAAATGATTTCAAATTTTAAATTTCAAAATTCTTTTTCACTTCCCACCTTTGTGGGTCCCACATGCCAGTCAATTTCCTCCCTCTTTTTTTGCTACAGTAAAAAAAATCAAAATTAAAAAACAAACTTACCTTCACACGTTTTTTAATTTTGACGGATGAAGGTAAGTTTATTTTTTAATTTTGATTTTTTTTACTGTAACAAAAAAATGAGAAAAATTGACTAACATGTGGGACCCACAAAGGTGGGAAGTGAAAAAAAAAATTTGAAATTTGAAATTTGAAATCATTTTAATTTTTTATTTTTATTTTTAAATTATTTAATTTTTTATTATAAAAATAATAATTTTTAATATTTTATTTTATTTTATTATAAAAACATTTATTATTTTGATCTTATGTGTGTCATTCCGGTAGAGTCACGGTCATCAAGACGGAAATGGTGACGGAACAGTATAAAGAGACCAAAAAAGTTTCAAAATGAAATGTAAAGTCTCAATCTATATACATGTTGATGTAGGAGACCAAAATTTAAATTCGGACAAATGTAGGGATCATTTAAACATTTGTTATTTTGATCTTATACGTGTCATTCCGAAAATACCCCTAACTTGGTAGAGTCAACGGTCATCAAGACGGAAATGGTGACGGAACAGTGAAAAGAGACCATAAAAGTTTCAAATGAAATGTAAAGGCTCAATTCATATACATGTTGATGTAGGGGACCAAAATTTAAATTCGGACAAATGTAGGGAATTATTTATACAGTTTAGTCTTTTAATAGGTTGATAAAGTATTTTTACCATTTACTAGTATATTTTTTGGCATTCTCGCGGTCCTATTTTTATTGCACCAATTCTACAAAATGGACTATTAAAACGGAACAAACAAGGGATTATTATTCTGTAACAATAACAATTCCGGGTTGGCATGCTAATCACGTAGTGAAATATAATACAGTGGACCATCAATTGCTGGTTTCCAGTATTAAATTAAATTATATGAACAAACAAATAATGAGTTACGACAAACGACTCCCAACTTGGAGTTTACAGCACATCATTTCGGATTTAAAATCTCAATCACATGAGTTGAAAGTATTGGGAGCAGAAAACTACCACAAAGGGTTGACTTTTGATTTCCTTGATATTCTGAATTCCCTTTGATTAGGTAGAAAAATTAGAGGTACTTGGATTCTCTCAACTTAACAGGATCTTGATTTATTTATTCATTTATTTATTTTTTGCTTATTATTGATACAGTTACTACTAACCCATAGTATTCAAAGCTACATTGACAAACATTTGGAATCGTGAAATACTTTCTTGAATTTTTTTGAGTGTATTGTTTTTATAATCTTGTATTATTTTAGTTCAACGAAATGGGTTATTAAAGTAGGACAAATTTTGCATAGATACTTTTTCCCTGACCTCTCTTCTGATTCATCCCCCCATGCCATTTTCCTTCAAGCGATTAATTCAGCTATAATTAAGGACGATGGAGCAATTAGGAATCATCAAAATTAATCCTATCTTTTTAATTGTAAATTGTTCACGGAGAAACAACATGATTCAGGCTGACACGATCTTCATCCTCGTGAGATTTATGGTTTTGATTTTGAGTTATAGTAGTATTTTTTGCAATTTATATAAAATGGTGTTTGGTTGCATGGTATCATAAATCCATCACACCCAACCAAGCAACCACTAAATTAATGTATTATGCAGATGCAAAATGATTTATAACAAAAGTAAGCAATGTATAACAACAAGGGAATGATATTTTATAACGAAATGAACAATGCTTTATTATTACCAAACGAATAAAACTTCAAACGGTGTTTAAAAATACAAAGGAAAATATCAAAATACAAAGGAAAGCCCAAGGTAGGATACATTGAAATGACTTCACACTTTGGAATCTTCAACTAAGCATATTAAGCCAAGATCTTAAATGATTTTCTGAATTGGAAGGAACGGCTTATATGTTTCTGAATGTTAATGTCAAAGTGATCGTCGTCAATGCTTCGAGTTTTCAATGTAAGTTCAGAGTAATGCTCTCTGTAACGAACCCATGGATCCAAAACACTGAATAACCTTCTGGTTATCTCCTTTGTTTGTTTACTTATGGGTGGCAGTTTTGCTTCAGCAACAATCCAATCCAAATACTCAAACTGCCAAAACCATTTAAAAAAAAAAAAAACGAAAAAGAAAAATGTTAGTACTCATATTTCAATTTCAGACCTCTTAAGAGCAGAGAATAATTTTTTTTGCTATATTATATTCCCGATACTAACTCAGATTCGAATCGAATAAATTTCTTCTAGAATATATAAGAGAATAAAATACCTGATTCCAGGGAAGTCTATGTGTATAGCGCTTGGGAATTTCATCCTCTTCTAATTGCTTGTAGTATTCCTCAACATCTGCCAGCATCTCTTCTTTTGAAGGCAAATTTACCTTTTTGGAAAGAACAAAAGCTATCCATTTTGCTTGTATTTCCATCATCTGGAAGTTGTTACACTGAAAAAAAAAATGCAGAAAAAACGTTTTCATTAATTATCCAATTTTGTATGATGGAAGATTTGAAATGTTTAATTTGGAAATGTATTATAGTAACAATGAACTATATATTGATAATTTAAGTCCCAACAATTAGGTAATAATAAGATAAAGTAACTAACCCGAAACGGAATTCCCATAAAAGAAAGTGAAGGAGCCAGTTGTGGTGGGAATATATGCTTGTACAAAGGTCCGACTCGGTTATCATCAATGGTTACGACACCATTTGTGTTAAGAAAAGGAAACGATTATTTGTATCTGATAATTATGTGATAAAATTAGATATATTGACAATATAAGACAATATATATAATATAATTAACTGACACAGGAACGGAATAAAATACCCGGTGCAATGAATAATGGCGTCTGCGTTAACCATATATCCATCTTCAAAAAGAATATCACCATTTTCATAACAATCTATTATCTGTTTGAATCAGATAGAATTAGAATAGCCATTATAAGTACCAATCCAATTCGTGAAAGGCATTAATTGATGAAACCCCAAGTTATATTTGTTCTACATTGATACCGTGAGAAACTTTGTATTAATAAATTGAGACTTCTGTCATTGCCAATTGATTTTGAGGTAAAACTTTATGGTTTTCATTTTTTTTAAAAAAAAAAAAAAACGTGTTTTGGAACTAATGAATTTGTACCTTCGGATGTAGCCATAAGTTGTCACACTCGTCTATCATCCCGGACACGACACCAACAGCTCTAGACACAATATGAACATCTTTGGCCACTTGAGAAACGTCTAGTGAGATGTCATGAGCACTTATTCCATCACCAATCACTACTACCCTCTATAATTATATAGCAGAAAAATATATATTTAATTCAGTAATGGTAATACATCATAAAAACCTATAAATTCTTAGAATTGGAAAGAGAATATAAAATGACACCTGGTCTTGATATGGCTCTGGAACTCGATAGTTATGAGAATGGATTTGTGTTCCTGGCCATTTCTTGATTCCTTTTAGATATTAATATTTATGCCACCAAAGACACGAGGAATAAGAAAGAAAAAAAAAAGAGAGGGGAAAAATGATTAATTATAATTATGCAAAGTGGTCGAGTGATGAAAATTTTAAAAGATAGGGGGACTAGTTAAATAAAGAAAATTGATTGCATGTACCTGGAATCTCTACTACATTGGGCTGACTATAGTGACCATTACAGATGACAACTGCATCGAACAATTCCTCGTCCGAATCGGTTTCCGACGTCCACCCGACGGTCCACGGTCCATTCTCCGTCGTTTGCTCAACCCGAACCACTTTGGTTCTGAGCCGAGTTAGCCGGTTTAGGTCATAATCTTGAGCAAAATGGTTAAGGTACTTATGTATCTCTTCGTGGCCAGGGAATTCTTTGAGGATGCCATTTTTGTCTTTGACTGTGAAGGGGTAGTCAGAAAACCCCATAATTTCTTTAGGGATAGTTGTCCTAACGGCACGATAAAGACTGCTATGTTTCTCTTGTCGGTTCGGGTTGATCCCCATCGGATCATCCTCGACTTGAGAATCATAGGCCCAAATTCCTCCCAATCGGTCGGATTTCTCGAAAATCACCACATTGTGACCTTCTCTTTTAAGTTCTCGTGCCATAACAAGTCCCGCGGGTCCTGCTCCAATCACCGCAACATCAAGAGCCCTACCCATTTTCTTAGCTGAGACAAACGAGTAAACAAACAAAAACAAATGACTTGTTACGGCATGATATAGGGAAAAAAAGAAGAAGAAGAAGAAGAAGAAATGACTACACACATGCAAAACATGCATGATATATAGACATACCTTGTTGGTGCAAAAAATATGGTACTTGTCTAGAAGATTTTGAGATTTTGAACAAATTGTCTCACAAATCCCTCTAATCTCGATCAACAAATTTTGTTGTTGTTGTTTTGTATGTGTGTGTGTGTGTGTGTTTTTGAGTGACAAGCTATATATGGGAGTCTTTTGGAGAGAATAATTCTGAAGGCAGAAAGAGTGAGTTTGATTTGTAGCAAGAGATGAAGGTGATTAAAGTCTCTACTTGTGTGTGCTTATATATAGATAATTTGGTTGGACTTGCTTTACTCGACTGCATAATCTTGTACTATGAGTTGTTTATTATCTCATCATAATATAATGATGTACTAATTTCAAATTTGTTTCTTTCTAAAGACTAAAAGAAGTGATTGGACATGGATCGTATTCGGCCATGATGTGACTTGAGCCTGATTTTGGCTAGAATGATGAGCATAATCTATTTTTTAAGATTTTATTTATTTATTTATTGTATTATTTAGAATATTAGTACAACTAATTGATAGGACCATTTTTGGACCGACGGTGTAATTTAAACAACCAATCAAATGTTAACTAATTTATGCTTACTCTGTGGGAATCGTGTACGAAATTTTTAGATGGTAAATTGTAAGGAAGAAGTCGTATATTTTGTAATTGTAACTTTATCGCATCGCTTATAATGCAAGATGTAATAAAAGTTCATTTTATGTAGCCATTATTGACAATTCCAGTCCCATATCAGTGTTGGGAGAGTCTGAATATCAATATATAAGTACATGGGTTACTCTCCCTTATAGCTAATTGATTTTGAGGTGGAACCCCATGGACTTCTGTAGTCATGAGTCCACAGACTGAATTAAACAATTTTGTTTTGTATATAACAGCTCTTGACTCTTCATGGCTACTTGTCACATTTTATCTGTAAAAGCTTGATAACTTGATATAATCATCAGAAAAGTAATGGAGTAAGCCATTAGATAAGAGGGTGTAATGATGTACTCCATGTTGGTCTTGAAACTGCAATTTCATTTATGCTATTATATTTTATATTTTATTCTTTGTTTTATTTTTCTTTTACAAGATGAACCATAACTTATTTCTAAGTGATAAATTCAGAATAATTTTTGCTTGAGGTATAACCAGGTCCTTCTCAAAAAATAAATCTATCTCAACAAGTATCTTGATCCAAGTTAAAATCTATTCCACCTTTTAATTATCATTAATGAATATTGTTTGTTGTAACTCCAAAAGATGCTCTCATGGCTGATGTAAATTGCCTGGCCCTATGCACTAGGACATGACCCATCTGAAGACGAGATTTGTTTGATCCAACTAATTCATCATGATAAATTTATTTTTCTTAACACACACACACACACACTCACTATCAGCACGCAGTTTAGAAATTTCGTTTTTTTTGTTCTATTGTAGACCTAGTTTAATTATTGCTGCATTGAGCACACATCCTGGCCGGTGCATGCGTATTTAAACAAGATATATAGACTAATCAAATTGGTTTCATATTTGTATGCTTTTTTGGATTCACCGTTAATACTATTTAGTATCTTATTCCCGCAATATACTCACATGCAACATATAAAAGAAAATAGAGATAACATGAACCAAGGAAAAGCCAAAAAAAAAAATGAACAAGAAGAAGAAGAGGGTAGAAAGCCGATCACCTCCATCGCTGTAAGCCTGTAAAAATGGTGGGACTGTCGATATCAACATATATTAATTAATTAATTCCCACGACTAAGGCAAGAAGGGAATCAAGGATTAATAATGATAATTGATTGTAATCATATCGAACCAAATCACAAAGGGTCAATGATTTGCCAACAATAATTATTTATATACGTATAGAATTGAAAGAAAACCAAACTGAAAGTAACCTATTCAAAGCGACTGTTGAGATGATGACCTGTTCATCAACTATTTAGCAGCAGTTAGCACCCATCTCCATTAAAACTGTCTGTTAAGATCCCTTTCGATGGAAAGTATAGAATCTCCATTAAACTGTTGTTGTCGACGGTGGACACTTCGTAAATATACACAATAAATAAATAAATCATATCATGTATCGGTGTAACTTTCATTCTATTATTATTATTTTTTTTTTGGTACAATCTCATTCTATTTTGTTGATTTGTCAATTGACAGCAATAATAAAAACATTGAATTCATTTTGTAAAGACAAAGACATACATGAAATGTAATGATATAGTTATGCTGATTGCTAAGACAGATTAATTAATTGCTGCTAACATGAATCCCATTACAAAAATCAGGATTTCCGATCGTATTAAAGCAAGTTATGTGTTCGTCTGATAAAAATTGTTTTGACACATCTTATTTAGTACAATGTATATATTCCATCCGACCAGAAATTATTATACAGTTTAAATTTTTATTTTTTGTATTTTGAGACAGAGGAAGTATATATATTATACTTTCGATCCACAACCTGAAGAACACGCTCCAATTAATTAACGCAACTAATCCTAACCCTTCCTCTAACAAATACATGTATGAACTTTAATCGACCAATGAGCGTCTCTCCCTGTAATGTTGGTTGGGAAGTCATTCTCGGCATGCCAAACACATAGTAATGGAAAAGTAATTGATGATTCCTGGATTAATTCTATAATAAATAAAATAACAGATGAGATGAACAGATGGCGAATGGGAAATTTCATTGCCTTTTGCTATCGTAAAACTAAAAAAAAGAGAGAAGAAAGAGTTTAAAAAAAGTGGTAAGTGCTGATTTCAGATTGCGGTTGCGGAGTATTCAGAAAATAAGGAAAAATAAAATAAAATTAGCAGTAATACACTCCCACTGTGATGTAGTCGGAAGCCTCCAATTGTAACTCTAGAAACCGTAACCGTTAAAGGCCATTGATTCGACACACTACTTAACAATTAACCTTCTAAAGTCTGTTGATTCGGCTTGAATACTCAGAAAATAGGCATTAAAATTCAAAAATGAACTTTGGAAAAGAGTATCAACTCTATGATTTCATTAAAACAAAAGCTAATTTACAAATGATGGACGGCCGAGCTTATAAGGAGAGAAAGAACAACAAAAAACCCTAATCCCTACTAACATGAAATTACTAAAATAGCCCTATAAAACAATACTACAACTCCTAATAATCTTTATTCTTCTGTCTCCATCACACTGGGAGCCTGACTGGGAACACGAGTACAACGAGGAAGACGTAGTAGTCTAGTCTCAGTTAATAATACTACAAAACAGAAAGATAATGCATTGGAAAAGGAGGAAAAACATTGTTGAAGGCCAACTTTAGCATCCAAAAAAAAAAAAAAAAGAAAGCCAACTTTTACTTACTCTTATTTGTAAATGGTTAAGTGATTAAAATCAATCCCTCTCATCGTTCATGATAACAATCTCTAATTAAATTGCTCGCTAATACGCTCTATATACTTCTGAGACGACGTTAACTTCTATATAGATATCTAGCTATGACAGAAATGTAACTTAGTCAAATTGCTCAAATGAAATAATGATTTGAGAATTTTATGCACGTGAATACACGTCCAGATTGGGAGAGAGTTTGGGAGATTAACAACGGTTCAGATTTGAAATCTCAAATCATGCACATGAGCTGATTGGAGGGGATGCCAAAATTACAAAGAGTTGATCTTCTTTGGCTTGATTTCATTTTCTGTATTCCCCTCATTACTTACCTTGGAAAAAACTGTGGAAAATGGTGCTCTGTCTTCTATTTTGCACTTTAGTAGATTTACTTGAGAGGTTTAGGCCTTAGGGGTTTAGGGTTTAAGAATGATTTTATGGCAAAAAGATTAATTTCTTGTCCCAGCTCAAATAAATATATTTCACACTTCACACCAAGAAGTTTACTGGACTAATACCTATTATCAAATGACCTATGAAATCTTTGTTGTAGAAATGAGAACTTTAGAGAACCTGGATCATATATATAATATTTGTTTTTTGTTACAGAAAGAGAGGCTAAAGCCTAAATTCAAAATAGCACATTCTTATGATATGCAACCCCTATTATATTATGGTTCAACCAAGGCTTGGCTCCTGATGGCGGATCTTCAAATCTCTGTAGACCTTCCGGTCTTTGTGTTGTTAATAAGGCCATATAATCAATTACAAAATTAGCCTCCTGATAAATATGTTTAATTCCACACTCTACTCTCCCTTCAACAAATCACGAATTTCGTAAACTATGCCAGCATTCATACGAGCAATATCTTTCGTGCTATATACCATGGAAATAATGCTTGAGTTGTCAATCTCAGCAATCACTCTTCGACCACCTATGTCCCATGCTAGCGTTAGCCCTTGAAATAATCTCCATAATTCGGTACATGTAATTGTACAGAATCCGATATTCATGGTAAAACCATCTTTCCAGCAACCATGATAATCTCTTACTACTCCTCCAACCCTAGCCATACCCGAGTCTCTATAAAAGCTACCGTCTGTATTGATTTTCCACCAATCTATCGGAGGGGGAAACCAAGGAAAAAATATCGTTCCTACCCAAAGCTTTGCCATCGTCATCAATCATACCCAATAATTTTTGGTTAGCCAACTTTACCCTAATGTTTGAAATTTTTGCCAATTTCATCCAATCCGCCCATTTTCCGTCCAAAGTAACGGATCTCTGTTAGTTTTTTAATAAAATAATAAATTTAATTACAAAATACTCCAGTAATTTTAAAAATTATAAAAATAACACCTAAAATATACAAAAATAACAAAACAATCCTTTTTCACTTTTTTTATTTTATTTTTCTATATTTTGTTCTATTTCTCTTACTACTTTTAATGACCATAAAAGTATATTATATGAGTTTTAAAAAAATATTTATTTATTTTCAAACTCTATCGTAAAAATTAATCTTTGTATAGTTGTAACACATGATTGTATTTGTATAAGCATGTTAATTTTTTTAATAACATAGTTTAGCAATAATGACACTATTTTTCTGATGCATTTTATTCTTCCTAACATAAAGATTAAAAATATTTAAATGAAACTAATATTCTACATAAAAATAAAATATTAGCTCAAATAAAAAATAATTGATTAGTATAGTTTAGTGTATTACAATTTAACTAGAGAGACTACATAGCATAATATAATTTATTAAAAAAATGTGTATACTTATCAATGCGAGGATTTAACATTTTATAATAATTATTTAAGATATTAATATATCTAACTATAGAGGAAGTCTTACTAGTTTATTCTATATGATTTTAGTTTAAAATGAATAAATGGAGGTGACGATATGGTAATAAGTTGTTGTGATTATCAATAGGTTTTAGATTCAAGAAGGAAAACTTATGTTTGGAGATTTTTTTTTAAGGTTTTAATTATTTTATATTTTAGTTAATTATTTTATGAATTATATTAATGCAAGTTATAGTCTCTTGAGTTAAATTGTAATACTCTAAAATATATTAATAATAATTTTATTTACTTGAGCTAAATATTTTATTTTTATGTGGAATAGTGATTTTAGTTAAATAATCTTATTCTATATATTAGGATGAATAAAAATAAATAAGAAAAATGTTATCGTTACTGCTAAAATATATAATTTAAAACATTAATATGTTTATATAAATACAATCATACAATACAACTATACAAAGATTAATTTTTACGGTAGAGTTTGAAAATAAATAAATATTTTTTAAAAACTCATATAATATACTTTTATGGTCATTAAAAGTAGTTAAGAGAAATAGAACAAAATAGAAAAAAAAATAAACTAAAAAAATAAAAAGAGACTGTTTTATTATTTTTATATATTTTAGGAGTTATTTTTATAATTTTTTAAAACTATTGGGGTATTTTTATAATTAAATTTATTATTTTATTAAAAAACTAACGGAGATCCGTTAATTTGGACGGAAAATGGGCCGATTGGACGAAATTGGCAAAAATTTCAAACATTAGTTTAAAGTTGGCTAACCGAAAATCTATTAATTATGATTGACGACGAGAGTAAAGTTTTGGGTAAGAACGATATTTTTTCCGAAAACTACTTTATTTCTCAGCCCCGATTTAGGGCTTTAATAATAAACCACCCCACCCCCCCCCCCCCCCCCAAATACTCCTCTATCTCCTTCACCCGTCTTGCCACACCACCATCGTCGCCTTTGAAAATCCGGGCAATTCGCCAAGACCAGATGCGCCAAATCGTCACCCCGAAGTAGCAGCTCCAATCCTGCGCTACATTCTTCCCATGTCCACGCACATTGTCCCGTGTCCAGTCCCTCAACTCAGCCGAGAAGAAACTCGATCGGTTTTATGCATGAAGGGACTATTCTGTTCCAAATTTCTTTGGCTGCCGGGCAATCCCGCAAAACGTGAAGTGTAGTTTCACGAACATGCTCCACAAAACTCGACAATCAGCCGCATCAGTCATATGTCTCCGACAACTCTTATCGTTCGTCAACAAGCTACCACGAAAATGACTGATGCGGTAGTAAAAATGACAAAAGATAACGAATTTATAATATATTTATTCAATAAAGAGACAAAATCGCTCTTAAATCACTCTTTTATATGGCTTATTCACCTTTGAATGCTTAATATATTAATCATTTAGTAGTATTTCTTTTTCAAGTGTCACGGTAATAAGTGAGCAATTCCTACAAATTCATTGTATTTATGGTTTACTCTATAAAAATAACCTTTCACCAATTCAAAAAACATTCCTCGAACAGCCGGAACAACAACCAGTACTCCACCAGAACAAGCATGATGATTCCTTATCAAAAATCATTCTCTGTAGCTCAATTCTCCTCTTCATCATTTGTTTCTTTAAATAAAACACATATCCTAACCTAGGAATTAAAGTTGCCATTAAAGATGAATTCCCACACGATCTTAATCCTCTAAAAGTGCATTGTTACAAAAAACCATCATGATTTGGGGTGGCATGACCTTCATCATTCTGATATTTAAAGTTTGATTTTCCACCGGGGTGGTTTATATATGAACCCAAAGTATTATTGTACGTTTTGGTGGGGTACGGAAAGAAGACTAATTTTGCTGGTTTTTTTTTTAATTTTGCAGGGTGTCTACCGTTGGCAACAGAAACTAATTTTGTTATTTTTTATCAAAAGCTATCCCTCATTACTGTTTATGGCTGGTAATGGATTTTATATATATCATAAATAAGTCCCCTTGAAGTGTTTAGCTAATCATATAAAAAAATTGTGAAAAGTATACCAAATTATTTTGTCTTTCATTGTCTTTCTCATGGATTAAAAAAAATAGATGAAAAAAATGAGCGCAAAGAATTAATCAATCTAAAAGATAAAGATTTTTTTGAGTTTTTTTTTTTAAACGATTTGATACCAAAACATAAATCAATTATTACCAAACAAGTATAGCATCATAAAATTGTGAGAAATGATACAAAACGATGGGCATCGTTTTAACTTTCACGTAACCACTTCAAAGTAGTCAAAAAAAAAACCCGACAAAAACATTTAAATTCGAGAGTTTTACATTTGATGATGGTACCAATTCATAAAATAATTACAAAAAAGGTGATGATTAAAACATTTAAATTCGAGAGTTTTGAGAAAAGCGGCATATATAACATAGAAAATTATGTAGGAAAAATTGAAAAAACAAAGAGGAAAAAAGGATCAAATTCCTTGCCTCCAAATACAAAAAGGGGTATTATGGGATGGAAAATATAAATAATTAAGATCCTCCATCTCGGGTTTTATTTTTTTTTTAACGGATCAAATCTTTACTTCAACCAAATTTGACATTGATATGGATGCCAAACATTACTTTAGCCATAGCAAATTAAACTAAGTCCGCAAAACTACCGAAGACTAGACCCTAAAAGGAAACATTACTTTAGCCTTAGCGAATTAAATAAGTCCGCAAAACCAAGACTAGTATCTTACTATATATTAAAGAAATTTTTTTTTAAAAGACACATATCAGTCAATTAGGACATCGATAATTTTCAAGTACACATGTGATCTTTTCATTCGTTGAGAATTTTGTATAATACACATGTCATCTTCTACTTTGTGGATGTTTTTACTGGGCATTTTATACAAACAATAGGGTTATTTTAAACACAGTCAAACGGTTATTCTCTACATAAAAAAAAAAAAAAAAAACTTTCTTCGAATCAGAAGATTGACGCTTACAATCTCCGAATAATTAAATTGACCGGAAAAATATCTCTGGCCACAAAGACCTCTAGACACATCTTAGGATTTTTTTTTTTTTTTTCCTTCTCTTACACTCATAGAAATATAGCAACAGAATTGGTCTTTTTTTTAAAAAAAAAAAAATATATATATATATATATAATAATAATAATAATAATAATGATAACTAGTTAATTCTCCATAGAAAAGATCATATTTCTAACCTCCTTGTTCTATCTGGTGTAATCTGATTCATATGGAGATCTAATCTAATTGTAAGAGCCATAATGAATGCATTCATCATGACATTATACCTGAAACTGTTGGCAATCAGAAATATTTGTTTTTCCCTCGTTGCTTCGATTTGAAGATTAGACTGTTGCAGAAGTGAACCGATCATGTAATAGATGTACATAATTAGTTTGCATCAACAATCCCTCCCATCAGTTCCTTAGGGTCTAGTTTACTGAAGTAATAATTTCTTTTATGTGCGTACAAGGATTATTTTTTTAAAAAAAATAGTACTTTCTCTCTCTGGCCCAAAGCCGATTATCCGATACTTCTTGATTATTAATTGTCTCAATTGAACAGGCTAGTACTCTCTCCGGTCCTTATTATAAGGCATTTAGATTTCGTTTTAGGTTTAGCTTAGGATATCTTTTTAATTAAAAAAAATATTAAAAATATATTTTTACATTCGTTGTATTCTCTTAATTATTATGAAATATTTTTAAAGTTTTTATTCCAATTAAAAAAACATCTTAGGTGAAACATAGGACGAAATCAAAATACCTCAAAATGTCTTATAATAAGGACCGGAGGGAGTATGTAATACAATAATATAAGTACATTATTTAGAAAAGAAAGTTGAATACATTTCTTCATTTTTATTTATAAGATACTTCAAATATGATTTTTTTTGAGACAGAGGAAGTATCCTACTTATAAAGTCTAAAATTTGATAAAACTCGTCAAATTCAGAAGGAAAGATGAATTTGGGATCTGGTATAAACCCTATATAACTGCCTCTTTCTTTCTGTATGTCTAAGAATGAATTTCGTTCAATACAAAACAGAGCTGCACAAGAGTTTACACGCTGACCTATACAAGTAGATAGTTGTACCTACTACATCTAGATTCCTACTCATAATAACAGAGAACTATCTACAAGTTGCTGCAAGTTTCTGCAAAATATACCTTGCCAGCTCAGTTTCGGGGATCGTCAGTATTTACATTTCTGCTTCGGTGCATGTAGAAGTTATCATGTGACGCCCACACTTGTTGATCTGAATCAAAGGCAAGATGAACAACAACCCATGATCTAAGGCGTTGCAAGCATAGAATATAGCCTTATCAGAAGCTACACTGCTGCTAGTAACATATAGCCTTATCAGAAGCCACACTCCTGCTAGTGCTGGTTACAGCCTCGTTACACAGCTATAACTATTACAATTCGGCTTCTTCAATAGCATGCTTCCCGGTGGATGGAAAGAAGTTGTAAGATCAAAATGAGTTATGACAACAGACCGAAAAGGGCTAAGATTACTACATATCCAGGAGAAAACTATGAATCTAAAAGCCAAAGTAACACAGTCAAACCCACAACAAAATGCGAAAATCTGATGGGGTGAAAAGCAGGAAGAGAGGAAACAGAATGCCGAGACAAGGTTCTTTAGGAAAAACCACTACGAACATGAACAGATCAATATCATGAAGCGAAACAACCTTCTCCTGGAAGTTCTCAATAGAAAATATTGCAATCTATATTACTAAACACTGCATCTATAGGAGATGCCATACACCTGTAGTGTCATATTCTTGAAAGAATTCTGGTATACATAAATTAGTTTGGATGGTGAACTGCATAGTTCTAACCTCTCACTGGTAACTGCCTTTCTCCAACTCATCAAACACAAGGTAAAATTTGCCTTTCTCCAACTCATCAAACACAAGGTAAAATTTACACCATTAAACAGATAGATCATCAAAGAAGAATTCATCATTCATAATACTAGACATATACGGCACCATAAGTTATCAACACTATCCCATTTTTCCCCAGACGGAGAGAAATAAAATACCTTTTCCGACATTATGTACACAATGGGTACATTCCTAAAGCAACCGTACCCGGTCCAAGACCAAGACCTTAATGGCACGAAAAAATGGTGCTTCGAAAGGCATGAGCAGAGAACCATAACGGAAATGTGGAGTTGTTCTTCACAGAGTACATCTCTTTCCACAGTTTACTATCTCTATGGTACACCAAAACATGTTTATGAGTTGCTAGAAAAACATATCGGCCTGTCTGGCTTATTGGAAATACGCCGGGAACCATTCCTCTAATGCACCGAAGACTAACCCTATCAACCATACACCATTCTTCTTTCTCATAATCATTCATTACCCAAATATTCATCCAAGCCTCGGATATCTGAATCACGGACAAACACCCGTCCGACTCCAACAAATAAATCCGGTTCCCAGCTACAGATCCTGCCACCTCATCAGGTAAACCTATTTTCCTCCACCCATCGCATTTCAAATCCAAAACAAGCAAACAAGCACAACTCTCCGTCAACCAATGCAATGCCCCGTTTATAAACACGACTTGGTTCTTATTCATATGTGTAAACCGATCATCCTGTAAAGTTACAAACTTTCTCCACTTATTTGACTCAGAATCATAGACCAAACAAACAAAATTCCGATCCGGCCTATGCCCAAACGACCTATGGTAACCAGCTAACACAACATTATACTTCTGGGAATACATACAGCGAGCCAGACCAACAAGAGTAGCTTCACCATCAGGATGAAACCGGGTAATGGGCCTATTCTCCCTAATCCTGGGAAGCAATTTAAACTCCCTAGTCATTGGATTACACACATAATAAACACCCTTTTCAGGAATGCTAGAGCAAACCAATAATCCAAAACAAGATGCTCTAACTCTTACTCTATCCCCAATAAAATCCAGAGATAGATCATAAACACCCCTTAAATTATCAACAAAAATCAAACTTGATTCGGTGGGCTCAGCGAGCACCATAGGGTTCTTAGCAGAGACATCATTATAGAGGCGCTTGAAATAATCAGTGGAAGCAAATTTGTACCATGATTTGCAAACGCATTTGATTCTGAAAAGGGATTTTACAGGTAATCTTGATAGAATGAGAAGGATTACCTCATCTGGAAAGAACCCAAAGTCCGAAATAAATTGATCATCATCCATCATTCACAGAGCAGATTGAAAGAATCACGACGAAGAAAAGGCCATAAAAGTTCACGCTTTGACACCGGATTGAATGAGGAATTCACTGAAAAAAATGGAATCAAAGCTCCGAGAAAGAAGAGAAATACTAGACGTGGCATCGCGGGCTTTAGGATCCAGTTGGGACATGTAAATAGGCTAAATAGAGGAAAGCCCAAGATAAATAAATTCAAAGCTATCGGCCCATGATGACATAAAATAGCCACCACAAAAATAAATATATAATAATAAATAATAAAAATCCACCCTTGGTTATCTTTCGGACGAGTGTACATTTCAGTTCAACGCAGAATCAAAATAAAGCGAGAAATTGTATGCAAATTTGTGGTTCATCAGTCTATGGCTTCTCCTGCATTATCAGCTAGCAGCTACTACTATGCCGTCACTCCTGCGTCATCAACCTCCTCCAGCAAGTTGTTCTTCAACAAATATGGAAATGGGCTGAAGAACAGGTGTAATGTGAACCCTTTCAGAATCAGAGCTTCCTCTGAAGATGATGCTGATTGCAACACTGAAGAATGTGCTCCTGACAAGGAGGTAAATTTTTCAATAGCTAATTTGTCACCCTATTTGAGCAAATATGTGTGAATGATTTAAGTGGGCTAATGTAAAAATTCACTAAATTGCACTTTGATTTGGTATTGTGATCTTCAGTTGTTAATTCATGTTTTTTTTTTTTTTTTTGCTGCTTCCTTTTTTGTAACTGGATTATTTTAGGGCCCTTTGCGTTGTGAATTTTTTGAACAAAATATTTAATAAAAGATTGCTCTTTTATGGGAACAAAAGATATAGTAATTTGAGATTGGAATTTTCTGAGTTGTGAATTTGCTCATGAACAAATGACTTGATAAAAGATTGCTCTTTTATGGGAACAGGTTGGGAAAGTAAGTGTGGAATGGTTAGCTGGGGAGAAAACTAAAGTTGTTGGTACATTTCCTCCACGTACTCGTGGATGGACAGGATATGTAGAGAAGGACACTGCTGGCCAGACCAACATATACTCTGTTGAGGTAATTTTTTTTGATCAAGACTCTCAAATATCAGCATATGTATTTCGGGTTTCTTATTTCAGAACCTTGAAATTGGAGACCCATTTTGCGAGTTTATGACTGAGTAGGAGCCGAATCATATATCTGTCAAATGTTTGTCTTCAGTTGAATGGACTAAGGATTGCTTTGCAATTTACTCTGATCTAGGGAAAATTCCTTTTATGCACGCATCAAATGTGATGATATTAAGGATTTCGTATTAAATGTGTAATAATTGGTACAATGGAACTTCTCTATAGCTTTAAGAGGTTTTAGCTCAATGATGTATTTGTTGTATCCACCGTCCCACCAATTAGTTTTGGTACAATCTGACACATGAATTGTATCTGACACATGATTTTTTTGTGCCTAGTCGATTTTTTAGTGTACAGAGATCTAAAAAGACTGAAAGATATAACGGAAAAACTTGGATATATTGATCTTTGGGAGCATTTTACTCTTTATACATGACTTGGGTATTTATGGAAGAAATGCATGAGTAGTTCCCTTCCCATGACTTCCACTAACATAATATCTGTAAAATATGAACTAAACTCCTAAATCAAGCCACAACTAAATCATGCTTAAAGACTTAATCAAAAACTTATCAACTTGAAATACTAGTCAAAGACTAAGGCAAAAATAGCCAACAGATGTTGGATAGGACGTGTTTTCACAATCCAGGACCATTTTAATATCTTGTTCACATTGTATTTGCATGTATGAAATATTTAGGATGATGGTGTTGCTAATGGTGATGCAAAAGTATATATGTTTTACAGTGTACGCTCGAACTAGAAATGTGAAGGGCCTTTGACCTGTTCTGCTTCTGAAAAGATGAGAACTTGCAGTATCATTTTCAGATTATGCCTTCCATTTTCGAACAAGTTTTATATAAATGCATTCCGTGTTTGCTATTAGGATATATAAATCTATTGTTGAGTTTGCTAAATTTTCATTAATACACAGATCCGTATACTGCAAATCTAAATTCAAAAAAACTTTAAAGCAATTTCATTCATGAGAAATACTCTGAAAATTTTGCACAATGCTAGAGATGCTGATTTAGTCAGGGCTATATTTACATTGTAGTATTTGAGTCAACAACCTCGCAAAGGATCCAACATGAATTAAGCACGAAACTAGCATATCACTCGTGTTTTGGCGACCCAAGAAGATTGGGCAACTTGACTATGTTTTCTGTAGATTTCTTTGAACTGTAGTTTCAAACATCATTGAGCGAGCCATAATTACAAGATCAATTGGATGCAAGGAATAATTTTAAGCCTCTTATTGTTTAGAGCGACCTTATCTGTAGCTTCCTATTTTTGTGAAGTCTTTTATCTTCCTGTTCTAATGGCTTTACATATCGTAGCCTGCAGTTTATGTGGCAGAGAATGCAATAAGCTCTGGGCAGGCAGGTTCATCTTCTGATGGATCAGAGAACACTCTAGCAATTGCCGGTTTCCTTGCTTTGATCTCTGTTGCTGCTGCTTCATCTATACTTATTCAGGTGGGAAAAAACGCTCCGATCCAGACACTGGAATATTCTGGGCCAGCCTTGAGCTACTTCATAAACAAGTTTAAGACAACAGAAGTTGTTGAACCCTTGGCTCCCATTGAAACCACGAATCCTAGTTCCTCACAACCAGAGGCTTCAGCGCCCATTGATACTGTAGTTTTGACTTCGTCGCAATTGGAAAACTCAAATCTTGAAGCCCCCGAAGTGCAAGTTGAACCTGAACCTCTGCCAGACACTTCCGGATCTAATCCTAGTGTATCTTAGGTCGTTTTCTAGATATTGAAATGCTACATTCTTCACCTTAAAGATAAAGCTTGTTGTATCTGCTACATTCTTCTATGTATAAAATATAGCAATTTTTCCTATAGCATTTTTATAGCATTCCTTATAAGCATTTGTCATGTCAAATTTTACTATTTACGGGCCACAAAAGGGGATATAAGGTGTTTACTGGTATATAAAAAGACAGATTTCAAGTTAGGTTCAGTTTCAGTTACACACTCTCATTGATAAATGCTCTTGTGAAAAGCAATTTCCACTTTGCTTTGTGTGACTCTCTCTTTAATGAACTACACCTCAAACAATGGAATGCATTGTAAAAGGAATTCCACAGGAGATAAAATGCAGATTGCTCAACTGCGCAACAAGTTGAAGAGTGATATGCAGTATTTTCATCAGCTTGGATTCAGACTGATGATTTAATTTTCTGTCTGGTTCAGTTCATTGTTAACTCAGTTTTGTCCATTTTGGATTTTAATTATTGATATAGTCGATGTTGTTTGAAAGGAAGTTAGGTGAATAGTCTGCGGATGTGTCTATTCGGGGCAACTTCTTTGTACAGAGTTTCGAGTTGTTTGAGCTACAAAACTCACAATTCTACCGGTTTGATACTTCACTTTAGTTCATACAGTAGGAAATTAATAAGAAACTGATTTCATACATTTTTCAAAAATCCAAAAATAAATAATAAGAAATAAGTAAAACCTTGTAAACCAAGCTTATGACCTTAAGATGATCCACAAGGAAAAATCCATACTATTCAGTACAAAGGCCATTACGATTAAGATGAGATAAGCCAGCATTGACACTTTACCCTCATAAGATTAACTTGCAACAGAGATCCATTGCTGATTAAGCCAATTTAGATGAGGCCTCAGATCAGAGTGCTGAAACTCAAGTACTTTTATGTTAGTCAAATAAACCATGTATGTACCATTCATGGCAACTTCACATACTAAACCAACCCACCATCCTTCATTATACCATGCACCGACTTTTTGAAATAATTTGAACCGTTCACTTCCAGAGATCCACCGCGGGGAGGGCCTTATGCACAGAGCATCTACTTCTTGTTTGAGAAGTTCAGTTTCATCATCAGTGGTCAGGGTAGCATATTCAACCAAATACTTTCTGTATTTAACAGATCTTAGAACTTTGGCCGGGTACCAACAATCCTTGTAACCTTCTTCATCACTTGTTACCTCCACCCTTGATTCGTTGAGAAAACATTCACCCAATGCTGATTCGTCTTTTGGTCCAATTACTCTTCCTAGCTTGGAATTCATCGACAACTCAGGCTTCTTCTGCATTTCAAGAAAAAATACGATAATTATGATTTTCTTTTTCCATAATGGCTCGAACTCTAATAATGATAATATTGATCCTTACTACTAAATAATTATGTCCTAAAATTTGGGAATAAACAAGAGAACTCAATCATGCAACAAAAGAAAAGGCTAAAGAAAACACAATAATAGGTAAGTCATCATTGTCATACCCGGAAAACAGTAGTCCATTTTCCACCAATCCATTCTTGATGAGGCCTCAAATCACGATGACTGAATTCCAGTTCCTCATTCGTGGTCCAGAAATAAACTGCAAAACCCCGTGCACCAAGATTCCGGCTTATCACGCCAACCCACCATCCGTCATTAAACCAAACATCAACTTCTTCGAGCATTTTATAGCCGTCGGCCTTTGTTATTTGAGGAGGACAAGGTCTAATGAAATAACTCTCTGCGGGTTCTACAAGGAGTTCAGACTCATCTTCTGTTTTTAGTGTCTGATATTCAACCAAATACTTCCTGTCGTCAGTTTGGCCAACTACTTGTGCAGTGTACCAAGAACCAAGGTAGCCTTGCTCATCACTTTTGACCTCCACCATCATCCCCTTGATAAATAATTGTTCTGATGTTGTTCGATGGGCTGTTATCCCCACTTTCAGCCGTTTAGCATTTGTTGTGGCTACCTGACCGGAACTCCTCTGCATTTTAAAATCGATTCCTTAGGAGGGGGAAATGGAAAAAAAGGATGTGGAAGAAAAAATATAATGATGACTATCAGATATGATATACCTCAACCATCGACCCCTTCTCAAGATCCGATGTTTTTCCACCACATTTTATTCTCACTTTCAGCTCTTTCGTTCTTGTCTCCCTGGAAGTTGAACCTCTCTGCAATTTAAGTCAGGTTCTTAAAAATGCAATAGGAAGAAAGATGTCTGAAAAAACGCAATGTGAACCATCATTTGAGCAAGAATAATCATGTGTTTTTCAACCACGTTCTCGAATGTACAAGTGACTTTCTACAAAAACAGGATTTAAATATGCAAGAGAATGAGATCATACATTGGAAGCTGCAAACCAAGTACCCATGGCCCAATCTTGATGAAGCCTCAAATTACTGCGTTCAAACATCATTCCTTCACTTGTATTCTTGAAGCAAAATATGTATTTGTCATCACCAATTACTTCAGAAATGTGGCCAACATACCAACCATCATTGTACCAAGCATCAACTTGGGCAGAACATTCAAAACACTCAACTCGCTCAATGACAGGGGGACAAGGTCGAATGTATAAAACGTCCACCTCTTCCATTAGAAACCGAGACTTATCCTCTGTTCTGAGAGTTTGATACTCAACCAAGAAGTTTCTCTCTCCTAATGATTTAACAATTGTTGCTCGATACCATGATTCCTTGGAATCTTCTTCCTTTTGACCACTGACCTCCACAGTCATCCCCTCCATCAACATACCACAAGATGTACTCTTTACTCTCCACCTAGTACCGCTCATACTCCTGTCTGAATGAGGTGAGGCTCTCTGCATTCAAAGGATCACAAAAGTTTGAAGAAACAAGGTTTCAGAACCCAATGCAAAGATACAGAATAACTTAGAGATATGAGGTAGTAGAAATCATTTGTATGCTTTGATACATAAAGAGGGGAAGAAAAAACAAAACAAAAACAATATGGCTCGCACATGAAAACGTAAGCATTCATATCAGATTTCCTTCAAAGTAATACATTATACTCTTATTGCTACATTACTTGCATATTTATACATGATACTCTTCAAAGCACATAACCTGTACATTTGTGTGAATTCAAAGGACATTTGCATTCCATGATAAAGCACACCGTATGATTATGAAATCATGCGGGTTAATAGAAAGAAACATCACTGAAGCGAAGATAGACTAGTGATTTATCTACTGAACATACAAGGTAATGTCAACATCCAAAAGGATGATAATCTGATTCACACTACAACCCAATTTCCCCTATAATTTTCAAAGAAATTAGGGGACCCTCTGTAGGCCGTCATTTACTCAATCATCACTTACAACAGTGTATACATCTTCAATAATACAATCAAAATGAAAAGGTACTCTTCCCTGATTAATCCATTCCAAAAACTCTGTACTATGGAAGAAAACAACCAAAAATGTATAAAACAAAAAAAAAATTTCAAAGAGAGGAGGAATTCATACCTCAGAATCAAAAGGAAGCTTTGTTGTCTGTTGGGTTTCTGGGAGTTTCTGTCCAGTGAGAGCTTGCTACTACTTAAATACTGTGTGTCTGTGTGTCAATTCTGGGAACAAAAAGGTTGGACTTTTGTTTTGACCCCTTTGATTAATTCCCTTTTTGGCTTACTCCAACAAATTTCCTAATGAAGCCCATGGAATGAACCTGAAACCTTTTTCGGTTTGGAAAGATTAAATTCTACTATAATTCACATTATTATTATTATTATATTATTATCTGCTTCACTTGATCGTAATAGGTTTATTAGATTCATTGTACGATTTGGATTAAGCAATTTTGAGGACTTGAAAGTTGAAACAAAAAATGAGAACAAATAATAATACTCTGTGTTAAAGTACATTAAAAAATTTTAAAATTTTTCTCGAATTGAATAAATTTGAAACTATATTATCTCGTTTACACTAGTCTACAACGTAATAATAAAAAAAATAGTACTCCCTCCGTCCCATAATTATTGTCCACTTTGCCCAAAAAATTTTGTTCCAAAATTATTGTCCAATTTGACTTTTTATGGATCAAGTTACACATTTGTCTTTAATAAAAAACATTATCCATAAAAATCTTAGTAGTTAAACAATTACTTATGTAAGGGTATATCCGGTTGTTTAAGGTAAAATATAGTTAAGTTTTACCAAAAATAAAATTTTTTATTTTAGTAAAACTGGACAATAATTATGGGACGGAGGGAGTAATTTTAGAAATATAATGAAAGGTAAAATCTTTCAAACAAAAAATTGCGGTTGATTTTAGGTGCACAGAATCTACATATACAGCATTCAAAATTCACATTAAAAGTTTTCTCAAATCTCAAATCTCATTTGGGAATTTATTTTCTCATTTATTCTAGTCAATAAAATAACAAATTTAGAAACCATAATGAAGGGTATAAATCTTCCAAACAAAATTGCAATTGATTTAGGTGTACAGATACAGAATCATTCAATGAAAAAATCAACAGACAATATTATTTATGGATGAATGGGCAAATTTTCGCCAGTCAGAAAAGAATGGATGAGGGCAAGAGCCTCACTAGGCTTATTAAGAGGTACAAGGTGACCGGCACCTCTAACTGTTACAAATGTCAATCCATCATATTCAACCAATCTTCCTCCAACCTGCAATTTTTACAAATGGACAAAACTTTAATTTGCTGATTATCATATCAATGTTTCGTTTTTCTTTTTTTTATTCCGTCCCAAAATAAACGTCGTACTATTTGTTACAAGAGTTTCTAGAATAAAAAGAGCATTACCTGATGGTTGTGGTACCAAGAATGCCATGGACTTTTGAGTGTCAGGTTAAGGGACTCAACACAGTATCTTGAACCAATTACTGGAACTCTGCCATCAGCATCACCACTACAGAGTGGAAAAAAAAATAAAATACAGCAACTCAAACACTATCCTCAATTCCAAAGCTTGTGAAGATCATACTCTAACCGTCCCAAAATACGAGTCACGTTTACTGTATTGTTTCTCATTTTAGAACAGAGGGAGTTAATTAGTAATATATATATATATATATATATATATATATATATATATCCAAAGTACCTGTAAATCCAGATCCTGAGTCCACCTTTGATGAGTTTTTTGTATATGGGTAGGACAGAAGGGACTGTATCATTGTATTCTTTGAACACCGAATTACTGCAAAGAAAGGAAAAACAGCATGAATTGAGTGACACCATGATCACCATTAGTTCTTGCACAAGAACATAGAGTACACTTGATTAATCACCTGCAGGTTGCCCATTTCACTGTGGATTTTGATCCTCTTGTATTAGCATGGAATGCAGTTTGAACATCAACTCTGTTGAAATAGTCTTCAGCACAATTGGAGTAGCAGGGGTCATACCCTCCAAGGAGAGATCTCGTGTTCCTCATTCTGTAACTCTGCTGCACCGAAAAAAAAAAATTAAATTCCCATGACCACATTGAACTATTGAACTATTGGTAAAATTACATTTCTTTTGTTCTAATATAACAGACATGTTTTGAAAACATGGCACTTGATATAGATTAGAAAGTATTAACATTTTTACAATGGACAGCAAGTGATCATATAATTAGCATTTAGAAAGGGCTCTTTCTTTCGAATAAAGATAGGATCTAAGGAGAATCCACTGGACTGTTATTCTCGAGATTTGGATAAACAGCTAAAAGAGCAATGTGGTTAACTAATTACCTGATTGGCTTGAGTCAAAGAAGAAGAATAGTTGCTCTTGACTAGGCAGGCAGGTGCATAAATGTTGTATATGTCAATCTCATTGTAAATCTTGAAGACTACAGACATCGCTTCCATACAGTCATTAGTCCAGTCAAAGTGCTTAAAGTTGCAGACTCGTTTAGCCTTTTCATACTCCTGATCTGAGATTACTGCATGGCTCCATGCATACTCTAATAATCCTTTGTTGTCTAAATAATCATCAGTTTCTGGATTTCCTACCTGCGAAAAAAAAAAGAAGGAAAAAGATCATATTAGAAAATAATCAGTGAGACAGGGGAGACTGAGAGGAGGATATGTAATCACTAAAGAAAAGCAATAACTATACAAGGTAAAGGGCACATGTTTATTTGACAATAATGGTAGATTAAGAATTTTGAGTCAGAGCTTCAAGACAGAATTTTCAGCAGCTTAATGAGTTTCATGCTCGAAATTCATAGTTAAGCATTAAGTTCTATCAATCAAGTGAAAGTGAAATGAAAGGGATATAACTTACAATGAAACCTTTTAGGTTTATGTGTGGGTACTTTGATCCATACTTGTTCCTGTCGAACACAAGCTCTGCTAACTGAGGCACATAATGGCCTACATTTTCATAAAACAAAAAAGTAAATTTTCAGAGAATCTCTGCTGGCTAGCAAGAAATCTAGAAAGATTACTAGAATAATTATTAAAAAAAAAAAAAACACCTCATCGCAATTTACCAGCATAGCTCTCTCCTGATATGTAGAAATCTCTAGTCTTGTATTGAGGAAATCTATCCAACCAATGTACTATGAAGTTGTAGGCATCCTCAGCTGCATATCAATAAATCATATAATTCAGTACTACTGCACCCCATAAGAGTGGACTATTAAAATCAGCGGGAGCATTTATTAATGAGAAGAAGAACAGGACATAATGTTACAGATAAATGCCTAGAAAAGACTTAAATACCAGCAAACTTGTCAGTCAATTTCTTGAGATCAGAGGATGTGTTGGTGTAAGAGAATCCAACTCCAACTGGAGATTCCACAAACAGTAGATTGGCTTCTGCGTAATTAATACATATATTAAATGACAGGATAGACTAACTTGTACAAGCAGCCTATTATAATATCAAGAAAAAGTTGACAAGGAAGTTACTGAAGAAGACCTTGGTTCCAGGAGTACTTATTGAAGTCAAGACCAACTCCATTTTCAGTAACTCTAAGGGGACCTAATTCTGCTGATGCACCATATCCAATTGATGAACATCCAGGCCCTGATAAAAATGACCAAACAAGTGAGTCACCAATGAATTCTGATAATGTTGTTTGGCACAACTAATAAAAAGGATTATAATCAGATTAATAAGATCATCCATCTCGCGTACGTGGTGACGAGTTGGTTTTGCAAACATTAGAGTTTATGAATTGTAAGTTAGGCACAGTTCATAAGTTGACAATATCATCCCATTAATGAAAACATGGTTGAACCTCATGAAAGGTGACCTTTATGTTGAACCTCAAGAATAAGAAGTAACTGAGTATAGGTTTTACCACAGTAAGAAAGAAAAGCCCTCTTTATAATTTTATCCCAACTAAGTAATAGATATAAGGATATTTTGGTACCTCCATTGAGCCAGAGGAGAAGGGGCTTTTTGGTTGGTTGGGATTGAGCTTCAAAGAACCAATAGAAAAGGGCCCTCCCATGAGCTTCATTGACATTAATATATCCTGAAAACTGAGAAATTTGTGGACTTCTTGGCTGGCCAGGAAGTTTTATTATCCTGTCAAGTTCTTGAGAACCTGGAAATGCATTAATGCATGGCATTAAATGACCAAGAAATATGGAGGCAAAAGCTAGTACAGCAATCATTAAAACTTTGCTGATGTTGCCCTTCTGAGTTTGATATGCAGAGGTTGGTGATGCCATGTGTTTTCACAGTCACTAACTAACTCTCACCAACCCTGCTTTCATTTACTACTTAAAACTCAAGGAGTATTTATAATATGGCAGCCAAGAGCTAGCTAACAGAATTTTCAGGACTGAGATACTCTATTTCTGATGGAAGTGAAGGGGTTGAATTACATAGGCCTTCCCTGGATTTTATGAAAATTACATAACGTTCCTTACTATTTGAGAATACTTATTCCTCTAATTGATAAGTCAATTGATATATAAATTTTAACTGAATGTATACCCGTCTCTCGATTTATGGTTGATGTTTAACTCTATGTCATAGTGTTCAAATTCTTCCATCCTCCACACAAAGATTCCCCAATGCTTTGGTCAATCAGGTGATTGCAAGTTTTCACAATTAAAGGACCAAATGATGATTTTTGAAAAAGCTGGGGATCCCTTTAATTTCTTTATCTATTGGTTAAATTGACTCATTTGGATTGGTGGTTTCAGTCCATTTGTTCCACCATTGACAGTAACACACGTGAGACTATTCCTAAAATCAAGGGAACACACAGTTCTAGGTGGACTGAATGAGGGGAAAAAAAAAAAAGAATCCCTAAATATCAAAGATTCAAGAATTAGTGTAGGATGATTGAAGGAGGCAGACGGTGTGCAGAACATTTATAAACAGTTCATGAATAATATGAATAACAGAGAGATTTTTGTCTTCTAACCAGCCTCCTTTCTTACAGCCTTTTTTTTTTGCTTGACTTTGAACATTCTGATCACTGGAATGGACGACCTAACCAATCCATGCACAGTACAAACTAGAAACCAAAATCGCTTTTTTTGCTTTCTGGGATAGGCCATCAAAAGAATCTCCAATCATTGATATCGACAACATTATTGATTCATTGAACAAGGACAACAGGATAAGGATCAAGTGGTATGCACTCAACTACTTGACTCCAGTAACAGGGCTTTAATCTCCACTGCTGGCAAGGTTTTCACATTGATCGGATTGGGTAATAGAGTATCCTAACGGAAAATGCCATACATTGGGATGTTGTAAAGAGCTCCTCAACTCTCAGAATGACCAGAATTCTGCAGTAAATGTATGCTTTTATCATCTAAAAATGACCGTGATTCTGCAGAAATATTTGCTTTTGCCATTTCTCATCAGGGCTAATGGCACTTTTATAAGGTCTGAAGAAAGTCACGCCATCTAACCATAACTAAATAGGTTGTGAAGACTTTCACAAAAATCAACTCCACAAGCCCTAAGAGATTAGTAATTATAAGAAAAAGACTTCGGGAAAAATCAACTTCACTCGCTCCAAGAGATTAGTCATATTATAAGAAAATTGTAGGACTTCTGTATTTATTTGTACAACATCTTTTACTAGTCCATGAATTCTACAAATACTAGTCCTGAAATGGAATACGAATACACTTATACAAGAGTGTTGTCTATGATCGTAAAAGCAGAAAAGGGGTTGAACACAAGTACACAAATTCTACAAATACTAGCCTGAAACTGATTCCCAACCTTTTGTTTTACAAATTCTACAAATAGTATTCTACAAATACTATACAGAACAGACATGCGCAGAAAAAGGGTTCAACCTTTTGTTTTATTGACATTAAATCAAATTGGCATATTTGCAGGTGAAAGTACCAATCGCATCCAGAGAAAGGACTTAGAACTGAAATTTCATTGGTGCTTTCCGTAAAAAATATTGGAGGATCAAGCGCCGTAATCCTTTTCAACCAAATATCAGCACATGGCATCATTAAGAAATCATCTGCAGCATTAATTAACTAGAAAGGGTCTTGAAAGACGAACCAATTTTCTGAGCTTTTGCTGTAAACCATACTGCTAAGTTTCCAAACAGGTGCAAGGCAGGCTCAAACAGTTATCTTCAGTGGCTGAAGAACCATTTCATCTCTATCTATCTGGGATTTTGTTTTCTTATTAGTGAACAAAGGTTGGAGGACGTATCGTGAAAAGCGGCTCAGAGGATCCTGGAGTCCCTCCATTTCATAGTGCCCAAATCGCCAATCTCGCACAATGTAAGGACGTCGTATAGGTTGGTCAAGGCCTCCTGTTGAAATTATCAGAAATAACAAAATGAGCAGGACAACAGGACAGCATCCCTATAACAATAATCCATGAAACTAGAGTTCCAAAGTTACAAACAAGCTTAGATACAACCTCAAAATAGGCAACCTTTACATAAACAAATTTAGCGAGACCCATGGAGAGATAGAAAAACTAACGAATGTAGTATTTTACCAGCATACATCAGGCCAGATTTGTTGACTGCTCGACAAAATGGCCTAGTCTTTTTCTCTTTAGCCGCAGTTTGAAGCTCATTCCATGCTTGCTCCCTGTCTTCCCTTGTAATTTTGCCTGATTTGACCACCTGAGATTAAGATTAACAGCTTGAGTTGAGTACAAACCAAGCAACACAAAAAAAAAAAGATTAACATAGAAGGGTTATCGGGGTCTATACTTTGGAAAACAAATTGTAGGAAGGACGTGGAATTCGTGCAAGATTGTTCATGCGATCTACTGCCACTAGCCCAAACTTCGGACCATATCCATCAGCCCATTCCCAATTGTCAGAAATAGTCCAAAAAAGATACCCAAGGACAGGAATGCCCTAAATGACAATCAGAGACAGGTCCAAATCTGATTAGATGACATAAGGTGAAAGAGCCCTTAGAGGATATTGAGGAGGAGTTTGGAGTCAAAACCTTGATCATGGCAGCATAAACTGCTAGCAGGTGTTCTAACAAGTAAGGCCGCCTAATCAAATCAGTCTCATCAGAAACACCATTTTCTGTAATGATAAATGGCACATTGAGATGTTTGTATCTTTCATGGAATTGAACAAGTACACGATATAAGCCGTCTGGATAAATTCCACGACCAGATTCGCTGTATTCATCTGTTTCAACCAGCTTTAGTCCAGTACCACAAACCACTTCCTGGAAAATCATAGATTATTGTAAACTTAAACAAATTTCTGAAACATACGAGGTGCAATGCAATCGCTGAGAACAGTGTTACCTGGCCATAATAATTTATCCCTATGTAATCAAGTTTGTGACAAACGTTATCCAGGAATGGAAACAGAGTTAGTGAACTTGTAAGTTTAACAGCAGGAATGTCGAACAGGCCATATGGACGCATGAAAGACACGTGGTGTGCAATTCCAACAAGTGGCCTTGACGTTGCGCTGAAAGAATCCAAAAATGAAAGTGACATTGAACAAAAGACAAATATGATATTAGATGCCAAAAGTGAATATTGGAGTATTGCATTAATGGAACGAGCTAAAGATACTCTACAAAATAATAAGATGAAGATATCATCTTGAAACCCTGAATATTGAAAGAATGTCCCAAAGACTGTCCATACTTGATGGCGGAATTTATAGAAAGACATTGCAACCCAAATTTACCTTTTCTCGTGGATATAATCATATGCTTTCAAATGTGCAATTGAAATCCAATGCATGGCCTGATTGAAGACACCGGTAGGCAGTGCAGAAGTGGCAACTTCCAACATGTCCGGATTGCCACCAGGCCATGCACCAGCGCAATAAGTTAGCATACAAAACACATGCGGCTCGTTAAAGGTCACCCAGTAGTCGACAATATCCGATACAGAGTCGACAACAAGCCTGCAATAGAGATACATTTGAGTTCATAGTCATGCAAACACATGTTTGAGTGTTTCTTGCATCGGATAAAATCCTAAAAAATAAAGAAGTTGCAAGGATCAAGTAGAAGCAAAGCCATCCTGATTTAGGTCCATGTAGTTTGGAAGTGCATAAGATAAACATACAAATCCATGAATATTTGTTGGAATTTCATAACAAGAACCAGCAGAAGAAAAAAAAATAAAGTACAAAAAACCTAACCTCGTAAATTCCAAAAAATAATCAACAGTCTTTTCTAGCTTCCAACCACCATACTCTCCAGCCCATGGTGGCAAGGAATGGTGAAACAATGTCAGCATCACTTTCATCCCATAGGAACGGACCCTTTTGATGATCCATCTATAGCGTTCCATCGCTGCATAGTTGACCTAAGGAAGAAACAAACTGGACTCATTATCATATTAAGAATAACTAGGGCCCAATACAATGGATACTGCTTCAAGTCAACAACATAGACACTCTTTACCAATGCTATGGAATCAAGCTAAAAACCAATGCAATATTTTCCGAAAAATCACCTACGGAGTCTTTCACTCCATTTGTTGGCTCCACCGGCATGATCCTTGACCAATCTATCCCCATCCGAAAAACTTGTACACCGGTGTCCTTGGCTAAATTCAGTTCTGTATCGGGATCAGACCAAAACCTCAATCTTTCTTCCCTGTAAATACATTACAAATAGTCAGCATTACAGTTAAATTTCAAGATTAGCGTACTATGTTTGTCTGGGTGACATAACTGAGATTCATTTAAAGACAGCTTTATAAAACTGATCACATTCTCCAGAGTCCAGATGGGTTGGAAATTTTTATCATAATTCATGTAGCTAGGCCCACATCATTAGACAAAGTTGTTTCCAGATGGGTTAGTACTGCATTTTCCTTTTTACTTCTTCACTTAGAGTGTGCTTACGGGTGTGGAACATTATGCCAGGCAGCAACATTATGATGACATTCATCAGGTGGGGCAGATTCCTCCAACTCTTGATACTTCTCAAATCCTCTAATTTCAGCTTCCATGGCTATCTTTAACTGTTTCTTCCTCTTGATGGTCTTATTAGCTTCTTTGGTCGGTAAGGAAGCTGGCTGAGAGCCACCATCAGCAGAAGCGGAAGCGATAATTGGATCGGGGGGCAAGGTGCTAGGTCGATGCTCTGACTTATCACAGGGGCTTTTCTCTGCAAATTCAAGCCAGGCATCATTCAGCCTGTCTTCAACGTGAGCGGGTGCAGTTGCCAACCCAAAGAAGAACCCTTTTTCGCCTTCTGCAAAAAGGATATCAAAATCCAAATGATAATACAAATTAAAAGATACTGATCATACTTGACATGTTACTGCATGCATGACTCAAAAGGGATCTCCTCATAATGTGTCACATTGATTTCAGTGTTGCCACTTAAAGAAACAGAACACGCCTTCATGAGCCCAAATAAATCTTAATATAGCGAGTTCATCATAAATTCAGCATCTCCCCTTCTATTCGACTTCGTTCCATAAATGTAATGATCAATTATGACTTACGAGAATCAGCCGGATGATAATGCCAGCTATAAACTAACAAGCATAATGCATTACGCCAGGGAAGCTCCAGAAAGCACTACAACATTCACTCAAGAATAAACTCAAGTTCCTAAAACATTTCTCAACCTCATAATTCTTATTTAATCACTGCAATAAACTTCATTGAAATTCAAACCCCAATCTTTGGGATAACAAACGAGATGAACCTAGAGTATTAAAAACACACTTTAATCTAACTAAAATCACAAACCCAGTACGCCTTCCTCTATTCAAAGGGAAAAAATAATGCTATAAAATCCCAATCTTTCAATAAGCGAAAAACAAAACAAAAAAAAGGAAAATTAAAAAAAAAAAAAATCACCTTCCAGCTCCTGGTCAGTAGGATGGAACTTGAAGACGGCGAGAACGTCGGCGTCTTCGTCGATGGGGGAATGAATAGGCATGAGATTCTTCCGGCGGAACCGATTATAAGAAACAGCGTTAGCCGCCACCGTGACCGTCACAATCAAGCCGGCGAGCTTCGTCGCCGAAACGAAAATAGCCACCAGCGGCATTAAATTAAATGAAGCCCAATACTATAATATTAATAATATAGTTTTAGATTATCTCAGTTGGTAGGGGAAAAAAAATTAGAGTAAGAATTACGGCGAATCTCAGAATAATTTCGTGTTTATTAAATTATTATATGTAGTCATAGATTTTGATTAACGTGGAGTGAATAGAAGCACTGTTGTGATTCTGGTGGTTTGAGTTTCTGGGGCCTGTTTGGCGACAATTAAAGAAGTACTGTATATATATATTTTAATTAATTAAGGATAAGGTTTGGTATATGGGAAATGGCAGTTCCATGTGGCAGCTTTTTCACGGTATAGATGTCATTTTAGGTTCCAATTCCTTCGGCTATTAGCCTAGTAAGTTCCAAATCATTAGTGTTTTTCTAATATTGTTCATTATGAGATTAATTCCATTCTTGAGAGTAAAATGTCCTTACCATTAGACTGTGAATCAATTCCTTAATTCGATTATTCTTTATATTATTCAAGTAAGTAAAACACTTTTAGAACAATGAAAGTCGAAATAAGAAATATATTCCCGCCTCCGGAGTTTTCACTAGTAGGAGTAGTAATTTTTCTTTTTTCTAGGTTTCGTGTAATAATCCCCTCATCAGATTATAAGTACCAAAATTGAAATTATGCAATATCTCTCTACTATCCTATGAGTTGCAAACTTGTAAATTCTTCAAAAAAAAAAAAAGAAAAGAAAAATAATATACAACTGGTTATAACAGTAACAAATTCCATTACTGATTTGTAAACATCTCCTTGGATTTGACAGCTAACTATTAAGCTCTGTGGACTACGTTTGTTACATGTCCAAAGAGGAGATTCCAACTGTGTTCATCTCAGTTCTCACTCAATTATAATAACCTTTTTGGTTAATTAATTAGTCGCTGATGAGTGCTGACATGGGCCTGGCCCATATTTATAGAACAGAGATGAACATTAGCTTCAAGATAAACCCTGATTTAGCCCAGTCAGGTAGCAAAGAATTGGCATGTAAAGTGTTACTGGACATGAAGCCCAACCAGAACAGAATAATTGGGGTATTCATAAATTTGAATCCTGAAATTGGTTGGAAGAAATAACGTGTTGTATTATATTATGTTTTTATAATAATACGTTCTATCCAAAAAACTACATTGTAATTTGTGAATCATACTAAAATCATGTTTTTTACAAATTGAAATGTGAATTATTTTCTTAAAAAAATAAGTATAAAACTACGTTACAACATGACGTTGTGCAACGGAAATTTAAGATTAGTAAGAAACCTACATTACAACATGAGTCTACGTGACCAAATTTGGAGTTAAAAGAGGTTAATAGCATGATAAATGCTTAATAATCACAGCGAGCATTGCCCTATTCTTTCAACGAAATGTTGGGACATCAAAAAAAGATCCTACTTGCACTCCTTCGATCTAAAGGAGCAAAGATGTTAGTTACGTAGTCCTTTCCCAAAGAAATCGAATAATAAATAGTAATAATTTTGCGACAGAAAAAATATTAATGTTATGATACCCAAGGTAATCTGAAACGGTATTTTAACATTCGTCGTCAAAGTATTTTCATGTAACGGTTAATTTTCTTTCTTTAATATCAAAATATTGATGACTCAACAAAAGAATTACGATATGGTATCGAAAACAAAAAAAAAAAGGAATGGGTGTTTTACACGTGCCCCATGGTCTGAAGTAGAATTATTTATTTCTATCAGGGTTTTCAATTCATTGTGATCAGACAGAGATTCATCATTTCATTTTGTTCTCTTCCCCTGTCACAAAAACAAAATACTAACAAAATAATTGAAAAGAAAAAAATTTGCAGGTCTGACCGGCACCACCACCACCATAAACAACCGAGACCACAAAATTCACAAAATCCATATCCATCCCTTTTAACACTTAACATAGATTTGGCAAAAGGCAAGAGTAAATGGCCTCTGTAGCCTGTCCTCATCTTTTTATCATATATATATATAACTCTCTCAAATAAATATAAATTTTTGCGGAACAGAAAGAAAATACTATCTCTGTTCCAAAAAAAATAATTTACATTAATTTTTTAAATTTGTATTAAAAATAGTACAAAACTTAAAACTTAACGTGGAATATTTTTTTTAGGACGGGGGAGTAAAATAAAATAAAATAAAATCTGTACAATGTTGCTTTAAATCGACATAATTGAGAAACGAATGGGACATAAAGGGTTTTACGTAGTAGTAGTACTACTTACTACTGCATGACAGCTCGCTACAATAATATGATTATATTATGTGGTCCAGAAATTTTTACTGATTGACCATCACGATGATGATGATATATGTCAAAAAATTGCGAAAGAAAAATTCCAGTGAATATGGGAATTATAATGATGACTTTGATCAGGGAATTTTTCGGGTATGAAAGCTACTACTCATACGCTAAGAGTCAACCCACAAATGATACATCACTTTCTGGAATTCAATTCCCATCCAAACTTTTTAATTTTTCTGTGTCTTACATATGACCTAAGGAGGAATTGTTTAGGGTTGATTTCTTCGACCTCCCCATAGTTTCTGAATATCGCCAATCGCTCCCCATATTCCATATCGGCACCCTCATCAAACAATCCGTTGGCTGGCTGCAATTGATTGTCAAAAAAATAACCAAAAAACCGAAGATAAAAATCAAAATGTCTTATAATAAGAACCGGAAAGAGTATGTAAAAACAATGAAAATCTACTCATTTGAACGGAGAAATTACAAGAATAAAACTGTCTACTTAATTTAAGTTTATACACACATCATAAGTAACCTATAAAGTCAAGTGTGATTGGAATGATACTCGTTCCAAATATCAATAGAAGAAATTGTTGGATAGTTTGTACAAATATCGAGAGGGATAAAATGATGTATATTTACCCATGTAACTATAATGGTTTTGCTGTAATTAATTTTACTATATTTGGTGAGTTAAAATTGGTGGGATAGGGTTTTCTTGTCTATGCTTGACAGTATATATATAATTATATGTATGGGCAGTGAAAACAAAATTGACACGAGGATCTAACTGCATTAATAATGTGTTTGATTTGAGACAATAAATTTTATGTAGGGATAAATATGGAGGTTGATCAGATCATGTCCGGAATGTGGTCACGGGTTTTGAGTTATGGGAGGTCTAATGGAAATTGTACTCTTTGTGACTAATAACACCTAGGTGATGGAGAAGTTTCTTGTTGAGTTACATTTTCGTACCCCGTAATAAAATAATTTTTTATTCATTATATTCTCTCTGTGATAAAATATTAGTGATTTTTTCGTATAAGATCTTATACTAGTAACTTCAGACATTATATGCTCTCCGTAATAAAATAATTTTTTCGATTATAAAATAAGTATGATAATTGATTTAGAACTTAGTAATAAAATTATCATTTTTTATACTTAATTAAAGAAAAAAAAAAACCAAAACTTTTGATTTTTTTGACCGCATCTTAGAAGACCGTGACGCCCCCCACGGTCTCCCTTGTTTCTTTGTTAAATATATATATTCACGTATTACTTTCCGCATTCAAAAACAGCTTTGAAATTAGTTTCGATCGTAGACCGGAGTATTATTGTACTGTAATTTCCTTTTGAGCCCAAAATCTTGAATAAATTACTGGTATTGAAAAGAACTACTACTTGTATATATATATATATATATATATATATATATATATGCATCAAAGAACTACAAAGTGTCACCATAAACAAGTGACCTAGTACTATACAAACATTAACAAATTACTATTTTTTAGGTAAAAATGGATAAGCCCAAGATGAAAAAATAAAACAAAAAATAAAAATAAAAAAAGACACATATTTTCATGAACTTTGAGGAAGCCAATACACGCATGCAATTACCTAGGAGGTGATTAGAACATTTATATCATCAATGTCTTTTTCCCAAATCAATCCACTTACAAAATTGACATGTAAGTTTTGTAGTTTTGGATATAAATAACACAACGATATTCATCTTTACATATTTATCTTTATCTATATTAAAAGTGGATCTAATTGTTCCATATATAACCAACGAATAGATATCAAATGTGTATGAATTTAAGCAAAATGACCTCATACGTATTTTCGCAATAATCTGTTTAGTAATGTGTGATGTGTGAAGAGTTGCAAAGTAAGTTATAATTATACTTCCAAAATGAAGCATTCAAACCTTTAAATAAGTAGTTATGGCCCTAATGTTGATGGTTTAATTGAGAAATATGGCGATACATATAAAAACACGCACTATTTGGGAATCATGTATATTCACAATAATACTAGCTAGCATATTTTGGAGGGGAAAAAATGTACTATATGATTTTTCTTATGTATTATATGTATGGCTATCATTTGAGATTGCATTAATTCATGGAAGTCGCCTAATACAAATCAATGTGTTCCCATCCCTTTGCCCTAATCTTTCATACATGCAGGCCACCGATTTGTCACAATCGTTCTTACTATTTATGGGGTGACATTTAACCACACTGTTTATCATATGTAATTATCAGCATTTATTCATTTGTCTATATACATTTCAAATTCATGAATTATAATGTCAATACGTTAGTGAATTGTGATCTCAGCCTCCCTATCTTGTTTGGTTTCTGTTCGTATTGTTTTTCCCTTTAGGAAGATGATATCGACAATGTAGTTTCCTAGGACACGAAACCTAGAATAAACCTTCACCTAACTTGTTTCCTTTTCAAAAAGGTTTTTTTTTTTTTCTTTTATTAAAAAAATCATTCCCTCAATCTCATAAAGCAGAAGAAAGAGTAAGCTATGATAAACATAACTTCTTTGGAAGTAGTGATTAAACAAGGTGAAGGTAGATAAACAATGAATTAAATCAAGGATATAGAGATATGGGCAAATATATATATATATATATAGGAGTTAGCAACCAACACATTGGTTTGCAGTTTCATGTTGCATAATCACATTTTTAACTTATAATTGTCA